CAAAAATTTTTAAAAAAAGTTACAGATTTGGACAAATCCAAAAATGTAAAAAAAAGCTTAGTAAGCCACCCAGAAGCAACTTTAAAGCTAAAAAATTGAAAGAAAATTTTTAACACTGTTAAAAAAGGCTTAGGCTTAGTAACCACCCAGAAGTAACTGTGAAGGCGAAAACCCCAATTTTTCATTCCAGATTTTTATTAAAAATTTAAAAAAATGCCTCGAATCGATTCGAATCGATTCGAATCGGCTCGAATCGACTCGAATCGGCTCGAATCGGCTCGAATCGACTCGAATCGGCTCGAATCGACTCGAATCGACTCGAATCGACTCGAATAGACTCGAATAACCACCCAGACTCGAATAACCACCCAGAAAAAATTAAAAAAAATGCCTCGTATCGATTCGAATCGATTCGAATCGATTCGAATCGATTCGAATCGGCTCGAATCGACTCGAATCGGCTCGAATCGGCTCGAATCGACTCGAATCGACTCGAATCGACTCGAATCGACTCGAATCGGATCGAATCAAGCGGGTAGCTAACAAGAGTCAAGCGGGTAGCTAACAAAAATTTTTCGAATCGGTTCGAATCGGTTCGAATCGGTTCGAATCGGTTCGAATCGGTTCGAATCGACTCGAATCGGTTCGAATCGGTTCGAATCGACTCGAATCGGTTCGAATCGACTCGAATCGACTCGAATCGGATCGAATCAAGCGGGTAGCTAACAAGAGTCAAGCGGGTAGCTAACAAAAATTTTTTTCGAATCGGTTCGAATCGGTTCGAATCGGTTCGAATCGGTTCGAATCGGTTCGAATCGACTCGAATCGGTTCGAATCGGTTCGAATCGACTCGAATCGGTTCGAATCGACTCGAATCGACTCGAATCGACTCGAATCGGATCGAATCAAGCGGGTAGCTAACAAGAGTCAAGCGGGTAGCTAACAAAAATTTTTTTCGAATCGGTTCGAATCGGTTCGAATCGGTTCGAATCGGTTCGAATCGGTTCGAATCGACTCGAATCGGTTCGAATCGGTTCGAATCGACTCGAATCGGTTCGAACCGATTCGAACCGATTCGAATCAAGCGGGTAGCTAACAAGAGTCAAGCGGGTAGCTAACAAAAATTTTTTTAAAAAAAAGTTACAGATTTGGACAAATCCAAAAATGTAAAAAAAAGCTTAGTAAGCCACCCAGAAGCAACTTTAAAGCTAAAAAAATTGAAAGAAAATTTTTAACACTGTTAAAAAAGGCTTAGGCTTAGTAACCACCCAGAAGTAACTGTGAAGGCGAAAACCCCAATTTTTCATTCCAGATTTTTATTAAAAATTTAAAAAATGCCTCGAATCGATTCGAATCGATTCGAATCGGCTCGAATCGACTCGAATCGGCTCGAATCGGCTCGAATCGACTCGAATCGGCTCGAATCGACTCGAATCGACTCGAATCGACTCGAATAGACTCGAATAACCACCCAGACTCGAATAACCACCCAGAAAAATTAAAAAAAATGCCTCGTATCGATTCGAATCGATTCGAATCGATTCGAATCGATTCGAATCGGCTCGAATCGACTCGAATCGGCTCGAATCGGCTCGAATCGACTCGAATCGACTCGAATCGACTCGAATCGACTCGAATCGGATCGAATCAAGCGGGTAGCTAACAAGAGTCAAGCGGGTAGCTAACAAAAATTTTTTTCGAATCGGTTCGAATCGGTTCGAATCGGTTCGAATCGGTTCGAATCGGTTCGAATCGACTCGAATCGGTTCGAATCGGTTCGAATCGACTCGAATCGGTTCGAATCGACTCGAATCGACTCGAATCGGATCGAATCAAGCGGGTAGCTAACAAGAGTCAAGCGGGTAGCTAACAAAAATTTTTTCGAATCGGTTCGAATCGGTTCGAATCGGTTCGAATCGGTTCGAATCGGTTCGAATCGACTCGAATCGGTTCGAATCGGTTCGAATCGACTCGAATCGGTTCGAATCGACTCGAATCGACTCGGAATCGACTCGAATCGGATCGAATCAAGCGGGTAGCTAACAAGAGTCAAGCGGGTAGCTAACAAAAATTTTTTTCGAATCGGTTCGAATCGGTTCGAATCGGTTCGAATCGGTTCGAATCGGTTCGAATCGACTCGAATCGGTTCGAATCGGTTCGAATCGACTCGAATCGGTTCGAACCGATTCGAACCGATTCGAATCAAGCGGGTAGCTAACAAGAGTCAAGCGGGTAGCTAACAAAAAATTTTTTTAAAAAAAGTTACAGATTTGGACAAATCCAAAAATGTAAAAAAAAGCTTAGTAAGCCACCCAGAAGCAACTTTAAAGCTAAAAAAATTGAAAGAAAATTTTTAACACTGTTAAAAAAGGCTTAGGCTTAGTAACCACCCAGAAGTAACTGTGAAGGCGAAAACCCCAATTTTTCATTCCAGATTTTTATTAAAAATTTAAAAAAAAATGCCTCGAATCGATTCGAATCGATTCGAATCGGCTCGAATCGACTCGAATCGGCTCGAATCGGCTCGAATCGACTCGAATCGGCTCGAATCGACTCGAATCGACTCGAATCGACTCGAATAGACTCGAATAACCACCCAGACTCGAATAACCACCCAGAAAAATTAAAAAAAAATGCCTCGTATCGATTCGAATCGATTCGAATCGATTCGAATCGATTCGAATCGGCTCGAATCGACTCGAATCGGCTCGAATCGGCTCGAATCGACTCGAATCGACTCGAATCGACTCGAATCGACTCGAATCGGATCGAATCAAGCGGGTAGCTAACAAGAGTCAAGCGGGTAGCTAACAAAAATTTTTTCGAATCGGTTCGAATCGGTTCGAATCGGTTCGAATCGGTTCGAATCGGTTCGAATCGACTCGAATCGGTTCGAATCGGTTCGAATCGACTCGAATCGGTTCGAATCGACTCGAATCGACTCGAATCGGATCGAATCAAGCGGGTAGCTAACAAGAGTCAAGCGGGTAGCTAACAAAAATTTTTTTCGAATCGGTTCGAATCGGTTCGAATCGGTTCGAATCGGTTCGAATCGGTTCGAATCGACTCGAATCGGTTCGAATCGGTTCGAATCGACTCGAATCGGTTCGAATCGACTCGAATCGACTCGAATCGACTCGAATCGGATCGAATCAAGCGGGTAGCTAACAAGAGTCAAGCGGGTAGCTAACAAAATTTTTTTCGAATCGGTTCGAATCGGTTCGAATCGGTTCGAATCGGTTCGAATCGGTTCGAATCGACTCGAATCGGTTCGAATCGGTTCGAATCGACTCGAATCGGTTCGAACCGATTCGAACCGATTCGAATCAAGCGGGTAGCTAACAAGAGTCAAGCGGGTAGCTAACAAAAATTTTTTAAAAAAGTTACAGATTTGGACAAATCCAAAAATGTAAAAAAAAAGCTTAGTAAGCCACCCAGAAGCAACTTTAAAGCTAAAAAATTGAAAGAAAATTTTTAACACTGTTAAAAAAGGCTTAGGCTTAGTAACCACCCAGAAGTAACTGTGAAGGCGAAAACCCCAATTTTTCATTCCAGATTTTTATTAAAAATTTAAAAAAAAATGCCTCGAATCGATTCGAATCGATTCGAATCGGCTCGAATCGACTCGAATCGGCTCGAATCGGCTCGAATCGACTCGAATCGGCTCGAATCGACTCGAATCGACTCGAATAACCACCCAGACTCGAATAACCACCCAGAAAAATTAAAAAAATGCCTCGAATCGATTCGAATCGATTCGAATCGATTCGAATCGATTCGAATCGATTCGAATCGGCTCGAATCGACTCGAATCGACTCGAATCGACTCGAATCGGATCGAATCAAGCGGGTAGCTAACAAGAGTCAAGCGGGTAGCTAACAAAAATTTTTTTCGAATCGGTTCGAATCGGTTCGAATCGGTTCGAATCGGTTCGAATCGGTTCGAATCGACTCGAATCGGTTCGAATCGGTTCGAATCGACTCGAATCGGTTCGAATCGACTCGAATCGGATCGAATCAAGCGGGTAGCTAACAAGAGTCAAGCGGGTAGCTAACAAAAATTTTTTTTAAAAAAAGTTACAGATTTGGACAAATCCAAAAATGTAAAAAAAAAGCTTAGTAAGCCACCCAGAAGCAACTTTAAAGCTAAAAAAATTGAAAGAAAATTTTTAACACTGTTAAAAAAGGCTTAGGCTTAGTAACCACCCAGAAGTAACTGTGAAGGCGAAAACCCCAATTTTTCATTCCAGATTTTTATTAAAAATTTAAAAAAATGCCTCGAATCGATTCGAATCGATTCGAATCGGCTCGAATCGACTCGAATCGGCTCGAATCGGCTCGAATCGACTCGAATCGGCTCGAATCGACTCGAATCGACTCGAATCGACTCGAATAGACTCGAATAACCACCCAGACTCGAATAACCACCCAGAAAAATTAAAAAAAATGCCTCGTATCGATTCGAATCGATTCGAATCGATTCGAATCGATTCGAATCGGCTCGAATCGACTCGAATCGGCTCGAATCGGCTCGAATCGACTCGAATCGACTCGAATCGACTCGAATCGACTCGAATCGGATCGAATCAAGCGGGTAGCTAACAAGAGTCAAGCGGGTAGCTAACAAAAATTTTTTCGAATCGGTTCGAATCGGTTCGAATCGGTTCGAATCGGTTCGAATCGGTTCGAATCGACTCGAATCGGTTCGAATCGGTTCGAATCGACTCGAATCGGTTCGAATCGACTCGAATCGACTCGAATCGGATCGAATCAAGCGGGTAGCTAACAAGAGTCAAGCGGGTAGCTAACAAAAATTTTTTCGAATCGGTTCGAATCGGTTCGAATCGGTTCGAATCGGTTCGAATCGGTTCGAATCGACTCGAATCGGTTCGAATCGGTTCGAATCGACTCGAATCGGTTCGAATCGACTCGAATCGACTCGAATCGACTCGAATCGGATCGAATCAAGCGGGTAGCTAACAAGAGTCAAGCGGGTAGCTAACAAAATTTTTTTCGAATCGGTTCGAATCGGTTCGAATCGGTTCGAATCGGTTCGAATCGGTTCGAATCGACTCGAATCGGTTCGAATCGGTTCGAATCGACTCGAATCGGTTCGAACCGATTCGAACCGATTCGAATCAAGCGGGTAGCTAACAAGAGTCAAGCGGGTAGCTAACAAAAATTTTTTTAAAAAAAAGTTACAGATTTGGACAAATCCAAAAATGTAAAAAAAGCTTAGTAAGCCACCCAGAAGCAACTTTAAAGCTAAAAAAATTGAAAGAAAATTTTTAACACTGTTAAAAAAGGCTTAGGCTTAGTAACCACCCAGAAGTAACTGTGAAGGCGAAAACCCCAATTTTTCATTCCAGATTTTTATTAAAAATTAAAAAAAAATGCCTCGAATCGATTCGAATCGATTCGAATCGGCTCGAATCGACTCGAATCGGCTCGAATCGGCTCGAATCGACTCGAATCGGCTCGAATCGACTCGAATCGACTCGAATAACCACCCAGACTCGAATAACCACCCAGAAAAATTAAAAAAAAATGCCTCGAATCGATTCGAATCGGCTCGAATCGACTCGAATCGGCTCGAATCGGCTCGAATCGACTCGAATCGACTCGAATCGACTCGAATCGACTCGAATCGGATCGAATCGACTCGAATAACCACCCAGACTCGAATAACCACCCAGAAAAATTAAAAAAAAATGCCTCGAATCGGCTCGAATCGACTCGAATCGGCTCGAATCGGCTCGAATCGACTCGAATCGACTCGAATCGACTCGAATCGGATCGAATCAAGCGGGTAGCTAACAAGAGTCAAGCGGGTAGCTAACAAAAATTTTTTCGAATCGGTTCGAATCGGTTCGAATCGGTTCGAATCGGTTCGAATCGGTTCGAATCGACTCGAATCGGTTCGAATCGGTTCGAATCGACTCGAATCGGTTCGAACCGATTCGAACCGATTCGAATCAAGCGGGTAGCTAACAAGAGTCAAGCGGGTAGCTAACAAAAATTTTTTTAAAAAAGTTACAGATTTGGACAAATCCAAAAATGTAAAAAAAAGCTTAGTAAGCCACCCAGAAGCAACTTTAAAGCTAAAAAAATTGAAAGAAAATTTTTAACACTGTTAAAAAAGGCTTAGGCTTAGTAACCACCCAGAAGTAACTGTGAAGGCGAAAACCCCAATTTTTCATTCCAGATTTTTATTAAAAATTAAAAAAAAATGCCTCGAATCGATTCGAATCGATTCGAATCGGCTCGAATCGACTCGAATCGGCTCGAATCGGCTCGAATCGACTCGAATCGGCTCGAATCGACTCGAATCGACTCGAATAACCACCCAGACTCGAATAACCACCCAGAAAAATTAAAAAAAAATGCCTCGAATCGATTCGAATCGATTCGAATCGATTCGAATCGATTCGAATCGATTCGAATCGGCTCGAATCGACTCGAATCGACTCGAATCGACTCGAATCGGATCGAATCAAGCGGGTAGCTAACAAGAGTCAAGCGGGTAGCTAACAAAAATTTTTTCGAATCGGTTCGAATCGGTTCGAATCGGTTCGAATCGGTTCGAATCGGTTCGAATCGACTCGAATCGGTTCGAATCGGTTCGAATCGACTCGAATCGGTTCGAATCGACTCGAATCGGATCGAATCAAGCGGGTAGCTAACAAGAGTCAAGCGGGTAGCTAACAAAAATTTTTTTAAAAAAAAGTTACAGATTTGGACAAATCCAAAAATGTAAAAAAAAGCTTAGTAAGCCACCCAGAAGCAACTTTAAAGCTAAAAAAATTGAAAGAAAATTTTTAACACTGTTAAAAAAGGCTTAGGCTTAGTAACCACCCAGAAGTAACTGTGAAGGCGAAAACCCCAATTTTTCATTCCAGATTTTTATTAAAAATTTAAAAAAAAATGCCTCGAATCGATTCGAATCGATTCGAATCGGCTCGAATCGACTCGAATCGGCTCGAATCGGCTCGAATCGACTCGAATCGGCTCGAATCGACTCGAATCGACTCGAATCGACTCGAATAGACTCGAATAACCACCCAGACTCGAATAACCACCCAGAAAAATTAAAAAAAATGCCTCGTATCGATTCGAATCGATTCGAATCGATTCGAATCGATTCGAATCGGCTCGAATCGACTCGAATCGGCTCGAATCGGCTCGAATCGACTCGAATCGACTCGAATCGACTCGAATCGACTCGAATCGGATCGAATCAAGCGGGTAGCTAACAAGAGTCAAGCGGGTAGCTAACAAAAATTTTTTTCGAATCGGTTCGAATCGGTTCGAATCGGTTCGAATCGGTTCGAATCGGTTCGAATCGACTCGAATCGGTTCGAATCGGTTCGAATCGACTCGAATCGACTCGAATCGGATCGAATCAAGCGGGTAGCTAACAAGAGTCAAGCGGGTAGCTAACAAAAATTTTTTTCGAATCGGTTCGAATCGGTTCGAATCGGTTCGAATCGGTTCGAATCGGTTCGAATCGACTCGAATCGGTTCGAATCGGTTCGAATCGACTCGAATCGGTTCGAATCGACTCGAATCGACTCGAATCGACTCGAATCGGATCGAATCAAGCGGGTAGCTAACAAGAGTCAAGCGGGTAGCTAACAAAAATTTTTTCGAATCGGTTCGAATCGGTTCGAATCGGTTCGAATCGGTTCGAATCGGTTCGAATCGACTCGAATCGGTTCGAATCGGTTCGAATCGACTCGAATCGGTTCGAACCGATTCGAACCGATTCGAATCAAGCGGGTAGCTAACAAGAGTCAAGCGGGTAGCTAACAAAAATTTTTTTAAAAAAGTTACAGATTTGGACAAATCCAAAAATGTAAAAAAAAGCTTAGTAAGCCACCCAGAAGCAACTTTAAAGCTAAAAAAATTGAAAGAAAATTTTTAACACTGTTAAAAAAGGCTTAGGCTTAGTAACCACCCAGAAGTAACTGTGAAGGCGAAAACCCCAATTTTTCATTCCAGATTTTTATTAAAAATTTAAAAAAATGCCTCGAATCGATTCGAATCGATTCGAATCGGCTCGAATCGACTCGAATCGGCTCGAATCGGCTCGAATCGACTCGAATCGGCTCGAATCGACTCGAATCGACTCGAATCGACTCGAATAGACTCGAATAACCACCCAGACTCGAATAACCACCCAGAAAAATTAAAAAAATGCCTCGTATCGATTCGAATCGATTCGAATCGATTCGAATCGATTCGAATCGGCTCGAATCGACTCGAATCGGCTCGAATCGGCTCGAATCGACTCGAATCGACTCGAATCGACTCGAATCGACTCGAATCGGATCGAATCAAGCGGGTAGCTAACAAGAGTCAAGCGGGTAGCTAACAAAAATTTTTTCGAATCGGTTCGAATCGGTTCGAATCGGTTCGAATCGGTTCGAATCGGTTCGAATCGACTCGAATCGGTTCGAATCGGTTCGAATCGACTCGAATCGGTTCGAATCGACTCGAATCGACTCGAATCGGATCGAATCAAGCGGGTAGCTAACAAGAGTCAAGCGGGTAGCTAACAAAAATTTTTTCGAATCGGTTCGAATCGGTTCGAATCGGTTCGAATCGGTTCGAATCGGTTCGAATCGACTCGAATCGGTTCGAATCGGTTCGAATCGACTCGAATCGGTTCGAATCGACTCGAATCGACTCGAATCGACTCGAATCGGATCGAATCAAGCGGGTAGCTAACAAGAGTCAAGCGGGTAGCTAACAAAAATTTTTTCGAATCGGTTCGAATCGGTTCGAATCGGTTCGAATCGGTTCGAATCGGTTCGAATCGACTCGAATCGGTTCGAATCGGTTCGAATCGACTCGAATCGGTTCGAACCGATTCGAACCGATTCGAATCAAGCGGGTAGCTAACAAGAGTCAAGCGGGTAGCTAACAAAAATTTTTTTAAAAAAAAGTTACAGATTTGGACAAATCCAAAAATGTAAAAAAAAGCTTAGTAAGCCACCCAGAAGCAACTTTAAAGCTAAAAAAATTGAAAGAAAATTTTTAACACTGTTAAAAAAGGCTTAGGCTTAGTAACCACCCAGAAGTAACTGTGAAGGCGAAAACCCCAATTTTTCATTCCAGATTTTTATTAAAAATTTAAAAAAAAATGCCTCGAATCGATTCGAATCGATTCGAATCGGCTCGAATCGACTCGAATCGGCTCGAATCGGCTCGAATCGACTCGAATCGGCTCGAATCGACTCGAATCGACTCGAATCGACTCGAATAGACTCGAATAACCACCCAGACTCGAATAACCACCCAGAAAAATTAAAAAAAAATGCCTCGTATCGATTCGAATCGATTCGAATCGATTCGAATCGATTCGAATCGGCTCGAATCGACTCGAATCGGCTCGAATCGGCTCGAATCGACTCGAATCGACTCGAATCGACTCGAATCGACTCGAATCGGATCGAATCAAGCGGGTAGCTAACAAGAGTCAAGCGGGTAGCTAACAAAAATTTTTTTCGAATCGGTTCGAATCGGTTCGAATCGGTTCGAATCGGTTCGAATCGGTTCGAATCGACTCGAATCGGTTCGAATCGGTTCGAATCGACTCGAATCGGTTCGAATCGACTCGAATCGACTCGAATCGGATCGAATCAAGCGGGTAGCTAACAAGAGTCAAGCGGGTAGCTAACAAAAATTTTTTTCGAATCGGTTCGAATCGGTTCGAATCGGTTCGAATCGGTTCGAATCGGTTCGAATCGACTCGAATCGGTTCGAATCGGTTCGAATCGACTCGAATCGGTTCGAATCGACTCGAATCGACTCGAATCGACTCGAATCGGATCGAATCAAGCGGGTAGCTAACAAGAGTCAAGCGGGTAGCTAACAAAAATTTTTTCGAATCGGTTCGAATCGGTTCGAATCGGTTCGAATCGGTTCGAATCGGTTCGAATCGACTCGAATCGGTTCGAATCGGTTCGAATCGACTCGAATCGGTTCGAACCGATTCGAACCGATTCGAATCAAGCGGGTAGCTAACAAGAGTCAAGCGGGTAGCTAACAAAAATTTTTTTAAAAAAAAGTTACAGATTTGGACAAATCCAAAAATGTAAAAAAAAGCTTAGTAAGCCACCCAGAAGCAACTTTAAAGCTAAAAAAATTGAAAGAAAATTTTTAACACTGTTAAAAAAGGCTTAGGCTTAGTAACCACCCAGAAGTAACTGTGAAGGCGAAAACCCCAATTTTTCATTCCAGATTTTTATTAAAAATTTAAAAAAAAATGGCTAAGTTTTGAAATCGAAATTCTGAATATTGTACGTTGTTCAGAATCTCCAGGCGAACAACTTTGAAAAAATTTTTATAATTGGACAAATTTTTTTTTTCATTGATTTTCGGATTTTTGAAAAATCGATTTTTTTTGTGTTCAACCGCCCAAAACTCGGTTCATTGAAAAGATGGACCTAAACATTTTTTTTTTAAATTGTAGCTCTAAGCGAGCTCTATAAGCCTGATTAGAGCTCGCAAGATAAAAATGAAAATTTTCATGAGTTATGAAGGTGGCAACATTTTGGTACATCACATATCATGGTATGACTATCAAACCTAGGCATGGGATATTGAGAAATTCTTCTGAAACCTTGCAAATACCCTTATAATGAAATTCCCTAAAGGAATTTTTCAAATATTGATTATTGGTCTTGTAAATATTTGTTTCCCAGAACGCATTTTTGAAATTTTGTTTTTTCTACATCAAAAAGCTGTCAAAATCAATTATAAATGATTTTTTCGTGCTTAAAATCGAAAAATACCCCTAGGTGAACATTTTCAGAAAGTTTCAGTCACTGGGAACCTGAATTGGTACTTTTTTGTTTTCGCTCCATAACTCAAGAACCGTTCGTTTTCACGAGAATTAGATGCTTCCAGCGTGTTCAGCACACTCATTTACCCCTAGGGAGATATTTTTTACATCATATAGTCCATTGGGACCATTTTCGAAAAAAAATTCCACAAAAGATTACTGTAGTTGATCCATTTTTTCGGAAAAAGGGAAACACGGATAGAAAAATAGGATAAACTATTATTTTTTTTCTCTCAAAAATTGAGAGAAAAGGGGAGGAAAATAATAATAGTTTATCCTAAATTTCACGATTTTTTTCGATTTTTGAAAAATTGATCAAACCTTCTGAAATTCATGGGTGGGGGGTTTTCGGCTCCGTGGAGCATCATGGTGATAATGATTTTACACGAAAATGAGCTTATCACCTCTTATCAGTGATTATCAAAAAAATATCAAAATTATCAGAATAAGCTGGAAGTTGGAGGAAATGATGTTTGGTGATAGTAGATGACATTTTTGATAATTTTAGAGCTCCAGCTTCATCCTAGAAGCTCTTATCAGTTCTTATCACTAAATTATCAATATGCTCGGATTTCGCTGAAACTTACAGAAAATGATGTCTGGGGGTCGTAGATACTATTTTTAATAAGTTTGGAACACTAGCTTCATCCCAGAAGCTCTTATCATTTGTTATCACTGAATTATCAATATGTTCAGATTGAGCTGAAACTCGGGAAAAAATGAATCCACGTGGCACTGGAATTAAATTTGAAAATTATTTGACAAAAAATTGATTTGATAACCTCGTTCAATTGAGATGTTCAAGATTTGAAGAATTTTGAAGATTTTCCATTAAAATTTTACACTGGAAAAATTTTTTCACCCAAAAAATAAAACTTCAAAGCAAACGTTTTATGAATGATTTTTGATATAAAACTTGTTCTTCTGAACTTTTTTCTCCCTCAAAAACTTTTCAATAAATAACTAATTTTTCAAAATCGAAAACCCTTTTTTGAAAAATATTCCCATAAATTCTCACAGTACTCAATCGATCGAAAAAATGGAGAATGATGGAGAATCCGGAATTCTCATTGTCAGGTAATTTTTCAAATTCATGTATATTTTCAGAGCTTGTGTTTGTGGCTGTGGAACATGTAGTATAAAATTCAACTGGGGAGCTGAAACATTTTCAATAGAATCCAAATTCATTAAGCACCGCATTTCATAAATCAAACAAAACCTGACGCCATTTATTTTGGCGTCAAAAAATATCACAAGAAAATAAATTATTGATTTTTTCGTTCACATAATTGAGCAACTCTCGTCATCCACTTTCTCTAGAACATCTTCAGCACAGACAACATCATCATATCTGCAAAAATGAGATTTATTTTTGTCTTTTGAGTTTAAGATGAGCAATTCTATATATGAGTGTTGAAAATTCCCATACCTCTTCACATTTTTCTGTCCAATTCGATCAACACTTCGACTTCTCGCTCTTCCCCCATTTTTTCCAGCACTTTCACGAGTTTTCCGCATTCGATCCGCCTCATTTTCCGCAACATATTTCACATCAGCGCATCCGGATTGTTGTGCAACTACCGTGAGATGTGCGTCAAATGCCTGAAGTAGTGCCACGTATCCACAACATTTTTCGACCGCCCATCTCGCGAGTTCTGCACAAGCTTTTCGAGTTCGCGCAAAATTTCGTACACCGCATTTTTCGATCAATGATGGTTGAACTTCGTGCCAAAGGCGACGTTCGTCACGACTCAGAAGACATAACTGCAAAAATGTTTATTCCACAAAATTACGCCGCTACATTGAAAAAATCGGGAATTTTCGCTGATTTTGAGCCAAACTCATAAAATTCGGAGACATTTGCTCATCTTAACCCGTTTTTTAAAATTGAAATTTGAAATTTTTAACCTGGAAATACTGAAATTTGGGATCTTCAGCTTATTTGAAGCCAAAAATCATGCAAATTTGATGAATTTTGACCCAGAAACTCAAAATTTACAAAATTTGAACCATTGATCATGTTAGAAATTGGAAACCGATCATTTTTGGTGGAATTTTCACAAAAATTGTTAGTTTTCAGAGCATTGCTCATAATAACCCATTTTTTGAATTGAAATTTGAAATTTTTAACCTAAAAATACTGTAATTTAGGATTTTCAACTGATTTGAAGCCAAAAATCATGAATAATTGATGATATTTGACTCAGAAGCTCAAAAACTACGAAATTTGAACCATTGCTCATGTTAGACATGGGAAATTAAAAAAATTTCATTTATTGACCTGAAAATCTAGAACATTGTTCATCTTAACCATTTTTGTTACAAAAAATCATAATTTTCGAATTCCCAATCTCAAATGGATCAAATTTTGTGTTTTTCGAGCTCCAGACTTCAAATTCTTCCGAATATTCATGATTTTTGGCCTGAAACCATCTGAAAATCCAAATTTTCAGCAAATCGATAACATGAGCAATGCTCGTTAGTGAAAATCATAATTTCTAATTTTTTAATATGAGCAACGTATCAAGTTTCGAGCTCCTGGGGTCATGAAATTTGACCCAGAAGCTCAAAAAATTACCAAATTTGAACCATTGCTCATATTGGATATTGGAAATGCAAAAATTATGATTTATTGACCTGAAAATCTAGAAAATTGCTCATCTTAACCAGTTTTTCTTACAAAAAATTATAATTTCTTATTTCTAATATGAGCAATGCAGAATTTTGTCCAGCACAAAAAAACTCACCAAAAACACCCAATCAATAGCTCCAGCTTGCGCAAACATCTTCAACAAGAATTCGAGTTGCGCAGCGTTGCGTAGGCTTCCGCGCGGTGCCGCGACCAAAAAATCGGGCGCGGAAACCGCATCCTCCGCCGCATACGACGCGATACTGGGCGACTTTGCGAGTGACGCCGCATCGCATGACGTGGATTCGGAAGCGTCGACGCGTCGCAATTCTTCCACGTGTATCTCCTCATCTTCCGCTTGCGTTGTTGCTTGCGTCGAAATGCGCACTTTTTCCGCTTCCGTCACAACACCATTCGATTCGAACATTTCCGATGTTTCAGATAGACTTGCAGATGATCGACTAGTTCGCAATGCTCCCAATTTTTTCTCGATTTGGTGCACAAATTTCGCTCCAACTAGAGGATATGGCCATTGGAATTGGGCGTGGAGGCGAGTTAGGGCCAGCGGAAAATCGAGAATTTCACCGGATTTTTGATGTTGATTTTTGGTGTGGCGACGCGATGATTCGAGGAATGCGGAAAGATCGAAATCCAATTCGGACGTCAGATTTCCTGGAAGAAATTGGGGATATTTTGAGCCAAAAATAGGATATTGCTCATGTTAAACTTCAAAAAAAAAGCCAGATTTTTCGAATATTGACTTGAAATGCTCCAAACTATTTTTTGAATCAAATTTTTCACAATTATCATGAGCAATGCTCAAAATTCCTTGAAAATCACGATTTTTTGGCTCAAACTATCATATTTTTTGCAATCTAACATGAACAATGCCTGAAAATTCTGAATTTTTGTTATTGCTCATGTTTAACTTCAAAAATTCCAGGTTATTCGAACTTTTTCTTGAAATACAGATTTTTTGCAATCTAACATGAGCAATGCCTGAAAATTCTGAATTTTTGTTATTGCTCATGTTAAACTTCAAAAATTCCAATTTATGCGAAATTTTTCTTTAAAAAACAAGATTTTTTGCTATCTAACATGGGCAATGACCAAAAAAGTGCTCACCCAAATCTAAAATCCAATATTCATTCAACAATTGCCAACAATGTTGCTCGAGAATCGCATAAATCCGCGTGGCAAGGCGATTTTCTGCGGCAAGCGTTGCGGAAGCCTCGCGACTCGCCGCAACTTTTGAATCTTTCCGCGTTGTTGTCGCCGCATCCGAATGTCGCATTTTCGTCAATTTTCCAGCCGCCGCTTGAAATCGATTCACGAAAAATTCATCGTTTGTGGTTGGTGATGGGGAACCTGCGGCTGTGGCGCGGCGAGAAGACGCGGAAACCTTTGCGGAAGGCGGAGGCGTCTGCGGGGTTGCCGCGACGTTTTCCGCAACCATATCTTCAGCTCCAATCGATTTGGCAAATCGCACCATCTCTTTAACAATCGACCATTTTTTGGCTGCCAATGCGGCGTCGACAAGTCGCGCGGCTTGCTGAAAAAATTAGGTTTCAGACTGAAAATTCAGTCATTGCTCATTTTAGTCTAAAAATTTTGATATTTTGAGACAAAACTCAGAAAAGTTTGCAGAATTTGACCAAAAACTAAGATATTGCTCATGTTAAAATTTTCAGGAAATAATATAAAATTCAGGAAAAAAGCCTAAAATTTAGTGAAAGGTTCAAAATTCAGGAAAAAAGCCTGAAATTGAGGCATTGCTCATGTTAAGAATCGAGAAAATGCCCGAATTATGATATTGCTCATGTTGGAGTTTTAGAAAAAAACCTGAAGCCTGAAATTCAGGTCCGAAAAGTCTAAACTATAAAAAAAAGCTTGAAATCAATAGCATTGCTCATATTAGTCTAAAAATTGTGATGTTTTGAGTGAAAAATCGAGGGATTTGAGCAAAACTAAGATATTGCTCATTTTAAGCTGTTTTTGAAGAAAAAAATGTACCTCCATACTTGTTTCCAGACTCTCGAAATTCTGCAGAACAATCACAAAACTCGCAGCATTTTCGAGTTGTCCCAATTTCAAACATTCTTCGAAAAGAGCAATTGGCGAGCCGGTGACATCAAAAAGAGCCGGCCAGAGAGCGAGTTCGGTTTTTCGAGCACAGTGGGCGATTGTCTGAAAAATAGGAATGTTTTGAGCCTAAAATATAATATTGCTCATGTTAAACTTCAAAAAATTCCAGGTTATTTGAAATTTGGCCAAAAATGCTCAAAACTATATTTTAAATCAGATCTAACATGAGCAATGCCCAAAAATTCTGAATTTTTGATGAAATTAATGGCGTTGCTCATTTTAGTTCAAAAATTGCGGAATTAGTGCAAAAGTAGAATATTGCTCATGTTAAACTTCGAAAAAAATTCCAGGTCATTCGAATTTTGGCTCAAAACGCTTCAAACGATTTTTTAAATCAAACTATAATGAGCAATGCTCAAAATTTGCATTAAAGGGTTGGTGCTCCGCCAGGGAATCTTGTTTGGTTTAGATAGGAATAAGGTGCTCCTGGAAGGTTCCAGTTTTAGAAAAAATTATAGTATCAATTCAGCCCATGTTTTTCCTCAAAAACACAAGCGAGTTAAAACCTACGAAATAAAGCATGTAAATGCGCTCTAGCGCACAACTTGTTTTTGAATTTTCGTGTGTGTGTTTGCACACAACTTTGAAAACAACACTGTGACGCCTTTTTGCAGACGATTTTTTCACCAGGAAAGCACCAACCCTTTAATTACGATGAAATTTGTGGCATTGTTCATTTTAGTCGAAAAATTGAGGTTAAATTTTTAGGAAAAAGCACTCTAGCTCAAAAATCCTCAAAAAACTACGATTTCTGGGCTCAAAATGCTCAAAATTTCAGATTTTTGACCCAAAATCCCCCTCAACTCACTCTCAAAAATTCGGGAAATTCATGAATAAACGCAACACATCTTGGTAGTAATGGATCGGGAATTGGTTCACTACTCGTCGCTTCTTCTTCCAAAACACCATGTAATAACAATTCCAGACTATGCGAAAAATACGGCAAATTACGGCACGAAACGCCGAGTTCCAACGCAAAAACGCCCAAATTTCGTTTGAGAAGTTGACGCAGTAAATGATGTATGAAGACTTCGGAATTGCGCGAGATTTGGAAAATTTGGATTTTTTTCGACTGCGCAAAAATCGCTTGCGTCTGAATTTCGACGCCGGCGGCAAGACAATTCGTGGCTGAGATTAGAATTGGATAAATCTCGAGATCGAACGGCAACATTATTCGTTTTGCAATAAATTGCATTTCCTGGGTGGAGATTTGATTGCGTTTTCCGGGAATTAGAGGCATCCAAACCTGAAAAAGTGGAATTTTTGTGAAAATTTGGATTTTTCTGGGAATTTGCAGCATTTTGAGCCAAAAAACCCAAAAGATTGCTCATATTATACTATAGCATCCATTTTTTCAAAAAAAAAATCATTGGATTGCTCATCTTAAGCTCAAAAACTCTCAAATTTTCAATGAAAACCCGAAGAATTGCTCATTTTATACTGAAAAATTCAAAAATCATAAGATTGCTCATATTAAAATCAAAATTCTCGAATTTTTAAAGAAAACTTGAGCATTGCTCATCATAAACTCAAAAATTCTCAAACTTTCGATGAAAACCCGAAGAATTGCTCATATTATACTAAAAAATTCAAAAATCATAGGATTGCTCATATTAAACTCAAAATTCGCAAATTTTAAATGAAAACTTGAGCATTGCTCATGTTAAACTCAAGTTCGAGTTTTAGTAAAAACCTAAAGAATTGCTCCTATTATACTGAAAAATCCAAAAATTATAGGACTGCTCATTTTCAACTCAAAATGTTCGGCTTTTCAATTTGAGTTTAAGATGAGCAATCCTATGATTTTTAGAGGAAATTTGGATTTTTCAGTATAAGATGAGCAATTCTTCAGGTTTTCATTGAAAATCACAATTTTGCGGCTCAAAATGTTGCAAATTTCTCGATTTCATCAAAAAATGAGCATTGCTCATGTCAAATTCCAAATTTACCTTAACTCCTTTGGCTCCACACGCAATCCAAAGTGCATTTTCCAAATGCCGGCCATTTTTCGCGGGTTTTTTCGCTCCAACACAACCCATATGCCACATTTTCTCCACAAAACTCGCAATCACAATGGGTTGGTGCAATTTTCCATTTTCGCCCACAGACAGGGTGATCAATCGTCCGCCAATATTCACCAAAATCGTATCGATTTCTCCAAAAAATGTGGGCATCGGTGATTTTCGACCGTTTTTCATCGATTTTTCATCAGAAGGCTCCGAATTTTTCGCATTTTCCACTGGTTCCAAATTCAAATTCGTCATTTGGATCGATAGAATACAGGCTGGATGTGGAACCAATTCATTGATGCGAATTACGCTAACTATGTCGGCCGAGATTTTTGGCCAAGTGGAATTTTTCGGGTCCACGTGGCTTTGCAGTTTGAAGAGGGTGATTTGAGCATTGATATCGAAGATGGCACAAATATCGTCTCTGGAAATTGAAAATTTCAGAATTTTTTGATTTGGGCCCTAAATTTCAGGAGGAAATTCGCAAATTTCACGAATTTTGACACTGGAAAGCTTAATTTTAAGAAAAACCATTGCTCATGTTAAAAATATTATGAACTTTGACTCAGAAGCTCGAAAATTACAAAATTCCAGCCATTGCTCATATTAGAAAGCAAAAATCGTCATCTTCGGTGAGTTTTTACAAAAATTGTTGGTTTTCAGAGCATTGCTCATGTTAACCGATTTTCCAATCGAAATTTGAAATTTTTAACCTGAAATTTAGAATTTTCAGCTGATTTCAATTCAAAAATTATGCAATTTTGATGAATTTTGACTCGGAAGCTCGAAAATTACAAAATTTGAACCATTGCTCATATTAGAAACTGGAAAATCACATCTTTTCATAATTTTTAGCTTAAAATCAGCTGAAAATCCTAAATTTCAGTAATTTCAGGTTAAAAATTTCAAATTTCAATTGAAAAAACGGGTTATCATGAGCAATGCTCTGAAAACCAACATTTTCGTCAAAATTCATAAAGAATTCTCCAGAAACTAGAAGTTCAGGTCAAAATTCATCAAAAATGATGATTTTTGATTTCTAATATGAGCCATGGTTCAAAATGTGTAGTTTTTGAGCTTCTGGGGTCAAAATTAATCAAATTTCATGATTTTTCGACAAAAAACCACCCAAAAATCCAAAATTACCTGACAGTAACCATAGTAGATTTCGCCTCCAACTCAATCGTGCTCACAAATCGATTATCCAATTTTTCGGCAATCGGATAAAACGACATTATCGATTTTTCGCCATCCATTTCGACACCAATTGCACCAATCACCGAATCGCGCCAGAAAAAACAGGCCTCCGGTTATGATCAGATTTTTTTCCTGACTTTCGTTGCCGAAAATTTTCCAGCGTCGTGAACTTTGCGAATAATGGGCGAATCCGCGCTCGCCGGCTACCGCCAGGTTCGAAAAATTCGGAGATGTTGTGACGTACTGAAATTAAATTCAGGCTTTTTGGGATTTTTTGACACCAAACATGACTATTTTCTGACTAATATGAGCAATGCTCAAAAAATTTAGGATTGCTCATGTTAATCTTGAGGCTAGAAATCAAGGTTTTGGTCTAAACATGAGCAATGTTTCAAAAAAGCTTGATTTCAGATCATTTTTTAAATCTAGCTAATATGAGCAACGCTCAATTTTTTTTTTGAATCACTCATGTTACTCTTGAGGCTGGAAATCAAGTTTTTGGTTAAAAATTTGAGATTTTTAGTCTAAATTTGGATTAACTTGAGCAATGTTTCAAAACAGTTCAATTTCAGGTCCTTTCTGGTTCAAACGTCATCTAAAATGAGCAATGCTCAAAACAATCCAATTTTTCACTAAAAATCATAGGATTGCTCATTTTAAACTCAAAATATTCGGATTTTCACTGAAAATCTGGAGAATTGCTCATATTATACGGGATAATCCAAATTTTCACAAAAATTTATAGGATTGCTCATTTTAAACTCGAATTTTCAATGAAAACCTGGGCATTGCTTATGTTAAACTCAAGATTTTCGATTTTTAATGAAAACCTAAAGAATTGCTCATATTATACTGGAAAACGAGTTTTTGGTTCAAAAAATTGCGATTTTTTCGTTTTAACATGAGCAATCCTGTCGAAATTGCTCAAAATGCTCCAAATCTCAAAAACTCACTCGAAGCGGCCAATTCGCCGACAAATACTCGTGCGTCACCGTAATTCGATCCCAAACCGCATGCGGTGCACACGCGTCCGCTTCGCGTTCTCTTGCCGGACTTATGAGCACTTGAGAGTCGCTGAGCAAAACTGCTCTTGAGCAATGTTCCATGATTGGCGAAGAAGATGAAGAGGTTCGGACCATTGGCTGAACTTTTAGAGTGTTCGGACCACCAATCCAGATGTGATAGCCTGCAAAAAATGGGTTTTTAGTGCATTTTGGAGCATCTTGAGCCCAAATTCGTGCTTTTCGAAGAATTTCGACATAGGAATCCTGAATTTTAGGTTTTTTTCAAAAACTTAACATGAGCAATGCTCTGAAAACTGACAATTTTGATCTCTAACATGAGCAATGGTTCACATTTTGTAATTTTTGAGTTTCTGGGTAGAAATCCATAAAATTTCACGATTTTTGGCTTGAAATCAGCTAAAATCGCAAATTTCAATGGAAATTCACCAAAAAAACATTGGTCATGTTAAAAAAATCAGAAAACTGAAGAATTTAGATTTAACAACACAATTCCATTTTCTAATATGCGCAATAGCTCAAAATTCATCAAATTTCACATTTTTTCGGCTTGAAATCAGTCATGTTTGGTATCAAAATTCTGCAAATTTCAAAAAAATTCGAGTACTTTTCGAGCATTGCTCATGGTAAACACTCACCTTCAGGTCCCCATTCCAACTGTGTCAAGCTCCAATTTCTCTCCTCCTTCTTTTCCTCTTCTTCCTCTTCAATAACTCCTTCCAAACTACAAAATGTTTGTGCGCCGAATGGCGTGAAGACGGCCAAAAATGGCGTCAAACTCGACTTGTGCCACGTGGCAGCGAAACCGTGGCCATTTGAGGCGACTCGAATTGCGCTAACTTGACCGAGTCGATTTGTGAAGTCGGGACCATTTTTGACTTTTGGCGTGATTCGGAAGGTTTGAACAAGACCGCCCGTCATTTCGTCAATATTAAAGGCACAGATATCACCGCTGGAAAATTTTTTGAGTTTGAAATGAGCAATCCTATGATTTTTTTCGTGAAAAAATAGTTTTTTCAGTATACTATGAGCAATTCTTCAGATTTTTATTAAAAATTCGGAAATTTTTGAGTTTAAAATGAGCAATGCCTGAATTTCATGATTTTTCATGAGCAATATCCTATTTACGCTCAAATTTGAGCTAATATGAGCAATCATCAAAAAATCTCTATTTTTTAAATTTTATAACATAATAATTGATATGAAAATTGTTCGAATTCTCTAAAAATTTCAAAAACATACTATTCATAGTGAAAATTAAAGAAAATTCGACCTAGTTGACCAAGTATCTGAATTTCTGAAATTTTCAGTGAATTTGAACAATTTTGATACTGAATATGCTAGTTTTCAGTGAAAAAATCGATTTTTTGGACCTCAAGGTCGAATTTTCCAAAATTTTCACTATGAACGGTAAATTTCTGAAATATTCAAAGAATTTTGAAAAGTTTAATACTAAATATGCTAGTTTTTAGTGAAAAAATCGAATTTTTCATCAATTTTTAGACCCAAAGGTCGAATTTTTCAAATTTTCCCACAAAATTTCCCAAAACTCACTTTTGACATCCAAACATGAGCAACAAATATTTATGATTAACATCGCAACACGTGGCATCCACCAAACCATGCGCCCAAACACCCAGCACAGTGTTGGGAGCGAAATTCGGTGCCAAACTCGTCAAAAGTGCCGCTCGTCCGTCCGACAAAACAATACAGTATCCTCCGATTAAAGGCGCATATACCAGATCTTTGATGAAAATCGAGTTCGACTCGATTTTTTCGGATTTCGAGTTTTCGAGTTGATCTTGGGAGAATGGTATGGAAATTAGGCGAAATGATAGGTTTATATTGATTTGACCCGTCCAATCAATGTGATGTGTGAAACCATTTGTGAGAGTTACGATAAGTTCGTCGCGCAAAGGGACACAGCTGAAAAATGGAGGTTTAACATGAGCAATGCACGTTTTTTGGGTCAAATTTCGAGTTTTTTAGGTGATCATTTTCTGTCTAAAATGAGCAATCCTGTAATTTTCTGTGAAAAATTGGATTTTCCATATAATATGAGCAATTCTTCAGGTTTTCATGGAAAATTTGAGTTTAAAATGAGCAATCCTATTAATTTTTGTGAAAATTTGGATTTTCCGGTATAATCTGAGCAATTCTTCAGGTTTTCATGGAGAATTTGAGAATTTTGAGTTTAAAATGAGCAACCCGCAATTTTTTTCTGTAAAAAATTGCATTTTTCAGTATAATATGAGAAATTCTTTAGGTTTTCATGGAAAATTCGAGTTTAAAACGAGCAATCCCATAATTTTTTGGTAAGAAATTGGATTCTTCAGGTTTTCATGGAAAATTCAAGAATTTCAAGTTTAAAAGGAGCAATCTTGTCTAATTGCTCATGTTAATCCAAAAACTAAGGTTTTTGGCTCATTTTGAAGCTAAAATTTCATGAAAAATAGATTTTTAGCCCAAAAAATCCCACCATTTCGCCATATCCGCCAAATTTATTACAGTTTGTGTTTTGAGATTAACAATCGGCCGAGAGCCCTTCAAAAACAGCTCTTTTGCAGTCCTTTGAAAATATGGATCATTTGAATCGATGAAATTGTAGCAATTTTCATCGAATTGAATGTCCAATGAATAAATGAAGATTTGATTTCGATTTGTCTAAAAATCAACTTGAAAATGCGGTTTTTTTGAGTCCAAACATGAAAATTCACAAATTTTAGCAGATTTTCAGCCAGAAAATATGAAATATCCACTTACGGTAACTGCAATCGCTTGAGAATCCGGTCTCCAATAAACATTTCTCAATTGACCTTTGGGGTGAGCATCTCCCCAAAGATTATCATCTCGGAGTGAGCAAAGAAGAAGACGAGGCTGAAAATATCGATTTTTATTGATTTCCCAGCCAAAAACCCAACTCACATTTGCTAACCAAATATAAACTGTTTCATTCGTCGTGATCGCAATAAATTTCCTCTCTCGATTCGCACAAATCGATCGAACTTCAAAAAAATCGCCACTTTCAGCAAAGCACAAGTTTTCCTCTCGATTATGCTGAAAATTTGCGAAATTTCAAATCTGAAATCGCTCGAAACACTCACCGGCAAAAACATATCAGCTCATTTGTACCCGGAATCTATAAATGTCGCTGAAAATCGTGGTTTTTTGGCTGAAAAGGCGCGAAATTTGAAAAAATAAATCTGGCATTCACAAAAAATGCGCCAGTGTTCTGAACACTGACGAGTTTTTTGTTGACACACAAATTGTTTTCAAGGCTTTTTGAATGAATGTGAAATTGAGAAATGAACAATGCTGAATAAGAGCACGTCCACGTGGTTTCTCGCTGAAAACAGGAAAAAGAAAGAAAAATAAATAAATACCGTAATATTTTCAAGGCGCACAATAAAAACACACAGGGTCTCAAAGCGCTGTAAATGGTTTCGACACGAATACAGTATGCGAGCTTGCAATTTGGGATTTGAAAAAAACATGTTTTTTGTTTTATTTTTCGCTGAAGAACGAGCAAGATAATGGATCTCGAAAAGGAAATTTGGATACACATCTATCAGTAAGTTTCTTCTTGCTCTTTGCGACCCCAAGAATCAAGTTTTTGCAGGCAATTAATTTATCATCACAATTTCGAAGCAGTTAACGAAGATTTTTGGAATAGTTTCAAATTGGCGAATTGTTGTCAGCACACCATTGAGGATTTAAAACAATATTATGAGTCCGCTATGAAGAACAATTTGCACAAAATGAAATTGGATGGATGGATTATTTTGGATTTATATAAGTACATGAAAATTCCGATTTCGAACATCGTCCAGCCGGAAATTGAAGAAAATTTCAAAGTTGTGATCAAATTGGATGAGCAAAGAATGATGGTGGATTACGATTTTGTTCAAACAACACCTGTCAACCCAAAGCACCCAACTTTGAGTAAACGAAAGGCCACAAATCGAACAATCCAACGTCGTAAAAGTTTCACAATCAGCGACAAAGTGCAAATGGCCGAATATTTGTTTGAAAAAATGGTTAAGGCTGAAGAAGAAGGTGAGACGATCTCACCACGTGGAAATTCGATTTGGCGCAATTATCGATGTGATGTGAATGGTGGAAGAGGTGTTTATAATTATCAGAGCCAGTTAGTTTTTTTTTTTTGAAAATATTACATTTTTATATAGAAAACTTTTTCAGCTTCACTCGCCAAATGACCAAATACCTCTACACTCTTCCAATGAACCGCGAGAAAATTCTTCGAATGTACCACGGATTCCGAATCGAAGTCAATGCTAAAATGCGTCAAAAGATCGCGAAACTTTTGAAAGTCAAATTGGATATTCGTGAAAATATGATTGTTGGTTGGAAAGTTGTTGAAGGAGGAGAAGGAAAAGAGGAAAAAGAAGAAGAAAAAGAAGACGATGATAATGATGATGAAGAGGATGATGATGAAGAACAAGAAGAAGATGAGGAGGAAGATGGTAGCGGAAGCGACTAACAAATATTTTTTGTAAAAAGTATGTTTTATTGTAATGTTAATAAATTTTTGTAAAAAAAAACATTGCTCATATAAATGGGAAAAATAATTTATTCATAATTTGAAAAATAAAATCGTCGAAATAATGAAAACCACGGAAAAGTGCGGAGTTTTCGAAAAATTCTCTCGAAAATCGGAATTTTTTCGGGACGTTCGTTGATTTTTTGTGTAGATTTCGTTCAAGTCGGCGCGAGTTGCCACGTTGCAAAAATTCGATTGACAGCAGCAAAATGAGAACTGAAATTCAGGTTATAGAGTGTGCGGCATGGTTTTGGGGCGGGGCTTAGTGAAATCAATGTTCCTGGTGAAATTTGGAGAATTTTGAAACCAAGAGGCATATTTTTGCATAAACCACGCCCTCAAAACCGTGTCGCACTCACATTTCCACGCATTCCATCATAAAACCCGATTTTTTCACAAGTGCCCCGGGTTTTTGAGCAAATTTGCCTGTCTCCACCAGTATAGGCGCATCTTGATGAAATTCCCTGTTGATAAATTCCTTCTGGAAAAAAATATCTAGGATTACTGTATCGCGGCGAGACCCACCGTCATCAATTGCGGAATGGATGATGACTTTGATACAGTAAGATGCTGCGCAATTTGCAGTGTCGTTGAGATTCAAAAAATCGGTGCCTACTGAGCCCTGCAACGAAAATTTTCGAATTTTCGCCCATTGTTCCTTTCTCCCCTCCTAAGCCTAACTAACAATAAGTATTTCATAAAAAAAGAAAAAAAATTGCGCTAAAATTCAATCAAAAAATTCCCAAGGGAAAATTTTACGACTTTCTTCTCCATCCTCCAAATTTTCGCACCAAAAATTATTTATGCAAATTTTTTTGTTGCGCCAAAAATTATTATTATTATTATTGTGGGTGAAAATTGCGCAACTCAAAAAGAGTTAGGCTAATTTGAATAAATTGCGGCGAAATGTTAAAAAAATATTTTTTTTTAATTTTCGCGTGCAGAGGGATTCGAACCCGGGTCTTATGCACGGAAGTCAAAAATGCTAACCTCTCGGCCATATCTCTCTTCTCTCACGTGCACGCTGGGGAAAATGTTGGTGAAAAGGTCGCTGCTCGAAATTTTTGGCTTTAACGCGAAAATGCTGATCTATGACGTGGCAAAAAACTGAACTTACCTGAACTCGTCCCACAAATCCACTAAAACAATCAAACATCGAAAAAACTCCGGCGAAAAGTTGGAAAAATGTCAAAAAATGACAAATTCTGGGGCTTAAACCCATTTTTTTTGAGCTTCTGAGTTCCTTCAAAACAAAAAAAAATTTCGGAGCGAAAAACCTTCGAACACAAAAAAATGGGGAAAAGAAGGGAAAAATTTGATTTTCCTCACTTTTTCAAGAGTTAGGCTAAATAAAAAGGGGCGGAGCCTAAGGGGCGTGGCTCAGATTTTTATTTTTATTATCAAAATTCAATGAGCCGCGCAAAACCGTGTTTACTTTTATCTTTTTTTTTTGAAGAGTAAAATTGGTGCCAAAAAATAAAAAAGGAAAAATTAGCCAGCAAGAAAAAAGTATCGAATTTCTTTTTGAAAAAAAGAAAAAAATGTCAATATTTGAGAATTTGGCGTTAGATTCTTAAAAAATCTCATTTATTTTCAGATTTTCATACAACAATAAAAACACAATTTGTAGCCCGTAAAAATCAAGAAATGCCTATTTTAAAATATTTTCAGCTATCCAAAACTATAATTTTTTCACGTGTACAACCATCGCAAGCCGGAAGACGTATAACAATGTAGCTCGGCTCTTTTTGGTAGACCTGAAATTAAATTTTGAAAATAATTAGAGATTTGAATTTTTGAACGTGACATTTTAGGGCAAAGAAAAATTTTAAAATTTCACGGAAAACGTGACCCAATTCAAAATTTTCTATCCATCTCACAATCAGATTATTTTTCGATTATGGGAAAACAAAAAATGACCGAAATTATTTGTGAGTTTCTTGGGCACTACCGTAGTTTGGGAAGGTTCTAGAAGAATTTGACCCGCTGATCATAATTCCGTTGTAAAAAACTGCAGAAAACAATTGCTAATATGAGTTATGGGGACTTTCAGAACTAGATTTCCAAATGGTTTTCATGAAAATCTGATATCACAGTGTTGTTCAGGAGGCTAGATAACAGGTTTTTTTTTTTAATTTTGAATTTATCAGATTGCTCGAAATTCAATTCTTGAATTTTTAATGAATTAGAGGAAAAAATGTTATCTTGTCTCCTGAACAACACTGTGATATCAGATTTTCTTGAAAATCATTTTGAAATTTAGTTCTGACCTCCTAAAGTCCCCAGGAATTGTTTTCTACAGTTTTTGACAACGAAATCGTGATTAGCTGATCAAATTCTACTAGAAAACATATATTTCAAAAAAAAATCCCACTTTTTTGTCACAAATCGGGCAGCAAAAATTGGGCGGCGGTTGATGGTGCACAATCTGTTGATGATGATGATAACTTCGCTTCAAAACAGGCGGATTATCGATTTCTTCCACTTGTTGTTGATCTACTTCCTCCTGATCTACAGTAAGCGCGCGTTTTCGTGCCGAGACCAAATGTCGATGGGTTACTGTAGTGGAATTGGTGGCGGGAAGATGTTGGGGTTTTGGTTGGGCTACTGTGGATGATGACGTGGAAGCTGATGGTTGAGGAGAGTAGCTGCAACGTGTGGATTTTTGAATTTTGAAAAAAAAACGAACTTTTTTGCTCACTAAATTGAATTGTCCAATTTTCCCGGTTGGAGGAAAATTGAATTTTTTGAAACAAAACTGATTTTGATTTTTGTCGCAAAAAAGCTTACCTCTCAACTTGCTCCCCGCCTTCCGCATCCGCAACTTGCGGCAAAATCAGCTGATCCATCGTCGCGTAGCCAAATTCACCATCTTCGAACTGTATCTTGAGTTCAGAGTGTCCGCGGATGTAGCGCACGGTTGCGACGCGTACGTGGCCTTCCGCGTCGCGGATCTGCACCGTTTCACCAATCAATGCGAGGCGCGAATCGTCGCCAGTTGAATAGGAGGTGGAAGGAGTGTTTTTTGAGGGGTCTTTTCTGGAAAAATCGATAATTTTCGAAATCTTTCTAAGCAAAACTCACAAGGATATAGAGGGAAGTGTCATTTGAACCAAACTTTGCACATTTTCTTCTGTCAAATTATTCACATTTACTTTTAATTCATCGAGTTGCGCGGGAGAGAACTGAAAAATCATTTCTCATTTTGATTAATTGATTTTCGCTTCAACTCAAAAAAAAAACTAACATAGAACTCTTGATGTGAATGATCAGTGATCTTCAATCCTCCATCATCCGTCAAAATAATCGCCACCGAATTCTCATCCGGGAAAGCGTTGGCTTTAGCCATACGTTGCTCCGAAATCTGAATCAAAACCGCCAATTGTTCATCGGTCAAACTCTCCAGGTTATCCACAACAAATCCAGCCTCATACAAATCTTCTTGAGTGATAACGATTGAATTGGGATCACTTATTATATGTTGCGGGATTTCTTCCTCCAGGATTGGAAATGCGACCTCCGGTGAACTTCCGGGTGGCTCCAAAAATTGCTCCTCTTTTTCAGATTCCATTGCTAATCTGAAATACATCAATTTCCTCTTTGAAAACCCTGAAAACCACGTGAAAAAACTCGAAAAATAAAAAAAAAGTGCGCGTCGTTTGTTGGGTTGTGTTGAAACACGGCGACGCGCAATTGCACACTTTTGCTTTCCCGCCAACCCACATTTTCAAATTGTCCCCTGTTTTTTTTCGCCAAAAGTCCCGTATTTCAACTCAAACCTCTGATTTTTGCAGATGTACATCAAATCCATCGAACTTGATGGTTTCAAATCGTACGCAAAACGTCAATTAATCCAGGGATTCCACAAACAGTTCAACGCAATCACCGGTTATAATGGTTCGGGAAAATCGAATATTTTGGACGGAATTTGCTTTTTGTTGGGATTATCGAAATTGGAGAATATCAGAGCTAGTAAGAAAGATTTTCTTTGAATGTCAAAAATCGAAATTTCATGGGAATTTTTGCAGAAAACATGACAGATTTGATTTTCAAACAAGGTCAAGCTGGAGTCAATAAAGCGGTAGTTACGATAACTTTCGATAATTCTGACGAATCAAAAAGTCCAATTGGTATGAAAGACACCAAGGAAATCATCATCCGCCGGCAAATTGTTGCAGCTGGAACCGGTCGAGGTGTTTCCAGCTCATACACTTTGAATGGAATGCCAGCCACAAATAATCGGGTAGGAAACGTGGCAAATTCATTGATAATCATCAGAATTTCCTTTTTAGATTCACGATTTCTTCCGTGGAATTGGATTGAATGTGAATAATCCGCATTTTTTGATTATGCAAGGACGAATTACAAAAGTTTTGAATATGAAACCGGAAGAGGTAAGTTTTTTTTTAATTCTAGATTATCAGCAAAATAAAATTTTTCTAGATTCTTGGAATGATCGAAGAAGCTGCTGGCACAAAAATGTACGATCAAAAGCGAAAAGATACAGAAAAAACGATCTCGCAAAAAGACATGAAATTGGAAGAATGCCAGAAAATCATTGAGGAATCTCTCGATCCAAAAATTGAAAAAATGCGCGAAGATCGCAAAAATTTGATTGAAATCAATCGTTTGAAAAAAACGAAAGAAGGAATGCAAAGAAAATTGGACGCCTATGTTTATTGGCAAAATTTGAAGGGCGAAAATGAGAATCGAAAATTGGGCGAAGAAACGAAGGCGAAAATCGAGCAAAGTCGCGAGAGAATTGAGGAAATTGAGAAATTGATTGGGGAAAAAGAGAAAATGTTGGAGGATTTGGAGAATCATAAGGTTCGGCAGTTTTTTTGAGCCCAAAATAAAATTAACCTGAATTTCAGAATGATCAAGACTCAAATACAGAATTGGAAGAATCATTGAAAGCAAAAACTGAAGAAAGAGTGAATAAAGAAGTGGAAAGAGATGAAATTGCTGAACATATGAAACAAATTGAAGAAGATCGAAAAAGAAAGAAAATATCGATTGAAAAGGTAGACATTTTGAGATTTTAAATCAAATATATATTTCATTAAAAATCACGAATTCTAGTTTTTTAAGCTGAAATTCCACGTTTCCTCTTTTTTCCAGGATCAAAAATTGTTGGAAAAGAAGAAAAAAGAGCACGAAAAAATCCTATCCGACCACGATTCCGTCGATAAACAACAGAAAAAAGATCAGGAAGACGCGCAAAAATATCGATCCGAAATCGAAGCATTGACACGTGGCACAATGGCTGATGAGAATGGAGAACAAGTTTCGATTGAACAAAAAATACAGGAGAGTCGAACGGAAACTGCCGAATTGGAAGCGGCTATTAAAACTGCGCAGAATCGGTGAGCATTTTGAGAAATTCTGGAAATTTTGAGCTAGAAAAATCTGCTCATAGTGAAAATTGAAGAAAATTCGAGCTAGAAATCCAAAAATTTATGAAAAATCCAAATTTTCACTGAAAACAGCATATTTGGTATCAAAAAATTCCGAAAATTTTGAAAATTTTACCTGAAAATTTCCAATTTTGCAGCCAAACCCGACTTCGTCCACGAATTCAAGATCTCACAAAAAATGTGGATCGCCTCAAAAAACAAAACACCAGCGAAATGTCGGACATCAAATCGCGAGAGCTCGAAGTGCAAAAAGCCACAGAACAACTCAAAAAATTGAAATTCGACGAGGAACACGAGGCTCAGATCAAGGATCGTGTTCAGATTTTGCAGCGCGAAACACAGGATTTGGATCAAAGATGTCAGAAATTGATTCGGACTGCGCAGTGAGTATTCTGTTGTCAAAAAATGTAGAAAACAATTCCTGGGGACTTAGGAGGACAGAACTAGATTTCAAAATGGTTTTCATGAAAATCTGATATCACAGTGTTGTTCAGGAGGCTAGATAACATGTTTTTCTAAATTTTGAATTTATCAGATTGCTCAGATTAGGAGCTGTAATTCATTAAAAAATTCAAGAATTGAATTAAGGTTCTATTGAATTTTTAAATCCTGATCTGAGCAATCTGAAAATTTCAAACTTCAGAAAAACCTTCTGTACTTATGTTATCTTGTCTCCTGAACAACGCTGTGATATCAGATTTTCATGAAAATCATTTTGAAATCCAGTTCTGACCTCCTAAAGTCCCCATAACTCATATTAGGAATTGTTTTCTACAGTTTTTGACAATGGAAACTACTAGATCTCGATTTCAAGATTCTTCAAAACAATTCTGATATTTTCAGCAAAGGTCGTTACGATTTCGTATTTCGTGATCCACCGATTCCAAATTTCGATAGAGCTCGAGATGTTCGGGGTACGGTAGCCACGTTGTTCAAGGTCAAACCAAGTGAGGAGAAGTATAATTTTGCGGTGGAAATTGCGTGTGGAAATTTTGTGAGTTTTATTTTTTTTTGCTCAAAAAATATGCTCGAAAACTGATTTTCTGATAGTAAAATTTTCAGAATCGCTTGATTTTTGAGAAAAATTGAATTTTTTACTGAAAACTAGCATATTTGGTATCAAAATTCTTCAAATTCCATGAAACTTTCAAAATTTCAGCCTCTGAAACTGTATTTTCCAGCTCCAACAAGTTGTTGTCTCAAATCAAAACATTGCGCGAAGTATGGTTGAACATCGAGTTTTTGTCAATCGAAAAACGTTGATGCCAATTGCGGAAACCCGGAAAAAATCGCCACATTGGCAAGCGAGACTCGAATCCAATCGATTTCAACACGCCAAGCAGATTGTGAGTTTTTTTAGGGTTAACTTTGATGAAATTGGTGAATTTTGAGCCCGGAATTAAGCTGTATTTAAAATTGGGCTCAAAATGAACCAAAATTCATGTTTTATGACCGAAACCCCCTTATTTTTGAGCTGAAAATGACCTGAAATTAATTTCAGGCCGACAAACATAAAGAAGAAGTGAAACATATGATTGATTTGATCGATTTTCCGCCAGAATTGACGATTATCATGGAGAATTTGTTTGGAAGCGTGAGTTATGACGTGGCAATGCACACAATTTCGATTTTTTGCAGATTCTCGTCACCACCTCGTTGACATGTGCCAAAGAAATTGCCTATCATCCAAAGATTCGAACTCGAGTGGTTACTGAAAGAGGTACGGTGTTTTTTTTTGGCTGAAAATTTCAGATTTTTGGTGGATTTTAGCCTAACTAGGGAGCTGAAATTGAGATTTTTTATAAGTTGTTTAGTAGACTTTGATGTGCTGATCACGATTTTGTTGTTGAAAACTGTAGAAAATAATTTCTAGAATGAGTTATGACGTGTTAAAATTTGGATTAAAATGAGCAATGCTCGAATTCTTACAAAAATCTAGAATTTTCCGGTTAACATGAGCAATGTCCCACTTTTCCAATAAACTAGAATTTTCCGAAAATTCTGAATTTTCTGGTTAACATGAGCAATGCTCAACTTTTTGGAATTTTTCTGAACATGTTGAAATAGAGATTCAAGTGTAATATTTATTAGTTTCAACGAATTAAGGCAATATTAAGGCACAAATAAATGAATACAAAAAATACATTTAAATTCAAAGTTCCAATCGATATTCTCCAAGCAATTTGCGATATCTCTCCATGAATTCTTGACTCGGAAATTCGTCGATATTTTCTTCTTTTTCTCCATTTTCTCCCCGATTTTCTCGAATTCGTCTAACTTCCCTTCGAATTTTCTTCAAATAGTCATCATAATTCTCATCAAAATCATCAACTTGTTTTTTCAATTTTCGAGCTTCGCTTGAATTTGGAGATCGTCGAAGAATTTCGTTCAAATTCGCACTGATTCCATCGATTATATCATCATAATCAGTTCTCAGAATTTGTTCCAAGTTTTTCAATTTTTCTTGCGATTTTGAAGCACTTTTCATCGATTTCAGTCTCTCCAATCCTTCTTCAAACCATTTTTCGAATTCTTCCAGATTTCCAGTTGTTTCATTGTTGTTTTTCAATCTTTCAAACTCTTGGGTTACTTTAGCTAAGTCATCTTTAGTTTGTTCCAAACTTCCAGAAAGTCTACAAAAATATTCAGAAACTATGCATAATTCTATGCTCAAAATCTCACCGTTTCAGCTCATTTTCAGCCGTCGATTGTGCAATTTCAGATTTGCTCAAATTCTCAGCAAGTTGAGCATTTTCTTCTCGAGACCTTCTCAATTCATTTTCAACCGCCAATTTGGAATTTTTCAAATTTTCAGCAAGTTTTCCATTTTCCTCTTGAGACCTTCTCAATTCATTTTCAACTGCCAATTTGGAATTTTCCGAATTTTTCAAATTTTCAGCAAGTTTTGCATTTTCCTCTTGAGATCTGTTTGAAAATTGATTATTGAAAGATTTTTTTTCAAAAAAAAACTCACTTTTTCAGTTCATTTTCAGCTGCCAATTTTGCGCTTTCAGAATTTTTCAAATTTTCAGCAAGTTTTGCGTTTTCCTCTTGAGATCTGTTTGAAAATTGATTATTGAAAGATTTTTTTTTCAAAAAAAAAAACTCACTTTTTCAGTTCATTTTCAGCCGACAATTTTGCGCTTTCAGAATTTTTCAAATCTTCTTGGAACCTGGAAAAAATGACATTTTTTGAGCAAGAAATTGTGAATTCTGAGCCAAGATACCCCAAAATTCAAAATTAGTATTAATTACAGGTTGTATTGATTACAGGTTAAAACTTGTGATTTTTGGATTATTTTTGAAGTGTGAGGTATCTTGGCTCTCAAAATGCACAATTTCTTGCTCAAAAACATAAAAATATCATTTACTCACCGTCTTTTCTGATTCTCAAGCTCTTTTCTCAAACTTTTCAATATTTCGGATAATTTCGATTTCTCATTTTTAGACTCTTCCAATTCTTTTCGTATTTTCTCCAAATCTTCCAATTTTTCTGTTTTGATTTCTGTCGGTTTTTGATTTTTTCGAATATTATTCACTTCAATCATCTCTTCCTCTTCAATTTCTTGAAACAACATTCTTTGCATCTCATCAAGTTTATAAACTTTCAATTTTTTGAACATCAATCCCAATTTCTGATCCTCTTTTGTCTCATACAAATGATCGATACATCTCATCAATCTTCTCATTTCTTCGTCATCCTCAAAAATACTCTTCAAAATATTCCACAATTTAACACTGAAAAAATCTCGAAAATGCTCCTCGATTGTAGTTTTGAACTCCCTAATCGGTCGAAATTCTTCATTTGAAAAATAAGCGAGAGTTTGTGGACTGAATCCGAGAATTTGATTTGCTGCCGCATCGAAATCTTTTGTAGTTATCTTCTTTTTATCCGGATTTTTATTATCTACAACTTCCAATCGTTTCGATTTCAAAAATCCCTTTTTGAAACATGAGAATTCTTCGTCTTTTTTCACTTTTGGAGCAGATATTGAAGGTTGAGGTTCTTGTAAATATGATCCATCTGGAACAATTATTGCACTTTGTCCATCGCTATCCGCAAAAATCGCAAGTTGACTTGTAATAAATCGCATAAACGCCATATTTTGATTATTAATTGTCGTAACAACAAAATTATGATATATTTCATAAATATCGTGATAAACGAATGGACATCCCGGCTCGTCTAAATTTTGGTAGAAAGTTTCGAAAAGTTGGGCATTGAACTGAATGTTTGATCCGAGCAGTTTTCGAACATGGTTCAAAACTTCAGATTTTGTGTATTGAACTGCATCGGGAACCTGGTAAAATGGTTGATTTGTAATATAAATCGACAAATCTTGTCTAGCTTGATTGATTATTTCTCTGATTTTCCAAGTTTCGATAAGATATCGATATTTTTTTTCCGAAAATAAATGAGTCAAATTCACATTTATCCAATCGTAGATCTTTGGCAATTGATCTTTTTTGCAACGTTGAAAAACTTTAAGAATCTTGCTAAGATATTGCATAATTTCACGGAATGCATCATCGGAAAACATGCAATGTTTGCCATAAGTTGAAATTATTGGAAGATATCCGCCGTGGATTTTTGGTTGAATTGGAGCGACGACAATCTGAAGGGTTATAGGTGAACATCGACTAAATCGGGTTGATATTTTGGGTTTTGATGTTACCAGAAGGTCTCCGCCGGCTAACGCCGGCTCCTCCTTCTGGATTGTCCCGGCTTCGCGCGTAGTTTTTCTTAGGTATAAAGTTTTCAAATGGTTTGATTCCTGAAAACCGTGCCCATTGAAAAAAGGTGGAATGGTGGTTCCTGGGACGTGCAAACTTGAACTAACTTTCTCCTCCGTATTTTTCAACTATAAAAATAATTTGCAGACATAGCTCATTCTGAAAACTGTTGCGGAAAAATGTTTCCCTGAAATCTGATTTTTCTAATTTTGAAGTTCAGAAAGCAAAAACACAGAATCTACGGATTCGATACAGAAATTTGATAGAAAAACATTTGGATCTGAACTGAACTTTTAAGGGGGAAAAGAGGGGTTATGAAAAAGATGGGGTTCAGAACCTGAAGGCTTGGATTTAGGAAAAAGTAAGAAATTGAACATCTAATTATATAGTTTTCCAAACCTCTCTTTTCCGTCAATACTCCTTATTGCTTCTGAAAACCCCTATTTTTTCCAAAACCCTTATTCTGATCGAAAAGTCACAGAGTAATTTACTATCCAAAAAAATTTCACGCAGATTTAGAGGAAAATTATCGAAAAATTTGAAGTCTATTTGGGGCAGTGAATACGGTGACACCCTTTTTTTTGTACAATCTTATTTTCTTATTCAAATCCAAATTTTCTACGTCTCAAAAACTAAACCACAACATTTGGAGAAACTGTTCCAAAAATCTATATTCAGAGAGCTGAGAAATGCAACAGCCAATGGTTGTCCGAAAGTTATCTAACATGTTATTTATTCTGTTGGTTCTCTGCCTTATTTTCTGAGTAAGCTTCTATGTTCCATCCGAAATTTTTGGAGCCGTGGAAGATAAAACCAACAGTCAGTAAACTCTGCCGCCCTTTGTTTACTTTCATTGGAAGAGTTTTCTCGGTCATATCTGTTCTCTTCCAAGGCTCACAAAATTTCGGATTGACAATAATTGTTTGAGCTTAACTGAATTGATACTCCCAGACACATCAAAACTCACTATCAAAAATTCACATCAAAGTATTTGTTCATCTTCTTGTAAAAGACATTATTCAATATCTGAAAGTTCGAACAAATTGTGAATTTATCCACAGTAATCTAACTCACTTTTTTTCTATTTATTTTTCAAACCGATTAGGAATAGAGTAACAGCGAGAAATGATTAAAAATGTCCCCCCTCTATGAATGAAATAGAAAGATCAGATAAGAGACGTGACCTAGCCATTTTTTCCGATAAAAAACGTGATCATTCTTTTTTACTTGAAAAAAGTTTTGATTTTACACGCGACAACTTGCGCACTTTTGAAATATTTCAAATATCGTGCATCATCTACGAAGAATTTGAAACATATCGTTCCAAGTCTCATTCAAAACGGTCTTCTAGAAATTGAGTTACGGTCGGCGACACATTTTTATTTTCAAAAATACATTGAATTTCAGGAGTTTTTTCAGTTAAAACTTTCCCCGCGCACTACATAGAATTATTTTTGAACTTGATAGAGCTCCCCACCATGCTGCCAAAATTTGGAATCTTTTTCATTTTTTAACCGAAACTTTTCATGCAGTGGGAGTTGAGAACGGGCTCCGGACATACGCACCTCTTAAAAAGCAGTTTCCAATTAGTATATAGTAGATTCATGGGATAGACCTAAGACAATGCTATCAATTTTTATGACTTTACCTTATCCTTAAGTGATTTAGCCTATATTTTGTAAATAAGCCGCTAAATCACTTAAGGATAAAGTAAACATCAAAACCTAAAATATCAACTTTTTTGCTCAAAAACTGAACTTACATTCAAATCTTTCGGTGTCAATCCAAGAATTTCAATAGTTCTATAGAACACGTCGATTTTCATGGCATTCAATATTCCAAGTTTTCTATCATCCTCACTTTCATAATTGAGCAATCGGGCGCATTCTTTTTCCGGATACTTTTTCCTGGTCGCTATAATCAATGCATTTTCCGCCTCTTTTGCTAACACAAATTTGAATTGATTTTCGGTAAACACACGGACTATTGGATATTCTCCAAGAGAAGTTCGTGGACTCAAGAGACTTTCGTATTTGCGCATTTTTTGGATTGTTCCAAGAATATTTTGATATTGTTCCATGTACCATTCTTGATTTTTTTCGATCGGTTTCACTTTATTCCAGTTTTCGAAAATGCTCATTAGAATATTGAATGAAGTGTCAGATTTGGTGTAGTATTTTCGAAGATCTTCGAAATCTTCTCGAGAAATTCCTTTATCGTTTCCTTCAACTGGTTCTTTTCCAATTAAAATAGTCAAATATTCCCTCTGAGATTCGAGTTGAAAAGTTCCTTCCAATTTTTGATATTTCTCATAGGCAAACATGTGTACATATTCGCTACAAAACATTGGAGATAGATTTGTAGTGCGATCAAATAAAATCGGATGCTCAAAATATTTCTGCAGTGATTGGCACATGTCTTGTTTTGACATGAATGTGACATTACTTTGATTCTCATCCGAATACGCAAACGCTAAATCCAGATTTAATTGATTTTTGAAGTCCTCGTAGGATATTTTTGGATCTTTGTGGAGTTCGGGCACTTTTCGAAGATCCATTAAAATCTGCTCGAATTGTTGCGGAAGTCCATAGTAGAGCATTTTTTGCGGCCATTCTTGGTATAAATAATCCATGAAGTTTTGTAAATCAAGGACGCTTCCCTTGAAATCGTCGATTTTTATATCAGGAAACATCTGGAAGATGAACATTTCTGCCAAAGTTTTCGAAAGCCGCGAGTGTAGACCGCAAGCTTCCGCGTTAGCGGCGGATTGCCAAAATATGTTTCCACGGTATTGAGTGCCGCTTACGCGGAAGCTTGCGGTACAACTAACCTCTTCGTGCACGATTTCTTTCATACATCTCACGATTTTCTCAATAGTCCACTCTATATCCATCATTGTTTCTTTCTGCGCCTGGAATATAAACAATTTTGCTCGGAGCTTCGAGAGAATTACACAAAGTGTGGCCGAAGATTTCGAAAATCTTCGGCCCCACGCTTTGTTGTAATGTTTATTGCTCATGTTAATTGAAAATGTTGATAAAATCGGAAACGGTTGAGAAAATGCTCATCTCGGCGTGATAAGATAATAAACTTGAATAGTTGCATCAGACGCGCAAAAATTGCACACAAAATGCGTCAATAATTGAAAGGTTGGCGCATTTTGTGTGTGTTTGGAAATGAATTGAGATTAGGGTGATTACAAATCAGTGGTTTTCCAAATTTTCCACATCAAAACTCATATTAGAAGTTGAGATTTGCAAATTTTAACTGCGAACTACTACAAAACATAAATTTCAAAAAAAATCAATTTGTTGCAGGAGACGATGTGAAACCGAATGGTGTAATGGCTGGTGGACATACTGATCGATCAGAGGGATCAGTTTTCACATCATTGCGACCACTTCACGAATGGAGAGAGGAATTGGAGCAAAAACGACGCGAATTGGTGGAATTGACGGGTAAATTTTGATTTGCACAGTATTTTTTGTAAAAAATGATTAATTTTGACCCGAAAATCGTGATTTAAACCCGAGCAATGTTCTCATTTTCTGAAAATTAGACTGAGAAATGCCTTATTTTCCAAAAATCTAGAGGTTTTAGGTTAACATGAGCAATCCTTAAATTTTTCAAAAAATTGTTTTTTTTTACTGAAAATTCAGATTAACATGAGCAATGCTTTTAATTTTCAAAAATCCATAATTTTCTGGTTAACATGAGCAATGCCCTTATTTATAATTTTTAACCAAAAATTGAGAGCCCATCAGGTTCAAAATTTATGTATTTTTTCCAGCCGAAATCGAAAAAACGGCCGAAATTTCTCGAAAATGGCACGAATTGAAAGAGGTTCTAACAACTGCTCAAAGACGATTGAATGCAATCAATGAGAATCTGAAGAATTCCGAACTTGGAGTTGTGCAAAATGAATTGGAGCAAGCGAAAAAGGTTAGTAATTTTTCGTCAAAAATAGAGGATTTTGAACTGAAATTCGGAATTTTCAGGTAAAAATTATGAAAAATAAACTCAGGAGCTTGAAAAATGCGATTTTTAAAAGAAAGTTGATTGAAAACAGCAAACGCGCTCTATTGAACTTTTAGCTTTTTGTTGAAAAATTCAAATTTGCTTTTTTTTTTCAAATTTCAAACTTCACGGTATTTTGAGTCGAAAATCTAAAAATGTCAAATTCTAGGCTAATTTTCAGCCGAAAATCTCAAATTTCACCTCAAAACTGGCCAAAATCCACCCGAAACCCCTAATTTTCCCAAATTTCCAGGAACTCGAAGAAGTAACCGTCGAAGTTGCTGATAAAAAGAAGCGTTTCGATGAAATTGGAATAATAGTCAAAGAATTGGAAAGTCGCAAGAAAAATGATAAAGGATTTCAAGAGAAGGAGAAGAAAAAATTGCGAGAAAAATTGGATGAAATTGAGCAAAGATCGGCGAAAAATAAGGATAATCGAGAATCGGCGAGTCGAAATATTTTGGCGAAAAAAGCGGAAGTCGATGAGTTGACTGAACAAATTCGACTGGATTTGGAGAATTTGGAAGCGAAATTGGTGGAATTGGAAAATAAGAAGAAGGATTTGGAGGACAAAGGAAAAGAAGTTGAGGAGGCGTTGGTGAGCAATTTTTTGTTGCAAAAATCATTAAAAAATGGTAGATTTTGAGCTGAAATAGCTGAAAATTCATGAAAATTGACCTGAAATAGGCTGGGGACTAGTTTTGGTTTTCTAGGCCACCAAAAATCATGTTTTTCGGTCTGATATGGCCCCGGGACTAGTTTTTCACCAATTTGGTTTTCTAGGCCACCAAAAATCATATTTTTCGGTCTAAAACAGGCTAGGGACTAGTTTTTCACTGGTTTTCTAGGCCGCGAAAATTCCAATTTTCCACAAAATTCGGCCAGAAATCAGGTTTTTAGTCACAAAATGAGAATTGTAATACAAATTTGAGCATTGCTCATGTTAAGCACAATTTTTGAACAAAAATTTTATTTTTTGAAAATTTCTAGCATTGCTCATGTTAACCTGAAATTTTTAAAAAAAAAACCCATTTTCTCTTTAGAAAAACGAAAAAGTTGTTCGAGATGAGCTGGATTCGCTGAAACGAAAAGTTCGCCAACAAGACGAAGAAATGAAAAAAGTGATGAAAATGGTGGATTCGCACAAACGGGAAAAACTGAAAATTGTGAGTTTCAGCCAAATTTTGCGGTTTTTCTGACTGGAAATTTCAAAAGTTGAGAAAATTTGCGATTTTTGAGTCCAAACATGCTTTGGTTTAAAAAATTGTGAATTTTTACTGATTTTCAGCAAAATTTTGGGTTTTCAGACATCGAATATTGAAAATTTCGAAAAAGAAGTTCAAAGATATGTGGAATGCGAAAAATTGTGCAAAACGGCGGCGCTGAAGCAAAAAAAGCGGTGTGAATGGATCGATCAGGAAGAGCAACATTTTGGAAAGAAAAATACGGAATATGATTTTGATGGGTGAGTTTTTGAGCTGAAAATTGTGAAAAATGACCTAAAATTGACCGGGGGACTAGTTTTGGATTTTTAGGCCACCAAAAATTGAAAATAAGGTTGTTTTTGATGAAAATTGACCGGAGGTCTAGTTTTGGTTTTCTAGGCCACCCGAAAATGGCAAAAATTGAATTTTCTTCCAGATTTTCCGAAGAACGCGGACAAAATAACATCAAAGAGATCTCATCAAATCTCGAAGCTATGGAGCGAAAAATCAACACCAAAGCCAGTCAAAATTTCGATGCTGTTGAGGCGAAGGTAAAAATTATTAAATTTGTGCTCTACTCGATTTTTCGCGCTGAAATTCGGCGCATTTTGAGTTATTTTTCGTTGAATTAGGGCTACTATGAGCAATGGTGTTAAAATTTTGAATTTTTTTGCAAAAAAACCACGTGGATTTTCGATAGCTCAAAATCCACGTGTTTTCTCTGCTCTCTCTCAAAAATCTACCATCTTTCACCTCTAATCTATTTCTCTGCACTCTCTCAATTTCCCTCACTATTTCCTCTATTTTTCCAGCTACAAGACATCAAAGTGAAAAGAGGCCGTGTTCAACAAGACCGAACAACCCTATTGCGAACAATCAATGTGTTGGACGAGAAAAAAGTGGAAGAGATAGAAAAGGCGTATAAATCGGTCAATTCGGTGAGTGCTTGTGTGACCGAGTGGATAGCGCGCGTGTCTGCGAAACAGAGGGCTGCGGGATCGACCCCCGCCCGGCCCTATTTTGTCTGTGTGTCAATGATGCTTCAAAAATACTACGATTTAATTTGAATGACCAGTGAGATCAAAGATGGCCTGTAGCAGGGTCACTGAGACACTTTTTAGCTGGAATTTCAGGTTTTTGGCTTTTTTTTATCTGAAATCAATATTTTTCCAGGATTTTGGCAATATTTTCTCAACCTTGCTTCCTGGAGCCCATGCACAATTGGTTCCATTGGAGGGAAAAAGTGTTTTGGAAGGTGTGGAAGTTCGTGTATCTTTTAATGGACAATGGAAAGAAAGTTTGCAGGAATTGTCTGGAGGTTAGTTTTGGGTTTAAATTTGGGAAATTTTATGGGGTTTTGTGCAAAAAATGATCAAATTTCCAGGTCAACGTTCTTTGGTGGCACTTTCGTTAATCTTAGCAATGCTCAAATTCAAACCTGCTCCATTGTACATTTTGGATGAAGTTGACGCTGCGCTGGATTTATCGCATACAGCAAATATTGGAAAAATGATTAAGACACATTTTACGAATAGTCAGGTAGGGGTTTTGAGCCTGGGAGCTGAAAATTTCAGCAAAAATTGACCGAGAAACTTGATTTTTTCGCATTTTAAAGGAACCTTTTTGCAGTTCGTCGTTGTTTCGCTGAAAGAAGGAATGTTCAGCAATGCGGATGTTCTTTTTCAAACCAAATTTGTGGATGGAACTTCGACTGTCAGAAGAACCGAAAATCATCAATTAACCTAATTTCAAACTATTTTTGAACTACAGTACTACGAGGAGTACTGTAGATTAATTTTTTGATCTCCTATATTTATGTAAAATTGCATTTTTTTTAACTGATGAAAATATTTGATTTTTGTGACGTGGCTATATTTTTCTATTCTTGTGATTCCTAGCGCATAATATCAAATAAGCAATATTGTAAATCGATACTTCCCAAAACTCGTCCACCACAATAATTTAGGCCACGCCCACACGCTATGGTGTCAAGGTGTGCATGTTTTTCCCGCCAATTATTTAGGTGTTTTTTTCAGGTTTTTCATGTAAATTGCGAATTTCAGCTTTAAAAAATGGATAATTGGAGACGAAAATCGGCTCAAACTGTTTCAACAACAAGAGATCCAAGTGCTGAATTATTTATTGTAGTAGTAGTTCTCGTTTGGTTGCTCATTTTGTTGTTTCCACGACAAACAACGAATCAAGAAATGCAATTAATCACCATTTTATTCTTCCTCATGGCATTTTGCTCGTAAGTTTTCTTATTTTTGAAACATTCATGAAATTTGGAGCATTTTTGAACTGAAATATGGCTAAAACATAGTTTTTTCATAATATGAGCAATGTTTAGAGTCGAAAATAGCAATTTTTAAAATGAATCTATAATCTGAGCAATGCCTGAAACTCACAATTTTTGCTCAAAAATAAAACATTTTATTATCGAAAATCTCATCGGTACCACGCGCTCCACCGAAATAAACACGCAACGCAGACCGCGTCGCGCCACAACACACACAAAAAAGGGAGGGAATTTGAATCGTTATCTTATCTGTGTGTGTTGTGGCGCGGCGCGGTCTGCGTTGCGTGTTTATTTCGGTGGAGCGCGTGGTACCGATGAGATTTTCGATAATACGGTTAAATTGGAATTTCCGCAAAAAACCCAACGAAGGCTCAAAAAATCGAGGCATTGCTCATATTACTCGAAAAATCCATTTTCGCGCTGAAAATATGAGATTTACACTCAAAAAATCGCAAATTTTAAGCAAAATCTCAAAATTTTGCAGAAATCCTCGAAATACCCGACAAATGTCTCGTCGTCAACTCGATCTCGTTGAGGAAATAATTTCTCTTATGATAATGATTGTACAAATGCTTCTGATTGAAAGAAATCAGCAACAAACACTTGCTATTGAACAATAAATTTGATTTTTTGTTGTTTTTATATGACAAATCATGATCCGAAAATCATCAATTAACCTAATTTTAAACTATTTTTGAACTACAGTACCACCTGAACTACAAGGAGTACTGTAGATGATTTTTTTGATCTCCTATATTTATGTAAAATTGCATTTTTAACTGATGAAAATATTTGATTTTTGTGACGTGGCTTTATTTTTGATACTTTTGATGTCAGCGCATAACGCATCGTTTTTTTTTGTTCAAAAATTTACTACTGTAGCCTCATAGGTTTTATTTTGCGAATTTTCAGCCAAAAATGGATAATTGCAGGCATGTTCATTTCGCCGGCGAACGCCGGGCGTCGCCTTTTTTATTGAGGCGAAGGCGAGGCGTGCCTCTTTTTATTTTTCAACGAACAAGGCGAGGCGAGGCGTCGCCCGGCGATTCGCCGGGCGAGTTGCATTTTGCAAGTGAGAATATATTAAATTTTCTTCGATTTTTTCGTAAATTCGGTTGTCGGCGGGGTTTCAGCTACCTATTAGCAACATTTTCAATCAAGATTTTGCTTTAGTTTTCACTAAAACGTAAATATGGAAAAGAAACAGCTATTTTTAGATGGAAAACATATCGTTCAAATGTTCTCATGTAACTGTAAGGCGATATATTTTTATTTCTAAGCTTACAAAAACATTTTGCTGAAATTGAATGTTTATAAATACAGTTTTTCACAAATTGGGTAAAAAAACTAGGTTTTCAGTGAAAATGACTCTTTTCTTCACTTCTTTAACCTTAATAATGTGTTTCAGAAGAAATCTTAGCACATAACGTTAAAATATGAGTGAAATTATGCCGATTAATCGTTTTTTATGCAAATAAATTACGTTTCTTCATGAAACAGACAACACACACGCGTTTTCTCGCCGCGGCGAAAGCAGGCGAAGGCGAGGCGTGCTTTTTTTATTTTTTCAAATCGCAGGCGAGGCGAGGCACGCCTGCACAAATCTTCGCCGGGCGAAAAGCAGGCAAGCAAAATGAACATGCCTGGATAATTGGAGACGAAAATCGGATCAAACTGTTGCAACAAGAAGAGATCCAAGTGCCGAATTATTTATTGTAGTAGTAGTTCTCGTTTGGTTGCTCATTTTGTTGTTTCCAAGACAAACAACGAATCAAGAAATGCAATTAATCACCATTTTATTCTTCCTCATGGCATTTTGCTCGTAAGTTTTCTTATTTTTGAAATATTCATGAAATTTGGAGCATTTTTGAGCTGAAATATGGCTAAAACATAGTTTTTTCATAATATGAGCAATGCTATAGCACACTATAGTGTTTAGACTCGAAAATAGCAAATTTTAAAATGAATCTATAACCTGAGCAATGCCTGAGCGTTTAATTAGTATCAGCAATGTTCTTCGAAAATAGGGTTTTTCATGAAATTTGGAGCATTTTGAGTCGAAATATGGCGAGAGAACATCATTTTTATAATATGAGCAATGCTGCAAAATCTCAAATTTTGCAGAAATCCTCGAAACACTCAACAAATTCCACGTCGTCAACTCGATAAAATTGAGGAAATAATTTCTCTTATGATATTGATTGTACAAATTCTTTTGATTGAAAGAAATCAGCAACAAACACTTGCTATTGAACAATAAATTTGATTTTTTGTTGTTTTTATATGACAAATCATGATTTTAGACTTATAAATATTCATAAATTAAAATAAAAATACATAATTAATTTTCTCATCGAAAAACAACAGTTCTTAGCACATCTTCGGGTTTCACTTCCATTTTTGCCTCAGATCCATCATTAAATCGATATGAGATTGCACCGTCGATGACTAAATGCGCATCGTATCCACGTGATTTTATACAAATTTTATCGGCGAATCCACGTGGATTTGTGGGCGGGAAAGTGGCATTGAAGATTGGATCACGAACTGTGAAGGCGAGTTCTGCAAAAATTGGAATTTTCTTCAAAATTTGGAGCATTTTGATACATGATAAACCTAACTTTCGAATTTTTCTTCAAAATTTTGATAATTGTTTCGAAACTGAATTTCCCGTCAAATTCAAGCCCCGGCACATTTATATTCAAAATGCTCCAAATCATATCGCGAAAAAAACTCACGTTTCCGATCGGGGTCAAAAATGAGTTGCTGATTGAATTTCGTGCAAATCTCGCTGACCGCATTTTTGTCATCGGCCGGAATTTGAACGTGATATTCTTTGGAAATTATTCGCATCAAATCCTGTACACATTGTTCGGTGAGTTTGTTTATATTGAAATGCCATGAAGTTGAACCGGTTCCTGTGGAAAAATCGATAATTTTTTGGGGGAAAGGGGTACTGTAAAATAAGCCACGCCCACAAAACCGTGCCGCATCAAATTTAGGCTTAAAATGATGCAAATTTGACCAGGAAAAATAAACCACGCCCCAAAAAGCATGCCGCATTCAAAAAATCCAACCTGTACATATCGTGATTCCCGAACTCTTCTGCTTCACCATTCTCTCGTCATTTAGGCCAATTTCATAGTAGGAAACACGTGAGGAGAGACTTTCGCCGACAAAAACTTCGTTGAGAGCCAAAACTGGCAATTCGGCAGTTTCCAGAACTCGTTCCTCACTCAAATCGTCCGATGAGATTGTTCGTTTTTTTCTGGATAACAATTGAGGGTTTTTGGGGATCAGGATAATGTTCGGCTCATTTTTTGGAGCATTTTGAGCTCGAATATGGAATATTAGAGGCTCCGCCATTTTTTGAAAAAAAGGCACAGTTTTTGGAGCATTTTGAGCTCGAATACGGTATGAAATAGGCTCCGCCCCTTTTTGCAAAAAAGAACATCGTTTTTGGAGCGTTTTGAGCTTGAATACGGTATGAAATAGGCTCCGCCCCTTTCTGCAAAAAAAAAACAGTTTTTGGAGCATTTTGAGCCCGAATACTGTATGCAATAGGCTCCGCCCCTTCTTGCAATGTCAGGCACAGTTTTCCTATCATATTTAGTCTCAAAATGCTCCAAATTCCTCAAAGCTCCGCCCCTTTTTGCAAAAACCCTGGCACAAAAAACTCACAACGGCGGCGAAAGTGCCATACATTCTTCCTGATCCGCTGCGGGACAACGTGGATTATCTGTCCAGCGAGTCGTCGATGGATCGCGATTCAGTTGTTGATCGTGAAGTTCGATGGCGTCACCGATTCCAGCCTCGCCAGTCACAGTTATTCGAATTCGCTGGCGATAGAGCCATCTGCAAAATTTTTGGTTGCCACGTGGATATGTGTATTTGCAAAAGATTTCATCATTTTTGATATGAAAAATATTATAAGAACCGGATTATATCATCAATCAAACTAGACACTTTTCGAAAACATCACTTTTTGATCGAAAAAATGATGAAAATTTAAAAAAAATTCACTAGCGGGATCGAACCCGCGACCTATTACTCAATAGAAAAATTTTGAATTTTTCAATTTTCGCGGTAAAAAAGGGGGTGTAAACACGGAGTGTCGTAACAATGATCATTTTTGGTGTCTAACGACGTGATTTTCGAAATTTCACACACTTTAAACGCGGAGCATCGTTTAAAATTCGAAATATAGCAAGTCTGGTGTCTAACGACGTGATTTTCGAAATTTCACGAAGTGTAAACGCGGAGCATCGTTTAAATAGCATGTTTAGTATCAAAATGTCAACGCGGAGCATCGTACTCACTCGAAATCTCCGCTAAAAAGTCGTCTGAGCGCGGCTGCCAAATTCTCCTCGGGCAATTTTCGCATCAGACACATATATCCCTCACTTCCACTCGGATCCGTATTGATTCCAATCACCGGCTTATTTTTTGTCTTCACTTTACTGCTGGCCATCAAAAATGTGCCATCACCGCCCGCCGAAAATACAGCATCAGCCCAATCGACAGCTTCTTGAGTGTAGCCGAACCTTCGGACTAATCGAGATTCGATTCCAGCGTTTCTGTAAAAGCGTGGTGTAAACACGGAGCATCGTTTGAACACTTACTTCAACTCATTTTGTAGGGTGTTTAGGTAGCTATGATGAATTTTGTGTTTTTCGAGTAGACGATTGTAGTCACTGCCACGTTTTCGGAGCTGTAAATGCGGAGTGTCGTTTGGTATAAAAATGCTCGCCTTGACCCGTAGATCAAAAATATCGCGTCAACGCGGAGTGTCGTTGTAAAAAAACTCACAATTCCCGCCAATTGTGCATCATCGCATCCTTTATTGACTTTCTTCTCGAATTCATATCTCGTCAGTTTCGACAAAATCAGGACTTTTTTCGGGCGGAATTCGGGGGCCTAGAATTTCTTGTTGGAAAATTAGGTCGTGGCCTAGGAAATTCGCTCACCTCCATATTTCCAAATGTTCGTTTTGACACGGTGTTTTGCGTTTGATAGAGGGCTTTTGCCAATGAATTTGGCAGGCGCATACAGCCTGAAAATATACGAAAAATTTGTTTCGAAATGCAAAAATTGTCCGAGAGAAGTACACAACAGTTGTTTTGTGTACTTCTTTCGGAAAATGAGAGCAAAATCGTGTAGTTCTCTCGGAAAAGACGAACAATTTAGAAAATTAAATTTTTAGCTCTGAAAATTCGTGTGTAGTTCTCTCGGAGAAGCTAAATTTTCTGTTTTTGCATTGTCCGAGAGAAGTACACGAAAAATACCAGGCGAGACCCATCCTCCCTTTAAGAAACTCACTAGTCGGATCGGTCCAAAGTGTCGGATCGGGATTTGGGTGCGATGTTTGACGTGGCGCGACAGAAGGACGTGCTGAACACGGTGTTAAAATCGCGCTTCGCAATTGATGAAGCTGCAAAATTCAATTTTCCAGCTTATTTTCATTTTGAGCCAAAAAAATCGATAATTTCAGACCTGATTATGTCGAATCCTGAGTCTCATTCTCTCTCTCTATCAGGCAAACTTTTTCGATTTTTTTCGAATTTGAACCAATTTTTTGTGATTGCTGTTGGATTTTAAGAGCATTCGCGAGATGCGAAAATGACTGCAAAAATTCGAAAAAATCGTATGTTTTGGGAAGGAAAATAATGATAAAAATACGAAGAAATAATGATAACGTATCATTTTTCTTTCTCTAAATCTCTCCTAATTTAGATAATGTGGAAAGGGGCGGGGCTTTCACATGCGCACGTGGCAAATTTAGCCTAACTTCAAGACCACCCAGATCTTCCAACAATTAGAAAAATATTTATATAGAAAAATACATAAGCTCCGCCTATTTTCAACTGAAATTCCAGAGTTTCAGTTGAGTATATCACATGAAAAATGTGTACTTTTTTGGAGTGGGGAAAATGGTAAAAATACATATTTGTTATCATGAGGTTTTGAGGTTTTTGGCAAAACATTGATAAGAAGAGAGTTAGAGACGCAGAGAAAAATACTAGGCTAATTTTGAGGATTTTTCAAATACTTGAAAAAAAATTGACGATAGATTTCCCTGCGCGAGAACCCGGAATTTTCAGCCAAAAAATCGAATTTGGCTGAAAATTTCAGATTCAGGCAGATTTGCAGAAAAATGTTCACGGGGTGTTATTTTTTTTTCTCGAAAAAAAATTGACGATAGATTTCCCTGCGCGAGAACCCGGAGATTTCAGCCAAAATCGAATTTCTTCTGAAAGCCGAGATTTTGGATGAAAATTCAAGGTTCAGGCATGGTTTTTTTCGAAAATTTGAATTTTTGGTGTTGGAAAAATAACTCCAGAATTCTAGATTTCAAACTCACTAAAAAATAATTTCGGTCCTTTTTTTCGAAAATAATTCAAAATGATTAATTTTCTGGGTCACGTGGAATTTTTCTTCAAATTGGCACGTCATAAGTTCACGTTAAAAATTCATCAAATTTTAATTTTTTTTTAATTTCCGATAAATTTCCCTGCGCGAGAACCCGGAATTTTCACAAAAATCCAATGATTTTGATGAAAATTCAAGGTTCAGGCGAATCTTGCAAAAAAAATTCCCAATTTTTGAACTTTTAATCTTTCAACGTCACCGCGCAAAACTTTTTATCACAATTTTTGTTCAAAAAGACAAATGTCACGTGTTCGGAAAATTGTCTTACCTGACTACGAAAATAAACGAAAACAAAGACAAAAACTGGTTTTCGTCTTGTCTTTTTTTTGGGGAGTGATCTTCAAAGATTGCCCAGGTTATTTATGTTTTATTTACGACTCAAATTACATCATCTTATGATTTTTTCGAGAAGAAGGGAAGGGGAAAATATGATTGATTTTTTTGTTTAACAAGGAACTTCTCAGAATTCTGGTTTAGCCGACATCAAGCTAAATAATTGGCGATTTCTCGAAATTTTCACCAGAAATCGATTTTTGATGAACATTCCAGCTCAAATTCCAGATTTCTGATGAAATTCTCAAATTTCTCGCAACACAAAGAAGATCATAAGGTCAAACCACTATCAATTTGTCTCAAGATCAAAATTCATATCGAAAAAGGAATTCAGGTGATGTGACTAAATACCTGGAACATGTGATAACTCAAATGATAGGAAAAATTCGAGAATTTTTTTCTAGAAATTTCTTTCTTGAAATAGAAAATTGACGATAGATTTCCCTGCGCGAGAACTCGAAATTTTCAGTCAAAAATTGAATTTGGCTGAAAATTCTAGGTTCAGGCAGGTTTACAGACACATTTTCGAGAGATTCAAATATTCTGACTGACTAAATTACAAATTACATCACATTAAATCATGTTTACACAAAAATTTCGCATTTTTTGGTTTTTTCAACAAATTTTAAAAAATTAATTAACCAGTTTCGAAATTACATATCATTTCATTTCAAAGTTGTTTTGATTGATCAATCAATCAAGCCAAATTTCGAAAATAAAATTGTCACGGAAAAAGATGAAAAAGACAAAGTCGTGTGTTGCATCAGACTTGTTGTTGTTCTTTTTTTAGTGATATATACGTCCAAAACTGGAGACTGGTTCTGTTTTTTGCAAGAAAAATGAGAGAAATTCGATTTGGATTGGGAACGAAGAACGGTTTAGACTATCTCTAAAGATTAGAGGGATTTCAGTCATTTTTGATATTCTAGGTCATGAAAATTCGGTCATGGTACATTTCTGGGTTTCTAGGCCATTCGCCCATTTTAAAAAAAAAGACGATAGGTTCCCCTGCGCGGGACCTCTGAAATTCCAGCCATTTTCAGATTTTTTCTGTAAATGACAGGAATTTCAGGGTCCGGCTTTTTTCAAATCAAAAATTGACGATAGATTTCCCTGCGCGAGAACCCGAAATTTTCAGCCAAAAATTAATTTTCTTCGGAAAATCGAAATATTGACTGAAAATTCCCGGTTCAGGCTTGATTTTTCGAGAAATTTTCAAAAATAATTTTCTAACTCACTTCAAAAATAATTTCGTCGACTTTTTTTCCAAAATCAGATTCAAAATGAGCAATTTCCTGGGTCACGTGGAATTTTCTCAAATTTGCCACGTGGAAAATTTCAATTATCATTTTTTATTTCAAATAAAAAATTGACGATAGATTTCCCTGCGCGAGAACCCGAAATTTTCAGCCAAAAATCGAATTTGCCTGAAAATTCCAAGTTCAGGCATGATTCGACATTTTCAGGCCCAAAATTTTCGACTTTAAAATAAGAAGAACGCGTGCAGACGCTTTCCAAAACTCTGAAAATTTCAAAAAATCTGCAAATTTCATTTTTGTAAGGCAAGGAATGTATTGATTTTTGATTAGATTTGGGTCACAAAAGATTATGCACAGGGTTCTGGACAAAAAAAAACGATAAAGTGATATGATTTTGGAGGAAGAACAATAAAAACAACCAATTATTCACAACATTCAGAAATTCCACGTTGATTATGTCGAGTTTCGGATTCGAGTTTGATCAATTTCGCGCCCGACATAAAACGGGAATAGGCGTTTATTAGATTTTTCGGGGTTTTCGGGTCGAGATCCACGATTTTGATAGAGTAGGCGAATTGGCGACCTGAAAAATTGGGAAGAGTTAGGCTAACTTTGGGCTGAACTCACCATTGTTTAATCTCAACACATTTTCCCCATTGAATTCCAAATTCCTTGGAATCAATCGCATCGAGACCATCACAGAGCAATCTTTCATCGTTGCAGCCACAAAATATCGTCGCAATTTTTGCATTCTCTCAAAATCCTCCAATCTCATTGTGCATTTTTTGGGTGGACAATTTCCCAAAATCGATTCAATTCCGATTCTCGATAGAGCACTTTTGTCCAATAGTTCGGATTTTGAGGCGGTGTCCAGTTTTGCGTAGATCTCGTGCGCTTTGACAATTCCAATCTCGTCGATTTTTTGAGCTTGCAGGATTTGACCGAGCACTGAGGTTTTGTGAAGTTTGAAACGTTTTCGCGACGAACTTCCGGACATTATTAGAGAGAGCTGGAACATTGATAGTTATGACGTGGCAAAACAAATTGGCGATAGACCCTGCGCGAGAACCTTGGAATTTCAGAAATTTTTCGATTTTCAGTCAAAAATCCCTGTTTTGACTGAATTCAATCGCGAATTGCTGAAATTTCAAGGTTCAGGCATTTTTTAGGTTGATTTTAGACCAAATTTTCAAACAAAAAATTGGCGATAGATTTCCCTGTGCGAGAACCTAAAAATTTCAGAAATTTTTCGATTTTCAAAAAACAATCCATTGGTTTTGATTGAACTTAAATCGAAAAATCGCTGATATTTCAAGGTTCAGGCTTAGTTTTCAAATTAAAAATTGGCGATAGGTTTCCCTGCGCGAGAACCCGAAATTTCCAGCCAAAAATCGAATTTGACTGAAAATTCCAGGTTCAGGCAGGTTTACAGACAATTTTTCTCAATTTTTCGATCCCCTGACGCGAAAACTCGGATTTTCCAGCAAAAAATCGATTTTCATCGCCTGAAAATCGAAATTTGGCTGGAAATTCCAGATGACCTCATTTGTACACAAAAATTCCCCATTTTTTTTTTTGGTTTTTTCAATGATATTTGATTTCTAGAATAGAAAAATCTGAAATTTTCAGATTTTCAGCCAGAAATTTCAGATTTTTCAGGCTATCCCTTACAGCAGTGATCAAATCATCCGTCTTCGCCTCATTCCTGGGAAAAAGTGTCGCATCAAACATCTTTTCATCCAGCGGCTTCTCATCCGAATGCACCAAATTTCCATCGCGAAAAATGCGCAAATTCCGATGTGGCACGAGAAAAAGCGAAAAAATTGCGGATTTTGAGCGAGAAAATGAGGAGGAGAACAAGTCCAGCGGGCAAAAATCGTACATTTCCGAAAAATGCGCGGAGCCACATTTTTCAAATTGCATTATACAATTGTTGCAGTTTTGAATTGAGATATTGTCGTGTTTTTGCAAAAATCCTTGTTTTGGCTTGATTTCGATCTGCAAAAAAGGATTTTTGGCTGAAAATTCCCCAAATCTCAGCTCAAAAAGTTCCCTACAGTAATCGTTGAGCATCCAAAATCGTCCAAGACACTCGAATTCGGTAATTGTGTCGCATCCAACATTTGCAACGAGCTCAACCTTTTTGGATGTGTTATAATTGAGTCACCATTGGTTTTTTGAAATGCGGTGATTGGTAAAAACGAGATTTCTTCTGGCAAATCGAACAGTTCTTCGAATCGCTCGATTTTCTGATTTGCTGGAAGAGCGGGGATCTGAAAAGAGGGTTTTTGTGAAATTAAAAATTGGCGATAGATTTCCCTGCGCGAGAACCCGGAAATTTCATCAATTTATCGATTTTCAATAAAAACCCCCAGGTTTTGACTGAATTTGATGAAATTTCAAGGTTCAGGCATGTATTCAGAATATTTTCAGACGCTACCTTTGCTAAATGATGCACATCAATTGTGTCAAACTCAACAATGCTCATGTTAACCAAATATTTGTCGTCGAAAAATGGAGAAACGATTCTGAAATGCATCAATTTTTCCATGAAAATCAGATAATTTCTAACCTCTCCATGTAATCATTGACCATTTCACTTCGGGCCTTCACAGTCATCAGACCGCTTTTCCGCTCTTTCGCAAATCGCCAAACAATTCGCGAATCATTATAGCGATGTTTGGCGGAAATCACGAAATTCGCGCGACCTTCGCCGCGGAAACAAAACGATCGGAAGTCGCGCGGGTCTATCAACACTTTTTCGCCACCGCTCATCGCTGTTTTTGCATCTGAAATTCTCTTATTTTTCTTTTTCAGCAGAAAAGTGGAGAAATAATGAAAAAAAGAGGAAAAATTGTGGAAAAGGGGAAACATTTCATGAATAATTGCTCGGAATCGGGCCGGAATTTGTATGTATTTTTTTCGTTGCGGGGAAACTGAATTTTATGTTTGTTTTTTTTTCAAAAAAAAAATTGACGATAGATTTCCCTGCGCGAGAACCCAGAAATTTCAGCGATTTCTCGAATCGAGGGAATTTTAAGGTTCAGGCAAGTTTTAGAGCTAGAATCTGGGCTGAGCAACATGAAAATGCTCAAATTATAGCTTATTCAAACAAAAATCTAACCGATAATTTGAAAAATCACATGATTTTCAGAACTAAAAGTTTAATTTCTTTCAAAATTTTATCATTTCGTAAATGATAAGCAACAAAACGTGACCTATAAAATTTCATTTACAAAAAAAAAACGGAACCTACTCATTTTCTGAACAACAACTGCAAAATAAATAGAAATTCCAGCTGTTAATACAGTTTCAGTGAATCTAGTTTCTTCTTTTATACTCCCAGCTGACGAACAAAACGAAAAAATGAGTCAGATAATTACGAAACCCGAACGAAAAAAACAAATACGATTTTGGTTGTTTATCTAAAGAGACACTCTCTAAGCAACATAAAATGACGAAAACCTTGTGACTGAAATAAAAGTGCGTCTTGGCAATTTGTCAAGACAGTTCTTGTGACTGATAAAATCTAATCGGTCGGAGAACATGAATTTTTCGATAAAACGCCGAAAAACGACGAATTTCATGGTTTATATAGGCAAAAATTGAGGGCGCCTGGCCGGAAACATATCGAAAAACAACAAAATGAAATCATCAAAGTCATGAAACATTTTATTTCTATATTGTTTTTGATAAGAGAGACAGAAATGAGAAAAATGAGGAAACGCCTTAAATAATACAAAAAAAAACGAGGGAAATTCAACGGTTCAATGCATAAACTTGTTTTCCATACATTTTTCTAGTTAGTTTTCTAGTTAGTTCACGCAGAACAAAACTATACACGCCTTATTTCAGGGTTGCCAGCGACGAAAACAAAAAAATAAAAAATGGAAAAATTGAGAGGGGCAAACGCGCGCTATTGCAACTGCACTCTCCTCGTTTCGCACACTCTCGCCGCGTTTGGCTACTGTGTTGTGAAAAATGTGTATCGTTGCGTCGCGGTGTTTGCGGGCAGTGATTTTTACTTTTATTTTTTTTTTTGTTTTTTGCGTCCAAAACAATTTTTCAATGCTTTTCACTCTAGTTACTCAAATTAGGTTATTTTATTGAATTCAGGTGGTTGCTAGGTTGTTTACGGAGCTGAAAATTACGATTTCAATATGTTTTGGAGCTTGATATGTGTGTTTTTCTTAATTAAAGATTTTCAGTGAAAAACGGGAGAAACACATCCCTTTAAAAAAATCCATAACCGTGATTGTCCAATTTTCATCAAATCAAGGTTTACCGCCATAATTCCACCTGAAAATCTTCACATGTTTTATGCTATAAAAATGCCTCTCCTCTCGAAAATAACTTCAATAATCCTATTCCATTTTTTCGTCGTTCTCTACGTGCCAATGGCAAATCCAAACCAAAATTCCGCCGTCTGCATCTCTCGATCTCTCGTCTATTTTGTTGTTTTCTTCACTTTTCTCTCTGCATTCGAACCGCTCTTTTTTTTAGTGAGCGCATTTCACACACAAAGACAATCAATGTTGATATTTTGTTTTTTGTTTCGGCATTGAAAACAAAACATTTTTCAGTGTTTCATTTTTGATAAAGAATAGTTTTTTCGTTATCATTCGCTCTTTAAAAATCGGAAAAATACGATTTTCTCGAAGAATGATGCAATTTTTGACGAGACCCTGAAGCCCCACTTACTTTTTATTCGAAAAAATCTAGAAATGCTCGTTGACGTTGAATTTTCTAAATTTAAAATTTTCAACGTGAACTAGGAATTCTTCAAATTCATTTCTGATTTCGTACGAATCTTCATTTCTCATTTTTATCTAAAAACCTGCCTGAACCTCGAAATTTCATCGATTTTCTGAAAAAATTTGGTCAAATCTCGTAGTTTGACTGAAAATCGAAAAATCGCTGGAAATTTAGGGTTCTCGCGCAGGGAGATCTATCGCCAATTTTTTATTTGAAAAAAGCCGGACCCTGAAATTCCTGTCATTTTCAGAAAATCTGAAAATGGCTGGAATTTCAGAGGTCCCGCGCAGAGGAATCTATCGTCAATTTTTTATTTGAAAAATTTAAAATACTGAATTTCTCAAATTCCACATTAAAGTTCACAACCTGCCTGAACCTGTAATTTTAGGCCAAATTCGATTTTTGGCTAAAAATTACGGGTTCTCGCGCAGGGGAATCGATCGTCAATTTTTCATTTTTTTTGTGAAAAAACTTGTGTTTTAACTCTATTTGTTTCCAGAAAAATCATGTCTCGCAAATTCTTCGTCGGTGGAAACTGGAAAATGAACGGCGACTTCGCGTCAGTCGACGGAATTATCTTGTTCCTCAATCAATCCGGCGGAAACGATCAAGTCGATATTGTTGTCGCGCCACCAGCACCATATTTGACCCATGTGAAAGCCGCCTTGAAAAACAACATCAAGGTTGCCGCTCAAAATGCGTACAAAGTTCCAAAGGGCGCTTTCACCGGTGAAATTTCGCCAGCCATGATTAAGGATTTGGGATTGGAATGGGTTATTTTGGGACACTCGGAAAGAAGACACGTTTTTGGAGAAAGTGATGCGGTAAGTCTTGAATATATATTCCTTCTCTAAAAATCCCCCATTTCCAGCTCATCGCTGAAAAAACCGTCCACGCTTTGGAATCCGGAATCAAAGTGATCTTCTGCATTGGAGAGAAATTGGAAGAGCGCGAAGCCGGTCACACAAAAGACGTCAACTTCCGTCAACTTCAAGCCATCGTTGACAAAAACGTCGATTGGACCAATATTGTTATTGCTTATGAACCAGTCTGGGCGATTGGAACTGGAAAAACTGCGTCGCCAGAACAAGCGCAAGAGGTAGGATATTTTTTTTTAAAGATTTTCTCAATTTTTAATTTGAAATTCCAGGTGCATGAATGGATTCGTCAATTTTTGCGCGAAAAAGTTTCGCCAGCCGTCGCCGACTCGACTCGTATTATCTACGGAGGATCCGTAACCGCTGAAAATGCTGCCGATCTCGGAAAACGCGCTGACATTGATGGATTCTTGGTCGGCGGAGCTTCGTTGAAACCAGATTTCGTCAAAATCATCAATGCTCGTCTTTAATTCCCTTGTTTTTTGCTGAAAATCCCATTGCCCATCCTGAAAGTCACCGTAGTCCTTTTTTCTTGTGAATACATATTTATATTTTTATTGCATTATTTAGAGAGAAATGAATCGATTTGTATGAATTTTCATTGAATTTGAAGTTTTTAACCGTCAAAAATCGATATTTATTACAGTTTCCATGGAATTCCAGCAAATTTTCAGGCAAACAAAAAAATTCAAATTTTCCTGTTTGTTCGTTGGAGCGCACTTACCCCTTTCACTAGGCGTTTTTTTATTTTTTCTTTTTCGAAAACCGCAAAATCGTGTTTTTCGAGGAAAACCGCAGTTTCCGATAATTTCAGAAGTGAAAAATGAGCACACAGTATATTAATGAGCCGATTACCAGTGGAAAAGTGAGTTTTTTGGGGAGGGGATTTTCGTAAAATTTGAAGAAAATGCGAAAAAGTCAAGAAATTTGACTCGAATTTCCCAGGTCACCCTCGAAACCACCGCTGGCGACATCGAAATCGAACTTTGGACCAAAGAGGCTCCCCTGGCTTGCCGGAATTTCATCCAGCTTTGCATGGAAAACTACTATAAAGGATGCGTTTTTCATCGACTTGTCAAAAGTTTGTATTCACGTGTTTTTTTTGGCTGAAAATAATGGTTTTCTAAATTTCAGATTTCATTTTGCAAGGCGGAGATCCGACTGGAACTGGACGCGGTGGAGAAAGTATATGGGGAAAGCCTTTTAAGGTGAAACATTTTTTTGCCAGTAGTTTACTATTTTTGTTTTAAAAAAACCTGCCTGAACCTTAAAATTTCAGCAATTTTCGATAGTTTCAGTCAAAGTTGGGGGGGGGGGTGTACTGAAAATCGATAAATTGTTGAAATTTCCAGGTTCTCGCGCGGGGAAATCTATCGCCAATTTTTTATTTGGTCAAAAATCCACCTAAAACCGGCCTGAACCTTGAAATTTCATCAATTATCGATTAATTTCAGTCAAAACCTGGGGGTTTTTATTGAAAATCGATAAATTGTTGAAATTTCCAGGTTCTCGCGCAGGGAAATCTATCGCCAATTTTTTATTTGGTCAAAAATCCACTCAAAACCTGCCTGAACCTTGAAATTTCAGCAATTTTCGATAATTTCAGTCAAAACCATGGGGTTTTCATTGAAAATCGAAAAATTTCTGAAATTTTTGGGTTCTCGCACAGGGAAATCTATCGCCAATTTTCTTATTTCAAAAATTTCCAGGACGAATTCCACCAACGTCTAAAATTCAATCGCCGTGGAATTGTTGGAATGGCAAACGCTGGAAAAGACGACAATGGCTCGCAATTCTTCTTCACAATAGGCGATCGCGGAGCTCCCGAACTCAACAACAAACACACCGTGTTCGGCAAAGTCACCGGACCAACCCTGTTCAATATGCTAAAGATCACCGAAGTTGAGACCGAAAAATCGACTGATCGACCTGTTACAATGTATAAAATCACTGGGGCAAGAATTCAGAACAATCCTTTTGATGATATTCTACCAAGGGATTTGGGAAATTTGATGAAAAAAGAGAAGAAGGAGAAGAAAGAGAAGAATTCGGGGGGAACCGGAACAACGAAGAAAATGGGACTTTTGTCGTTTGGAGATGAAGCTGAAGAGGATGAGGAGGAATTGAGCACTTTCAATAAGGTAAACTTTGGGTTTGCGCTAGATTTTGCGCCAAATAAATTCAAAAATTTCATTCAATTTCGAAACATTTCACAGTTTTTCAATAATTATATCCAGAATTAAACGAATAACTGGGAATGGGCTGGACCTGAACTTCTGATCCATTTTTCAACTGTAAAAAAACATAAATATTTTTAATTAAATCATTAATTAACTAACCCCATAATAATCGATCGTTTGATCCTCTTCCAATTTCTGACCGTCAAACTCCATCCTAACTTTTGACATAAATACGACACATTTTGATTTGAGAGATCCAATTGTGTCAGTTTTTCCAACTTGAAAACAGCGCAAATTGTGTCGGTAACCATTAGTGGAAGGAGTTCTCACGGTGATTTCGATTAACTAAAAAAAATGCATGACTTGATAAATAATAATTGTTTGCACTCACATATTGATCCTCTTCAATCTTCTCCAATCTCTCCTCAACTTGCTTCACAGCCTCCTTCCAATTCTCGAATTTCCCCACATATTCCAGGATTTTTGGGCACCGTGCGAAATCGTGAATCGCCTTGATTTTATACTCGATTTTTGGGTCGAATTTGGTTTTGTGAGCCCAAAGCAAAACTTCAGATTCGCTGAATCTCTTCGATTTTTGGGTGATCGTATAGATCAAACCCGCGATTCTTGGGGAAAATACTTGGATTTTCTCGGTGTAGTATGGGATTTCAGCCGAACATTTTGAACGGCATCCACAAGACGAAGGTCTGAAGATTTTTTGGTTCAAGGTCAACTAAATGACATTTTCAGGGTTTTTTAAGCAATTGAGTTGAAATATTGGGTTCTAATGTTATTCATATGATAGAATGGTCGAAGACGAACAGAATAATATAAATGTTGATGACTTTACGTCATCCATAAGTGATTTAACGACGTTTAGTCGATATTCAGTCGATAAGCCCTAAACCTCGCTAAATCACTTATGGATAGGTTAAACTCATCAAAATTTATATCATTCTGTTCGTCTTAGACCATTCTATCATAGGAACAACATCAGAACCCAATATTTCAGCTTAAAAACCCTGGAAATGTCATTTAGCCAATGTGTAAAACTCACTCGTCCTCTGATTTTTCGTTGATCGCAATTACTGACATACTGACGTCAATAACATCCATTTTTGCTCTGAAAATTACAAATTTCTCGCTAAATCCAGTGGATTTGAAAATATTTTTGTTAAAAATAGAAAAAAAAGTTGGACACTTTTCTGGACCGCTTGAGACGCTCAATATATGTTTTTTTGTGTGGGCGTGTCCATCTGCACGACCTTTTATGCGGGAAAAATGTATGAACGCTGAACTTGTATATGGGAAGGAAAATAGCGTGTTTTTGGGTCCTTTAGATGGAAATTGTGGGAAATTATGTGCAAAATTAAGATGAGCAATGATTTTGGGTCCTACCACGATGTGTGTGTGCTTCTAAATCTACCGTAGTAATTTTTTGAAATTCGACTCATTCACACACGTTTGAAAAAGAAGAAAGTTGTGCAATTTTCATCGCGCATCCGACAAAAACGGTGCAACGCCTAGCGGTGTAATTACCCCCACTTCATCAAAAACAAAAAACATAGCGAAAATCAGCGTATCGAGATCTGTGCGAATGACTTTGTTTGGAATTTTTAGGGGTCTTGGGAAGAAAGTTAGCCTCCGCTGCGAGACCAATAGAAATTAAAAACACACGCGCCTTTGATACCGTACCTCTTTTTTTTTTCAAAATGAAAAATAGAGAGCGCGGCAAACGAGAGAGTGCGAGAGATGTGTGAGAACAAAATGTGTGCAAACACATGTCCGCAAACACCGTTGTCACTGCTTACCATGACTCTTCATTGCATGGGAAAAACGTGTGTGCATTTTGACGTAAAATTTGCAGCCTACCAAAAATGTGTCAGCATTGAATGATTCCAGAAAACCGCGGCCAAACCAAAATCAGCGCACGATGCTTTGAACGACGAAAGACTGAGCAAAACTGCGGCAGTTTCGAAAAATGAGATGAGCAATTATGTGGCGGAAGATGATGATTATGAGAGGGATTCTTCGTCGGTGTCGAAGATTCGAGAAAAATTGATGAAACGCAAGAGAAAGGTGAGGTTGACGCGATTTTTGTAGGCTACAAGAAATGTGTCAGCATCTATTTTTCATGGCGCATTTCCTGAAGCTCACCAAAATTCCAAATTTTCCAGCTCGAAGAATCGTCTGGAAGTGATAAAAAAGAGCAAGAAGAAGAGCAAGATTTGGAAGAAATGATTGAAAATGAGAAAAAAGCCAAGGAAAAAGAGGAAATATCGAAAATGTCGGAAGAATTGACAAAAATGCAAAAAGAATATATGAAAGCGTTGCGGCCGGTCAAAGAGAAGAAAAAGAAGGCGAAAAATGAGGAAATTAGTCAAGCGCTCAAAGATTATGCTGATTTGAAGGAGAGTTTCAAGTCGAAAACTAGTGGATTGGTTAAGAAGAAGGATTCGAGAAGGGAGCAACAGGTGAGCGATTTGGGGAAGGTTTTTGGTGGAAAAATTATTGAAAATGAGCAATTTTGAAGATTTTTACTGAAAAATCATGAAAAATGAGCAATTTTGAAGAATTCTAGTGAAAAAATCATTGTAAACAAGCAATTTTGAAAATTTTTCCTAAAAAATCATGAAAACTGAGCTATTTTGAAGAGACTACAAAAAATGCGTCAGCATCTGTTTTGTTGGCCCATTTTTCGTAGCCTACAAAATTCACGCAAAGCTACCAAAAATGCGTCAGCATTGATTTTTTGCAGACCATGCAAATGTTGGATCGTTTCAAAAAACGCCTTGGCGCCTCAAATCAAGAAGCCATTTTGCACGACAAAAAAGTCGAAATTTCGAAAAAAGAGGAGGAATTGGAAGAGGAGAAGAAGTTTGGGCTCGATTTGGATGCGGAAGATATGGCCGGAATTTCGTGGTGAGAATTTCTAGCAAAAATTCTGGATTTTTTGTGGATTTTGAGCCGAAATCCGGGATTTTTGAGAAATTTTACCCTAAAATTCGAGATTTTTTCCAGGATGGCTCACAAATTCAAAGCCGAAGATCAGGATTTGTCATCCAAAGCAAAAGATGCGAATTTACGAGAGGAAGATGAGGATTGGTATTCGATAACTGATCCAAGAAATCGACTAAATCGTCGAAAACGCGGGGAATTGGACTGAAATAAAGGTTTTCATCTTTTTCACCGTGAAATTTGCAGGAAAACGAGTCGAAATTCGATTTCTGAATATTTCTTAAAGGCTCCAAAAATTACGTCATCAAATTAGATACTAACGCAAAATTTGTAGGCTTCATTTTTGTTGGTTACAGAAAAGTTCAGAAAAACCCCTGCCTGAACCTTGAAATTTCAACGATTTTTCATAAAATTTCAGTCAAAATTTGGATTTTTGACTGAAAATCCAAATTTTAACTGAAATTTCCGGGTTCTCGCGCAGTGAAATCTATCGTCAATTTTCATTTGAAAAAAAATCTGAAAAAACCTGCCTGAACCTTGAAATTTCAGCGGTTTTTCATGAAATTTTCAGTTAAAACCTGAGGGTTTTTATTGAAAATCAAGAAATCGCTGAAATTTTCGGGTTCTCGCGCAGGGAAATCTATCGTCAATTTTCATTTGAAAAAAAAATCTGAAAAAACCTGCCTGAACCTTGAAATTTCAGCGGTTTTTCGATTTTCAGTCAAAACCTGGGGGTTTTTATTGAAATCAAAAATTCGCTGAAATTTTCGGGTTCTCGCGCATCTATCGCCAATTTTTTATCCTACATTTTTTGCGTCATGAAAACCATTCACTGGCGCATTTTTTGTAGTCTTCATTTAAAAAAAAACACAGAAAATTCAAACTTTTCATCCACTTCCATAAAAACACTGATAATATTGATAATTCGGCGCAATTGGCGGACAATCACACCAAAATCTTGGCACATTTCCAACATAATCAACGAGACGGGTTACTGTAGATTTAAAGGAACATATATAATTTTTTTTCAAATTTAAAGGTACATACCACGACATTTGGACCTTGTTGCTGGGGCTCTCGAGAGCAACCGCGCTCCACGGACAATCAGACCAAGTGGAATGTGAAAAACACGTTTTTCACGGATTTTTTGGGCTTCAGGAGTACTGTAGAGTACTGTAGACGTGGCGATACATGAAAATAGGAATAGGAGAACGAACATCAGAAATTTGAACATTTTTTCAGAAATGTGATGGTTTTTGATAAACAGTTTTTGTTTGACCTTGGAAAAGTTCAGCGAAACAAAGTTTGTCTGAGGCGAGAAATGCGCAAGGAAGGCATGCTGACGTGTTTTTGGTAGTAGGATATATATGTTGCTATATTTTAGTGCAAATTTTAAAAATTGCACCAAACCATATCAATATGGGTGTCAAAAATCTCCAAATTTTACGGGGAATCCAAAAATCACCACGAATTTCAAGAAATTTCTAGCAGATTTCGAGATCTGAAATTTTCCAAGTGTTTTCACCCCTGTGTGTCTTTAAAAATGGAAAAATATTCATTGCGAGGTCAGAAACTCTCTCTCTGTCCCGCTTGCGATAACAACAAGTGACTTTTTTCTCAGAGATAACGAGACAAAGTCCCGTGATGGCCTGCTCTTCTCGCTGCCAGCTGATAAAAAAAAGACATTTTTGGGCCAGAAAAACAATAGAGCATTTCTTCTTATTTACACAGTAATAAACACAAGAAAATATGGTTTAGTCATACATTTTTTCATGGAAAAATGTGTTTGCTGAGTATCAAACGTGGAAATTTGGCTGCGTACTTTTCTAGCACTTTTTATCAGTGATTCAGAAGCGTGTGGTGATTCAGAATGTGGGAAAACACATATGTTTTGAAATTTGGCTGCGTACGTTAGATACGCAGCCAAAACCATATTTTGAGCATGAGATATTCAGTCAAGGGTATTATGAAAATTAGCTGCGTACGTTAGATACTCAGCCTATGATTTGAAGATACGCAGCCAAAACAATATTTGATCTACCAGAAAGTTAATGGAACATTAGATACTCAGTTAAGGTTTTTTACGCAGTCAAATTTATTTCCTGTTGATCATTTGATACTCAGCCAAGAGCCGCCTTCAAAGTACGCAGCCAAAAATTCCAGTGATATCATCATATGTTTTTCCATTACATCAAAAAAATTTCACTTTCAAAAAAAATTCGCCATTTTCGGGTTCCCGGAAGCCGCGAGCCAATTGGTTGGCTCCGCCCATTTTTCCGTATTTTTGGGAGAATTTTTCGCTTTTTCTGCTTTTTTTTGTATGAGCCAGAAATTGTTGATAACAGACTGTGTAAATATTCCAAAATAATATAATGTTTCTTTTTTTTTTGTCTGTTCTTGGTTGGTGTGTAGTTCTTTTGGAGAATATGTTTTTTTGAAAAATTGAATTTTTCAAATTGGTTGGGTTTTTTGTGTAGTTCTTTTGGAGGAAAATTTGAATTTTTTTAATTTCTCGCCAAATTGAGTTGTGTACTTCTCTCGGAGAAATTTTGAATTTTTTCAAATTTCCCCCAAATTTGGTTGTGTACTTCTCTCGGGCGAATATTTGAATTTTTCAAATTTCCCGCCAAAAATAGGCTGTGTAGTTCTTTCGGTTTAAAATTTGAATTTTTTGAATTTCCCGCTTGCAAAATTCGTGTACTTCTCTCGAACAAAAATATTTTTTTTTAAATTTGAGTTCCCAGAGGGGTTTTTTGTGTAGTTCTCTCGGAGGACACTCATAATCAAATGTTGAATTTTTTGAATTTCCCGCTTTCAAAATTTCGTGTACTTCTCTCGGACAACCCAAAAACTGTCCACGAAAAAGAGAGTAGTACAAAATAATAAGAAATTTTTCTCGGAAAAACTCGTGGCTTTTTTCCAGAGCGAATTTTCGGTGATAACAGAATTTTCTGCGTAGCGAAGCTGATAAAAACTCGCCGAAAAATTTCACTTTTCTCGATTTTTTCTGGCGTAAACACATAGATTATTACAAATTTTTGGTCTTGTGACGATAAAAACTCGAGTTTTCATTTTCCAGGAAACGAAAATTTAAATTTCTCTAATTTCCCGCCAAAAATGTGTAATTCTTTTGAAGGACTTTTTTTTTAAACATGGAAAAAAGTTTTCGTCGAAAAATCTCATTTTCCAAAAAAAATATTTGAAATTTTTATGCGTTCCGGAAAAGTCTCATTTTGAGAAAAAGCTAATAATTTTTAACTTGTAAGAAAAGTTATTTTTGTTAGGAATTGCCTGCGTACTTAGAGCATTTGATACTCAGTTAACGTTTACTGAATTTGGCTGCGTATCTTGATTAGATACTCAGTCAAGCTCTGAAAATACGCAGTCAAATTTTATTTCACCACTTTCATAAGCTTACACAAAATCCCCCCCAAAAAAAAATTTGTTTCGAAAAAATTGCACGCAAAATTCCCAGAAACTCTGTCTTGGATAATCGGCTTTCGGACACAGCCCCGCTTCGAAAATCCGCGAATTTGTGCCCTTTTTTCAGAGTTTTTTTCGAGATTAAAAACTAAACTAGTCTTCTTCTTCTCCTATTTTTTTCTTTTTCCAGTTTTTCAGTTAAAAAAAATTGTTTTTAGATGGAATTTCAGCCGCAACAAAGTTTGCAGGATGTTTTGAATCATATTGGTGCACTTGGTGTCACACCACCAATTGTCACTTCACAACCGATTCCGGTGCCAGAAGTTCAGAATTCAGGTGAGAATTTGAGAGCTTCAAATCGAGTTTTTTGAAATTCTCATGAAATTTCGAGTTTTTAGATACCCAATTTTGAAAATTTCGAACTTTTCTAACCGAACTTGATGTAACTTGGGAATTCCAGAAGTTTTCAAGAGCTTAGACCAAGTTTTTTGAATTTCCTATAAAATTTCGAGTTTTTAGACACCCATATTCATAAAGTTTCCAAGATTTTCCAAAAATTTGGATTTTTGGAGCAAAAAATGATTATGGATGTCTATCGAACCGGAATTCGGTGAAAAATCCAAATTTTCAGCTCCCAACTTCGCAAATTTCCTTCAAATCCCAGCTCCAATGATCTTCAACCCATTTCTAAACATGAACAACATGCTGAACCAAGAAATCATCAAACAATTCCTGCAAATGAATGCCTGTTCCTCTTCTCCTACTACAGTACTCCCTCAACAAGAACCTTCTGCACAGTACTCAAGTACCGGAAAGATTCGGCGAGATACCGTATCTTCTACCGTATCCGATGAGGGTCTACAGTATGACGCAAATGGTGACATCATAGTTCCCTCAAATGATAAAGAGGGTTGGTGTCGCAACAAAAAATATATTGAAAAAACAGAAAATGGTTTTATGTGTACTGTATGTCGTAAGGTATACGGTAGATATAATTCGGTGTCTTATCACGTCACGATCTACCACCGTAACCCGCCGATACGGTGCAATTTGCAAAATTGTCAATTTACGACTCGTGAGGCAAGATATATTCATTTTCATAAATATTATCGACATGGTGTACCGTTGCCACAAAGTATTGATCAAGGTGGGTCTTGAGGGGAAAATTCGGGTACTGTAGTTTTGATCTACACAAAATTTGGAACATTTTCATATCTCATAAGGCTAGGGTTACTGTAGTTCTGACTACCAAACGAAAAATTTGGAAATTTTTTGAAGAAGTCTAATTTTGATCCTAATTTTCAGGTTACTGTACATGGCTTTCCTTGGGTTACTGTAGCTCAAAAATAAGCATGGGGTACTGTAGTTTTGATTTACCAGAAAAAATGTGGAAGTTTTTTGAGGAAGTCTAATTTTTGCCCTAATTTTCAGATTACTGTATGTACATCGCTTTTCCCGGGTTACTGTAGTTTTGATCTACACAAAATTTGGAATATTTTCATAGGGTTTCTGTAGATCTGATCTACCAAACAACAATTTAAAAATTTTTGAGGAAGTCTAATTTTTGCCCTAACTTTTAGTGCAACTTTTTGGGTTACTGTAGCGCCTACAGTACTCCCTATTTAAAGCAAAATTGAATTTCAAAGTACACCCAAAAAATTTCCAAGAAAATCGAAAGCTGACGAAATTTTTGCAGATAAGAAAATATTCTGATAAAAAAATTTCCGAGAAATAAAATTTTTCAAAACAAAATTTGCAGGCTCTCGAAAATGCCCACACTGTCGCCACGTGTCAAAATCGCCAGCAATGTTGGAGAAACACATTCGAAGACATCAATTGAAGTGAGTACCCCTACAGTAGTCCTACAGTACCCCCAGTACAGTAATGTTTCCAGAGATGACGACTTGTCCAACAACTCGATGCGAAATCGTACTGTAACCATTTCCGAGGAGCCGATGGAGGAAGAATTGGAGGAGGAGATGGAGATTCCAGTCGAGACCAAACCCAGATCTTGCACCATGTGATATAGTTCTACAGTAACCCATGGGTACTGTACCTACAGTACTCTTTTTTATTTGTACATATCTCAATATTACTATTTATTCTGTTTTGAAAGTTATATTATTATATTGGAAATAAATATATTTATCTTAGGAAAATCGTGCCGCAAAATTGCAGAAAAGTGGGCGGAGCTTATATTATTATTTATTTACATGTAAAAAATTAACCCGGGAAAATCAAAAATTCAAAAAAAAAGTTTTTTTTACAATTAGAAATCCAATTCTGGCATATAATCCGAATCTTTGGTTTTGATTGGAAGTTCTCTGGAAATACATTTGGTTTTCTAGGCCGCGGCCGAGTTCGCAATAACTAGGCCACGAGAAAACTTACGATCGAATTTTTGCGAAATCAATCGGAATTTCGGAGGGTTGTGGAAAATAGTCGGCGTATGAAATGGCACGTTCGAAACGAAGAACACGGCGTGAAATTGGGTGCTGTAAGAAATCATGTTGGATTTTGCCTACTTGCAGATTCTTGGGAGAAAATTGCAATTCTAGAAGAGGCTGTCAAAAATCCTGACATAATTTTCCTACTTTCGAAAATGTAGGAGTTGGGAAGTGTGATTTTTGACAGCCTGAATTTTTGGGTTGAAATTGAGAGCAGTGTTTGAGGTTGTCAAAAATACTCACATACTTTCCCTACCTACAGAACATTAAGGGCTGTTGGAAATCTCACCATACTTTTCCTACCTACAGAAACTAGGGGTTCTCAAAAATCATAACATATTTTCCCTACCCACTGAACCCCAAGGCTCCCAAAAATCTCACCATATTTCCCCTATTACTCACCTTCTGATTCAATCTCGTATTCTTATCCTTGCTCAAAGTTAACTTATCGAAACTCGCAACTGCGCCCCACAAAATGGCGCAAAAAATCCACAAAAACCACAATTTCGGTTGCATTTTTGTATGAAATGAAATGAAAAGAGAAGAAAGTTGAAAGACGAATTTGGGTCGAAAAAAGTGAAAAGTTTTTTTTTGGTGGGGTGCGCGGTTTTTTCCACTCAAACTGGGTCATCAGGTGATGTTGTGATTGGAAGGCGATTGTAGGCTTCTAGAAGGCGTCTGGAAACTCAACTCATGAATTTGGCTGAAAATTTTCAGGAAATCTGGAATTTACCGTAGTTCTATGGATCTTGCCGCTCCGTTTTGTTGAATTTTATTTTCCACAATTTCTTGCTCACTGGAAAAAAGGGGTACGGGAAATGTGTCAGGATGCTGAAAACGCGTCAGTGAAGCTCTAAGCTGCTGGAAATGTGTCAGCAAATTTCAGAGCTCCTAAAATGTGTCAGTAAAGTTCAAGGCTGCTGAAAACGCGTCAGCAAGGTTCTAGGCTACCAGAATCACGTCAACAATATTTTAAAACTACAAAATATGCGTCAGCATCAAACTCACATATGATGCGAAATCCAACAATACATAATCCATCCAACCGAAGCCACAATATAAAAAAAGAAAATTATCCAGAATTTCTCGGAAACTTCCAGCTTCTCCCAAGTTTCACCAAACATTTTTTCTTCTGCGAAAAAAAAACAATTTTTTTTTCCAAAACTTTGCGGCGCTGCCAAAAGTCAGGCCTAAAATAAACAAAAAAGTTTCGAATTTCTGATGCGCGCGCATTGTTTTTTTTCAAACATCGAGAGAAAAATGGGCGGATAGACTGTCTGGTGCTCTCTCGTTTTACCGTACTCTCTCGCGGCTTATCAACACTTGTTTTGAAGGTTAATTGGTAGTAGAGGAACTTGGTTTTAGGGCGTTTGCATTTGGTTTTCTAGGCCATGGAAGAGCGGGGGACTAGTTTTTCAAAAACTTAGTCCCTCTGCTTTCTAGGCCGCCTAATTTTCCATGATCAGACTCTTAAAAATCAATAATCTTTCAAATGCGGAGACTAGAGGACTAGTTTTTGAAAAATCTAGTCCCTTGGATTTCTAGGCCGCAGAGGGAATAAACTGGTTTTGAAGGCGGGGACTAGTTTTTTTCTAGTCCCCCAAAAACAATACGAAATTTCAAAATACCGGTTCATTAACAAAAAAAAACTCAAAAAAAATCATTATGTTGTTGAAAAATAGTGTGGGTTAAATTTTCAAAAAAAAATTTTGGCTTTTGGGGAGGGGAGGGGGAAATATTTTCCTATCAAAAAAAAACAGTGTGTGGACATAGATTCTCCAGAGTCGCAGAAAAAAATGGTACAGTATAGTATGTAGATCAAATAAATATGTGCATGAGAAACAAAAATCAATATCAAAAAACAGAGGTCGCGCGCGGATCAACCGGGATCGAAAAAAATTCACATCAAAAAAATGTTCAAACAAAAATCGGTGAGGCTGTGGACGAGGCTTGTGTCGTCGAGTTCGTCGAGCACATGCGGTAGAAGATCAGATTGTATTCCTCAAAGTTTCCGGAGGCTTCCGCGTCACCGGTGAAGCAGGAATCGGGGGTGTAGCCGACGCGGAAGCGGTAGGCTGATTGGATGTAGGAGCCGACGGATAGTTCGAAGGTGTTTTCGAGGATCTGGAAGAAGTTGAGATGTGGTAGGTAGTGCCTATGGCTAAGCCTAAAGCTATGCCTGAGCCTAAGACATTATAGCTAAGCCTAAGCCCCCTCTTACCTGATGTGAAGTCGGATATTCCTTCGATGATTGCATACCGCAGAGCTTGTGCTGGAAGTCTGACATATGCCCACAGTTGTTGATCACCTTGTGTTTTGGAACGCTGAAAATATAAAGTTAGGGTTAAGTTCTAAGCTTAGCTTAGAAGTAAACTTACTCAATCTGAATCTCAATTGGTGCATCAGGCATGAATCTTGAAACCGGCACAAATAAATTGAAAATCCCGCGCCTCTTATTACAACTCCTCTCAATACAATATCGCTGATCGAGCGTTGTGTTGAGAAGCGGAATGCGAATCTCGACACCGGTTCCGAATTCACGATGCGCGGATTGCGGTGCGCGACCGATTCCGGATGATGTGACATTGTTGGCGGAGACGGCGGAATGCGGAGTGTCGTTGGTAGATTCATCGTTTCCACCGGCGCCGCAGCAATATGTTCGACAGGACGGCGAGAAGCAGTGGGCTAGTAGGGGAGGTGCGTCGGGTTGGTAGGTCGGCATGAATCGTACTGGAAAAAAAATTATTGAGGTCTAACAGGTACTGTAGTCTTGATCTACACAAAATTTGGAACATTTTCATATCTCATAAGGCTAGGGTACTGTAGCTCTGATCTATCAAAAAAAATTTGGAACTTTTTTGAGAACGTCTAATTTTTGTCCTAATTTTCAGGTTACTGTAAATCGCTTTTCTCGGATTACTGTAGCTCAAAATTAAGCATGGGGTACTGTAGTTTTGATCTGCTCGAAATTTGGAACCTTCTGATATCCCATAAGCCTAGATTAAAAATTTGGAACTTTTTTTTTGGAATTTCAGAATACTGTAGATCACTTTTTGAATTGAAGGGAGCTAGGTTTTACAGTATTCCAAAATATCTCAAGATCTAGAGATCGTCACAATAACCTTCTACAGTACTCTACAAAAAAAAACTCACAAGGCGAGACGACCAAATTTGCGGGTTCACCCTTGGAAGACGGTGTAGTTGAATGATGTGTGTAGTGATGATGATGATATCCATAATTCCGATTATGCCAATCCAAAACATACAACGCACTCATCGCCAACAAACAAACCGCCATCACACCAATCAGCGTAACAATTGTGCCCTGGGTAAAGCGGGATGAGAAGCATAAGGGTTCTGGTGTGTATCCGGAGGCTGATCTTTTTCTTCGGGTATACTTTTTTCGCGATTCCGAATATCCCGTCGCTGTTGATGCCATCGAATAAATACTCCTCGAATCAGCCGAATTCAAATTCGAGCCAACCGAACTCGCCAACTTCTTCTTCCTCGCATACTCGGCCAACCTCTTTGAAATCTCCTCAACCTTCTCATCAATCTTGGTATCCAAATCGCCCGTAAGTCTACAAAGCTCTTTTGTAGCCAGCACGGTCTCATAGAACACCCGCGATTCGTCAATAGTGAGATACTCTCCAATATCTCGCACAGCGTCCGGGAGAACAGTGGCAAGCTCCTGCGCGATGAGCCCGGTACGCTTGCGTTGCTCCTCGGTGAGTCCCCATTTCTCCGCAACTTCTGGTTTGTATTGATAATCAACGATTCGCAACTTCAACAGATTCTCGAGAGCATCCGACGCTGTCTTATCCACGATATTCTCCTTCAATCGAATATCCGAGGGTGTAATAACCTTGCCAGTGGTGTAGATGTCACCATCCACAGTAAGCTTCGCTGCTTGCCGATCAGTTCCAATACTCACCGGGCCATGGGTGAACAAGGTATTTCCATTGCGTTGCCAAGCGATATCCGAATCTGGAGGCTCGAAGGATCCCGGATTCGTAGCTCGCACAATAACCTTCTCCGATGCGTACGAGTAGATCAAAACACTCACATCATCATTGATACTCGCGTAGAGCCGCACAACCAACAAAAAGTATTTCTGCTCCGGGTTGGGCCGATTGTTTTTCCGCTGATTGTTGAGAGTTGTCTCCGAGAAGTGTAGCCTAGGCACAGTGACTTTGGTAACCCGCCGCTCTTGAATATCAAAAACCACCGGCGTGTGTGGATGCGGCTTGCGATCTGCACTTGATTGTCTGATGCAGATCTCCGAGCTAGGCATCTCTGATTTAACACCACAGAATGCCAATTTAAAGTCTCTGATCGGCACCAAAGATCCATTGTAGAATATGAATTTCGGGGGCATGCTATCCGATGCTTCGAGATGAACCGAGACTTGGAAATGATTCTTCTTCTGATTCACAAAACATCCATCGGTGAGCGAGTGATTGAAACCCTTGTCAGCCACAACATGCACTTGAATATGCTGAAGTTCCCTGCCATTCTGATCATACAGCGAGTTCCACTGATCCTCCTGGAACTTGTTGAACTTGATCGCTTGCTGTCCACTCGGCGGACCATAACATCCCGGCCCATAATTCTCATCTTGAATGCCAGGTGTCTCGGTCATCCTGCTTCTCTTCCGATTTCCCGCCGCAGCTCCTGTCGATGTTTCCTCGATGATCGGGCTCGCCAATCCACCCTCATTGGTGGCTTGTAGCATATTATACAAATTTTCCATGTAGGGTTTATTCTCGGCCGGCGTTCGCACGGCATTTGGCCATTGTTGTTGTTGTTGAGGGGCGTACTGTTGCTGTTGTGCCATTTGATGTACACCCAAAATCATACCATTATTATTATTGGCCGTGTTATATCCATTGAATTCATTTGGCGAGAACATCGGATCCGAATGATGTGATGAACTGCTAGCCGAGGAAGCGTTTCCACAGATGTCAGTCATCGGTGGCGATTCGGGAAGTGACCCGGGTGCTCGTTGTTGACGTGGCACACCTTGAACATATCCTTGTTGATGTGGATTTTGTAGGAGATGATGGGAGTGTGGGTGGGAATGGGGGTGATGATGAACGTGTTGCATACTTCCGGCTGATGAGGTTGGGCTGACTAGAGAACCGTCGTCTTCGGGAGTGTCGAATCTGCGAAAAATCAGGAGATGGGAGTTAGGCTAATTCATTTTTTTGGATTTTGAAACTATCTAGGCTTAATTTCAGCCAAAGTCTTTGAGAATTAGGTTTATGTGAAAATCATAAGCCTAAGATTAACCTGAAATTAATTTCTGGAATTAAGAATAAGCTTAAAACTTAGCCTAAGCCTACACTCTATAACTATCTAGACCTAACTTCAGTTAAAATTTAAAATATCTACATTTTAATGTTTTTTTTAAATTTATACCTAAAGCTTGAGGCTAAGATCTTAAGTTGAACTTATAAATCTAAGGTGTAGCCTTTAAAATCTATCTCCAAGCAGTTTTCAAAGTTTCTTAAAATTGATTCCTAAACCTAGATCTTAAGCTAAACTTCTAAGCCTTATCCTAAAGTATAATCTAAAGCAAATTAAGAGCTAAGGCTGAATTTAGGCATTAGGTTTTAACTTAAGTTTTTTCTAGACCTTAAACTATTCTTCTAAACCTAAACTTAAATTAGTCTAACCTATAGTCTTTGAAAAAAAAAACCCAAAAAAATTTCCACGGCCCCGAAACTCACTCAGATTCCCTGAGAAATTGAATGATATTGAAATTGTCGGTGTTCTCGAGCGGATCCAAATTCGTCGTCTGTCTCGAATAATCACCGCCTTTTGACATAACTTATGTGTGTTTTTCGGCACGCGAATCAAATTCGATTTGGGACCAAAAATGGTCGGAAACACAATGAGGGGTCGACCGACTTTTTGAGAGAGTTTTTTCTGCAAAAAAATAATCTTGATGAGATGAGACAAAAAAAGAACAGAAATGTCGAAGTGGCAAAAAAACTTGATAGAAAAAAAGTTTAGGGGAGAAAATCTAGACAATTTTGAGAAAATTTGAAAAAAATTTCAAGGTTCAAAAATTTCCACGTGGCAAAATGAGCCCAGGTTTTTCTGGAGCTCAAAAACTCGAATTCGGATTTCTAAAATGCCACGTGGAAAAATTGAGCACAGGTTTCTTGAGCTCAAAAAATGTTATTTTGAAAAAAAATTGAAATTAAAATTATAGAATTTTTTTTAAATCAAAAATGTTCGGGCTTATTTTCAAAATTAAATTTCTAAAATGCCACGTGGCAAAATTTACAAAAAAAAATCAATATTCAAAACTAATTTAATGAGTCCCAAAAAACTTCCAAAAATTAAATTTTCAACAAAAAATGCACAAAACTTCAAGAATTTCACAAAAACTACCTCACAATCCTAAAATTAGCCGGGTAAAATTTGAAAAAATAGCGAAAAATTCGCAAAAAAAAGCACGGCCAGCACCGGCCACCCGACACAAACACACAAAAAAATGACTGAAAAAGACGCGAGCGAGAGAGACGAGACAGTGTGCGGGTTAGAAGAGACGCGAGACACAACAACGGTGAGAGAGCACACAGATTTGAGAGAGTGCAGACGACGCAGTGAAGAAGAGAGGCTCTGGTCGGCACGCAATTGTCCAGCCTGGCACCACCTTTCTCGCTGTCTGCCTGTCTCTCTTCAGCTTCCTGCACTCTCTCGTCGGTTTTGCTCTCGCTGTCTCGCGTCTCTTCTGTCTGCCGTGCTATTTCGCCATGCAAATAAACGAGGATGACGTTCTGGAATGGATGGCAGCGATTGCGTAAGAGTTCGGGGAACTTGAAAGCTGGAGGGGTACTGTAGATTTTGAGAAGGGATACTGTAGCCTTCAGGTTACTGTAGATTGAATTTCAAAATTCTGAAGTGATTAAGAATTTTGAGGCCTACTCTACAGTACAGTACTCTACAGTAATCTACAGTAACCAAAGATTTTTCCCTAAAAATCCTGAAATTACAGAACTACAGTAATTTAATTTTCTCGCGCTAAAAACTGATCTACAGTAATTTCGTCAAACTTTTTGATCTACAAGATTCCAAAAAACATTTAGCACTAACTTTTGAACTACAGTAACCCAAAATTTTGATCTACAAAATTAAAAAATCCAAATGTTCCTAAAAATGTACAGCTACAGTAATTCAATTTTTGAGCTCCAAAAGTTGATCTACAGTAACTTCGTGGAACTTTTTAATCCAAAAAAATTGGCACTAATTTTTGAACTACAGTAACTTACAGTACTCCAATTTTTAAAATTTGTAACCCAATACAAAAAAAAGAACTGTTTTAGTTAGTTGTGTGTGCCTTGTTGTAACCTTGAGTCGCAAAAAATAGTCGGTCGAGGTCGGAAAATTGTGAGAGAGTGTAGAGATTGGCAGAGACGCAGAGACAATTTGTGTGCGCAACTTGCGGCAAGAATGAGGGAGTGTGCGCGCGGCAAGCGTTTTTCTTTACGGGAGGGGGGAACATTTTCCGCTTGCCAAGATTTTTGGGGAAGCTGAAAATCCACGTGGCAATTCCGAGCAGATGCAAAAAAGTTTATTCATAAAATACACGATTTTTCAGTCGTCTCTCCACAATTTTCCTCAAATTCTGCGAATTCGCGCAATTTTCCGAGGATTTTTCGAAATTCTCCAGAATTTTCTTCCATTCTTGACAGGATTCCCATTCGATTCGATTGAAATCTCCGATCATTTTCAGATGGTCCGAGATTACGGTGGACATTAGTTGGTGCAAGTTTGTGGAACACGAGGCGGCTGGGTAGTCTGCAAGAAAAATTTTGAAATTTTGGAGCTCAAAATTCCACGTGGCACATTTTTATAGTGAAAAGTTTGAGGTCAAAATTTCGGAGCTCAAATTTCACGTGGCAAAACTGATTCTCAAAATTTTTAAACGTAAAATTTCAGAATTCAAATTCCACGTGGCAAAAATTAATCTCGAAATTTTTAATTTCAAAATTTCTGAGCTGAAATTCCACGTAGACAATTTTCATAGTGAAACGCTTGAGCTTAATATTTGAAGCTGAAAATCCACGTGGCATAATTCATTTTTAAAAAATCCACATCTAAATTTTCAACCCCAAAAACCCACGTGGCAACTAACCTTCAGATTCAGTTTCAGAGAATTCCGGGCTTCTAGGCTTTGAGGCCTTCGATTTTCGAGATTTTCTAGGCTTCTCGGACTTCTTTCGGGCTTGTTTAGGAGTTTCAGGCTTTTTCGGACTTCTGGACTTCTTCCGGGCTCTCTTAGGGCTTTCAGATTTTTCAGACTGCAAGTCTGAAAATTCCACTGGGCTTCTTGTGGGCTTAGGCTTTGACCTAGATTTTTCCGAGTCCGCTGGACTACTTTTGGGGCTTTCAAGCTTTGGTCCGGGCTTCTTTGGGCTTTCAGACAATTCTCTGATTGTGGTTTCAGAACTTTCAGATTCGAAACTTTCTGATTCAGATTTTGAAGTTTTGGATTGAGACTCAGATTCAGATTCAGATTCACTAGATCCAGAAGTTCCAGAATCTTCATCTTCAGATTCTGATTCCGAACTTTCAGATTCCGAAGAGCTTTCAGGCTTGGGTTTAGGTTTAGGCCTAACCTCAGGCCTAGTTTCAGGCCTAACCTTAGGCGGAGCCTTTACTTCAGGCTCCTCAAAAACCTCATCAAAAATAATCGATTCCGCATCCGAACTTTCGCTTTCGATTTGTTTTTTGAACGGTGATTTTTTCGGGAGTACTGTAGATGTCTGGGTTACTGTAGGTGAGGATCGAGAAGGTGGTACGCTAGATGTTAGGAAGGAAAATGAAGAGGATGAGGAGGGTACTGTAGATGTGGATTTCTGAAAAGAAGAGAATTGACTGTGGGGGAGGGGATACTGTGGATTTCCACGTGGCAGAAAAATGATCTGAAATTTCAGATTCTGAAAATTCTAGGTCGAAAAATCCACGTGTCAATTTTTTTTTTTTGAAAATTCGGATTCTGAAAAATCTACGACCAGAAAATTTACGTGGACTAAAGCTATTTGAAATTTCAGATTCTGAAAATTTTGGGTCAAAAAAATCCACGTGGCAAAAATTAAACTGAAATTTCAGATTCTGAAAATTTCAGGACCAAAAATTCACGTGGCAAAAAATGATTCGAAAATTTGAAATCTGAAAATTCTACGACCAAAAATCCACGTGGCAAGTTTTTTTTTGAAATTTCAGATTCTGAAAATTCTAAGTCCAAAAATCCACGTGGCAAAAAATTGAAAATTCTAGGTGAAATTCAAGTGAAGTTTTTTTTTTTTGAAATTTTGAATTCTAAAAATTTTGTACCAGAAAATTCACTGGGAAAATAATTATTTGAAATTTCAGTTTCTGAAAATTTTGCACCAGAAAATCCACGTGAATTAAATTGAAATTTCAGATTTTGAAAATTTTGGGTCAAAAAATCCACGTGGCAAAAATTAAACTGAAATTTCAGATTCTGAAAATTTTTGAACAGAAAATCCACGTGGCAAGTTTTTTTTTGAAATTTCAGTTTCTGAAAATTCAAGGACCCAAAAAATCACTCACCTTCTCCACACCAGATTTCTCAGTCCCAACTTTTTTCGGCGGTCCCGAAACATCGGGTATCAGGCTCTGATCGATCGAGTTTCGCAGCTCGCGGAGCTCATCCAAACTCTTCCGCGCGGGTTTATTGCCCGGTGTTCCGCGCGGCAATATTCGTTGAATTTGTGTGGCTTCCGAGTCGGATTCAGTGGATTCGGAGGAAGAAGTTGAGGAGAGAATGAGGAGTTTTTCACCGCGTGATTCGGAACTGTTAAAAGAGTCGCTGTAAAAATATGATCATTGCTCATTTTAAGCAAAATTTCCAAAAATTTTAATCGTCTTCTTTAAAGCCCTCTAATGAAAAGTTACCTTATAACCCCCAAAAAATTTCCCAGGGCTTAAAATTCACCAAAAATCCAAAATTTTCGGTTTAGAAAGCCCCCTGGCTTAAAATGCTCCAATTGTCACGTTTTTCAAAATCATGAGCCCCCAAAAATACTCACTTCAAACCATCAAAATCATCCGAATTTCCCCTTGACAACGAAGTTTGCCGTCTGACTTTCGAAATCAGCTCAGAAATCGATTCTCGCCGTTTTCCTCGCAAAGCTTTCGACGATTTTTCCAGCGATTCCAGATAGTTCTGAAAAAACTTTTTTTGACAAAAAAGAATTCTGGATTTTTTTTCGTAGTAAAAAAACTCACTAGAGCTGAAGAGGAGAGATTCGAAGAGGAGCGCATTTTTTTCTATTGCAAAAAAAATTTTGGGGGAAAGGGAAATTCGGAAAGGCGATTTTTCGTTGCTAGGGTTACCAGATTAAGAAAAAAAGGGGAACTTAATTTTTGAAAAGATTTTGATCTACAAAAAAATTTTTTTTTTTTTTAAATTGAAGAAGCTCAAAAGTTTTCTGATTTTTTCAGAAGCCTGGGAGAATTCTGAGGTTTCTGAGGTTCTGAGCAATTTGAAGAAATTAATTTCAAGAGCCTCAAAAACGTTTTGAAGGAGAATCTTAAGATTTCTGATTCTAAGATCGTAAGGACCTTAAGAATGTTTAAAAGAATTTTCTGAGGTTTTTGAGATTCTTAAGAAGCTATTTTTAATGTTGTTAAAATCTTAAGGACCTTAGGAATCTTTAGAAAATTTCTGTGATCTCTGAGATCCTTAAAAAGCATTTTTAATGTTGTTAAGATCTTAAGGACCTTAAGAATCTTCTGTGGTTTCTGAGATTCTTCAGAAGCTATTCTTAATAATGTTAACATTTTAAGGACCTCAAGAACGTTTTTAATTTATCATTACACTTTGTGACCCCCCAATTATTGTCCAATGTTTTCACAATTTTCTCTTGATGTTACACTTCTGCGCCCTTGGCTCCGCCTTCTCCTTTTTCCCATAATTTTTTGCCGATTTTTTTTTCCAATTGCGAAATATGTTTACTGGTACATATTTTCTGCAGAATTTCTTGTTTTTTTTTTCAAATTATTTTTCTGAATCACTTGGAGATGGAGAAAATGTGTAGCTTAAATGAACTTGAACCTTCAAAAAATTATTCCACACCCAAATTTTATTCTAAAAATAGTTACTAGCAAATAATGTGAAGGTCACATTGTTTTTGAATGTGAGAAGTTTCCTACTGTACCTGCACAAACAAAGCCGAAATAAAAGAATAGGTGACTAATGAGACAACCAAGTCTATTCATACAACCCAATTCCTGCGCTTTCTGACACCCTTAAGAAAATATTTTAATGGCCTTGAGCTTCTGTGGTTCCTTTTGTTAGATAATTTTAAGGTTACTGCGATTCTAACAATTGTTAGGCAGCAATTTTTATTGAACTTAAGGTTTTAAGATTCCTAAGAGCCTCTAGGAGATTTCTGAGGTTTCTGAAACCCAATTTTTTATTATTTTAAGGTTTTAAGGACCTCAAGAACCTTTAGAAGAGTTTTGTAAGGTTTCTGAGATTCTTAAGAAGCTATTTTTAATGGCCTTAAGCTTCTAAGGTCCCTAGGAACCTTTAAGAGAATTCTGAGATTTTTGAGATTCTTAAAAAGCTATTTTTATTGTTGTTAAGATCTTAAGGGCTTCAAGAACCTTTAGAAGAGTTTTCTAAGGTTTCTGAGATTCTTAAGAAGCTATTTTTAATGGCCTTAAGCTTCTAAGGTCCCTAGGAACCTTTAGAAGAATCCTGAGTTTTTTGAGATCAAAGTACAACAATATAAAGCTTTTCATCTGTCTCTTAATCTTCTCATATTCTCAATTTTTTGAACGAATTCAAAGTTTTTTCTCTTTTTTTTTTCTTCTCAAAAATCAATAAATAACAAGATTTTTTCCACAAACTGTTGTTTTTGTACATTTTTCTTTTCCCCACACCAATTATACGCTCCAAAATTCTTGGCAAACTTTTTTCAATATAAATTTTCAGTGAGCACAATTTCGAGCTATGGCAAACGAGAGCGACCGACTCACTGATCGATTTTTGCGATGGCGAAGAGATGATCCGGCTAGGAATTTCAATAATGGACCGCTCTACCAAGAGCCAACAGAAAATCGTGAGTTTTTCCAGGAGGCCGGACTCAAAATGTATGTACATACATTCCAGGAAACTCTCGTCGATTTTATGATGAGAGAGAAGTTCAGCAGGAGATGGAAGATCTACAAAGATCCAGATCTCGAATGCTGGATGATCAGGCTTATGATTTGTTCGAGGATCGGGAAGAGCCAGAAGGTGAGGTATGACGTGGCAAATTTTCAAGATTTCTGAACTTTTACAGATCAATATTATTATCAAAATAACAGAAGAAGAAGTAGAAGTAGATCATTGTAAGTTTTTTTTTCATAATCATAATGTAATGTAATTTTTGAAGTTCCGGAGAGCGTACATACGGAGGAGTTGGGGGTTATTATTTTAATGAATATGGAGATTATACCAGAAGGTGTGAGAACAATCGAGAAGAAGAAGAAGAAGATCGGAGAAATGAGCCAACTGGATTTGAAGATGATGATAGTTATGAAGAAGTTGAAGTGTTTGATAATGCTGGAGGACTTGGTGGGTTTTTTGCGCTGGGTTTGGATTTTTAGCTACCGAGCTTTGAAAATTTGAAATCAGTGTGAATTTTGGGCTCGGAAGAGTCTAAACATCCGTGGATTTACGGATATTAAAAGTTCTAGGGCTTTCAGAAGTTTCTGGGCTGAAATTTTGCGCTGAGCTCGAATTTTCGGCTCCCGGAACTCAAATTTTTTTCAGTTGGGATCGAAAGAAGACCAAAAAACCACCAACAAAAACGAAAAGAAACAGCTCCACGTAATTGGATGCCAACTCACGAAAACATCGAAGAATTGTTCGAAAACACAAGAATTTCTGGAATATCTGAGCATCCCAAAGAACAACAAGTTCAAATCAAAAATTCAGATTTGCATGATCAACTAACTTCTTGGGAGACTTCTGGATTAAATTCTCAAATCCTTAGAAACCTTCAAAAGTTGAACTATTCACACGTTCGAGCGATCCAAGCTGCAGTTATTCCACAAATCTTGCGTGGCTATGATGTTTGCGGACAAGCGGAAACCAGTTGCGGAAAAACAGCCGCCTATGGTTTGCCAATCATCCACAAGATTCTAGAGTACCCAGAAGATCAGAGAAATCTGGTTGCTAAAAGTTCATCGCCCTATTCGATTGTTCTGGCGCCAACAAGAGAATTGGCAAAGCAGATCTATCAAAATTTCCTGATGTTTGCTGATGGCACAGATGTTCAAATTCAGCTCGTCTACGGTGAGATGAATCGATGGGAATGTTTGCAAAATATTCAAAGAGGTTGTCATATTTTGGTTGGAACTTGTGGAAGAATTTCGGAATATCTTGGAAAAGCCGAAATCAATTGTGGCAATTTACGATTCTTTGTTTTGGATGAAGCTGATCGATTGATGAATGATTTGAGAAATGCAACTGAAACTCATCTCAGGAGTATTTTGGAAGATCAAAGTTTTATCGGGACAGATGAAACTCGCCAAACTTTGTTGTTTATGGCCACGATTAATTCAAAAATTGATGGTTTCGCGGGAAATTTTATGAGAAAATTGGAGGGATTTGAAGAGTAAGTTTTTCGGACTATCACTATCCTGATGTTTGAAATTGCAAAGGTCAACTCCTAAAATGGTTTATGACGCTGTAAAGTTCGAAAATCTAATAGCATAGGGGTTCACATGGGTTCAATTATTTCTGAAGCTAATTTTCAACTCCTGACATGAGGATTTCCACGTAATAACTCATGATAGGAGTAGATTTCTGCAATTTTAGATAACGGGATTGAGATCGAAGAAATTTTTTATAAAAAATATAGATATTCAGAAATTCCTAACATTTTCAAGAGGCTGTGATCTCACCAAACTGACCATGCTGAAAAACTCTCAGAATTCAAAAAAAAATTTCTGACAATGAAATTAATTACAGTAGAATTAATAGAGCGTTTTTCAGACAATTCTAAAAGTTGAGAAAGAGGTTTCAGAAAAATTAAAAACATTCCAGTGTTGTTCGAATTGAGGTGGAAAACACGAGAACAATCAATTCTCAAGTTCAACTAAATTTTCTGCAAACCAACAACATCGCGGAGAAAAATGAGGAACTTTGGAAGCTCTTGAGAACTGTCGATGGTGCAACCGGCACCATCCCTAGAACTCTGATCTTTGTTGAGCAGAAAAAACGAACCGATTACTTCGCGATTGAATTGACAAAGAATGGGATAAATGCAAGGAGTATTAATGGGTAAGGGCTTTAGGTTAAGATAACGAGCTTAAAAAACGGTTTAGGGATCTACCCCAAAATGTGCGTGAATCGGTTCTCAACGATTTCAAAAATGGGAATATTCAAGTGCTGATTTCAACTGATATTTGTTCGCGTGGAATCGAGATTCCTGAACTTGAAAGAGTTATAAATTATGATGTTCCAAAGGCAACTGTAGAGGAAGCGATGGCGATTTTTGTTCATCGAGTTGGCCGAACTGGTAGATCAAAACCTGGACATGCGTTTACTTTCGTTAATTTGAGTAATGAGGTACTTAAGCTAGAACTGACAGAACTAAAATAATACAATAATTTCGAATTTCAGAACCCTTTTTATCGTGATAGTCAAAACGATGCATATTTATTGCCTTCATTTATCGAATTATTGGAAAATATGGGAAGAGCTGATCAAATCCCCGGATGGATGAGATATTCTAGAAGTGCAGAAGTTGGAGATGAAGAGGATTGGTGAAAAAATTATGAATTAATTTTATTATTTTGTTTTTTGTTGATTTATTTGTTTATGAATTATTTGGTTTTTGAAATAAAAATTGTCCGAGAGAACTACACGCGCTCAGTTGTTCGCTGGAGCGCGCTTGCATCTTTACTTTTATTTTCCACTTTTTTTTCACAAAATTTTCAATTTTCCCGAAATCCCTCCCCAAAAACTCACCGATCGCTTCTATTTCTCATCGAAAATTCGAAATCCTCCAAGTTTTCCACGTTTTTGTCATTGAAATCCAATTGTCCATCAATATTTCGAGCTGAAAATCAGAAAATTTGAATTTTTCATGTACCATTGAGTTCTGCTAACTCCATTCCTGTTTCTATAGATTTCTGAGGAGTTTTCCTTGGGTCTCACAACAATTTTCCAGCTATTTTTCAGAGGTTCACAGAAAAATCTTACCCAAACCCATTTTCCATTGATTTTTGAGTGAAAAATCCAGTAATAACCGAACAGTTTTCATGAAATCGCTTCAAATTCAACCAATATTCGTTTTCCTCATATTCAAAATCATTTTGACCCTGAAAACTCAAAAATTTCAATTGAAACAGTGTTTCTCTAGAAAAAAACCCACCTTTCTTAGATAATCCTCGGATTTTCGGTTGGAAGCGATTATTCCAGCTTTGTAGAACATCTAAAAATTCAATTTTTCACTGAAATTCACTGATTTTCCCCGGAAAGCTGAAAACCCAGCGAAAAAAACGAAAAATGAAAATATTCTCGTGTTGCGCTAAACAGCGGGCAAACCGGAGTGTCGTTGTAAAAGTCAACATATTTTCATTTTTTGTTTTTTCCGCTGGGTTTTCTGGTTTCCCAGGGAAAATCAGTGAATTTCAGTGAAAAATTGAATTTTTAGATGTTCTACAAAGCTGGAATAATCGCTTCCAACCGAAAATCCGAGGATTATCTAAGAAAGGTGGGTTTTTTTCTAGAGAAACACTGTTTCAATTGAAATTTTTGAGTTTTCAGGGTCAAAATGATTTTGAATATGAGGAAAACGAATATTGGTTGAATTTGAAGCGATTTCATGAAAACTGTTCGGTTATTACTGGATTTTTCACTCAAAAATCAATGGAAAATGGGTTTGGGTAAGATTTTTCTGTGAACCTCTGAAAAATAGCTGGAAAATTGTTGTGAGACCCAAGGAAAACTCCTCAGAAATCTATAGAAACAGGAATGGAGTTAGCAGAACTCAATGGTACATGAAAAATTCAAATTTTCTGATTTTCAGCTCGAAATATTGATGGAATTGGATTTCAATGTTCAATAACGTGGAAAACTTGTAGAATTTCGGATTTATCAAGGATTTCGATGAGAAATAGAAGCGATTGGTGAGTTTTTTGGGGAGGAATTTCGGAAAAATTGAAAATTTTGTGAAAAAAGTGAAAAATAAAAGTAAAGATGCAAGCGCGCTCCAGCGAACATTTGAGCGTAGTTCTCTCGGACAATTTTTATTTTTTTTTTTTGTAATTTTTCAAAGTTTTTTGATGTTTTAAAACAACTTTTTGTCGAGTTCAATGATCTTTATTCAGAAAAGTTTGTCTAGAAGAGTTTGGTATCAAAAAAAAATTCAGAGAAAATTATTTTCGGATGTCGAAAGCCGATGGAAGTTGACGTTTTTTGCGATTATCTCCTGGTCCGGGCAAAATTCCAAAGTTTGACAATTGCAAAGTTTCCAAGCTCACGCCAGATCCCTCGATTTCGATGATCTGAAATTAGTTTGCAATTTTGCGGCATGGTTTTTCAGCTGTAATTTTGCAGCCTACCTCAATTTCTCCAGATTCTGAAGAAGATGAGCTGGAATCGGAATTCGAAGCCGAATCTGATTCAGAAGAACTCGAGCCTGCAATTGTGCTCTGCGAGCTGACAAAGCCTGAAACCAATTTAATTTTTTTTTTAATCTGGCATTCCAAAAACCTACCCAAAATCATTGCGAAAATCCAGAAAAATTTCATTTTCGGAGGGAAAAAATGAAAAATTTCCCAATCGAAATGTAGCTAAATATCGGCTGTAAAAGGCTGTGCAAACAAAAATTTTTTCGAAAAAAAAAGAAGTACTGTAGTTTTTTTGGGGCAAAACTAGTTTATTTAATTTTTGAACTCTCACAAATCAATAAATTATTTTTTTAGTACATGAAAGATTTTTGAATATGGTAAGAACCCGGGTAGATCGAAAAATTAATTAATTAGAAGGTTACTGTAGCTCGCCGTAGCTACAGTACTCTTGAAGAGGTACTGTAGTTTGAGAAGTTGGTGGGGAAAGCATTGGAGGTTGGAGGACACCTGCAAAATTTTGATTTAGCTTAACTTTGCTCCTAGGGAAGATTTCTGGGTGATTTTTTCACCAAAAGCTAGGAAATCTCAAGGCGCATCCTATGACACTAAATATGACCTTAGAGAAATTAGGATATCTAGGGTAAAACCTTAGTGACCTTAAGGTAACTAGCTCACCCAAATTTTGTAAATAAGCAGCATAATCGGCCAAGAGTGACATAGTTATAACTGGTGTATTATTCTGAGCAATGCTCTGATTTTGCTCAGCCACCAAAGGAGTTGGTGCAACTTGTTGAGTTGTTGAAGAATTAGTGGATGATGGTGTTGGCGAAGGAGTTTGTGGATGCGAAGAGGAATGCGACGATTTTCGATCGCGTTTGTCTTTAGCGCGACGATTTTGAAACCAGGTTTTGACCTGGTTTTCAGAGAGGCTCAGAGTTTGCGCGAGAAGTTGACGTTTGTCTCGAGCCATGTAGCAGTCGCTGAGGTATTCCTAGAAAATTCGGAGTGCTGAATTTAATTTCAGCGTGAAATTTGGGATTTAATGAATCTAGATAGTATTAGAAGTCTGAACATCAGTAGATCTTTGAATTCAAGAATCTGGATTTTGCAGAATTTTCCAAAAAGTTTCTAGACTGAAATTTCATGCTGAGCTCGAATTTTCCACTCTCAAAACCTAAAAATCTAAATTCAGTGTGAAATTTGGATTCTGATGATTCTAAACATCGGTGGATCTTTGAATTCAAAAAGTTCTAGATTTAGTCGAGATCTTCAGAATTTCCGAAAAGTTTCTAGGCTGAAATTTTGTATTTTGACTTTTAGGCTCCTGAAACGTGAAAATTTGAATTCAGCGCAAAAATTGGGTTCGGGTGAGTCTAAACATTTGGAGAATACTGGATTTAATTTTAGGTTGGAATTTGCTCTGGGGATTTCTAGATGTCTTCGGAACACATTTTAAAGTTTTTAAATTTTTTCCAGAAAGTTTCTGGGCTAAAATTTTCCGCTGAGCTCAAATTTTCAACTCTCAGAACCTGAAAATTTGAATTCAGCGCAAAATCTAACCTCTAAAATTTCTATCAAACTATATACATTCCAACTAATAATACCCTCATATATATTTCGCTCTGCAAAAAAATACACAATATTTTTTTTCTCGCAACTCGCCTATGTAATTAAATTTCTTATTAGTTATAGTATAGTTGTCGGAGTATATTTTTATAAATTTTTTTCTTTTTGCGCACGCAAAAAAATGAGGAAAAAATAAAATTAGAACGAGAATGAGTGGATCAAAAATCTCTACAAAGATCTGGAACTTTTTTGCGAAAACAAGATTCGAGTTAGGACTTGTCTGAAGCAAAATTGTGAGTTCAAATTTTCAAGTTCCAAAAGCCAACAAATTGAGCTCAGCGCAAAATTTCAGCTTAGAAACATTTTTGAAGAATCTGAAAACCCGGCTGATCCTAGAACTTCTAATATCCATAAATCCACTGATGTTTATACTCATCCGAACCCAAATTTCAAGCTGATTTCAAAGTTTCAAATTTCACCAGTTAGAAATTCAAATTCAGCGCAAAATTTCAGCCCAGAAACGTTTTTAGGGGTTCTAAAAACCCGGCTTATCCTAGAACTTCTAATATCCATAAATCCACTGATGTTTATACTCATCCGAACCCAAATTTCAAGCTGATTTCAAATTTCCACGTTTCAGAACCCAAAAATTCGAATTCAGCGCAAAATTTCAGCTCAAAACATCTACAAACCTGTTCTAATCTCGCCGCCTGATCCGGTGAAAAAGTCGTTCGTTTTCTTCTCGATCTTTCCGGTTGAACATCGGGTGTCGACGATTCTAAGCCCAGGCCCAGGCCCAGGCCTAGGCCCGGACTTGGATCATCTTGCACCACTACACAATTTCCAGCCATCAAAATTGATCTGGAAATTTCAGATTTCCGCGGTGACGTCACGGCTCAAAAACTATACAATTGTAATTATGAAAAATTTCACACGCTGTGAAAAAAAATAGTTTTTTTTGTCATGAAAAAATCACCTGCTTATTATTATTTACGCCTGGAATTTTTTTTTTTTGAGAAAAAGGAGAAAAAAATTTCGAAAATTCAAAAATCACCTCAAATTTTCGTCGTCCACAAAAACACGTCGCGTTTGGCGGATGTAGGGGTGAAAAGCTGACATTTTCTGGAAAATTTTGGATTTCTCGTGAAAAATTGTGCCACGTGACTTTTTCAAATGTAGAAGGATTTAAAAAAAATTTGCCACGTCACCGCTCAAACATCAGAAGCTCAAAGAAGAAGAAAAAATGAATAAATGAATGCACACGGCGCGCAAAAAATAATAATATTGAAAAAATTGAGGGGCGGAGCCTCAAGGCTCGCGCACTCTCTTATTAGTATTATTTCATTCATTCATCGCTAGAAAAAAAAAGAGGGAGAAAAAATTGGCTGGCTGGAAAAATGAGAGAAAATTGTTATAAATAAATAATGAGATATTAGTATTTATGCTAATGTATATTGAAAAAAAGAGATATATAATTTTAGTAGATCAAAAAATAAAAAAGTTTGCGCCCAGCGGGGTTCGAACCCGGGTCTAAAATTTAAAACGCGCGCGTGAAACCAGTTGAGCTACCGGGACCTTTTAGTGCAGACCGTTGAATTGCTTTTTTATAGTCGCTGCGAGCGCAGTCCATTTCAACATTAAAAAATTAATTTTCAAATATATATATTTCCGCGCCGGAAAGAACTTTACATACTACAAATAGCATCAAATCCAAAACTCATTAAATCTGCTCGTCGTATCAAAAAAAGCTTGAAGAAGGAGGAGGAAAAAATAAATAGCTTGTGGCTTGAAAGGGACACTCACTCACTCACTCACTCACATCCAATTAGCCATCTTTTTTTGTGCTATTCATTCAGTGATCGGAAAACAGGGAACTTTATTTTTGCGATATGCGCCTTTGAAAATGTGTACTGTAGAAACATGAAAACCAGCGGGGATCCCCTCGAGGTGCGAGTATAAAAAGGCAATTCAAACATAACGTTGAAAACACACACAATAGCTCAGGCGGTTGCGCGTGCGCTTTTGCTTCACGAGGTCGCGAGTTCGAGTCCCGGCCGGCGCGAATTTTTTTTCCAGATTTTTATAATCTCTGAACTCTGTGAAAAATTCAATTATAGCATCAGAAATATATATAGTAGGAGGAGCAGGAGCAATTTAAATTGAAGAGGAAAATGTAATTAAATTTCGCGCAAAAAAATTCACGATTAGTATGGGAAACGACACATACACACACACACACACACAAAAAAGACGAGTAAATAGCAGAAGCAAAAAAAAGAGACTCGAAATTAAATTTTTTTCGAATTATTGGATTTTCGCTTGATTAATTTGAAGAAAGATGCAAAAAAAAGGGGAGATGTTCGAAAAATTGTGGTTTTTTGGGGCCACGTGGCGCGAAAAGAAAAAAAAACAAAATTTTTTTGCAAATCACATAAAATCAATCATAATGTAATAAAAATTATCGATTATTTTTTGAAAAATAAAAATTTCCAGTAGATCAAAGAAAAATTCTTCATTCACAAAAAACACAAACTTTTGTGTGCGACAAGTAATTGCATGGGATAATTTTGATGATTTTTCACATTGATAGTAATTGGGTTACTGTAGAAGTGTTTAAAGGCGCATAATCGAGTTAATTTTGAATTTTTATTAGTTTTTTGGGATTTTCGTCTGATTCTTCGCCACCACGTCGTTTTTTCGAAAGTTTTTGGGGGGCTGCAAATTTTTTCAAAATTATTTTTTGCCGAAAATAAATTTAAATTTGATCTACCTACAGTACGCCTCACCATTAGTTTCTATAATATTATTATTTTCATCATTGCTCATATTAGGTTCCTCAGGTTCTTCTTCTTGAATCTCATGGAAAATCGATAATTTTCCAACTGGTGCCACGTCATTTGTGACGTCACATAATTTTTGGGTGGCTGAATCTGATGACGTCATCACCATTTTCACCAGGGAAATCTCGAATTCACCATTGGAACTTGTCAGAATATCGGGGAATATGTGATGTTCGATCCACGTGGCGAATTGTGACACGTGGCACATTTTGGAGGTGGCGATGATTGCGCCGTGGCGAATGTTTTCTGGAAAAATTTAGATCTATCTGGGGTACTGTAGATTTTCAAAACTCAAAAATAGCCCTACAGTAATCCTAGAAGCCTAGCGATCAGTTTGAGACCAAACTTGATGTGTTTTGGATAATTTTCAAGTTCTCTACAGTACCCGTTTCTCTGCGAGACTTACTGGGAGTACTGTGGATTTTCAAAACTCAAAAATGTGTCTACAGTAATCCTAGAAGCCTAGCGATCAGTTTGAGACCAAACTTTATGTGTTTTGGATAAATTTCGAACGTTTCGCTTCGAGACCCAGCCAAAAAATGTTTTCGCGCTAAAAAAAAACTCACCATTTCTATCTACATCATATAACAAATGCATGTGAGTATCGAAAAGTGTCAGCGAATCCGAGACACGTTCATAAATCAGTAAAACTGTGCGAATTGAGCCAATGATGACGAAAACGAGGCGAGAATCCGGCAAAAATGCGGGGCTTAAAGGTGCATACAGTATATTTATTATCGTGATGGGACCCACCCAGAATGTTTTGGGAAGGGGGGCTTATGGGGTGTCAAAATTTCGGGAATTTTGTGTAGATCACTCACCATCGAATCGCTGCGCGAATCATTCGCGGAAGCGCCGCGGCTATGCGCGCGTGGCACAATTTGAAGTCGATTTCCGCGAACGTTGTTCCGCAAGCCTTGATAGCGTCCGGAAGGTTGTAGACGCGAGTTGACGCGTCGCCCGCATCACTCGCATACGCCTCATTGCCATCGATGATGCCATTGACGAGAGCGGCGAAAATCGCGGAAGGAATTCGCGGCGAATCTGCGGCGGCGAAAGAAAATTCGCGACGCGGACTTGCGAATTCACGGCCTCCTGGTTGACGGTAGAAACTCTGGAAAAAAAATTTTGAAATTTTTTCCCTATGTTCGGTATCAAAATGCTCCAAAACCACCAACCTGCGACATAAAAACGCGATGATTGTGCAGAATTTCAGCGATTTTCAGCGCGATCAACGTGCACGCATTCGACAGTTCCTGTTTTCCGGCCAACGAGGATTGTGAGATTTCGAGCGGAAAACGCCACACTAGATTTGTCTGCAATTTTTGAATTGGCGCCCAAATTTGAATTTCATTTCAACGGTAAAAAACAAAGAGTTACCTCATCTTCTATTCGAAAAAAATCGGGATTGGGGTTAGATTTCATATATAAAAATTTTGCGAAATGAGCGGGTTTTTTCAAAAATGCATATTTCGTGGATTTTGACCATGTGGAATTTTTACGTGACGTTAAAAACCATTTTTTTTTTGTTTTTTTTTTCAAATTTTTTTTCCAAAACAAATCGGGCTCATTTTGTAGATCTCGTCGAGAGGAATCGAATGGTATTCTTACTTTAATTTTCAGGCCTCTCCAAAGCTATAAAAACTCTGAAAACTGAAAAAGAGTACTGTTTAAAGGCGCACACAGAAAACCAGGTGGGTCTTGAAGCGCTGTGTGTTTGAAAATTTATTATTTTTTTTTCTTTTCATTTTTTTCCGGGTTTTCTAGCTTTTTACAGCCAAAATGAGGGCTAGACTAAAATTCAGGCTTGTTTCCTCTGCGTCTCTCAAGTCTCATCATCTCTCTCCACCCCGTCCTTTTCATCAAAACAAAAGTGTAGTCGAGCAAATGCGCTCCAGCGAACAGCATCAGCTGTTATTTTTGTCTGTGTTGTTTTCGTTGTGAAATTCATGGGAAAATTGAGTTTTCCATCGATTTTTGACGTTTTTTCCGAATTTCTTGATAAGAATATTGATTTTTTGACAGGTTTTTCACACGTTCCGATGGTATGCGATTTGTTGAGAAGTTGTTGAGTTTGGTGGCGTTTTTTGGTGTGATTTCGGGTGGTGAACGAGATTTGGCAGAGGAGAAGGTGAGATTTTTGGGAAGTTTTTTTTAGAAATGTATCTGCGAGCTAAAATTATAAGCGAAAACCTGAAAATAGAGACACGCAATATATTTTTGAAAAAAAAATTGATTTTTGGTCAAAAATCCCTAATGGCCGAGTCTCAGAGCGAATTTTCACCAAAAATAATGCGAAAATCGCTTCAGGACCCAGAAATTCGATTTTTTCATGGTAAAATTGATCTTGGAGCGATTTCAGGCTCCAAAATTGAAATTTTCGGGTCTATGAGCGATTTTCAAGAGTTTTCGCGCTCAAAAACGAAGAAAATCGCGATGAGACTCAAAAAAATCAATTTTTGAAGCTGAAAATCCTTGAAAATTTGAATTTTCATATTTTCCACCTAAAAATCAAAGAAAAACGGCGGAAAACAAAAATAAAAGAACTACTTTTGCACTTTATAAGATTAGCAGCCAATAAATAAAAATGAGATTGCGTGTGGCTTTTTTTGAGCTGAAAAAAGCTGAAAACTAGGAATTTTTGGCTAAAAATCGATATTCTCATTATTTTTAGCTTCGAGACACAAGAAAATCAAGATTTGGAGCCTAAAATCGTTCCAAGACCAAAATTCTGTTAAAAATTTCAATTTTTGGGTCTCGAGGTGATTTTACTATAATTTTTAGGTACAAAAACTTCAAAATTCGCTTCAAAACCAAAAAAGTTCAGTTTAGGAGCAAAAAAATCGTTCCAAGACAAAAATTCTGTGAAAAATTCAAATTTTTGGGTCTCGAAGCATTTTCTTCGTTTTTTTTTTGCACCAAAAATCGCTCCGAAACTAAAATTTCATGAAAATTTCAAATTTTTGGGTCTTACACCGAATTTTCCATCAATTTTCGCGCCAAATTTCAAGTGTTCAAATTTTCTGTTTGCAGGAAAAAATTCTGGAAGACTCAAGTCTCTCAACATGTGATTTCTCAATGGATTCTCGCGTCCGATTTCAAAGTTTTCTACGTGAGTAAAATGCCACGTGGCAAGCAAAAAATCAATATTTCTCGTTACAGAATTGTACTGTTTGGGTCATATGAAAGAGGTGGATTTGTTTCGAAATTATATTCGATGGGAACGTGTGGAATTTTTGAAGAGTATGAAGGAATTGTGAGTTTTTTTCGGGGGGTATTTTGAAATTTTCACAATTTTTTAGCCCTGGAACTCGGAAATTCGAAATTTTTTGGTCTAGAAAATGATTTTAGAGCTGAAAATTCGAATTTTTCATTGAAATTTAGAGGGTTTCAAGCCTGAATTCAAATTTTCAGATAATTTTCAACTTTAAGCTGAAAATTCTCCAAATTTCAAGCTGAAAATTTGAATTTCTCATGAAATTTGGAGGTTTTTGAACCTAGAATCAAATTTTCAGCATAATTTCGAGCTTAGGCTCAAAATGCTCGAAATTTCAAGCTTAAAATCGATTTTGAGCTGAAAACTTGAATTTTTCATGATTTCTAAGCCCAATCTTGACATTTTCAGACTATTTTTAGTTGGAAATTTGAATTTTTCAATAATTTTCTCAAGTTTGGACTCAAATTGCTCCAAATTTCAAGCTGAAAATCAATTTTCAGCCAAAAACTTTCAAAAAATTTCCAGCCTCTCTCCAATCGACTCCAAATTTCTGCCTCAAATCGAACAACACGAATTCGTCTCGAATTGCTCTTTCCGCAATTTTTCGGAAATTTCAGATGTTCATGAAAGAGCTGAAAATAATGCTGGATGGGACGATAAAATGTATGATTTGTAAGTGCATTTTGTGGAAGGGGATTTTTGAAATATGGGCTGAAAATTGATTTTCAGCTCAAAATTTGAAGCATTTTGAGCCCAAATATGAATTCTAGGCTAGAAAATCTCAAAAATCCGAATTTTCAGCTCAAAATTTGACAAATTTTGAGCGAATTGTCTGAAACTCTGAATTTAGACTGAAAAATCTTGACTTTTACATGAAAAATTGAAATTTTTTGCTTAGAATTGTCTGAAAGTTATTTTTCAGCTCGAAATTTGGAGGATTTTGAGCCTAAATTTGCTGAAAATGTGACTTTAGGCTCAAAATACTCGAAATTTGATGAAAAGATCAAATTTCTAGCCAAATTTTTACTGAAAATCCAATTTTAGGCCTAAAAATCTCCAAATTTGATGAAAAATTGAAATTTTTTGCTTAGAATTATCTGAAAATTGATTTTCAACGCAAAATTTGGAGCATTTTGAGCCTAAATTTGAAAATTTGCTGAAAATTTGAATTTAGACTGAAAAATCTTGACTTTTACATGAAAAATTGAAATTTTTTGCTTAGAATTGTCTGAAAGTTATTTTTCAGCTCGAAATTTGGAGCATTTTGAGCCTAAATTTGCTGAAAATGTGACTTTAGGCTCAAAATACTCGAAATTTGATGAAAAGATCAAATTTCTAGCCAAATTTTTACTGAAAATCCAATTTTAGGCCTAAAAATCTCCAAATTTGATGAAAAATTGAAATTTTTTGCTTAGAATTATCTGAAAATTGGTTTTTAACGCAAAATTTGGAGCATTTTGAGCCTAAGCTCGAAATTATGCTAAAAATTTGATTCTAGCCTGACAAACTTCGAAATTTTCAGATCTTCATTAAATTTTATATTAAATTGTCTGAAATTTCATTTCTATGCTCAAAAAACTCAAAAATTTCAGTTATCAAATTTGAGCTCAAAATTTTCCAGATTTCCGGAAAAATCCTAAAAAATCCCCAATTTTTCCAGATCCTTCGCAAGTTTGGCTGGTTTTGTGCTGTAAAACAATTCCAGAATCTGGAATTTTGATCTGTGTACCTTCGATTTGCTTCATGTTTTCCTTTAACTTCAAAATTACCGGTTTCACCTCAAATTTTTCAAAGAAATATAACCTCTGTAATATTTTTTGCGCGGAAAAAATCAATAAATTCTTCAAATTTACACTCAAAACAATGGGAATTTTATGAAAAATTCGAAAATTTTCAAATCATCCACAAATTATATTGATTTGGCATCGAGTATACGGTAGATGTGTTGGAAATCGACGAATTTTCAACGGCGTCATCGAAAATGCACCGAAAAATCATGTAGTAGACGAAGGCTGCAAGAAAAGTGTGCCAGGGTTGCAGAAAATTGGCCACGCCCCTTTTTCGCCGTGAAATTTGCAACATTTTGATGGTTTTTACATGAAAAATCGTTAGGTTTAAGCTCCGCCCAGAAAACTGTGCCAGGATTGCAGAAAATTGAAAAACATCACATTTGACGAGAAAATGAACAAAATTTCAAGCTACCGTACTCCTTGACACTAAAAATTACGTGAAAATGCACACTTTTTGTCTACAGTATCACAAGAACACCGAATTTGACGAGAAAATGCAAAAAACATCCCATTTTACATAAAAATGCACAGTTACAAGCTACCGTATCCTCAAAACATCAAATTTTACGCAAAAATTCAGACTTTTGACCTACAGTACTCCAAGACACTAGAAATTACGTGAAAATGCAGAAAACACCAAATTTCGGCTCAAAATGCTCGAAATTTCGTTGCGCAAAAGACTACTGTGCCTTCAAAACCCACCCAAGTAGATCAAACCGATTGGTGCCAAATCGGTGATGTGACTACGGTAGAGAAAAAGTGCGGCAACAAAGGGAATCTGAATTTATTTTTGTGAAAAAAAAAACAATTTTTCGAATTTTTCTGGAATACTCACCATTTTTCGTGGGGGGAAATCGTAAAAATGAGAAATTTTGGGGGGAAATTTGGATTTTCGGGTTTCTAGGCAACTCTCGAGAAATTATGGGATTTTTCTGGAGGAAAAAACTACGGTAGGAATAAAAAATCAAAAAAAAATTACTACGGTAATCAATTCAAAGGCGCGCACACATCGTGACGAGACCTTTTTGACTGAAATTCCAAGTTTAGACTCAAAAAATGACGAATTTCAAGCAGAAAAATGCGTTTTTCAGGTTTTCCGAGTCTTCGTAAAAACATTAATATTGGACTTTATTCTTCAATCAATAAAAATTTTGGGGGGATTGGGAAAAAAACCGGATAAAAACATCGTGTCGTCAATGGGTAGTGTCGTTGTGCATTTTAAAAGGCGTAAAAGTGTTTGCGGATTCAACAATGTTCAAAATCTTCGTCCTTTTTGACTCTTCTCTCAACTCGAACATATCGAAGTTTCGAAAAGTCGAAAAGTTCCTCTTCCAAATTTCGAATCATCTCATCAAAGCTCGCATATTTTTTCTTCGCATTTTCTTTCGAATCTTCAGAAATCAGAAAATATTCGTGGATTTCCTTCTTGGCCAATTCAGCTGGAAAAATCCCGATTTTTGGGCTCAAAATGCTCTAAATTGTATGAAGAGTTCAATTTTGCCTCCCAAAACTCAAAATCACCTTCAAAATTCTTGATAGCGTTCAAAGCCTTCTCTGCCGTATTATATCCGGCATGTCCTTTGTGTGGGAAGTGTGAGGTTTTCTCGTCGGCAGTCGGCCAATCGAAAATCCCATTTTCTCGACCGTTCCAAACGGCGTGAAATTGTTTCATGACTTTTTTGGGTGTTGATAAGCGGATGCTTGATAAGCGGTTTAAATAGTGGTGAAAAAGTGGGCGGAGTTTGTCAGGAAGCTTCCAGAAGGTGCCATATTTCGCAACTGGTTTTCGGAACTGTTTCTTATCAGCAAAAAATGATTACGAAAAAAATTGGCTTCGCGCCAAAGCTACGTCATAGAATATTAGCAACTCGAAAATTTATAATATTTAGAAATGAAAAAAAAAACGAAGAAGAAAAAATACATTTTGAGCTAAAAAACTACGGTTAAATCTGAAATTTTTAGGAAAAATCAAAATCTGAAATTATTGTTGGATTTGTTTGTTTCCTTGCTCGGCGAGCACTTGTTTATGGAATTCGGCCATTCGACGTTCGAGTTCTGGGCGGAAGTGACGGATCAAACCCTGCAAAAATTCGTGATTTTTGAACATTTTGAGAAAAATTGGGTCGAAATTCGATTTTGTGGTGAAAAAATGACTGAAAATCGAAAAATCTGAACCGTCTGATGATTTATGAAAATTTTACATTTTTTTGCGCCAAAAATCACCCGAAATCGCTTCGAGACCCAGAAAATTCGGTCTTGCGACGATTCTTAGCGTCAAAACTCGATTTTTTGGGTCTCGAAGCGACTTTCAAAGTATCTGGTACCAAAAATCACACGAAATCGCTTCGAGACCGAAAATTTGAAAATTTCAGGATTTTTGGCTGAAAATTTCAAATTTTCGACTCTTGGACCATTTCTTTGTCAAAATTGTGAATTTTTGAATTCCAGATGACTTTGGGTCAGTTTTTCACGAGAAAATCGAATTTCAAGTCAAAATTTGGTATTCTGGGTCAATTTTCGCGGAATTTTTTCAAATTTCCAGTCAATTTCAGCCCAAAAATACTCACCTGAACCGGCCAAGCAGCTGCATCTCCCAACGCACAAATCGTGTGTCCCTCGATTTGTTTCGACAATTCCCACATCATGTCGATTTCAGAGGATTTGGCTTTGCCGTCAACAAAACGCCACATCATTTTGTTCAACCAATTGCATCCTTCACGGCATGGGGTACACTGAAAATTGAATTTAGGTTGAAAATTTGGAATTTTTGGGTTATTTTTTGATATAAAAAACTTGAAAATTGAATAATTTTGAGTAATTTTGATATGAAAAACTTGAAAATTGATGAATTTTACTTCGAAAAATTGATCTTTGGGTAATTTTCATCCAATTTCAACGTTTTTTGGCTCAAAATTCGTGATTTTTCTCAAATTCCCCGTCAAAAACCAACTCACTTGTCCGCACGATTCATGTTTATAGAAAAGCGACAATCTGGCGATACATTTGACAATATCAGTTTGTTTGTTCATAACAATTACAGCGGCGGTTCCCAAACCGGATTGAGCGGCGACCAACGCGTCGAAATCCATCAAAACTGTGTCGCAGACATTTCTGAAGGAAATTTGGGGATTTTTGATTGTGAAATTGTGATTTTTCATGAGATTTCGAATATTTTGAGTGAAAATTTTATTGAAATTCCAATTTTTCAAGGTTTTTGGCTCCGAAAAATCAATAAAAATCGCTTCAAGACCCAAAAATTTCGAAATTTCAAAGAAAAATTGATCTTGGAACGAAAAATTACAGTTTTTTGACGGGAAATTTCATTTTTTCGAGAATTTCGTGTTCAAATTTGAAATTTCTATGAAAACATGGTCTGGAAGCCATTTTTGGCATCAAAACTGAAGTTTTCTGGTCTCGAAGCGATTCTCAAAGCTTTCTGCGCCAAAAATCGCGTCTAGACCCGAAATTTTGAATTTTTCAGGTGTCTAAAGCACTCTGGGAATTAAAATTTGAATTTTTAGGCTCTGAAATCAAAAAACATGTGATTTGGGCCCAAATTTGATAAAAATTCAATTTTCCAACATTTCTAGGCCATTTTTCATCAATTTTTAGATTCTGAACTCAAAATTCTGTGTTTTAGGTTCAAATTTGATGAAAAATTCAATTTTCCAACATTTCTAGGCCATTTTGCATCGATTTTTAGATTCTGAACTGAAATTCTGTGTTTTAGGTTCTAATTTGATGAAAAATTCAATTTTCCAACATTTCTAGGCCATTTTTCATCAATTTTTAGGTTCTGAACTCAAAAATCTGTGTTTTAGGTTCAAATTCGATGAAAAATTCAATTTTCCAACATTTCTAGGCCATTTTTCATCAATTTTTAGGTTCTGAACTCAAAAATCTGTGTTTTAGGTTCAAATTCGATGAAAAATTCAATTTTCTAGACCATTTTTCATCAAATTTTAGGTCAAAAACCGCCCCAAAACACCTACTTTGGCATAAGTGGAACCGAAGATCCTCCTGGAATAATAGCCAACAAATTATCCCATCCACCAATAACTCCACCACAATGTCTCTCGATCAAATCCTTCAACGGAATCGACATTTCCTCTTCGACGGTGCACGGATTGTTGACTTGTCCCGAGATGCAGAAGAGTTTGGTTCCGCGATTTCGTTCGCGACCGAAGCCGGCGAACCATTCGCCACCGCGACGACAAATTGTTGGGGCGACGGCGACGGTTTCGACGTTGGTCACCTGCGAATACGGTATGTTCCTTTGAATTTTTCGTGGGAAATGAGTGAAAATGATAGTAAATTTGATAATAATCAAGTCTTTTCGCAAAAAATTCGCTTCAGAAGAATTTTGATATCCATAAGGCCTAGGTTTTCTGGTAAATTCTTAAAGGAACATAGAAATTGCTATTTTGGGTCTCGCAACGATGCAAAGATTTCAGGGTGAAAAATATACCAAAATACGCGAAATTTTAAGCTCTACAAGATTAAATAGCTCTAGGGACTCGAAAATTCCTAATCTCCAGGTTATTCCAAGAATTTTGATACCCATAAAGCCTGGGAATTTTTTAAAGCAACATAGAAATTGCTATTTTGGGTCTCGCAACGATGCAAGGATGAAAAATATACAAAAATGCGCGAAATTTTGAGCTCTACAAGATAAAGAAGGTCCAGAGACTTGAAAATTCCTAATCTCCAGTTTTTTCCAAGAATTTTGATTTCCCTAAAGCCTGGGAATTTTCAAAGGCACATAGGAATCACTAATTAGGGTCTCGAAACGACGTCCCTTTAAGAACAAAGCTTTCGGGGTGAAAAATACACCAAAATGCGCGAAATTTTGAGCTCTACAAGTTGTAGAAGACCAAAAAAAAACCTACAGTAGTTGGACATCCAAAAAGTCCAATATCAGCTGGGAATGGCGGCTTCAGTCTCGGTTTTCCTTGCTTTCCCTCAATACTCTCAATCAACGCAGTCTCTTCTCCACAAATATAGGCTCCAGCTCCACGAACAACAAAAACATCAAAATTGTATCCGGTTCCCAAGCAATCTTTTCCCAAATATCCCGCTTTATAGGCCTCATTCACAGCCTCTTGCAAAATACAAGCCTCGTTATAGAATTCACCGCGAATGTAGATATAAGCGGCTCTCGCACCCATCGCAACTCCGCCAATCAAGCAACCTTCGATGAGTTTGTGCGGGTCATGACGCATAATTTCACGATCTTTGCAGGTTCCCGGCTCTCCTTCGTCAGCATTTACAACAAGGTATTTTGGGCGACCGTCGAAGGGTTTGTTCATGAAACCCCATTTCATACCAGATGGGAAACCGGCTCCACCTCTTCCACGGAGTCCTGATGTTTTGAGCTCGCCCAAAATCCACTCGGAACCTTTGAGAATGATGTCTTTGGTTTTGTACCAGTCACCCTGAAAAAAATGAAGTTTTTGGGAAGAAACCTGGTCCTTTTAAGGGAATTTGGGGTTTTCAAATGATTTTTCATCGAATTCTATGAAAAAACATAATCTCTCTTATTTTTAAACTTCGTTTTCATCAAAATTCGTTGATTTTCACTGCAAAAAGAAAATCAATCGATAATTTATCAAAAATCGCAAATTTTCCATTTCCTTCAGGAAAAACTATCATTTTACCCCAAATTTTACACCCAAACCCAACTTTTCACATAAAACTCACTCTTGATTCGGCTCCTTTCAAACGATAATCGTGTCTACCGTACAAGTTGGTGAAAATTCGATCGCTGTCCTTCAAATTTCCGAAAGTCGTCTTTTCTTGTTTGACTTGAGCATTTCCAGACGAGGCGCTGGTCACAACACCACGGAATCCAAGTTTTGAGACTGAAAACACCGTTTTTTTTCCCGACATCTAGATAAATCGGTTTTTTCACACTTACCATTTTGTCCAATTAGCCGAGCTCCGAGACCGACTGTTGGAGAAGTCATATCTGTAAATTATCAGCTTTAAAAACTTAAAATCCACCTTAAATTCCACGTTGAAAACACGTGAAAAGCAGAAAAAAAAAGAAAAAATCCCGACCTTGCTAAACAACAGGCAAAATGCAAGCGGAGTGTTGTTTGATTCAAGGCGCGTCGGTGTTGTTGGTTGAGTCTTGTGACGATGTGCGCACAGCCCACTTTGTGCTACAGTATACCGACCCAGTGGAAAATTATTTTCTTTTCTTTTTTTTCGCCAAAAATTTGGGCGTTTTAGGGGTTTTGGGGGATTTTTCGAAGATTTTTGTGGGAAATTAGATATAATTATTTATCAGGAGGATAGGGATGTTGAACACCTAGTGTTTTGTGTGAAATTTATTGATTTTTCGAAGTAAATTGAAAAATACTTGATTTTTTATCGATTTTTAAATTTTTGCTCAATGTTTTGATTGAATTCTGCTTCAGAATTTCACTTCTAGAAAATTGCATGTAGCTTATTTATGTTTTTTATCCTATCAGTATTCTTTTTCTTTATTTATCATCCAAACTTCATACATTCAAAGTTCTCTTTTCTTGCAGGTAAAATGGTCAACGTGCCGAAAGCCAGAAGAACCTTCTGTGACGGAAAGTGCCGCAAGCACACCAACCACAAGGTAACCCAATACAAGAAGGGAAGAGATTCCAAATTCGCTCAAGGTATGTTGATTTTTCGTTGTTTTTCTTCACTGAATGTTTTACTCAATGCAATATTCTTTAGGACGTCGTCGTTACGATCGTAAACAATCCGGATTCGGAGGTCAAACCAAACCAATCTTCAGAAAGAAGGCCAAGACCACCAAGAAAATCGTCTTGAGAATGGAGTGCACTGACTGCAAGCACAAGAAGCAACTCTCCATCAAGAGGTTGGTTATTTTCAAAAATTTCTTACATTTAGTGAGAAGAACGTCATGAGAAAATAATTTCGTAGTAATTTTTGAAGAAATTGTTTTTCTCCAAAAGTTTGTGATTATCGAATAATTTCGAAATTATTCGAAAGCATGATACTTTGTCTTATTCTCACTGGGAAGATTTTATATTTTCTCAAGCAAAACTTTTCAAAAATTACAAATATTAATTCCACTTTTTCCAGATGCAAACACTTCGAACTTGGAGGACAAAAGAAGTCGAGAGGACAAGTCATTCAATTCTAAGCTGTTACCATTGTTGTTATATTCCAATAAATTTTGGTGAAACATGCTCTGTTTCTGTTTTATAAATGTAATTTATTTCATTTAAATCATCCCTATTTTCTCTCTTCGTGATTATCTAGCTTCCCTTTAAGTGTATTTCCATCCAGGATGAGTTACGAGAAAGTCCTCATCAAAGATTCATCGGGCAAAGTCGTGCACACTATTTCAGAACCCTATGGTGAAGCGATTTTTGGAAGAGATCCGAAAAGATCACAAATTGTATTTGCACCAAATGCCAGGGGAGTTTCAAGACTTCATGCTGTAATTCTTTGGGGCGAAGACTTCGTGCAAATCACTGATTCGAGTTCACATGGAACAATTGTAAATGACAAGAAGATTGTGGGCGACTCAATGAAACTGGAAACCGGTGAGAATTTGCTGAAAGTTGGAGAATCTGATTATTCTGTGATTGTCGAGGAAAAGAAGAAGAAGAAATCATTTGAAGAAACAACACAAATCACATCATTTTTCGCACAACCTTCAAGAAAACGAAAACCCGAAAGTCCCGTGGTTTTGGATTTGGAATCGCAAGTTATTCGGGGTCCGGCGAGGAAGAAAAATGTACAGCAGCAGAGGAAATTTGAGAAGGCCGTAGAAGTCGAGGAAAATTTGGAAGTAATTGAAATTCAAGAAAAATCGATTAGGAAGTTTCCAAGAGTTCAGGAAGATGTTGAAAAATCACCAGAACTCCAAGAAAAATCATTCAGAAGATTCCCAAAGCCTGCTGAAACCACAAGAGTCGCCGAAACTCAAGAAAAATCGATTAGAAAATTTCGCAGAGTTCAGGAAGATGTTGAAAAATCAGAAGATCGCGAAAAATCATTCAGAAGCTTCCCAAAGCCTGCTGAAACCACAAGAGTCGCCGAAACTCAAGAAAAATCGTTTAGAAAATTTCCAAAAGCCTCAGAAGTTCAGGAACCTTATGGAATACAAGAAGACCTCGAAATATCAATCAGAAGCTTCCCAAAGCCTGCTGAAACTCAAGTAAAATCGACTAGGAAGTTCCCAAGAGCTTCAGAAGTTCAGGAACCTTATGGAATACAAGAAGACCTCGAAATATCAACCACAAGATTCCCAAAGACTGCTGAAAAATCGACTAGGAAGTTCCCAAGAGCTTCAGAAGTTCATGAACTTGCTGAAAATTCAGAAGACCTTGTAACATCAGTCAGAATATTCCCAAGATCTCCAGAAGCCCAGAAAGAAGCCGAAAATCCAGAAAAATCATCCAGAATATTCCCGAGATCTTCAAAATCTGAAACTCCATCACGAAAACGAGAAATCCCCGTAGAATCTGAAAATCCACCCAAAAAATCGAAAATTGAAGAAACAATCATTAAAAAAGAGGAAATGTAGGTTATCTTCAATTTTTTTGTGAAAAAAAACTTAAATCTGGAAATTTTCAGATCACCTGTGAATAATCGAACATTCAAAAAATCGACAGCCTCAAATCTCACATTTTTCACCAATTTGATCTATGAGAATCGTGAAAAACCCGAAAAATCAATCAATAATTCGACGACGGCCGCGGGAAAAGTGAATTTCAAGAGATTTAAGGTTAGTGAGATTTTTCAAGCTGAAAATCCGTAAGAAATTTCTTTTTTTCAGCCAAAAAATGCGAACAACATAACAACAATTCATCGTCCAACAGTTCCTATAAAATTGGTCGATTTTCGAAAATTGAAAATCTGAAAAATGATGAAATGCATGTAAAATATTTTTTATTCAACGAGTATAAATTTGTAGTAAGTATTTTTTGGAGCATTTAGAACCAAAATTTTAGCTTTTTTTTCAAAAGAACGTATGATTTTCCACGAGTACAAAAATTGAAACGTTTTTTCATATTCAAAGTTTTATTTGAAATGTCGTGCTCAAGGATAATCATAAAACAAAGCTTTGAATCCTCGATATACATTGGATTGATCTGTAGTGAAAAGGATATATAAATAGTGTCCAGTTGAGGTGTAGGTCAAATTTGTTCCCACTAGATTCCCGCTAAGTCTTGCAAGAAGAGGTTGTGTCGAATCTTGGCCGTCGTAAATGTTCACGAAATCATAATTGAGTTCGGTCAAGAAATCGGTGAAATGAAGTTGAACTCTGTAAAATAAACGTATCATAAAGCGTTTGTTCCCAGTCTAGCACCTACCTGCTCGAACTGTACAACAAAGAATTACAGCTCCAGTTGTTCGTATAATTCTGAGGATAATTTTGAGATGTTATTATTCCATTTGTGTTTAATTGATGTCCACACGGATTAGTGTATTGTGTAGCAAGAATCGCTTTCCATTTAAAAATGTCGGAATTCCCAGAACTTCCACAATTTGATGTGCATGGTTTGAAAACCATTTTGATTAAATTTGTCGGTGAATCAAAAGTAGCATTATTTTGCGAATTTTGATCAATAATTGCAAATGGAGTTTGTGTGTCGAGACTAGAGTATAGTTGGATCGATGACTTTGAATCCAAATTCAAATCGGTGAACCAAATTACTGCAGTATCTGTGGTTACAGTTAGAACATAATAACATGGTGCGGTATCGACGGAAAGATAGGAATAAGGATAATTTGGTGAGTAAATCTGAAATAAGTTTTTTTAATTGAAATTCTAGACCATAAATTTGGGGACTTACCTTTCCACTATCTGTAACATACGTGACACCACTACATTGCGCTGGCGCAAGTGTTGGTGAAGGTGTTGTTGTAGTTACGCATTGTGTGTTTTGCGGATGTTTACAAATCGACGGAAGTAACGCGGAACAATTCGAACTAATCCATTTGCCAGGCACAACAAGTTCATTGATCAATGACATACTGTAACACGATCCGAGACCTTTGTTTTGATATCCGATGTTTGTGTAATCCCAGACAGATCCATCAATCCAAGAATTCACATTTCCACTTGAAAGCTGCGCTCCAATTCGAATATAACCTTTTGAAGAGTCTTTGAAGATCTTTGAAATGTAAGTGTTCTCCGCCGCTGAATGAATCGACACCAAACTTCCTCCACAATTCTGCGAGCATGCATTTTGAGCTTCGGTTTGGTTCAACTCCCCAAGTGGATAATAGCAGTAACCATTATAACCATACAAACATTGGTCATATGGGATAGTCTCACAAACTGCACTGATCGCCATGTTATCGCAATTTCCACTAAACCAGCGACCTCGCAAAGATCCAGAAGTTAGCATATATACACAAGTTCCTACATCGTTTGATGGATTTGCAGCGATGAAGTTGTTGTAGCCTAAAAATGGGGGTATTTGTGTCTTCAAGTCCCTCAAAATCTTTTCTGGACAAAACTATAAAGTATAAAAGAGCTGTTTCACAGGATGCTCCTTTAAATGTTCTCACCTGACGCATTCCCAGCTTGATCATCCCAAATACAAGAACTCGCATCATGATCATTCGGGCAATTCAAACCAATCCAAATTGGATCCGAACTCGAAGTTGCGAATTGAGCAATTGCTGTGTTATCGATTGAATTGTAGATTGAGACAAGGTTTCCGCCATTGAGATTACATTCGCGACGTGCGGCACTGTGTGTTTGGTCAGAAGTTACTAACTGAATAGGAAGGCATTCACGATTTCTGTCATATTAACTTACCATCAAACATTTGTTATTCACTGAAGTGAATCCATTGCTACATGAAACTCCATCAGAGCCATGAATTAGTGCGAAAATCAGCAAAATTATCATTTTTTTCATCTTTCTCTTTAGAAAATGATAATGGTTCTCTTTCATTTGCAAAATTTTATATATACGAAAATTGCACCCGCCCACAGAGTCCACTTTTTTTCTTCAATAAAACTTTTGCTCATTTTCTCCGATGATACATAACTGTGGAAACATCTTACAAACAAGAGAAAAGATAAGAGTTTTGTTGCGAAACATTTGGTACAAAAATCGGAATCGAGTAATCATAAGGTAGACAAGCTTCCATTGATCGATTCGAAAGATACAGTTCATGCCTCTTAAGATAAAAACATAAAAGTTCTTGAATCCTCTTCTACCGAAAATAAGTCAGAGTTTGATCCGGGTATTGGCGCCAAAATTTTCTTTATTCTTCCCTATACTCATTTTTCCCGCTGATAACATCACAACTAGTGACAAACAATAAAAATGATAAGAGTTTTTTTGCGAAAAATTAAAAAAAAATGGTTCTTTGATAGAGAAATCAACTTGCAACGTCTTGCAAAAAGAAAATCTGGAAAAATTGCAAATTCGAACTTTTGGTTCCCGCTCTTTAAAAAAAATGCGGTAGCTCGGAAATTTCAAAAAATTAATATTTTTGCGTGAAATTTTCCACGTGACCCAATTTTTTATTTTCAAAAAAACATGTTTTTTTTTCTGCACAACAAAATCCGAAATCTCGCCATTTCTCAATTCAATGCAATCATCAACTGCTCAATTTTCATGGAAAAGTCAATTTTTTTTTGGAAAAGTGAGTTGTGTAGTTCTCTCGGACTCCAAAAAAAATATGAATAAAAAATGCTTTGTCTTTTTGGCTCGGGGAGCTATAATTGGCCACAATTTGTCATAAAATAGGGCCGCAGGAATTTTCGGGAAATTTTTTAGTTTAGTTTTGAGGAAAATGTTACAATTCTGGGAGTTGTCAGTGCAAAAATTGCATTTTTTTTTTCATAAAAATTCCAGTTTTTGAGCAAAAATACAGAATTTTGAGGTTAATATGGCCTAAAATTTCCACATTTTTCAAATTCCAATGTTTCAAAAACCATATTTCTAGTTTCCTTTCCATTTTTCGCTCTGAAAAGGTCCCCGGGGAAAAATGTGAGCAAAAAAAGAGTATCTTTTTTTGTCTGTGCCCCGTTTTTTTCTGGACGGAAATCACCAACTTTTTTTCGACTTTTTTTTGTTCTTTTTTTTGACGAGAGTTAAGATAACTCGATTTTGATGTTCGTTGAGTTTTTAAAAGAAAATTCAGGATTTCAGTGGAAATTTGAGGAATTTCTAAAAGAAATATGATTTTTAACCAAAAAATTCTTAATTTTCAGTAAAAATTACTACAAGATTGAAGCATTGCTCATGTTAAACAAAACTTTTTTCAATTTTCAGGCTAAAAATCCAGAAATTTCATTCTCCAAAAAAAATCAAAAAAAAAATTTTTTTTTTCAAAAAATTATCCTAGACCCACAAAAAAACCGGCGTCTCTTCAACATTTTTGACCCCTTGTCTTTCTCTGCGTCTCTCACATTCACACACTATTTCTCGCGGCGGCCAAAAAACAACATATTTGTTTATTTTCTTCGAAAAACCGTCAGTGTTTCCATTTTTTTTCAATTTCGAAATTTTTTGTTGGTTTTTTTGGGGCTAGAAATTCATTTTCTGGAAATTTTGAGCTGAATTTTCAGATTCTGAAATTTTTTCGACTTTTTTTGAATTTCAAACTTTTTCTTTTGAGATAAACTATAGTCTAGTTGCCTTGTAACTAGAAACTAGAATATAGACCTTATGTTCAAACTAGAGTTTAGTTACCTTATATTCAAACTAGATTATAGTTACATTTAAAAAATGTCAAATTCCAAATTTTCGCGTCAAAACTGCCACGTGGATTTTCATTTCCAAAATTTTTTTGGATGGTACGATTTTCCACAGATGTTCCATTTCCATTTTCTAGGCCACCTGTTTTTGCCACGTGGCTAGAATTTTCCAATTTTCGCCCCGAAAATGTGTCATTTTCAGGATAATCCTCCCTATTTTATTAATTTTTGTTTAGAAAATTGTGTTTTCGAGTTTTCCAGGCACACAAAAAGTATACATTTTTCTGGCACAATTTTTTTTATCAAAAAAAAATGTATAAATAAATAATCCGTAGGGGAAAAGAATAATAGGAATTAGCATAATTTTTTTTTTTGTGAAAAAAAAAACATTTTTTTGAATTTGTTCTATTATTATTGATTTTTTGCTACCTTTTGACTTCAAATTCCAAAAAAAAATCTTGCTTTCAGCAGGAATCGATCCCCTGACCTTTCACCTTGAAATTTTTCAGCGAACGAAAAATGCGATGATGATTTCGACTGGAACAACAACAACAATTTCGAACGTCGATTTAATACCAGTTAGTTTATTTTTAATTTTTGGGAAAGGGGTACTGTAGCTACTACTGTAGCTTGAGAGTACGGTAGGTTTTTTTTTAAAGGAAGGGGAGGTACTGTAGCTTCAGGCTGGAGATTCTGTGGATTTTTTGGGAATCAAAAATTTTCTCTGGGGATCAAATATTGTTCTGATTACTGTAGATTCTCTAGAGGTACTGTATTTTTGTGGAAGGATTACTGTAGAGTTTTTTGTGAAGATATAGAGGTACTGTAGTTTTCGCGCGAAATTTAGGAAATTTAAATTTTTTTCTGAAATTTTACCACGTGGATTTACTCTTAAACTTTTTAAAATTCAAAAATTTCTTGTTTTTTTTTCGCCACGTGGATTTCTGGCTCCAAATTCTCAAATTCAAAAAAATTAGCAAAATCCCTTTGAATCCGGAATTTTTCCCGCGAAATTTAGGAAATTCAAAATTTTTTCTGAAATTTTGCCACGTGGATTTTTCTAGAGGCAATTTTGAATTTTTGAAAATTTAACAAAAATTTTTTGAACCCGGATTTTTTTTTCAAAATTTTTGACGCTGTCAAATTGATTCGAATCAATTTTCATCACAAAAATGTTCCATAAAAATCAAATTTCCTCCCATTTTTTCCCAAAAAATGCTCCGCGTCTCCCTAATTTTTCTCCTCTTCCTCCAACTTATCCAAACTTCCAAAGTCACCGAATTCGATTTTGATAAAATCGAAAAAGCTGTGGCTGAAAAAATCCGCGATTTTTCCACCAAAAACTTCGATTCCAACTCGCAAAACATTGCCAAATCCCAATCGGACATTCTAGAATTCGCGAAAAATTTGAAAATTCAAATTCCCGCCAATGCCACGTGGCATTGCGAAATCGCCAAAGACATTGCGCATGGTATCAGGTACAAAGGAATGGTGACATTCAGATATGAGAAGCATAGCTTTGCTGTGTATTTTGTGTAGTTCTCGAGGACAATCCCCTAAGTTGTTTTGAATAAATAAATATTCTTATTCATCGTAGTAGTGGTCAGTTTTTTAAATATGCATGGACCACCCAAAAAAAGGGAAGCGGACCAACAAAGTTGAATAAATATGTAATGAAATTTTGGGATGACACGTGGCATTTTGGAGTTTAGTATGAGCAATGCTGAAGAATTTGGCTGTGAGATAAGGAGTTTGAAAGCTTTGGGTATGAGCAATTGCCGAATTTAACATGAGCAATGCTTTGAAAAATCCTGATTTTAAAAGTTTAATATGAGCAATGCCAGCGATTTCTGAAATTTCTACGAAATTTTGACCATCCAGGCAGGAGTTGAAGAGTTTAATATGAGCAATTCTACTTTTTTTTTTTCAAAAATTTCTAGAATTTTTGGAAAATTAGGAATTTAGGGTTTAACATGAGCAATGCTTCGAAAAATCCTGATTTAGAATGTTTAATATGAGCAATTCTACTTTTTTTCTCAAAAAAATAGGATTTTTGAGTTTAACATGAGCAATCCTTTCAAAAATCCCTCTCCTATTTTTCCTTGAATCAAAAAATTGTTCGTAGGTGTTGAGAAATTCCCATTTTCCTCAATTAAAAATCTATAAAATTAATTAATGAAAATGTGAAAATTTTCTGCATAAAATGGGTCGAAAATTGAGCATTTTCAAATCGGAAATGATGTTGAAAATTTGGATTTTTCTTGGAGTTTTGGCGGTTTTTAGCGTGAGTTTTGGGGGTTGTATTAGGCTGAGAAATTTGGAATTTTTGGCTGAAATTCAGGTTCAAATTCAGGCTGGAAATCTAGAATTTCAAGCCTAAACTCAGGCCCAACTAAAGCCCTAAATTTTAGGCCCAAACTCAGACCCTTGAAGTTACGGACGTTGAAAATATCAACGGAAGAATGCCCGAAGAAACCATAGAGGCTTTCAAAGTCATCTCCAGACTTTTTCTCAAAAAATTTGAGAACAAGCGCGAACTCGCCCAAAACATTGCCAATTTCGCCGAAGATCATTTTCCCGAACTCAAATGGTCCGTAATCATTTTCGAGAATCCCGCTGGAGCCTACGAAGTTGATGCGGATCAAATTTTACGGTTTTATATTGGCGACACCTTTTTCTTCATTTTTGGAGTTTAATTTTGGGTGTAATGTTGAGTTGAGATAAATTGGGATTTTTTGGCAGAAAAAATTGCTCATGTTAAACTTAAACCGAAAAATTTGGGATTTATTAAGTGAAATTTGCAGAAAAACAGGTGATTTTCAGCATTGCTCATGTTAAACTCAATCAAAATTTAATAGTTTTCATGATCTGAAACATTGGATACTCAGCCAAGCTTCAAATTAGCTGCGTACTTTGATTTTACATTAGATACTCAGCAAAATTCGTCATACTACTCGTTTGATGTCAAAATTTTGCATTTTACTTGATCTACGACGTTAGATACTCAGCCAAGCTTCAAATTAGCTGCGTATCTTGATTTTACATTAGAGACTCAGCCAAATTCAAAATACTGCTCGTTTGATGTCAAAATGTTGCATTTTGCATGATCTACGACGTTAGATACTCAGCCAAGCTTCAAATTAGCTGCGTATCTTGATTTTATATGCATTAGATACTCAGTCAGTCTTAAAAATATCATATTTTCCATCAAAATCTTCATTTTTCAACCGAAAAACTCATTTTGTACCATTTAAAGGAACATGTTGACACAAATTTTCAATTTCCTCTATCAAAGTTGCATTTTCAGTCGAATTTTTACGACACAAATTTGACATGTTGCTGAGAGCTTCTTCCACATTTGGTTCTTCTGAATAATCTCCAAAATATTCAGTCATGTCTTCTTCTTCTTCTTTTGTTGTCGAGTTTTCTTGAGCCCCGAAAAATTTGGAGCAAAAAATTAGGAAAATTATTAGTGTTTTTGAATTGAACAACATTTTAATGTTTTCAGAAAATTTTTGGATTCTTCAGAACTTTCCAGACATCATAAAAATGTTTTTTTTTGAGAAATCTAGTTTTTTGAAAAAAATCACGTTTGATTTTTTGATCGAAAATTTTTAGAGTTTCACAAATAAAAACATTAGATACTCAGTCAAGCTTCAAATAAGCAGCCAAAACCCTTTATCGATTAATTTTCACATAAAAAATCAAAAAATAATGTTTTTTGAATTCAAAAGTCATCCACTCCTCCTTTTCTGATCCCTGATGTTTCAATTTCTGATCTTTACTAATTCCACATCCCCAATCCACGGATTTTCCCAGAATTTTCACATTTTCTTTGGCAAAACTGATCAAAGCTGAAGCTGATCTTCCGGTATTGTCAACATCCAAATTTTTGGTGGCAAAATCAATCAAAACATCCATCGCTTTGTGTTGTTTTCCCATTTTTGGCGAGAATTCGAGATTTTGAACTTTGTTGTTGGTGTAGAATGAAGTTATGAGAAGTAGAAAATTGAGAAATAGGAAAAATCGAAGCATTTTTTCGATTTTGTGTGGGAAAAATTGATCAAAATTCGATTTTTATACGGAAATTCATGATCGAATCATAGAAAAATCAAAGTACGCAGCTAATTTTAAGCTTGGCTGAGTATCTAATGTTGTAGATGATTAAAAAAATGCAATATTTTGACATCAAACGATCAGTATTTTGAATTTGGCTGAGTATCTAATGTAAAATCAAAGTACGCAGCTAATTTGAAGCTTACATTAGGTTCCTGAGATTTTCTATCAATGTTTTTTATTTTTTGAATTTTCAAACTTCCCGCTCTCAAAAAATCTGTGTACTTCTCTCGGAAAACGCCAAAATTTTATTCAAAATTTTTCGGACAAAAAAATGAAGAAGCTACGATTCTCATGCTGAATATAGGTCCAATTTCGCAAATTGAATCCACCGTGAATTTCGCCAACAAAAATATTCCAATAAAATTTTTTCGAAATTTCCAATTTCTCCACTTCTTTCTTGATTTTCAGCGCCAAATTCACGTGTTTTCCCGGATTTTTCGTGGATTTTTCGACGATTTTGATGAGTTTCAAAATTGTCGAATTCGAAAATCCCACCGAATCCACGTCATCGATTTTCAGCCCAGAAATCTGGAGGAAATTCAAGAAGATTGAAAAAACTAAAAGAAAATTTTGAAAATTTTGCATTTTTTTCGGTTAGCGATCAGGAAATTTGATTTTTATTTATTATCAAAAAATTTTTAATTCGATCAAAAAAATTTGTCGAACACCGTGAAATCCGATATTTTTGCACTTTTTTAAGGTATGCGCGAAAAAAAATGGCTCCAAAATGTACATTAGATACTCAGCCAAGTCTCAATTTGACTGCGTACCTCGAGAAGTACACAGATTTTTTTTCTGAGCGGGAATTTTGAAAATTTGAATTTTCATTGATAATCTGGTAAATTTTGCCAAATTTTGTATTTTCCTCGAGAACTACACAGATATTTTCTGAGCGGGAATTTTGAAAATTCAAATTTTTATCGATAATCTGATAAATTTCGTCAAAATGTAGTGTTTTCCTCGAGAACTACACAGATTTTTTCTGAGCGGGAAATTTGAAAATTCGAAATTTATCAGAGAAAATTGTTTTCCTCGAGAACTACACAGAATTTTTTCTAGCGGGAATTTTGAAAATTCTAATTTTTATTGATAATCTGATAAATTTCGTCAAAATGTAGTGTTTTCCGAGAGAACTACACAGATTTTTTTCTAGCGGGAAAATTTAAAAATTCAAATTTTATCGGATTTTTTTTTTTGAAATTCTCCTCGAGAACTACACAGATTTTTTTTCTGAGCGGGAATTTTGAAAATTTGAATTTTCATTGATAATCTGGTAAATTTTGCCAAATTTTGTATTTTCCTCGAGAACTACACAGATTTTTTTTAGCGGGAATGAAAATTTGAATTTTCATCGATAAACTGATAAAATAAGTCAAAATGTAGTGTTTTCCGAGAGAACTACAGGGATTTTTGAGCGGGAAAATTTGAAAATTCGAATTTTCTCGGAATTTTTTTTTGCAATTCTCCTCGAGAACTACACAACTTCTCCAATTCTTCCCGCAAATTTCAAAAACGCATCCCAAAAATTCTTAAGTGCCCCTGCCTTTCGGCAAAAATTTTTAACTTGAGAAATATCTCTGCGTCTCCTCTCTCTCTACACTCTCTCACTATCTTTCATTGTTATTATTTCCGCGACGAACATACATTGCTCATATTAATGAAAATTAGTGAGCACAAGAAGAATAAGTGTTAATTTTGTGTGTCTTCTTTATGCCACATATGCGCATAGAAATAATTAGCTCCAAAACATGCCGTGTACTTTCTTTTTGGGTGTAAAAAGGGGCGGAGCTTGGAAAATAAAAGGGGGTGCACACACACATTTTTGGAAGAGCCGAGAGCCTGATGCATTTTTCAATGAGCTCATCTTATTAGGATTCAGCTTCCCCCATTTTTTCGGCGAGAAAAAACCGATTTTGGTTTTTTTCTGAGCTAAGGATGAGTAGTATTTCTTTGGAAGCTTCTGGCACGGATTCAATACAGGTTTGAGAATTTTGGGAGCCTGGGAAGGGTTTCGGGATCCTGAGAGTGGGATTTTTGAACTTTGGATGATTTTTTGACCCGGGAACTTTTTTTTTGAGAGTTTCTAGAAAGATATTGATAAAAATTAGAATTTTCAAATTTTCCCGCCATTTTCATTTTCTAGAAAATTTGGATTTTCAAATTTTCCCGTCAATTTCATTTTCTAGAAAGTTTGAATTTTCAAATTTTCCCGCCAATTTCATTTTCTGGAAATTTTGAATTTTCAAATTTTCCCGCCATTTTTCATTTTCTGGAAAATTTGAATTTTCGAATTTTCCCGCCAATTTTTCTATTTGAAAATTTGAATTTTCAAATTTTCCCGCCAATTTCATTTTCTAGAAAGTTTGAATTTTCAAATTTTCCCGCCAATTTCATTTTCTAGAAAATTGGAATTTTCAAATTTTCCCGCCAATTTCATTTTCTGGAAATTTTGAATTTTCAAATTTTCCCGCCAATTTCATTTTCTAAAAAATTTAAATTTTCAAATCTTCCCGCCAATTTCATTTTCTGGAAAATTTGAATTTTCAAAATTGAAATCCACGTGGCACGATTTTTCGACCCCAAAAATCTTCACAAAAATGCAATTTTCAAAACCCGAAAAATGTATGTTTCAAGATTTTCTGATTAAAAAATTGAGAATTGAAATTTTTGATAAGTGCTGATTTTTGACAATTAATAAATTTGGTAATTTTCAGTTTCTAAGCCTAATTTTTCGAATTTCGGAGCATTTTTTGTGCTCCGGAACTTGGATTTTTGAATTCAGGATGATTTTTTTGACCTCTAGGCCTATCATTTTATGTTAAAAATTTTAATATTTGGATTTTTCGGACCTTTTTAGTTTCCAAACCTGATTTCTGATGATGGGAGCAAGTTTTGTGCTCCGAAAATTGAATTGTTGAATTCTAGACCAAATTTTGACCTGGGGATATATTAAAAACGTGGCAAAAAACAAATTTAAATTAAAAATTTCGAAATTTTCACCCCGATTTATCGTGACTCCAAAAAAAACAGGTCCAATTTCACAACAAAGAATTTCGTAACCGTTTTTTTCCAGTTTTTTTCTTGATGAATTTCTAATTTCCCCCGTTCCTTTTACTTTTTGAGAATTTAATTTCGCGAAAAAGTTCCTCTTTTAGTTTTCTCTGCGTCTCTCACTTTCTCGTCTCCTCTGGGGAATTTCAGCAAAAGGATTATTTAGAGACTCAGTTTCAATTTCAATTTCAATTTCAATATTTTTTGAGTTTTTGAATTTAAATTTGGGATTTTTTTGAATTTTTCATATCATGATTTTCAAAGAAAAAAAATGAAATTTTAATTTTTGAATTTTTCACCAATTTTATTTTGTAGAAAATTTGAATTTTCAAAATTTCCGGCTCATTTTTTCTTAAAAGAAGAGTTTTCCTCAAAAAATTAAAATCCACGTGGCACAAATATTTGGGGCTAAAATTCCTTCCACAAAAAATGTGATTTTCAATACCCGAAAATTTTATGTTTCAAAATTTTCTGATAAAAAATTGAGAGTTGGATTTTCCGATTAAGAAACGTGTTGATCTTTCAAAAAAAAAAAAAAAATTCAATTTTTAATTTTTTAAAAAATTAATAAAAATTAAAATTTTTAGCGCAAATTCAGGATGAATTTGTGACCCACAAAAATTTGACCTTAAATTTATCTACTCCGCCTGCAAAAATTTGAATAATCTCTTGTTTTTGGCGCGAAAACAGATGTTTCCAAAATCTTCGAAAACATTTTTTTTCCCGCGCGCGCAAACATTTTTACATGACAGATGTTCCTTTAAAAAATCGAGGGAACACCTTGAAAAAGTCAAGGGTCCTTAAAAAATGAATTGATACTAATTGAGGAGGAAAATATGTTCACTGAAATTAGGACGAAAATTCACGTGGCAGGATTTTTTTCGCTTCAGGACCCAAAAACTACAGTACTTCTTTGCTATGATTTTTGAAAAAATATCGAATATTTGAGATACTGTAATCGCGGCAAGACCAAAAATATTCTATAGATTACTGTAAGAATTCTAAATTTTCAAATTTTCGCGCGAAATTTGAAAAATTCAAAAAATTAATTATTTTAATATTAATTAATAATTTTCTGCTGTGTTCATTCATGTTTTGGTATTAAATTTCGAGTACTTTTTCCGAAGAACATATTGTTTTGTTTGTGCATATGTTCTCTTTGAGCACACACATTTTTGGGTGTGAGCTCAGATTTCATTCACAATTATTTTGTGAGCAAGCATTACTCATGTTATTTTTATTTATTTATTTTTTAGTTAGCACATTTTCATTTTATTTTTAGTCCAAAAAAATTATTTTCAAAACCTGAAAAATTTAGGTTTCAAAATTTTTTGATTAAAAAAATTGAGAGTTTCAATTATTCCACATTTTATTGTGTTCATAAAAATTTCAGTTTTTAAATTTTATTTTCAAAATTTTCCCCCGGAAATCCCAAATTTTCCAAATTTTTGTGTGTTTTCCGAAATGCATTGCGATATAGCGTGACTCATCCTAAACTTTGTCTTTTTCTTCTTTTCTCCCTTTTTTTTCGAAATTTTTTTGTTTTCCGATTTTTTTTTTGGTGAAAAACAAGGCGAAATATACTTATTTTGCTGTTTTTTTTGGCCAGAAAACAAAAAAAAAACATTTCTAAAGTTGGTTTCTGAGCTAAAAGTCCCAGACAATTTTCTCTGTCTTCTCTAATCCTCTCACTCTCTCTCACTTGGCTCTTTTTAATCCTGAGGTGTAATTAGGGAATTCAGACCACTAATGACACCTTTTTTCTTTGGTGGCAGATGTAGGAGTTGGGCAGTGTGAATTTTGACAACCTCAATTTTTGCCGGTCGGAAATCACACCGTTTTTTGCCTACTTTTGGGAGATTTTCCGGTTTTCAGTATATTTTTGGGGCTACCATAAATCCTGTCATATTTCCCCTACCCGACTTACATTAAATTTCTCCATTTTTCCAGATCTACACCGATTGGGCGAATCGACATTTGGCAAAATCGCAACAAAAATCGTCGCCGCGGCCACAAATTCGCGACATTTCCAACGATTTTCGCGACTATCGCGTCGTCTCGCAACTTATTAATGTTATAGGTGAGTCGAGCGCCGAAAATTTGCGATTTTTTGACATCAAATATGGCTCAGCTGGTTAGAGAGAAATTTAGCAAGCTAGAGTTGCCGAGTTCGATCCCCCTAGTGAACATTGCCCAAAAAATTTGATTTTTATAATTTTCTGGTCTGGAATTTCACGGGGAATCTGAAAATCATAATCATTTCCTTCAAAAAAATGTTTTTTCTCCATATTCCAAGGAATTTTTGATTTTCAGCCTATGACACGTGGATTTTCAGATTCCTCGTGAAATTCTACCCCAGAAAACTATTTCCCAAAATAAAAAAATAATGTCGTAGGCGCCAGGAATCGAACCCGCGATTTTTTACCTAATGGCTCAGCCGGTTAGAGATCAATTTAGCAATCTAGAGGTGCCGAGTTCGATCCCGCTAGTGAACATTGCCCAAAAGTTTTTATTTTAATAATTTTCTGGCCTGGAATTTCACGAGGAATCTGAAAATCACATTGAGAACTTTTTTTTTTCTCGAAAAAAGTTTAACAAAAATGATGACCAATGGGCAATTATATCGGCACTATGAATCTCGAAATTTTATGAGATTTTTCTGTTTTTTTTTCGAGAGAAAGAGAGAAATGTGAAATTTTGATGAAGATTTATTTTTTACGATTCATTTTTTCAGAAGCCCGAAATTTTGAATTTCTTAAATTTTCACTAGCGGGATCGAACCCGCCACCTCTAGATTTCTAAATTGACCTCTTACCAGCTGAGCCATCAGGTGGCCGGTTCGATTCCTGGTCCCACAGGCTTTTTGAAGACGTACACACACACTTCGCCCTCCTATACTTGAAAGTATATTTTTGTATATTTTATACATAAAGTCTATTTTTTTTACACGTTGAGTATACTTTTTCAAAAAGTATAAAATACGTGTAAAATTTTATCATCAATAAATTCAGTTTTTTGATTCCAGACTGTTTGATGATATCAAAAGGAGACATTTGATTAATTTTCGCCTAAGGTTTTCACACTATAAAGTGGAGATTCGAAAGTTTTCGCAAAAGTATACTTTAAGTGTATTTTTCAGTATACTTTCAAAAAAAGTAAATTGGCCTAGAAAATTTTTTTTAATACAGACCACTGGAAATCGCATGAATCGCGAAAATAACAAAAATCTCGTAAAAGCGATAGGCCACGCCCATTTTACACGTTAAACATAGCACCTCGCCCAACCCGCGAGGTGTCCGTCACTCAATTTATATAAGTAGTGGGCGCCACGAGGAGGAGGGTAAATCATATTTTATGATTGAAACGCCATTTTTGTGCACCAAACTTGGTTTTTCGCAAATTTTGAACAACTTACAGTCGTGTAAAAGCTGTTTGAGCAATTTACTAAATTTACAAAAACTCCTAAAGATGTTTCTCGATTTTCCCAAAAATTTACTTTTATTTATGCCATAGCATATTTCAAATGTACTTATAGTATATCAGTGCGAAAATCGCTGATTTTATTTTAAATACACTTAAAGTATATCCTGGCGAAGTGTGTGTGTATGCGCGATGTGTGCGCGCGAAGGCGCCAGCTAAAAATAATGGGTTTGGTGCAAGCGCGCATTTTGTCCAATCTGGCAGGTTAAGCAACGTTGACTCGAGTTAGTGGTGAGTTCGGACCCATCCAAAAAGTTGCTTTGTACAGTTTCAAGTCTGATTGGGTAAAGTTTAGGGACTCTAGTGGAGATGATCTTCACAATCAGATGCCAAGATGGTTCATCCTGAACTCCAGTACGACCATCGGAAGATCGAGAGTCTGAAATTTCCATCAAAAACTCAAAGTTTTCGAATTCTTCTCAAACTTTCAGAACATTCTACTGAAGTCTTGTGGCAATCAAAATGATCAAAAATTTCGATTTTTTGTATTCCTGATCTTCAGTATGACCATCAGAGAAGATCAGGATTCAGGGCGAAATTCTGATCATTTTTGAAAAATTATGAAAATTTCTGAAGTTTGTCTTGGGACACCTTGGACTTCAAGGCCATCAAGATCTGTGATTTTAAATCATCTCGATCTTCAGTATGATCATCAGAAGATCAGGATTCAGGGCGAAATTCTGATCATTTTTGAAAAATTATGAAAATTTCTGAAGTTTGTCTTGGGACACCTTGGACTTCAAGGCCATCAAGATCTGTGATTTTAAATCATCTCGATCTTCAGTATGATCATCAGAAGATCAGAAATCATCATCGAAAATTATCAATTGTATGTGATGACGGTGAAAATTTGAATTCGTGGGTTCTTGACTATGGGGAATCATATGGTCATTATTTTGTTTTCATAAAAATTATTCTTGAACGAACATACCTACCAAAAACACTTGTTTCTTGAACACGGTGCTTTGTGATTTTTTATGAGAGAAATGATGTGGTTACGATAATTCGACTCAAAACTAATTTTTTATGGCACTACCCATGATAAAACTTTTTGTGAATCGAGGTTTGTAGGATAAGCGATATCATGAAAACTGTAAAATTTAATTTTAATGCGCGGCTTAATGATGCCTGAAATCTGTTAAAGGGAAGAGGACAGTAAGATCAAAAATTTTAACTCTTGAAGACGTTTCGAGAAGAAAATACCTGGTGGTTTCACTACTCTTCCTAACTCTGACTACTAACTACTAACTCTTCACTACTAACTCTGCGATAAATTTTTTTTGAAGTTTTCGCAGATCTTAAAACCACTTGATTGGATTTTATGAGAAAATAGGGTTTCTGTAATGCCTATCGTAGTCAAGAACTTCAAAAGTCCAATTTCGATTAAAAAAAAATGATATATAGTTCGTTCAAGAATAATTTTTATGAAAACAAAATAATGACCATATGATTCCCCATAGTCAAGAACCCACGAATTCAAATTTTCACCGTCATCACATACAATTGATAATTTTCGATGATGATTTCTGATCTTCGGATGGTCATACTGAAGATCGAGATGATTTAAAATCACAGATCTTGATGGCCTTGAAGTCCAAGGTGTCCCAAGACAAACTTCAGAAATTTTCATAATTTTTCAAAAATGATCAGAATTTCGCCCTGAATCCTGATCTTCTGATGATCATACTGAAGATCGAGATGATTTAAAATCACAGATCTTGATGGCCTTGAAGTCCAAGGTGTCCCAAGACAAACTTCAGAAATTTTCATAATTTTTCAAAAATGATCAGAATTTCGCCCTGAATCCTGATCTTCTCTGATGGTCATACTGAAGATCAGGAATACAAAAAATCGAAATTTTTGATCATTTTGATTGCCACAAGACTTCAGTAGAATGTTCTGAAAGTTTGAGAAGAATTCGAAAACTTTGAGTTTTTGATGGAAATTTCAGACTCTCGATCTTCCGATGGTCGTACTGGAGTTCAGGATGAACCATCTTGGCATCTGATTGTGAAGATCATCTCCACTAGAGTCCCTAAACTTTACCCAATCAGACTTGAAACTGTACAAAGCAACTTTTTGGATGGGTCCGAACTCACCACTAACTCGAGTCAACGTTGCTTAACCTGCCAGATTGGACAAAATGCGCGCTTGCACCAAACCCATTATTTTTAGCTGGCGCCTTCGCGCGCACACATCGCGCATACGTCTTCAAAAAGCCTGTGCCGGGGTAGAATTTCACGCAGAATTCAAAAATCCACTTATTTTCCCGTTCCCAAAAAAATCCGTAGTCAACTTCAATTTTCTTCTCACTTTCCCCACTTTTCGAAAAAATGGGATTAGGCTCTTCAATTCTTCTCATTTTTCAATTTCAATTTAAATCTCCTCCTGCCAATTTCGCACTTTTTTCTACGAAAATATTTTTTGGCCGCCGAAAAAAGGGACCCCGAAAATAAAAGGATGTGTGTAATTCAATCCAATTTTTCTTCTTTTTCCGATTTTTCGACCGCCGCCGGGTCAAATTATTAAATTTTAAAAGAATTCTTCTCTATCCCTTTTTTTAAACTCGGCTGTGTTCCTTTAAAGTTTTGCGGCTGGGGGATTTTGGCGGCAAAAAATAAAATTTGAATTTGAAAAAAATACATTTAAATTTTTTCTCTAATTCTCTCTCTCTCTCTCTCTTCCCAATTTCTCCCATGTTCCTTTAAACTTAGCCGAACTCAAAATTGCAATAAAAATCAGGAAGCGCCCTAATTGAATAATTTATCAGATTTCCTGGATCTTTGATCTACCGGCCTAGAAATGCATGCCGCAAAATTGCAGAAAACTTTCCCCGAGCATGTTTAGTGTCGAAATGTTGAGAAAAGTGTGCCGCGAAAAGTGGGCGTGGCCTGAAAACCGCGCCGCAAAATTTCCAAACACATTTTTTGTGTCAAAAAGTGTATAAACACATTTATTTTGTCGTCTCGTTAGTTAGTGTTGCTTCTTTTTTCTCTTTGTGTTCAGCGAAAAAAAGTGACATTTTGATAAATGTCCGATTTCAATTAGTTGAGTTTGTGTTGCGTTTTGAACACACTTTTTTCTTTCCGAAAAAAATTTTTTTGGCCTAAAAGAAGGTGGAAAATTCATTTTTTTGCTCTCACTTTACACTTTTTCAAAAAAAAAAACACAAAATTTGTTTTGATTTTGATAAGATTACACTAAAATGAATCATTTTGTTGGTTTTTTTTTCGAAAAATCCAATTTTTGTTAACATGAGCAATGTTTTACAATTTTTAAGTTTGAGCAAATTTTTCTGTAACATGAGCAATGCCTGGAAATTCAATAAAAAGCGATTTTCAAAACTCGAAAAATATACGTTTTAAGATTTTCTGATAAAAAAATTGAGAATTGAAATTTTCGATGAACATCTGTGACCTCTTTTTTATGTGATTTTTTACGTTCGGAGCAATTTTTGAGCTCCAAATCTTGAATTTTTGAGTTCTAAATCGAATTTTGGTTCAGGGAACTATTGAAAATTTGTGTGCCAGGAAATTCTCTAAAAAAATTTTCAGTTTTTTCCGGACCTAATTTCTGACCACCTAGAAAAAAGTGCCAACTGCTGCTGCTCCGCGATTTTTTTCGCTGTTAGTTTGTTCAGAAAATTTATTTATCTCATTTTGAGCTGCCGTTAGATGAAATTTGATAAGAAGAGATATATTGGAAGTAGTAGTAGTAAAATTGACATGGTCCCTCCCTCCCCCTGGAGAAAAATGAACAGTTGTTCATCCCTGGTTTCTAGTGAAAAATCTGAGGGTTTTGGAGTTTAGAACATTGCTCATATTAGAATTTTCGAGAATTTCTAGAATTTCTAGGTGTTGCTCATGTTAAAGATTCTTTGAAAATTCAGAGATGCTCATGTTAGGCTCTTTAGAAATTATTTTCTAGAATTAATTTTAAAAAAAATTTTTATGCTAAAAATTGGAAATTTTCAAGCATTGCTCATGTTAAACCTGATTCTTAACTCGAATTTTAAAATTTCTCAAGCATTGCTCATATGTGAAATTACAGAGAAAATTTTGATTCGCAACTTTTCAGCTTAAAATTATTAGCCAAAATTTCACCATTGCTCATTTTAAGCTCAATTTTTTTAAAAAAATTACTAGTTTTTGGAAAATGTCTTCATTGCTCATGTTAATCACAATTTTTTTCTCTGAAAATTCATTTTCAAAAATATCCCAGCATTGCTCATATTAACCCCCAAAAGCTTTAAAATTCTCTAAAAATTTCTGCATTGCTCATATCAAATTTTTTCAGTTCCCGCCAACGATTTCACACCAAACTTCCAACAAAAAATCGCCAAAACAACATCAAACGTAAGTTTGTTCATCAAATTTCGAAATATTTGCTCTATGACTCATGTTATACTACTAAAAATTTTAATTGATTTTGAGTTTTTTTTAGCAGAAAACTACCTTAAAGGGGGGGTAAGACGACAAAATTTTATTTGCTCAATGAATCGGGCTCCCTTTGAATAGTAAAAGCCCCAGGGGATTTTTTCTCGAAAGGCCTAAAAAGGTCCGAAAAAAATATTCCATGAACTTTTTTCAACGTATAGCTATACGTGGTACCTAGTTTATGGAACATTTTTTCTGGACGTTTCCAGAAAAAATCCCTTGGAGGTTTTACTACTTTTGGGGAGCCTTTAACTTTGCGACAAAAAAATTTTGTCGTCTTACCCCCCCTTTAAGTAAATATGAAAATAGAAAATTTTGAGAAAATTTTAAAATTTTTCCTCCGAATTTTTAATCCCGTTATCTACAGTGAACCCAGCGATGCATGAAGAAAAAAAGTTTTTCGAAATCGAATTAAAAATTTCAATTTCTTTCATAAATACACACACAGTGTGTAATAATAGATTATAGGAAAACTGGATTTTCAGCCGAAAAACTGTAATTTTTGCAGCTCGATGGTCTTGCCACGTGTCTGGAATATCTGAAAACTATTGGATTGGATTGCGCAAAATTGACCAAAACTGGTGGGTTTTTTTTGGGGGAAAATTGGGAAAATTTGCGATTTTTTGACACCGAACATGAAAATCTGTCGTTTTCTCTGCGTCTCTAACCGGAATGCTATATATAAATCTAGCTCTGGTTGTCTGATTCTCTCATTTTGTTTCTTGAAAACTCTGCGTCTCTGACTGAAATATGTACTCTCTAACCTATCTGGTTTCTCTGCGTCTCTATCTCTCTCTAGCTTCTCTAACTGTCTAAGCCTCCTAAAGATATGTACTCTCTAACCTCTCTGGTTTCTCTGCGTCTCTCTCTCTAGCTTCTTTAACTGTCTAATTCTCTTAAAGATATGTACTCTCTAATCTCTCTGGTTTCTCTGTTATCTCTAGCTGTCTAGTTGCTCTGCGTCTCTTTCATAACTCTCCAACCTATCTGGTTTCTCTGCGTCTCTGCAATACCTGTACTCTCTAACCCTCTGGTTTCTCTGTGATGTCTAGCTGTCTAGTTGCTCTGTGATCTCTGACCTCTCCAGAATCTGTACTCTCTAACCTCTCTGGTTTCTCTGTGATCTCTAACTTCTCTGGTTTCTCTGCGTCTCTGCTAGAAAAATATTTGTTGGCGCCAGAACTGCATTTTCAAATTTCGAATAAAAACATCTGTATGGTTTTTTGTGCACTTCTCTAACTGTCTGCGTCTCTCTCGTCTCTCTCACTGTATATTTCCATATATTTTTTCGATAACTTTCTAAGCTCCGCCCCTTTTTCTCTCCCACACAAACATTTCTTGTCATATTTTTTATACATCAAGATGTATAGATGTGTATGTAGCCAACACTCAAAAAAATTTGCCCATCATTTTTTTTTTCTTGCTGCTCCCCCTAAAAAAATCGACATTTCCGGGCCGGAATTCCCCCAGGGAACCCCCTAAAAACTAGAGGTCGTCCTCCTCAAAAATTTTGTTTTTTCCCGTTTTTTTGCTATTCGACACCCAGATTTTTGGATTCAGCGTGAAATTTTGAGCCCCCACCCTTTTTAAACGAAAATTTTCGCGCGCGGTGGGGCTCGAACCCGCCGACTCACGCTTGGAGATTTTACGACGCGCAAAACCAAAGTTCGAGCCCCAATGCCCGCCGTTTTTTTTGAAAATGTAAATTTTTGTGTTCAAAACTTGTTCAAACAAAAAATTTCATGGCTGATTGATTTTTATGTGATTTTTTTCCAGAAAAATCTCTATAGATTTTCTAAAAAAAATATTTTTGTGAGAAAATTTGAGATGAGTCATAAAAGAAATTATCATATTCTTTTCCGTTTTTCGGGCCGAAAAATTTTTTTTTGCGAAAAAAAATCGTTTTTGATGATGAACACCTGCTTTTGGCTTTGGTTGAGAGATTTTGATTGATCAGATTTTTTTTGAAAATTTTTTTGAAATGAAAAAAGTGGGGCGAATTTTTTGTGGCAAAATAATTATGACACGTGGATTTTTTTGATCTACATGAACTTTTCTGAATTTTTTTTTGAATTTTCCCGCCAAAACTTTTCGTCACCTGACCCAAAAAACCCGACTTCTTCTCTTTTCCAAAACTAACCAATTATGTGTGTATGATTCACTTAAAAGATGTTTATCTTGCCCAAAATTTGTCCCGTTTCTAGATCGAAATCGTAAAAAATTCGGTTTTTCTCAAGGTTGTTTCATTTATAGTTTACCGCAAGTTTTTTTGCGAAAAGTTTTGAAATTGAAAACAGCGCCGAGCGGGACTCGAACCTCTGACCTTTTTCTTGGAAATTTTTGGGCTCTGAAACCAGAATTTTTCAGTTTTCCGTGAAAATTTGGCTCAGGAACGTTTTTAAACGAGATTTTGATCAGATTTTGATGTTAGAACTTATTTCATACCACTTTTCTCAAATTTCAGCTCATTTTTGAGCACAGAAACCTGAATTTTTGAATTTTTCACAAAAATTTCACCTGGACACTTTTTTTTTGAAAAAAAAATTGTTGAACTTTTTTTTTGGAGTTTAAAATTCAAAATTCAAACTTGAGAGCCAACTTTTCAAAATCCTCTCAAAATTCTGAGCTTGAATATTTTTTTTCGCAAAAAAAATTTAAAAAAAACATGCGCCGAGTGTGACTCGAACCCTTGACCCTTTCTCCTCAAAATTTTAGCACGCGCGAGACCAAAGTTCGAGCCTCACTGCCTGCAGGATTTTTATTCGAATTCAAAAAACTTTCGGATTAGCTTTTCGTTTTCTACATATTTCCAACTAAAAAAAAGTTTGTTTGTTTTTAATTATACCAGTTTTTTATGGTTGGCTTGAAAAGTTTTATATTCGTTTTCCTCTTTTTCTCCCAGAAAAATTCCAGAAATTTTGGATAAAAAAGCGCTTAGCGGGACTTGAACCCTTGACCCTTTTCATCGGAATTTTTCAAAATTCCTGGTCCCAGCCCGAAATTATTGACACCTCTTATCATACAGTAACCTTGAACCACCCAAAACCACTCAATTATTATTTTTATCTGATTTTTTTTTTGGTTTCCCAGGAGATGTTATAATAACTTTTATATAATAATTATCTTTTCTTTTTTTTTTGAAAATACAATTTTTTTTTGGCGCCCAAAAAATTTATTCAACATTTTTTTTGCTCGGCTTGATTTATGGGTTTTATTGGGTGCTTTGCTGAAGAAATGGGAGCATCGAAATTTCATTTTTTTTTCTCGCGCGCGCTTTTTTTATTGGGGAATTTTGGCGCCAAAGAAATGAGGGATTGCTCATGTTAGACTTTGAGATTGAGAAAATTATAATATTGTTCATATTAAAAATTTCCTGAATTTTCAAGAAAAACAATGATTGCTCATGTTAAAGTTTCCAAAATTTCTGATTTTTGGTGAATTTTTGGTCATTGATCATATTATACTTTTCTGAAAATTGAAACATTGCTCATATTAGCAATTTTCTGAATTTTGTGAAAATAAAATTATTGCGCATGTTAAAGTTTACTAAATTCCTGATTTTTGTTAAATTTTTGGACATTGCTCATATTATAATGTTCTCAAAATTAAAAATTGCTCATATTAAAAATTTCCTGAATTTTTGAAAGTTAGCAATGATTGCTCATGTTAAAGTTTCCAAAATTCCAATTCTTGTTGACTTTTAAAGCATTGCTCATATTATAATTTTTTTCAAAATTGAAACATTGCTCATATTAGAAATTTCCTGAATTTTGAGAAGAGAAAGTAATTGCTCATGTTAAAATTTTCTGAAATTTCGATTTTTGTTGAATTTTTGGACATTGCTCATGTTAGAATTTTCCTGAATTTTGAGAAGAGAAAGTAATTGCTCATGTTAAAGTTCCCTGAATTTTTGGAAATTAATAATGATAGCTCATGTTAAAGTTTCCAAAATTTCTGATTTTTTGTTGAATTTTCGGACGTTGCTCATATTATACCTAATGATTTTTCAATTTTTACTCATAGCTTCAAGTTTCAATTTTCAAAATTTAGCTGAAAATTTGGGATAATTCAATTTTCTCTTAGCATTGCTCATATTATACCCCAAGAATCTCCCGTTTCTCAGCAACTTTTTCCTTCTTCTTTTTTGGCGCCCCAAAAAAACATACATACAAACTATACGATATAAATTATGTATACATGAATATGTATAAAATGAAATAAAACTTTTTTTTATGTTCAGCCGCATTTTTTTGTATGTCATCAATTTTTTTCGTTGTTATTTGTTATATAACTGTACTACTATTGTGGGAAAATTACAATTTTCAGAATTTTTTGGCTGAAAATATTGATTTTCTCTTGAAATTTTGAATAATTTTCCAGCAGATTCTATAAATTTTGCTGAAAATCTGGAAATTTTCATTTTCAGACATCGATAGTGGTAATCTTGGTGCAGTTCTACAACTTTTGTACATTTTATCGACACACAAACAAAAATTGCGACAAATCAAAAAGGATTTGAAGTTGAGCGCAATGCCACCGGCGGTTACAAAGTGAGTTTTAAAAAACACTTTTTTTTGGATTCTGGGGCTCAAAATTTCCATTCGAGACCTGGATTTTCGGAATCCGCGTGAAATTTTAAGCGGGAAACTTTTTTTTTCAAAAAAAAATGAGTCCGGCGTGGCTCGAACCCGCGACCTTTCTCTCCGCAATTTTCCCACGCGCAAGACCAAAGTTCGAGCCCCGCTGCCTGCGCAAACTTTTTTTGTTTTTTTCTAGACCAAAATTCCACGAAGATTTCAAATTTTTGGGTCTCGCAGCGAAATTTCGATCAAAAAAATGATTTTTTTTCATGAAAAAATGATGTTGACCAAATAAATATTTGCAAATCATAAAAAAATGGGAGTTTTTCTCAAGTGGTCGCGTTCTTTTTTGTGTACCAAGAAGTTTTTTTTTGGCGCGTGTGAATGAATGAATTGCGAGAAAAATGACTGGTTTTTTGACGGAGCTATTGATTTTTGGAGCTCCAAAACCTGAATTTTTCAATTTTCCGTAAAAATTTGGCTCAGGAACGTTTTTTGACAGAGAAAAATGGTCCCAAAGGGATTTGGATTATTTTTTGAGCTCTGGGCTCATTTTAGACGATTTTTGAACCCACAAACCTGAATTTTTGAACTTTTCACGAAAATTTGACCCGGAGACTTATTTTTGAAAAAAAAACGTTGTTGAACTATTTTTGTTAGAATTTTCAGCAAAATCTTATTTTTCCCATCTTCAAATGCAAAATTCCGACTTGAGACCCAAATTTTTGAAATCCTCTCGAAATTCTGAGCAAGAAATTTTTTTCTCATGCAAAAAATAAAAAAAACGTGCGCCCGGCGTGGCTCGAACCCCTGACCTTTTTCTCCGCGCGAGGAGCTCAGGTTCGAACCCCACTGCCCGCGCAATTTTTTTTTCTAGATCAAAATTTCACGGCGAGCTTGATTTTGTAGGTCCCGACACGAAAAAATTTGAATTTTCCAGACTTCCCTCGCCAAAATCGCGAATAGCTCAACCGCCAACCACAACAAGTAAAGAAAATTTGAATTCGAATTTTCTGGCGCCACAAATGTCGACGTCACGTCTGCAAACACCGTCACGGATATCGAGACCAGGTACAGTAATTTTTTGGCGGGAAAAACTTTTTTTGACCTACCAGATAGGAGAAAATTTGTTTTTAATTTGTCTCGCGAGTTTTTCCCGCGCGCACAAATTAAAATTAATTAATTTTGCGCGCGCCGGAAAATTGGAAAATTGAAGGAAAAGACGGATGAGCGGGGTAGTAAAAGTAGTAATTAGTTTGCTCTCTCCACTCTATTTCTGGACACCAATTGACTTTTTTCACTTTTTTGTGGAAAAAATTTGAATTTCTTCCCATTTCCCGTTTTTTTCCTGCGTTAAAAATAGTTTTTTCGTGATCTACGCAAAATTTTAGGCGGGAAACTTTTTTTCAAAAAATAAAAATAATACGCTCCCATCGGGGCTCGAACCCGCGACCTGTTTCTCCGTAATTTTACTGAGCGCTAGACCAAAGTTCGAGCCCCCCCTGCCTGCGCAATTTTTTTGTCTACACCAAATTTTCACGAGGATTCCAAATTTTTTGGGTCTCGCAGCGAAATTTTGATAAAAAAAATTATTTTTTTTGAATTTTTCGCTGCGAAAAATTGATTAAAAATCTCAAACAAAAAGACGATTTTTCATCTCATCTCAGAAAAAAATCTGGAAAAAAATAGTATTATTTTTTATGTGTCTGGTCACTCGTAAATAACAACTTTCTTTATTTTTCTTTCGAAGAAAAAAAACAAAAAAAAAAAAAGATTTTCAGATTTTTTTTCAAGAAAAAAAATATATAGTTTGGTTTTGTCTTTATTTTTTTTTAGTTTTTGAAAAATAATTCAATTTCAAAATTTTCAAAACTTTTCGTGGATCAAAAAGTTCAGAATCCACGTGGAAACATTTTGAGCGCGTATTTTTATTTCAGAAAATCTCACATTTTCAAGATTTTCCTGAATTTTTCTCGATTTTCCCCCACCAAAATCCCTGAATTTTCAGCCACCACAAGCTCCTCGAAGCTCACACCAACCTCCACGGCCTCAAGTTCCACCCAGTCTCTCACCAAATCCGGAATCCGACCGCCATCCTCATCTGCCACGTCATCAACTTCGAGTCGCGCGAGTGGAAACAACAATAGCACCTCCTCGCGAATCGCCACGTCACAATTGCAAAAGCCACAACACACTTCGTCAAGAATCCGAGTGGCGACAAATTCGCCGGCGAGTCGCGTCGCAGCTGCGACACCCAGCGAGAAAATTGCGACTGTGAAATCGCTAGCGGCTAGGAAACCGGAGAAAATTGAGCCGAGTTCGGCGAACTCGGCGAGCATGCTGAAATTGAAGCTGTTCAACACAGCTCCAAAAGACAGTGCGCCGATTATTGCTAAGCCGAAAGAGAAGCCGAACACACCGATTCGAAATAGTGGATTGAAGCCGCCGACGTCGAAGCTGGCAAAGGTGAGTGGGGGAATTTTGAAAGTGAAAATTTTGAGGGGATCGTTTTGAGACCCCATATGACCTAGTGACCTATGAACTTCAAAATTTGTATGGCTTGACATGAGCAATTGTCGAAATATTTTTAATATGAGCAATGCCAACGCTATTTTTATAGTTATTAGCAATTTTTCCAAAATCACAGGGAAATTTTTAAAATGAACTTCAAAATTTTTCATTGTTTAAATTGAGCAATTTGGTTCTAATATGAGCAATGCTCCGAATTTTTTAGCTTGAAAATTTAGAAATTGAAAAAAAATTACACGAATTTTGTGAACACCAACATCTTGGAATTTTTTTTCAAAATTTTAATATTTGAAAATTATTCCACGTGGCACAAAAATTGTATACTTTTTTTCCTTTGTCCCAAAATCCTCTACTACTTTTTCCTATTTTTATTTTTATTTTCTGTTTTTGTTCCAAAACCCTATTCATTACAAATGATTAGGCCCATGGGAACACAGAAAAACGAGAAAAAGTTGTCCCAAAAATAAAAGCGAGAAAAAAAATTCGCTTTTTCATTTTTACTACTTTTTTTTGGAGTTCTCAGCATTTCTCATATTAGAGATTTTCTGGATTTTTTTGGAGCTTACAGTAATATTTTAAATTTAAAAATAGGAAATTTGGGAAGTTCATTGCTCATGTTAGTCATTTTCCAAATTATTTTCAAGGAAATACTAGTATTGCTCATGTTAAAAAATTTTTAGAATTTTTTTTTGAGAATTTCAAAACTTTGGAGCATTGCTCATATTATTTCTAATCGAAATTTTCTCAACTCAAAAATAAAATGTTGCCAAAATAAAATTCCGGAAATGTTTTTCTTCTTCTCATTTTGCGCCTCTTTCTGACCAGATGTGTTGTTTTTTTTCTTCTGAGCTCATCTAATTTTTCGCCATTGAAAAATGTGTCGGAAATTGCACATTTTCGAGCAGAAATTTGCGTTTTCCTCGAGTTTTTGAGGTTTTTCCCCCAAAAATTCCGAATTTTGCAGCCAACCCCAACCTCAAAAATCACCTATCGAAAAGAGCACAAACCTGAGCCCGAAAAGCGATGCTCCAAATCGAGTGAAGAAGACGAATCGGGTTACGTTGGTTTTTCGACACAAAGTTCCGGATCATCGCCAGCTTCGACGTCGTCGACTGAAGGAAGTCTAAGTATGCATTCGGCTTCGTCAAAGGTTGGTTTTGCGAGGGGATTTGGAGCATTTTGAGCCGAAATTTGAGAATTTCTGAATTTTTTTGGCTAGAAAGTGTCTAGATCTGGAAATTTAGATGTTTGAAATTTGAAAAAAAAGTATTGCTCATATTAGTCGCATTCAAAGCATTGCTCATGTTAACCACAATCTTCACAATAGCCTAAAAATTTCACCTTCTTCCATGTCCCTTTAAAATTTTCCACAAATTTTTTTTTCAAATTTTTTGCCTTGAAAATCTGACAATTTTGAGCCGAAATTTGAGAATTTCTGAATATTTTAGGCTAGAAAAATTGCTCATGTTAATAAAAAACAAATTTATAGGATTGCTCATATTAAAGAAAATTCTGAAATTCAATTTCAGCTAAAAATTTTGTAAATTAAAACATTGCTCATGTTAATCGAATTTTGTAAATAGCTTGTTAAAGCCTATGTCCCTTTAAATTTTTCTCACAATTTATTTTTTTTCAAATTTTTTCCCAAGTATTTTAATGACCTTACTCTCAAAGTATACAAATACGAAATTTTTTCTCACAATTTATTTTTTTTATTTTTCAATAGTGGCAGGTGTTTGGCTACAGTAATCCCAGCCTATTGAAATTCTTCTTGGGTGGTCTGAAAAAAAATTTAATGAGCAAAAAATTGCATTCAAAAATTATTTTTTGAGTTTACTTTAATCTGAGCAATGCTATTCATTTTTTAAATTTTTTATTAACATGAGCAATATATATTTTTTTCGAACATCTATTATGTTTTCTAATATGAGCAATGCTTTAAATTAAAATTCACAGTTTTCTTAATATGAGCAATCTTCATATCCAGCTCAAAAATTCAGAAAAATTTAAATTTTTCGAATCTAGGCTCAAAATTTTCAGATTTTTTTGAATCTAGGCTCAAAATTTTCAGACTTTCAAGATTTTCAGCCTAAAAACCCCCAAAACCTTGAAATTTTCCAGAGTTCCACCTCCTCTTCACATTCTCCATCATCCGACGATTTGACACTCAACGCCTCCATCATAACTACAGTAACCCAAACTGCAAAACCGCAAATCGCATTAGCACCGGAACCCAAACCGGTGTTGGCTGTGATCGGAATTCCGAATCCGGAAAAAGAGAAACCGGCGATTGGTGTCGTTTCACCAATGATGACACATCGAAAATTGGTGAAAAATGGTGGGTTTTGTGGGGTTTTGGTGGGGAAATTTGAGGAATTCTGGAAATTTTGACCCGGGAAAGTTGTTTTGGGGGTTTCTAGGCCATCTAGACCATTTCTAGGCTATTTTTTGGATTTCTAGGCTATTTTTGGATTTCTAGGCCATGGCTATTTTCCGGTTTCTAGGCCATCTACATCATTTCTAGGCCATCTAGAACATTTTTAGGCTATTTTTTGGGTTTCTAGGTCATCTAGACTATTTCTGTGCTATTTTTTGGGTTTCTAGGCCATCTAAACCATTTCCAGGCTATATTTTGGATTTCTAGGCCACCTAGACCATTTTTAGGGTTTTTTTTGGATTTCTAGGCCATCTAAATTATTTCCAGTCCAATTTTTGAATTTCTAGGCCATCTAGACCATTTCTAGGCCATTTCTTGGATTTCTAGGTCATCTAGACCATTTCTAGGCTATTTTTTTTGGATTTCTAGGCCATTTTGTCGGTTTTCTAGGCCATTTTCAGGCTTACAGACATTTTTTCCAGAATCCTCTCCAGACATTTCTGAAAAATCGGAGCCCGTTCCAAAAATGGCTCCAATTCGCCAGCCGCCAACCTACGAGCAACTTTTGGAGCAGGGAAAAATCCAATCACCCACCAAATCCACTTGTGGTAGGTTACTGTAGCTTTTTTTCTGGGCGCCAAAAAATCTGAATTCAAATTTTCCTGCAGCTTCCCCGATTTTCGGCGAGCCATCCACGTCAAAATCCGAAATTCCAACAAGTCCGTCGCGGATTTTGAGCCCAACTCCGAAAAAAGGAGAGCAGCGAGAGAGTGTGCTGTCGTTGGAGAGACGAGAGAAAAAGAAGAGCTCGGGTGAGTAGATTTTGGGGTACTGTAGTTCTGAAGATACTGTTGATCAAATTTTGTTCCCACAAAATTTTTGAACTACTTTCCCAGGGGTTACTGTAGGATTTGAGTATCAAATATTTTTCCATGTTCCTTTGATATTTTTCCAAATTCAAAAAATCTAGATTACTGTAGGTAGATCGAAAATTATCCCTTTCAGGATTACTGTAGTGCCCAATTTTTTTTTGCAAATGACCTTGTTCCTCCTTCTAATCAGTGTTCATTGAATTTTTTTTTCTTTTTTTTCGAAAAAAAATTTTTTGAATGGGGCAGATGTCCAATTATTTTGTGAAGACATTCCTATTCACAATTTTTTTTGTTCTGAGAGAAAAAAACTACAGTAATCTTTGCCTATTGAAAATCCACGTGGGTGGTCCGCAAAATGTGTTCTTAGTTAGTTCTTTTGAAAAAAAATTCATTCAAAAATTTTTCTCTTTGAAAATTTTAGTAGATAATTTTTTTCATGGATAAATCTAGGATTACTGTAGCTCGGGAATTACTTGGAGTACTGTAGTTCTAGAAATTAGGTTACTGTGTGGATAAAGAATTAGCTTATCCTAAAACTATGGAGGGATTACGGTAGATTTGAATTTTTGAGATACTGTAATTTACGTTCAGAAAAATTACTGTAGATGGAAAATCTCCTGGATTACTGTAGTTTGAAAAAATATATTGGATTACTGTAGTTTTTAGCGCGAAATTCAAATATTGTAGGACCACGTTTTTTTTTTCATTTTTGATCCAGAATAATCTAGGAGTACTGTATATTTTCTATAATTTCTGGCGCCAAATTTCGACCTACAGTATTCATTTTCCACTCAAGACCCATGCATTTTTCCCTCTCAAAAAAATTATTAATATGAGCAATGCACATATTAATAATAAGTGCGGATTTCCTGATTTGCATAAAAACTACTTGCTAATAAATCTCAATTTTCATATATATTTTCTCATTTTTTCCCTTTTTTTCTTCTGCGCACTTTATTTTTTTTCATTTTCTAAATTTTTGAAAAATATTACGAAATTCTACACCCAGAGGTGTAAAATTTCCACCAAAAAATTTTTTTTTTGCTTCAGAATCCAGTGGCTACAATTCTTCGGAAGGCGGAATTGCAATGTTTGCGAAAATGCGTGAAAAAATGAAGGAGTACGATGATATGACGAAGAAAGCGCAACAAGGATATCCAGAGAGGTACGGTTGATTTTTGGCGGGAAATTTTTAAGAATTTTGTCATGAAATTGTGAAATTCGGATTCCTCGTGGAATTTTGAGCCGGAAAAGTTGTATGGTCAAAGTTTTTGAGAAATGTTGACTAGCGGGATCGATCCCGTGACCTCTAGATTGGTAGAAAAGTGGCTCAGCAGATTAGAGGGTTATCTACCAATCTAGAGGTCCTGGATCGATCCCGCTAGTGAATGTTTGTTTTTTCTGGCTTCTGAATCTGAATTTGAATTTCTGCAAAAAACCCGGATTTCAAGGTCTCACGGCGATTTTTTCTAGAAAATTCAATGATGACCGTGATCTACGCAAAATTCTGACCCAGAAAACATTTATTTACAAAAAAATGTTCACTAGCGAGATCGAACCCGCCACCTCTCACTCCGCAGCCAACTGTCTAACCTGTTGAGCCATTCTCAATCTTCAGGGCGCGGGTTCGATCCCGCTAGTGAACATTGCTTTTTATTTTTTTGATGAGATATGTTTTCCTGGCCAGAATTTTGCGGGGAATCTGAATTTTTGAGTCTCGCAGCGATTTTTGAAGAAAATCTTGAGTTTCTCGAGAAAAATTAGCGATTCTTTTGTTTTCAATGAAAATGAAATGGTGGGAAATTAATTGAAAGGGGGTGATTCATAAAATATTCATGTCCCGGAAGACTTTTGGGTCCACTAGAGAAGATACTATCTTCTTCTTTTTTGTCTTGGCTTCGCCTAAAAACAAATGAGCAAGAGGAAGAAGGGGATGACTTATGAATGAGGCGGACCCCCCCCTACCCAATTTGCATTCTGGTTGACGAGTTGCGCGAACTCCTCTCTCTCTCAATTTTTTTCTTGTGAGCATCTGGTTGGCCTTTTTGCTTCCCTCATATTATTATAAACTTTTTTTTTGGAAGGCAGGAATTAATTAGGTTAGAAATTATTGGCCACATGTTATTTATTCATTTTTTCTCCCCAAGACTTGGAAATTTGTGATCTACGCGAAATTCTGATCTAGAAAACTTTTATAATCGAAAAAAAATATTTTGCTCCCGCTGGGAGTCGAACTCGGGTCTCGAGACTCTGAAATTTGAAATCCTCACAAAATTCTGACCTGGAAAACATAAAAAATAAAAAAATGTTCACTAGCGGGATTGAACCTGGCACCTCTAGATTGCTAGACAAGCCTCTAACCTATTGAGCCATTTTTCTATCAAGAAAAAGGTCGCGGGATCGATCCCGCTACTCAAAATTTCACAAATTTTTTGTTAAAACATGTTTTCTAGTTGCAAATTTTGTGTAGATCACGAATTTTTCGGTTTCGCCATCAGAAAATTGTGTTTTTCACAACAAAAATAGAGGAAATGCAGTTCCTTTTTCTATTTTTCTTGCTTGTTCAACAAAAAACTACGATTTGTTCATTTTTTCGAGCAAAATCAGTTTTTTCGCTAAAAAATGAGAAATTGGCCAAATCTATGATCGAATTAGTCAAAAATGTATATTTTTCTTTTGTTTTTACTCCCTCCCTTTTTCATTTCCTATTATTATTATTATTGTTCCTTTTTATATGTAGACATATACATAAGTGGCTCCTTGAAAAGCGAATATTTTTGAAAAATGCCGCCCTCCCCTCTCCAAACCTACTACTTTTTATGGGAAATTTGCATATTTTTCGCGTGTTTTCACCTTTTTATAGTCAAAAATCTGGATTTTCTCAATTTTTACTTCAAAAAATCGCTACAAGACCCGAAAATTCGAATCTCTATGAAATTCTGACCCGGAAAACATATATTTTCAAAAATTTCGAGAAATTTTGAGTAATGGGATTGAACCCGCGATCTCTAGATTGCTAGAAAAATGGCTCATCAGGTTAGAGGTTTGTCTAGCGATCTAGACGTCCCGGGATCGATCCCGCTACCGGAAAAGTTTTTTGTTTTTTTTTTTCAAAAAGTTTTCTAGGCTAAAATTTCGCGTAGATCACGAATCCCCCGCTCAAAATTACTTTTCTCTGCAAAAAGAATTCAAAATTTCGTTGGCTTTTCAAAAAAAGTTGTAGAATATTCTATTGTTGCTCATCATAATTGCACTTTACTGAATTTTTGAAACAAATTTTTGCGTAGCTTTTCATTCACAAGCCTAAGCCTAAATAATTATGTCGTTTCTGAGTAGAATTTTGCAAAAGTGAGTTTTTTTCCGGAAAAAAATATCAAAATCCCAGATTTTCTCGATTTTTTTGCCACGAAACACATTTTTTGCCCACTGGCTCTGTGGGTGGTGCAAAAACAGATGTTTCGGAATATTGTTTTCAAAAATTTCCCAGTGAAGATGCGATTTTCGAATCCCGAGACTCAGATTTTCGAATTCTCCGTGAAATTTTGTACCGGAAAACTTTTATATCCAAAGATTGTTCACTAGCGGGATCGAACCCGTGACCTCTCACCTCGCAGGCTAACCTCTAACCAGTTGAGCCATTTTTCTAGCAGGTAAAAGGTCGTGGGATCGATCCCGGTAGTGAACATTGCTTTTTAATTTTTGATAAGATATGTTTTCCCAGCTAGAATTTTATGGAGAATTCGAATTTTCGGGTCTCGCAGCGATTTTCGAAAATTTAAACCCGAAATTCATGATCTACGTAAATTTCTAACCCAGAAAACATATAAAGTTCACTAGCGGGATCGAACCCGCCACCTCTCACTCCGCAGCCAACTGTCTAACCTGCTGAGCCATTCTCAGTCTCTAGAGCTTAACTTCGTGGGTTCGATCCCGGTAGTGAGCATTGCTTTTTATTTTTTTTTGATAAGATATGTTTTCCCAGCTAGAATTTCATGGAGAATTCGAATTTCTGGGTCTCACGGCGAAAAAGTCAACCAGGTGTAAATAAATAATAATTATTATTATTAGGTGTCTTATTTACCGCCTCATTTTTTCCGGTTCCTTCCCTCCCATTTTCGGCTGAGCTCAAAAAAGGAGAAAGTTGCGCCATCTGCCCAGAAGAAAATAAATACGCCCATAAAAAGAAAATGGGAGGCGAATATAAAATAAAAAGGCGATTATAATTTGTCAGTTTTGCTTTCTGCTGCTTTCCCGCCAGCCCGAAAATTTTAATCCCCCGCCAAATTTCGAAATTCTCATTTTTGCAGTTTCGAAGACTCGTCCTCTTTGTCCTCCGGAATTTCAGACAATATCGAATACGACGACGTTTCCACCGACGATTTATCTGGAGTGTAAGTGATTTGGGACCCGCAAATTCGGATTCCTCGTAAAATTCTGACCCGGAAAGTTGGTTTACTCAAAAAAATTGAGAAATGTTGACTAGCGGGATCGATCTCGCGACCTTTAGATTGCTATGGCTCAGCAGGGTAAAGTCTTGTCTAGCAATCAAGAGGTGGTGGGTTCGAGCCCGCTGGTGGAATATTTTTTTTATTTTTTGAAAAACTAGTGTTCCAGGGTCAGAATTTCACGTAGATCACGAATTCTTATTTATTTTCCTTGAGAAAAAATTCTGGGACCTGGAAATTTGGATTCCTCGACCCGGGAAACATGAAAAACGTAATTTTCACAACCGGGATCGATCTCGCGACCTTTTGAGTGCTAAAAAATGGCTCAGCAGGTTAGAGGTTCATCTAGCAATCTAGAGGCCCTGGATCGATCCCGGCACCAGAAATAACTTTTTGTTTTCGAGTTTTTGTTATTGCAAACACCAATTTTGGCGCAAAAAGTGTCGAATTTCCATTTTTCGCGCACCAAGTCAGCTGCCACCCCAATTTTTTCCCATTTCATGTCATTTTACACCCTAAAACACACCAATTCATCTAAATCTTGAGAGTAATTGCATTTCCTGGACTCTTTTTCCCCTCTGGAGAGGAAAGAGCAGGAAAAAAAAATTATAAATTAGTTTTTTTTCTGATGGGTGACGAATTGGTTGGGTTTGGGTGACATGAAATTGAGAGGAGACAGAGTTTTATTGGTTTTTTTTTTCTGGGAGCTTTTTTCGAGGTGAACTTGCGAAATATTTCTGTCCCCCCCCTAGGAATTTTTAGTTGGAATTGTGAAATTCGAATTCCTCGTGAAATTTTGACCCGGAAAATGTGTTTTTCTAAAATAATTGCGCAATTTTCACTAACGGGATTGATCCCGCGACCTTTAGATTGCTAGAAATATGGCTCAGGAGGTTAGAGGCCTACTTGCTGCTTGGAAAGTCGCGGGTTCGATCCCGCAACAATTTTTCTTGATTTTTATTTTTTTATATATTATGTTTCCGGGTCAGAATTTTACGGGGATTATGAATTTTCCATTTATTATCCACTGAAAATGTCACGAGACCTAGAAATTTGAGTTCCTCGGAAAATTCTGACTAGGAAAATGTGTTTTTCTTCAAAAATTGAGCATTGTTTAGAATTTTGGCGCAGCAGGTTAGAGGCCTATCTAGCAGTCAAGAGGTCGAAAGTTCAATCCCGCCACAAATTTTTCTTGATTTTTATTTTTTATATATTATGTTTCCGGGTCAGAATTTTACGGGGAATTCGAGGAATTTTACGGTCTCACACTTTCAATTTCTCTTCAAAAAAAGCAAAAATTTATTTTCAGTGAAATGGCCACAGTCGCCTCAAAACACTCGGACTACGGTCATTTCATCCGTGGCTCGGCGAGCCAACCAAAACCTCTTCGAGCACCTTCCGAATCTCGAAGTCGAACAATCGCCGAGCAGGAAAATATTCACAAATTGCTCTCGCAATGTCGAACCAGTCAACGTGGAAGCTCGTTTGGACAACATTCTATCAGATCACCAGGTTATGCGACTTATTCGCCGGCTCGCGGAAGCGGAAGCGGAACCGCGGGCTCCGGAAGCAAATCCGGATATCACTCATTGGACAGAAAATCACATTTGGCCGAATTTTCAGCGAGCGGTGATAATCGAATTGCGGCGTTATTGAGTCCGAGGCGGATTCCGAATCCACAACCAGGTTGGTTTTTTGGCGGGAAAATTTGGAGCATTGCTCATATTAGAAAGCTCGAGAAAAATAGATTTTGAAGAGCATTACTCATTTTATATTCACAAAAAAAAATCCCGAAACTTTTTTTGAGCATTGCTCATGTTAAACAAATGTCAAAATAGCAAAAATCAGAGCATTGCTCATTTTAACGCATATTGCTCAGATTAGGAAATTATTGAAATTTTAAAAAATATACGGCATTGCTCATTTTAATCTAACATTTTTTAGCAATGCTCATTCTAAGAAATTTGAAGCATTGCTCATTTTATGAAATTTGGAGCATTGCTCATTTTATGAAATTTGGAGCATTGCTCATTTTAAGAAATTTAGAGCTGTTTTCATTTAAAGAAATTTGAAACATTGCTTAGACTAAGAAATTTGGAGCCTTTCTCATTTCATGAAATTTGAAGCATTGCTCATATTAAGCAAATTTTCTAAAGTTAGATTTTTTCTGAAATTTAAGCATTGCTCATGTTAAAAAAAAATTTATTTAAAAAAAATCCAGATAATCAAAATTATTGCTCAGATTAGAAAATTATTTAAAGTTCGGAAATTTTAAGCATTGCTCATATTAAGCAAAGTTTCTAAATTTCGATTTTTTTCTATAATCTAAACATTGCTCATATTAGATTTTTCCCCCAAAAATCCTAATAAATCCCATTTAGCTTCTTTTTTTGTGTGACATTTTTTATTTTTCAAAAAAAAAATTTGAAATCCAATTTTGTTTTGTCCTTTCGCGGCCCACTTCTAATCCGCTTTTTTTTCAAAAAAAATTTTTTATTTTTTTTTTTCTCCGCTTCTCTAACCTCTCGCTTTTTCTAACAGTCTCTCATCATCAACACCATCAAAATCGCCATCAAAATTCGCTGAACGCTTCCGGAATGTCGAGATCAATGATTATGCTGGAAACCCTGTCGGCAGTCACGTCACCGCGTCAATCGCGGCGTCAGAATTTCGCCGCAAGCGTCGTGAATTCGCCGGTGCGACGTTCGCACTCGCCGCGTGGACCATCTTCCGCACGGATTCCTCTCTCTATCGCTTCCTCGTCGCCTGTTACTATTAACAAGGGTACTAACTTTTTGGGTTACTGTAGCTGCCACGTGGCAACGTTTTTTGTTTGACTTTTTTGATTTTTTTGGTTACTTACTGTAGCTTTGAAATTTTCGAATTTTATGTTCAAGTTACTGTATCTGATAAGAAAATCCACGTGGCATTTTGAACAACAAAACCCCTACCGTACACCTACAGTACCCTACAGTACAAAAAAATTTTCTCCAGCTCGCCCCCGAAACTCATCCTCGTCTGGAATCTACGGAACTTATCACTCAGACGCTTTTCAACTTTATCGATTGGCCGACGATCAAATACAGTACTCCTCGAATGGGTCTCGAAGCGAAATGGGTTCGCAATTGTCGTTGGCATCCACTACGGCTTATGCATCGGTGAGAGAATTTTGGGTTACTGTAGTTCTAATCTACAAAAAATTGGAAACATTTGAGATCAAATAAGTCTGGGTTACTGTAGTTTTTTTGGTTACTGTAAGTTCTGTGATCTACAAACATTCTGGAATTTTTTGAAACCAAATAAGGTTGGGTTACTGTAGTTTTTCAGATCACTTCTAGATTGATTTTGATCTACAAAAATTACAGTAAGATTTTTCTTGATCTACAAAAAACTTGGAATTTTTTTGAGACCAAATAGGCTAGGTTACTGTAGTTCTAGATTGATAAATTTGTGATCTCCCTCAAAAAATCCCATTTTCTTCCAGCTCAACGATAAATACGAGCATGCGATTCAAAATATGACGCGAGACTTGGAATCTTACAAATCCACAATCGATTCGTTGACCAAAAAACAGGAGAACTACACGTCACTCTTCGAACTCTTTGAGCAAAAATTGCGAAAATTGACGAGTCATATCGAAAAATCGAATTTGAAGTCGGAAGAAGCGGCGAGATTCAGACAAGATATTGCTCATCTTAGAGAGATTTCGACGCATTTGGCGAAGGCGACACAGGTTAAACAGCATAATGTGAGTGTTGGGGAGAAATTGTGTCAGACTTGCAGAAGTGGGCGGGGCTTAGGGTTGAGAAATTCTGAAATTTAAAATTTCTCAAAAAAATAAGTTTTGAAAATGCTTGTCTTACTAAAAATTTCAAAAAAAATTTTTCTAGACAAGAATTTTTTGCTGAAAACGCTGAAACTATTGATTTTCAAGAATTTTCAGCTATTTTTTGAGTTTCAGCACAAAATTTTAGACTAGAACAATATTTTCAAAAATTAAAAAAAAATGAACATTTTTGTTCTACTAAAAATTCCAGAAAATGTTTTTCTAGCCTAGAATTTTACGCTGAAAACGCTGAAACTATCAATTTTTCAAGATTTTCAGCTATTTCTTGAGTATCAGCACGAAATTTTGATCTAGAACAATAGTTTCTGAAATTCGAAAAAAAAAGAAAATTTTTGTTTCACTGAAAATTCCAGAAAAAACTTTTTCTAGACTAGAATTTTACGCTGAAAACGCTGAAACCATTAATTTTCAACAATTTTCAGCTATTTGTTGAGTTTCAGCACAAAATGTTGGTCTAGAAACATTTTTTTCTGAAATTCGAAAAAAAATGAAAATTTTTGTTTTACTGAAAATTCCAGAAAATATTTTTCTAGACAAGAATTTTTGCTGAAAATGCTGAAATCATTGATTTTCAAAAATTTTCAGCTATTTCTAGAGTTTCAGCACGAAATTTTGATCTAGGAACATTTTTTTCTGAGACTCAAAAAAAAATGAAAATTTTTGTTCTATAAAAATTCCAGAAAAATTGTTTCTAGACTAGAATTTTACGCTGAAAACGCTGAAACTATTGATTTTCAAAAATTTCCAGCTATTTTTTGAGTTTCAGCACAAAATTTTAGACTTGAACAAAAAATTTGACTACAAAAAATATTGTACCAGGCTTGTCGTGGCTCAAAATGCTCCAAATTTTACGCTGAAAATTTCAGGATGGAGCTGGTGAACTCTTGCGACAACCCAGTCTAGAATCAATCAGATCTTCAATGTCAAGTTCGTCGAAATCCAGCAAACACGATAAAATGAGCCTGAACTCGTTTGGAAAATCGAAAAAGAGCTGGGTAGGTTTTTTTTTGAAATTATTTTTTTTCAAAAAAAAAATTTGAATTTTTTTTTATTTTTAGGCGCTTAGCGTTGATTCACAGGTAACGTGAAAGTGTAGTGTTGTAGTTTTTGTGAAATTATTGATTTTTTTGGGAATTGTTTAAGATGAGCAATGATTTATTTTGCAGATTCGAAGCTCGCTGTCAAAATTGACCAAGAAGAAACATTCAAAAGATGAGATGCCTTCGATTTCTGGATCTCAGCAAATGTAAGTTTTTGACTGAAAATTTGAGATTTTGGCTGAAAATGGGCGGTCCCATGATTTTCAGCGCGAAATTTGGGGCTGGGAGGTTTTTTTGGGAAAAAATTCTGCAAAAAAAGTTCTTGACTGAAATTTTGCGCTGAAAACGCTGAAAATAAAGGCTTTCATGGTTTTCATAGTAAATTTTTTATCTAGAAAAAAATTCCACGTCATAATTCACATTGAATTGTTTTTTTTTTTTAATTGCTGAAAATGAGAGTTTCCGTGATTTTCAGCTCAAAATTTCAGTCTAGACAGTGTTTTTGCCACGTCATAACTCACTTGAATTCAAAAAAAGTGGACGTGGCTTAGAATACACCATATTCGGATCAAAATGCTTCAAATTTCAAGCTGGAGTTCTAAAAATTGGAATTTTCATGATTTTCAGTGCAAAATTTCAGTTTAGAAAGTGTTTTTGCCACGTCATAACTCATTCTAACAGAAAAAAAATTTTGAAAATAAAAAAAATAAAAATATACACCGTGTTCGGACTCAAAATGCTCCAAATTTCAGGCTGGACAACGTCGACGTCATCGAACTTCGTCAAGAACTTCAAGATCGCGATTCAACACTCACCGAAGTTCGCTTAGTTGCTCTCGATCGAGCTCGTCAAGTCGACATGCTCCTCGAAACCGTCAACAAACTCAAACACGAAAATAAGCAGCTGAAAAAGGAGCGCGACAGATCGAACTACGGTACTCGCGCATCATCACGAGCTTCCGAAGAGCCACTCTATGACGTGGCAGCCGCCGCCACATCCAGTTCATCAGCTTCGGCAAGAAGTTCAATGGGTCCCGCAGCGATCAAGGTTACTGTAAATGTGGATTTGGCGGGACGGATTTGTCAGGCCGTGTGTCCGGATAATGAGATTATCTTGGGATATCTACAAATCGGCGCGCAAATTTCCACGTGGCAAGATGTTGACACGATGGTTATGGATTTGTTTGCGGCTTATGTGAAGCGGATTGATCCCGAACGAACACTCGATATTTTGGGAGAAGCTATTTTGGGTGAGTTTTCTGAAATAAAATATGACTAGGGTTACGGTAGGTACAGTAATCCATAAATTTTGTAGATCAAAAAGCTTTACATATAAGTTTCAAAACTTGTGTAGATCAAAAGATGAACTACAGTAATCCAAAATAACTATGGTCTCAAAAAGATCCAATAATTTTTGTGGATCAAAACATTTATAAATCAGAGTAAGCCAGAGTATCTACAGTAAGCTACAGTACCCTGGGCATATTTGGTTTCAAAATGTTCCAATTTTTGTTGGATGCAAACTGAATCTACAGTAATCTACAGTACCCTAGACATTTTTTATCCAAAAAAATTTTTCAGTTGATAAAAAACAAACCTACAGTAATCTGAAAACTACAGTAGTACCCTAGGTATATTTAGTGCCAGAAGATTCCAAATTTTGTGTAGATCAAGAAAAACATGACCGTAATTTTTGTAGATCAAAGACAAATCTACAGTAATCTGAAAACTACAGTACCCTAGGTATATTTAGTGCCAGAAAATTCCAAATTTTGTGTAGATCAAGAAAAACCCGATCGTAATTTTTGAATATCACAAATTTGAATAGTTGGAACTACAGTAATCCAACATTGTTTAGTCTCAAAAATTTTCAAACTTTCTGTAGATCAAGAAAAACCTTACCGTAATTTTTGTAAAACACAAATTTAAATATCTAGAACTACAGTAACCCAGTCTTGTTTAATCTTAAAAAATTCCAAATTATGTGTAGATCAAAAACAAACCCACAGTAATCTGAAAACTACAGTACTCTGGGGATATTTGATGTCAAAATATTCCAAATTTCCAGTAGATCAAACTCTTTTTGTTTCCAGGCTATCAAATCGGTCAAATGTCTCGCCACATCTCACAAACCGCCACCTCAAATCTTCCCACACCCTCCGCCACCCTTCACCCAACCACCACAATTCGCCTATTCCTCAAAGGCGCCGCCCAAAACCGCGTCGACTCTTTGGTCCTCGACACCCTTTTGCCCACCCAAATGTTGACACAATTGGTGAAATATATCGAAACTGAGAGGAGATTGGTGTTGGCTGGAGCTGCCGGAATCGGAAAATCGAAATTGGCTCGAAGTCTCGCTGCCTATGTTGCTTTGAAGCTCGAAAATAGTGAGGAAATTTTGGATTTGAAGATTCCTGAAGACACTGCGGATCTTTTGAAAATCGAAAAAACCCTCGAAAATCTCCTGAGATCTTCAAAACCCACCATTGTCATCATTGATAATATTCCGAAAAATCGCATCGCATTTGTGGCCTCGGTTTTCGCGGCCAACTCTTGCTCCGCTCCCGGCCCCATTGTCATCTGCACAGTCAATCGATATCAGATTCCCGAGATGCAAATCTCGCAGAATCAGAATTTCAAAATGTTCCTACTCACCATGCGGATGGAGGGAGTCGCCGGATTCATGTTGCGCTTCTTGCGCAGACGTTGCGTTGAGGCGGAATATCGGCAGTCACGGCAAATGTCGATGGAGATGTTGGAGGTTATTGCGTTTTTGCCGAAAGCTTTGCAGGTGAGCTGCGATTTTTGGAGGATTTTGATACCAAACATGAATTGTTTTGCTTCAAAAATCCACGTGGCAAATCTGAAAACATGAAAAACAGATTCCAAAAATTATTGAGGCTGAAAATCTACGTGGATTTTTAACAGTGAATTGAAAACGTGGATTTCTGGAGCATTTTTGATACCAAACATGAATTATTTTGCTTTAAAAAATCCACGTGGTTTTTTTAGCTCAAAAAAATTTCTGAAAATTCAGAACACTTGAAAAAAAATTCCAAAAATTATTGATGCTGAAAATCCACGTGGATTTTCAGCAATGATTTTGACTCCAAAACTGAATCGAGAAATCTTTTCCACGTGGATTTTTGAAGCATTTTGATACCAAACATGAATAATTTTGGCTCAAAAATCCACGTGGCAAATCTGAATTTTTCAGCTCAAAACATTTTCTGAAAATTCTGAAAACTTGAAAAACAGATGTAAAAAACTGATAGGAAATTCCACGTGGCAAAAATTAGTGCTAAAAATCCACGTGGATTTTCAGCTTGATTTTTTTTCCACACTAAAATTAAATTTGCAACAACTTTTGCTGCTAAAAATCAAAAAATCCACATTTTTCGAAAAACTTTATCACGTGGATTTTTTTTTTAAATATTGAAAAAAAAAAAATTTTCAACACCTCGAAATCCCAAATTTTTAGGCCGTGAATCAATTTATCGAAAAAACCAACTCAATTGACGTGACAATTGGTCCACGTGTCTTTTTGCAATGTCCACTTTCAGTTGATGAATCCAAAAATTGGTTCATCAAATTGTGGAACGACAATTTTGTGCCCTACATGGAACGAGTCGCGAGAGAAGGTAGGAAAATTCGAAATCAGCGCAAAAATCTAGCCTAGGGGGTAGGGGAACTCGAACTGGGGCCTTGAACTCGACAGGCAAAGTACTAACCAGCTGCGCTATGTGGAAGGGTTCAGGAGACAGGTTCGATCCCGCTTTTCGTCAATTTTTTTGAAAGAAAAATGTTTTTGGGGTAGAATTTTATAAGGATTCTGAATTTCTGGGTCTCACAGCTTGTAAACTGCTGGAAATTTGAATTTTAAGTAAAATTTGAAGTTTTTAGACACCCCACTAGACTATATTCCGATGTTTCCTAATTTTGAGGGTCCTACCACGAAAAGTTTCTCTTTTCTACAGTAACCCGGTCTTGTGGGGTGTCTAAAGACTCCGAATTTCACAAGGACTCCGAAAAAAAATCCAAAATTTTTGCAGGAAAAAAGACATTCGGTCGTTGCGCGAGTTTCGAAGATCCCACCGATTTGATATGCGAAAAATGGCCATGGCTCGAAGATCCAGCTCCAGAAGACACTTTGCGTCGCCTTTCCCTTCAAGACCTCAAATCCTCAGCTCCCGCCAATAATTTCAATCCCCTTGAATCATTGATACAACTGCATGCCACCAAGCATCCGCCCCTTTAAAACAAGTCTAGAAGATCTGCCGCCTTTAAATTGAGGGTTACTGTACTTACAGTACACTTCATGTCCCTTTAAATCTTCTGTTTTTCTTTACCGGTTTTCCCTTTTTTCTTGAGATTCTTAATTTGTTACCTAGTCGGGAAGATTGCTCATATTAATGTTTTTTTTTTTGATTTTGTACAGACTTTTAATGAACTTTTTTGTGATCTACAGTAATTTTACAGTACTTAGAAAATCTTCTCGCTGGATCAAATTTTGGTCCTGAAGCGATGAGGTACAGTACCTCTTGAAAATATTTCAGTAAATCAAAAATTAGTCAAATTTTGGGTACAGTACCACTTTATGAAATTATTTTCTAAAATCCAAGTGTTCTACTGTACCCCTTGTGACAATTTTTTTGAGATCAAACATTTTCAGGGTCTCGTAGCAATCTACAGTAACCCTCTCTTCAAATTCAAAAAAAATGTAGATCAAAAATTATCTCAAACAATTTTCAAAAATCATTTGAGAAGCATTTCTAAGGTCTCGCAGCGATCTACAGTAACCCAGAAATTTTCCTGTAGATCAAAAATCTTTCAAAAATCATTAGAGAAGAATTTCTAGGGCCCCGCAGCGATCTACAGTAACCTCGAAATTTGTCAGTAGATCAAAAATCCCAGCCCAACCAAAACACTTCAAAAAAAGGTCCCGCAGCGATCTACAGTAACCTCGAAATTTCCCAGTAGATCAAGAATACTGTCATTTTTTCTAGAAAAAAATTATTTGGTAGATCAAAGATTCCAGAATCCCGCAGCGATCTACAGTAGACACCCCTTGAAATTCAAAAAATGTAGATCAAAAATAATTCCACAACCAAAAGAGCAATCTACAGTACCCTGAATTTTTCTAAAAAAGTTCCAACAATTTTTTTTGTGGGAAAAAAATTATTTGGTAGAACATAGGCTTTTTAAATTCTGAAAATGTATTTCTAGGGTCCCGCAGCGATATCTACAGTAGTCTCTGAAATTTTCCCCAACCCAGAAAACTTTTTTTCCAGTCGCTATTATATCTATGTGTGTTTCATTATATGTATTTCATGTTCGCATTTTCTTCTCTTCCCCGATTTTTTTGCCCTATCCGTTCGCCATCTTTTCCGTCTCTCGAATTCCCACGCTCTCTCGCCGTCCAGGCAGTGCCAGTCATTTTTTTTGCTGTTGCTTCGTTTTTTTTTCGTTCGCTGCGCCCGAAAGAACACTCGTTCTTGCCTGGCCTGACTGCAGTCATTTTTTTGGGGTGGTTTTGACCCCCCCGAGAGAGAGAGAGGAGGAAAAGTGCACGGTGTATGTGTGGATGGCCGGTACCGGCCAGTGACTGGCTGGGGGTAGCCACACTAACTAACACAGACAAAAAATGCCTGACTCCCCCCACAGCCCTTTGGGCAGTTGGAGGAGAGTGGCATCTCACTCTGGTTTATTTTTATCATCATCGTCGGGATGATTTTTTAGGAGTACTGTAGGGCAGAGATCACAGGGTTACTGTAGATTTCCGTGATTTTGTGGAGGTCTCCAGAGGCCACTGTCGGCTTTTTTTGATCTACATGTTAGGCTTAGGCTTTACTGTAGCTACCGTAGTTTTTTTAAGCATCAAATTTCGTGATACAGTAAGTTCCACGTTTATTTTTTGATTTTCAAGTACTGTAAATGGGACAGAATCTCAAGTAGATCAATGTTCAGGACAAAAAATGTGTAGTTTGATCTACCGTAACCCTACAGTACTCTCAGTAGGTTTTAGGAGACATTCTGAATGTCAGCCCAAAACTTTCAGGACAAAAAATGTGTAGTTTGATCTACAGTAAGCTTCAGATTCAGAATATCTAAATTTTAAATATATTTTTGATCTTGTCAAGTTTTTCTTCTAAATATTTTGATCTACCGTAACCCTACAGTAATCAATTTTTTTCTCGAAAATTATGTGTACTTCTCCCGGACGAAAAAAATTCACCTTCAAAATTTCGCGAAACGTCCTTCACACAGTGTTCTTTTTTTCTTGCTGCTGCACCCAAAAAAAATAATTTTCTCTGCTTCTCTGCGTCTCTCTCTATTATTATATAGTATATATGTTTTTTTTTGTTGGAAAAACGAAAATTCCTTTTCTTATTCTGGGGGCCGAAAAAAGTTTCATACCAGAAAATTCTGCGCGCGCCCCGAACGCAAAAAAAAAGTTCCGGTTTAAAAAGTCGTGAACTGTTTTTTTTTCTGCTTGGACGAGAGAGAAGAGACGCAGAGAAGAACAGAAAAAGTTTTTTTTTTTGGAAAGAAAAAGTTTTGCGGGCGGATTGCGAAAGACACTTTTCATACTTTTTTTCCAGATTTTTTTCCACAAAAAAAAATCCAGTTTTCCTTCTTTCATCGATTTTTCTTTGTGATTTTGTCATCATCATCCCAGAAAAATCTGCAATTTTGCCGCATGCTTTGAATTTTCAAGAAAAAAAGTGTTTTTTCAGCAAATTCCCCGCTGTTTCCCAACACGTGGCTATACGATAGCTGTTTTTGATTTTTCGCGCGCGAAAAATTGAAAACGTTGGGTCTCGCCTGGAATACAACAACTGCAACACAACTTGTGGTGGTCCTTTAAGAAAGGACAATGTCATCGTCGTCTTCGAGCACACCATCGTCGATTCGTGAGTTGCCTGGGGAAAATTCGGGATTTTCATCAAAAATTAACCTGGAAACATGTTTTTCCACCTGAAATCCATATATTTTCGCTCCAAAATTTATTGATTTTTGAATTTGCCACGTGTCCTCTTCAAAATCGCAAAATTTCACGTGAAAACAAAAAAAACTTTTTTTTTTTCAAAAAAAAAAAAAAGAAAAAATTGATGGCCGTGGCCTAGAAAACCAACGTGTAGTTCTCGCGGACAATTTTTGAAATTTTATTTTTTTTTTTCGCTTTCCGGGTTTTTCAAGGTTCCCCGTGGTATTTGGTGTCAAAATGATGAGAAAAACGTGGAATTCAATTTGACGCCACGTTTTCGCGCCCAAAATCATCGATTTTTTATTGCAGAACCGCCGGCAAAAGACGACGCGAATCGATCAATGTGAGTTTTTTTTTGCTGAAAGTTTTTCTTCAATTTTTTTGGGGTTTGGCTGTCAGAAAAATAATGATGATGATGATAAAGAGAAGAGATGATTTTTTTCGGCTGAAAAAAATTTCAGTTTTTAGTCAGGTTTTTGCTTGCTAGTGGATTTTTTTTTCTCGAAAAAGTGCATATTAGTGCGATGTTTGCCTGGTTGAATTCGAGTTTGTGAGTTTTCTGAAGCCAAAAATATATTTTTCCTCAAAAATATTGAAATTTATACCAAAATTCCCCCAAATCTCCAAGTTTCCCCTTCAAAATCCCCGAATTTTCCAGCTCACCAGCCCTTTCCACACCTACAACCTACTCAGAATGGCAATTATTTGCGGTTCTAAACCGTGCCAATCTTCTACAATACTATCAAACGTTTATTTCGAAAGGCGGCGATGACATTAATCAAATTATGCAATGTGATGAAAATGAGTTTTTGGAAATTATGGCACTTGTTGGAATGTCGAATAAACCATTGCATGTGAGGAGGTTGCAGAAGACTTTGAAGGTGGGAAAATTTGCGATTTTTTGATATCCGATGAGCTCAGGAGCATAAAAATGCGATTTTTCGTGAAAATTTGCGATTTTTTGATACCTTGTGAGCTCCGGAGCACAAAAATGCGATTTTTTTGATATCCCATGAGCTCGGGAGCATAAAAATGTGATTTTTCGTGAAAATTTGCGATTTTTGATATCCCATGAGCTCAGGAGCATGAAAATGCGATTTTTTGATATCTCATGAGCTCAGGAGCACAAAAATTCAATTTTTCGTGAAAATTTGCGATTTTTTGATATCCGATGAGCTCAGGAGCACAAAAATTTAATTTTTCGTGAAAATTTGCGATTTTTTGATACCTTGTGAGCTCCGGAGCACAAAAATGCGATTTTTTTTGATATCCCATGAGCTCAAAAGCATAAAAATTTGATTTTTCGTGAAAATTTACGATTTTTTGATATATCATAAGCTCAGGAGCATAAAAATGTGATTTTTCGTGAAAATTTGCGATTTTTCGATACCTCATGAGCTCAGGAGCACAAAAATGTGATTTTTCGTGAAAATTTGCGATTTTTTATATCCCGTGAGCTCGGGAGCATAAAAATGCGATTTTTCGTGAAAATTTGCGAATTTTTGACATCCCATAAGCTCAGAAGCATAAAAATGCGATTTTTTGATATCCCGTGTTCTCAGGAGCAGAAAAATTTGATTTTTCGTGAAAATTCTGGTTTTTTTCATATCCCATAAGCTCAGAAGCATAAAATTTGCGATTTTTTGATATCCCATGAGCTCAAGAGCACAAAAATGTGATTTTTTGATACCTCATAAGCCTATGAACCTTCAAAATTGTGCTTTTAGGTCCTATCGCGAAAATTCATAAATTCTGAATACGATTTTCAGATTCCTCATAAAATTTCAAGTTTTTAGACACCCCACAAGCCAATATTCTAGAAAATTTTATTTTTGAGGGTCCCACCACGAAAATTCAAAATTTTACAGTAACCCAGTCTTATGGGGTGTCTAAAAACTCGAAATTCCACGTAGATCACGAAAAAATCCAAAATTTTCCAGGAATTCTCAGAGGACATGACGAAATTCAACATTCAAGCGATTCAACAAATCGGTCCTCCACCGGCTAATAATTTGACATTCTCAGCTGCCAGCGATGCGATGGCTCTACTTTTACCGGGTTTGGTAAATCAGTTGACAGCGGCTAGTAGTTGTGCTAACTCGACAAATTGTGGTGATATGGCAGCGGATACGAGCTCGGCTTCTCCTTCGCAAAATCCGATGGGTAGGTCTTGAAAAACGGGTTTAAATGAGTCTAGACTCGATGCTGACGCATTTTTTGTAGGCTGCAAATTATGCGCCTTGAGATTCGGGTTAATTTGAACCTAAACTCGATGTTGACGTATATTTTGTAGCCTACAAAAAACAAGTCAACACTCAATGCTGACGCATTTCTTTTAGGTCTCGAGCTCTTCGATGCTCAACCAAGTCAAAACCAGAGCTCAGCTGCCACGTCATCATCATCACAAGCCGGTAGAGCCACGGCCAACATTGTCTCTGGACAAAATTTGAATTTCCCGCGCACCCCGTTGCTTGTGGCAGCGCGGAGCATCGTTGGCGGAAGTTCGGGAAGTCAGGAGAAAGAGGGATCGTCTTCACCGTTTCTGGCACCATTCAACAATGATTTTGTGTCGTTGGGCGATTTTGATCCGAGTAAGTTTTGATCTACGTGAAATTTCACGTTTTTTGACACCTCACAAGGCAGGGTTACTGTAGAATTTGAATTTTTCGCTGTGGGACCTCTACAGTACCTCAAATTTGAAAATTATTCTGAATATAGTCATGCGAGGTGTCTAAAAACTCTAAATTTCACGTGGAGTCCGAAAATTATAGTCTTAAATCATTTCGACTACAGTAACCCTAGATTTTTCGTGACGGGACCTCTACAGTACCTAAAAATCAGAAATGTTCTGAATAAATCCTTGTGAGGTGTCTAAAAACTCTAAATTTCACGTGGAGTTCAAAAATTATAGTCTTAAATCATTTCGACTACAGTAACCCTAGATTTTTCGTGACGGGACCTCTACAGTACCTAAAAATCAGAAATGTTCTGAATAAATCCTTGTGAGGTGTCTAAAAATTCAAAATTTCACAAGGAATTCAAAAATCATACTCAAAAATTATTACACTACAGTAACCCTAAATTTTTCGTGGCGGGACCTCTACAGTACCCCAAAAATTCAAAATTATTCAGAATATAGTCATGTGGGGTGTCAAAAAATCGCAATTTTTTTGCAGACAATCCATCGCTCACTGAAAATCCCGTGCTCTCCGCAGCTCAAATCGCACGGCTCACCGAATGTGCTCTCAACGCCTCAAAATGCCTGCCAAATCTTCCACCGCGATATGTTCAAAACAAGAAGCGAGTGTCGAAAGAGGTTCTGGAACTTTTGACTTCAACACCCGAATCGATGCCGAATCGAGTTCAATTGTTCCGCAAATTTTCGGCGATTTATGGGAGATTTGATACGAAACGCAAACCGCATAAGGTACGGTCGAAATTTGCGATTTTTTGAGCTAGAGTTCAGGATTTTTGAGGAAAATTCAAATTCCTCATGAAATTCCACGTTTTTAGACACCCCACATGACCTGGTTACTGTAAAATTTTTAATTTTTTGTGGCGAGACCCCTACAGTACCTAAAAAATAAAAAATTATCAAAAATAGTCATGTGAGGTGTCTAGAAGCTCAGAATTTCACAAGGAATCCAGAAATTTTACTTGAAAAATTATATTGTCTACAGTACCCTGGGTTTTTCGTGGTGGGACCCGAAAATAGCCTTATTACGGTTTCCTAAACAGTTTTCAGCCCTAAAACCTGTATTTTTGAATTTTTTTGACAATTTAACGTTGTTAGACACCCCATAAGCCTGGGTTACTGTAAATTTTCGAATTTTCGTGGCCTACGGTATCCCCAAATGCAAATTTATCAAAAATAGTCATGTGAGGTGTCTAAAAGCTCAAAATTTCACCAAAAATCCAAATTTGCAGGTGCTAACCCTCCACGAAACCACAGTCAACGAGGCCGCCGCTCAACTATGTCTCCTGGTCCCCGCCCTCCTAACCCGTCGCGACGAACTCTTTCCACTGGCTCGCCAAATCGTCAAAGATGCCGGCTATCATTATGCGAAGAGTCGAAAGCGGCCTTGTGATCCGGCTGATTTGCATTCGCCAATCAGCTCGCCGAGCACAAGTCCACCGCCGCCTGGAATGGATGAACAGGGATTCGAGTTGGATGGCGGGTCGAATTCGAGAAATGCTGATGAGATGTGCTCGAGTAGTAGTGGAGATGGAACTAGGGTTAGTTTTGTGGTGAAATTCGGGTCAAAATGAGCTCAAACTCGATGCTGACGCGTTTTTTGTAGTCTGCAAAATTCACGCCATCAAATTCAGATCAAAATGAGCCTAAACTCAATGCTGACGCATTTTATGCAGGCTTCAGATTTCACAGCTTTAAATTTAGGCTAAGATGAGCCTAGACCCGATGCTGACGCATTTCTTGTAGACTTCAGAATCTGAGTCATGAAAAATGCTACGAAAGGAGCCCAAACTCGATGCTGACGTAATTTTTGTAGACTGCAAAATTCACGTCATCAAAGTTAGATCAAAATGAGCTCAAACTCGATGCTGGTGCATTTCTTGTGGGCTGCAAAATTCGCGCGATCCTAAAGGAGCCTTGACTGATCCTTGACGCAAGTTTCGTAGCCTGCAAAATTCACGTCATCAAATTTGGGTTAAAGTGAACCTATACTCAATGCTGACGTAAAATTTGTAGGCTGCAAAATTCACGTCATCAAATTTAGGTTAAAATAAGCCCTGACTCAACATTGACGCAAGTTTAGTTTAAATTTAAATTCTGCGCAAACTTATATTGTTGACGCATGTTTTGTAGCCTCAAAATTTTCCATAAATCTCAAATTTCAGCTTTGAAAACGACCTAAAATCAAAATTTTCCAGCTCACCGACTCCCCCAATGATTCAACATCCACCGACTCAACAACAGTGCACCACACAAATTCGGCGTCCTCAATTCTAGAGCGCTGGGCGAGCGGCTGTTTTTCCACCCAGTTCCCACCCCCGCCGCCCAAAAAAAGTCACTAATTTTCTGAATTTTTACATTTTTTCACATGTTATTGCATCTCACACACTTTTTTTTGCCCAAAATTTTGATTTTTTTAAAATTTTCTTCAAAAATTTATTTCTATTCCACCCCCATTTTTTTCGTGATTGTTTTTTCAAAAAATTTCACAACTCGCATTTGATGAGAGTATAAACTTGGTATTTTCCCCGGTCCCCAATATATTTTTCAATAATCACTTCAAAATTTCTACATTTTTCGAAAATGTCTAATTTTTTTCCCTTTTTTTCCCTAGTCTACTAATCTTTTCATATCTTTACAAAATTTAATTTTTTTCTAATTTTTCCAATTTTGTTTGAAAAACATCGGTGAATAAAGTGTTTGAATTGTTTTTTTTTTCGAATAAAAAAAAATTAATTTCAGAAAAATTTTCTCAAAAAATCCGACATTTAGGATTGCTCATGTTAATCTGAAATTGTTGAATTTTCAAGTTTCGGCACAAATTTGATGACGTGGCATTTTTGGAGTCGAAAATTTGAATTTTCAAGTTTTTGCGCGAAATTTTCCACGTCATCAATTTTCAGCGAAAAGTTTCAAGGAAAAACCAGTTCCGTATAACCCATTTTTTGATTTTTCCAAGACAAACCTTTATCGTTTTTTGTTTACAAGCTTTTTCGTATTTATCAGCAGGAAAATACATCAAACCTCACCCAATACCTGGAATTCCAGGTGGGCAATTTTTTTTTCGAAAAATCTAGGTGGGCAAAAATTTTAAGGTCTTTAAGGCGAGCCTTAGGCGAGCCTCAGGCGGGCAATTTATTTAGGGTCTTCAAGGCGAGCCTTAAGTGGGCAAATTTTTTAGGGTCTTCAAGGCGAGCCTTAGGTGGGCAAATTTTTTTAGGGTCTTCAAGGCGAGCCTTAGGTGGGCAAATTTTTTAGGGTCTTCAAGGCAAGCCTTAAGTGGGCAAATTAGGTGGGCAATTTTTGAAAATAAACCCAGCTGGGCAATTTTTTACCCACTCCTCCAGGTTCTTGGGTGAGGTTTGAAAATACATAGTTTGAAAAAGGATACAATCAGAAAACTCCTGTGTATATAAATGTGCTCTTAGACCTTGCAAAAAATGAAAATATGAAGAATTTAATTCTGATTTTTTTGAGCTTGGTTCAGTTTTCTGAAGAACTTCAGTGTATTAATGGATTCACTTTGGTCAATAATAAATGTTTGAAGGTGAGTAAGGGCCTAAAATTAGGCCTGGGCCTGGGGACTCTAACTTAAGCCTTACCTAAGCTAACCTAACCACATCTTATCTAGCTTGAGCCTCAACTAACTCGATTTAGCAGTCTAACGAAGGCTTTCTGTCTTAACCCAACCTAAGTCCACACTACAACTTACCTAAACTAAAGTAACCTAACCTAAACCCAACTATCTTCTAGCTAATCACCGCTGACCAAACACACAGTGCCGCTCGTCGTGAATGTAACCTCAATGGCGGAAACCTTGTCTCAATCTACAATTCAATCGATAACACAGCAATTGCTCAACTCGCAATTTCGAGTTCGGATCCAATTTGGATTGGTTTGAACTGTATGGATGATCGGGATCTGGGCTCTTGTTTTTGGGATGATCAAGTTGGAAATGCGTCAGGTGAGAAAGTATGGGTCTTGTAGCGAAAATCGTTTTTCTAGCCTTTAACAACTTCATCGCTGCAAATCCATCAAGCGAAGTAGGAACGTGTGTCTATATGCTCAACTTCGGAAGTCTCCGAGGTCGCTGGTTCAGTGGAAGTTGCGAAGGCATGGAAATCAATGCAGTCTGTGAAACAACCCCAATTGAAACATGCCTATATACCTATAATGGTTATTGTTATTATCCACTTGGAGCCCTGAGTCAAATCGAAGCTCAAAACGCATGTTCGCAAAACTGCAAGGGAGATTTGGTTTCGATTCATTCAGCAGAAGAGAATACTTTGGTTTCCAGAATTTTTGAGTATAATCCGAAACGGTATTTATGGATTGGGGCACAAGGGAATTCTTGGATTGATGGATCGGTTTGGAATTATACAAACATCGGATATCAAAATACAACCACGAAGTGCTATAGTATGTCATTGATAAATGGTAGATGGATGAGCACCGATTGTTATTCACAACTCCCAGCGATTTGCAAGATTTCGATGAATTCGGAATGCGGAAATAGAGCATGCAGTGGAGTGACGAATCTCACAGATACTGGAGTGGTGGGTTTTTTGTTGTGGGCACAGAGAATTTTAAATTAAAAAAATTTTTTTTTCCAGATCTACTCACCAAATTACCCCAATTCCTACCGCTCTGCTCACAATCAATCAATACCTTGCTATTACCTTTTCACTGTCAAAACCGAAATCGCTATTATCTATTTCGAACAACTCACATTGAATCAAAATGCGCGAATCGAACTATACTCTAGTCTAACCAGCCAAACACCATTTGCAATTATTAAGAATTCGCAGGGAACTAATATCACCTTCCAATCTTCCACAAATCTCATCAAGATGGTTTTTAAACCATGCTTTAACTGTGGGAACACTGGAAATTCAGAGATTTTCAAATGGAAAGCGATTCTTGGCCAACAATATCTGAATCCGTGTGGAAATTTGATGGAGACAAATGGAGTTATCACATCTCTGGGTTACCCGGGAAATTACCCAAACAATTGGCAATGCGATTATTTGTTGCACAGTTCGAGAAGAGTTCAAGTTCATTTCACCGATTTCTACACAGAGGGGTATTTTGATTATGTTCGCGTTTATGATGGCGAGAATTCGACAGCTCCGGTGCTCGCCACAATCAGCGGAATCCCTGTGGACAATCTGACCTACACCTCAACTGGACAATATTTATATTTGCTTTTCAGTACGGATAAGACGAATAATTTCAGAGGATTCAGTGCAGTGTTTTATGATTTTAATTGAACTCATATTGCTCATGTTAAGAAATGAAAGCCTTTATTAGAAAAGTCTATAATTACCATTCACAATCACATCACGATACCAAGAACAGCCGTAGTATTTGTTATCAGCAAGATTTACGAGATAATTAATAGTCACTTCTCTGACATTAGGGTTCGTTCTGGAAAGAAAATTGACGAGACATTTTTCTCTTCCTGTTGTTGTGCAATTATGGTAAAGCCATGAATAAAGAAAATATTCCTTCTGAAACAAAAATTTCAGTTGGTTTGATTGAAACTGATTGAAAACTTACGTCATCTGATAGATCGTTGTTTTCGGTAGTTCCATTAACAACAATCTCACCATTGTTATCAAAGTGACTGCCGGAATTACCGATCATATTAGCATTAGATGTCAAATCAAATTCATAGATGTAAAATCGAACTGCGAAACGTCTACCAGGACACGCGAAGTTGTTGTGGATGATGAAGTTTGTCGAGAGAGACAACTGGATGATGATGGCGAAAACAATGAGCAATCTCATTTCACCGATGGTTTTTCCTCCCAATTTTCCCCAGCGCGCTTTTATACAATTTTGATTAATTGAAAATGGGACCGTTATATTAATTTAGATCCCATCATTTTTATGCGAAATGATATTTTTTTTGTATAGCTTGTCCAGGAAATTTTTTGAATTAGGATTTTTTTCTGTTATACACACGTAAGCGAACAAATTCTAGTTCCAAAAAGATTTATTCTTCTTCAAAAAATCGTACTTCTGACCCCAACAGTAGTGGTCAAATTCAAATTCCCGCTCGATTTTTTGCAGCAACAAAGTTTTTTTCGAATTTCAGAATTTGTGAGAATTAGGGTCAACGGATTGATAAATGAGAAGTTTCCCGAAACAGTCGCATAAAATAGCCGGTAATTTTGCAGATTTTCCCGCGCGCTCTCATCTTCCCGATTCAAAAAAGCATAATAATACTCGCCCATGTAATACACAAATCCAACAATCGAAAATGCCACCAAAAGTGCCACGTGACACCACCAAACGCCACGTTTTTGACGTGTTTTCTGACGGCAAATCAATACCATGATTTTTGTGTACATTATCACACAGAGCGGTGAGTTCAGGGCGAATACGAGGAGTACTGTGAGCGAGAATACTTTAGCGTGGAGATCTGAAGTTATGAGAAATAGCGTTTCGGGTGAATCAAATTTAACCGAAGTGGTGAGAATTGCGGGTGTGAAAAGGAGGAGGCTCGAGGTCCAGTGAAGTAGGTAGAGGTTCCATGGAGAGGTATGAGTGAAGAACTGGAAAAGAGACACGTGGATTTGAAAAATTCAATTCTGAAGAGACCCACATAATTCAACTTGCCGTGCGATCTACAAACCGTCAAAAATCGCTGAAAAGTGATCAGAAACACTCCAACCACACGCAGTGTAAAACAAAAGGCTCCACTATTCGCGAAAAATCCGGGAAATTGATAGATCAAAAGATTGCCAATGCCAAAAAATCGGCCCGAAACCAGCGCTAAATATATGAAACATGTGAAAAAATCGGCGAAGCCTTGAGATATGATAAGTGTGTAGTAGGGAGTGTTGAAGTGTTTTTTGACGCCACATTTTTGGCGCCAAAAAATCACGGTTGCTAGAATGAGAGAATAGAGGGGTAGAATTGTGGAGGCCTGGATTAGGAAGAGAATTATTTGCCAGGTGAGTTGGAGCATTTTTTTTCTGGTGAAAAAATTTTTCAGAAAAACGGACAAAAATCTAGTGTACTTGATGAGAACTGGAAAGAGAATAAATAAGTGCGTGAGATTTGGCGGGAACATTTTTCAAGTTATCGTAGTTATGGCAAAAATCTTTTCTTCTGAACTTTAGACACTTTGAAACCAATCAATCAACTGTGTGAATAAATCCACATAGCTTTCCAGACAAATAAAAAATGTCTGAAAATGTTTTGCCATAAAACCACCCACCTCACTCAGAGATTTCATAATTGAAAATGAATTTTGGTCTTCTTCTCCTTCTCCTTGCTCCGCTCTTCTGTCAGGCAATCGATAAACTGTCTGAAAATGAAGCTCGTGCAGTTGCGACAAGTCTCGTCGAAGATGTCTTCTTGATCGAGACAACAGAAGAAGAGGTTGCCAAGATCCACAGTTTCCCGTATCAAACAATATCAACAGACGGTCACCTGAGATATTACTACGTGAAAGCTCTCACAGAGCTTATCCGCAGGGAACGAAAAGCGCTGTTAGAAACGTTATCGAAACATGAAGCGTCACAATTGCGACTTGAAACTGAAGAACTTCACGATTTGGAGATTCGTGGGAAAATTGAGAATCTGAATCGAGAGGCGCATATCGAGTTCAGTGAGAAGGAGCTCGAACACATTACAAATAATTTTGGTGGACCGGTTGTGATTGATGGATTTGATTTTGTGGCACAGATGTATTTGCCGAACACAACGATTACAATTCATTATGGCGTGGTGTTTGAAAATCAAAAGTTTTTATTGAAGAATGAGACGTGGATTCGGGGTGAAGTTACTACAACTAAACCATTCGTTTGATTTTGTGGTTTGAATAAAGTTTGTTGTTTCTAGAATTTTTAGAACTTCTAGAATCTTAGAAGCCCTTTGATTTTTCAATTTCTGATTTAGCAATTCTTATCACTGTGTGTACAATTTCCGATAAATTTCCCGATTTTTGGTATCAGCGAAAAAAATACTTTGTTATCATTAAAATGATGTATGCAAATATTTATGTAGTTTGGAAACTCCACATCGAAATATATACGAAATGAAAAATTTTCAAGAACATCTGAGTTATGACGTGGCAGCTAGAAATTCTAGGAACATTCAGGGGTTTCCTGAATTTACGAAATGTTTTCCAGATTCTCCACCTTCAAAGAAGAAAAAAATGATTTCATCTTTTGCAAGATAAGAAGAAAATGAACCTTTGAGTTTTATTATCCGGAAAAAAATTGTGTATAAAGACTTGGAAATTACAAACAAAACTATTGATAAGACGAGAAATGAAGAAAATTTCAATTTTTCTCATTTTTTGCTTGATTCAATTTTCTGAAGGGTTGACCTGTATTGAAGGATTCACTTTGGTGAATAACAAATGTTTGAAGGTGAGTTAGGGCCTAAGATTGGGCCTGGGCCTGGGGACTCTAACTTAAGCGTTACCTAAGTTAAGCTAACCTCATCAAATCTAGCTTGAGTCTTAACTAACTCGATTAGGCCGTCTTTAAATTTAACGAAGGTCTACCTTAACCTAACCTAAGTCCACATTACGCCTTAGCTAAACTAAGGTAATCTAACCCAACTATCTTCTAGCTAATCATCACTGACCAAACACACAGTGCCGCACGTCGTGAATGTAACCTCAATGGCGGAAACCTTGTCTCAGTCTACAACGCGATCGATAACACAGCAATTGCTCAATTCGCTACAGTGGGCTCTGATCCAGTCTGGATTGGTTTAAATTGCCCGAATGATCATGATGCGAGCTCTTGTGTATGGGATAATCAAGCTGGAAATGCGTCAGGTGAGCTTTAATTACAAAAAACAATTTAAAGGAACATCCCGTAAAAGATCTTATGGGTCTTGTAGCGAAGAAACAAATACCGTATAGATGTTTCCTGATTTTTAGGCTACAACAACTTTATCGCTGCAAATCCCTCAAACGATGTAGGAACTTGTGTCTATATGCTAACCTTCGGAAGTCTCCGAGGTCGCTGGTTCAGTGCAAGTTGTGATGGAATGGAAATCAGTGCTGTCTGTGAAACAAGCCCAGTTGAACAGTGTTTGTACAATTTGAATGGTTATTGCTATTATCCACTTGGGGAGTTGAGCGAAGTTGATGCGCAAAACGCATGTTCACAGAACTGTGAAGGAAGTTTGGTATCGATTCACTCAGCTGCAGAAAATACTTTTGTTTCAAAGATCTTCAAAGACTCTTCAAAAGGTTATATTCGAATTGGAGCGCAGCTTTCAAGTGGAAATGTCAATTCTTGGATTGATGGATCTGTCTGGGATTACACAAACATCGGATATCAAAACAAAGGCCTCGGATCGTGTTATAGTATGTCATTGATCAATGAACTTGTTGTGCCTGGAAAATGGATTAGTTCAAATTGCTCTGCGCTTCTTCCATCAGTTTGCAAGCGTCCGCAACATGCGCAATGCGGAAGTACACCTGCCCCAACGCTTGCCCCACCGCAATGCAGTGGAATTTCGTATTCAACGGATACCGGGGCGGTAAGTAAAAAAACATTTTTTTTGCAGAAACAACTTTATCCTCTCAAAAAATTAGCCTAACTTTAAGAAAAACTTGAAAAAAGTGTATCCCCCTTTAATATTCGCATTTGGTTTCGCAGTCAATATCAAAGTTTGATTGTGTCCAGTTCTGTCCAAAACCAAGAATCCCTTTGCGTCGAACTTTGCATCGTAATCGAGTTCACTTGGAAGTGTAGCTGTGCTCGGTATCGTCTGATTGAAAATGAGTTTGATGTAGGCATCGCGTGAAATTGTTTCACCGTTGAAAACGGCGATGAATTCCGCGTCGAAGATGGCTGGGTTTTTGGCGGCGAAATGTTCGGCCAAACTTTGAATGAAGCTTCGGGCTGCAGTTTTTGGGTCTGCAGCTAGAACGAAAAAGACTGTTGAGAGAATTGCGAGAAGAAATCGCATTTTTTGTGAATATAATTTTAGAGGGTGTTGATGTGGCTTTTAAGGGGAGCACATACATAATTCGATAAACGAAATTTGATCATTGAAAACTTCCTCCTGCAGGAAGAGAAAGTTTTTTTGCGAAATGCCACGTCATAAATCAAATTCTTTCAGATCTACTCTCCAAATTACCCCTACTCATACCTCTCAACCGACACCGCACCATGCTACTATATCCTAACTGTCACCACCGACACCGCAATGATCTGGTTCACCGAAGTGAATTTAGACGCGAACGCCCGAATCGAACTATACTCTAGTCTCGACACCCAAACACCATTCGCAATTATCGATCGAAATTCGCAGGGAAATATTACATTTTCAACTTTCGAATCATCGACTAGTTTGATTAAAATGGTTTTCAAACCGTGTACGACTTGTGGAAGTTCTAGTTCTGGAACGATTTTCAGATGGAAAGCGATTCTTGGAAAACAATATCCAACTTTATGCGCAAGTGATCAAACGATTAGTACAAATGGGATTATTACATCTACAAATTATCCTAACGTGTATAACAATTATTTGAGTTGCCCGTATAATTTGCAAAATCCGAATAAGGGAGGAAGGTAACTTTAACAATAGTTTTAACACCTAATTTTCCATCTACAGAATCCAACTTCATTTCACCGATTTCTGGACTGAATCCGGTTACGATTACGTAAAGATCTATGATGGCAGAAATTCCACACAACCCCTTCTCGCCTCAATCAGCGGAAATCTTGTGGGAAACTCGAATTTGACTTACACCTCAACTGGACAAAATTTATACGTGCTTTTCACCAGCGATCGCTCGAATGTCTTTAAAGGATTTAGCGCTGTTTTCTACGAATATCCGTAATTATTTTTGAATAAAGATTTCTTGCATTTTTCGGTGAAAAACTTGAGAAAAAGAAAAAAAGGAAAAAACAAACAAAAAAAAACAGGGGAAGAGAAAATATGGCCTAGGAAACCAAACAAATGACATTGTGTATTTCTCGCAGACAATTTTTTTTGTTTTCGAAAAACGTCGATTTTTCTTATTTTTCAAGGGTTTTTGTTGTTTTTAGTGTGATTTGAGTGAAAAGGATTTGAGAGAGATTTAGGCTACATCGGGAAGTTATGAAAAATTTGGGGAATTTCCGAATTTTGAGTGAAAACCAAAATTTTCCAGCAAAAATGGCTCTTCTCGGGGTCGACACCACATCGCTGCTAACCCAGCATCCGCTGGAAATGCTGCTAATCAGTGCAAGCTCCCCCGACCCTCACTCAACAATAATTATCGATCCAAAAACCGGAGTCAGCGCATGGACCTATAAAGGTGCAGAGCTTCAAGGTGCCGCACCCGGAGCCCTAGAAATCCTCGGCGAAGATGCGGAGCACATGATTTTGGCCACAAAAGACGCGCGCTTGGTGCATTTGATCGGGGTGCCGAACAAAGATCGATTTCATCAGAAAATTGTGATGCCTGCGGCGGTTTCGGCGATTTGTTCGCTGAAATCCGGCAAAATTGTATTTATGGCGATTGGAAAGCAGATTTTTGCGTGGCTTTTGAGCTCAGGAGAGCTTCTGAGTGTGGTTGATGCGCATTATCAGAATATTAGCCGATTGGTTGTGTCGGACGATGATTCGATGATTTTTTCGGCTGCCAAAGATGGAGCCGTGCATGGCTATTTGGTTAATGAGTAAGTTGGGATTTTCTCGCCGAAAATTGCTGAAAATCCAGGTTTTCTGACCAATTTTCATGAAATTTTGGCCAAAAATGAAAATAAATAATTTTCACGTGACCTTGTTTCCAAAAATTATCCAAAATTCAATAAAAATCTGCCTGAATCTTGAAATTTCTGCAATTTTCGTATAGAATTTCAGTCAAAAAGTGGATTTTTGAGTGAAAATCGAAAAATTGCTGAAATTTCAAGGTTCTCGCGCAGGGGAACCTATCGCCAATTTTTTTTCGGAAAAAATGGATTCAAATTGGTCTAAGGAGCCTGAAAATGGCCTAGAAGCCTAGAAGGCCCGAGAAACCCTATTTTTCAAGTCTCTAGGCTCAGAATGAACAAAAAATCCCGAATTTTTACTCCTAAACCATATGAAAACCCAATTTTCAAGCTCCTAGGCTCAAAATTGACCAAACCTCTCGATGTTTATCTTAAAAAAAAACGATTTTCAGCCAATTTTCATTCCAGACTAATCTCCTCGGACCGCGATCACACCATCACACCATTCTGCAAATTCTCCACCCACACCCTCGCCATAACCGACCTAAAAATCACCGCAAATTCCTCGAATCCACGAATTCTCACCTCAGGCCGTGATCATATTTGTGCCTATCATTCGATTTCGCTAAACTCCACTCTCCTTAAAATTTCAGCCGATCGACCAATTTCAGCCTGCGCTATAGATTTGGCTGAAACTCGTTTATTTCTAGGCACCGATTTAGGCAACATTGCTCAGATTAACCTGTTCCAATTAAGCAATTCGTCGAATGAAAGAGAGCTGATTGTGAGCACTTCCGATGAGCAAAATTGCAAATTTCGCATTTTGAACGGACATTCCGATGAGATTACGAGGATTTGTGTGAATTCCGATGGAAATTTGATGGCTTCTGGAGATTCGACGGGAAAATATTGTATTTGGGAAGTGGCCAGTCATCAGTGTTTGAAGGTACATTTGCGGCTGAAAATGCTGAAATTTTCAGAATTTTTGGTGTACAAATTGTGAAAAATGATGGATTTTGACCACTTTTCGCTATAAAAATTGGCAAAAATCAAGTTTTTAGCCAAACTTATCTGAAAACCTGCCTGAACCTTGAAAATTCATCAATTTTCGTATAAAATTTCAGTCAAAAAGTGGATTTTTGACTGAAAATCTGAAAATTGCTGAAATTTCAGGGTTCTCGCGCAGGGAAATCTATCGTCAATTTTTTTTGTTGGAAAAGGCCTAAAATTGGTCCAGAAAGCCCGGAAATTGGTCTAGAAACCGATTTTTATGTTTCTAGACTTCAAATTGATCGAAAAACTAGTTTTTTGGCCAAATTTTGAGCTAGAAAGCTGAAAAATCCCATTTTCGCCCACTTTTATCCGAAAACCTGCCTGAACCTTGAAATTTCATCAATTTTTGTATGAATTCCAGTCAAAACCTGGATTTTTGACTGGAAATCGAAAAATTGCTGAAATTTTAGGGTTCTCGCGAAGGGAAATGTATCGCCAATTTTTTATTTGGAAACATGGTCTAAAATTCGTCTAGGAAGCCTGAAAATGGTCTAGAAGCCCAGAAAATGGTCTAGGAAACAAATTTTTCAAGTTAGAAGCTTCAAAAATTACCCGAAAAATCAATAAACATCTGAAAACCTGCCTGAACCTTGAAATTTCAGCAATTTTTGTATGAATTCCAGTCAAAACCTGGATTTTTGACTGAAAATCGAAAAACTGCTGAAATTTCAGGGTTCTCGCGCAGGGAAATCTATCGCCGATTTTTTATTTGGTAAAGGGGCTCAAAACGGTCTAGAAACCGATTTTTCATGTTTCTAGACTCAAAATTCACCAAAAATTCTATATTTTGGCTTAAAATGAGCTAGAAGCTGAAATTCCAGCGTTAAATTTCGAATTTCAGGTCTCAAATATGCGCGCAGCCATTCAAACCCTCAAATTCATTCCATTCTTCGACTCAATTTCCGCAAACTCAGATCTCGTGCCAAAAATCCGCCCAATTTGGGATCTGAAAAAAGAGCCGACAAAATTGGAGAAGCTCGCGATTGAAGTATCAGATGACCTGAATTCCGAAAAAGATCAATGGAAAAATGTGATCGATGAGACTTTGGAGCAACTTTTGAGCGGAAATGTGAGATTTTTCGAGATTTTCAATTGAAAATTCGAGATTTTCAGGTGAATTTTGGTCAGAAAAGTTGTTGTCATGCTGAAAATTTGGCTGCTGAAAATCCAGAAATTTTGGAGGAAGATGTGATTATTTTGGAAGATGATGAGGATTCGGAAAAAGCGCCTGAAGTTAACCTGAAATCGAAAAAACGGAAAAATAAGAAGGGAAAGGTGAGCTGACGCTTTTTCCGTAGAAAAATCCGGTTAAAATGAGTCTAGACTCGATGCTGACGTATTTTTTGTAGCCTAGTGATATTGCGCCAGCTTATTCCGGTTAAAATGAGCCCAAACTCGATGCTGACGTATTGTTTGTAGTCTACAAAAGTTACGCCATGAAAAATTCGCGTCAATGAAAGTTTGTTGACGCAATTTTTGTAGCTCACCAAAATCAATAAAATTTACACTTTTCCAGCGCAAAATTTCACGAAAAACCTGATTTTTCTGAAAAAATCTGAAATTTTCAGCCTCAAACACCTGTAAAACCATCGCAACAAGCCTCCAATTCCACTTCTTCTCAAAATTCCGAACTTCAAAAACAAATCGACGAACTGAAAGCGGAAAATAGCAAATTGAAGCAGATCAACGCTCAAATGTACGAATTTGTGGCCAAAGAAATGGCGGAGGATTGAAAAATTTGAATTTTTGAATTTTCCCGCCAAATTCCAACTTGTTATTGATTGATTTTTGTTGATTTTATACCTTATTTTTTTTGTTGAGTTTTGATACATTTTTACATTATTTTTTGTGATTTTCTGGTTGGAAAAAGGTTATGCGCCTTTAAAAATATCTACTGTAATCTTCGCGAGAAAAAATCCTTCAAAATGAGCCTAAACTCAATGCTGACGTATTTTTTGTAGCCTGTGAAATTTGCGTCAGCAAAGATGCTCTAATTTTTTCAATCCCGCAATTTTCAGACCCACCAAAAAATGTCGATCGAAATGGCGGCCTATTGCTTCGATGTGATCCAAGCTTCTCTCAGGGGTACTGTAGAGCCTACAGTACCCCGGGAAATTCCGGATATTGAGAGGTACTGTAGCCATAATTTTTGGACCGAAAATTTTTTTTATTAATTTCAGGCCGCTTTTTGTGACGTGGAAAAAGGGGGCCGATGAGGATTTGCGAGGATGTATTGGGACTTTTTCGGATTTGAGGTTTTGAAAATTTGAATTTTGAAAATTCTCTATTCAAAATTTAATTTCAGGCTAAGCCGCGGGCTCAATGAATATGCCAAAATTAGCGCGTTCCAAGATACACGGTTCCGTCCGATTACTTTGGACGAAATTCCGAGTTTACACTGCGGGGTGAGTTGGTTTCAGCCAGGAAATCTGGAATCTGCTGAAAATTCCAGGTTTTTTGGTGTAGAAATTGTGAAAAATCATGGATTTTGGAGCATTTTGAGCTCAGGTTTTTTGAAATGTTTGCAATTTTGCGGCATAGTTTTTTCGGGGAGAAAAAAGTACGCCGCAAAATTGCTTTTTATTGTTGCAAAAACCTGCCTGAACCTTGAAACTTCAGCAAAATTCGGATGAAAATCAAAAATTTGCTGAAATTCCAGGGTTCTCGCGCAGGGAAATCTATCGCCAATTTTTTTTTCAGAATTTTCATTTTTTGAAATTAAAAATTTTTCGAAATTTTCATTTTTTGAAATTAAAATTTTGAAACGTGACCTTTCTTAAAATATTACCACGTCACTCATTTTTTCATGAAAAATTTTTATTTTCCTTTTTTTTCATTTGCGAAATTTTAATTTTTAGTAAGTTTAAGTTATGACGTGGCAAAGTTGATGCATTTCCTAAAAAATCTTAAAATTTTCATCTGAAAACCTGCCTGAACCTTGAAATTTCAGCAAAATTTGGATGAAAATCGAAAAATTGCTGAAATTTCCGGGTTCTCGCGCAGGGAAATCTATCGCCGATTTTTGAATCGAATTTAATTTCAGGTCTCGATTCTGGTTGATTTCGAAGATTGCACAAATTACAACGATTGGCAAATCGGAACTCATGGAGTTCGCATGCGATTCAATTATCGCGGCTCGAATTATAGCGCTGTTTTTTTGCCGGAAGTTATGCCGGAACAAGGTTAGCCGTCCGGAAATTGCCTTTTTTGACTGAAAATTCAGCTTTAAACCATATTTTTGAGCCTAGAGAATCAATTTTCAGCCGTTGACACGTTGATTTTCAGATTCCTCGTGAAATTCTAGCCCGGAAACATGTATAAAACAAAAATTGTTCACTAGCGGGATCGAACCCGACCTCTCTAGATCAGTGAATTGACCTTTAACCAACTGAGCCGTTTTTTGCCGGGTAAAAGGTCGCGGGTTCGATACCTCGTGCGCGCTACATGTTTCCGGGGTAGAATTTCACGAGGAATCCGATAATCCACGTGGCTAGGTCCAATTTTCAGACAAAATCTTAAAATTTCAGGCTGGAATCATGTGCAAACCATCGACAATCTCATCAAAAAATCAGGATTTTCTGGAAAAATCGATGAAAATCTGCGAAACTCGCTGAAATGTGTCCGATTTCAAAGTCAGAAATTTGTACTCTCCTATAACGACTACGTGGCTTACAAGAACTCGAAAAATTGACTGAAATTTTGTAAATTTACTAACTTATTCATGAAAAATTCGAATTTTCATCCAATTTTCGATGATTTTCAGTTGTTCTAACTCAATTTAACCCATATTTTTGTTGCTCACTAACCCATGCTTAAATTTAAGGTAAATTTTAGGGTTTTTGATGGAACAGGAAGCTCCGCCGCAGGCCCAGGTATGTTTAAGCCACGCCCCTATTTTCAGCAAATGCCAAGCCACGCCCCCTTTTCCAGGAGCCCCAACAACAACTTGGATGGCGAAATTTGCTCTCGGCTTTCGTCAAGCAAATGCTCTTCTTCTATTTCGTCTCCTCAACCCTGCGCACCTTTTTCCCGGGAAATTCGACGACTGAAAATGGAACCGGAGGTGGAAATTTGGCGCAAGCCGCAAATTTCTACCAAAATGGACAATTTTTCGATGTTTGGATGTTTTTGGATGAAAAGGTTGTGGATTTTGGAGCATTTTGAGCTCCGACACGCCTATTTTTGCAATTTTGCGGCATGGTTTTTTCGGGGAGAAATAAGTGTGCCGCAAAATTGCTTCTAATAGTGAAAAACCTGCCTGAACCTTGAAATTTCAGCAAAATTTGGATGAAAATCGAAAAATTGCTGAAATTTCCGGGTTCTCGCGCAGGCAAATCTATCGCCAATTTTTTTTTTGCAATTTTGCGGCTTGTTTTTTTTTGTGGAGAAAAAGATGTGCCTCAAAATTGCTTCTTATAGTGAAAAATTCCAAAATTAATCCGAGAATCAACAAATATTTGAAAAATTGCCTGAACCTTGAAATTTCAGCAAAATTTGGATTTTTCTTTCTGAAAATCGAAAAATTGCTGAAATTTCAGAGTTCTCGCGCAGAGAAATCTATCGCCAATTTTTGAATTGGAAAATGGACCTAAAATTGGCCCAGGAAGCCTGAAAATGGCCTAGAAAACAGATTTTTCAAGTCATAAGCTTGAAATTAGTCTAGAAGTTCAAAAATTACCCAAAAAATCAATTAACATCTGAAAATCTGCCTGAACCTTGAAATTTCTGCAATTTTCGTCAGAATTTCAGTCAAAACTTGGATTTTTGACTGAAAATCGAAAAATTGCTGAAATTTCCGGGTTCTCGCGCAGGCAAATCTATCGCCGATTTTTTTTTTGACAAAAAATGGCTGAAAAATTGATTTTCGAAGTTTCTAGACCTGAAGTTCATGAAAAATTCCATTTTTCAATCTGAAAATAGTCTAGAACTCGATTTTTCAAGTTTCTAGATCTAAAATTAATGAAAAATCTGCAAATTTTCCAGCCCACCCCATTCACCGATTTTTCGAACCCCGAAAAACTGTTCGCCTCTCAATTCTCCATCGAATACGGCAACTGGGAAACCGGCGCCACCAAAGATGCCACGTGGATTTTCGCCAAAACCCTCCCAACACCCGCAAGTCTCCACGCAAATCAATCGATATTCCTGCACGTTTTCATAGTGCGAAGCGGTCAAAACCTAGCTACAGTACTCCCGGACGATTTGATCTACGCGAATTATCGATTGAACAAGTTCAAGAAGCGACACTTTAAAAAGACGGTGAATTTGTTGACGGGAGAGAGTGCGGAAACCGTGGAGACGCAGAGAAAACTGGAGCAAGGAGTGGATTTTGAGGTGTTGAATCATTGGCATCCGAATATTTCGGTGAATTTGGTGTACGATCAATCGATGTGGGCAAAAGGTGGGAGAAAATGGGCGGAGCTTGAAATTTGGAGCATTTTGATATCAAAAAGTGTGCCAGACTTGCAGAAATGGGCGGAGCTTGAAATTTGGAGCATTTTGATATAAAAAAGTGTGCCAGATTTGCGAAAATGGGCGGGACTTGAGATTTGGAGCATTTTGATACCAAAAAGTGTGCCAGATTTGCGAAAAGGGGCGGAGCTTGAAATTTGGAGCATTTTGATATCAAAAAGTGTGCCAGACTTGCAGAAATGGGCGGGGCTTAAAGAATTTCAAGAAAAAACGTGTCAGGCTAAAAATGATGGTAAAAATGGGCGTGGCTCATAAATTATCGATTTTTCCAGGCTCGCTACCCTCTCCAATGGACGAAGATCTGAAATTCAACAGAATAGCTACCGTATACCGACCGCCCATGATTTTCAACAATTATTGGAATCTGGGCGCCGAATATTTTCCCATCAATTCTACAGTACCCCAAATCAACCTAACTGTCACATTCTATCCGCTGAGTTTGATGAAATATCAAATGTATTCTAGTCAGAGGGTGAGATTTTGACTGAAAATCTGAAATTTTCAGCCGAAAAATGTCTGGAAAAAAAATTTCAGGTCCAACAAAAATGGAAAGCCTATTTGCCCAAAGATGTCGAAGAGGAAGACGATGATAGTCAGGATTCGATTAAACAAGCACTTTTGGACACGAATCCGGTGCTTTTGGGTAAGCCTAAGATCTAGGCCTAGTTTGGCCTGAAAATATAAAAAATTTGAACCTAAACCTGCCTGAACCTTGAAATTTCAGCAATTTTTGTATGAATTTCAGTCAGAACGTGGATTTTTGACTGAAAATCGAAAAATTTCTGAAATTTTTAGGTTCTCGCGCAGGGAAATCTATCGCCAATTTTTTTTTTGGAAAATATGCCTGAAATTGGTCTAGGGAGCCTGAAAATGGCCGAGAAGCCCAGAAAATAATCTGGAAAACAGATTTTTCTGGTTTATAAGCTTGAAATTGGTCTAGAAGTTCAAAAATTATCCAAAATTCAATAAATATCCGAAAGCCTGCCTGAACCTTGAAATTTCATAAATTTTCATATAATTTTCAATCAAAACTTGGATTTTTGACTGAAAATCGAGAAATTGCTGAAATTTCCAGGTTCTCGCGCAGGGAAATCTATCGTCAATTTTTTTTTTGAAAAATTTGGTTTAAAAATTCTCTTTTTAAGTTCCTGAAATTTAAAATTGATGAAAATTCTCAAATTTTGATATAGAAGTTCAAAAATTACCCAAGAATCAATAAATATTTGAAATCCTGCCTGAACCTTGAAATTTCATCAATTTTCAATCAAAACGTGAATTTTTGACTGAAAATCATAAAATTGGTGAAATTTCCGGGTTCTCGCGCAGGGAAATCTATCGCCAATTTTTTTTTGCAAAAAAAAAATCCATAAAATCGATTTTTGAAGTTTCTAGGGCTAAAGTTTGTCAAAAATTGTGATTTTTTTGTTCAAAAATGACTTGAAGTCGATTTTTCAAGTTCCTGGGCTTAAAATTGATGAAAATCCTGAAATGTTGGTCTGGAAAGACTATTTTCAAGCTCGAAAGCCTGAAATTAATGAAAAACCCCGATTTTTTATCTAAATATCGATTTTATTAGTTCCTGAAATAAAAATTGATGAACATTTTCAAATTTTGATATAGAAAACCTATTTTCAAGGTTCTGAGCATAAATTTAATGAGAAATCTCAATTTCTGGAGCAGAAATTAATTTTTCAAAGTTCTTACAAGGGAACCTTTTTTACTCAACACTTCAAATCATGATGAAATATGGTTTATGGACAGCTTTTGGGGCCATAAGAACACCCTAAAAATTTTAGTCTCCCAATGGACCTCTGAGCCAAGTTCTGGGCTCTCAAAAACTCAAAAAAGGCCTAAAAATGGTCATAAAAGTCTTCATAGCTCCATTTCAAAATTTTTTTCGGTGGAAATGAAGTTTCAGATATTGATCAGCATAGTCGATTTACTAAAAGTACATCAATAAAAAACTTTATTTAGAAAAATTTTGAAGTTTTTTATTTTTGGGCTGAAAATTCATATGTGCCCCTGCTCATTCTTTTTTTCAAAATCAGAAATTTTTCTGAAAATTCGATTTATTTATGCTTTTTGGGTAAATCGACCACGCTGATCATCATCTGCTACTCAGTTTTTGATAAAATTGATCGAGAATTGAGTTATGATGTGTTTTATGAGCCAAATTTGTGAATTTTCGAACTTTTGAGAGCCCAGAACTTTGCTCAGAGGTCCATTGGGAGACTAAAATTTTTAGGGCGTTCTTATGGTCCCAAAAGCTGTCTCTGGACAAAATTTCATCAAGATTTGAAGTGTTGAGTAAAAAAGGTTTCCTTGTTAGCTTTCATTTTATCAAAAACCCCAATTTTTGGTCCAAATATCGATTTTTTAAGTTCTTGCTACTAAAATTAATGAAAATCCTTAAATTTTGAGCTAGTAAGCCCATTTTTAAGTTTCCTAACCTAAAATTCATCAAAATGCTCATTCTAGACCAAAAAAGCTCAATTTTCAGCTTTCTTCCAGCCAAAAAATCCCCAAATTTTCATTGCAGCCATCACATTTACCGTCTCAATTCTCCACTCGATTTTCGAATTTCTCGCCTTCAAAAATGACATTCAATTCTGGAAGGAGCGCAAAAATTTGGCCGGATTATCAGTCAGAAGTGTTCTATTCAACATTTTCCAATCGCTTATCGTATTTTTGTATATTTGTGATAATGAGACGAATTATGTGGTGAAAATCAGTGTTGGTGTTGGATTATTGATTGAATGCTGGAAAATTCCGAAAGTTTTGGATATTAAGGTACATTTTGATACCAAATATGGTTATTTTTGACGAAAAAAAGTGTGCCAGCCTTGCAGAAATGGGCGGAGCTTAGTTTTCTAAGCATTTTGATACCGAATTCGCCTATTTTTGAAAAAAAAACTGTGCCAGGCTTGCAGAAGTGGGCGGAGCTTAGTTTTCTCAACATTTTGATATCAAATATGCCTATTTTTGAAAAAAAAGTGTGCCAGGCTTGCAGAAGTGGGCGGAGCTTAGTCTTGATACCACATAAGCTCCTTCCCCTTTTCTGCGACCCTGACACGGTTTTTTATATTGAAATTTCAACAAAAAAAGTGTGCCAGACTTGCAAAAAGGGGGCGTGGTCTGTTTTTTTTCAATATCCACGTCATAGATCAATTTTCAACCAAAATTTATCAGAAAATCTGCCTGAACCTTGAAATTTCAGCAAAAACTTGGATTTTTGACTGAAAATCGAAAAATTGCTGAAATTTTCGGGTTCTCGCGCAGGGAAATCTATCGCCGATTTTTTTTTTGATTTTCTTGATGACAAGCGATGGCTCCTAGACACTTTCAATGTGTGTCTAGGCACCAGCCCTTGAGAAACCATTTGACAAGGGATGGATCCTAGAAATCTAGAGTTGTCAAGGGAGGACGCCTAGACACCTTGAGAAACAATCTGTCAAGCAAACGCGCCTAGACATCTAAATTATGTCTCTAGGCGCCAGCCCTTGAAAATACATCTGTCAAGGGATGGCCCCTAAGCACCCCCTCCCTCATAAAAACCAATTTTCAGCTAGACCACACGTCAAAAATCCTCGGAATCTTCCCAAAAATCAAATTCTCCGACAAAGGAACGTATATCGAATCGGAAACTCGTCAATTCGACGAAATGGCTTTCAAATATCTCGGAATGTTCCTTTTCCCATGCCTTTTAGGCTACGCAATCTATTCCCTAATTTATTTGGAGCAAAAAGGATGGTATTCCTGGTTGCTCAACATGTTCTATGGATATTTGTTGACTTTCGGATTCATCACAATGACACCGCAGCTCTTCATTAATTATAAGCTGAAAAGTGTGGCGCATTTACCGTGGCGTATGTTGACCTATAAATTCATCAACACTTTTATCGATGATTTGTTCGCGTTTGTTATCAAAATGCCGTGGTTGTATCGGATTGGATGTTTTCGCGATGATATCATCTTTTTGGTGAGTTTTTGAGCCGAAATTCGAGATTTTTGGGAAATTCTGAGCAAAAATTGGGTTTTCCGGGAAAATTTGACGTAAAAATGAAGTTTTCTGCTAAAAATTAACCAAGGCATGGTTTTGTGGGCGGAGCCTAATGTTTTAATTGAAATTTTTTGGATTTTTAGCAAAAATTAACTCAGGGCACGGTTTAATAGGCGGAGCCTAATTTTTAGCTGAAATATTGCAGTTTTTCACTCAGAATCCTTGTTTTTTGCTAAAAATGACCCCAGGCACGGTTTTGTGGGCGGAGCCTAATTTTTAATGGAAAATTTGCAGTTTTTTGACTTAAAAACTAATTTTCCTGCAAAAAATCGCCCAGGGCACGGTTTTGTGGGCGGAGCTTCAAAAATTGATTTTTCTCAACTTCAAAACTCGATTTTTTCCAGATCTACTTGTACCAAAAATGGATCTATCGTGTCGATTATTCGCGCACCAACGAATTTGGCGGAACTGGTGAAAACGCTGAAAATCCTGCTGAAATTTTGGCTGAAAATTCGGAAACCCCGTCTGAAACCAAGAAAAATCAATAATCTTCGATCTCCCTGTGTTTTTTTCCCTTATACTTGTTGCTTGTTGCGGTTTGTCATAAATTTATGTTTTTCTTGAGAACAATCTATTTTCAGCCTTTACCACGTGGATTTTCAGATTCACCGTGAAATTCTACCCAGGAAATATGTAGCGCACACAAGGAATCGAACCCGCGACCTTTTACCTGGCAAAAAATGGCTCAGCTGGTTAGAGATCATTTTACCAATCTAGACGTCGCGGGTTCGATCCCGCTACTGAACATTTTTTGATTTTTATACTTTTCCGGGCCAGAATTTCACGAGGAATCTGGAAATCCATGTGGCATTGGCTGAAAATCCGAAAAAAATCTATATATAATTAATTTATGATCACATCATGGTTGGAAAAATTATGCAAAAAAAAAAACACAAGAAAAAATCAATAGTTTTAAATAAAAAAATAGAATTTTGTTGTGTAGGCAAGAAATTGTTCAAAAGCGCGACGCGGTCACGCGTCGCGGCTACAGTATACGTTTAGAGAATTATTATTAAAGGGTCATAGGGGGATTTTTGTTTTTGATCTCTACAGATTCACTGTTCAAGAATGATTGGTGCTTGGTGGGGGAATTGTTGTGAATGTGGGTGTGGGAATGTGGGCGGGGCGTAGAATTGGGGAGCGGGTGCGGGAATTTGAGCTTGGCGCGAGCGAATTGTGATGACGGCTTCGCCGGGACAGACAGGTGTTGGCCAACGGGTGAAGAGTACCTGCAAGAGAAATTTGATTGATTTTGACGTTAAAAATTATAAAAAATCATGTTTCCCTCGCTTCCGAGTGATTTTCAGCCCTTGCCACGTGAATTTTCAGATTCCCCGTGAAATTCTAGCCCGGAAAAGTATATGAAACAAAAAATATTCACTAGCGGGATCGAACCTGCCACCTGTAGATTGCTAAATTGAGCTCTAACCAGCTGAGCCACAGGTCAGAGGTCGCGGGTTCGACTCCCAACGCCTGCGAAAAATCTTTTTCTTTTTTGAAACAACTTTTCCGGGGTAGAATTACGAGGGGAATCTGAAAATCCACATGGCAATGGCTGAAAATCGCTGGGAAAAAATCCAATATTTGTTTCAAAAATTTTTGGACCCCTGGAAATTCTTGATTTTTTCTTATCAAAAATCACAGTTCACAAAAAATCATCATTTTCGAGAAAATCACGAAAAGATGATTTTCGGGTTCAAAAATTGTCATTTTGAGGTCAGAGAACATCATAAAATTTCCCTAGTCATGTTTGGTCTCAAAAAATCGCAAATTTTCCTCACATTTTCCACTTGTACTTCGGGTGACGAGAATTGTGCCACAAGCTCCGGAATTCCGACATTTATCGTAATTCCGTACACAACAAGTTGTGTCAATTGTCCGGGGATAATTGGTGAAATTGGTGGCGACGGGTAGCCGGTCCAATATTGTTGGTGTGGATGATGTGGAGCTTGGGTGGAGAGTTGTGGTGCAAAAGTTGGCGCAACTTGTTGCACTGGTTTTACGAGGTGTTGCAAGTTCAAATCCTCGGCCGAGCATTGGAAAACCTGCAAAAATCGCGTTTTTTCTAGCTTTCCAGCCATTTTCAGCGTTTCCCACGTCGATTTTCAGAATCCCCGTGAAATTCTAGCCCGGAAACATATAAAATATAAAAAATGTTCACTAGCGGGATCGAACCCGCCACCTCTGGACCGCTAATTTGACCTTTAACCAGCTGAGCCATAGGTGAAAAATGGTGGATTCATTTTCTCTCACCAGCAAATTTTTTTATACGTTTCCCGGGTAGAATTTCACGGGGAATCTGAAAATCCACGTGGCAAAAGCTGAAAATCGAAAATCATCTGAAAACTTTCGAACGAAACGTTTTCAGCGCTTCCCATGTGGATTTCCAGCATCCCCGTGAAATTCTAGCCCGGAAAAGTATGAATTTCAAAAATTTCGGTCACTGTTCACCTGCGGGATTGAACCCGCCACCTCTAGACTGCTAAATTGATCTCTAACCGGCTGAGCCATGTGTGAAAGTTTGCGGGTTCAATTTCTCGCGCCTACGACAACATTTTTCGATTCTGAAAAAACTTTTCCGGGGTAGAATTTCACGGGGAATCTGAAAATCCACGTGGCAGGTGCTGAAAATTGCTGGAAAGGCGTGTTTGGTGTCAAAATGTGCCCAAAACCAACCTCAATATAGCGCTGCTTCTTTCCAATCACCATAAATTTGTTGTGTGTCGCAAGCGACGTCGCGGCTGCCGCCGCGTCATTCGCCATCTGTATGAAAGCTTCGCCGCTGGGATGTCCCTGATTATTGAAAATCATGTGAACACCCTGGAATTTGACCATTTTGGCGAATTCGCCCAAAAATGTCACAATGTGTTGAACTTGCGCCTCATACGGTAATCCACGTAGCCGAATGCAATCCTTGCGTTTTTCCTGTTGATCTTGCGAGTGTTGCGAATTTTGTGGCGACAAATTCGCGGCGGCTGCGACTTGATTCGCGATTTCTTGATTCGGCGACATTTGTTGTTGATTATTGATTTGATTGCAACGTTTCACGACTTGTTGAACCTGCAAAAATATCGATTTTTTGGCTGAAAATGTGATTTTTTCAGCATTTTTCAAAAAAGCTACCCGAAAAAAAAATGAAATTTTTCGAAAAATGAAAAATGTGTGATGATGACCCCTCAAAGGTCACGTGAAAAAAAGTAAATTAATTTTTTTTTGAGAAAAAATTTCGAATTTTTTTTGACACGCACAAAAACTGCGAAATTAATTTTTTTGACCAGGAAAAAAAATGAAAATTTGTAGTAAAATTTTTTTAGAATAAAATTGGAATATTTTTCAAAAATCAAAAACTTTCTGAAAAATCAATAAATCTTATGCCACGTGGCATTTTTCCTCAAAAATTGAAAAAAAATCAATAAATCTTTGTCCACTTGGGAAATTCAATAAAAAATTTAGAAATTTGTGAAAAAATCAATAATTTTACTGCCACGTGAAATTATTTTTCAAAATTTGAAATAATCAGAAAAAATCAATAAATCTTGTGCCACGTGGCAATTTTCTCTGAAAATTTCAAAAATAATCAATAAATCGTGTGCCACGTCGCATTTTTTCTCAAAAATGTGAAAATTTTTCAAAAAAAAATCAATAAATCCTGTGCCACGTGGCAATTTTCACTAAAAATTGCAAAAATCAATAAATCTCATGCCACGTGGCATCAAAATACTCCAAATTTCGCCGAAAATTCAAAAATGCTCACCTCAGCAGCTGTAGACTTGAACAGCTCAATATATCTTTGGCCAATAGTTTGACGATGTTTCAAAAGAGCATTTTGAGCATCTTCTTCCGTTTCGAATTGCACAAAAGCGTCGCCAGTGGGTCGACCGTCGCTTCTCGAGATGAACAGAATTTTGTCGAGCACTTTGAGCGGCTCGAAAAATGTTTTCTGCAAAAATCCGGGTTAAAATGCGATTTTCAGCAGTTGCCACGTGGATTTTCAGATTCCCCGTAAAATTTTAGTCCGGAAAAGTCTAAAAATTAAAAAATTTTCACTAGCGGGATCGAACCCGCCACCTCTAGATTGGTAAATTGATCTCTAACCAGTTGAGCCACATTTTCACCAAGTTAAAGATTGCGGGTTCAATTCCACGTACCGGCAAAGTTTTTAATACTTTTCCGGAGTAGAATTTCATGGGGAATCTGAAAATCCACGTGGCAAACGCTGGAAATCAATAATTTCGCTGAAAAACCACTCACAATTTGCTGCTCTGTACAATCATACGGTAATCCACGCATCCGGACGTTGACCGCATTTGTGCTCACAAATTCCATCGCTTCCGTTGAGGATCCTGCAAAAAATGTGATTTTCAGATGTTGACACGTGGATTTTCAGATTCCCCGTAAAATTCTACCCCGGAAAAGTATTTTCAAAATTTAAAAATTTAAAAACTACGTTGCAGGCGCCAGGAATCGAACCCGCAAGCCTTTACCCATGGCTCAGCCGGTTAGAGGTCCACTCAGCAATCTTGAGGTGGTGGGTTCGATCCCGCTAGTGAACTATGCTTAATTTTTATACTTTTCCGGGCTAAAATTCCACGAGGAGTTCGAAAATCGCTATAAGAATTCATGAAAATCCAGAGAAGCCCCAGAAAATGCAAGAAAATCAATAATTCTATGCCTACGTGGCCAGGGGTTCCCATACAAAATAAATACAAAAAAGGCAAGGGGGAGAAAAAGCGAATGCATTATTATTATTATGCATTTTTCTCGCAAAATGTTGATGATGATGCTATAAAAAAATCGAATCAAACCACAAGAGAAAAAATGTGGGCGGGCTTGTCCAAAAGAACTACACACACATAAAAATTCTCCATAATGTACAGTAGTCGAAAATGACACGTGTCAAATATAGATATTGGATTTTATTTGGTCAGGAGGCTGTGCGAGGACGAAAAATTTTGACAGCTATGAATACAATCGCAGTGTGTGTCCCCCTGTGATTTTTTGTTGATAGAGGGGGGTGAAAAAAGCAGCGAGGGGGGCACAAATATATATATAAATACATACAAAAGAAAATCAAATATAATAATAATAATATATTATAATATGCTTTTGGTTATGGAAATTTCGTATAAATTTGATTTAAAGGGTCATGAGGTCATCAGAATTTCAAAAAACCTCATTTTCACTCAATTTCATGTCGATTTTCAGATTCGCCGTGAAATTCTAGCCCAGAAAAAGCATACCATCAAAAAATCTGGTGATTTTTCACTAGGGGGCTCGAACCCGCCACCTCTAACTTGCTAATTTGACCTTTACCCAGCTGAGCCATAGGTAAAAAGTCGTGGGTTCGATTCCTGGCGCCTGCGACATTTTTATTTGAATTTGAAAATAGTTTTCCTGGGTAGAATTTCACGAGGAATCTGAAAATCCACGTGGTATTGGCTGAAAATCGAAAATTTATCTGGAAAATTGAGACATATCATTTTTCAGATTCCCCGTGAAATTCTAGCCCGGGAAAATAAAAAAATAAAACTTTTTGTTCACTAGGGGGATCGAACTCGCCACCTCTAGATCGCTAATTTCATCTCTAACCGACTGAGCCATTAAAGATCGCGGGTTCGATTCCTCATGCGCTATATGTTTCCGGCGTAAAATTTCACGAGGAATCTGAAAATCCACGTGGCGAGATCTGAAATTCAGATCCAAACGTTTTATTTGAGAATTTTCAAGCCAAACTAGACTATAGTTTTTCACAATTTTCGATTAACAAAAGGTGGGTGTATTTATTTCAAATAATAAAAAATGTGAAAAATTTGTCAAAATTTGTCAAAATTTTTCACAACAATCAAAATTTTTATTCGAAAATGGCCATTTCAATCAAAATTCCCACATAAAAATTGATTTTCTTTGTCTCGGCCAAAAAAAAGCACAAAAAATAAAAAAAGTATTAAAAATTTATAGAAAAGGGGATATTGGTAATTAGGAAATTGAAAAAAAAAACTTCCGAGTTATTTTTGGATTTTTTTTTTGATTTTCTGACACAAAAATTAGAGGAATTTTTGACACGTGGCATTAAAAATCAGGAAAAAATTATAGAAAAGTGCACAATTTTCAAGTTATTCATAAAGTTTTCGTGTAGTTCTCGAGGACAAGAAAATTTAGAATTTTTTTTTGAAAAACTCAAATTTTCACTTTCTAGGGTTAAAAATGCTCAAAATCACGAAAAATTGGGCTTCAGAGCATTTTTTTTCTCAGAAAATTCGGAAAAAAATTTTGGAGACCCAATTCTGGGGGGGGGGGGTCACCTTTTTCCTAGAAAATTCAATTTTTCACTGGAAAAAAGATTCCGGGGTCAAAATAGTCCAAAATTTCCAAATTTCCTGTCGAAATCACCCCAGAAGCTGCTAGGTCACAGGAAAAACCAAAAATAGCTTAAAGAATAAGGGGGGTCACTTTTTTCTAGAAAATTCAAATTTTTACTGGAAAATTGTTCTCTAGGGTTAAAAACCGATGAAAATTCTGAAAATTCCGTCAAAATTTAGGCTTCAGAAGCTTTTTCCCGAATATTTTCAAAAAAAAAAAAAATTTTGGAGACCCCTTTGGGGGGGGGGGGTACCTTTTTTCCTAGAAAATTCAAATTTCCAATAGAAAATAAGTATCCAGGGTTAAAAAATGCTCAAAATTTCGAAAATTTGCTCGAAATCACCCCAAAAACCCCCAGTTCACAGAAAAAGGCCCCAGGCTCAAAAACAGCCGAAATTTCCAAATTTCGTGTCAAAATCACCTAAAAATTGTGCAAAAACTGCAAAAAAAAAAATTACAAAAATGTGATTATATAATTTTTTATATGTGCAAATGTAAATGTGTCGCTTTTCATCACACACACACACACAAATGCAAAAAAAGAAGCGAGAAGAAGAAAAAAAAGACCGTTCCCCGTCTCATTTTTGGTGTTTGTTTTGTCTTTCATCTGATGTGTGACACACACCAAAATCGTCAGAAAATTGATTATTAATATATTATTATTATATTATAAATAAATATGTATGTGCATTTGTGATAAGAAAAATTGGTCAAAACGGGGATTTTTGAGCTAGAAAACATGAGTTTTGAGCCAAGATTTCGGAAATTCGGATAATTTTGAGCCAGAAAACATTTTTCTCTACGGTTTGACCAAAAAAAAAATTACTAAAAACAAACGCTTTCTTCTTATCAAAAAAAAAAAATGATAAGAAACGAGGTCAAAAGGAAGAAATTTGCAAAACTTCCTCATTTTCAGCCAATTCCACGTGGATTTTCAGATTCCCCATGAAATTCTACCCCGGAAACATATAGCGCGCATGAGGAATCGAACCCGCGACCTCTCACCTGAAGAAAATCTAGCTCAGCTGGTTAGAGCTGAATTTGCCAATCTAGAGCTAACGGGTTCAATCCCGCTAGTGAACATTTTTTGTTTTTTATATTTTCCCGGGCTAGAATTTCACGAGGAATCTGAAAATCCATGTGGCAACGTCGGATTTTCGAGTTCTCAATGAAAACTTGTAAAAAGTATACATTTTTGGAGCTAAATACTTGAAAAGTCATGTAAATCGGGAAAAAAACTAATTTTTCTCAAAAAGAAAAAAAAAGGAACCATGGAAACCTTGAAAAACGCACATAAAATTGAATGTTTCTTCTTGTTTTTTTTAGTTTGCAGGAAAAATTTAGAACATTTTTTTTCAAAAAAAAAAACAAACTACAGTAGATCACGATCAGGAAAAAAACTCAAAATAAAAATCGATAAAAAATTTTGCGGTGGGTGGGTAAATCCCCGATAATCCCAAAATTTGTGACAAAATTTTTTGGGTAAAATAAATTTGTATGAAATTTGAAAAAAAAAATAGCGGGAAACTTAAAATTTTCAAAATTTCCCTCCCAGATGTCCAAATTTCCCCAAATTTTCACACAAACCTGAGGCAACTTGCAAAAATTCATCCAACGTGGCTTTGTAGACTTCAATATATCTTGAAAGCAGAAAATTTCGATGTCTTTTCAGCGCCAAATCCCGTGACATCTCATTTTCAAAATTCACCACAACTTCTCCGTTTCTTCGACCTTCTGATGACAAACAAAGCGCAATTCCACCTCTGAAAATCGGATTTTTGAGATCTACATGAAATTTTGAGCCGGAAACATAGATTTTCATTAAAACCAGGAATTTTCAGCCTTTGTCACAAGTATTTTCAGATTCCCCGTAAAATTCTACCCGGGAAAACTATTTTCAAAATTGAAAAAAAACTTCGCAGGCGCGAGAAATCGAACCCGCGACCTTCCACCTGGTGGAAATCTGGCTCAGCTGGTTAGAGGTCAATTTATCAATCTAGAGGTGGCGGGTTCGATCCCGCTTGTGAACATTTTTTGTTTATTATACTTTTCCGGGATAGAATTTCATGAGGAATCTGAAAATCCACGTGGCAATGGCTGAAAATCGAGTTTTGAGTGAAAATTCGCCAAAAACAAGCTCCCAACTCACGGTGAAATATCCAAACCGGCGAAAAATTGTGCGACGTGTTGATCAGAGGCTTGCCACGGTAAACCACGTGCTCGAACCTGGCGATTTTCGGCGGCAAAATTATTCTCATCGAAATTTGCGGCTGTGGATTTGTAATCGAGTTGAATGGTTTGACGAAGTTGTGAAATTTGGTCTGAAAGTGGGGATTTTGTGTTGAAATTGTGAGAAAAAATTCGATTTTCTTGAATTTTTTCCCTGTTTTTACCCCTTTGAACTTTTCCTCTTCTTCAAAAAAAAAAGTTCGTATTTTTCCCGGAACAAACAAACAAATCACCCAACTGGTACGCACTATTTACCCAAACTTTTTTCAATTGAAAAAAAAAATTATTTTTTTTTGAGTTGAGAAAAAAAGATGGGAAAAATATTGATTTTTGAAAATTTCAAAATTTCTAATTTCCCGGCATTTTTCAGCACTTGCCATGTGGATTTTCAGAATCCTCATGAAATTCTACCCTGGAGACATATAAAAAACTTTGCAGGTGCGAGGAACCGAACCTGCACACACACCTCGGGTACGTATACGTAAAGTCTCCATAACGTACACTTTTTGATTCTCGCACACTTGTACGTTAAGTACACCTGAGATGTCCATATGGAGACTCTCACGTGTACGTAACGGATAAAATTACGGACATAAAAAGTGTACTTTTGAAATTTCAGAATTTATTTTTAAGATTGATAATGTGAATCTATTTCAATTATAGATAAGTTCAAAATTGACTGCAATTCAATATTGCTTCAAAAAAACTTCCATTCCCCGGCGTTTTTTAGCGAAACACGCTTTGGGAAATGGAAGCGCTCTGTCTACTTATATAATTCAAGCGACCGACACCTCGCATGCTGCGCGCTGCGCTATGTTTTCCGTGGGAAGTGGGCGGGGCTTATCTTTTTTTTTCTGTATTTCGCGTTTTTCTTGCAATTTTTGAGTTTTATTTGCAAATAAAAACGTGATAAAATATGAAAATGACTGAAAATAGATGGGATATCAGTCCAGGAATGAAACTTAGACCTAATGTCGAGCGAATTTTTCTTTTTGAGTGGAAAATGAAGACAAAAATGGCCAAAATTGTATAAAAACAATTTACTAGTGAAGAATAAGTACTGAAATCATGACATAGCTTATCTTTAAGACGTAGGATGGAAAATTTATAAAAATGAAAATGTATTTTTTATAGGTTACAAAAAATGTACTTAACGTATACTTTATGGAGATGAAAAAGTGTACGTTGTGGAAATAATACATCTCCGTTACGTGTACTTTTCAAAAAGTCTTTCCGATTATCGAATTGAGTTTTTGATTCATTCTTTGACATCACAAACATTGAGAAAACAACGAAAATTAAGTTTTTCGAAAAACCTCCAATGATTTATCAATTTTTGCCAAGTCTACTTTACGGATGAAAAATATACACGTTACGTCCACTTTTCCAAAATTTCAACTTTCACCATAAATTTATTCGAAATGGTCTCGAAACCTCGCGAAAAGTTGTTAAACTAACTCCCAAGCCCACAAGGGACAGATTTAGTCCAAAAAAACAGTCAAAATCTTCCATGAAATTTTACACGTTTTGTATCCGTTGAAAACACGTATACGTTATGGACAAAAATAAGTATACGTTATGGATAAAGTATCCCTAACGTATACCTAAGGTATACGTAGCCTAGGTGTGTGTGCGGAAAAGTGTTTTCAAAAATTGGAAATGTTTAACAAGCGCGAGGAATCGAACCCGCCGCCTTTGACGCGGAGAAAAAATGGCTCAGGTGGTTAGAGATCAATTTAGCAATCTACAGGTGCCGGGTTCGATCCCGCTAGTGAACATTTTTTTGTTTTCATACTTTTCCGGGGTAGAATTTCATGGAGAATTCGAAAATCAACACGAGAAGTGTTTTTGTTCAAAATTTCCAGGAGAATCTTCGATTTTCAGTCTTTGCCATGTGGATTTTCAGATTCCATTCAAAATTCTACCCCGGAAAAGTAGTTTCAAAATTGACAAAATATAAAAACTACGTTGCAGGCGCCAGGGGTCGAACCCGCAACTTCTAACCTATAGCTCAGCTGGTTAGAGATCAATTTAGCAATCTACAGGTGGCGGGTTCGATCCCGCTATTGAACATTTTTTTGTTTATATACTTTTCCGGGCTAGAATTCCACGGGGAATCTGAAAATCCCGCTCAAAACCTTCAAAAATCTCACCATCCTCCAATTTCGCCACCAATTTCACCAAATCCTCCACATTTTCGCACATCAATTCACCCAACAAATCGATATCATAATAGGTTTGCAAATTTAAAGGCACATGGCGTTCGTTCTCAATGAAATATGGAATCAAAAAGTGGCGTACAGTGGTGGGTCCCCGCGCGAAAACCACTACAGTACCCGCAAAAATCTCACAAATCTCATCGATCGATGACGTGGCAATATTTACAGTGTGTTTTTCATATAGATGATGGGTCTCGTCTGGATCTACAGTAACCCGTGATGACGTGGCATTATTATTTGCATCGCCACCCGTATTTTTTGAAGATGATGACGTGGCATGGAAAATTTGGAGCTCTTGTGATTGCTCACAAACTTGTACGAGTAGACGTTGTCCTGCAAAAAAATCGATAATTTTCGCGCCACGTGGTTTTTTTTCGCGCCAAAAACATCGTCATTTTGACCTACCCTTAATTAACATTCGTTGAATAATTTATGAATAAAAAACTTTTTTTTCGAAAAAAAATGAAAACTTTTTCTGGGACGCCTCGAAAAATCGGTATATCAAATTACATAAACAAAATTTGTTTTGGGAAAATTTTTTGACACGTGGCTTTATTTTTTTCGAATTTCCTAGCCATTTTCAGCCAATGCCACGTGGATTTTCAGATTCCCCGTGAAATTAAACCCTAGATACATTTTTGAAAAAAAAATGTTCAGCGGGCACGAGGAATCGAACCCGCGACCTTTCACCCGGCGAAAATCTGGCTCAGCTGGTTAAAGATTAATTTAGCAATCTACAGGTGGCGGGTTCAATCCCGCTAGTGAAAAATTGCCAGATCTTTTTGATGGTAGGGTTTTTCCGGGTCAGAATTTCACGGGGAATCTGAAAATTCACGTGGCAAGGGCTCAAAATTGCTAGTTTTCAAGTTTGGGTTAAAAATTCACAAAAAATATCAGAAAAAAAGTCCCCGGCCCAAAATTTCACGTAGAATTCAAAAATCCCGTCTAAAATTCCCCAAAAACCCCACAAACCTTGCTGATTCATCGATATATGGAATAGTTAAGGCGTCCTTGGGCACATAGGCAAACCAACGCGGTAGATCAACAAAATTCTTCTGCTGCTGCTGCTGCTTGTTTTTTTGTCGAAGCTCCGCCCCTTTTCGCGCAGCCTCTTCGCTTTTTTGACGAACACTGCAAGAAATGAGAAAAAGTGGATTTGAACACAAAACAAGAAAAACATTTTACTAGTAGTATAATTATGTATGTATGTATATTTTTCTGGATGAATTGACAGAAATCCAGTTTCGCCTTGAAATGCCAGGATTTTCATTCGAAAATTTGAAATCCTGGTAAAATTTGGGTCCAGGAAACTGGAGAAAAAAACATATAAAAATTTGAAAAAAAGTTCGCAGTGGGGCTCGAACCTGTGACCTTCCAATTGGTATATTTTCAAAAGTTTTCAGGTGGATTTTCGAGATCTGCACAAAATTTCAGCCCAGCAGCTTTTTTCCCCTTCGAAAAAAAACTTCAAAAGTTCCCAGTGGGGCTCGAACCTGTGACCTTTCACCTGGTAAATTATGAGCCAACCAGTTGAGCCAAATCAACGCGTTTTTGATCGAAATTTCGCGCAGATTTCAAAAATCTGGCTCAAAATGTGAAATTTCGCCTGAATTTCAGACAAAAATCAAATTTTCAAAAAAATAAAAAGATTTTTATCGCCAGAAAAATTTTCTTCAAAGGTCAATTAAACTTTGCGGACATTTTTATCTTGAAATCGGTCAGAACGCGAAAAAATCGATAGAATTTTGAAATGAGAACGGAATTTTTGAAAATTTGGCTCAACTGGTTAGCTGCTAAACTACCAGGTGAAGGGTCACAGGTTCGAGACCCCGTGTGAACTTTTTTTTTTCTGGTAGGAAAAAAGTTCCTGGGCTCAAATTTTGTGTAGATCTCGAAAATTGACAAGAAAACTCATAAAAATGAGCAGAAAATCGTGTGCCACGTGGATTTTTGTGCAGGTTCAAATCCCACATGGAACTTTAAAAAAATAAAAATTCAGCTAGATTTTGAGAAAAAATCCCAAAAAACACAAAGAACAGATTTGGCTCAACTGGTTAGCTGCTAAATTACCAAGTAAAGGGTCACAGTTTCGAGTCCCACTGGGAACTTTTGAAATTTTTTCTAAATTTTTGAAGAAAAAAGTTCCTGGGTTGAAATTTCACAAAGATTCCAAATTTTTGCATAAAAAAAGATAGATTTTGAAAAAAAAATCCCGAAAAAACCAAAAAGAACAGATTTGGCTCAACTGGTTAGCTGCTAAATTACCAGGTGAACGGTCATAGGTTCGAGACCCACTGGGAACTTTTAATTTTTTTTTTTTAATTTTTCGAGTAGGAAAAAAAGGTTCCTGGGTTGAAATTTCACAAAGATTCCAAATTTTTGCATAAAAAATATAGATTTTGAAAAAAATTCCCCAAAAACACAAAGAACAAATTTGGCTCAACTGGTTAGCTACTAAATTACCAAGTGAAAGGTCACAGGTTCGATCCCCACTGGGAACTTTTGAAATTTTTTGGGAAAAAATAGGGTTTCTGGGCTGAGATTTTGTGTAGATCTCGAAAATTGACAAGAAAATGCATAAAAATAACCAGGAACTATGGGAAAATTCTTGGAAAAACAACACACAAATGAAATTGGATGAGAGAATAGGGAAAATTGTAATGTTATAGATCAAAATCTCCGCGAAAATGACCTAATTAACCATGGCCAACACCAAAAAATCTCGAAAAAAAAACAAGTTGACTATGGACAAAAAAAATGTATTTTGCATGATAACTGTCTGGTTTTCTTCATTTCCTTGACCCTTTAAATTTATTAAAAGAAAATAAGACAGAGAGAGAAGACAATTTTTTTTGGGAAAATTTACCAAGAAAAAAGGATGGGTTGACCTTGTGGTCATCTTTTTCAAGTGGCAGGCCGCAAAAAACATAACATAGTTTTTCGGAACGCAAATTTCGTGGAGGTCATTTTTTTTGGACCTGAGAAAATCCACGTGGCAATCGATTTTCTGATCATTTTCATGAAAATTTTTAGATTTCTAGTGAAATATGAGCCCTGGAAATTTTTCAAAAAAAAAGTTCCCATGGGGATTCGAACTGGGACCTTTTGGCTGAAAAAAATTCGCTTAGAGCTTATTCTCCTTAAAATTTTATCCAGGAACTATTTCGAGAAAAAAAATTCAAAAAAGTTCCCGGTGGGGATCGAACCTGTGACCTTTCACCTTGTAAGTTAAATGCTAACCAGTTGAGCAAAGAGTTCTATTCAAAATTTCAGCCCTGAACCCTTTTCCTCAAAAAAAAAAATCCAAATAGCTCCCACTGTGTCTCGAACCTGCGACCTTTCACCTAGCAATGTGTGGTGTAACCGGTTAGACGTTTGCCTACCGCAAATTTCGTGGAGGTCATTTTTTTGGACCTGAGAAAATCCACGTGGCAATTGATTTTCTGATCATTTTCATGGAAATTTTTGGATTTTTAGTGAAATTTGAGCCCTGGAAATTTTTCAAAAAAAGTTCCCATGCGGATTCGAACTGGGACCTTTTGGCTGAAAAAAATTTGTTTGGAGCTTATTTTTAGAAATCTCCGTAAAATTTTAGCCAGGAACTATTTAAAGCAAAAAAAATTCAAAAAAGTTCCCATCGGGAGTCGAACCTGTGACCTTTCACCTTGTAAGTTAAATGCTAACCAGTTGAGCCAAGTTTGCAAGTTCTACTCAAAATTTCGGCTCTAAACCCTCCCCCCAGCAAAAAAAATCCAAACAGTTCCCACTGGGACTCGAACCTGCGACCTTTCACCTAGCAATGTGTGGTGTAACCGGTTAGACGTTTGCCTACCGGGTTGCAGGTCGCAAGTTCGATCCCGCCGCTCATTTTCACCCCGGAAAAAAAGTTCTAGATCAATTTTTCACGCTGAATCTCATGGTAACAACAGTTCCGGCCAAAAATCCCAACTCACTTCTCTTTGAGCGCCTTCAAAACTTTCATCGCATCAAATCCACGTCCCAACGAATGAATCTTATCAATGCAAACACTTCCACTAACATCAACGGCTGAAAAATTGCATTTTTTTTTGCAAAAAATTGTGTACTTCTCTCGGAGAACTCACCCAAAGTCGTTAAAACAAGGCCAATAAATATGAAAACAATCGAAATACTCATATACTGTACAGTTCCGTTCGGGTACAAATCACCAAATCCAACAGTCATCTGGAAAAAAAATTTAAAGTAAAAAATTTCCACGTTTTTTTCTAGTTTGATACAGAATTGTCTAGTTTGACCTCTCAAAAACGTCTATCATTATTCGAGACACCAATTTCTCTAGTTTGAACTGAAAGTATCTAGTTTGATCAGTTGAAATGTATAGTTTGCCACTAGAAATTCTCTTCTCCCATAGAAAAAATTCAAAATCATACGTGGCAAAATACAATTTTTTCAATAAAAAATGTCTAGTTTAATCACAAGATTTTCTAGTTTGCTAAAAAAATCGCTGACTGTACCACTAATTAAGGTAATTAAGCTAAGGCTTCCCCTCTTGCTCTCTCTCAAAACCCTAATCTGGTTATTAGAGCTCAATAACACCTGCTCACCAAAAAAAAGGACGCCAGCTACTTAGTCTAACTCATTCTGGTAGAAAAATGGCTTTGGATCGCGATCCCGACGATGAAACTACGGTAACTTGATTTAAAAAAAAATACTTATAAAAAAATTATTTCAGTTCAATTTCGATGATTTGCCACTTCGTCTCATCGAGCAAATTTTCAAATATTTGAAAACTTTCGAAATTGTGAAAATGAGAAGAGTTACACCGGCTTTAAAAGATTATGTGGATGAATTGCCAAAGACTAAGAGGTGAGGATTTTCGGGCCACTTTCAGCCCAAAAAATCATGTTTCCAGCTCAATTTGGTCATACAAAATATTCATCAAAGACAACAAATTTACATTTAATCAAGAAAATCTGTCAAGTATGACATATGCCGTTTCTGGGAACACATATCAAATCTACGGAAATGTTCAGCTGAATTGGATTCAACCTCGAAAAGTCTACTATGAGTCATCAAATATTCTGGAGAGCTCACTGAGATTTCAAGGATTCTTGCAAAATGTTCAATATTTCAAAGTTTCCAATATCATGAAGGGCGAAAACTGTGTGAAAAACTTTTGTGAAAATCTGCGATTCTTTATGAGTATTGAGAAATTCAAATTATTCGATGCGACATTGAGCGAAGACGAATTGGTGCAAATTCTTTCAAGTCTCGAAAAACCCGATCACTTTTTCCAATTGACACTGGACCAGTCTCTACCATTTCTAACAGCCCCAATTCTTGATTGCTTTTTCAAGATCAGTCGCGGAAGACAAACGACTCTCAATATTCGAAGTGAAAATGGATGGAGGTTCAGAATGAGTGAAGAACAATGGAGAGATGGTGTTTTTCGATTCTTCGATTATAAATATGAGCAGGAAGACGATGAATTTGGTATGAAATTGTTGAAATTCAAAATATGCGATAGAAAGACTGGAACTGCAATGATTTCAGCGGTTAAGCAAAAATTCAACAATCAGGCAAATGTTGGGAAGCGCGGGAATTTAGTTTCGATCTCTGTTGGAAATCGATGTTTGCAATGTTATTTGAGATGATTTATGTATGATATAATAAAATGATTTAACACATTTCTCTCTAGTTTGATCATAAATTCATCTTTGCCTTCTTGAACTCAATGGTTTCTAGTTTGATCAGGAAAAATGTGTAGTTTGATCACGAATTTCTCTACTTTGAACTCAATATATTTTCAGTCTAGTTTAATCAGTATGCGTGTTTGGTTCACCTTTAGAAATTCTCTAGTTTGATCCCAGAAAATTTCTAGTCTTCGCCTAAATGTCTAGTTTGATCCGCAAAATATATTATTATAATCTTATTTGTTTGTAGTTTGACCTTGATTTTTGAACTTGTATCTAGGTTGATCAGAATCTAACAATTCTCAAAGAAAAATTTCACCGCCACCAAGAGGAATCGAACCTCCGACCTTGAGATTCAAAAATCCCCAAACTCCTAACCGGCTGCGCCACATCCGCACCACAAAACTCACCAATGACACGAGACAAAAATAGAACGAGTCCACAAAATTCCACGTGGGCTCCAGAATCGAATAAACCACTGCCGATATCGACATATATCCCAAAAGCAAGATCAAAACCAAAAATTGTCTACCAGTTTTGATGTCTTCAGTTGGATCCATTATCAAAATATCGGCAACGAATTTGGCGACATCGGCTATTGTGATGAGAGTTAGCGGAATTCTGGAAAAAAATGAGGAATTTTGAAACGCACCATGAGATTCAGCGTGAAAAATTGGCCTAGACTTTGAAATTTCGAAAAAAAAAATTGAGAAATTTTCAGTAGCGGGATTGAACTTGAGACCTTTAACTTGACAAGCAAGTCTCTAACCAGCTACACCACAAATTTCCAGGTGAACGGTCGCAAGTTCAAACCCCAATGGGAACTTTTCAATTTTTTTTTGGGAAAAAAAGTTTTAGGGGTGAAATTTTGTGTAGATCTCGAAAATGATAATGAAAACTTTGAAAAATGATTGCCACGTGGAATTTTTAAAATTAAAAAAAAATTTCACCAAGGGAATCGAACACGGGATCTTCAACTTGACAATCAAGTCTCTAACCAGCTACACCACAAATTTCCAGGTGAAAGGCCGCAAGTTCGAATCCCGGTGGGAACTTTTCAATTTTTTTCCGGAAAAAAAAATTCCAGGGGTGAAATTTTGTGTAGATCTCGAAAATGAGAATGAAAACTCCGCCCAAAACAATTCCCCGCCCAAAACTCACCCAAAAATCGCATAACACATGCAAAAAATCTGTCCATGCGTTGAAATCGGTATCAAATTTCCATAGCCGATTGATGTGAGAACTGTGGTGGTGAAGAAGATCGACGAGATCATCGTCCATTTTGTGGTGTGATTTTCGGTGAGAAAATCTGAAAATTTTCAAAAATGGGTAAGAAATTTGAATTTTTCATCAAATTTTGATTTAGAAAAAAGTTCCTAGACCAAAATTTTATGAAAAATCCAAATTTTCAAATATTTCCCCGCCAAAACCAACACCCACCAATCGGTTTGAGACCCGCCTCAAACGCTCCAAAATTCACCATCGTATAATCATCCACCAGCTTCTCGAGCTCGAAATCCGTCAAATTTTTCGGGTCCCGCATAATTTGATCTACCAGCTTCAGGTACTGTAGATGGTGTTTTCGATAAATCTGCTTTTCATACGGTATTTCGATGTAGGCAAAAATCAAGGCGCCCAGGAAAATGTATAATAAAGTGGCTGTGATAAGGCAAATATGGGGAAGAGCCAAGCGAAGATTGGCCAAGATTCCTGGAAATTTTGGAATTTTTAGTAAAACATTGTTGAAAAATTTGAAAAATTCATGAAAATCTGGTCTAGAACAAGGTTTTGGTGGGAAAATATTTGAAAATTTGAGAAATTTATAAAAATCTGGTCTAGAAGAAGGTTTCGGTGTCAAAATATTTAAAAAATCGAATTTTTCATGAAATTTTGTGCTAGAACAAAGTTTTGATGTCAAAATATTTGAAAAATCAAATTTTTCATAAAAATCTAGTCTGGGAAAAGGTTCTGGTGCCAAAATATTCGAAAATTCGAATTTTTCATTAAATTTTATGTTAGAACACTGTTTTTGGTGCGAAAATAATTGAAAATTGGAAAAATTCATGAAAATCTGGTCTAGAACAAGGTTTTGGTGGAAAAATATTTAAAAATTCGCATTTTTCATAAAATGTTGTGCTGGAACAAGGTTTTGATGTCAAAATATTTCAAAATTCAAATTTTTCATGAAATTTTGTGCTAGAACAAAGTTTTGATGTCAAAATATTTGAAAAACCAAATTTTTCATGAAAATCTGGTCTAGGAAAATGTTTTGGTGCAAAAATAATTGAAAATCGGAAAAATTCATGAAATTTTGTTCTAGAACAAGGTTTTGGTGTCAAAATATTTGAAAAATCGAATTTTTCACAAAAATCTGGTCTAGGAAAAGGTTTTAGTGCCAAAACATGTGCTAGAACAAAGTTTTGATGTCAAGATATTTAAAAATTTGAATTTTTAATGAAATTTTGTTCTAGAACAAGGTTTTGGTGCCGAAATATTTGAAAAATCCAATTTTCCATGAAATTTTGTGCTAGGAAAAGGTTTTGGTCCCAAAATATTTGAAAAATGGAGTTTTTGATGAAATTTAGGTCTAGGAAAAGGTTTTAGCGTGAAAATAATTGAAAATTCGAAAAACTCATCGAAATTTGGTCTAGAACAAAGTTTTGATGCCAAAATATTTGAAAATTCAATTTTTCATGAAAATCTGGTCTATAAACATTTTGGGACTCCAAAACACATAGTCACACCCACCTTTTGGCGAATCCTCATCCTCCTCATCACCCTTCATTCCTGCTCCCTCCAATATCATAGCATTCCGCCGGCGGGCGGATGACGTGGCAAAATGGACCTGAAAAATATTCAAATTCAAAACTTTCTTTGCCAAAAATCAAAAAAGTAACATTTTTTTGTCTGAACAAAGTGAGTAAGTGAATGAAAAAAAGGAAAAAAAAAATCCAATTTTCCTAAAAACCCTTCATTTTCTCACAGTTGGAGGGCACATTAAATCCGACTAATCGGTGCCCAGAAAAAGTCGAACAATTTTTTTTAGGCGGGAAAATTTTTGCAGTAAAATTATTATAATTTTGAAAAATTGAAAACGTAGGTTTTGAGGCGAAAAATTTGGAGAGTACTGTAGAACTTTTAGCGGTGGTATTTGGAGCAATTTGAGACCAAACATGACGGGGCTCAGAGTACTGTAGATCGAATTTTTGGCGCGAAAAGTTTGTAGATCAAAAGTTTTGCCTAATTCTGAAGTTTGACTAGGCTCAGAGTACTGTAGATTGAATTTTTGGCGCGAAAAGTTTGTAGATCAAAAGTTTTGTCTAATTGATATTTTAATAAAAGTGGTGAAAGCTCATCGATTGCAAAAATATTTTAATTTTCTGCTGCACACAAATTTTTGCAATTATTATTTGATCAAATTTGATTTTGCAAAAATATTTCTGCAATTCCCAAAAAAATAACTCGATCATCGATTCGATCAATCAAGCTTGCTATAAATACCCTTCTACAACTCATATCAAATTCATAAATTCAAAATGAGCACAATCTTATTCGTCCTTCTTATCGCTTCATGCTCTCATTTAACTTTTGCTGCTAGTTCTACTGATGCCAATAAAATAACAGTCGATCTATTGAGAAAGATCGAAACTGCAACAAAATCCAAAGACAACGCATTATTCTTCTCAACAATGGATCCATCATTGACAGTTTCACTTTGTGGAAAAACAATCAATTTCACGTCATTTCAAAAATTTGGAAAACTACAAAACGACGATCAAAATAAGCGATTGGTAACAATTGTATCAACATCAATTACGCCGAGTGGATATTTGCAAAGTGTTGTTTCAATAAAAGACAAGACATCTGGGAAGATTTATGGATTGCAAATACAGGCACAAAATAAGGCGGGAACTTATAAGATTGTCAAATTGACGTTTGTGAATACACCAAATTGTGACGAACTTCTTGAAAGTGGACTAATTAGGGGTAGAAAAGTTTTGCCAGTAATTGTTGTGGCTGCGGCTGAACTTGCTGTTCAAACTGCTGTTGTAACCGCTGTTGCAACTGTTACTTCCCATATTTTGAATTGGGCTATTGATTTTTTTGGTTAATCTTTTGGATTTTGAATAAATTTTTGGGGAACATTTTGAATTGATTTATCAAAAAAAAAAAAAAAAAATTTCTGTACTCTTTGGTCTCAAAATGCTCCAATTCTAATTCTATTTTTTTTTTTGGCGGGAAAAAAATTTTTTGTTGAAAATTAATTTTTTAGGCTTTTTTAGTACTTTAAAATGGGCGCGACAAAAACCCATCTACAGTACTCTCCGAAAATCAAAATTTGATCTACAGTACTCTGAGCCTAGTCAAACTTCAGAATTAGGCAAAACTTTTGATCTACAAACTTTTCGCGCCAAAAATTCGATCTACAGTACTCTGAACCCAGTCATGTTTGGTCTCAAAATGCTCCAGATACCAACGCTAAAAAATTCTACAGTACTCTCCAAATTTTTTAGCCTCAAAACCTACAGTAATCCCAGGTCCCAGAGAACACTCACCTGATTCATTTTCTCGTCACAATCCGCTCCTCTTTGACTCGTCGCCAATAAACACCTCAACAGAAAATCATCAAAATGATCCGAATTTTTCGAGATTTTCTTGCTGGCCGCGGCGGCGGAATTGGCGGAGTGTCGTTGTTTTTGTGAGGAGCTGCTGGAAATGAGGGCGGGCGTGAAATACAAGGCCGCCGACAAATGCCCGGCCAAAAATTGTCCCGGGGGAGGCATTTTTGAATTGCGAAGATTTTTTTTTTGAGTGAGGTTCAAACAATATTTTTTGTTGTTTTTTGGGGTGACACCACACTAGAAAAGTGACACTTTTTTGACAACAAAAAAAATTTTCGGCGAAAAAAAAAACGGAAATTGGCAGCAAAAATCTATATGCCGGAAGTTTGGGTAAATGAACAGCAAAAGAAAAATTTGTGGGGAAAAATTTGCAGAAAATTCTACTTGCCACGTGGCAAAAATTCAAATTTTTAAACAGCAAATGGCAAATGCGCTCTATTGAGAATTCAGGGTTTTTTTCGAATTTTCAAAAATAAATCCACATTTTTTCCCACAAACAAAAACTTTTCTATCATGAGCAACTTTTTGAGCTCCACAATTTTGATTTTCACAATTTTCTAACATGAGCAATACTAATTTTTTTAATTTCAAAAAAAATCACATTTAAAAAAAAAAAAAAACAAAAAGCTTCGCAGCGAGCAGGGTTCGAACCTACGCGGGCAATGCCCAATAGATTTCAAGTCTATCTCCTTAACCACTCGGACATCGCTGCACATTTTTCCCGGGGCAAAATTTTGTTGACTATTTCGTTGGGTTTTCCAGCGCGCTACAGGTCTATTTTTGGCGAAAAATTTTCGCAGACACATAAAAATACGATTTTTATGTTTCAGACTAGGGGCTGTTAGCCCCCAGGCGTAACAGTCTTCTCATTTATTTCCGTTTCACTTTTTTCTGTGATTATTTTCAATTTTCAGTGGAAAACAAATTCATGAAAAATTTCAAATTTTTGATCAAAAAATGATTCGTGGCAAAATTAGGAAGGCTTCCAAATTTTGCCATGGATGACGACATCAAACTATTTTTCATAAAACATAATTGAATCTCTTTTTTTATTTGAATAATTATAGACATGACCGTCTCCAAATAGAAATTTCGGTTTGGAGACATGACTTTTTCTCAATAATTTCATTTCTGGATGAAATTCTGAATTTTCTTGTTTTTTTAACAGTGTTAAAAATTTCCATTCAATTTTTTTCAGCTTCAAAGTTGGTTCTGAGTGGCTTACTAAGGCTAAGCCTGAGAGGAAGTGTCATTTAGGTCGCAACTCATCGATTTCATTTTTACATTTTTGGATTATTCCAAATCTGTTACTTTTTTTTTGTTGACTTTATACACGAAAATAAAAATTTCAATTTTTGTCAGCTACCCGCTGAAATCGAAATTTTCATTTGGGCGGGTATTTTTGTCAAACAAAAAAAAAACTTGGGCCGATTTTTTTTGGAAAAACTTGGGCCGATTTTTTTTTTGAAAAAACTCGGACCGATTTTTTTGGAAAAACTCGGGCCGATTTTTTGAAAAAACTCGGACCGATTTTTTGGAAAAACTCGGGCCGATTTTTTTTTCTGGAAAAACTCGGGCCGATTTTTTTGAAAAAACTCGGACCGATTTTTTGGAAAAACTCGGGCCGATTTTTTTCAAACAACAAAAAAAACTCGGGCCGATTTTTTTGGAAAAACTTGGGCCGATTTTTTTTTGAAAAAACTCGGACCGATTTTTTTGGAAAAACTCGGGCCGATTTTTTTTTTGAAAAAACTCGGACCGATTTTTTTGGAAAAACTTGGGCCGATTTTTTTTCTGGAAAAACTCGGGCCGATTTTTTTTTGAAAAAACTCGGACCGATTTTTTTGGAAAAACTCGGGCCGATTTTTTTTTGAAAAAACTCGGACCGATTTTTTTTTGGAAAAACTCGGGCCGATTTTTTTTGAAAAACTCGGGCCGATTTTTTTTTGAAAAAACTCGGACCGATTTTTTTGGAAAAACTCGGGCCGATTTTTTTTTTGAAAAAACTCGGGCCGATTTTTTTTTGGAAAAACTCGGGCCGATTTTTTTCAAACAACAAAAAAAACTCGGGCCGATTTTTTTGGAAAAACTTGGGCCGATTTTTTTTGGAAAAACTCGGGCCGATTTTTTTTTGAAAAAACTCGGACCGATTTTTTTTGGAAAAACTCGGGCCGATTTTTTTTTGAAAAACTCGGGCCGATTTTTTTTTGAAAAAACTCGGACCGATTTTTTTGGAAAAACTCGGGCCGATTTTTTGAAAAAACTCGGGCCGATTTTTTTTGGAAAAACTCGGGCCGATTTTTTTCAAACAACAAAAAAAAACTCGGGCCGATTTTTTTGGAAAAACTTGGGCCGATTTTTTTTTGGAAAAACTCGGGCCGATTTTTTTTTGGAAAAACTCGGGCCGATTTTTTTTCAAACAACAAAAAAACTCGGGCCGATTTTTTTGGAAAAACTTGGGCCGATTTTTTTTTGAAAAAACTTGGGCCGATTTTTTTTGAAAAAACTCGGGCCGATTTTTTTTTGAAAAAACTCGGACCGATTTTTTTTTGAAAAAACTCGGGCCGATTTTTTTTTGAAAAAACTCGCACCGATTTTTTTGAAAAAACTTGGGCCGATTTTTTTTTGAAAAAACTTGGGCCGATTTTTTTTGAAAAAACTCGGGCCGATTTTTTTTTTGAAAAAACTCGGACCGATTTTTTTGGAAAAACTTGGGCCGATTTTTTTTTGAAAAAACTCGGGCCGATTTTTTTTTGAAAAAACTTGGGCCGATTTTTTTTGAAAAAACTCGGGCCGATTTTTTTTGTTGTTTGAAAGAAAAACTCGAAGTTTTTCCAAAAAAATCTTTTTTTTGAGTTTTTTCAAAAAATTTTGATTTTCGTGTATAAAGTCAACAAAAAAAAAGTAACAGATTTGGAATAATCCAAAAATGTAAAAATGAAATCGATGAGTTGCGACCTAAATGACACTTCCTCTCAGGCTTAGGCTTAGTAAGCCACTCAGAACCAACTTTGAAGCTGAAAAAAATTGAATGGAAATTTTTAACACTGTTAAAAAAACAAGAAAATTCAGAATTTCATCCAGAAATGAAATTATTGAGAAAAGTCATGTCTCCAAACCGAAATTTCTATTTGGAGACGGTCATGTCTATAATTATTCAAATAAAAAAGAGAGATTCAATTATGTTTTATGAAAAATAGTTTGATGTCGTCATCCATGGCAAAATTTGGAAGCCTTCCTAATTTTGCCACGAATCATTTTTTGATCAAAAAATTTGAATTTTCTTTATCTAAATTTGGTTGGTTCTGAGTGGCTTACTAACATGAGTAAGCCACTCAGAACGAACTTTGAAGCTAAAAAAAAATTGAAAGAAAATTACGACCAAATTTAGATAAAGATAATTTCAAATTTTTTGATCAAAAAATGATTCGTGGCAAAATCAGGAAGGCTTCCTAATTTTGCGATGGATAAAGGATAAATTTTTCAAAAAAAAACTTATTCAATCTTTTTCTCGTATTGAAGACTTGAATAACATTCTTGGCCCGTTAGGAATTAGGAATTCTTGAACAATGCCAATAGTATCTGAAGAATCAGCCTTTTTCGCTCATGGGTCACGCATGATATTTTCTCGATTTTCGCTTTATTTTTGAGCTCTTTTTATTCCATCTTCTTTTTTCTTTTTTGCCGCGTTGGATTGTCAAATTTTCGCAATTTTGGGGAGAAAGGAACAAAATTTCCGAAAATCTGCATTACTCGATATAGGGAAAAATTTTTTCCGAGTGGGGCTCGAACCCACAAAAGAAGGAGGGTTGCCTGATTGTAAGGCATCACTCTCCCCGCCTACACCACACGTGTAGGTAAGAAATGAAGCATTTTTGAGAAATATATATTTATCAGAATTTCACGTGACCGGGAGAAATGAACATTTCTAAATAAATTTCACCTTACGGGATTTTAATGAGAGGGCGAAAACCAAAAAATCACTTCCTATTCACTGTTTTTTTGAGAGAAACGAAGAGAAAAAATGAGATTATTGCTCATATTAACAATCCTAATTTTCGGTGTAAATTGTGGCAGAAAACTCAGATCTTGCTCAATTGGAGGATGTAAGCCGAAATTTTCAGAGAAAATTCCAGAAATTATTAAAAAACCTGTGGAATTCACACCAAAACCAGGTAAATTTGGGGCTAAAAATCCAAGCTGTGGCCCAAAATTCAGAATTTTTTTACAGGTGTACTTGAGACACCAAAAGAACCTTGCAAGAATCTAATTTGCATGGTCAGCAATGAAAAAAAGAAAATTCTTCTTGGTTTATAAATAAAATTTTTTTTTGACAAAACTCTTCGCTTCCACTCGGGTTCGAACCCCCGACTTTGCACTTCAAAATTTCCATGTGCCAAAAAACACTAAAGCACACAAATATATTACATAAGTCTATTAACAATGTCAATATTTGTTTAAATAAAAAGTTTTCTCCAATATTTCCTTAAAGGGAGGAGGTGGAAAGGAGTTCTTAGTCATTTTTTGACTCAAAACCGGCTCAAAACTTTTTTTTTTGACTTTTTTACAATAAGAAAACATATGGGCGATAAAATAATAAAAAAAAAGTAATTGATTGGTCTCTCACTCTCACGAAAATTTATGAGTTCAATCTTTTCATTTTTTTTTTTGAAAAATTTTAGCGCGAAAATTTGACTGTATCGCTTTCCAAATCTGTCAAAATAGCCAACAAAATTTTGCCTCGGGGAAAAATATGCAGCGATGTCCGAGTGGTTAAGGAGATAGACTTGAAATCTATTGGGCATTGCCCGCGTAGGTTCGAACCCTGCTCGCTGCGAACATTTTTTATTTTTTTTGGAAACGTGATTTTTTTGAGAGTTATTGCCATGTGGATTTTTTTTGAAATGAAAAGAATTTGGTATTGCTCATGTTGAAAATTCTGAAAATCAAAAACAGCATTGCTCATATTTGAGAAAAATTTAGAAAATTTCAACCATTGCTCATGTTAGAAAATTTTAGAAATTAGGGGGTTTTCAAGAAAAAATTTGATATTGCTCATATTTATGAAAAATTTAGAAATTTTCAATCATTGCTCATGTTAGCACAATTTTTGTTTCTGTGAAAAATTGTGAATTTTCCTTTGAAAATTCGAAAAACCCCCCTGAATTCTCACTAGAGCGCATTTGCTCATTATTGTATTGAAATTTGAATTTTTGCAATTTCCCGGGCTCAATTTTCGCGCAAAATTCAAATTTTTCACAAAAAACTAGCTATTCATAGAAAAAAATTCAAAAAATCTCTGAATTCTCACTAGAGCGCATTTGCTCACTATTCTACTAAAATTTAATTTTTTTTCAATTTCCCGGGGTGAATTTTTCGCGCGAAATTCAAATTTTTCACAAAAAAAACCAGATATTCAAAGAAAAAATTCAAAAATCCTCCGAAACCCACCAAATTCTCACTAGAGCGCATTTGCTCACTATTATATTAAAATTTGAATTTTTGCAATTTCCCGGGGTCGATTTCGCCGCGAAATTCTTTTCTGGTCTCAAAAAAGTCACTAAAAAATTTTTTAAAAACCTCTGAAACCCGCCAAATTCTCACTAGAGCGCATTTGCTCATTCTTGTATTAAAATTTGAATTTTTTTTCATCATCTTCCCACCAAAAAACACACCTAATTGAATATTTTTTGGTGATTCATCAATCTTTTTCTCACCTTCTGGCCAGCCGAAAAAAAAACAAGAATAATTGTTTCTTTTTCCTGTCACATAGGGGAAAATGAGTGCGTTTTTGAAGTTTTGCCGCCCAAAAAAAACAACATACGGTGTATTTTTTTGACAGTCTTCAGACACGTGCCATAGTCAAGTGGTGTCCATTTTTATGACTGTAATCCGGACCAGGGGGATTAGTATAATAATTTTTTTTCTTGGGTGATTATAATAATGAGACAGAAGGTCATTTTTTGTACTTTTTTTCGACTCGTGGCCAAAAAATCCGGATTTTTTCCGATCACAAGGTCAAAAGTTCGATCCCCGCTGGATGCGACAATTTTTTAGCGTTTTCCAAAAGTTCAAAAAGCAAAAACGTTTCATATTTTCTCAATTTTCTCTGAATCATCTTCATATATTTTTCTCAAGGAGCCCACAAAAAATATTATATTTTGTTTATCAAAAAAAAAATTTTTTTTTCTTCAAATCGAAACACTTTTTCCTTATCACATTTTTTCTTTACAAAAAAAATCACTTTTTCTGGCTTCAAAATTTTTTCGCAAAAATAATTTTAAAAAATTAATTTTTTAATTGCTACAGTACCCCAATTTTCTAGAAGCGCTAGAATTTTTTTTCATTTTGAAAACTTTGATTTTGTGCCGCCTTATCACAAAATTTGGTCGATTTTTTTTGTAAAAATTGATTTTTTACACTTTTTTTCAAAAAAAAAAGATTAAATTTTGGCTTCAAAAATTACAGTAATCCTGAATTGGGTTACTGTAGAATCTAGATAAAAAACGTCGGTTACTGTAGCTGCCTGAAAATATTGAGGTTAAAAACTACAGTACCCTGATTACACTTCTGGATTACTGTAGTTCAAAATTCCCAAATTTCCGGCCGAAACTCTCTACAGTAATTCTAAGGTTACTGTAGATCAAAATTGTGTTTCAGAATCTTCAAACTACAGTAATGCCTACAGTAACCCAACAAACTACTGTAGCTTTAGAATATCTTTTTTTGGTCAGATAACTACGGTTTTCTGAATTTCCGGTCCCCTTACAAAAAAGTGGCGCCACTAATTTCGACGCCAAATTTTTTTCCACCCAATTAAACCGCCCATCTTGTACGGTTCTAATGTATTTTTCCCCTTTTTCTGTTCAAAAACAAATTTTTTTTTTGAAAAAAAAACGTTTTAATCTTTTTTCAGATTAAAAAACCGCAAAAAAATTGTTTTTTGAGTACATTTTTTTATCGATCGATCGAATCAAATGCGATGTCGACTGATTTTTTGTCTCATTTTCATCATATTTTTGAAGAATTTTGGAGTTTTTGGCGTGAAAAATGGTGTCAAAACCCCAAGAAGAATTAGGAAAACTATTGTTAGAGAGTGTGAGTTTTTTGGGGGAACATTTTCAAAAATTTCAAAATTCAAAAAAACTTTTGCCACGTGTAATTTTGGCGGCAAATTTAAATTTTTCGAAAAAAAATTCTGAAATTTTTTGTTATTATTTGGCCACGTGGCACATTTTTTCAAAAATTTCAAAATTCAAAGAAACTTTCGCCACGTGGAATTTTGGTGCCAAATTCAAATTTTTGAAAAAATTATGAAATTCTTTGGCCACGTGGCACATTTTTCAAAAAACTCAAAATTCAAAAAAACTTTTGCCACGTGTAAATTTGGCGGCAAATTTAAATTTTTCGAAAAAAATCCTGAAACTTATTTTTATTCTTTTGCCACGTGGCACATTTTTCAAAAATTTAAAAATTCAAAAAAACATTTGCCACGTGCAATTTTGGTGGCAAATTCAAATTTTTGAAAAAATTATGAAATTCTTTGGCCACGTGGCACATTTTTCAAAAATTTCAAAATTCAAAAAAACTTTTGCCACGTGTAATTTTGGTGGCAAATTCAAATTTTTGAAAAAATTATGAAATTCTTTTGCCACGTGGCACATTTTTCAAAAAATTTCAAAATTCAAAAAAACTTTTGCAACGTGTAATTTTGGCGGCAAATTTAAATTTTTCGAAAAACATTATGAAATTCTTTTGCCACGTGCACATTTTTCAAAAAATTCAAAAAAACTTTTGCCGCGTGTAATTTTGGCGGCAAATTTAAATTTTTCGAAAAAAATCCTTAAATTTATTTTTATTCTTTTGCCACGTGGCACATTTTTCAAAAATTTCAAAATTCAAAAAAACTTTTGCCGCGTGTAATTTTGGCGGCAAATTTAAATTTTTCGAAAAACATTATGAAATTCTTTTGCCACGTGGCACATTTTTCAAAAATTCAAAGAAACTTTTGCCACGTGTAAATTTGGCGGCAAATTTAAATTTTTCAAAAAAAAAAGTTTCAGGGGACATAAATGAGCCTGGTGGTAAGTTAATTATTTCCCAAAATTTTTAGAGTCTACAGTAATCCTACAGTATCCCCATGTCCCCTACCGTACCCCAAAACTTCTCCTCAAATTTTGTGTCTACCGTATACCCTACAGTACCCCGAAAATTCTCCTCCAAAATTTTTCCAAAATCCGAAAAAAAACCCGAAATTCAATAAAAACGTACTCAAGTAGATTAAAAAATCTTCTCTTAATTAAAAAAAATTTTTTTTTCTGGCTAAATTAAAAAATTTTCAATTTCAAATTGAAAAAAAAAATTTTTTTTTGAAAAAATATGCACTTTTTCCTTCTATTCTATTTGATTCTTCAAATTTTCGCTCAAATTTGGCAGAAAAATTGCAAATCGGAAAATGAGGATTGTTGTGGGTTTTAACCTTTGTTTGGAGCATTTTTTCGGCGCGAAAAAATTAATTTTTAAATTTTTCAGTCTGCTCCGGTACAACAAATTTGCTCTCAAAATATGGATCCGGAAATTTTATTGGTGATTTGGAAAAGGTGGGAATTTTTGGCGCCAAAAATTTCAAATTCAAAAATTGTTGCAGATGTACAAAGGTTGCCGGCGGGTATACGGTAATTTAGAGATCACATGGATCGAAGAGGCGCAGCTAAAAGCCTACGCAAATTCATCAGAACCCCTCAAATCTCTTCCATTTTTCGATGAGTTAGAGGAAATCCGGGGAACTCTTTTGATATACCGTGTAAATGTTTTGCGAATTTCATTTCCAAAGTTGAAAGTGATTTATGGCGATGAGCTTTTTCATGGAAATGCCGTGTGGATTCAGGGGAATCCAGAGATGCAGGAGATTTCGATGAGGAATTTGAGAGGTTTGTGAGGGGCGAGCTAATATGAGCAATATCATTTTTTCACCTAATCTGAGCAATGTTAATTAGATATATGAAAATTAATTTCTAGCTTTCTAACATGAGCAATGCCTGATCAAATTTTTCCAAACTAAAAAAATTCTACGTGAATTTGTCTATCATGAGCAATACCCAAGTTTCTAGACAATTTTTGATAAACTTTCAAGCCAAAAAATAAATTAACATGAGCAATTCTCAATTTCTTGAAATAATTTTTAGAATTTTCAAGTTTCTAACATGAGCAATACCCAAGTTTCTAGATAAATTTTAATACATTTTCAAGCCAGAAATCAATTAACATGAGCAATGCTTTATTTTTTAGAGAATTTTTGAAATTTTCATATTTCTAACATGAGCAATGCGTCAAAAAATCTAATTTTTCATCAAATTTCGGGTCATTTCACCCCAAAAAACTCACATTTTCTACAGTAATCCGCGGTGGAAACGTGACAATCCGCGATTCGCCAAAACTCTGCTACATTGGCACAAAAATCGATTGGCCCGAATTGTTGGAGGATGGCCAAAATCAGTTTGTCGATCAAAAAGGCTCACACGAACACTGTTTTGGTGGCGCGAAAAATGGGACGGATTCTGAAAATCAAGGAGAATCGTTGGCGAAATGTCATTCGAGTTGTGAACATTGTTGGGGACGACAGGAGGCGGATTGTCAGGAAGGTTAGTGATGGAAATTTGGGATTTTTGATGAATTTTGAGCCTAGGAAGTTGAAAATTGGGTTTCTAGGCCATTTTTGAGGTCAAAAATCAAGATTTTTGTTGGATTTTGAGCCTAGGAACTTGAAATTCGGATTTCTAGGCCAGGATTAGGGTTTCTAGACAAAGATTTGGATTTCTAGGCCAAGATTTGGATATCTAGGTCATATTTCAGGTTTCCAAGCCTTTTTTAAGCCAAAAATCAAGCTTTTTGATGAATTTTGAGCCTAGAAACTTTTAAATTGGGTTTCTAGGCCATTTTGAAACCAATAATCAATATTTTTGATAAAATTTAAGCCTAGAATTTCGACATTTGGATTTTTAGGCAAAGATTTGGGTTTCTAGGCCATTTTGAAGCGAAAAATCAAGATTTGTGATGAATTTTGAGCCTAGAACTTGAAATTCGGATTTCTAGGCCAGGATTTGGTTTCCTAGGTCAAGATTTGGTTTTCCAGGCTTTTCTGAACCAAAATTTTAAATTTTTCATCATTTTCAGGCTAAAAACACGATTTCAAGTGAATTTTTAGCATAGAAATTTAAAAACTCGGTTTCTAGACCATATTTTTCCGAAAAAGGAAAAAGTGCACTTTTTCCTTTCATTTTGCACAATAAACCGAAAAATTTGCGTAATGACGCGGAAAAAATAAAATAAAATAAAAACGAGTAAAACAAAACACAGCTAAAAAGAGTGTGTACTTTTCGAAGACAAAACGATTTTCGGTCAGCAAAAATTTGATTTTCACCAGGGAAAACTCGGGGACTAGATTTCCAAGCTTGCAAAACCTAGTCCCCCAGTTTTTCCATGTGAAAATTGAATTTTTCTGGGTTTCTAAACGAAAAAAACCATGAAAAATTCAAATTTCCCGCCTGAAAAACATCATGGACTAGATTTCTAAGCTTGCTAAACCTAGTCCCCCATGAAAAATTTAAAAAATCATAAAATTCTGCTCGAAACACTTCAAAATGTGTTCCAAGAAACAAAAAAACGGCCCTAATCCACTCATAAATTTATTATTTTATTACTTTTTTGTGTTCCGCCTCTTCAAAAAGTTTTTCTTGGGGGAGAAAAAGAGATTTAAAAGGGGGAGCTTTAGAAAATTGGTTGAAAATGGCCTAGAAATCCAAATATCAAGTTTTTAGGCTCAAAATGCGTCAAAAATCATGTTGTTTAGCTCGAAATCTATTGAAAATGTTGATTTTTTGCTGAAAATGACCTAGAACTCTGGAAATTCATGAAAAATAGCCCAGAAGTATATAAACTGCATGAAAAACCTGTTTTTCATTTTTTCTCGGCTTAAAATTTATCAAAAATCATGTTTTTAGCTCGAAATCTATGAAAAATGCTGAATTTTTGCTGAAAATGACCTGGAACTCTGCAAATTCATGAAAAATAGCCCAGAAGTCTATAACCTGACTGAAAAACCTATTTTTCATGTTTCTTGGCTCAAAAACTTATGTTTTCAGCTCAAAATCTATAAAAAATGCTGAATTTTTGCTGAAAATTACCTAGAACTCTGAAAATCCATGAAAATTAGCCGAGAAGTCTATAAACTGGCTAAAAAACCTATTTTTCACCTTTCTGGGCTCAAAATTCATGAAAAATCTATGAAAAATGCTGAATTTTTGCTGAAAATTATCTAGAACTCTGGAAATTCATGAAAAATAGCCTAGAAGTCTTTAAACTGGCTGAAAAACTTATTTTTCAAGTTTTTAGGCTCAAAATTCGTCAAAATTCATGTTTTTTAGCTCAAAATCTATGGAAGATGCTGAATTTTTGCTGAAAATGACCTTTAGCTCTGCAAATTCATGAAAAATAGCCTATAGGTATTATAGACTGGCTAAAAAACCTGTTTTTCATGTTTCCAGCCTCAAAATTCATCAAAACTCCCGAAATTCAGCTTAAAAATCATCAAGATTAGCGTCAGTGGCTGAAAAAAGCTATTTTTCATGCTTCTGGGCTTAAAATTCATCAAAAACCTCAAATTTTCGCTTAAAATCCCCCGAAAATTTCTTATTTCCAGTCTACCGCTCCGTCTGTCCCAAACCCTGCAACCAATGCTTCTTCTACAACGCCACCGCAAGCTACGAGTGCTGCGATTCGTCTTGCCTCGGCGGATGTTATGGTCATGGCCCGGCGAATTGCGTCGCTTGCTCGCGATTCGAAATGGACGGGAAATGTGTGGATGTTTGCCCGCCACGCAAGATTTTCGATCATAAGAAGGGGAAATTGGTGCCGAATGCGGAGGGACGGTTTCAGAATGGCAATCATTGTGTTAAAGAGTGCCCAGGTGAGGGGATATCTCGAAAACCCGGTGAAAAGTGGAGTTTTTGGAGTTTTAGTAGTGAAATTTTGGTGAATTTTCATGGGGACTAGGTTTTGCAGCCTGAAAACCTAGTCCCCACCTTTGTCCCGCCTCAAAACTCACCGATTTTCGCTCAAGAATCGCCAATTCCCAGCCGATTTCCTTCAAAACTTCGATTTTCGCTGAAAAATTTGAATTTAGGCTAACTTTAGGCTGATCCCTGAATAAAACTCACTTTTTATTTTGCTCTCAAAACTGCGAAATAATCGAAAACCCCACGATTTATCGATTTTTTCTGTTTTTTCGCAAAAAAACGTGTCACGCGGAAATTATTCGAGAAAAATAATTTTCCGCCGCGAAAAAAGGGGGACTAGGTTTTGCATCATCATTCAAAAAACTAGTCCCTCGCCTTTTTCCCAAGGGAAATCGCATTTCCCAGCTGGTGTAAGCGCGTAAAATTCGAATTTTTACATGAATAGCCGGGGGACTAGGTTTTAAACGGTGTGAATTCTAGTCCCTGCGTTATTTTTCATCGATTTTTCCCCAAGTTTCCTGTTTTCAGACGAATTATTGATCGAAAACGATGTTTGTGTTCGTCACTGTTCCGAGGGTCATACCTACGACGCTTCGAAAAACATCCGGGAATGTGAGAAATGTTCAGGAGTTTGCCCGAAAAGTGAGTTTTTGCATGAAAATTCACGATTTTCAGCCAAAAATTCAAATTTTTCCAGTTTGTGCCGTGGATGCGCCTTTAAATCGCACAACTTTGTTGGCTTTGAAAGGATGCGAGCAAATTGACGGATTTATTTGGATCGATAAAGTTCACGGGCAGTAAGTATTGATTTTTTGGGTCCTTAAGTGAATTTTTCGCTCAAAAAATACCCCGGGGACTAGAATTCTCATTACGGGAAACCTAGTCCCTCGGTTTTCATGTGAAAATTCAAAATGTTTGCTTTGAAATCAGAAAACCAAGGATTTTCGTGGTTAAATTGAAATTTCCCACTAAAATGAAGTCGGGGGACGAATTTTTTCACTGTGGAAAACCTAGTCCCCCGTTTTTATGTGAAAATTCGGGTTTTTGAGTTCTGAAGGGAAACTACGTGGATTTTATAAAGAACATTTGAATTTCCCACTAAAATTGAATTGGGTGACTAGAATTTACACTATGTGAAACCTAGTCCCCCAGATTTCCAAGCAAAATTTTGAATTTTCGCCTTGAAACCAGAAAACCAAGGATTTTCTGGAGGAAATTTGAATTTCCCACTAAACTTGAATTGGGGGACTAGAATTTTCCCTGTGTAAACCCTAGTCCCTCAGATTTCCAAGCAAAATTTCGAATTTTCACCAAAAATCAATAATTTTTTGCAGTTTCGAGCCCTCCGACTTCTTCGCGCTGGAAAATGTGAGATCAGTCAGTGAATTTGTGATTTTGGTCGCGCAGCCCGTGCTGAATTTGAAGTTTTTGAGAAATCTGGAGATTATCGAGGGAAGAAAGTTGCATAAGTGAGTAATGATGGCCTAGAATCCCAATCGCGGCCTAGAAACCCAATTTTGAAGTTTCTAGGCTCAAAATGCACCAAAATTCATAATTTTTGGGTTCAAAATGGCCTAGAAAACCAAATCTCGAGTTTCCAGGCTCAAAATGCTCCAAAATTCACGATTTTCACATTTTCAGCCTGCGATTTGCTCTAGGAATCATGAAATGCGACAATATCGCCTCACTCAACTTAAATTCCCTAAAATTGATTAAAAATGGAGCGGTGATCATCAAAGAGAATCAAAGATTGTGTTTTACACAAAGTGTTGACTGGAAAGGAATTGTTGAGCAAAAAAACGAGGATGGAAGTGAGAAGAAAAGGAGCTACGGTGGAAATTGGACAAAATCGTGATTCGAAGATTTGTGGTGAGCTAGAATTCGAGATTTTCGTGAAATTTGGAGCATTGCTCATGTTAAAATGTCAAAAAATTCAAATTTTTCATGAAAAATGCAATTTAAATGCATATTGCTCATTTTAATATTCATAAATTTTCGAAAAAAAAATGGAGAACAATTTTTCGGATTTTTTAATATGAGCACTGCGTATTTGAAGCTGAAAATAAAGATTTCACAAAATTTGGTTTAATATGAGCGATGCTGAAAATTTTAAAAATTAAAAAAAACGTGGAAAATATTCATTTTCAATTTTCTTTTAAAAAATTATGGTATGTTCAAATTTTGAGCTAAAATAGCATTTTTAACATGAGCAATCTACATTTCTCATTGAAATCTGAAGAAAATTGAATTTTTAACATAAGCAATGCTTAAAATTGTCAAAAAATGCCCAATTTTACACTCAAAATGCTCCAAATCTCACCAAAAATCCCAATTTTCCAGAATCCTACGATCAAATCTGCAATTCGAACTGTAATCACTTGGGATGTTGGGGTCCCGATGCTTCAGATTGCCTGGGATGTCGAACATGGAATAATATGGGAAAATGTGTGGCGAAATGCGATTCGCAGGGATTTTTGCGCAATCAGACATCGATGCAATGTCAGAAATGTTCGCCAGAGTGTCGGACTTGTAATGGGCTGGGTAGGGGTGTTTTGGGAAGGTTTTTGAGCCGAAATTTGGGTTTTTCATCAAATTTTGATCCGGAATTGTGAAAATTCGGAAAAAAATTGATAAAAATCATGTTTTCTGTGAATTTTTGAGTTCGGGGACTAGTTTTGCTTGGTTGGAAATCTAGTCCCTCTCTTTTTTGCATTTGAAGAGTTCAAATTTTTTGAAAGCGGGGACTAGGTTTTCAAATGTGGAAAACTAGTCCCCGGGTGGAAATATGGTTTTTTTTTGACGAAATTTACTCAAAAATATGAAATTTTCGGGTTTTTGTGAATAAAAAATCCACGTGGCAAAATTTTGAATTTGAAAGCGGGGACTAGGTTTTCACTTTTGGAAAACTAGTCCCCGACTGAGAATAGTGGCTTTTCGAATGAATTTTCTGAAAAATGTGAAATTTTTGGTTTTTTGTGAATACAAAATTCACGTGGCAAAACTTTGAATTTGAAAGCGGGGACTAGGTTTTAAAATCTGAAAAGTTAGTCCTCGGATGGAAATATTGATTTTTTTTCACGAAATTTACTCAAAAATCTGAAATTTTCGAGTTTCTGTGAATAAAAAATCCACGTGGCGAAATTTTGCATTTGAAAGCGGGGACTAGGTTTTCAAATGTGGAAAACTAGTCCCCCAGTGCTTTCTTGAGGAAATTAGTCTTGTTTCCAGGTCCCTACGATTGTCTCACCTGTCAACACTACAGTATCCTCAACCCGGAATACGGTAACCGACTCGAATGCGTCCAAGAATGTCCCATCACGCACTATCCCTCAAAAACGGGCCCAAGCCCCGGCCTGGGCTCGGGCCTAACCTGCGAGCCTTGCCACGCCGCCTGCTACAACTACGGTTGCACGGGAAACGCGTCGCATTTGAGCGCGGGCGGGTGTAATCAGTGCAAATTTGCGGTGCTCAACAACAAAAACGCGGGAATTTTTTGCCTGAAAGCCAGGGATATGAGCTCGGTTTGTGTGGAAAATGAGCTCGAGGATTATTATGTGTCGACCACAAGGCTGGAAGGTGTTAATGAGACGGTTGGTCACAGTTTTGCCACGTGACAGGGTTTTTTGGGTGTGAAAATAGGGATTTTAAGGCAGAAATCTTGAAAATTCATAAATTTTGAGCCTAGATTCATGAAATTTGAACAATTTTCACTGAAAAACTAGCATTGCTCATATTAATTAAATTTTTGTGAAATTATTAATATGAGCAATGCTCGAATTTCTGAAATTTTTGAAATTTTATTTTTCAATGAAAAAAAATTAAAAAATTGTCTAGTTTAACTAGAAAAACTAGCATTGCTCATGTTAAAGACAATTTTTGGATTTCCAGAAATTTTTAATATGAGCAATGCTCGAATTTCTGAAATTTTGGAAAATTTATTCAAATTTTGCCACGTGGCATTTTTTCCAATAAAAATAGCTCAAATTGTCTATTTTAACTAGAAAACTAGCATTGCTCATAATAATGAAAATTACATTTTTTGTAGAATTCTTAATATGAGCAATGCTTGAATTTCTGAAATTTTTGAAATTTTTCATCAAATTTTGCCGCGTGGCTGATTTTTGAGCTCAAAACTATAGTCTAGTTTGAATAGAAAAAATAGGATTGCTCATGTTAACGAGGAAAAAAAATTAATTTCAAAATTTTTAATATGAGCAATGCTGGATTTTTCAATTTATTTGGTTTTCTGGAATTTTTAAGTTTTCTAGTTTAACTAGAGAAGCTATCATTTCTCAGGTTAAAGAAAATTTTTGATTTCCAGAAATTTTTAATATGAGCAATAATCGAATTCATGAAATTTTTGAAACTTTATTTTATTTTCGAAAAGTTTTTTTTTAAAATTTATCTCATGAAAAATACTCAAAATTCACCAAATCTCATGGTTTTTGGCTCAAAATCCATCAAAAAATTCCCAAATTTCTCCAGCACTGCGAAAAATGCAACGAAAAATGTCTGAATTGCACATCAGCCGGTGTCAGTGTTCACACAAACGGCTGTGTTTGTCGAAATTTCGCAATGTTGGTTCCAAGCGGCGATTCGGTTTGTGTGGATCGATGTTTGACGAATTACTATAAGTCGAGAGAGAAATCCGACAATGAATATGGAATTTGTGAATCGTGAGTTTTTTTTGGGGCGCGAAAATTCGAGATTTTTTGGATAATTTTAGGCCAAGAAACCTGAAAATCCAACATTTTCAGCTGAAAATGAAGATTTCGATACAAAAACCTCGAAAATCCGAGTTTTTTGAACTCTGTTCAGATTGCTCATGTTAAAAATTTTCTGGAAAAGTTTAACATGAGCAATCATATGATTTTTCGAGTGAATAAGGTTCTTTTGAGCAGGAAAAGTTTAACATGAGCAATCATCTCATTTTTTTCAGTGAAAAAGGTCATTTTGAGCCTAATTTTGCGCTAGAAAAGTTTAATATGAGCAATTCTCTGATTTTTTAAGGGATTCGCGTCATTTAGAGCTAAATTTTGCGCTGGAAAAGTTTAATATGAGCAATTCTATAAAAGGTTTCATTCTATTTTTAATATGAGCAATTTTCTGATTTTTCAGTAAAAAGGGTAATTTTGAGCCTAATTTTGCGCTGGAAAAGTTTAACATGAGCAATCATCTCATTTTTTTCAGTGAAAAAGGTCATTTTGAGCCTAATTTTGCGCTAGAAAAGTTTAATATGAGCAATTCTCTGATTTTCCTGCGAATTATTTGTCCTGATTAATATGAGCAACGCTAGATTTTCGTTTAACCTGAGCAATAAAAATTGCTCATGCTAAGGATTTTTTTTTTGAACATGAGCAATCCTATATTTTCTATCGAAATATAAAATTCAAAAAAATCCCCATCCCGCTAAAATTTTTTGTTTAATCTAATATGAGCAATATTTTTGAGCTCTAACATGAGCAATGTATATTTTTAAAAAAGCAACGCGAGATTTTCGTTTAACCTGAGCAATCAACAATTTTCCCCAATTTCTTCCAGCTGCCACCCGGAATGCGACAAAAACTACGGTTGCCTCGACGCCACTCCCTTCACCTGCGACTACTGTAAAACCAACTACATCTACCATCAAAATTCCTCGCGCGAATGTCTCTCAAAATGCCCGGATTCTCAACCATACATCGATCCAGCCACCAAACAATGCCTAGATTATGACATCGCATCGGCGCAGAAACGGACCCGATATTTGATTGTGGCAGCGGTGCTCTCAGCTTTTTTGTTCATGTTCTGTGTTGTAATGGCGATCTGGTATAAGTGCAGGAAAATTGGGGAGAAATTGAAGATTGCGGAACTCGTTGAAATGCCCGAGCAAATTCCAATTGACCCGACGATTCGAGCAAATATGTCGAGAGTTTGTCTAATTCCAAGTTCTGAGCTTCAAATCAAACATGAAAAGCGGCTTGGGAAGGGGGCTTTTGGAACTGTGTACGCTGGAATTTATTATCTGAAAAAATCGTCGAAACGGACCATCAAACTTCCAGTGGCCATCAAAGTTTTTCAAATGAATCAAAGTCAGACGGATGAAATGTTGGAGGAGGCCACCAATATGTTCCGATTGAAACATGAGAATTTGCTGAAAATTATTGGATTTTGTATGCATGATGATGGCCTGAAAATTGTGACACTTTATAGGCCGTTGGGCAATTTGCAGGAGTTTTTGAAGCAGCATCAGGAGAATTTGGGCGCGAGGGAATTGATGTTGTATTGTTGTCAGATTGCGGCAGGAATGAGGTGGGTGATGGGGAGTTGGGAATTTTTGAGCCTGGAAACCCGGAAATTTGGATTTTTGAGCATTTTTTAGTCTCCAGGGTTGATTTTTAGCCCTGGAAGAGCTTTGGGACCTGAAAATTTGAATTTTTGAGCATTTTTTGATCTGTCGACCTAAAAATTCAGAATTTTAAGGATTTTCAAGCCTAGGATACCTTTTTTTCACTATTTTCAGCCCTGGAAGAGATTTGAAACCCGGAAATTTGGATTTTTGAAGATTTTTAAGCTTCGGAACCCGAAAATTCGGATTTTTGAGCATTTTTTTAGATTTTGGGGTTCATTTTCAGCCCTGGAAGAGCTTTGGAACTCGGAAATTTGAATTTTTGAGCATATTTTGATCTGTCGACCTAAAAATTCAGAATTTTAAGGATTTTCAAGCCTAGGATACCTTTTTTTTCACTATTCTCAGCCCTGGAAGAGATTTGAAACCCGGAAATTTGGATTTTTGAAGATTTTTAAGCTTCGGAACCCGAAAATTCGGATTTTTGAGCATTTTCAAACTTCAGAACCCAGAAATTTGGGTTTTCGAAGATTTTTTGACCTTGGGAACTTTGTGGGTTCATTTTTAGCTTTTGAAGAGCTTAGTGACCTGAAAAATAAGATTTTTGAGGATTTTCTAGCCTGGTGACCCGGAAATTTAGATTTTTGAGGTTTTTTCAGTCTGAAGACCTTTTAGGGTTGATTTTTTGCTCTAAACGAGCTTTCGGGCCTGAAAATTCGTATTTTTAAGAACTTTTTAGTCTGAGAGCTTGTTAGGGTTCATTTTTAGCCCTGGATGAGCTTTGGAACCTGGAAAATATGATTTTTGCGCATTTTTAAGCCTAGGAACCCGGAAATTTGGCCTTTGGAACGTTTTTCAGCTTAGGAACTCGGAAATTTGAGTTTTCGAAGATTTTTTGGCCTTGGGAACTTTGTGGGTTCATTTTCAGCCTTGGAAGAGCTTTGAGACCTGGAAAATAGGATTTTTGTGGATTTTTTGACCTGGCTACCTGAAAATCTCGAATTTTAAGCATTTTTTAGTTTGAGGACCTTTTTGAGTCAATTTTTCAGCCCTGGAAGAGCTTTAGATCCTGAAAAATATGATTTTTGAGGATTTTCAAGCCTAGGAACCCTGAAATCTGGATTTTTAAGGATTTTTCAACTTGGGGAGCTTTTTGGGTTCATTTTTAGCCCAGGAAGAGCTTTTGGACCTGAAAAATAGGATTTTTGAGCATTTTCAGGTCTCGAAACCCAGAAATTCGGATTTTTGAACATTTTTCAGCCTAGGGAACCCTTTTTCATCGTTTTCAGCCCTGGAAGAGCTTTGGGACCTGGACAATAGTATTTTTGAGCATTTTTTAGTCTGGGGACCCGGAAATTTGGATTTTTGAACATTTTTTAGCCTGGGGAACCTTTTTTCATCATTTTCGGCCCCGGAAGAGCTTTCAGACCTGAAAAATATGATTTTTGAGCATTTTTAGGCCTCGGACACCAGAAATTTGGATTTTTGAGCATTTTTTAGTCTTTGGGGTTCATTTTTAGCCCTGGAAAAGGTTTGGGACCTGAAAATCTAGATTTTTTGAGCATTTTTAGGCCTCGAAACCCTGAAATTTGGATTTTTGAGAACTTTTTAGTCTGATAGCCTTTTAGGGTTAATTTTTAGCTCTGGAAGAGCTTTCGGATCTGGAAAAATAGGATTTTCGAGGATTTTCCAGACTAGGGAACCTTTTTTCATTATTTTCAGCCCCGGAAGAGCTTTGAGACCCGGAAATCTGGATTTTTGAGGATTTTCTGACCTGTCGACCTAAAAATTCTGAATTTTGGGGATTTTCTAGGCTTAGCACCTTTTTCCTGAGATTTTTTACCTTTTCACCTTCAAATTTGAATTTTTAAGCATTTTTAGCTGAAAAAAATCTGAAAATGTTCTGAAAACCTGAAAATCTGAATTTTCAGATCAAAATTTTTCAATTAAAAAAATTCCAGATACCTCTTCAAACAACGTGTAGTTCACCGCGATTTGGCGGCTCGAAATGTGCTCGTCAAAAAATTCAACCACGTGGAAATCACCGATTTCGGGCTCTCCAAAATTCTGAAACACGACGCCGACTCAATCACCATCAAAACTGGAAAAGTTGCCATCAAATGGCTGGCGATTGAGATTTTTAGGTAAGTATTGCTCATATTAAACAAGCATTGCTCATGTTAACAAAAATTGTTTTTTTGCAGTAATCATTCTTATACACATGCAAGTGATGTTTGGGCATTTGGTGTGACTTGTTGGGAGATTTTGACTTTCGGATCGAGTCCATATCAAGGAATGTCTACCGATTCGATTCATGGATTTTTGAAGGACGGAAATCGGCTAACTCAACCCGCAAATTGTAGTCCGGATTTGTATCAGGAGCTTTTGAGATGTGAGTTGGAATTTTGAGCATTTTGAGACCAAACATGAATATTTTTAGTTGGGAATTGTGTTTTCTCTGGAAATTTAGAGCATTTTGACACCAAACATGAGCAATTTTACTTGAAAATTAAATTTTTGAATAATTTTGGGTCCTGCCACGATTTTCTGGGCCTTGAGGCGATTTTTTTTTAAATAAACAAGGTTTTTTGGATATTTTATGAAATTTGGAGCATTTAGAGTTCAAACATGAGCAATTTCGGTAGAAAATAGGATTTTTGGCCTTGAAAACCAAATCCTGGCCTAGAAATCGAAATACTGGCCTAGAAAACCAATTTTCACGTTTCTAGGTAAAAATTATCAAAAATCCCCAATTTCCACATTAAATATGGTCTAGAAATCCAAATCCTGGCCTAGAAAACCAATTTTCAAATTTCTAGGCTCAGAATTTATCAAAAATCTTGATTTTTGGCTTCAGAATGGTCTAGAAACCTAATCCTGGCCTAGGAATCCAAACTTTGAGTTTCTAGGCTCAAAATTCATCAGAAATCTTGATTTTTGACTTCAAAATGGCCTAGAAGACCAAATTTCAAGTTTCTAGGCTAAAAAAATTTCCGAATTTTTCCAGGTTGGATGTCAAATCCCGAATCCCGCCCAAACTTCAATCAACTTCACGAACGTTTCGAAGAATTCTGTAAATGTCCGCAACTCTTCATCGAATTATCGAATCCCGAAAAATCCGGACAAAATCCCGACTTTTTCGAAGACCAATTTCAGGCCGACATTTTGCGCGAGATTTTTGAGGAGACTATTGATCCGAGAGAGTATTTTGCGAGTCATGAAATGCCTGGAAGCCCTACTTCTTCAACGGCTACGGTAGGGCTTTTTGAGCCAAAATTTGAGAATTTTGGAGCATTTTGATGCAAAATTTGAGATTTTTTGGAGAATTTTGAGCCAAAATTCAGAAAAAATTGCTTATATTATTATAAAAATTTATTTTTAAAGGTCAAAAACTCCAAATTTGGAGCATTTTGAGCTAAAATTCAGAAAATTTGAGAAAAAATCAGCATTGCTCAGATTAACCCAAAAAATTTTGAAATTGATTTTTCATTAAAAAGGCATTGCTCATGTTAGTCCAAAATATCGAAATTTTCAATTTTTTGACGTCAAAAACTCCAAATTTGGAGCATTTTGAGTAAAAACAAGCATTGCTCAGATTAACCCAAAAAATTTTGAAATTGATTTTTCATAAAAAAATGCATTGCTCATGTTAGTCCGAAATTTTCAATTTTTCATGGCCAAAAAAACCCAAATTTGGAGCATTTTAAGCTAAATTTCATGAATTTCGATTAAAAACAAGCATTGCTCATATTAGACGAAAAATTAATTGTTTTTTCTCAATTAAAAAACGGCATTGCTCATGTTAGTCCGAAATATTTGAAGAAAAATGGCCACGTGGAATTTCCAGACTCAAAATTCATCAAAAATCTCGAATTCTGGCTTGAAATTCTCAGAAAAACATGAATTTTCTTATAAAAAATCAATTTTCATTACAGTTCACCCTTCCAAATGGCGAAAATCCTGGAATTTCTCGAATGCAATCCGTCGCCTCTTCTCGCTATCAAACTCAGCCATTTTCTCAAAATTCAATCGATTTTTCAAGTTCCCTCGATTCGCCTGGAATTCATCAGGACACAAATTCCTATTTGATTCCAAAAACCAAAGAGGCTCAACTACAAAGTTCGGTTTTGTATACACCGGTTGTGGTGAATGAGGATGGAAAAACTGGTGAGTTTTGGAGCATTTTGAGCCAAAATTTGGGAATTTTGATGAATTTTGAGCCTAGAAACTTGTTAATTGGAGTTCTAGGCCATTTTGAAGCCAAAAATCAAGATTTTTGAAGAATTTTGAGCTTAGAAACTTGAAATTTGGTTTTCTAGGCCAGGATTTGGATTTCTAGGCCATTTGGAAGCCAAAAATCAGGAGTTTTAATGAATTTCCAGCTTAGAAACTTGAAAATTGGTATTCTAGGCCAGAATTTGGGTTTCTAGGTCATTTGGAAGCCAAAAAGCAACATTTTTGATGAATTTTGAGCTAAAAATCATTAAAAATCATGCATTACTCATGTTAAAATTCCAAATTTTCAACCTGAAATTAATTTTTTTCAAATTTAAATTTTTAAATTCAGAACACGCCCCAGAATACTACAATCAACCTTCCACTTCAGGATATTATAATGAAAGTTCGCTTCTCAACAATAAAAAACCGTCGAAAATCGAAGAGGAACCCGAAAATTTGGAAAAAGAATCGTGTCTTTAATCTGGATTTTCAGATTTTTCCCTGAAAATCTGAAAATTCCCCTTGTGTCTGTTGCCATTTTTTGCATAATTCGTAATTTTTTGTCCCGGGTGCGAATACATTTTTTTTCAAAAATTCAGAGCTGAAATTGCAGATTGGAAATTTTCAGGCATTTTAGAAATAATATGAGCAATGGGTAATTTATAGGTTAAATTTTGGGAAATTTAGGATTAATATGAGCAATGCCTCTGAGAAATTCACAATTTTCAGATTTAAAAATTGAGACTAATATGAGCAATGCTTTTTCAAAGCTTGAATTTCAGATTCAAATTTTCAGCAAAAAATTCTCAATCTGAAAATTTTTTTAAATCATTTTTTTAGACCTAAGTTTGGGCTTCCCAATCTCGAATCTATTGATTTTTCTGACTAATATGAGCAATGCTTTTTGGATTAATATGAGCAATGGGTAATTTATAGGTTAAATTTTGGGAAATTTAGGCTTAATATGAGCAATGCTTCTGAGAAATTCACTATTTTCAGATTTCAAAATTTTTGAAAAATTGAGACTAATATGAGCAATGCCTTTTTCAAAGCTTGAATTTCAGATTTCAAATTTTCAGCAAAAAATTCTCAATCTGAAAATTTTTTAAAATCATTTTTTTAGACGTAAGTTTGGCCATTCTAATCTCGAATCTATTTCTGACTAATATGGGCAATGCTTTTTTAAAGCTTGAATTTCAGATTTCAAATTTTCAGCAAAAAATTCTCAATCTGAAAATTTTTAAAAATAAGTTTTTTAGACCCAATTTTGGCCTTTCTAATCTCGAATCTATTAATTTTTTTGCCTAATATGAGCAATGCTTTTTTTCAGATTTCAAATTTTCAGCAAAAATTCTCAATCTGAAAATTTTTTAAAATCATTTTTCAAACCTAAGTTTGACCTTTCTAGATTTTTCTGATTTTTTATGTGTCTTGAGAAAAAAATGCCCCATTTTCGAAAAATGTTGATCCTATTTTTGATTTTCCCCAATTTTTCGCAAGCCGCTCTCGTTAATTTCAACTTCAATTTATCATGTGCACTCAATAATAGCACTTGGTGTTTTTTGGCCCTTTTTCTAGAATACGACGCTGGAATTTTCGGCTACTCCAACTACGATTATGTGCTCTTCTCAAGCCGAGTTTGCTTCACCTACAGTAATCCGAAACCCATCAAAGAACAACGAGAAGCCGAATTAATTGATGGATTTGGTCTACCTTTTACACATTATGAAGTGGTTTTGGGAATACGTCATAATTGCACGGAAAATGGAACAGTTTATGATTATATGGCTTATGAAGATGATGTTAGAATTGAGACAGACGAATTTGATGTTAAGGCTGGAGACGATTTAACAGAACTCGGGAAGGCATTTGAGGAGAATCCGGAGGTGGCTTGGTCGAGATCGAAATTTGAAGGTATACAAATTGAGGGTTTTGAGAATCGTAGCATTTATTTTAATACTCTCATGATAAATAAATCGAAATTGTGAAAGGATAATAAATATACCCTAATATGAGCAATATTTTCGAAATTCAGATCTGAAATTTCCAGCTGAAAATGCCACGTGGGATTATATTACAGATTAAATTTTTGAAAATTTTTACTCGTAGAATTATTGATTAATATGAGCAATTTAGGATTTTCTGGGATTTTTAGAAAATGCATGTTATTTTCGACTAATATGAGCAATCTTTTTGAAATTAAGATCTGAAATTTCCAGCTGAAAATGCGACGTGGAAATATATTACAGATTTAATTTTTTAAAACTTTTTACTCGTAGAATTATGGATTAATATGAGCAATTTAGGATTTTCTTGGATTTTTAGAAATTTCGTGTTATTATGAGCAATGCCACGTGGATTCTCGATTTTTCTGAAATGTTTGCCACGTGGAACTTTGGATTAATATGAGCAATGGATAATTTTAGATCGAAAAAAAATTAATTTCACGTTCAAATTTGGGATTTTTGGAGCAAAGACTTTTTATAATAACTTTTTGGATTTTTTTTTCGAAAGCTTGAAATTCTGACCTTTTTTCAGTTGAAAAATCCACGCGGCAAACATTTTTAGAGATTTTTAGATTCATTCAGAGATTTTTAGGCCACCCCTTATCATCCCTTATAAAATTTAATTCGATTTAGGCAATTTAGGACTAATATGAGCAATGAATCTGAAATTCAGATTGTTTCAGTTGAAAAATCCACGTGGCAAACATTTCCAGAGATTTCCGGATTTTAGAATCATCCCTAGCCCAGAAATTCACGTGGCAACGCATTTTCGATCCCAAAAGTACTGTAGCTTCCTGAAAAATTGGATTTTTGAACTTTTTATCATTGCTAGAAAAAATCCTCCAGGAAGAATTTTTTGATTGAAAACGCCTCCACAAAAATTTCAGAATTTTTTGTTACACTTTTTGGAAAATGTTCCTCCTCCTCCTCTTCCATTTTTCATGGTGTTCACAAAAAATTTTTTTCATTGAATTCCGAAAATAATAATAATAAGAATAATAATCGGTTTAGGCCTAGGCTTCCGAAAAATTTCACTTTTTCTAGCGCGCGCGCGAAAAAGTTTCATCTTTTTTGTGTTGTCATATGGACTTAACCTAACTTGACCTTTTCAGATCGGGAAATTTTTTTTTCATTTTTAAGCGATTTATGTTTCAGGGAATGCCGAAATTTCTACGAATTTTAGCAATTTCGGGGATTTTTTGGAGTTGCGGTAAGTTAGTTCATAGTTTTTAATTACACCTGGGTAATTAAATTGGATTGACCTAATTTAGAATTTGAGGTTTTGCCACGTGGATTCTGGGGCTGAAATTTTAATTTGACACGTGGATTCTGGGGCTGAAAAAAGTTCGGATTTCGAAAAAAATTCAAATTCTCAACTCCAGAAGAATTTTGCAACTAGAAATCTGAAATTTAATTTCTAACATAAAATCCACGTGGCAATCGAGGCTGACTTAACTAAACTCTAGTTATCATTAAGCCTAAGCCTAACCTGAATTCTAGGCCTAACCTAAGCCTAACCTAAATATTCTAGGCTTAACCTAAATATACTAGGCCTAAGCTAAGCCTAACCTAAGACTAACCTGAATTCTAGGCTTCACCTAAATATTCTAGGTCTAACCTAAATATACTAGGTCTAAGCTAAGCCTAACCTAAGACTAACCTGAATTCTAGGCTTCACCTAAATATTCTAGGTCTAACCTAAATATACTAGGCCTAAGCTAAGCCTAACCTAAGACTAACCTGAATTCTAGGCTTCACCTAAATATTCTAGGCTTAACCTAAATATACTAGGCCTAAGCTAAGCCTAACCTAAGACTAACCTGAATTCTAGGCTTCACCTAAATATTCTAGGTCTAACCTAAATATACTAGGTCTAACCTAAGCCTAAGCCTAAGCCTAACCTAAATATACTAGGTCTAACCTAAGCCTAACCTAAGCCTATCCTCCCATTTTCCAGTCCTCGCGCAAGTCGCCCAACCAACCGGCTCCACTTGCACCAACTCCCACATCCACTGTCAATTCTGGTCGCAAAACGGCGAATGCGAGAGCAACGCGCCGTGGATGCGGCAAAATTGCCAAAAAGCGTGCGGCACTTGCGCCTCCCCTACCGCAACAACACCCGCATTCCTGCCCAGCCGCAACCCGTCCGCAAGTATTCCGCAAGGCTGTAATTCCGTGATGACGACGGAAGCGATAACCCGCTTGGTGTTCGCGCATGGTTTGGTCAAGAAGCGATTCCAGGAAATCGGATGTGCTGAGGAGCAGCGAGCACCGCAATGCGAGATCAATTCGTGTTATCATAAGAAATATCGATCGGCTGATGGGACTTGTAATAACTTGGCACAGCCTGTGAATGGAGCTGCGTTTACACGGTATTTGAGAATGTTGCCGGCGGTTTATGATGATGGATTTAATAGTGTTGTTTGTGAGTTGCGAAAAAAAAAACGTCAGACGACTAGAGAAGGTTAGAGACGCAGAGAAGCTAGAGTTGAGAGAGTTAGAGACGCAGAGAAGCTAAACAGCTAGACTTCAAAAGGTTAAGGAACAAGAGAGAGGCTAGACAGCTAGACGCAGAGGATCTAGATGTGATAGTGAAAGAATATACAGACAGAGCTTTACAAAGTTAGAGACGCAGAGAAGCAAAACAACTAGAGTTAGGAGGTTAGGAGACAAGTCAAGAGAGGCTAGACAGCTAGAGAATTAGGGACGTAGAGGATCTGAGAGTTGCCAAGCGGCTAGAGAAGCAGAGAAGCTAGACAGTTAGAGAACAATGATATGGCTAGAGAGTTAGAGACGCAGAGGAGCTTTTTTCCAGCTAGCATCAATAGAAACCGCCCGAATCCCCGAGAAGTCTCGATGTTCTTGTTGTCAACTGATCGAACGATTCCAACTCACGTCAATTCGATTTTCATGGCTTTTGGGCAGGTAGGATTTGTCCTTAACGTTCCTAAGGTCCCTAAGGTCCTAACCCTTCTCATTTTCCAGCTCTTCGCCCATGACGTCACTCAAAACACGCTCATCAACAGTTGCACGTGTCAAATGAGCTCTCCGCAATGCGCCAACATTCCCGCACCCTCGCGCGACCCCCTCCGACGCTGTCATCAATACACCCGATCGCACCCGATCTGCGGAACCGGGCGCCCCGGTCTCCCGCGCGAACAACTCAATATGAACACGGCGGCGATTGACGCCAGCTCGATTTACGGCTCGGAATCGATTACCGCACGGACTTTGCGATTCGGCGCAATGTTGCGGTCGACGTTGCGGAATGGGAAGGTGTTTCCGCCGATTAGTGGCGGTGGAGTTAGTGCCGGCGATGATCGAGCGAATATTTTTGTCAGTTTGGCAGCGTTGCACACCTCGTTTTTGAGATTACACAATACGTGAGTGGGGGGGGGGGGGGTGGTGTAACCTAATTGTAAGCCTAACCTAGGCCTAACTTAGGCCTATTCTGAGGCTAGCCTAAGCCTAACTCTAAGCGTATCCATGCGTAAACTAAGGCTAACTTAAGCCTAACCCAAGGCTAGACTAACCTAAGTCTAACCTAAGCCTATCTTGAGGCCTACCTAATTGTAAGCCTACCCTAAGCTTGACCTAAGCCTAAGCCAAAAAAAACCCTACCTAAGCCCCTTTTTTGTTTCAACTTGCCACGTGGATTTTTAGGCTGAAATGCAACGTGGAATACTTTGTTCAATCTGAAATTCAAGATTAAAATTTTCAGCTCGAGCAGAAATTGGGATTTGCCACGTGGAATTTTAGAACTTTTTTAAATACACGTGGTAACCTAGGCCTAACCTAAGCCTAAACTAGGCCTAACCCAAGCTAACCTAGGCCTAACCTAAATTCTACCCAAGCTAACCTAGGCCTACCCTAAGCCTAAACTAGGCCTAACCTAAGCTTGACCTAAGCCTAATATGAGCCTAACCTAACTTTAGCCTATCCTAAGCCTATCCTGAGCCCTACCTAAGCCTACCCCAAGCCTGTCCTAAGCCTAACCTGAGCCTATCCTAAGCTTGACCTAAGCCTAGCCCAGGCCTAACCTAAGCTTGACCTAAGCCTTTCCTAAGCCTAATATGAGCCTAACCTAATCTAAGCCTCACATGGGCCTAAGCTAAGCCTAAACTAGGCCTAACCTAAGCTTGACCTAAGCCTAGCTTAACCTCAGACTAAGCCTAACCTAAGCTTGACCTATGCCTAACCTAAGCCTAACCCAAGCCTAACCAGAAGCCCCTGTCCAACCCAAGGCCCCTCTAAACCTAACCCAAAACTCTCTCCAGCCTCGCCGCCCGTCTCCAAAACATGAACCGCAACTGGACACCCGATCGAATCTTCCAAGAGACGCGCAAGATCTTGGGAGCCGTCACGCAAGTCATCACCTTCCAAGAATTCTTGCCCGATCTCATCGGTGACGACTTCAAGAGTCGCGTCGGAAGTTATGACAGATATGATGCGAATGCGAAGATCGGAATATTCAACGAGTTTGCTGCGGCTGGCTTCAGATTGCATGGGATGATTCAGGAGAGATATGTGATGAAGGATCAATTTTGGAGGGTTGTCCGGAATTATGGATTCAATGATGGTGTGACCAGAATTGATAATGCTCTGAATGACTTGGATGGATTGTATCGGTGAGTTCGAGACTTCCCACAAGTTCCCCGAACTCCCAAGTTCCAGCGGCCTCATGGGCATCGCCACTCGCTCGCCACAACGTCTCACACCCGCCGTCACCGAATTCCTGTTCGGCGGCTCCACTGATCTTGCCTCGATCAATATTCAACGTGGACGTGATCACGGTCTCCAGTCCTACAATGCCTATCGCACTTTCTGTGGTCTCGGCGCCATTTCGAGTTTTGACACGTGGCAAGAGGTCAAGGAACAGGCGGTGCGCGAGAGGGTTAAGCAATTGTATCGGACACCGGAGAATGTGAGTTGTTTATGGGCAGGCGAGTAGAGTGGAGAGGAGTTGAGAGACGCAGAGACAGGTTAGACATCTAGAGAAACATGAGAAATTAGAGACGCAGAGAAGCTTACCACTAAAGCATTTTGTTAGAGAGTGTCGGATGGTGAGAGACATCAGACGACTAGAGTACAGTAGAGTTAGAGACGCAGAAACACGTTAGACAGCTAGAGAAACATGAGAAATTAGAGACGCAGAGACATGTTAGATGGCTAGAGAAACATGAGAAGTTAGAGACGCAGAGAAACTTACCAATTGACAGTATGATAGTTAGAGAGTGTGAGATGGTGAGAGACATCAGACGACTAGAGTATAGTAGAGTTTAGAGACGCAGAGACAGGTTAGATAGCTAGAGAAACATAGAAAGTAAGAGACGCACATGTTAGACAGCTAGAGAGTTAGAGACGCAGACTTTTAGAGAGACGACTAGAGTCTTACTGAAATTTAGATAGATGTCAGATGACTAGAGTAGGTTAGAGACGCAGACAACAATTCTGGTCCCCCAAAAAATTATTATGTACATAATTTTATAACACCGGACGGGCGGAACTGATAAGAAACAATTTTTTATCAGCCGGAAAAAAGTTGGAGAAAAAGTTTGAATCGATATTTGCAGCTCGATTTGTATGTCGGTGGACTTTTGGAGGAGCCCAAACAGGGCTCATTGGTCGGCCCCACATTCTCATGCATCATTGCGCATCAGATGAAGAATCTCCGGGATGCCGATCGATTCTGGTTCGAAAATCCGGGCGTTTTTACGAACGAGCAAGTTGTGGAGCTGCGCAAAGCGTCGCTGGCTTGGATTTTGTGCCTGACCGGGGATAAGTGAGTTTTGGGAGCCCTTGGGAGCCCTTGGGAAGCCTCGGGGAAGCCTCGGGGAAGCCTCGGGGAAGCCTGGAGAGCCCTTGGGAGCCCTTGGGAGCCCTTGAGAGCCCTTGGGAGCCCTTGGGAGCCCTTGGGAGCCCTTGAGAACCCTTGGGAGCCCTTGGGAAACCCCAAGAAACCTCTAAATTCATTTTCAGCATGACAAGTGTTCCGCGTCGAGCGTTTGCCATCGAGTCCGGAAGCACCGCAGTACCATGCTCCTCGATTCCGCAACTCAATCTTTCCGCGTGGCGGGAGTAATTTTTTTCAAACTCAAAATCACTTTTCATTTGTGCCATAAAGCTTTAACACACAAAAAAAGTTGTGTAGTTCTCGAGGAGAAGTCTGAAAATCGTTAAAATTCGGAATTTTCCGATCTTGAAAGTTTCGAATATTCGAAAATAGATCTCTAATTTTAGAAATAATGATTTTCAGACAATTTTCAGGCTTTTTAAGCGATCCCCGAATCTCAAAATTCAAAACAGAAATGCAAACTTCAATTTTATTCCTGACATTTTTCTTGATTTCTCAAGTTCTGGCTGGCGGTGGAAGAGTATATAGGCATAATACGGATTTGTATGGGTGGGACTGATGAGAAAATAAATCGTTAACTATGCAGCAGAAACTCTGGAATTTTTAAAGAAAATTTTCCTCGAGAACTACACGAATATTCTTTACAGATTATAAGAAGCTTCATTTTCGACCCGCAAAATTTCAATTTTCAAAAATTGTCCGCATCAAACAAATTCTTGTGGCGGAAAAATTCCGCGTTCCGCCAAGAATTTCCGCTCTCGATGCCAATAGTAATGCCATAGCACAAATGTGAAAATCCAGTTGAGGGAGAAGCTGAAAAATTGGGGGATTTTTAGAGTTTTCAGCACAAAATTTCAAGTTTTTTGAGGATTCTTGTATCGTAAAATGGTTTCTAGATCAAAATTTTGTGCTGGAAATGCGGGAAATGCTGAAACTCACTGAAAACTAAAATTTCCAGCATTTTCAGCACAAAATTTCAGCCTTAAAATTTTCTTGGGGATTCTGAAAGGCTAGTGAGAACTTTCTGATCCATTTCAAAAAAACATTTTAGATCAAAATTTGGGGTTTAACTGCTGGAAATGCTGAAAATCACTGAATACTGAGATTTCCAGCATTTTCAGCACAAAATTTCATCCTTAAAAGTTCATTGGGGATTCTGAAAGCCTAGTGAAAACTTTCTGATCTATTTCAAAAACCATCTCGGAAAAAAAGTTTCAAGATCAAAATTTTGTGGTGAAGCTGTTGGAAATGCTGAAAATCACTGAAGACTAAAATTTCCAGCATTTTCAGCACAAAATTTCAGCCTTAAAAGTTTTTTTGAGGATTTTGAAGGCCTAGTGAAAACTTTCTGATCCATTTCAAAAAGCATCTCTGGAAAATATTTCTAGATCAAAATTTTGTGCTGAAACTGCTGGAAATGCTGAAAACCACCTAAACCTAGGATTTCCAGCATTTTCAGCACAAAATTTCAGCCTTTAAGTTTTGTTTGAGGATTCTGAAGGCCTAGTGAGAATTTTCTGATCCATTTCAAAGAACGTCTTGGAGAAAAGTTCTAGATCAAAATTTTGTGCTGAAACTGCTGGAATGGCTGAAAATCACTGAAAACGGAGATTTCCAGCATATTCAGCACAAAATTTCAGCCTTAAAAGTTCATTGGGGATTCTGAAAGCCTAGTGAAAACTTTCTGATCTATTCCAAAAAAAATCAGAAAATGTTTCTGGATCAAAATTTTGTGCTGAAACTGCTGGAAATGCTGAAAATCATCTGAAGCTATGATTTCCAGCATTTTCAGCACAAAATTTCAGCCTTAAAAGTTTTTTTGAGGATTCTAAAAGGCTAGTGAGAACTTTCTGATCCATTTCAAAAAACATCTCGGAAAAATGTTTCTAGATCAAAATTTTGTGCTGAAACTGCTGGAAATGCTGAAAATCACTGAATACTGAGATTTCCAGCATTTTCAGCGCAAAATTTCAGCCTTAAAAGTTCATTGGGGATTCTGAAAGCCTAGTGAAAACTTTCTGATCTATTTCAAAAACCATCTCGTGAAAATGTTTCTAGATCAAAATTTCGTGCTGAAACTGCCGGAAATGCTGGAAACCACTGAAAACTAAGATTTCCAGCATTTTCAGCGCAAAATTTCAGCCTTAAAAGTTTATTGGGGATTCTGAAAGGCTAGTGAGAAATTTCTGATCTATTTCAAAAACCATCTCGTGAAAATGTTTCTAGATCAAAATTTTGTACTGAAACTGCTGGAAACGCTGAAAATCACTGAAAACTAAGATTTCCAGCATTTTCAGCGCAAAATTTCAGCCCTAAAAATTTTTTTGAGGATTCTGAAGGTCTAGTGAGAACTTTCTGATCTATTCCAAAAAACATCTCGGAAAAATGTTTCTAGAACAAAATTTTGTGCTGAAATTGCTGGAAATGCTGAAAATCACCGAAAACTGAGATTTCCCCCCATTTTCAGCACAAAATTTCAGCCTTAAAAGTTTTTTTGAGGGTTCTGAAAGGCTAGTGAGAACTTTCTGATCCATTTCAAAGAACTTATCGGAGCCCTAAAGAAAAAAACTTATATCAAAATTTCGTGCTGAAACTGCTGGAAACTCTGGAATTCACTGAAAACTAAGATTTCCAGCATTTTCAGCACTAAATTTCAGCTTTAAAAGTTTTTTGAGGATTCTGGAAGCCCGGTGAGAACTTTCTGATCCATTTCAAAGAACTTTTCGGAGTCCAAAAAAAAACATTTTAGATCAAAATTTTGTGCTGAAACTGCTGGAAATGCTGAAAATCACCTGAATCTATGATTTCCAGCATTTCCAGCACAAAATTTCATACTGAAAACTTACCCCACCGAATAAACCGTAAAAATCAGCGCCAACTCAAAATCAATAATTCCACCTAAAGCTTCAAGAATTTTCGGAGCCGTCGCCATCGTCAAAACCGACAAGCCCAGTGTATAACTAGATTGCATCAGAAGCCCGGGCCATAAAAGCCACAAAGGCTTAGGCTTACAAATTAGGCTAACTAGGGATATGAATAAGGCCGATGATTGTTCGATGGTCCACGCGAATCGCATATATCCACCATCTGAAAATTTTTTAAATTTTTTTTTGATTGGTTGAAACTTTCCACGTGTCAAAAACCTCACCCAAATAATTCGCCACACATTCATTGGTTCCCAAAACTCTGTGCATCAGGCCGAAGTCGAAAATGATGACGTCATGAGCCAGAAAATGGGTCTCGAAGCTCGAATTCGCCGGGATGTTCGAGTGACATTCGAAGATTTTTCGATGTTTGTAAATCGAAAAAATGTGCTGGAAAGAAAATACATTTTTTTGCCACGTCATAACTAGGTTTTTCAAGGATTTTGCGAAATATTATCAATTTCACAATCATAACACATTGTCAAAGTGTTAACAAACAAATAGAAGATTTTTTTCAATTTCATTTCGAAAATTTTTTTCGCTCAAGAAATGGATCCATATATTCCAAATATTGGCATCTGGAGTACAGCGTGAGTTTTTTTTTTCAAAAAAAAATATAGTTATGACGTGGCAAAAACTTATGCTCTTTTAATTTTAGTATAAACAAAGCAATGTTTCAATTTCAGGTTTCGAAAAATTTTACAGGATCAAATTATCATGAAAATCTATAAACCTATATTTCTGCCACGTCATAACATAACTCATATTCAGAATTGAATTTGAATAGTTTTCATTTCAGACAACCGATCAGAGATTCTGATTCAGATGATTTCAATTCAAGATCACGATCAAGACGTGGCTGTAAGTGGCTTCTTTATTTTTGTCTTTTCATGCGAAGCTGTCTAGCTATTTTTTCGGATCATGAAGATCAATATCATCATCATCACCATCAAGTTTATCACGATATTTATTAGCACGATGTTTTACCTCCCTTTAAAAGGGTCTCAACACATCAATTTTTTAGTTTGTTTTGTATAAAATGTATTAAAACCCTTAGCTTCAATTTTTCTATTTTCAGTTGAAACAGATTTTTTTGCCACGTCATAACCACTTTTGAAAAATTCAAAAATCTCAAAAATTTGGGGGACTAGTTTCCCCCATCATGGCCGAGGTTTTGTAGTTCTCGAGGATTATTTTCAAATTTTTTTTTGCAACGTCACAACTATTTTTCAGCAAAACTTTGTAATTTTCTTTTGATTTTTTGAAAAATCCGTGTAGTTCTCGAGGACTATTTGTATTTACTATCAAAAAAATCGCAATTTTTTTGACCTACCTGTAAAAATGACGCAATACAAATCGATAATTGGAACAGCGCCAAAAATATCACCAAAGGTTTATTGGAAATTTTCAGCCCACAAATACTGGTGTTCTTCTCCTCGATTCGAATGAAAGCCAATAATCTCATGGCCCTGGAAAAAGCCTGATTATTTATCGGGCCTGGATCGGGCCTGGACTATTGATTTTGAACTAACAATAAAAAAATGAGAAAAACAACATTTTTTGGCTAAAAATTTGTACTTTTTTCGAAAAAAACAGGTGAAAAATTTTTTTTATACTCGGAATTAGTTTTGGAAAAAAAGCACATCGGGGAAAATGGCGAGCAAATTTTTTTCCTCACTTTTTTTGCTTGCTAAGCCTAACCACTAATTAAGCGGTTGTCAGCGGTGATTAAAATTGAGTTTTGGTTTTTTTTATTGACTAAACGAGAGAGATAAAATAGGCCTAAAATAGGCTTAATTTTGGGCCTGAGAAAGGCCTAAGTTTAGGGCCTAAAATGAGTATAAAATAGGCCTAAAGTAAGCCTAAAATAAGCCTTATGTTAAGGCCAAGAATAGGCCTAGTTTTGAAGCGTAAAACGGGCCTAAGATAGGCCTAATTTGGGCCTGAGAAGGGCCTAACTTTAGGGCCTGAAGTGAGCATAAAATAGGCCTAATTTTAAGGCTTAAAGTAAACCTAAAATAAGCCTTATGTTAAGGCCTAAAATAGGTCTAGTTTTGCGGCCTAAAACAGGCCTAAGATAAGCTTAATTTTAGGCTTGAGGAAGGCCTATCTTCAGGGCCTAAGGAGTATAAAATAGGCCTAATTCGAAAGCGTAAAGTAAGCCTAAAATAATCCTTATGTTAAGGCCTAAAATAGGCCTAGTTTTGTGGCTTAAAACTGGCCTAAGATAAGCCTAATTTTAGGCTTGATGAAGGCCTATCTTTAGGGCCTAAAGTGAGTATAAAATAGGCCTAATTTTGAGGCCAAATGTAACCCTAAAATAAGCCTTATGTTAAGGCCTAAAATAGGCCTAATCTTAGGACCTAAAGCCTGAATTTAAGGCCTAAAAGCCTGATTTAAAAGCTCAAAAAGGCCTGATTTTGAGCCTAAAATAAAAAAATTTCCCCAAGAAAAAAAAATATTTCCTGATAAGTTCACACACGAAATGATGATGAATAAATAATTTTCGGATGATTTTTTGGGAGGCGAAATGAAAAAAAAAGTCCAGGGGGAATTTTCTGAAAATTAAAGCCATGACGTGTCAACAAATGAAAGCTAATATGAGCAATCTTCATTAAAAACTTAATTTTTTATAAAAGGCAAAATGAATTGGTGTCCATTTTGTGGTCTTCAAGATTCACATCAACCTGCAAAAAAAAAAATTTTTTTATTTATTTTTTCTTAAAGGAACATCTGGTTTGCAGCAAAAAACTCACATAAACATCAGTTTTATTGCGATGATCCACGGTGACACTTGTAGTGAGATAAGGAACTGCGCAATGCTGAAAATTTCAGAAAAAATCGATATTGCTCATGTCAAACTTCATTCAAAAATCAAAAATCATTTTCCGAATCTCAAAAAAACCGGGTCCCCGTTTTTTGGCAAAACAACTGCTTCAGCGAAAATATTCAGTGAAATTAGGAATAAAATTGAAAATTTCAAAAAAATCATTTTTATTTTTTTTCAGCTTTTTTTCAGAAAATAAAAATGAAAACAGTTTTTTATTCGAAAAATTGTCTAGAAGCTGTTAAGAAAAGATTTTTTGTGGGAAAAATTTGAGAAATTCTCGAAAAAAATCTGGTGGACTAGTTTTCCACAAACGTGGCCGAGTTTTTCGTGTAGAGCGAAATTTGAATTTTTTGAAAAATAATTTTTTTCACGAAAAATAAAAAATTCAAATTTCGAATTTTCCAAAAATTTGCCACGTGGAATTTTCGCGCGAAATTTGAAATTTCAAAATAAATTCTAGCTCGAAAATTCTCAATTTTCAGATTTTCAAAAGTTAATTCTAGCTCTAAAATTTTTAATTTTCAGATTTTCAAACACAATTTCAGCTCTAAAATTCTCAATTTTTAGATTTTCAAGCTCCCAATTTCAGCCAAGAGCTCAAATTTCCAGCCAAAACCACTCACATCATCAAACGGAACTCCCGGAATCGGGCAAACATGTCTGATCTCGATTTGCACCGGCTCGCGGAGCAAAATATATCCAGTTGTGCTCAATTTGAAGCGCCCATCTTCATGCGTCACCGAAATCGAGATTTGTTGGGCCGGATATTCTGGGGAGGTCAAAAAAGGCCGCAACCAGGCCGCAGGCTTTCCACCACAATAGATATGGCCCGTGATGATGCAAATCATGTAGGGTGGTTCGATGGCGTCGGGATCGGTCTGGAAAAAATTTTTTTGAATTCGGGCCAGGCCCAGTTTTCGGGCCACTCACCTTTGGCACAAGATTCACGCGCTCCACGTTGTGATGAACATGTTTTCGTGCCACGTGGCGTGTAGAACTACAGTAACCGGCCAACAGCAGTAACACAGTAGTAACATAACAAAAAGTGACGTTGAGAATCATTTTTATGTGTGTGTTAGACTGTGAAGACACTTGTGAGCAAATGATAAGCAAATGACGCTTCCTACGGTCACCGGGCAGCCTTTTTGAGCGGTTTTCAGGTGTCAATCACGCAGTTTTATGCACAAATTCGTTCTTTATTGAGCAAGCGGCGAAAAAAATGAAAGAATATTGTGAAATTTTGAGTCATACTGATCAAAAATCGGGGTTTTCGGAGGTTTTGGAGGTCTAAGGGTGGCTGCTTGAAAAATGTTTAGGTCAAGGAGCGAGCCCTTGTCAGCTCGCTTCACAAGGCACATCTGCTTGAAAAATATTTAGGTCAAGGCGCGAGCCCTTGTCATCTTGCTTCACAAGGCGCGGCTGCTTGAAACATATTTAGGTCAAGGCGCGAGCCCTTCTCAGAATGAGTCACTAGACGCAGCTGCTTGAAACATATTTAGGTCAAGGCGCGAGCCCTTCTCAGCATGAGTCACTAGACGCAGCTGCTTGAAACAAGTTAGATCAAGGCGCGAGCCCTTGTCAGCTTTCTTCACAAGGCGCAACTGCTTGAAACAGGTTAGTTCAAGGCGCGAGCCCTTGTCAGCTTGCTTCACAAGGCACATCTGCTTGAAATGTATTTAGGTCAAGGCGCGAGCCCTTGTCATCTTGCTTCACAAGGCACAGCTGCTTGAAACAGGTTAGTTCAAGGCGCGAGCCCTTGTCAGCCTGGTTCTCTAGGCGCGGCTGCTTGAAAAATGTTTAGATCAAGACGCGAGCCCTTGTCAGTCTGGTTCTCTAGGGGTGGCTGCTTGAAATGTATTTAGATCAAGACGCGAGCCCTTCTCAGCCTGGTTCTCTAGGAGCGGCTGCTTGAGATGAAAATTCAAAATTTCAATTTTCCTCCTAAAATTTTGCGTTTTCTCTCTAGCTCTCCTGTTTTACACACTATTTCGGTGGGTTCAAACTATAAACATTTTGTAGGCACACAAAACTCCAAAATTTTTATGCTGCGGAACGATTGATAAGCCGGAAAACGATGAAATTATGACTTTTTTTTCAATATCAAAAATCATTTTTTTTCTCTTTTTCTTCATCAAATTTGGCTAAAAATCGATAATTTTCACAAGATTTACGATGATTGCTCATGTTAAGGAAAAACAATTGAGGGACTAGTTTTCCTCCAAACGTGGCCGAGTTTTTCACGTGTAGTTCTCGAGGAGAATAAATTTTGCCACGTGTCAAAATTCAATTTTCAAAAATTTTGCCACGTGGAATTTTAGGGCCAAAAATTTCAGATTTTCAAAATTAAATAATTGTAAAAATCCTCCTCGAGAACTACACAAGCTCGAAAAATTCGGCCATGTTTTGAGAAAAACTAGTCCCCCAAATTTTCAGCGCGGGAATTTTGAATTTTTGAATTTTTTTGCTCAAAATCTTTATTCAACAAAAAAATTGTCAACCTTGTTTACGCATCCGAACTCTGCCGTTAACATGAGCAATCAAGAAAAATATGAGAAAAATTGCTGGAAGCTTCATTTTTTTTTTGGAAAATAATTCTGAAGGATTCTGAATCTCATCGCTGTTTAAATATGTCTGAAAATCGTTTAAAAAAATCTATTTTCAGCTTTAAACACGTCTGAAAATCGTTAAATAATCTATTTTCAGCTCAATTTTTTGGGTGGGAAAATTCGAATCAATTTTTTTATACTACACTGTAGTCTGACAACGTCACTACAGTACCCCTTTAAGGCCATAAAAATAGTTTGTTTTAGAATTGATTGACAAGTCAAAAATTTTTTTATCATTTTTTTCGATTTTTTACCGGGGGACTATCAAAAAAATCAATAATTTCATCAAAAAAAAATTTTTTTTTCAAAATATTTAAAAAAAATTATAGAATTTCCTTGACACCGTTCGTCAACTCGTTGATTTTTTGCTGCAATTTTTCCTCTTCCGAATTTTTCGACATCGATTTCAATCGATAATACGTGTCAGTTTGAGGATTGTAATAACAATCAAAATCCATATCATAAACCAAGCCAGTAATTTGTTCGTCATCGAAAAAATCGCCGGATTTGGTGGAGGATCGCATTTTTTCGTGGCGGTAACCGGAGAGCCGATCTTCTCTGGAAATTTGGAGCATTTTAAGTGTAAACATGGGTATTTTTGGAGCCCCGGAGCTCTCAAATCTTGAGAATCACAGTAGTTCAGGTTCCCAGGTATCTCGCACTGTTTTCAGCACCCCTTTCTGAAAGTTTTAAGCTCAAACATGACTATTTTCCGAGCACTTTTAGTTTTTGTGCTCCGCGAGCCCTGCAGAGCACAAAAACTCAGATTGCTCCAAAATGCATAATTATGGGGCTCAAAATTCTCAGAAAACCACGCGCAGCCCAACCCTGCAATTTATTCAATCCCAAATCTCTCAGCAATCTTGATCTGAAAATTTCGAAAACTTTTTTCGCTCAAAAATTCAAAGAGCAGGTGAATTTGAGATTTTCAGGTGGTTAGATTAGTCAGAACGTTTTCAGCTGGTGATTCTGAGAAAATTGAGACCCAACATGAATATGTTTGAAGCACTTTGAGTTTTTCGCGGCTCACGGAGCACCAAAATGCTCCAAGCTCAGAAAATAGTCATGTTTGGTGTCAAAATGCTCCAAATCTCCCCCAGAATTCAAAAATCAAACTCACAAATTCCGAATCGCGCTAGTTTTCCTGATGGCTCCGAGCTCATCCAACTTTTCCTCGAGCTCTTCCTGTCGGACCATGCTCATTTTTCGTCGGGTTTTTGCCGAGCTCTCGCCCTCCTCAGCTTCATCTTCCGATTTATCCTCATATTCATGTTTGGCCAAATCTGCAGGCAATTCTTGTGACGTGGAATTTCTGAAAATTTCAGATTTTTTTTTGAAAAACAAGGGGCGTGGCTTACTGTGATTTATTGATACTTCTAAGCATACTCAGCTCTTCCTGATCAATCGGAACTAATCGCATATCTTCTGAACCAATTGCAGATGATCGAATCACTGAAAATTTTCGAATTCCACGTGGCATTTGGAGCATTTTGAACTCAAACACCGCTATTTTTGGGTAAAAATTATTTTTTTCTGGATTTTGATGGTCCCTTTGGAGAGCCATGTGGATTAATGGGGGATAATTTTGAGCTTTTGAGATTCCTCGTGAAATTCTGAGAATTTTGAGCACAAACATGAGTAATTTTGAAGAATTTTCAGATTTTGGAGCATTTTTTGTGCTCCGCGAGCCCTGAAAAATCTGAAAATCCTCCAAAAATCATCGTGTTTGGGCTCAAAATGCTCCAAATCACCTGCTCGACATTTCGCAAACACATTTGAGCCTTGAAAATGTGGAAAAATTCAAAAAACTTCACCTGCGGTGTCTGAAAAATTCAGTAAATTAAGAATCAGCATTGTTTTCTGAGAATTTTGAGCACAAACATGAGTAATTTTGAAGAATGAGCATTTTTCGGGCTCCGCGAGCCCTGGAAAATCTGAAAATGTTCCAAAAATAGTCATGTTTGGGCTCAAAATGCTCCAAATTCCACGTGGATCACAAAAAAACAAACCAATTTCAAAAATTCCTGGGAAAAATCACAACTTTTTGATTACTTTGTAACTTTCTCTCAGAGTTTCAAAGAAAAGAAAAAGTCGTGATTTTTTACATTTTTTTTAGAAATAAATACAATTTTCCGGTTCCGCGGGCCGCCTTTTATACCTAACATGAGTCATGGCCAGAAAAAAAAATATTGAAAAAAATTATTTTTTTTTGGCGAAACACAAAAGAAGAAGAAAGATCTGTCATGGTTCTTTTGTGATTTTTTTTGTACAATTTTTTTTTTGAAGAAAAAGAAAACAGTATAGTAGGCCACGCCCCTTGAACATTTTGAAACTGGAAAAAAATGTTAATTTTTTTCAAGAAATTTTTGGATTTTTTGTGATCTATATGAAATTTGGAGCATTTTGACACCAAACACGATGATCTTTGGAGCATTTTCAGATTTTCCAGGGCTCGCGGAGCACCTAAAAATGCTCCAAATTTTGAAATTCTTCAAAATTGCTCATGTTTGGTCTCAAAATGCTCAGAATTTTATAAGGAATCTCAAGAGCTCAAAATTATCCCCCATAAATCCACGTGGCTCTCCAAAGGGACCATCAAAATCCAGAAAAAAAAAATTTTTCACCCAAAAATCACGGTGTTTGATCTTAAAATGCTCCAAATGCCACGTGGAATTTGAATCGAGCAGGTGATTTGGAGCATTTCGAAACCAAACACGATGATCTTTGGAGCATTTTCAGATTTTCAGGCTCGCGGAGCATCTAAAAATGCTCCAAATTTTGAAATTCTTCAAAATTGCTCATGTTAGGTCTCAAAATGCTCAGAATTTCATGGGGAATCTCACAATCTCCCCAAAAATCCACCAAAAAATCAGACTTACGTGATCTCCTTCTGCCATTCAGCATTTCTTTGTGTGGTCCCGTCATCGCCTGATTTATACGTTGCTCCAAAATTTGACGGATTTGCTCGGCTGAAAATTTTTTTTGAGGTAGATCAAAAAATTTTGGCGCGAAAAAATTCACATTTGAATAAATTTCATCATGTTTGGTGTCAAAAAATCGCAAATTTTTGCTGCCACGTGGCAAAAATTCCAAAATTCCCCAAGAAAAACTCACAATTTGGTGTGGTCTGCTGGTGAATTGGTGGCCTTGGTGGATTTTGAGAGTCCTGCGAGCTCACAGATGTCAAGCTCAGCGGCGGAAGTCGTCGGCCCGACATTTTTCTCGAGCTGCTGCTGAATGGCGGCGCCGAGAGCACTCGAAAATGAGCCAACGAAAAGTGGGCGGAGCCAACCGGCAATGATTTTTGATTAGATTTTTTCATGTTTTCTAGTACAGCAAAAAATTGAGTTAGCCTAAGTTTCGCAATTTTTTTCAGGTTTCCATGGATACACACACATTCTTTTTTTTCGTGGCTAAAAATGCTTTGAGGAGGAAAAAATGGGGCTGGAGAGATGAGAGACGCAGAGAAAAAAAAATGAAATTCAAAAACATTTTTTCTCCGAAAAAATCCACGTGGAATTTTTGCTTCTGAGAAAAAGTTCAAAAATGGCTTCTTGAGGCTTTGGAAGAGTCCAGAAGGTTTCAGAAGGCTTCAGATGGCTTCAGAAGGCTTCAGAAGGCTTCAGAAGGCTTCAGCTTCAGGAGGCTTCAGAAGGCTTCAGAAGGCTTCAGGACACTTCAGAAGGCTTGATTAGGCTTCAGTAGATTTCAGAGAGCTTTAAAAGGCTTCGGAAGGCTTCAGGAGACTTCAGAAGGCTTCAGAAGGCTTCGGAAGGCTTCAGAAGGCTTCAGAAGGCTTTAGAAGGCTTGAAAAGGCTTCAGAAGGCTTCAGCAGATTTCAGAAGGCTTCAATAGGCTTTAGAAGGCTTGAAAAGGCTTCAGAAGGCTTCAGCAGATTTCAGAAGGCTTCAATAGGCTTTAGAAGGCTTCAGAAGGCTTCTGAAGCCTCCTGAAGCCTTCTGGAGCCATCTGAAGTCTGCTGAAGCTTTCAGAAGGCTTCGGAGGACTTTAGAAAGCTTTAAAAGGCTTCAGAAGGCTTCAGAAGGCTTTAGAAGGCTTTAGAAGGGTTAAGAAGGCTTCAGAAGGCAAATGAAATCTTCCAGAAATAAAATATTCATCCAAAACAGCGATTTCAAATCGTTGAAGTTACATGAACTGCTCTTTCTCTTCCATATTTCTCCAAACGTTCCTCAAAATTCGAAAAAGTCAATCCGCTTCTTCGAAAAACATATTCAATAACACCGTGGCGAATAAAACGAATCGGAAAAGTCCATTGAAGAATTCGATTATTGTGGTAGAGTTGCGTGAAATCAGCAATCGGGTTGTTGAAATACATATCAGCAACAAAACGATTTGGATATAATTTAGGAGCCACAAGAGAATCCATGCTGAAATTATAGATCGGAATTTTCTGCAAAAACTTCTAGACTCACTTCTTCAGACGAAGATCTGGATCTAAACCAATAGCAGCTTCGAGGGCAACACTGAAATTGTAGATATAGGGATTTCCAAAACTTCAAACTCACTTTGCCAAATGATTTTCAGCCATCAAAGATACAAAATCTTCCTTCTTAATTCTAGATCTCACCCAAAAATAGCAAATTTTTACGATAGATATCAATTCCTGATATGTGAAGCGTCGATTTCGATGTTCGGTTGCGTCACAAAAAACGGTTTTATTACGTTGGTCGGGAAAAAATGAGTAAGTCGGCACATATCCATTCAAAGATACATAAATGAACCAGAACACTTTTTCGTCCAAAAATGTTTGGTTGTACCAAATTTGCGCACTCACTCCGGCCATTTTGATTGTTGTTTTTTTGAAACCGTCTACTGGTGATGATGATAATGGTTTCCATTCTGCAAACAAAAAAAATGGCTGAGTATCAAATGAAATTGGCTGCGTATCTAATGCTAAACGTAGATAGAACTTTGGTAGATCAAAAACTTTTCAATGACCATATATTGGCTGCGTACGTGGCTGAGTATCTAATGTTATTTTGCATCGGATAGATCAAAACTTTGGAACTGCAAATTTTGGCTGCGTACATTGAGTATTTAATGTTTCAGTTACGCAGTTAAATCAAATTTTTGGTAGAAAAACAGCAGAAACTTCCACGTGGCACAATTTTTGGGTTTTGAAAATTGAAAAAAATTAATCCTGAAGCCTGCTGGAGCCTTTTAAAGCCTCTAAAGCCTCCTGAAGCTTCCAGAAGCCTTCTGAAGCCTTCTGAAGCTTTCTGAATCTTCCAGAAGCCTTCTGAAGCCTTCTGAAGCTTTCTGAATCTTCCAGAAGCCTTCTAAAGCCTTCTGAAGCCTCCTGAAGCCCTCTAAAGCCTTCCGAAGCCCTCCGAAGCCTTGTAAAGTCTCCAGAAGCCTCTTGAAGCCTTCTGAAGCCTTCTAAAGAAAGAAAATTGTTGGAATTTTCAAGAAAAAATTGGCTGCGTATCTTGAAGAGTTAGCTGAGTATCTAATGCTGAACGTAGATAGAACTTTGGTAGATCAAAAACTTTTCAATGACCATATATTGGCTGCGTACGTGGCTGAGTATCTAATGTTATTTTGCATCGGATAGATCAAAACTTTGGAACTGCAAATTTTGGCTGCGTACATTGAGTATTTAATGTTTCAGTTACGCAGTCAAATCAAATTTTCGGTAGAAAAACAGCAGAAACTTCCACGTGGAAAAATTTTTCCAAAAAAAAAAAAATAAAAAACGTGGCACAATTTTTGGCTTTTGAAAATTGAAAAAAATTAATCCTGAAGCCTTCTGAAGTCTTCTGAAGCCTTCAGAAGCCTTCTAAAGTCTTCTGAAGCCTTCTGAAGCCTTCTGAAGCTTTCTGAATCTTCCAGAAGCCTTCTGAAGCCTTCTGAAGGCTCCTGAAGCCTCCAGAAGCCTTCTAAAGCCTTCTGAAGCCTCCTGAAGCCTTCTAAATTGGCTGCGTATCTTGAAGAGTTAGCTGAGTATCTAATATTATACAAAATTAGGGATTGGTTGCGTACTTTGCAGATCAGAAATTTCGCGACTTGGAATTTTAATCTGTTGCCACGTGGCGTTTTTTTTGCATAAACTTCCATATTTAAAAAAAAAATCCACGTAGTTCTGAAGCCTCCTGAAGCCTCCTGAAGCCTACTGAAGCCTCCTGAAGCCTTCTGAAGCCCCCTGAAGCCTTCTAAACCCTCCCAAAAACATACCAACAACATTATTTTCCAATTCCAAAACCATATGCGGATACAACCATACCAAAATCAGTGGTACAATCAACCATGTGAAAAAGAGCACCGAAAAATATTCGGCGAATTTTTTCAGACAAATGAAGAGCACAACACTGCGTGCGCTATAATATGCGATTGACAAATTCTGATCGGGAACCGCTATCAATTTTTGAATCGTGTTCGAATTTCCACTCAATTTCCTGATCGTATGATTTTTTTCCATATTCACTTCAGTTTGGGAAATTTGATAAAAAATGAAATAGAGTGTTTTTTCTGAGCGCGAGATATTTTTTTTCGAAAAAAAATAGATCACGTTCAGTTTTTGAAAATCTGGAAGATTTCAGATCTCAAAATTTTGCAGGAATTTTTTTCTGAAAATCGAGAAGCTTTCTGAAGGCTTCAGAAGACTCCAGAAAGCTTTAGAAGGCTTGAGAAGGTTTCAGAAGCCTTCTGAAGCCTCCTGAAGCCTTCTGGAGCCATCTGAAGTCTGCTGAAGCTTTCAGAAGGCTTCAGAGGACTTTAGAAAGCTTTAAAAGGCTATGGAAGCCTCCTGAAGCCTTCTGAAGCCTCCTGAAGCCTTCAGAAGGCTTCGGAAGGCTTCAAGAGAATTTTAAAACTTCAGAAATTCCGTGAGATTTACAAAAAGTTAGTTATGACGTGGCATTTCTAGATTACTGTAGAAATCGCTCCCCTTTAATTATATATAATTAAAAATTTTTGCAAACCAAAAAGTTTCCCCTTTATTTTTCGCTGACAAAAAAATCAATATGGATTTCATCGGCCCAATTTTCATCCTAATTTCACCGATTCCAATATCCGCCACATTTTTGATCTACCTATTCACCTACCGTACCCTCAGAAAATCGATATTGAAGCCCCTGAAAATCCGAAAAATCCACAAAACATTGCTCATATTAAACGGGATTCTGGTGATTTTCGGGATTTTCAGAAGTTTTGGGACTTTTTTTGATTTTTCTCAAATTCTATTTGCTTCAAAAAATATGACTGGAATAATGGGATTTTGAATTTTTTCGCATTTGGAATTCCGGTTTTATCAGAAATTTCTAGACTATCTACAGTACCCCTGATCAACACAGCTACCGTACTCTTTTTGGGCCGCGCAATTTTATGTAGATTTTTCGGAAAAAATCTCGAAAACCTCAAATATTCCCTGTTAATTTGGACTCTATCGATTTTCTGGACATTTTTGGGTCTCGCAACGATTTGGATTACTGTACCTTGCTTGATTCTGGCGCTGGGGTACGGTATTTTGATCTACCGTAGTGAAAAGGATTTTGAGGAGAAGCGCAAGGAATTATTGATCGATTCACAGTATTTTGTGGTTTTGTTAGGAGCGTTGGTGAGTTTGGGGGGTACTGTAGTTTTTGGCGCGAAAAATTTTTGGTTTTTCAGCTTTCAAAATTGTCACGTGGAACTTAGGCGCCAATTTTTTTGAATTCAAAATTTTCGCCGCACAAAATTTTTCTCAAAAATTTAAAATTTAAAATTTTGGCGCCAAAATAAATGCCACGTGGATTTTTTTTTTGAAAAATTGCCAAGCCTAATTTTTTTGTTCAGAAATTTTGAATTCAATTTTTGAGCCAAAATTGCCACGTGGATTTTCAGACAAAAAATTTCAGCCAAAATTTTGGCTGTTGGACTTTGAAATCTGAAATTCCAGAACTCAAATTGCCATGTGGATTTTTTTTTCGAAATTTTCAAAATTTTTTTTACGGAAAAATTGCAAAGCCTAATTTTTTTGTTCAGAAATTTTGAATTCAATTTTTGAGCCAAAATTGCCACGTGGATTTTCAGACAAAAAATTTCAGCCGAAATTTTGGTTGTTGGAATTTGAAATCTGAAATTCCAGAACTCAAATTGCCACGTGGATTTTTTTTTCAAAATTTTCAAAATTTCAAAACTTTTTTTTTGAAAAACTGCAAAGCCTAATGTTTTTGTTCAGAAATTTTGAATTCAATTTTTGAGCCAAAATTGCCACGTGGATTTTCAGACGAAAAATTTCAGCCAAAATTTTTTTCAGACAAAAAATCTGAATTTTTTCCTAAAAAATCAACTGCCACGTGGATTTTTCCCCAACAAAACTCACTTTTTTCCAGCTCCAATCAATTCTCGACGCGATTTGGCTTCAGAATTTGCTCACCGAATTTCTGTGCCACAATCTTCTGATTCCCACCTCCTTCCGGGTCCTGACGCGATTTTTAAAGGCACATGCTGAAAATATTACACGGTGATTCAATTATGACGTGGCATTTTGCGAGGCTATAATTATCTGAAGTTCTTATTTCTCTGAAATTCAGATTTTTTTCTCAAAAAAAAAATTATGAAAATAATAAATTTGCCAGCTCTATTTCAATCAAAAATAATTCTATCCGGCCTAATCTACAGTACTCTTTTGATCTACCTGAAAATCTACCGTAATCGAAGTGTTCAAAACACGATGGATCGTGTGAGAATTCGGGATTTTCAGAAAACATTGCTCATATTTGTCGCATTTTTTGCGGGTTTGAAGATTCTCGAAAATTTCGGATATGTTTTGGGATTTTTTGGAGATTGTCTTGAGCGATTTTTATTTCCCTGGTCTCATTTTCCAGATTTACAAGAGCAATATGTGATCATCAGATTTCTAAATTTTATTAGAGAACATACAGTACCCTTCATCAAATATCCTACAGTAATCCTTCTACAGTACTCTCTAGTCGTGCGATTTCCCCCGCGTAAATTCGAACTTTGATCAGCGAAAAATTGTGATCTTCCTATGGTTTCTCACAATTTTGATCTACCTGCTGAAAATCTGGATATTCTGGGTTACTGTACCCGCAATCCTTCTGATCTACATCTACAGTATTCTGATCTACCGTAGTTCAAAGGCGCTTGCGGAAAAACACGTGGAATATTGTGTAGTTCTACAGTACCTGATGATTATTTTTGGATTTTTGGTAAGTTTTTGTTTTTTTTCACGTGGATTTTCATTTCCCCTCTTTTTTTGCAGATCCAGGAATTGCTCAGATTAGAATTTTCCAAAAATTTCGAAATTCCCGAGGATTTTCAATATAATTTTGTGATTCCTGCGTCGTTTTTGATTTTTCAGAAAATTTTGAGACAAAAAATTGTGCCCAGGGTTTTTTGGATTTTTGCATGACACGTGGATTTTTTCAGCTATTTTCAGCAATTCTTAGATTTTCAGCACAATATTTGGGTCTAGAAACCTGTCAAAAGCTACTGTAGAAAATTGTGCCAAAAATTCCGAAAAAATGGATCAACTAGGACTACTGTAGAAAAGGAACTTTCTAGACTGAAATTTTGCGCTGAAAATCATGGAAATACTGATTTTCAGCTATTTTCAGCAATTCTTAGATTTTCAGCACAAAATTTGAGTCTAGAAACCTGTCAAAAGCTACTGTAGAAAATTGTGCCGAAAATTCCGAAAAAATGGATCAACTAGGACTACTGTAGAAAATCAACTTTCTAGACTGAAATTTTGTGCTGAAAATCATGGAAACATTGATTTCCAGTCATTTTCAGCAATTTCATGATTTTCAGCACAAAATTTGAGTCTAGAAACCTGTCAAAAGCTACTGTAGAAAATTGTGCCGAAAATTCCGAAAAAATGGATCAACTAGGACTACTGTGGAAAATCAACTTTCTAGACTGAAATTTTGTGCTGAAAATCATGGAAATACTAATTTTCAGACATTTTTAGCACAAAATTTAAGCCTAGAAATCTGTCAAAAGCTACTGTAGAAAATTGTGCCGAAAATTCCGAAAAAATGGATCAACTAGGACTACTGTAGAAAATCAACTTTCTAGACTGACATTTTGTGCTGAAAATCATGGGAATACTCATTTTCAGGCATTTTCAGCACAAAATTTGGGTTTGAAAACCTGTCAAAAGCCACTGGGAAATCGAAAAAACACATTTTTTTGCGTTATCCAAGTTGACCTACCCAAAAATACACTATCACTTTCTTATCTTCCCGAAAAAATAACAATAAAACTAATACACGGTGTGTTATCTTGACCTAATAACACCACCTCCTAGAGAAAGATAAGATAAATCTCGCCCTATAAAACCGCCCACCTGCGCACAGTTTTTTGCATTTTTGGTCGAATCCAAGAACAACATCATGGCGAAATTCGTGTTGGCTACCGTACTTTTCATCGGGATTACTGTAGTGGCTGGGCTCAAGACACCAAATGAGAAGCTGAAACAATGTTGTGCGACTTTGAAGGAGGCGGATAAGGAGTGTGTTGAGCGATTCTGCGATTTCAATGCTTTGTCGCAAGCTAATGTGAGTTCTGGGGGGGGGGGGGTACTGTAGGTTGGGGTACTGTAGAAAATTTGGTAGATCACGAGATTACTGTAGCTTGAGAATTCCTGGTAGATCAAATTCCGGAAATTTTGAATACCGGGGTTACTGTAGATTCTTGTAGATCAAACTTTACATTTGCACAATTTTCTTGATTTTTCAAAAGAGTTCTAGGGTTACTGTAGCTCGGAACCCTAGTTCCTGGTAGATCAAAAACTTTGGATACTCTGAAGAATACTGTACCTTCTAGATTCTGGTAGATCAAATTCCGGAAATTTTGAAGACCGGGGTTACTGTAGGTTCAAACTTTTTGGCACAATTTTCCGAGGGGTACTGTAGGTTCTGGTTACTGTAGGTTATGATAAATTCCTGGTAGATCAAAAACTTTGGATACTCTGAAGAGTACTGTACCATCTAGATTCTGCTAGATCAAATTGCGGAAATTTTTAAGAGCGGGGTTACTGTAGGTTCAAACTTTTTGGCACAATTTTCCGAGGGGTACTGTAGGTTCTGGTTACTGTAGGTTATGATAAATTCCTGGTAGATCAAAAATTTTGGATACTCTGAAGACTACTGTACCTTCTAGATTCTGCTAGATCAAATTCCGGAAATTTTGAAGATCGGGGTTACTGTAGGTTCAAACTTTTTGGCACAATTTTCTGAGGGGTACTGTAGGTTTTGGTTACTGTAGGTTCAAGTGAAGTTAGCTCGGAATCTTTCAGAGTACGGTAGGTATGGTGAAAATTTTTGCAGATCAAATTTTTTGGAACTTTTTAACACAATTATCAGAGGGGTACTGTATTTGGTATCAAAAAATTCCAAATTTCCCAAAGAACAATCTAGACTTACCGTATCTCGAATTCTAGATCCTCAACTTCTTGTCAACCTGCTCCGAACGTGGCCCAACTGTCGGACAAATGTGGGATTGCGCCTCGCTCCGCCACAACCACAAATCCTGCTGTGAAGCCAAAGGAGTCACCGGCAAATGTTTGGAGTACTGTACCGCTCAAGACGGAGTTCCAACCAACTATTTGGACTATGTCTTCTGCACTGAGAACTTCAACGAGATTCGCGAATGTTTCCACGAGCATTTGGACAAGAATCCAGCTTTCAAGAAGCCATAAGAATCTGGAACATTTTTGGCTGAAAATATCTGAAATCTTATTTTTTTTTGTTTTTTAATAATCAAGACGTGTATGAAATAAAGTATATATTTAGAAAAACATTTCAGGTGGAAAATTGTGTATTTTCCTGATTTTCAGCGCAAAATTTCAGTCCAGAAAGTTGATTTTCTACAGTAGTCCTACTTGATCCATTTTTTCGGAATTTTCGGCACAATTTTCTACAGTAACTTTTGACAGGTTTCTAGGCCCAAATTTTGTGCTGAAAATCTTGAAATCGCTGAAATTTGCTGAAAATTAGTATCTCCATGATTTTCAGCGCAAAATTTCAGTCTAGAAAGTTGATTTTCTACAGTAGTCCTAGTTGATCCATTTTTTCGGAATTTTTGGCACAATTTTCTACAATACGGGTTTCTAGACTCAAATTTTGTGCTGAAAATCATGAAATTGCTGAAAATAGCTGAAAATTAGTATTTTCATGATTTTCAGCAAACAATTCTGGTAGATTTCAGTGATACTACTGTAGTTATATTGGTTTTCCCGCGCAAATTTAATGATGGTTCTGGCAAAGCTTTTAGCATCCGAACGCCTACGAAATTAGATTTTGCTCAATAAAAAAGTGCTCATTCAAATTTGAGTTGAGCTAACTTAGCCCCCCAGACGTTTTTTTTCAAAAAAAATTTTCAAAATGTTTTTTCGATGTTAGAAAAACATTTTTATTTGTTTTGAATAAGCCCTAATTAGTAGAAGCTTATAATTTTGGGAAAAAATAAGTTTATTTTCTAGTTAACCTAACTCCTGAAACAATTTCTCTTCAAAATTTCTAGAAGAAAATATGCCAAACTATAGTCTAGTTAGGCTAACTTCTGGAAGATTACGATTTTGAATTTTTCTGTAGATCAAAAATAATCCTGCTCCTAACTATAATCTAGTTAATCCAATTTTCAACCCTCAAAAAAAGGTCAAAAAATTCCCCTAATCTAATATTCTTCATCTTCTCCTTAGAAAATCCAATTCATAATAAATTTCGAATTTTATTTTCATTTTCATTTTCCAGAAATAAATTTCACTTTTTTCATTTTTTTTGTGTTGAAAACACACTTGAAACTAGCCATTTGTCACATTTTATTCATTTTTTTTCGTATAAAATGAATAAAAAGACACTTTTCGGCAGATTTTTGGCTTTGATTAGCATCGTTAAGCCTAAGCCTAATTCTAAGTTACACTAACTTATTTTTTTTTTTTGAAGCCGGGAAAAAATAATACACTTTTGAAGCCGAAATTTTTTTATAGCTGATTTTTTTAAGCGTAAAAATTTTTGAATTCACAAATCCACGTGGCATTTTTGCTACCAGAATTTGATTTAACATGAGCAATCTCAAATTTTTGCGCCGCTCAGTTTAATTAGTTTCATTTGTCCTAATCCTGGCTAATCTTCTTAAGCCTAAGTCATTTTTGACTAGAAAAAGTATATTTTTCAACAAAAAAAAGTAATTTCGCCCAATTTCTCCTCCAAAGAGCCCACTAAAAGTTCCGCTAACTTGTCAAAAAAAAAGTGACTTTTTGTGTGTGTCAGTGTCTCAAATAACCTATTATTTTTGGCGGGGAGAAATTGGAGGAACCCTCCACTTTTTTCGCAAAAGTTTTTTTTTGTTTTGCTGGTTTTTTTGGAGCTAGTGCCACGTGGCAATTTTTGACAAAAAAAAACGAATTCGAAAAAAAAATGAAAATTCGAAGATCTGAATTTGACACGTGGAAATTTCAATCCTGGTTTTTTTTTCATTTTTTTCTCAAAAATTGTGTTTTGTTGCCACGTTTCAGGTTTCTAGGCCCAAATTTAGTGCTGAAAATCTGGAAATTGCTAAAAATGCCTGAAAACCAGTGCTTCCACGATTTCCAGCGCGAAATTTCAGTCTAGAAAGTTCATTTTCTACAGTAGTCCTAGTTGATCCATTTTTTCGGAATTTGTGGCACAATTTTCTACAGTAGTTTTTGACAGGTTTCTAGGCCCAAATTTTGTGCTGAAAATTATGAAATTGCTGAAAATGGCTGAAAATCAGTATTTTCATGAGTTTCAGCGTGAAATTTCAGTCTAGAAAGTTCCTTTTCTACAGTAGTCCTAGTTGATCCATTTTTTCGGAATTTGTGGCACAATTTTCTACAGTAGTTTTTGACAGGTTTCTAGGCCCAAATTTTGTGCTGAAAATCTTGAAATTTCTGAAAATGGCTGAAAATCAGTATTTCCATGATTTTCAGCGCAAAATTTCAGTCTAGAAACTTACTTTTTCAAAAAAAAATGTTTTTTTTTCTAAATTCTGAAACCCATCTGGCAATTGTTCTTCTAACCCAAAAAATCTATATTTTCAGAGAGAAAAAATGCTGTCACTTGCTCTAACTCTCCTAATTTTCCCCATGAGAATTCTGGCCGAAGCGATTTCGAATCGCACAGAAATTCCTGGCGGAGCCGGAGCCACTAACAGAAATTTCACAGGAATTCTGAGCGTCAAACACTGTCCGCGTGCTGATGACGCGATTTCGTCGTGTAGTAGACCAGGTGAGAAATTTTGCTAAAAATTTGTCTGAAAATCTAAAAATTTGTCTGAAAATTTGGATCAAGACTGAAATTTTATTCTGAGAATCATGAAGGTACAGATTTCCAGCCATTTTCAGCAATTTCCTGATTTTCAGCACAAAATTAGGGTCTAGAAACCCGTACTGTAGAAAATTGTGCCAAAGATTCCGAAAAAATAGATCAAATAGGACTACTGTAGAAAAGGACCTTTCTAGACTGAAATTTTTTGCTGAAAATCATGGAAATACTAATTTTCAGTCATTTTCAGCAATTTCCTGATTTTCAGCACAAAATTTGGGTCTAGAAACCTGTCAAAAACTACTGTAGAAAATTGTGCCAAAGATTCCGAAAAAATAGATCAACTAAGACTACTGTAGAAAAGGAACTTTCTAGACTGAAATTTTGCGCTGAAAATCATGGAAATATGTATTTCCAGGCATTTTCAGCACAAAATTCGGGTCTAGAAAACCGGCAAAAAGTTACTGTGGAAAATTGTGCCAAGAATTCCGAAAAATTGGATCAAATAGAATTCTCAGAAAAATTTTTAGCTCAAAAAATTTCAGAGAAATTTGTCTGAAAATCTGAAACTCATTAAAATTCCAGAGACATTCATGATTTTTTGCATAATTTTTCCGGAGAAAAAAAAATTTTCCAAAATTTTTTTTTTCAGACACAAATTTCGTCTACCACGAATGTTGTGGTGATATGAATATGGTGTGTTGTCAATATTATCAAGTGAGTTAGGCTAAGTTCTTTTTGCCACGTGGCAAAAAAAAACCCTACAGTACCCATCTGCCACGTGTCATTTTCCAGAGTTGGGTCATCTCCTCCCTCTCCTGTCTAGCTGTTTTGCTCTCAATTTTCTTCTTGTACTGCCTGGTGAAATGTTGCTGCGGCTACAGTAAGCTACAGTACCCTGGCTACAGTAACCCAAAAATTTCCAATTTTCAGAAAACAAAAGTCAACAAAGCTATCATTTCGAGAGTGCTTAGGATGTTTGGTAATTGAAAATTTTTTATAAATATTTTTTTTTTGAATTTTTTTTTGATCTACAGTAACCTAGAAATCCACGTGGCAAATTTTGCAAAACAAAAAGATTGCTCATGTTAAACCTTCCAGATTGCTCATATTATACCGAAAAATTCTGAAATTTTAATCCAAAATTGAAAAAGCATTGCTCATGTTAAAATTTTCCTACATTTTCACCAAAAAAACTATGATTGCTCATGTTAAAGTTGTTGTTTTTTTCTGAAATTTTCATCAAAATTCATGAAAAACACATCATTTTCAACCAATTTTTATGAATTTTCACCCAAAAAATCCCAAAATTCGCACACCTTCCCAAAATTTTCATCATGAAATTCCCAATCGCGCCAAATCCGCACCATCCAGCACATTCAAAACCTCATCCGAATGCAACGCATCGCTCATGTTGCGGTCGAAGCGGATTCGCGCGATTTCCGCTTGCGGCAAGTTGTTTTCCGCGAGTGCCGCTTCGCGTTCCGCAATCAATTCTTGGAGGCCGGTGCGGCGCGATTTGAGGTCCAGCAGAACTTTGTCGACTTCGGACGCCAAAGCGTATCTGGGAAAAAAAACTACAGTACTTCTAAGCTCTACAGTAACCCAATCATCTTTGAATTTCAGATTACTGTATTTAGGCTTCAGACTACAGTAGTCCAGATTTACAGTAATTTTGAGACAACCAGGAACTGGAATATTTGATCTACAGTACTCCAAACAATAGTCTACAGTAATCCTGAAATCTCCGATCTACAGTACTCTCTACAGTAATTTCAAACTTCAGATTACTGTAGTCCAAATTTTTCTGGGCTAATGTAGGTTCTAACTACAGTAACCATCAAAAAACAAGAAGAAAATTTTGATATACAGTACCCCAACTACAGTAACCCACTCACTTTTGCTCAAAAATCGCCGCTTCCCGTTTCCTCGCCAAAATCCTCTCCAAATTATTAAACTCGGCCATTCGGGCCGAAAATTGCAATTCCAGATTTTTCTGGGCCGGTCCAGCAATTTCAGCCAAAATTTGTTGTTGTTGATGTCTGTAAAATATTACTGTAGAGTACTGTATAGATACAGTAACCCTCTCACTTTTCCGAAATCGGTGGCGATAGACTTTTGGTGGATGACGTCGACGCTTGTGACGTGTCAACTGAGGGCTGCAAAGAGTACTGTAGATATTTTTTTTCGCGCGAAAATTTTTGACCTACCAGAAGATTACTGTAGTGCTCCTCTTTTTTCCTGAGTCGATCTACCATTTCGCGGGAAAATAGGATTTCTTCATCGTCGGAATCCGATTCGTAGAGATGGATCAAGTTTTTGGATTTTTGTGTGGGCATTTTCTGAAAGACACGTGGCATTTTCAGCGTCAAAACGAATTTTGACTGAAAATCAATATTTCCATGATTTTCAGCGCGAAATTTCAGTCTAGAAAGTTCATTTTCTACAGTTGATCCATTTTTTCAGAATTTTTGGCACAATTTTCTACAATAGCTTTTGACATGTTTCTAGACTCAATTTTTGTGCTGAAAATCAGGAAATTGCTGAAAATCGCTGGAAAACCATGTTTTCATGATTTTCAGCGCGAAATTTCAGTCTAGAAAGTTCAATTTCTACAGTAGTCCTAGCTGATCCATTTTTTCGGAATTTTCGGCACAATTTTCTACAGACTGGTTCTAGACACAAATTTTGTGCTGAAAATCATGGAATTGCTGAAAATAGCTGAAAATCAGTATTTTCATAATTTTCAGCGCAAAATTTCAGTCTAGAAAATTTATTTTCTACAGTAGTCCTAGCTGATCCATTTTTTCAGAATTTTTGGCACAATTTTCTACAGTAGTTTTTGACAGGTTTCTAGGCCCAAATTTTGTGCTGAGAATCATGGAATTGCTGAAAATAGCTGAAAATCAGTATTTTCATGATTTTCAGCGCAAAATTTCAGTCTGAAAGTTTAAAAAATAATTTTTTTGAGCCAAAAAAGTTCCGAACTAAAAATCAATAAAACTTCTCCTCGAGAACTACACAACAAACAAAAAAAATGCCAAAAGGAAAAAAAAACTAAAAAATTCCAACAACAAAAGACACACACCTGGAAAAATATGTGAGGAAGAGGCGAGAGATGAAAATTGGGTGAGAGGGTGCAGAGAGTCAGACGAAAATATTTTTTTTTCATATTTTTTTGTGGTGACTAAAAAGGGGATAATCTGTTATTGATTGGGAAAAGGGGGAACAAAATTATGAGGTAAAAAAAATATTTTTTTTTGAATTCGGATTTTTCGCGCCGAAAAATGAATTTGAAAATTCAAAAAAAAATTTCAAACTCACATTTTTCAGCGGTAAAAGTAGACCGTAGTTCATTTTTGCAGTGCCTTCTTGCTCTTCTTCTGCGCCTTTAAGACTTTCAATTGCTGGGATCTCGCCTGGAAAAAGAGTACTGTAGGTTCGATTCCCCATGGGCGCTACAACTTTTTTTTTTGTTTTTTTCCTTGGAGACTTACCCGAACTCCCATTTCTCAAAAATTCGGAAAAATCTAAAATTGGAATGCTTTTTCTGGCCATTTTTTAATATGGAAATGACGAAATTTTGGAAAAAAATTGGAAAATTTATTCAAAATAAACAAAATTTTGTTTCTTTTCCCGGAAAAATTGTTTTGTTCTCACGGCGAAGAAAAAAAATTTGAATTTTCAAAATTTGGCGCTAAAAATCAACTGTTCAAATTTATTGAGTAGAAGGTCACGGGTTCAAATCCCCATGGGAACTGTTATTTTCAAAAAAAAATTAAAAAAAAAATTTTTTTTAGCTAGAAAATCGACGTGGCGAAATTTAGGTTTGAAAAATTTCTAGGTGAAAGGTCAAGGGTTCGAATCCTCATGGGAACTATTTTTTCAGAAAATTTTTTTTTCGAGATTTTCAGGGTTAGAAAATCCACGTGGCAAATTTTAGGTTTGAAAAATTTCTAAGTAAAAGGTCATGGGTTCGATTCCCCATAGGAACTTTTTTTTTTCAAAAAAAAATGTTTTTCTAGATTTTCAGGGCTAGAAAAACCACGTGGCTATTTCAAACATAGTTTTCTGACTCATTTTTTCATGAAGATCTCGAATTTCAGGCTCAAATCGAGCTCTGGAGCAAATTTGCTGCCGAAAATCGTGATCCACGTCAAAAACTAGCCCCGGAATAAAAAAACAAGAAAAAAAAGTTTTGCTCTCACTGGATCGAACCAGGACCTCTAGATCACTAAAATTGCAGTTTCTGGCTCGGAATTTCATGTTGATCACGAATTTCAGCACTAAATTTTGATTTTCAGCCAATTTCACGCTGAAAATCGAGATCTACGTGGAATTCTGAATCAGAAAAGTTGCAAAATGAAAAAAAAAGAAAAAAAGTACCGCTCTCACTGGGGATCGAACCAGGACCTCTAGATCACTAAAAATGCAGTTTCTGGGCCAGACTTTTACGTACGTCTCGAATTCCAGCACTAAATTTCGATTTTCAGCCAATTTCACGCTGAAAATCGAAATCTACGTGAAATTCTGAATCAGAAAAGTTGCAAAATGAAAAAAAAAGAAAAAAAGTACCGCTCTCACTGGGGATCGAACCAGGACCTCTAGATCACTAAAATTGCAGTTACTGGCTCGGAATTTCACGTTGATAACGAATTTCAGGCTTAAATTTTGATTTTTTTTCTAAATTTTTTGCGAAATTCAAATTTCGCGGGTGAAAAAATGCGCAAAAATCCCCGGAAAATGCTCAGAAAATCATTCCGGGGTAAAAAAATGCCCAAAATTCAAATTTCGCGGGTAAAAAAGTGTCCAAAAACTCACCGGCTCCCGAAATTTCAATGCTCAAAATGCCGACTTGTCGATAGCGATTGAGCTCCGAGTGCACAAAACCATGTATTGAAACTCTTGAAAAAAACCACAAATAGAAAATGGTGGCAAAAAGTAAATAATGTCTGCGTCTCTCCACATTTCCCACACTCTCTCGTCGTTTTTATTTGCTTTTGATTTTTTTTTTTTTGGAAAAAAATGAAAGAGAATGGCCAATTTTTTGGGGGAACACTGAGAATTTTGGGGAAAAATTTGAAAAAAATTTTTTTGACCTACCTGATGAATTTTGCAGGCGCGTGGAAGAATACGGTAGCTACAGTAGTGGGCGAATTCGGGTCTCGAAACGATATTTCTCGACGTTGCGAATAATCGGCGTTATAGGATTTGCCACGTGAATTTCGAAAATGGTTCGAAGGTATGCCAAGGGATACGGTAAGTGAGGAAGCTGCAAAATGAAAAAAAATATGGATAAGGGTACTGTAGGGGTACTGTAGGTAGATCAAATATTTATTGGATTTTTGATGATCTACGAATGAATTCCTCTAGATTACTGTAGATTTTTTTGAGAAGAGGGTTACTGTATTTACACAGTAACCCATAAATCAACTTTCGAGGGGTACTGTATAATCCTTGGTTACTGTAGAATGAGTAGATCAGGAAGATCTCTACAGTATCCTGATTTTTTGATTTTTTATCTACAGTAGATTTAGGAGTACTGTAGATCTGGGAATCATTTTGAAAGGTACTGTAGTTTCCAGATGATCTGGGTACAAATGAAGTTTGAGATTACTGTAGGATTTTTGAAGCGCAAAATTTGATCTACAAATTTTCTTGAAAATCGGTTACTGTATTTACAGTAATCTTTTAGATAGATCAAAAAAGTTAAGACAAATTACAGTAGGATTTTTTTTCAGAACCAAAATTGTACAGTTACAGTACTTCTAATGAAAATTGGTAGATCAATTGTTTTCGCGCGTAAATTTGATCTACAGTACTCCAATTTTTTTGGCGCCAAAAAATTTGACTCACGTGAAAAATCGGGGTCCACTTTGATTGTGACACTGCTCACCAAACTCTCCTCATCCAGTTCCAAAATCAAACTTTGCGGGAAACTTCGATTCCTGAAATTTTTTTTGAATTTTGGCGCCAAAAATGCCACGTGGCAAAAAATTTGAACCCACTTTTCACTCCTCCAATTAATATTATTTTCATCTGAAAAATTTTCGGCTGAAAATTTTTCAGCCAAAAATTTTGGGTCAGAAGAACTTGTGGAAATTAGCGTAAAGGGAAGGGGCATTTTTTGAGAGTGGAAAAAAAAGTTTCAAATTTTTTTTCTGAAGAAAAAAAGTTTGAATATTCTATGAGTTAAGGTTTCCCGGGTTACTGTAGTGTTTTGTTTTTTGAAACCCAAAAATTTTTTTTTTGGGTAAACAGATTTTTTTTTTGATTGATAAGGTTGGAAATTGAAAAAAAAGTAGTTTTATGTTTTTTTAAATTTTGAAATTTTAAAAATTAGTTTCAGAATTTTTTTCAGAATAATTTGGAATTCCAGATTTTCTAGAAGAATTTCTGAGATTCTGAAAATTAAAAGAAATGCAAAATTTTTGGATTTTCTAGAAAAATTTCTGAAAAAAAATTTTTTTTTCAAATTTTTCAATTTTTTCAAAAAAATTAGAATTTTCAGATTTTCTAGAGGATTTTCTGAAATTTGAAAAATTTCAAAAAAATTCTTAATTTTCAGATTTTTTAAAGAGTTTTCTGAAATTTTGAAAATTCAAAAATTTTAAAAATTTCAGATTTTCTAGAGAACTTTCTGAAATTTGGAAAAAAAATTTTTCAACTTTTTGTCAAAATTTCAGAATTTCAACCAATGCCACGTGGCATCCTAAATCCAATTATTCAAATTTTCAGAGGTCCCCACAATGGACGAAAAAAACGTGAGGACCTACAAAATCGAGCACCGGGCTCAGAAAAAAGTTGGCCGAAAAAAATTCAATTTTCTATCGCTGGTAGGTCAAATTTTCTAGAATTTTTCGCGCGAAATTCAAATTTTTCTCTGCAGTTTCGCTACGCCAACTCCTACGACTGGCTATTTTTGATTTTTGGATTCGTTTTTGCGTTGGCTCAGGGATGTTGCTCAAGTGTTTCTAGTGTGATTTTCAGAACGCTGACTGATGCGCTGATTCACGGTAGGTTCAGGTTTCTAGACCCAAATTTTGTGATGAAAATCATGGAATTGCTGGAAATAGCTGAAAATCAGTATTTTCGTGATTTTCAGCGCAAAATTTCAGTCTAGAAAGTTGATTTTCTACAGTAGTCCTAGTTGATCCATTTTTTCGGAATTTTTGGCACAATTTTCTACAGTAGCTTTTAATAGGTTTCTAGACCCAAATTTTGTGCTGAAAATCATGAAATTGCTGAAAATCAATTTTTTCTTGATTTCTAGTTCAACATTTTCATCGAATTTCATTAAAAAAACAAATTTCAGGCCAAGCTCAATGGCAAAATGGGACTTTTGATCGAGAAGATTTCGAAAATCACGCGATGAAAGCGGTTCAAATGTATTTCTTGTTCGGATGTATGGTTTTCAGCCTGGCTTTTTTGTCTGTAAGTTTTCGATCTGAAATTTCAGCTTCAGAAGCCCAAATTCTGGAATTGGAGCTGAAAATTCTGGAATTCTGGAATTTTCAGCCCTGAAAAAATTCCAGATGTCGTGTTGGCACACATTTTGCGAACGTCAGATTCACAAGCTCCGGTCCGCTTATTTTCGAGCACTTTTGCGCCAGAATTGGGCGTGGTTTGATGAACACGATTGTGGGGAATTGACTACAAGGATGAGCGAGTGAGTTATGACGTCGCCTAGAGCCTAAAGCCTAAAGCCTGAAGCCTAACGCTTGAAGCCTAAAGCCTAAAGCCTAAGTGTAGATTAGGAATTTGTAAAGCCTAAAGCCTAAGTCTCAAAAACATAAGCCTAAGACAATTGCTAAGCCTAAGCCTAGAGCCTAGAGCCGAAGCTAAAAAATTCAAGTTCCACAAAATCCACTTGGCAAATTTGAATCTTTAAATATTTCTGAATATTTTTTGACTAATCTGAGCAATGCTTGTTTTTCTATCAAATAAGAATCAACATTTAATTAATCTGTTAAAATCCACGTGGAAAAAATTAATCTAATAAAAATCAGCCTAAACTTAAGCCTAACCTTAATAAAAGCCTAAGGAACTTTATGGGTCCTGAAAATCTTTCTAGATTTAACAGAAGACCTTAGGCTTATTAGAGACCTTAGGCTTATTGAAACCCTCAGGCTTATCAAAGACCTAAGGCTTATTAAAGACCTTAGGTTTATTGAAGACCTTAGGCTTATTAAAGAGCCTAGGCTTATTAAAACCCTTAGGCTTATTAAAACCCATAGGCTTATTAACGACCTTAGGCTTATTAGAGAGCCTAGGTTTATCAAAACCCTTAGGCTTATCAAAGACCTTAGGCTTATCAAAAACTTCAGACTTATTAGAACCCTTAGGCTTAACAAAGACCTTAGGCTTATCAAAGACCTTAGGCTTAGGCTTAAGCACAGTACTCTTGATTCTTCCAGCGGTCTCGAACGCGTTCGCGACGGCCTCGGCGACAAATTCGGCGCAATGATATCCTTCTCCGCCACCTTCGCCGCCGGCATCACAATCGCCTTCTACTACAGTTGGCAAATGACGCTAGTCATGCTCTCCTGCACACCGTGCTTCTTCATCCCAATCGGCTGCGCCTACAAATTCATGTCGCGCGTCGTTCCGGAAGAACAAAAAGCCTATAGCGATGCGGGAAGCTGCGCGGAAGAGGTGATTTCCGCCATCAAAACGGTGGCCTCATTCAACGGACAGGAGAAGGAGGTGGAAAGATATTCGGGGCATTTGGCCCGGGCCTCGAAATTCGGCGCCAAGAAGGCCTATCTCACCACATTCGGTGTGGCATTTCTGAATTTTGCGCTGTTCACAGCGATGGCTGTGTCCTTCTGGTTCGGCACAAAAATGGTGATCCAAGGGACCATTAGCCCGGGAACCACATTTGCCGTATTCTGGGCGGTATCGAATGCGATGTACTCGCTGGCGCAGGCCGCTCCGCAAATCCCGGTTTTCCTGGCGTGTCATGGAGCGGCACGGCCGATTTTTGAAGTTATTGATCGAGAGCCCGAGATTGATAGTGTTTCGGAGCTCGGGGAGAAGATGCGACAGGAGGCGGTGAAGGGGAATGTGGTTTTTGAGGTGAGCAGAGGAATTTTGGAACAAATTTTCAGATTCCACGTGGATTTTTTACAGATTTTTTGGGTACCAATTTTGTCAAGGTTCCCAGAATAAAACCCCACAGTAATAGTTTTGGGCCCAAAATTTTTTTAATTTCAAAAATTAATTTCGGGTCAGAATTCTAGGCTGAAATCCAAAAATTCCAGAAAATTAATCTGAAACTTTTCCACGTGGCACTTTTGAGACAAAAATTTGCGATTTTCAAACTCCCGAATTTTGGGTAAAAACAAGCAATGCTCACATTAGTTTGGAATTTTTTTTCGAATTTTTAAAATGCTTCTATTTTTTCATCAAAATTCAGAATTTTCTAAGAATTTCGAATCCACGTGGATTTTTATTCGGATTTTATTTTTTGAGAAAAAAAAGAATTGCTCATGTTAGTCCAAAAAATCGAAATTTCAATTTGCCACCTGGATCGCTAAATCCACGTGACAAATTTAAATCTGAAGGCTAATATGAGCAATGCTTGACACGTGGAAGTTTGAGAAAAACAATCATTGCTCATGTTACTCAAAAAAAATGGCGAAAATTCTAGATTTTTAGAAGTCTTAAATAATTTTTCAAAAACTTTGCCACCTGGCAATTTTGATCGAAAAATTGAGCATTGCTCATGTTAGTCCAATATTTTCCTAAATTTTTAAAATCCAAATTGCCACGTGGATTTTTATTAAGAAAATTTTGCCACGTGGCAATTTTGAGCCAAAATTTATTACAAATTTTTTAAAAGAAAAAAGCATTGCTCATGTTAGTCCTAAATTTTGAAAATTCCTTCAAATTTTCAGAACGTCCGTTTCCGCTACCCAACACGTTCCGAAGCGGAAGTCCTAAAAGGCGTAAGCCTCGAAGTGCGCAGCGGTGAAAGCATCGCATTTGTCGGACATTCCGGATGCGGAAAATCGACGCTCGCCTCACTCCTCATGCGATTCTACGATCTCAAAGATGGTCACGGTCAAATCTCGATCGATTCGATTCCGATCACCCAAATCAACGTTCCGCATCTCCGGAATGTGTGCGGAATTGTTGCGCAAGAGCCGCTTCTGTTCGCGGACACTGTCGAGAATAATATACGTTTGGGAGCGCCGGAGATCAGTGAGAAGGAGTTGAGGAAGTGTTGTAGGCTGGCGTTTGCGCACGAGTTTATTACGCAACTTCCGCTGGGGTATAAGACGATGATTGGTGCTGGTGGGGTGCAATTGTCGGGTGGACAGAGGCAGAGAATTGCGATTGCGAGGACGTTGGCGAGAAAGTGAGTTGGGATAAGTCTAGAGAGCCTAGATTTTGATCTACAAAATTTGCGTCAGCAAGTAGACTTACAGAAAATACGTCAGCTAATGTTGAACCTAGATTTTAAGCTACAAAATCTGCGTCAACAAGTACACCTACAGAAAATGCGTCAGCTAAACCTGAGCCCAGATTTCGAGCTACAGAAAATGCGTCAGCTAATGTTGAACCTAGATTTAGAGCTACAAAATATGCGTCAACAAGTAGAACTACAGAAAAAGCGTCAGCAAATCGCGAGCCTAGATTTTGGGCTACGAAAATTGCGTCAGCTGAACCTGAGCTCAGATTTTGATCTACAAAATCTACGTCAGCTGAAATTAAGCTACAGAAAAAGCGTCAGCTAATGTTGAGCCTAGAGTTTGAGCTACAGAAATTGCGTCAGCAAGTAGACCTACAGAAAATACGTCAGTAAGTAGAACTACAAAAAATACGTCAGCAAATTCAAAGCCATATTTTAAACTACCAAGTTTGTGTCAGCAAAACCAGAACTACAAAATTTGTGTTAACACTTTTGATCTACAGAAAATACGTCAGCAAAACCAGAAGCATGTTTTCGAGCTACAGAAAACGCGTCAGTTAATGTTGAACCTAGATTTTGAGCTACAGAAAATACGTCACCTGAAGCTGAGCTCAGATTTTGAGCTACAGAAAAATCGTACAGCAAAGTAGTGAATACGGCTTGCTTAACAATTTTTTTTTAAATTCAAAATTTTCATATCATATTTTTGAAACATAAAATTTTCTGGAATTTTTTTTAATATCACAGAAGGAAACCACGTCATAACCTATTTTTCCCATTTTCAGACCTTCAATCCTAATTCTTGATGAAGCAACAAGTGCTCTAGACACAGAAAGTGAAATAATGGTTCAACAAGCCTTGGACAATGTGAGTTGACTACGACACTCCGCTGATTCCGCTCAAATTTTCAGGCAAAACTCGGGCGAACCACAATAACCATAGCTCATCGTCTAACAACCATCAAAAACTGTGACAAAATCTACGTTTTCGACGAGGGCAGAATCGCGGAGAGCGGAACACACGCGGAACTCCTTGCCGCGCGCGGCATCTACGCGGAACTCGTTCGCCTTCAGGACACCTCGCGTAAAGAATCCGCAGTGGAAGAAGTCGCGGCGCGACCTGCGGAACGCGAGAAAATCAGCAAGCGGTTATCAAAGGCCTTCTCATTGACCGCGGAAAGATTGGACGCGGAATTGGCGTGTTTGCAAGTTCAGGCGAAAGCGGACGGCGCGGAAGAATCAACAATGTTGGAGATTCTACAGTATGCCAGGCCTGAATGGGCCTATTTATTAGGCTCGATGGTCTTGTCGATTTTGAGAGGCCTGAATTTTCCGATTTTTTCGCTGTTGTATGGACGGATGTTTAGGGTGGGTTCAGAAGCCTCGAAACTCCACGTGGCAAATTTTTTTTCGAAATTCTAGCTAAACATTGCCACGTGGAAAATTGTAATTTCCAAAATTCAGGACTAACATGAGCAATGCTTATTGATTTTTCGATCAAAATTGCCGAAATTTTTGAACAATTATTCTGAAAATCCAGAATTTCCAGCATTTTGTGAGTTTCTCGAAATTGCCACGTTTCAAAAAGCATTGCTCATATTAGCCCTAAAAATTAAACTTGTCACATGGACTTGTTAATTATCCACGTGGCAAATGAGAAAAATTCAACTAATTTTTTGAGCTCAAAAATTCCACGTGGAAAAAATTTCCAAAAAAAAAATTATTATAAAAAATCCACGTGGATTTCTCAGAAAATTAAGAATTCCTTTTTAAAGAATAGTTTTTTTTTGAAAATTCTGAAAATTTTAAAATTTAGTTTTTTGAGCTCAAAAATTTCACGTGGAAAAAATTTCCGAAAAAAAATCTGAGAAAAAAAAAATTCACGTGGATTTCTTAGAAAATTAAAAATTAATTTTTGCAGAAATTTTTTTTTTTGAAAATTCTGAAAATTTTAAAATTCAATTTTTTGAGCTCAAAAAATTCCACGTGGAAAAAGTTTGAAGAATTTCTAAAAATAAAAAAGAATCCACGTGGATTTCTCACATTCAGAAAATTAAGAATTCATTTTTAAAAGAAAATTTTTTTTTGAAAATTCGGAAAATTTAAAATTCAATTTTTTGAGCTCAAGAATTCCACGTGGAAAAATTTTAAATTTGACTTTTTGATCTCAAAAAATCCACGTGGCATTTTTGGCGTCAAAAGTTCGAAATTCAAATTTTTCGCGTCAAAAAATCTACGTGACAAAATTTTAAATCGAAATTTTGGCGCCAAAAATGCCACGTGGATTTTTTTTAGATAAGAAAATCTAATTTCAAATTTTTCCACGTGGATTTTTTGGCGGGAATAATCAAATTTCAAAATTTCAACGCGCAAAAAAAATACAGCAGAAAAATTGAAGCACCAGAAAATCCAGGTGGCATTTTTGGTGCCAAAATTTTGGGATTTTCTGAAAATGCCACGTGGCACTTCCAAAATCTTCCCAACTTCTCAAATTCCAGATTCTCTCAACCGGCACCGCCGCCGAAAAATCCACCAACGCCGCCCAAAACTCCATCTACTTTCTCATTCTCGGCTGCATCGCCGGCGCCGCAACAATGTCCGCCGGCTGCCTGCTGGGTTCCGCAGGCGAATCCCTAACGCGTCGCCTCCGCATCCAACTCTTCCGCAACATCCTACGACAAGACGGCGAGTATTTCGACAAACCGGAGCATGCAACCGGGCGGCTTACAACGCGGCTTGCGGCCGACGCGCCAAACATCCGCGCCGCGTTGGATCAACGACTCGCGGATGTGATTCAAGGTGTCTCCGCCGTCGCCGGCGGTGTTCTTATCGCATTTTTCTACGGCCCCGCGATGGCGCCTATCGGAATTCTCACCTCCTCCACACTCATCGCCATTCAAACCCTGGTAGCTCAATTTCTCAAGCGTCGCGGAACGCAGGACGCAATCCGCGCGGAAGAACCGTCACGCCTCGCCACCGAAGCCATCGAACAATACCGGACAGTCCAGTTTTTGACGCGGGAAAATTTTTTCGTCGAGAAATTCGATCGCGAGATGTCAGAGATTCACGCGCGCGGTGTGAAACGTGGCATTTTTCAGAGTTTCAGCTATTCGCTGGCGACGAGTTATGTGTTTTTCAATTTTGCGGCTGCTTATCGATATGGTATTGAACTAATTAATCGGGGCATTATTTCGCCGTTTACCAGTTTTCAGTGAGTTGCTCATGTTAAACCAAAAAATTGGATTGCTCAGCTTAGCAATAAAAAATTCCAGAATATTTTTTGATCTTAATAATTCAGAGCATTGCTCATTTTAAGCCAGAAAAATCTGATTTTTTTCAAATCTACATTTTACCCAGAATTTTGAGAATTGCTCATTTTAAGTCAGAAAATTGGATTGCTCTGCTTAACAATAGAATATTTCTTGATCTCAATAATTCAGAGCATTGCTCATGTTAAACCAGAAATCAATATATATTTCGAAAATTGGAACATTGCTCATTTTAAGCCAGAAAACTCTGATTTTTTCAAATCTACATTTTACCCAGAATTTTGAGCATTGCTCATATTAGGTCAGAAAATTGGATTGCTCAGCTTAACAATAGAATATTCCTGAATATTTTTCAATCTCAATAATTCAGAGGATTGCTCATGTTAAACCAGAAATCGAGATATTTTTCCAAAATCGGAACATTGCTCATATTAGGACAGGAAATTGAATTGCTCAGCTTAACAACAGAATATTTTTTAATCTCAATAATTCAGAGCATTGCTCATGTTAAACCAAAAATCGAGAGATTTTTCCCAAAATTTCCCTAGATTGCTCATGCTAAACAATTATTATTGTAGAGCTTTTATACCCAAATTTCGACAAAATTGGTGGATTTTGAAGCATTGCTCATATTAAAAATTATTTTTTTTGAGAATCGAATTTCCAGCATTTCTCAGATTAGCTCTTATGATATTTTTCATATTTTAAAAAATCGAGCCCAATTTTTAGAGCATTGCTCAGGCTACCTGCAAAAATTTTCTGAACAAAAACATTGCTCATGTTAACATTTAGCTGAAATGAAGCATTGCTCATATTAAATCCAAAAATCCCAAAATTTTATAGCATTGCTCATATTAACCTCTATATTTCTTGCAGAGTCATCGAAGCCCTATCCATCACTTCGCAATCAATTCTAGCATTCGGAACCTATGTTCCAGAATATGTTCGAGCTCGAATTTCAGCCGGGCTGCTTTTCAGAATGCTCAGGGATAAGCCACGGATCGATAGTGAGAATGATGAGGGGCGAGTTATGGTAAGTTACGATGCTCCGCGTTTACACCTTCAAAAATGCCTTATTTTTGTCTAAAATCGAGCTCGTAAACGCGGAGTATCGTTTTTAAAATCAAAATCATTTCAAATTCCAGACGCTTAACGGTGACGTCACCATGAACAACATCTACTTCGCCTATCCAAATTCTAGAAGAAACATGGTGCTCAACGGATTTGGCCTGAAAATCAAATCAGGTCAAACCCTGGCGCTTGTTGGAGCAAGCGGATGCGGAAAATCTACAACGATTCAGCTTCTACAACGATTTTATGATCCGATTGCGGGAACTTTGACATTTGACGGCGTGGATTTGCCGGATTTGAATTTGCGGAATTTGAGAAGTCAGGTGGCGCTGGTCGGACAGCAGCCAACGCTTTTTAATTATTCGATTAGGTGAGTTATGACGTGGCAAAATTTTTAAAGAGGGTTCTTTTGAGTCCAAACATCGCTAGGGTACTGTAGAAGTTAGGGTAACTTTAGAAGCTTAAGATGAACCTTATGACGTGGCAAACCCTCATTTTTTGCAGAGAAAACATCGCGTATGGTCTCGAGGCGACAAGCGACGCGGAAATTTTCGCTGCGGCGCGGCTCGCCAACGCGGACGCCTTTATCCGCAAAATGCCGGATGGGTATGATACGGTGGTAGGAGAGGGCGGCAATAAATTGTCAGGTGAGGAACGGGGATCTACAGTAATTCGATGACACGTGGATTTTCTTGATCTACAGTAATCTAGAGAAAATTGTGCCACGTGGATATTTAAGAGCTTTGAACTTTGATCTACATTTTTTGGAATTTACTCTCTTCCTAAAAATAAATGCCACGTGGATGTATATACACTACAGTAAGGGGGCTATTCAGCGATTTTCTCAACACGCTGAGAAAACTGGAAAAATGCTGAGAAAATCATTTTCTCAACCGTTTTCCCTATTTTCTCAGTCTACCTGAATAAGTTTTCTCAACCATTTCAGCGTTGAGAAAAGACGTTGAGTAGCCCCATAATAAAGAAAAAATTGTGCCACGTGGATTTTTGGAAGCTTGAAATGTTGATCTACATTTTTTTCAAGAGGGAAACATTCCAAGTGGATTACAGTAATCTAGACAAATTGTGCCACGTGGATTTTAAACATTCTCAAACAAGAACTATTGGGCCTTAAAGCTTTCAAAATTCTCCAAAAAACTCAACTTCAGGCTCAAAATTCTTCAAAATTTCAGAATTCTCAACCCGAAAATCTTAAAATTTAATTCCAGGCGGTCAAAAACAACGCGTCGCAATAGCTCGTGCAATCGTTCGCCACCCGAAAATCCTCCTCCTAGACGAGGCAACCTCTGCTCTCGACGCCGAATCCGAAAAACTGGTGCAAACCGCGCTGGAGGCCGCCAAAAAAGGCCGAACGTGTATTATAATTGCTCATCGGCTTTCGACAATTCAATCGGCTGATATTATTGCTGTGGTTCAGAATGGGAAAATTGTTGAGCAAGGAAGTCATAAGCAATTATTGGCTATTGAAAATGGAGAATATGCTAAATTTGTACAAAAATCACAATTAAAATAAAGTGCATTTCGAGATTTTGAGCCTATTGCTCATGTTAACTGGAAAAATTCGGATTTTTGTTGAAGCTAATATGAGCAATATTCAAACTTGTTCGAAAGAATTGCTTATGTTAAAGTAAAAAATCAAGGAAATTCTGGGATTGCTCATGTTGATCTAGATTTCAGACAAAAAACTTTAAGCATTGCTCATATTAACCTTTTTGAAGGTATTGCTCATGTTAGCTAAAAAATCACATAATATTCAAGTCAAAATTCAAGATAATTCATGAATTTTGAACATTGCTCATGTTAAGTGAGATTTCAATAGGTGAAAAATCGCAACATTGCTCATATTAGCTGGAAAAAATCCCCCCCCCCTCCTTAAATGGGATTTCAAGAGAAGAAAAATCAAAACATTGCTCATATCAGATTTTCTAACGGTATTGCTCATGTTAGTTGAAAATATCCGGATTTTTAAGCCAAAATTCAAGAAAATTCAGGAGTTTTGAGCATTGCTCATATTAATTCTGTTAAAAGTATTGCTCATGTTAGCTCAAAATTAAATTAAACGCTATAAATTCCACGTGGCAATATTTTCTCAAAACAAAATTTGAAAACAAAAATCCACGAGGCAAAGATTCTTTGAAAATTTTCTAATCAAATTAAAAAAAATTTTTTCGTAAATTTCTAAATTTCCTCATGCCACGTGACAACCTTTATTTAATTTGATTTTCCAAAAAAAAATTTTTTTGCACAGTTCAACCTCGAGACAAAATCCCATTATTCGCCAAATAAATTTGTTTCGCCTTGAGAAAAAAAAAAAGTTTTTTTTTCTTGATCACTTGACCATTTTGTTTGTGTAAAGTCACAAACCAAAATATTTTGGTCATTTTCGAGAAAAATATTTTTTTTCCTTTTAGAAAGAAAAAAATGCGCGCCGAATTTCTCCTAATCGTCTTATCGATTCTCGTTTTTTGGGCTGAAACTGGTAGGATTTTCAGAATTTTCAGCCAAAAAAAAAATCTGAAATTTTCAGCACCGATTCAAAAACGTCAAGACGATGCGGATTGGTGGAATTCCGATTCTTCATCTGAAAATTCCAGAGACTATGAGGAATTTCTGGCGTGGAAGAGACGAAGGAACAATTATTTGAGGCGAAAACAGTGGGTTACTGTAGATTTTTGGGTCCGGGTTACTGTAGGGCTACTGTAGAGCTTCAATTTGATACCAAACATGGCTAGGTTTGGGTTACTGTAGCAATTTTTCTTAGAAATTCGGTTTTTGTTATTTTTTATCAGGTGATCGAAAAAATGTTATGACGTGGCAATTGAGTACTGTAATTTTTTGAATTTCAAATTTGAATCCAAAAAAGCCTTGGATTACTGTAGATTCCAAAAAATGCGAGGAAAAATCCGAAATTTTCAAAAAAAAAGTACCAGAAAATTTTACGTTTCAAAAATGTGTGATAAAAATTTTGATTTGTGAAAAAATTTTGATTTATGCATTTCGTGAAGCCTGAGAAGCCTAAAGAAGCCTAAAGAAGCCTTAAAAAGCCTGAAAAACCTAAAGAGCCTGAAAAGCCTGAAAAGCCTAGAGAGAAAGAGAACTTCCAAAAATTTCAAAAAAAAAATGTACCAGAAAATTTTACGTTTCAAAAATGTGTGATAAAAATTTTGATTGATGCATTTTGTGAAGCCTTAGAAGCCTTAAGAAGCCTAAAGAAGCTTAGAGAAGCCTAAAAAGCCTAGAGAAGCCTAAAAAAGCCCGATTTTTTCCAGATACAACTACAATTCCTCGCGCTGGCGTGACTATCACTACCACTATCACGAACCATCACAAAACTACAATTATCACAACTCTCCTGGATATTCATCGGGTTACGGTAGTGGGTACGGTAGTGGATATTATCCGGGTTACGGTGGAGGTTACGGTGGCGGATACGGTTCAGGCGGCGGAATTTTCAGTCTTGGATTCACGCGAGGTCTGGGAATCTCGACGCCGATTGGTGGATTTGGAATTGGAAGTGGATTCGGGATTGGGATCGGATAAATTTAGGCTTCGGGCTTTTTTAGGCCTAGGCCTATTTTGAATCCTTTTGTGTACATTTTTTGCTATGTTTTATTCAAAATAAAAATTTAGTGAACCTTTTTTTTTCAAATCTGATTTTTCGGGTCTCGAAAAATCCACGTGGCATAATTTTTTGGTATCAAAATGAAGATCTACAGTAACCCATGGCCACGTGGAATTCTGGAACTTTTTTCAAACTGAAAATTCAGGAAAATACAGTATATTTGCGAAACCACACCTAACAATCTGATTTGAAAATTTTCAATTTTCACAAATTTTTGAAACGTAAAATTTTCGGGGAATTTTTTGAATTGAAAAATTTCAGATTTTTAACGAAATTGAGATAATCTACAGTAGTCCTAGGCGAAATTGGACTGACAATTTGAATTTTCAGAAAATACAGTACTCGTTTGCCACGTGGCAAGACTTTTTTCGATCAAAAACCAAATTTTGAAAAAATTCCTAATCAAATTTGGTATCAAAATGAAGCTTTACAGTTGCTCTACAATAATCCGCGCTTAAAAACCTACAGTAACCCATGACCACGTAGAATTTCGGAACTTTTTGAATCTGAAAATTCTGGAAAATATAGTCAAATGGGGAACCCGCACGAAACAATCTGATTCGAAAATTTGCAATTTTCACAAATTTTTGAAACGTAAAATTTTCGGGGAATTTTTTGAATTGAAAAATTTCAGATTTAGCCTCAAAAATGCGCTATGACGTGGCAAAATTTCGCATGTCCCTTTAAAAACCAACCCGGATATTTGCCCTAATTAATCAACTATCATTAAACCAAATCAATAAAAACTAATGGCATGGGAAAAAAGAAAAAAAAACTTTCTCTTTTTTTTTGTTAGTTCTGGTCTCTGTCTATCCATTTTATCTCACTTTATGATTATTATTCTTATCATGCCCAAAAATCTTCTGCTGATTTTGCTGATCTTGGGATTCTGCCGCGCGGCGGCTCAAGACGCGGAGCTTCCGCTTCTCGCCGAGCTCGTCAATCCCGCACAACACTATCAGTTGCGCGACATTTTGTCGACGATTTTCGATTTGGATACGATTCAGGCGGCTGCGGATTCCGCGAGCGTTTCCGCGGGTGACTCGCGGCAGAAGCCCGAGTATACGGACAGGTTGAGCAGTATTTCGGAGCTGAATCGGGGGAAAAGGTAAGCGGATTACTGTAGGGTTACTGTAGAGCTTCATTTTGATACCAAATATGACTAGGAATTTTTAGATTAAGAAAATTTTATTTTTAATCTTCAAAAAATTTTGCCACGTGGAAAACGTGTACTGTAATTGTTGAACTTCGAATTATGATCACAAAATTGTCTAGGGCTACTGTAGAGCTTTATTTCAATACCAAAAATGACTAGAGTTGGGTTACTGTAGACTTCTAGGCCTAGATTACTGTAGATCTCTGATCGAAAAAGTCTTGCCACGTGGCAAATGAGTACTGTAATTTTTGAAATTTCAAATTTTTAGTCCAAATATGTCTAGGACTACTGTAGATTATCTCAACTTCTTTAAAAATCTGAAATTCTAGATTCAAAAAATTTCCAAAAAATTTTACGTTTCAAAAATTTGTGAAAATTGCAAATTTTCCAATCATTCGATTGTTGTACAAATTCCTACATTCAAAATTACCGTACTCATTTGCCACGTACCTAGTCATATTTGGTATCAAAATAGAGCTCTACAGTAGCCCTGGACAAAAATCAATACAGTATTGCCACGTCATAACTCGATGTTTTTAGAAATCTCCTCTTCCAAGGTGACATTCATCTATCACGCGATCATTTGGCTAATATTGTTCGTGAGCAACTAAATCACAAGAGGAAAAAGCGCACGGCATTTCGAAATTCTCAATATCCTCATACAATTTGGAAACCCCATGTTCCCTACACGTTTCACAAGAGTTTGAGTAAGTCCTGACAAGTAGCCGCGCCTTGAGAGTGTTTGTATCAAGGAGCTGCGCCTTGTGAACACCTCTGTCAAGGAGCCGCGCCTTGCAAGTGTTTAACTCAAGGAGCCGCGCCTTGTGAGCTCTCAAACCACAAATTTCCAGCCCCAAAAGCTCGTGCATCTCTGGAAGCCGCCATTCAATTTTGGCACCAAAACACTTGTGTGAATTTCAAAGTTCGGACGACGGAAAAAGTCTATTTGGCCATGTCTGGCCAGGAAGACGGATGTTGGAGTACTGTGGGCCGGGATGAAGCTCAGGGTGCGCAGATTTTGAATATTGGAAAAGGTTGTGAGATGGTGAGTGAAAGTTATTTGAAAGAAGTTAGGGTAACTCTGGACCTAGCGGGCAATTTTGAAAATTAATAGCACCTAGAGATTCAGCGCGAAATTTTGATCTAGAAGCATTTCTGAGATTTTTGAAAATTTCAAAATTTTGAAAAAAGGTGACCCCCCTCTATAAAAGTTAAGGGGGGGGGGTCACATTTTCCGGAAACAGGCGGAATCATGAAAAAACAATAGCACCACGAGAATCAGCGTGAAATTCTGATCTGGAAACATCTACAAAACCCAAATGGTGGAACTGGTAACACGGCTGCCTATTGAGTTGAGGGTCACAGGTTCGAACCCACCTCGGAACTATTTTTTTTGAAAATCATAGTTTCCCGGGTCAGAATTTTGTGCTGAATCTTGTAGTGAGATTTATTTTGCTAGAAAATGTAAGATACTTAGGCTAACTCCAAAATCATTGGAGCTAGAAGAATTCTGAGATTTGGAAGTGAATCAATGCAAAATTTTGATCATGAAACTCCTCTTAAACTCGAGAAAATCTTACATATGAGATGAGATGGTGCAACTGGTAGAAGGTCTGCCTATTGAGCTAAGGGTCAGAGGTTCGAACCCACCTCGGAACTATTTATAGTTTCCCGGGTCAGAATTTTGTGCTGAATCCAGTGAAAACATCCAGAATAATCGCAAAGCCCCACCTTTTTGCAGTTCGGCGTAACATCCCACGAACTCGCACACGCTCTCGGCCTCTTCCACGAGCAATCCCGATACGATCGCGATTCCTACGTGCAAATCATCAAATCCCGCATCGCCAGGCAAAACTTCTACGATTTTGCGATCGTCGGACCAAGCAACATGGATACCTATAATGAGATTTATGATATTGGAAGTGTTATGCACTATAGGCCGACTGAATTCAGTCAAGATGGAGGAAATACGATAAATGCGAATGATGTGAATATGCAGGGAACTATGGGACAATTTCGGGGACCGAGTTTTTTGGATGTTAAGAAGATTAATAAGCATTATGAGTGTGATAGTGAGTTTTGAGAGGGGGACGGGTTAACATTTGACACGTGGCAGGTTAGGGCTGCTGTAGAGCTTCATTTTGATACCGAATATGACTAGGCACGTGGCAAATGAGTACGGTAATTTTGAAATTCGGAATTTGTACAACAATCGAATGATTTGAAAATTTGCAATTTTCACAAATTTTTGAAACGTAAAATTTTCTGGAAAAAATTTTTTTTGAATCGAGAATTTCAGATTTTTAAAGAAGTTTAGATAATCTACAGTAGTCCTAGACATATTTGGACTAAAAATTTGAAATTTCAGAAATTACAGTACTCATTTGCCACGTGGCAAGACTTTTTCGATCAGAGATCTACAGTAATCTGGGCCTAGAAGTCTACAGTAACCCAACTCTAGTCATTTTTGGTATCAAAATAAAGCTCTACAGTAGCCCTAGCCAATTATTTTTTGCTTATTTTGACTTCGAAAATTGAAATATAAAATCTCATGCTACAATTTGCCACGTGTCAAAAAATTGGTCAAGAAAAATCCCTCAGAGGCTAACATGAGCAATGTTTTTTCTCCATCTCAAAAATGCTCTAAATTTTCGGCCATAACATGAGCAATGCCCCAAATTTCCTACAAAATATGAGCAATGCTCGAAAAAAAATGTTTCAAGTTCATCCAGTTGTTAACATGAGCAATGCTCTGATTTTCCGGAATATTTTGGTCAACAAAAATTCTGGGGTTTCTAGCATGAGCAATGCATCAATTTTTCAAAAAAAAAATCCACGTTGATTTTCCACATAAAAATGTTTTTACCATGAGCAATGTAAAAATTTTTCTAGAATTTACTATTTAAAAATTACAAGCAAGGATTTAATTTTCCTCAGAGGTTAACATGAGCAATGCTATAATTTCACCCGAAAATTTTCGAATTTCGGGTCCAGAAAATACAAATTTTCATCTCTAGCATGAGCAATGCTCCAAATTTCCTACAGAAATCTGCAAAAACGCTCTAAAATGTGCCAACGGCGGCTACCAACACCCGCGAAAATGCGATCAATGCATTTGTCCAACCGGATTTGGTGGCAAAACTTGCGACGATATCGACGTGGCAAATCCGGCAAAATGCCGTGGAGTTTTGACAGCCAGTGAGGAGCAGCGGAAATTTACGATTAACATTAAGCCTAAGGCTACGGCTAAGGGCATAAGACAGTGTAATTATCACATACAGGTTGGTTTTCGGGAAAAAAATTGGGTATTTTTGATACCAAACATGAGATGTTCATATTGAAAATGCCACGTCATAGCTTTAAAAAAATTTTGGACTCAATCACATTTTTTCAGGGCAGAATGCCACGTCATAAGCTTGATTTTACTCAGAACAGTTTTCGAAATGGGTATCGTTTTTCCACACACATCACAAATTTTATCACACATTTTTGAAACGTAATTTTTTTGGGAAATTTTTTTGCAATTGAAAATTTTGGATTTTTCTCAGGTGATTGTGGTCTACAGTAAGCCTGGGCTAAATTCACAGTTGAAAAAAATTACCGTACTCATTTTTTGCCACGTCATGACTTGTTCATAGTCATATTTGATATCAAAATGAAGCTTTACAGTAGCTCTACAGTAATCCGGGCCGCAAAAATCTACAGTAACTCAAACATAGTCAAACTTGGTATCAAAATGAAGCCCTACAGTAGCCCTAGCCAAGTCTGTTCTCAGAAAACTACAGTACTCGTTTTCTACGTGGCAAAATTTAAAAAAATCCTACTCATATTTGATATCAAAATGAAGCCCTACAGTAGCTCTACAGTAATCCGGACCGCAAAAATCTACAGTAATCCAACCATAGTCAAATTTGGTGTCAAATTAAAGCCCTACAGTAGTCCTACAGTAATCCACATCTGCAAACCTACAGTAACCCAAACCTAGTCATATTTGGTATCAAAATGTAGCTCTACAGTAACCCTAACCTGCCACATGTCAAATTTCCAGGCTCCCGAAGGCAAAAAGATCGTGATCTACCTCGATTCAGTGATCGGAAACTGTGTGCAAGGTTGCTACGAAGAAGGTGTCGAGCTGAAAATGTACGCTGACAAAACTGTGACCGGCGCCAGATTTTGCTGCAAACTCAAAAAGCCGCAGATCCTGGTCTCGCAGACGAATCTGGTCCCGATTATTCTGATGGCCGGGAAAGCTCAGGCTTTTGTGCAGCTCAGATATTCCTATGGTAAGCTGAGATGAGCTGAAATTTTCAAATTTTCAGCCAAAAATTTCGAATTTCAGTCGATTCCCCGCTATCCCGAAGTCCAATCTCAGCTTCGCAATCAATTTCTCAAACCTCGCAACCATCTTCAAATTTCCAATCGAAATTCGAGGATTTGAAAATCGATAGTGAGAAAATTCGACAGGATCATCTGATTTCGCAGAATGCGACGACGACGAATTCGAGCGATTTTGAAGAGCTATATAGGAAATCACTTTTTTGAATTCAACAAGATCTCATAAATTATTTTTGATTAGGATATTCATAATCAGCGCAAAATTCTGAGTCTAGAGAGTATAATTTTCAAAAAAAAAAAAGTTCCGAGGTGGAATTGAACCTGTGACCCTCAACTCAATAGGCCGATCTGTTACCAGTTGCACCATCTGTACAAGTAAACATTTTCCAAATTTTAGATATGTTTCAGGATCAAAATTCTGCACTGATTCCTGTCGAAATCTCAGAATTCTTTTAGCTCCAATAATATTGGAGTTAGCCTAAGTAACTCAAATTTTCTAGCAAAATGAATCTCACCACAAGATTCAGCACAAAATTCTACCCCAAAAAATTAAAATTTTCAAAAAAAAATAGTTCCGAGGTGGGTTCGAACCTGTGACCCTTTGCTCAATACGCAGACCTGTTACCAGTTGCACCATTGTGAAGTTTTAGAGATGTTTCAGGGTCAAAATTTCACGCAGATTCTCATGGTGCTATTGATTTTCCATGATTTCCACAGGTTCAAAAAAAGGTGACCCCCCTGGGTCCATAAAAAAGGGGGGGGGGTCACCTTTTCGAAAATTTCCAGATTTTCAGATATTATTCTAGATCAAAATTTCGCACTGAATCTCATGGTGCTATTTATTTCCAAAAATTTCCGCCAGTTCCAGAGTTACCCTAACTTCTTTCAAATCATCCTTCCTAACTATGCCAAATTCCATATAATCCGACCTCCAAAACCACCAAAAACCACTTATTTCTGTGTTTCAAAATGTTTGTTTTTTCATTTTTCAGTTTTTGTTTTTTGTCCAAAACAAAAAAAACAGGAACACTGTAAAAATGTTGTTTGTTTTAGAGTTAATCAAATTTTTTATGCCTCATTAAAGCAAAAAGAAAGTGCGGTTGTAAAATTGTAACTTTTTTTTCGAAAATATTTTTCTGAAAGTGCGCGCTAATTAAATGTATCTTCTGGGATGATCAGAAATCTTCTGGGTACTGTAGGGAACTTTTTTTTGGAAAATTTTGAAATCAAGTGTTTTCTCGTTAAAGAAAACACTTGAGAAAGGTTTTTGATTTTCGCTTTGTCAGGTTTTTTTTCTAAATTTTTGAAAAATTTCAGATTTTTCATCAAATTTCATTAGCATCACGAAATTCATCGCAAAAAATTGACCCTGAAACAGATGGCTCAGCTGGTCACAGCTCTGCCTGTCAAGTGAAAGGTCGTGGGTTCGAATCCTCCTAGGAACTATTTTTTGAAAATCACATTTTTTTTCTGAAACTAGCGGGAATTTTTGAAAATGAATAGCACCACAAGACTCACCGTGAAATTTCGATCTAGAAACATATCTGAGATTTTTGAAATTTTCAAAATTCAGAAAAAAGGTGACCCCCCTTCCCCATAAAATCTCGGGGAGGGTCACATTTTCAGAAATCAGGCGGAACCATGGAAAATCAATAGCACCACGAGAATCAGCGTGAAATTCTGATATGGAATCATCTTGAAAACCCCGGAATGGTGCAACTGTTAACAGGTCTGCTTATTGAGTTGAGGATCACAGGTTCGAATCCACCTCGGAACTTTTTTTTTTGAAAATTTTAGTTTTTTGGGGTAGAATTTTTGTGCTGAATCTCGCTATCCTATTAGTTTCCCGGGGAAACTAAGAATTACTCATGTTAAGTTGAATATTTCAAAAATCGGAATGTAACTAGACCCTAATTTATATCTAAAACTTCATGGCTCAGCAGGTAAAAGATGTGTCTATCAAGTGAAAGGTCAAGAGTTCAACTCCCCCTCGGAACTTTTACATTTTTTTCCAGGTCTCACCAAAATTTCCCCCGCTTCAAAAACCCGTCCCAAACACTATCTACTATCTATTGTCTAGTGTGTTTCAAACTTTGTTAACTTTCTTGTCAATAATTTATCACACACCTTGTGTTCATATACTACTTTGTGTAACTTTTCAACAGAAGAAGTTAGTTAGCAAAACTGGTTTTGGTTGGGGGTTTTGACCGTGCGCTTTGCCATTCGCGAGAAAAAAAGAAAAAATATAAAAAGGGTGATTGCGGCAGAACCTTATTAGGTTTTCTCTTTGTTTCTTCTTTTTGTCATCGCTTTTTTTTGATATATAAAAAATAATAAAACTATGCGGGAAATAATCAAAAGTTCCGAGGTGGATTCGAACTCTTGACCTTTCACTTGACTTCAACCAGTTTATATTTAGGCTAACTAGAGGCTCTCAGAATTTTATAGAAATCCATTAACATAGCCAGATTCAGCGGAAAATTCTGTGCTGGAAAACTACAATTTTCAAAAAAAAAAAAAAAGTTCCGGTGTGGATTCGAACCCATGACCCTTAACTCAATAGGCAGGCCTGTTACCAGTTGCACCAACATGTTTCTAGAACAAAATTTCACGCTGATTCTCGTGGTGCTATTAATTTTCCATGATTCTCACAGGTTCAAAAAAAAGGTGACCCCCCCCCTGGTCCTAAAACAAAGGGGGGGGTCACATTTTCAAAAACCAGGCGAAAACAATGAAACATCTATAGCACCACGAGAATCAGCGTTGAATTCTAATTTGGAAATATATACAAACCCGCGGAATGGTGCAACTGGTGACAGGTCTGCCTATTGAGTTAAGGGTCAGAGGTTCGAATCCACCCCGGAACTTTTTTTTTGAAAATTATAGTTTTTCGGGGTAGAATTTCACGCTGAATCTCGTAGTGCTAGTTTCCGTGATTTCCAGGGATTTGAAAAGAGGTGACCCCCCTGGGTCCATTAAAAGGGGGGGGGGTCACCTTTTTCTCAAATTTTGAAATTTTCAAAACTTTCGAATATTGTTCTAGATCAAAATTTCACGCTGAATCTCATGGTGTTGTTCATTTTCAGAAATTCTTGCTAGTTCCAGAGTTCCCCTAACTTCTTCCTAAACCACTTTTGATCATTGAAATACCAAATAACTTTTCTTCTACGTCACTTGCCATCCGACAAACAAAACAAAACAGATTCGAAATTAGTTTGTGATAACCAACAAAAAAAAATCAAGTTTGAAGGTCAGAGGCGGTCTCTCGAAATAATTAGAAAAATGTTTCTCGTGTTGTAAAAGTTTGTGTATTTACTTTTGTATAAAAGGGTTCCATAACCTCTCAATTTCCTCATTCATTTCAGAACTTATCCTAACTCAGCCTCCAAAAAACAAACAAAAAATGGTACAAATCTGGCAAATGGAACCTTATCCATGTGGCGATCCACGTTTGCCACATCACTTGTTCCCGCCAAAAATGATCACACCAGACGAGCTCACAAAACGGACCGGAACACTTTATTGGAAGTTGGACACGTTGGATCAGGTGGCGTTGGCTAAGCGATTAACCACACTGAAGTTGGAGCATAAATTCAAAAAGGAAGATATTTATACTTTGGATGCGGAGACGACTGCGAATTTTAATGATAAGGTGAGTGAGTTAGCGAAAATCGAAATCAGCGTGAAATTCTGAGTCGAAAGAGTATCAATTTCAAAAAGTTCCAAGGGGATTCGAACCCGCGACCATCCACTCAAAAGACAAGCCTGTTACCTGCTGCGCTACTTTTTTGGAGAGTTTTCTACATGCTTCTAGAGCAAAATTTCGCGCTGATTCACCTCCAAGCTTCAGAATTCCTCTAGCTCCTATGGATCTTGAGTTAGCCTAAGTAACTCAGCAGGGATTATGTTTCAAGCTAAAAAATTTACACAACAGGATTCAGCACAAAATTCGGAACTAGAAAACTGCAATTTTCAAAAAAAAAAGTTCCGGGGTGGATTCGAACCTGTGACCCTCTACTCAGCAGGCAGACCTATTATCCACTGCTTCATCTGTGCAAGATGGGATTTTTTGGAGTTTTGGAGATGTTTTGGGGTCCAAATTTCACGCTGAATCTCATGGTGCTTTTGATTTTTCATGATTTCCAGTGATTATTGAAAATGTGACCCCCCCTCCTCTAAGGTAGGGAGGGGGGTCACATATTTTCTCAAAATCACCAGTTTTCAAAATTTCAAAATTCATTTCTGCTCCAAATTTCACGCTGAATCTCATGGTCATAATGATTTTTATCAAAAAATCCACCTGCACTCAAAATTCTGCCACGTCATAAAAAATTTGATCTCTTATTGTAAGATAAGATACTAATGGTTCAAATCAGAAAGCAAATCGCGTGATAAAAACCAAAACAGAACTAACCTTGAAAAAAAAAACTTTCTAATCAGAAAAAAGTACAGAAAAAAGCGGTAAACAACTAATTTTCGGAAATTTTTTTGGGGAAACTCTTAAACTTTGCCATTTTTACTAGAAAAATAGCTGAAAATGCTCCAAATTTCACGAAAAATGGCTCAAAATGCTCCAAATTTCTTGCAGATCGAGGAGCTTTTCGAGGAGACCACAATTCCAGAAGAGCAAGCCAGGATGATCATCGAGGGCACAGCCTACTATGACGTGGAGGACAAAAATGGAATGTGGGTTCGGATTTTGTGCGAATTTGGGGATTTGATTCTGATTCCGGCTAATACTTGCTTCAGATTCACTACAACACCAAAGGTGAGTTTTGGCGGGAAAAAAATGAAGTGCCACGTGGATTATTGGAATTTTTCAAAGTTGAATTTGCCACGTGGAAAAATATCATCTAGAATTCAGCTATTAGGAAAAAATATTGCCACGTGGAATTTTGAGGCTAGAAAAATTGTAGATCAAAAATTGGAACCCAAAAATTATGCCACATGGATTTTTTTAAATTCAAAATTTCTAAAACCAAATTGCCACGTGGCATAAATTTTTTCAAAATTCAAATTTTCCAAAAAAAACTGAATCTACAAATGATTTTTCGCGCCAAAATGAATACGTGGATTATTGGCGCGAAAATTCGAAAATTCAAATTTTCTCGAACCGAATTGCCACGTGGAATATTTCTTTTAATTTTAGGACAAACATTTTGCCACGTGGATTTTTCAGAAAAAAAATCAAAATTCGAAAATTTCTTAAATTTCGCCAAAAAAGGGTGCCACGTGGCTTTTTTGGCGCGAAAATTCGAGAAAATCAAAAATTCTGCTAAATTTTTGCCACGTGAAAAAATGGGGTTCGAAATTTTAAATTTCAAAATTATGCCACTTGGACCCTACAGTACCCCCCCTTTAAAAATTCCCAAAATTTCAGAACTTTGTCAAAATGCGCCGCTTCTACAAAGACGACGAATCAGACAATTAATTAATTCATTAATTAATTAAAAATTGCCACGTCACCAACAACAATTAATTTTTGTCTGATTTTTTTTCCTTGCAATTCCCTAACACACCGTGTATATATTTTTTTGTCTTCTCACAAACTGATAATAAAATAATTCAAGGTTCATCGATGAAACCAAAGATAACACCAGGTTTTTCGCAGAAAATTCAAAAATGCACGCAAAAAACGGAGAGTATTTAAAGGAGTTGGGAAACTTGGGGAGATAAGCATTTTTTTGCATTTTTCGGGAGAATTCCTGATTTTTTGGAATTTTCATCAGTGCCATGTTTTTCAGCGCAAAATTTAGACCCAAAAACCTGTAGGAAATTTTTAAAAAGCTTAAAAATCCAAAAAAGTTGCACAAATGGCTCAGTGGGTAGAAGGTCTGCTTAGCGAGTGAGGGCTCACAGGTTCAAATCCACCCCGGAACTTTTTTTTTGAAAATTTATATTTTTCTAGCGCAGAATTTTTTGCTGAATCTTATGATGCTATTTTTTCCATGTGAAAATCAAAACCTGTAGAGTTACCCAGGCTAACTCGAAAACCATAAGATCTAGAAAAATTCTAAATATTCGAGGATGATCAGCACGAAATTTAGACCTTAAAACATCTCTGAAACTCTGAGAAAGCTCACCTTGCACGAATGGCTCAGAGGGTAAAAGGTCTGCCAACAGAGTATAGGGTCAAGGGTTCGAGTCCACCCCAAAACTTTTTTTTTGAAAATTATATTTTTCTAGCGCAGAATTTTGTGCTGAGTACGGCTATAACAATTTTACATCTAGAAAACTAAAAATTTTCTAGTTTTCCTAGAAAAAAAGAAATTCGTCAAATTCGCCCAAATTTCAGGCAATTTCCCAAAAATAGCATTATAGATCACAATCTTCTCTCGCATTTCTCTTTTCCACATTTTTTGTACTATATATTTTTTTATCGATTTTCTGCTAGCCACCGTCATTTCTTCCTTTATTTTATCAATTTTATTGTGTGTTTTTTCACCGGAAAAATATAGTTTGTATAGTACTGCGAAAATGTCAACAAACCGATATAAAATCGAGCATTTCGCGCTTATTTTTATCACAAATTTCGAAAAAAAGTTCATTTTTTGCAGTGAAAATGAGCAAATTTTTGGTGATTTTCACAATTCTCGCCATTTTTCCCGCAATTTCCTGGGCTGCCAGCCTGAACTTCACAACTGAACATCAGAATCAGGCGGTCGCTGAGACCTCGGAAGCCGGTTTGACTAAGGAGCAGAGGAGACAGTTCAGTAAGGCGCATGGTGAGTTTGGGAATTTTTTTTCGGGGGCGGGAAGAAAATTGTGCCACGTGGAATTTTTTTATTCAAAGTTAAGGATTTTTAGAGAAAAAATCCACGTGGAAATTGTTTGTGAAATTTTTTTCTGACTAATTTTCATCAACTGGAAAATGAAAAATAAGTTTTGAAAATCTAGAAATTCAAATTTTCTGAAAAATTCTCATCTCGAAACTTTGAAGTTACGAAATATTTGCCACGTGGATTTTTTCGGGGTTCATAAAACTTTGAGCCAATTTTCAGAAAATAATTTCCAAAAAATCTAGAAATTCAATTTTTTCTGAAATTTAATTCTGAGAAAAGCAATTCCACGTGGCAAATCTAAATTTTGCTCAATTTCTGGGGCTCAACAGTGCAACGTGGCAAAAATACGGGAAAAAATTTCTAGAGCTCACGAAACTAATTTTAGTGCAGATTTTTTCGGAACTGAATATCAAGATTCCAAATGTTTCGGAAACGTGGCAAATCTCAAAAAACTATTCTGGAAATTGCCACGTGTAAATTTGAATTTCAGGATTCCGAAAAATCTTGAAAACTTTGTCCAAAAATGCCACGTGGCAATTGGAAATTTGATCTAATATCAAAAAAAATGGATTTTGAAATTCTCAAAATCCCAAAAACCTCTGTACCACGTGTAAAATCTCATAAAAATTCGGATAAATTCAGAAATTAAGGAAAATTCTCAAAATTCTTAAACTCATTCCAAATGCCACGTGGCAATTGAAAATTTTTGAAAAATTAAAAAAAAAAATCATCAGAACAAAAATCCTCTAGAAAAAGATTTTCAACAAAAAAAAATTGTGCCACGTGTCAAAAAACCCGCCGAACTTCCAGCAATTCTCATGATCCTCGGCTGGCTCTTCTTCGTGCCCACCGGTTTCCTATTCGCCCGACTCGGCCGCGATCTCTACAAAGAGCAACAGCTATTCGGCTCGGCCGTCTGGTTTCAGATTCATCGAGTCTCCAATTTTCTGGGTGTGATTTGCATCGTCACGTCGATTTTGTGCATTTTCATTTCGACACAATTTCATTGGAAGGGAACGGGGTCGGGCTCGAAATATTGGACCGAATGGCACACGGATTTGGGTGTGATTTCGACGGTGCTCGCTGTCGCGCAGCCATTAAATAGCTTGCTCAGGTTAGTCAAAAAAAGTTCCAAGGGGGATTTGAACTTATGACCTTTGAGTTGTTAGTCAAAGCTTTAATCTACTTAGCCACCTGGATTTTTTATTGAAAAAAAAAAAGTTCCAAGGGGAAACGAACCCCTGACCTTTCACTTGAAAATCCAAGATTTTACCTACTGAGCCATATGCCAAGAATTGCTCAGGTTAGTCTAAAAAAAAACAAATCAAAAATTATAGTTCCCACCCGGCTTCGAACCCTCGACCTCTAAGTCAATAATCCAAGCTTTAACCTACTGAGCCACTAGAAGTTTCTTTTAAAACTTTGAAAATTCATTTTTGCATCATTTTATTCTGGGGCTCTTATCAGAGAAAAAAATTTGGAGCACGAAAAAAATCAAAAAAAAAATTTTTTTTGTAAAGATTTTTGGGGGAGAGACTATTTGGTGTCAAAAAATTCCAAATTTTCGCGCTAAAAAATCTACCGTACTCAAAACCAGGCCATATTTAGTCTCAAAAAACCCGCAAAATTTTCTAGATGCGGCCCAACCCACTCAAAACGTGTCTACTTCAACTGGGCCCACCGGATCACCGGAATTCTCGGCTACTCCCTGGCCTTCATCACAATCATCATTGCGGCCGTGAACTTCAAGAAAATCTGGAACGAGCCGGTTTTGGAGATTGTTCTGGTGTCGGTGCCTACAGTATTCGCATTTGCACTTTTTGCCGGGTTTGGAGTTTTGGAAAGCGATCGATTCAGAAGCAAAAGTGAATTTGGGGTAAGTTTTGGGGCCCTAAAATTAATTTCAGATTTTTTTTGCAGAAAAAAAAGAGATCATCGATCAAGCTTGAAAAATTTGAGGTAAAAATATATGTCACTAAGTACTAACACTAAAATAAGGTTCCTAAGGACCTTAAGGTAGATCAAATTTTGGAACTTTTTTTGGAATTCAACCTAAAGGTTTTTAAATACTTTAGGCTACATCCCTTAAGACACTAAGTACTGAATTAAGGTTTCTTAAGGACTTTAGGGTAGATCCAAGACCTTTTGATTTTTTTTTTAATAAACAGGATGAAAATAGAATCAAACCTGAATTTCTCGATTTCAAAATGTCAAATTTTTGAAACGTATTTTTTGCTGGAAAATTCCACGTGGCAAAATATTTTTTAAATGTAACCTTAGACAGTACTTTTAAGCCCTTAACCTCTCTAACTTTTAACCAAAAAATCCCAAAGGCTTCCTTAAAACCTTAATTAACCTTAGCACTACTAATTAAAAATTGCTCCAAAACTCACAAAAACCTTAAGCACCTTAACCCTAACCTTATATTTTTCCCCTAAAAATCTTCCGTTCTTCAGAGCTTGCCCGATGAACCGCTTCTTTATGACGAGAACTCAAAACCGCAGGCTTTGAGGGTACTGTAGCCCCCTTTAAACGCCACGTGGTAACTAGATCTAAATATTCTCTAATTTTCAGCCTCACATTCTTCGCGCTCCCGCCATTTTCATGTCGATTGGCGCATTTTTGGCAGGCGCCTTGGCGCTTTCGCTGTTGGTTGCAAATGGATACAAAAATGTTTGAATTTTGGATTCAAAAAATTATTTTCGAAATTTTTTGTGTTGAGCTATTTACGGGACTATTTTATGCATTTTTTTCGATTTTTTAAATGAATGTTTTTTCGCGCTAAAATCTACAGTATCCTTGATCCACAAAATTCCAAATCTTACAAATCCGACGCTTCAAAACTTCCCAAAACCCCAAGCTCCGCCCCTTTGCAAAGGCGTTTTCTAACAAAAAAACGCCATTTTTTTTTAGATTTGCACAAGAATTTCTGAATAGAAAATGAAAGAAAAAAATCTACAGTACCTTTGGCTACAGTAATCCTTGATCTACAAGATTCGAAATCCCAAAACAATCCACAGTATCTTTGACTACAGTAACACTCTCCTTAATATATATCGAAAAAATCCCTAAAAAAATCCACAGTACCTTTAGATACCGTAATCCTTGATCTACAAAATTCGAAAATCCAGAAAAAAAATCTACAGTACTTTTGACTACGGTAATCCTTGATCTACAGTACCTCAAGCTCTAAACAAAATCTGAAATTTTCTCTGAAACTTTCCAACAGTACCAAAACTTTCAGAAACACAAAAAACTTTACACAAAACACACACACAAATTACTGTAGCTCCTCCAAAAGTTTCGGCGAGTACTGTATGCTCAATTGAAGCTCTGCCAAATGCTCACCATCCACATCGATGACTGAAAATTAGGACAAAACATGAGATTACCGTAACTCAAAGTACTGTACTCACAATCTGCTGCGATTTCCAAATTGTGCGAATTATCGCGTGTCAGGAGCAAACTTGCCACCGCAATTTCAGATTCCTGATTTCCACCGACGGAATTTAGGGCGAAATCTAGTTTGTTGCCGAGTTCAATCCATTGATCGAGAAGAGCGAGTTGACGGCGAGAGAGTGCGAATTCTGAAGAGAGAGATGAGAGACATTGGGTGGTTAGAGAACAAGAGGAGAAAGAGAAAGAGAGAGAGAGAGTGTGTGTTAGACATTGAGAGAGTGGTTAGAGAACGAGAGACGCAGACACTTCTAGATAGTGTTAGAGAATGAGAGACACAGAGAGGACAAGAGATGCTGAGAGGCTGGACAGTTAGACATTGAGATACGCAGAGACGCAGAGATAGTGGTTGGAGAACAAGAGGAAGATAGACTGCAAATTCTGGAGAGACGTAGAGACTTTAAGGCCGTTAGAGAGTGCGAGGTTTTGAGAGACGCAGAGAAACACAAAGATCACGTTTTCACGTGAAAATTATTTTTTAAATGATTTTTTAGATTTTTTTTCTCAAAAAAACGTGGAAAATCGGAATCAGATCAAAACACGTGGCAATTTTCGCGTGGAAAAATTCAATTTCGAAAAACTACAGTAATCCCGAAATTTCACGTAGATCAAATGCAGAAAAATCCAGAATTATCTGGCCAAAACATCCACAGTAACCCTGGACCAATTTCATTTTAAAAAATCCAGAAGTTTCCCGCCACAAATCCACAGTAACCCTGGGCTTGTTTAGTGTCAAAAAATTCAGAATTTTCTGGCCAAAAATCTACAGTAATCCTAGGCTTGTTTAGTGTCAAAAAACCCGGAATTTCCACGTCACAACCCCAAAAATCCCCGAACCAACTAACCTTTAGTTGCTCCATCCAACGCGACCGAAATTCCTGGAGCCCTGGGTAGCGCAAAATCCGGAATCCTTGTATTTTCCACGGGGAAATCCAAAAACTGAAATTCGATCGAGCAAATCGCACCATCATACATTTTCGTCAATAATCTCGAATAGGGCACAATTTCAAATTTTTCGAGCCGAAATTCGACGCGCAAATTTTCATCCGCGATTTTTTGAGCGTCTTCAGTGGATTCGAGGCTGCCGGCGCGGATTATTCCGTGTCCGGAAAAATCCGGAAGCGCCACTTTGGGTTTTTGTTTGGTGGCGGTGCGTGGCGACGAGTTAGACGAAGTTTCCGAGGCTGGAAAAAATTATGGATTAAAATGAGCAATCTCAAACTCTAGAGCTCAATTTTACCCGAAAAAAGTTGTCAAGTTCAATTTTTCAAGTAGATCCCAATTTTCAGCACAAAATCGTCTGAAAATCTCAAATTCATGCTGAAAATCGTGATATACGTGAAAATTTAGACTAGAAAATTAGTTACAGACAAATTTCAGAACTAAGAAAAAATCAATCTAGATTTTCATTCAAAAAAGTTTTCAGACTCAATTTTCCCAGTAGATCACGATTTTCAGCATGAAAATTAGCTATGGCAACATTTTCATGCTGAAAATCGGAATTTTCTGATAAATTTTAGAATACTGAAATTCAGAGTTGCTCCAATTTCCCGATTTTTTATTAAAATCTCTTTAGAGCTCAAATTTACCCCGAAAAAAAGTTTCCAGGCTCAATTTTTTGCGTAGATTATGATTTTCAGCATGAAATCCTCTGAAAATCTCAAATTCATGCTGAAAATCGTGATCTACGCGCAAAAATAGCCTAGAGAATTTATTACCGACAAATTTCAGAGCTAGAAAAAATTCAATCTAGAATTTTATTCAAAAAAGTTCCCAGGCTCAATTTTTTGCCTAGATCACGATTTTCAGCATGAAATTGTCTGAAAATCTCAAATTCATGCTAAAAATCGAGATCTACGTGAAAAAATAGCCCAGGAAATTTATTAGAGACAAATTTCAGGACTAGAAAAAATTCAATCTAGAATTTTATTCAAAAAAGTTTCCAATATCAATTTTTCGCGTAGATCACGATTTTCAGCATGAAATTGTCTGAAAATCTCAAATTCATGCTGAAAATCGAGATCTACGTGAAAAAATAGCCTAGAGAATTTATTACAGACAAATTTCAGAACTAGAAAAAATTAAATCTAAAATTTTATTCCAAAAATGTTTCCAGGCTCAATTTTTTGCTTAGATCACGATTTTCAGCATGAAATTGTCTGAAAATCTCAAATTCATGCTGAAAATCGAGATCTACGTGAAAAAATAGCCTAGAGAATTTATTACAGACAAATTTCAGAACTAGAAAAAATTAAATCTAAAATTTTATTCCAAAAATGTTTCCAGGATCAATTTTTCAAGTAGATTGCAATTTTCAGCACGAAATTGTCTGAAAATCTCAAATTCATGCTGAAAATCGTGATCTACGTGGAAAATTAGCCTAGAGAATTTATTACAGACAAATTTCAGAACTAGAAAAAAATTCAATCTAGAATTTTATTCAAAAAAGTTCCCAGGCTCAATTTTTCGCGTAAATCACGATTTTCAGCACGAAATTGTCAGAAAATCTGAAATTCATGCTGAAAATCGTGATCTACGTGGAAAATTGGACTATAAAACAAAATAAATTTTTTCTAGCTCAATTTTTCTAGAAGCTCACAATTTTCAGCACTAGAATTCTGAAAATCCAAATTTTCAGCCCGTCCAAAAAGCTACCCACGTGGAATCGAATGATGCAACGGCTCTGCAAAATCCACACGTCCAGCCTGATGTTGCGGCTGATTCGAAATCGATGTTCTAGGCTTCGGAACCATCAGTGGTGGAAGATCTCCCAGTGGATTCGATTTCGGTGATGGCATCGGCGTGTCCAGATCTTCTTCTTCTTCGGGCTCAGGCTCGGCCTCTTTCGGGCTAGACTTGGCCGAAATCACCTCCTCTTCAATCACCTCCTGATCTTCTTCGGGTTGTGGAATTTCAGCAACAACTTCAGGCGCCTCAGCGAGACCCAAATCATCCTCAAAAACTCTGGGCTTGGGCTTGGGAGCCTGAGGAATTGGGTACCCAAAATCATCATCTTCTTGATCGCGATGCTCTAGAATCGGCGGGCTGAATACATCAGATTCTTCTGAAGATTCCGAAGATTCCGATGGTGTTCTGATCTTCAATGCTGGTTCCTGAAGAGGAAGAATCACCGGTGAGACTTCAAATTGTTTTGATGGCCTTTTTTCGGGGGCTTTTGGGGCTTCCGGGGCCTCCGGGGCCTTCAAGGGCTCTTCCAAATCTTCTCCAACAATAAAAGCCGGTTTCGAATTTCGCCACATCACACACAAATCTACAGTAATCTCCAGATTGGCTTCGCCAGTCGGCGACATCGCAAAATTGCCACGTATTGTGCCGCCCGGTTTGCAGAGAGCGATTAGGGGGAGGTGCACAACTGCCAAAACACCGCCCGTCTCTTTGTTGGTGGTCGGCGAATTTTCGACGAGGAACACGGAGAGCGACTGAAAAATTCGGTTTTTTTTGTAGAAAAAACAATTTGGAATCTGAAAAAAGTGTGCGAGGCTTGCAGAAAGGGGCGGAGCCTGGGAATTTCAGACTGGAATTTTGAGCAAAATTTTTGAGCCACGGGGATTTTCTGAAACTCTGATTTTTCATACACATTGTTTGACCACGTGGATTATTTATTTTAAACTCAAAAATTCAGATTTTTGAGAAAATTTTTGAAATTCAAAATTTTGAGCAAAATTTTTGAGCCGGGGGGATTTTTTTGAAACTCTGATTTTTAATACACATTGTTTTACCACGTGGATTATTTATTTTAAACTCAAAAATTCAGATTTTCGAGAAAATTTTTTAAAATTCAAAAAATTTGAGTTCAGATTTTTGAGCCAAATTTTTAAGCCAGGGGGATTTTCTGAAACTCTGATTTTTAATACACATTGTTTTACCACGTGGATTATTTATTTCAAACTCAAAAATTCAGAATTTTGAGCAAATTTTTTTGAAATTCAGATTTTTGAGCCACATTTTTCGCCACGTGGATTATTTTCAGTTACTAAAAATCTGAAATTTTTACCCAAACAAATTTTCCACGTGAATAATTTTTCAAACTCAAAAATTCAGATTTTTGAGAAATGTTTTTGAAATTCAAAATTTTCAGCTAAAAATTTTCTTAGAAAATTAGATTTTTGAGCAAAATTCTTGCCACATGGATAATTTTCTTCAAAATTTCAGAAATTTTGACCAAAATTTTTTGAAATTCAGATATTCAAGCAAAATTTTTTGAAATTCAGATATTCAAGCAAAATTTTTTGAAATTCAAATTTTTGAGCTATTTGCCACGTGGATATTAATTTTCTTCAAAATTTTCAGAAATTTCTCTCTCAATTTTTTTTCCAGATCCGAAAAAAATTGATGAAAAATGTTACACAAAATCTCTATACATTTCACATTTTATGTGTTTGGCTAGAAAAATGTTTCTGAAATTTCTCTCGTTCTCAATTTTATGCTCAGCTCTCGTGGCTCAGCGAATTCCACTAACTCACAAATCCGCCCAACTCATCGCCTATACAATTCTACACGATTTGGCATATTCCGAGTTATCCGAACTCAACTATCTCTTTGACTACACCTCGACTTTGAAAGAGTGTAACGGAAAGACTTCAAGCTTCACTCCGGACGCCAAAATCGAAGAGTTGCGGAAAATTCCGCGCGGAACCACGAATTTGTCACTTGCCGAAACTCGCCGCCAAATTCATCGCAAATTTTTGGGTGGAGGAGAAGCTGAGCAACGAGAAGCCTATGATTTTGTAGATCAAAATTTCGAGAATTTCGGCGCGGAAGTCGGAAGGTATATCCGGAAACATGTGAAATGTATCGAGATTTTGACGGATACCTCATTCAGATTTGTGGATCATAATGAGAATGGTTTGGATTATCGATTCGAAATTCGAATGAGTCGTGGAAGTTGGGTGATTTTTGAGGAACACAGGACTTGTAATTAAGAAATTAATTAATTAATTAATTAATTAAATAAAGATTTTAATTGTAGATTTTGATAAGAGTTAATAAAACCTGAATTTTGTGATTTCAAAATGTCAAATTTTTGAAACGTATTTTTTGGAGCACAGAAATTTGAGGGTTTTTTTTCAATTCAGTATGGCAAAAGCTTCAGGCTCAAAAATATCCACGTGGCAAATATGAGCTCGAAAATTTGAATTTCAAAAAATTGTGGCAAATTTATTTGGGTAAAAATTTCGGATTTTCAGCCGCCGAAAATAATCCACGTGGCAAAAATTTGACTCAACATTACAAATTTTAAAAAATAGAAAAAAAATACAAGAAATTTTGCTCGAAATGTTGTATTTTTGAAATTTTCTCAAAAGTCTGAATTTTAAAATCTGAAATTTTTTTTTTTGGAATTTTTGAGTTTGAAATAATCCACGTGGCAAAAAATGTGGCTCAAGAATCCAAATTTTTAAAAAATTGAAAAAAAATACAAAAAATGTCGCTCAAAAATTGGAGTTTCAACAAATTTGAAGAAAAATATCCACGTGGCAAATAGCTCAAAAATTTGAATTTCAAAAAATTTTGCTCAAAAATCTGAATTTTTTAGTTTGAAATAAATAATCCACGTGGCACAAATTTGACTCAACATTCCAAATTTTAAAAAATAGAAAAAAAAATACAAAAAATTTTGCTCAAAATGTTGTATTTTTGAAATTTTCTCAAAAGTCTGAATTTTAAAATCTAAAAAAATTTTTTTTTGGAATTTTTGAGTTTGAAATAATCCACGTGGCAAAAAAAGGGCTCAAGAATCCAAATTTTAAAAAATTGAAAAAAAATACAAAAAATGTCGCTCAAAAATTGTAGTTTCAACAAATTTGAAGAAAAATATCCACGTGGCAAATAGCTCAAAAATTTGAATTTCAAAAAATTTTGCGTCCCACGTGGCAAATTTATTTGGGTAAGAATTTCGGATTTTCAGCCGCCGAAAATATTCCACGTGGCAAAAAAAATCGGTTCAAAAATCAAGAGTTTCAGAAAATTCACGCGTCAAAAAAAGAGCTCAAGAATCTGAATTTCAAAAATTGCAAAAATCCACGTGGCAAACTCGCAGGCTCCGCCCCTTTCTGCAATCCTGGCACACTTAAAAACCTTGTGAGATATCATTCTACTCCAAATCTCAAGCCCCGCCCACTTCTGCAACCCTGGCACACTTAAAAACCTACCCCATTCACAAAGAGTTCCTTGCTCGCTTCGCCCTTCGGAATCATCCACGATTTTTTCGACAAAATCTCCGAGCTCGTCGTGAAATCCGTGAAATACGGTGAGAATGTCAAAAATTCGTAGACTACACAAAATTCCGTGCAATTTTCTGGTAGGCCGTGCAGTCGATTGATGAGAATTGTGAGTTCGGCGAAGTCGGAGGGTTCGGGTTGGATTTCGAGTGGAAGCATGGTTTTGGCAAGCTCGGATTTCTGGAAAAATATAGGAATTACAGTAGTCAAACTGCAAATTCTAAATCTACAGTAATAAGACTTCAAAAACCTAGAATTACAGAAAAGTGGTTTGCAGTTCGATTACTGTAACTCTTCATAATCTACAGTAACCGGACTGCAAAGTCTAGAACTACAAGGTGTTTTTCGAAATACTTTTTTACATGTAATTTGCAGTCTGATTACTGTAACTCTTCATAATCTACAGTAATCGGACTGCAAAAACCTGGAGCTCTATGATTTTTTTTCACTGTATTATCAGATTTTTGTAGTTTGATTACTGTAACTCTTCATAATCTACAGTAGTCGGACTGCAAAAACCTGGAGTTTTATGATTTTTTTCACTGTGTCATCAGATTTTTGCAGTTTGATTACTGTAGCTCTTCATGCTCTACAGTAATCGGACTGCAAGTCAAAAAATATGAAATGTTTGGGGATTTTTTTTTAATTATTGGCTCTTTGCAGTTTGATTACTGTAGCTCTTCATAATCTACAGTAATCGGACTGCAAAAACCTGGATTTCTATGATTTTTTGAACTGTATTATCAGATTTTTGCAGTTCGGCTACTGTATATGATGGTTACCCTTATTTTTAAGTTTTGCAGTTTGATTACTGTAGCTTTTTGATAAGCCACAGTAGTCGGACTGCAAAAACCTGGAGTTTTATGATTTTTTTTCACTGTATTATCAGATTTTTGCAGTTTAATTACTGTAGTTTGGTAAAAAATTTGAAACGTGAAAAATGTTGTGTGAAAAATTCGTATTCTACAGTACTCAAACTGCAAAAAATGTAGGAAAATGAAATAATCTACAATACTCGAACTACAAAAACCTATGAGGATTGAGTAAGCTACAGTACTCGAACTGCAAAACTATAGAAAAGATTATACATCTACAGTACTCGACCTGCAAAATTTAGAATCCAAAAATGAGCAAAGACAAAACTCAGGAAATTTTTAGTAATCTACAGTACTCAAACTGCAAAAACACCTACAGTACCCCTCTCCTACCGTACTCACCTTGAACTTCTTGAAACTCTCCTCAAAACTCTGCGTCGTCTCCAGCTCATATCTCAAAACGCACAGCTCCTCTCCAGTATCCACAGATTTCATCGCAATTTCCGCGACAAAAATTTTGGCCGCATTTTTTTCGCGCGCAAAAATCGGGAGCAATGAAATTGTGCCGGCCGCCATCAATTTATATTTGTCTTTTGAGGGTTTGTACATTTCGATTTGGATTCCATTCTGAAAAAAATCAATAAATTTCAAAGGGACATACAGTAATCAAACTGCAAATGTTTGCAGTTGTCATTTTGAAGAACAAGACCAATAATAAGTGGAAAATCAACTTAGCTAGAAAATTAACGTTCTAGACTGAAATTTTGCGCTGAAAATCATGAAAACACTGATTTTCAGCGATTTCCAGCAATTCCATGATTTTCAGCACAAAATTTGAGTCTAGAAACCTGTCAAAAGCTACTATAGGCCGAAAATTCAGATAAACTAGAAAAGTGACTTTCTAGACTGAAATTTTGCGCTGAAACTCATGGAAACACTGATTTTCAGCGATTTTCAGCAATTCCATGATTTTCAGCACAAAATTTGAGTCTAGAAAACTGTCAAAAAGAAAAAAAGTAAAAGGACGCCTTGTTTTTTTTTGTGAATGACGAGAGAGTGAGGAAAATGGAGAGAGCGCGCCAGAGAAAGAAAGACAAACAGTCCAAAAAACATGGAGAAGAGTGCAACTAGACTCTAGTTTGACCTGGTTGCATGCATCTTTGAACTTTGGTGTTTGTTTTTGTTTTTTTTTGTTGTTGATTTTGATTTTTGCATTTTTATACTAATAAAATGTGAGCCCCTTACAGTAACCAGACTGCAAAAACCTTGCAGTTTGATTACTGTACATCTAAAACTACAGTAACCCAAGAAAACTTACAAATTTTGATTCCTGCCATTTTTCGAAATCGTGGTTTTCAAAAATGATTTTTTTTGCAAAATTGAAATTTCCACGTCAAAAAAAAAAATTAGGTCACGTGAAAATTGAAAAAAAAATTATTTTTTTTTCTGTTTTTTTTTTCGAACTGCAAAATAATCTACAGTAATCCCAACTGCAAAATACCAAAATATTTTGAGGTAAAAATAGATACAGTATCCCGAACTGCAAAAAAACTATCAAATTTAGTTTCCGAACTGCAAAAATTCCAAAAAAAACACTACAGTATACCGAACTGCAAAAAAACTATCAAATTTGGTTTCTGAAATTTTCCGAACTGCAAAAATTCCAAGTTTTATGAACACAAATACAGTAACCAGACTGCAAAATGATCAACAATGTTTTTCAAAAGACAAAAGCAATTTTCTGACATTTTGCCTAACTCCATACTCTACAGTATTCACAGAGTCGCGTGAAAATTTGAATGTAAAACTGATTCCTCGACTCCAACTCCCTTGATGAATATTTCCGATTTTGATCTCATTTTTCTGGATTTCCAAATCTTCAGCTCTCGAACCGTACTCCCGATAACACGTGGCAAACATCGGGTTACGATTCGAATTTTCGGCGCGATCTTTGTGAAGGCGCGCGATGAGTTGCGGCAACTTCTCCGCAAAATCGTGCTGACAATTTTTGTAGGTGTAGGGAATGTGGAAGACGGATTGGGCCAACGTCTCGCTGGGTGGATTTATGAAGCGAGAACACATCAGGGACCAGGCCCACGATCGGGCCATGTCTTCGGTGAAGGCCGCGCATATCACTTTTTGGGCCAGCAGAGAAATCAGGACGATCAGAATTTTCATTGGAAATTTTTCTGTGGCGAGAAATTTGGGCCTCAGATTTTTATGTGATGGAAAAATTTTATGTGGGGCCGACAGAGGGAAAAATTGAAAGAATTTGCAGTTTGATTACTGTAGTTTGAAGGGTTTTGCAGTTTGTATTACTGTCAACCTAACAATATATTTCACAAGCTACAGTACTCTCAAACTGCAAATATTTTGTATCAAAATTGGAAATTAAATTTTTGCAGTTTGGATTACTGTAGGTTATAAAAATTACTGCATACAGTTTGTAGTATTTTATTTTTTGCAGTTCGGGTTACTGTCAACCTCAACAATATATTTCACAAGCTACAGTACTCGAGCTGCAAAGAAAAAGTGTTTAGATATTTATTTCAAAATTGAAAATTCAATTTTTGCAGTTCGATTACTGTAGTCCTTCAAGAATTTTTGTAGTTTGGATTACTGTATATTCTTTTTTTTCTTTTTTTTTCGTGATAATTTGTGATTTTGCAGTTCGGACCTCAACAACGCATTTCACAATCTACAGTAACCCAAACTGCAAATATCAAAGCTCCAAAAAAATGTGATCGATTTTTTTTCAATGTTGAAAATTGCATGTCCTAGTTTTTTGATTACAGTAATCCAAACTGCAAAAGTAGAAAATGAAGAAAATTTTTATCCGGAAAATGAAGCGCAAGCCCCGCCCACTTCTGCAAGTCTGGCACACTTTTTTTTGAACCCTTCATTAACCAAATTCTCAATTTACATTAACTCAAAGTCACATTTTTACACATCGAATCTCGATAATCCTCTCCCCCAATTTTCCACTCATCTTCATCCCACACATAGACGGCCAGATAATAAATCAGGCGTCGCGATGTTTCGGGAGCAAACCAGAATTCAAAATAATGGTCGTCCTTGTACTCGATGAATTTCAATTGTTGAACGGCGGTCTTCAGAAATTCGGGAGTCTCCTTTTTTTTCGGTTTCTCGTTGAGATTCCAACTTCGTCGCCGCAATTCGGGACAATGATCGAAGAATTCGCGATTCAGTTTCAGATTTTTCCGATCGTTTCGAAGCATATTCAAAAGCGAATCACTGTCGGATTCGTTATATCTGATTCTCCGAACTGTTTTGAATGTCGAATTACCATCACATTTCCATAGCAGAAATGGTCGATACTTTTCAAAAAGTCGCGCTTCGAGCGCACGTGTCGGTTTTGTTTCATAACGATTGCAAACCAACGAGAAAGCCTTTTGATAGGCCGCGTATTCGCTGATTTTTTGCCATGAATTCGCAAAGAGGATCAGGAAACATAGAAGAATTTTCATGATTTTTCGAATTTTTATGAGATTCAGACCAACTTTTATATAGTGTTGAAGAAATTTGATTTTTTTGCAGTTCGGATTACTGTAGTCTGTGAGAGAATGTGAACAACGCGTGGGGAAAATTACAGTAAGCCAAACTGCAAGAAATAATCTTCGAAAAAACCATTAAGCGCGAACTACAGTACCCGAACTGCAAAGATCATTTGAGTTTTTGCAGTTCGGATTACTGTAGTTTTTTGACTTTCAGGAAAATTGGAATTTTGCAGTCCGGATTACTGTAGTTTTGTTCCCAAGAAAAATTGAATTCTTACAGTCTGGATACTGTAAGTTTAACCCTATTCAAAACTACAGTACTCCCGAACTGCAATAAAACTCTCGTCTGAAAACCACTACTGTGCTGCAGATTCTTCATTGTTTTCACATGGCTACAGTACCCAAACTGCAAGAGGATCCTATTCAAATCGAGATTCTACAGTAATCAGACTGCAAAAAAATCATCGAATTTTGCAGTCCAAGATACTGTAATTTGCTAACAGGAAAATAATCTCAAAGGTTACAGTAACCAAACTGCAAGACCAAATATTCATCAACCCTCAAAATCTTCAAAACTTTTCGCTCCAATTCTACAGTAACCAAACTGCAAAAAATCTCAAATTTTCCCAAAAGTCTAGGCCTCATAAAAATATCCCTATTTATCCAAAGTTCTTCTCTCATTCCAAGAAAAAAAAATGAAAATCCATCTAACACTTCTGCTAACTCTCCAAATCTCTCGGACCCACGCATTCGATCCGGACACTTTCAACAACTGGGCCTACACTATAGTCTGCGATCGATATCTCTCTCCGGCCACCTACGAAGATGTGGAGCGGATTTTCAAGCTGAACTCGAGTTCAGTTCCAGAAATCAAGCACACTTTGCAGACCTGTAGAGGTTGGAGGAGTATCGCTGTGACCACTGAAGGTGTGTTCGCTTTGATGGAGCGTTTGAGAGACGAGAAAAACGAGTGGACACTTGGGCCGATTTTCAAAAAATGCCGCCGGATGCGCAGTTCTGCGCATCAAGTTTTCGCTCCGCAAAATCCGACAGACATGGATAGACATCTTTACATCGAAAGGGTTCTTGATTATGGAGATGGTAAGACGTTGGTTGGTTTCAAGATTCGATTCACGCCAGTAGTTGGCGAGTGGTACCAGTATACGGTAGAGTATAGTAAGAAAGATGGATTGAAGTTGTTGGAGGAGGATCAAACTGTGGGAGGGTGTTAATTGGTTGGAAAATAAAGATTTTGGCATTTGGGAGTGTGGCAGAAAGGCTTTAGAAAAATTCAGGAGGCTTCAGGAGGCTTCACAAGGCCTCAGAAGGCTTCACAAGGCTTCCACGTACGTGGCTGGTCGGAATTTTTAGTTTTTGAGAAAATCTACGTGGCTAAAAATTAATAAAAATTTTCGAAAAAGTCCACGTGGCATTTTCCAAGTTTTCAGCTTTCCATAGAATTTTCAAGATCAAAAATCCACGTGGCAAAAAAATCAATAAAAATGTTAAAAATCCACGTGGCAATTTGATTCGAAAAATTGAAAATTGGAAAAATTCACGTGGCATTTTCCAAGTTTTCAGCTTTCCATAGAATTTTCAAGATCAAAAATCCACGTGGCAAAAAAATCGATAAAAATGTTCAAAAAAAATCCACGTGGCAATTTGATTCTAAAATTTGAAAATTGGGAAAATCCACGTGGAAATTTTCCAACTTTTCAGGTTTCCTCAGAATTTCCAAGATCAAAAATTCACGTGGGAAAAAATCAATAAAAATGCTCACAAAAATCCACGTGGAAATTTTGTTTTGAAATTTGAAAATTGGAAAAATCCGGAATTTTTCTGAGGTTTTTCTGAGAAATTTTTCTGAAATTCGAAATTTTTTCAAATTTCAAAAATCCACGTGGCAATTTTATTCTGAAATTTGAAAATTTGGAAAAATCCACGTGACGATTTTTTTGCAGTTCAAAATTCAATTTGCCCACATGGAGTTTCCCAAGTTTTCAGGTTTCTTTTTTAGAATTTTCAAGATCAAAAATCCACGTGGCAAAAAAAATCGATAAAAATGCTCACAAAAATCCACGTGGCAATTTCATTATGAAATTTGAAAATTCACAAAATTTTTGATTTTCAAAAAATCCACGTGGCAAAAAAATCAATAAAAATCCACGTGGAAATTTCATTTTAAAAGGTGAAATTTGGAAAAAGCCGGAACTTTTTTGAGTTTCAGAAAAAATTTAATTTCAAAAATCCACGTGGCAACTAAGCTTCAAAATTTTCATTTTTCACCACCAAAATTCTAAAAATTTTCAACTTCAAGCACAGTCTTCTCCATAAATCCCATGAATCGCCTGACTTTCACTTTTCAAATAAAAACCCTGCACTCGAATCACCACAAATCTCCGCAAATTTCGAAATCTGAACGAGAAACACGTGTCAGTCTTCCAACTTTTCTCCATGATTTCTATAGAATTGATCAGCGCCTGATAGTCCGATTTCCGTTTCGGGCCCCACACAATTTTCCGATTACTTTTCTGGAATTCCGGGCACATTTCAGCCATAAATCCATCCGAGATTTTCGCCGAATTTTGCAGAAACGTCAGAAGATCTTGATCTTTCAGCGCTTGATATCCCGAAGTTCCATCCGTCCGACAATACCAGTGACCGTAGGGAATTTTGAAATTCGCCGAAATCAAATTGTAACTCGGAGTTGCCGTAAATCTATTGCACAGTAGCTCGAATGCCACGTCACGAGCCGAGGTTTCGTTTAAATTCGCGCATTTTTGGGATTGTGAAAAATTGGGTTGGATCAATAGAATTAGGCCTAGGCTTAGGCTGGAAAATAGGCTTAGCATAATTTTTTGATAGAGAAAATAATTCTGAAATTTTTTTTTTGGAAAACTGGAATTTTTATGGGGTCTAGGCGTTGAGAAAAAATTTCTGGAGAAAAATTGATCTACGAAAAATGCGTCAGTGAAAATCTTGAGAGTTACCAGAAATGCGTCAGCATTGAGTTCAAGCCTAATTTTGGATGGAGCAAAATTTGCAGGCTACCAGAAACGCGTCAGCATTGAGTTAGAGCTCATATTTTGATGGCACAAAAATTGTAGGCTACCAGAAATGCATCAGCATTGAGTTCAAGTAAATATTTGATGGCACAAAAATTGTAGGCTACCAGAAATGCGTCAGCATTGAGTTCAAGCCTAATTTTTGATGACACAAAAATTGTAGGCTACCAGAAATGCGTCAGCATTGAGTTCAAGTAAATATTTGATGGCACAAAAGTTGTAGGCTACCAGAAATGCGTCAGCACTGAGTTCAAGCTTTATTTTGGATGGAGCAAAATTTGCAGGCTACCAGAAACGCGTCAGCATTGAGTTAGAGCTCATATTTTGATGGCACAAAAATTGTAGGCTACCAGAAATGCGTCAGCACTGAGTTCAAGCTTTATTTTGGATGGAGCAAAATTTGCAGGCTACCAGAAACGCGTCAGCATTGAGTTAGAGCTCATATTTTGATGGCACAAAAATTGTAGGCTACCAGAAATGCGTCAGCATTGAGTTCAAGCTTATATTTTGATGGATCAAAAATTGTAGGCTACCAGAAATGCGTCAGCATTGAGTTCAAGTAAATATTTGATGGCAAAAAATTGTAGGCTACCAGAAATGCGTCAGCACTGAGTTCAATCTCAATATTTGATGGCACAATATTTGTAGACTACCAGAAACACGTCAGCATTGAGTTAAAGTGAATATTTGATGACACAAAAATTGTAGGCCACCATAAATGCGTCAGCATTCTCTCCTTGACACAAAAAAAATCCCATCCCACTAAAAATGCGTAAGCAAACATCTTGGTGAAAAATTCATGGGCTAAAGTTTGTAGGTTATCATAAAAGCGTCAGCTCTTTCCAACTTGACGCAAAATTTGTAGACTACCAAAAACACGTCAATCTCCCATTCCCCCCCAAAAAAAACCCACCGTATACAAATAGTGCACAAACAAATTCGACACAATCACTTCATAAACCGCCGTGTAGTCCAGCTTTTGCTCTTTCGGCTCGAAAATCGGCGTGGTCTCGAGTTGAAAATCGAAAAATTCCAGGGAAAAGAAGAATTTCGTGGTGACGCCTGGCGTCGGTTTCACATGAATGAGTTTCAGCGCAAGATTTTGAGCCAGACTTCCATTTTCAGAATTTCTGAGCTCCAAGGGCACACTTTTCTGCGTGGCATACGCAATGACGCGTATCTGCTCCTCCAGGGTGAAAATCCGCTTCTGCTTCTCCTCCACCAGAATCCTGGCCGCCTCCAGCGCCTCTTTTTGAGCCCGCGAGCATCTTTCCAGCTCCATTTGCAGCATCTCAATCTCCTTCCGATGTTTCTGATCAATTTCGTACTGGACCATGAGGAGATTCTTGACTTTTTCGAGTTCCTGGTAGAGTTCAGCGTACGCTTTTTGCCAATTCGAAATTCCTGCTGATGTTCCAGATGTCTCAACGTCATGGGTTTTGAGAACATCTACAACTTCCGAGTAGAGCTTCTGCAGGATTTTGGATTCTGAATGTCTTCTGGAGCTCGTAGGAGCTCTCTCAGGAGCTCTCTCAGGCTCAGGGAGCTTCTCAGGAGGCTTCGGAAGCTCCTTGGGGGCCTCCGGGCCCCGTTTAACAGGCTTCTGGGCCCTCCTGATCTCTTTCAGCCTCAAATTGAGTTCTCGAATCTCCTCCTCCAGTGCCAGAATCCGCTTCTTGTCCTCCAGATTCTCCTTAATTCCCCATTCCTGAGAATTCTTCGACAAAGTTTGTTGGATCAATTTCTCATTAGCCGACTTCAGAATCGTCACCTCTTCCAGCAAAATCGAGTAGTCGTTTTCAGCCACGCGCAACTTCTCTTGCAGCTTTTTCAGCGCTGAATTCGAGCTTGAATTTTCAGCTGGCTTCTTCTGAAGATCTGAAGGTCTTCTCGAAGGTGGCTCCGATGCTTCAGATCTCGACGAATTCGATTCCGATGATTCTACAGATTCCAAAGATCCAGAAGACGACGGTTTTCGAGTTGCTCCAGATTTTTGAAGCTCGCGGATTTGCTCATCTTTGATTTTGAGAAGCCGATTGAGTTTGACGATTTGCATTTTTTCTTCGGCTGCGAAAGCGGAAGCGGACGCGGAAGTGGAGTCTCTGAAAAAAATTTAAATTATTTTTTTGAAAAAAAAATGAAAATTTGAATTTCCCGCCAAAAAAAAAGATTAATATGAGCAATCCTGTAATTTTGGACATAAAAACTTGAATCTTAATGATTGCTCATATTAGTTACAAATATGAAAATTTCCAATTTTAGTCCCAAGAAGTTTAATATGAGCAATCATTTTTTGGGGCCAAGAAAACTTTGAATCATTGCTCATGTTAATCTTTGGTATGCTGAATTTCAGATCGAAATTTAGCGATTTTTGTGAAGATTCTGGAAATTGCAAAAAATTCAAAAAGAATTTTCTGAAATCGAAAATTTTAAAAAATATTTCATATTTTGAAAATTTCCAAAATTTTCCGAATCTCTTAAAATTGCATCTTAAGAATCTCAAAAACCTCTTAAGGTCCTTAAGACTTAAAAAATTACTCTCAAATATCTCCGAAATCTTAGGAATCTCCCAAAAATTGCATCTTAAGGATCTCAGAAACTTTAAGAATCTCCTAAAGGTTCTTAAGGTCTCATAAATTTGTAGTTATGACGTGGCAAAAATCGAGCTTAAATTTATTATATAATAGTTCCATTTTGAATTTTTTGAATTTTAATGAAGGGAAAACTGAAATTTTAGAGCTGAAAACGCCACCTGCAAAACGTTTTATTCTCAAAATCTAGAAAAATCTATTATTCCCATCCACATCAAATTGAATTTCTTCGATATAAAAACTTTTCTCAAATTCCACAACTCTGTAAACATCTGAATGTTCTTGATATTTGAAGGTGAAGTTGAAAGATCCAGCCATCAATTGAACATCGTGTATGATATCATTCAAGAACTTCTTCCGTTCCGCATTGAACGGCATCGTTTCCGCGTGCTGTTTTCGGGCCCAATTTTTGAATTCAGCTCCGTCTTGCTCATTGTAAACTCTCTCAAATTTCTCGGGTTGAAATTGTTTGGTGCGATAGTAGAGAATCGCTTTGCGATCCTCAAAATATCCGATATCTTCTTGTTCTTGTCTCAGAATCGTGTCATCACTGGCTTCTCGATTTCGATAAAGATCTTTGAGATATTTCACAAAATCCTTGACGGTTTTCTCAACATTGTTTTTGACAATGAATGGATCCTTCAAAATCCGGCCCAATTTTTCGACAGTCGGGCCTGCGGATTCAGTGGCCCGCATTAGAGTATAGGCCACAAATTGGGCCTCCTCATGAGAAATGAGGGGATGCGCAGGTTCGGCGAAGACTTGCGAGGAGATTAGAAGGAGAATCGGGAGGTGGAGAAACATCGGAATTAGTTCTGTGAGGGGCTGGCTGAAGGCCCTTTTTATGTGGAGCCTGGGTCTCACGGTCGAGACACAATGAATTTTGGGGAAACTGGAAGATTTTTAGAGAAAGTGTATAGTTTTTATGATTTTTTTGAGATCTAGAAAATTCTGGAAATTTTCAAAATCTAAAATTTTTGTTCTAATTTTTTTTTGAATTTTTGCAAATTCCAGAAACTTCACAAAAATCGCTAAATTTTGCTCTGAAATTCAGCATATCAAAGATTAACATGAGCAATGATCAAAAATCAAAACAAAAATTTCAGATTTTGAAAATTTCCAGAATTTTCTGGATCTCAAAAAAATCATAAAAACTATACACTTTTTCAAAAATCTGAAAAAATAATCCAGTTTTCCCAAAATTCATTTTGTCTCGACCGTGAGACCCAATGCTCCGCATAAAAAGGCCCTTCAGCCCCTCACAGAACTCAACCCGATGTTTCTCCAAATCTCCATTCTCCTCCTAATCTCCTCGCAAGTCTTCGCCGAACCCGCGCACCCTCTCATTTCTCATGAGGAGGCCCAATATGTGGCCTATACTCTAATGCGGGCCACCGATTGCGCAGGCCCGACGGTCGAAAAATTGGGCCGCGTTTTTAAGAATCCATTCATCCTAAATACCAATGAAACAAAAACCGTCGAACAATTTGTTGATTTTCTCCAAAAACGCAATCAAAATCGAACTGATTTCACTGATGAGATGATTTTGAGACAAGAACAAGAAGATATCGGATATTTTGAAGATCGGAAAGCGATTCTCTACTATCGCACCAAGCAATTTCAACCCGAGAAATTCGAGAGAGTTTACAATGAGCAAGACAAGGTTGCGTTCAAAAAATGGGCTCGAAAAACAGCACGCGGAAACAATGCCGTTGAATACGGAAAGGCGAAAATTCTTGAATGAGATTATCCATGATGTTCGACAGAAGTCTGGATCTTTCAACTTCACCTTCAAATTAATGGAACATACTGATGTTTACAGAGTTGTAGACTTCGAGAAAAGTTTTTATATCGAAGAAATTCAATTTGATAAAGATAGTGAGAACAGATTTTTCTAGATTCTGAGAATAAAAAGTTTTGCAGTTATGACGTGGCAAAACACTTTTCCCAAACTTTATAGCGTGAGAACTCCCAGCTCCTCATAAAAGCCCCCAGCCTCCCCCAAAAATCCAACATGCTTCTCCTACTTCCAGTCCTCCTTTCATGCTCACTTTTCCCTCAAGTCCTCCCAAAACCAACTTCAACCTATATTTCGCACCAGGAGGCCCAACACGTGGCGTTTAGTGTGATAATCACCATGTTTTCCGCGTTCCCGACAGTGGAAAAATTGAGCCTAGTAACTAGTTTTCAAAAATCCATTTTTACTAAACGGACGTGAAGTACATTTGGAACAACTTGTCAAACGTTTAGAGGAAATTCTTGGAGCGCTCAATCAGAATTTCACCGAGGAATCAATTCGAAACCAAGAAAAAAAGCTTTTCCAATTGTCCGAGGATCGAAAAGCGATTCTCTACTACCGAACCAAGCAGCATGATTTTGAGGCGTTCGAAAAATATTACGATGCGGAAGACGAAACTTGGTTTGATAATTGGGTTGAGAAAAATGGTGGAGAAATTTTGAATCTCAACGCGGAGTACAAGAAACAATTCGATGAGGCAATTACTGATGTTACACGTTCTTTCGGATCTTTTAATTTCACATTTGGGCTGCAGGCTTCTTCACAAGTTTTCAAAATTGTACCCTTTGCCAGAAGTTTTTACGTGGCAGAAGTTGAATTTGATGTGGAGGATAATAACAGAATCTTCTAGATCAGATCATAAAGATACTCAGAAATTTTTTTGTACGCGTTCAGCACACTTTTCGTACCAGTTCAATCCCTTTTCAGTGCGAGATCGCGAGCACAGTCAATTCCAGCACTCAACTGGAGATGAACCGGAACATAAAAAGAACTGAACTAGTACAGAGCGCTTTTCGGGGAACGGAACCGGTACGCGCTTGCTTGCGTCGCTCGCTTGAATGTTCTGAACCCGTACACTGTTTTCTATTTAAAAAGGCGCTGTGCGAGCAGAATTTGTACTGAACACGTACACTTTTATGAAACAAAAAATTTATTGATTAATTAATGTCAATTATTTTACAATCTGTAGATTGTTGGTGGGTTGACATGATGGAGCGGCTGTGTAGATTTTTGCCAAGTCGGATTGAGAAGTCGGCTGTAGGTGTTGTTGTAGTTGACTGACTGACTGAAAGAAAATTTTGTTCAAAAATTCAGATTTAAAATGAGATTTATCAACCATAACTATCATACTTCATAAATTATAAGGATTTTTGTAAAGCGTCTTGGAAGTACAGAGGTTTTTTTTCTTGGCTCAAATGTTAGTAAAAAACTTATTTTTTGATCTGCAGTTGAAATATGAAACGCAGTGATGTGACATTTACAAAATTCGGATTAAAAAAACGATTCCTAGGATTTCCTGGGGTTTGTCAAAGAATTATCCCTACTGTTTACTGTTTCTCTAAAATCTAATTCTCACAATCCGAAACTTATTCACACTTGGAAAAGTTCTTGAAATTAGCTTTTTTTTTGAAAAATGAACATGTTCGAATGTTGGATTATTTATTTACTAGGAAGAAAAATTTTCCCAACTTTTGTACAGAAAAGCACAAAAAATATTTCAAATGATAATAAGAAACATTTTCCCAACTTTTGTACAGAAAAGCACAAAAAAAATTTCAAATGATAATTTTTTAAAGTGCTTACCTTTTCTAATTATCCTCATTTCCAGCCGCGCTTCGAAATTGTCTGCTTTTTGATAGTTGTAGATGAGGCAATAATCATGCTTGCTCTGAAAGTTTGTTAAATTACAATTAAACGTTGAAATAACCCAAAAAAACACAAGAAGAATATTTCGAAAAACAAAAATTGTGAATAAAAAGACGGATTTATATCAGAATGAGATGAATTCAACAAAAAACGATAATAATTATTTCTCTTGAATTAATTTTAAAAAATCAATTCGAAACGACGTTCAATTCCCCAAAAAAACGATGAAAAACAAAAAAAGGCCTAAAATTTTCGAAAACAAAAAATGAGAAATTCTCCTGGGGTTTGGCTGAACCTTTAATTCGCGTCGAGACCACCGTGCTCGTCAAAAAGTACTGAACCAGCACAGCACAAAAATGTGTCGCGTGCAATAACGGACTGTACCGGTACGAAATTATTTCATGTGTGTACGGGTTCAGAACATCTATCCAAACATGACATTTTCAAGCCAAGCAGCTAAAAAGACTGAACGTGGACTCGCATAATTTTGAACGCGTACTCGATAGGAACTGAGCGCGTACAAATGCACAAAACGTGCTGATCGGGTACAAAAAAATTCCTGAGTATGACGTGGCAAAAATTTTTGTTTGCCCAAAGTTTTGAAAAATGAAAATCTTCATTTTTATAAATTTCAGTTGGGAAAAACATCATTTCGAAAATTTTAAAAATGATTTTCAGCTCCAAAAATCCAACTTTCCCAAAATTCATAGCGTCTAGCCTCTGAGAACCCTCAGCTTCTCATAAAAGGCCCCCATGCCCCCCAAAAAAAATTCCAATGCTTCTCGCCACCCTCCTCTTCTCCCTAATCCCCCAAATCATCCCCGAACAAGTTCCACCATTTCTAACCCATCACGAGGCCCAATACGTGGCCTTCACTCTGATCCGGGCCATTGTTTCCGAAGGTCCCACCGTCGAGAAACTTGGTCGAGTCTTCAAAGATCCATTTTTGGTCGCCGGACTTCCGACAAAGGTGGAGGAATTTGTGGAATATACTAAAGCAAAAAATCAATTTCGCAAACAACATCAGAACGTCAGTGATGAATTGATTCGACAAAGATCAGAAGAAGATCTAGAACTCTTCGAAGATCGAAAAGCGATTCTATACTACCGTACCAAGCAACATAATCCCCAGAAATTCGAAAAAGTTTACAATGAGCAAGACAAAGCTTCCTTCGAAAATTGGGCCAAACAACATTCTTCCAAAACTTTGATGCTGAATTCGGAGAACAAACAATTCTTGAGCGAGAATTTTCATGAAATTGAGAGGAATTTCGGATCTTTCAATTTCACCTTCAGATTCCTGGAATATTCCGATGTTTATAAGGTTGTAGAATTCGAGAAAAGTTTTTATATCGAAGAAATTCGATATGCAAAGGATGATAATGAAAAGTTTCTTTAGTTATGACGTGGCAAATTTAATTCTCATTTCAATAAATATTCTAGTTCTTCTAACTCTCTTCCTCTTCAAATAAAGACTTTGGTTATGACGTGGCAAAGCTTAAAATCGCTGCTTAAGAATCTCAGAAGCCTCAGGAATGCCCTTAAGGTTCTTAAGCCTTTAAAAATTGCATTTTAAGGATATCAGAAATTTTAGGGATCTCCTAAAGGTTTTTAAGAACTTAAAGATTCTCAAAAATTACTTTTAAAGATCTCCGGAAACTTCCGAAAGGTTCTTAGGAACCTTAAGACTTTAAAATTGTTTCTTAAAAATCTCAGAAACCTCTGGAATCCCCTTAAGACTTCAAAAATTACATCTTAAAGATCTCTGATCCCAGAAAAATATCATAAATCAATTTATTTCCCAGCAACACTAGTTTCAGAAACCAACAACAAATTTTTGCCAAATCCAGCAATCCGATATTTTGTCAGTGTTTTCTTGTCTACAATCGTGAAATTCAACGAGTTCTCCTCAATTTCAGGCTTCTCAAAAAAGCTATCATAAGCCTTGATTTCTCTATCCGAAATTTTCAATTCTTCACCACCATTTTCTTGGACCCAATTATCGTACCATTCAGCATCTGCTTGATCAAAAGTGTTCTCAAATTTTTCTTTATCAAACTTCCTTAGAACTCGATAAACAATCGCTTTTCTAGAATCAATATCATTCAGAATTGATGCTTCAACAAGTTCAATCGGATTATTATCATCCAAGATCTCATGATTTGTTTTTTCAAATTCCTCTTTACGAGATCTTCTGATCTCTCCAACCAGATAATCAATCGAACGAGACACGTTTTCATTCAAAAACGGATCGTGGAAGATTTGCCGGAACTTCTCGACACTGGGAACACCTTCCATCACATCCAACAACAGAGTTTCGCCAATGTGTTCGGCTTCAATTTCAGTCAGCCAATATTCGGCGGAGATGATTTGGAAGAGAAGGGAGAAGATTATGAAGATTTTCATTTTTTTTGGGGGGAAAATGAAGTGTGCTTCGATATTTTTGAAGACTTTGATTTTATTGGGCATGGGAATCTTGTTGTTAGAAATTTTCGATTTTTCGAACTAGCCACGTGGATTTTCTAATCTACAGTAATCCTATGCCACGTGGATTTTCCTGATCCACAAAAATTGATTCCACGTGATCTACATTAACCCGGTGCCACGTGAATTTTCCTGATCTGCAGAAATCCAGAAAAATCGAGGCCACGTGGATCGACAGTAATCCGAAGCCACGTGGATTTTCTGATCTACAGTAATCCGAAGCCACGTGGTTTTTCTGATCTACAGTAATCCGAAGCCACGTGGATTTTCTGATCTACAGTAATCCGAAGCCACGTGGTTTTTCTGATCCACAGAATTCCAAAAAACATAGAGGCCACGTGGAAGTTTTATCTAGAAAAACTGTCCAACGTGGATTATTCTTTCTACAAAAATCCAAAAAAAAAAACCACGTGGTTTTCTGATCTACAGTAACCCTATGCCACGTGGATTTTCCTGATCTACAGAAGTCCGAAAAAATGTGCCACGTGGATTTTCCTGATTTACAGAAATCCCGAAAAACCGATTCCACGTGTTCTACGGTAATTCGATGCCACGTAGATTTTCCTGATCTACAGAAACACACAAAAATTGATTCCACGTGATCTACAGTAACCCGGTGCCACGTGGATTTTCTGATCTACAGTAAACCATTTCCACGTAGATTTTTTTCAAAATTCCCAGACCAATAAAATTCCAACATCACAAAAACCCTGCCTCCCCAAGAAAATTCCCCCAAAAAATGTCAAAAATTCTAATACTTCTTCTATGTTCCCTGCCAACAATCTCAGCTCAATCCTGGCTGACAGAATCCGAAGCCCGATATATCGCTCACACTCTAATCCACGATTCCATCGATGGAACTCCAACGGCTTCGAATTTCCGGAAAATCTTCACGGATCCTTTCAAAGATCACGACACTTCAAAATCGATTGATGTTCTCGTTGGGGAGTTCAAAGCCAAGTTTCAACCATCGAATAACATACTTTTCGGGGATCGTGAAATTGCTGAAAGTATTTCAGACAATTTCGAGACGCGTCAAGCTTTCGTCTACCAAAAAATGAAAATCTATTCGCCGCAAACTCTCAGCACAACTTTCACATCTTCAAAAGATGAAAAACTTGGAAAAATCGATTTAGAAGCTCGTGTCAAGTGTCAGAATCTTGATGAAAAAAAATATAAAATTTGGCATCTTCAAAGCGATTTGAGCTTCATTTTCGGAATTTACACAGGAATTTACTACAAAGTTCAGCGAGTTGGAAGAAGTTTGTATTTGTATGAGCTGGAAAAGAATTGCACAAAAATGAACGGTGTGACAGTGTGCAATAAAATTACATAACAGTTGTCAAATGAAATTTTTTCGCGCTCTACAGTAGTTCAGAAAATTGATGCCACGTGGATTTTTGATCCAGAAAAATTGTGCCACGTGGAAATTTGCTCTAAAAAAAACTGTGCCATGTGGATTTCTCTGATCTACAGTAATCTAAAGCCACGTCGGTATATTATTTTTTCAAAAATGCATTCAAATATTCACACGCCAAAAAATTCCAGACATATAAAATTAGATCAATAAAATCTAGGAACCTCATCTACAGTACTCCTTGCAGTTCGGCTTACAGTATGTTTTGCAGTCCGGGCTCTCAAAGTTACAGTAACTTAATAAAGGAATTTTCCCAAGCCGGAAAAAAATACAGCACCTCTTGAATGCAGTTCGGATTGTTACTCTGGAGTTACAGTAACTCTATAGGGTCTCAAAAAATATTCTGGAAAGTTGTCATCCAGATTTTCTCACGCCTAAAAAATTTCAGAAAAAATAAAAGCCTACAGTAATCCAGCATTTCCAGACAAATAAAAATTTGCCATAAAACCAAAGGCAGGGCTCAAAAAAAATTCCAAAAATGAAATTCCATCTCCTACTTCTCCTTCTGTTCCCCCAAATCTGCGAAGCCATCGACAAACTTTCCGAAGTGGAAGCTTTGGTAGTTCTAACCGACCTCAAACTTCTCAAATTCCCATTCAAATATAAATCGTGCTACAACAATGTGCCCAAAATGTTGGACGAGAAGGAGTTCAGCGACTTGAGAGCACTTGCACTACCGTACGCAATTGAGATGCACAATCCCGACGCTGCGAAATATGCCGAGTTACACAAACTCATCGCCAACAAAAATCGCACGCAACACGTGGAAATCGACAAAGATCTATCAGAATCTGCGAGAGAAGGTGTTGACCGTATTGAAATCAATGGCTTCAATTTTGTGGTTCATTTTAAAAACACTGGAAGGGGAACCTTGGTATACGGGGTAAATTATGAGAATGGAAAGTTCTATTTGATTTCGGAAGAGCGTTTCGATTGTCCACAATAAATTATTTCGGCAGTTCAAAATACAGTAACCCTTGCAGTTTGAGCAATTTAATCTACAGTAATTCTTGCAGTCCGAACATTTGAGTATGAGTAACTCACAAGCTAATGCTTGTAGTCTTTGATCTGGGAGTTACAGTAACCTTTGCAGTTTGAGATACAGTAGCTTTTGCAGTCGAGATTTTGTAGCTCTAAAAAAATGCGAAACAAACTTCATCACCAAAAAAAATCCCCCAACTATTTTTCACAAACAAACTTCTTGGTCTCAATATAAAAACTGCCACGTGTCAGCACAATCTCCAACTCCAGTTTATATTTGGGAAACTGTGTGATGACACCAATTCGATTTCCGCCAATCGACGTGCGCGGAATACTATTCCGCAACGCTTTCCGCACATCTTCCGGAATGTCAACCGCCTCGCCATTCGCAATTTTTCTCCGAACTTCGAAACCGGCGTCGAGTCGATTTCTCTGATCTTCCAGTTCTGCAACGCTATGCTTGACAGTATTCTTCCGAGCCGCAGTCATCATCTCCCTGTATTTTTCAAGCTTCAACTCCTGATGTTTACCATCGCAAGTGTGAAGCCAGAAAGGATCCGTGTAGATCATGGAAAGCGCGCCAAGATCATCGCGGTTCAAACCGTTGGCGTAGAGTAGCGATGAGACGATTAGTCTTGATTGATCTTCTCCGACTTCAACTTCAGTGGCGGAGATGGAAATGAGAAGAATCGAGATTAGAAGGATCGGGAACATCGGAGACATCATTGGAAATTTAAAAAAAAACAAAATTTTTGTAAAAAAATTCGGATAATTTCTATGAGGGGGTGTCTAGACCGTGGAAAAATTTCTAAAATAAAAATCCAAAAAAAAGTGCCACGTGGATACAGTAATTCGGGAAAATTGCGTGATTCCAGGTGCATTTTTCAGTTCTTCAGAAATTCAAAAAATCTACAGTATCCAAGAAAAAAGGGTGCCACGTGGATATCTTGATCTACAGTATGAAAATTGTGCCACTCTAAATACAGTAGTCCAGACACAAAATTTTTATGATTTACAGTAACCAAGAAAAATAGGTGCCACGTGGATTTCCTAATCTACAGTAATCCGATGTCACATGGATGTGTTGATCAAGAAAAATTGGTGCCACGTGGATTTCTGTGATCTACAGTAATCCAGAAATATTGGTGCCACGTAGATTTCAGTAATCTACAGTAGTCCGATGCCACATGGATTTCCTGATCCAAAAAATCCATGAAAATTGTGCCACGTGGATTTCTGTGATCTACCGTAATCAAAAACCGGTGATTCCCGATCTACAATATTCATATAACTCGATGCCACGTGGCAAATTCAACTTATTTCGAAACTTTATGAAGCCGAGACTTGCCGAAAATAGGAATAAAATCCACGTGGCATTAAAAACATTCAGGGAAATAACATGATTCTGAACAGGTGATTTTTTGTCCTTTCCGAAAAGTTTTTCAAACCACAAGCTACATAAATCTATTCGCTTCCGCAATATTCATGAATATCTCGTGTTCCCCAGAAACACAAGATTTCCAGCAAATCCTTCTATTCAATTCTCTACGTCTCTACTTCTACATCCTAATGATAATCTACACTTCAAGTGTCTTCATCATTTTCCCATTATTCGTTTATTTCTCAAAAATCAATCGCAACAAAGATGAGCAATCTCCAATTTTTCCAATCACCAGTCATCTTTACAAAATCACCGTTTACTCACAAATATTAATTCTTATCAACACGATTTCTTTCATAATTCCAATTTTTTATTATGGAAATAATCTGCGTGTTATACAAATTCTATTCAATATTTCATTAATTCTCCAAGCTATAACTGATTTTTTCAATGTTATAGTTATCCCAGTTCAAAATATTCTAGTATTTCTTCTAGCTCTTCAAAGATTCGCCCTTTATTTCTATCCAAATTCCGAAAAATATATCAGTCCTTCTCAAAAAACCTTCAAATACGTTCTTGTTTTTCTATATTCTTTAGCTATCGGTGGAAATCTTCTTTTTCAATATTTCATATTTAAATGCGCTGTCAACGGGGCTCACGCTCATCAACAAATTGTTTGCAATCCACTTTTACCAATCACAAATGCTCTAGTTTATATCGGATGTGATTTTCTTGTGATTATCTCCTCAATTTTTTATATTTTAATCCTTAAAAGTGTTCGAAACATCAGGCATTCTTCAACAGTTATGACAACTCGACCTGAGAAAGCGATTCTCTATCAAACTTTGGTTTTAATCATCGTCAAACTATTAAGCTTACCAATAATTCTCTATTCAATGATGTTTTTCGGATGTTTTGATATCACTTCACCGCTGAAAGTTATCAATAAGGTTCCAAGTTTTCGGCAGAAAATTGAACCAGTTAAATTTTAAAAAAATTTCAGATTTTCATCGGTATGTTCTTTAGTGACACGTTAACAACTCCAATCGTATCACAAGTCGCCTATCTTTTTTGCAATAAAACCCATTTGGAACATTTGATGAGGCTGAATTTCGGAAAATTGAGAACTTGGCTGATTGTTTGTTGTGGAGCTAGTTCGAATAGTGTGAATTATGAGCAAGAAGTTGAGAATTTGGGCGTCGCTTCTTCAACAGCAAATCAGATTTCACCGTAGACAAATTTTGAATTTAAAAAAAATGAATTTTTATTAGGTGCCTAGACTGTGGAAAAATATTATCCGATCTAAAGTCATCCAGGAATTTTTGTGACACGTGGATTTTTTTTCCAAAAAAATCGGATTTTTATGATTTACAGCAACCAAGAAAAATAGGTGCCACGTGGGTTTTTCAGATCTACAGTAGTCCAGAACCAAAGTTTGATCTACAAAATTCCTGAAAATTGGTGCCACCTGGATTTTTTTGATCTACAAAACTCCGGAAAATTGTAGATTTCAGTGATCAACAGTAATCCGATGCCACGTGGATTTCTGTGATCCACAGTAATCCGATGTCACATGGATGTGTTAATCAAGAAAAATTGTGCCACGTGGATTTCTGTGATCTACAGAATTTCAGAAACAGTTGAGAGACACGTGGAATTCTCTGATCTACAGTACTTCAGAAAATAAACTTTTCTGAAGTACTGTAGATCGTCAAACCAGAAAAATTTATTCGGTATGAAGCCTAGACTTTTTTTATGAAGGCTAGACTTGCTGAAAATACAACCAAAAGCCACGTGGCATTTCAAAATGTTTATTCATAGAGCAGCACAATCCACCCAAACTTCCGAAGCCAACAAAAACCGCCCCATCTCATGAACCACTTGATAAATCACAGGATTATTCCCAAAATGTGTGAGCGCATGGAAATTGAGGCTATCATCATCAAAGTAAATTTCCCTAATTATCTCTCGAAGTCTAGTCAATTGCTCCTCACTGAACCTGATATGCTCATCTAGATCTCGATTCATGATTCTGTGACGAATCGAATCATCGCGATGTCTCAGAATCTCGTCAAGCAACAAGCTTCCCGGCTTATTATATTGATCTTCCAATGATTTTCGATCCTTCAAAATCATTTCGAAAAGCTCCACTTCATCCAAATATCTGCCAGTTTCATTGCAGAAACTATAGTAGAATGGGATTCGGTTGAGTGTCGAAAGTTCGAACTGATCTAGCGGAATCAGAAAATTATCTTCGATGAGACTTAGCGCAACTGCGCGAGCTTCATCTTCCGAAAGTTTATCGATTGCGTGGCAAAAGACGGGGATGAGGAGGAGAAGATAGAATTTCATGGGGGGTTTTGGGGGGAAATTGGTAGAGGGGTGGTTTTTATAGAGACCATTTTTTATTTGTCTGGGAAGCTATGAGCTATGACGTGGCAAAAAAAAGTTTTTCAGAAATTTTAGAAAACCCTAGGCTTGTTAGAATTTTCTAGGTTGTCAGGCGTTTTTTCCGGCATTAAAAATATTTTTTAATTTTCAAGGCTTCCCAGAACTGTTGTAGACCTTCTTAAAAATTCAGAAAATGTTTTTAAGGCTTCTGGAATTTTTCCGGCTTTGAAAATATTTTTTTTTAATTTTCAAGGCTCCCCAGAACTGTTCTAGACCTTCTAGAAAATTCAGAAAACGTTTTTAAGGCTTCTAGAATTTTTTCGGCATTGAAAAAATTGAGGAAAAATTCCAAGGCTTCCCAAAACTGTTCTAGTTTTTTTCTAGCCTTCTGAAAATTTCAGAAAAATATTCTAAATCTACAACAAGATTCCCAGGACTTTTCTAGACCTTTTAAAATATTTTGAAGTTTTAGAAATATTTTCTAAACCCTTTGGAATTTTTTTTAACAAATTTGAAAACTTCAAAATGCTTCTCTAAATTTTCTAGAGCTTCCGGAATTTTTTCCGACTTTCAAAGCTTTCCCGGGGTTCTAGAAATTTCAGAAAATTTTTCTAGGCTTCTCAAATATTCAGAAAAAAAGACATTTCAGAATCTTATTCAAAAAAAATCCCAAACCAATTAACAATCCTCCCATCTTTCAGAAGTCACTACAAATCTCCCGTTCTTATACTTAATACCAAAATCAATCTTGAACTTCTCCCCTTCGGGTTGAAACGTCGCAAAAAAGTGCAATTCATCAACTTGAACTTCACCAATAGTTTCTCGAAGTCTTTCCAAACTTTTGGCATCGAATTCCACATGAGTGTCCCGTTTCAAATTCTCGATTTTCTCGCGAATCTCTCCATCACGTTTCGTCTCAGCTTTTCGTTTTTCCAATTCTTCCGGTGTGTGGCTAACATGATGTCTTCGCTCCTTTTCAATAAAAGTTTTCAGAGCTTCTGCGGAATTCAATTTCAAAGTTGTACCATTGCATTGTCCCACAAAGTATGGTACTTGGTAAAACTTGGGAATGTCTTGGATTGGCGCCAAAAATGTTTCTCCGATGAGACTTACGGTAACTGCGCGAGCTTCATCATCGGACAGTTCATCGATGGCATGACAGAAGATCGGAATGAGGAGGAGAAGGCAAAAATTCATTTTTTTTTTTTTTAATAATTTTGAGCGACACAGGGTCTTATGAAGAAGAAAAATAATGTGTCTAGAAATTTTCAGCCTGGGAAAATTTTGATTGAAAATCTGGATGAAACTTCACGCGGTATTGATTTTTCTCAAATTCTGGAGATTAGAAAAATCCACGTGGCTTCAAGATTTCTGTAGATCAAAAAATCCACGTTGTGTCGAATTTTCTAGATAAAAGAATCCAGGTGTCATACATTTTGCTGAATTTCTGTAGAGCAGAAAAATCCACGCGGTACTAATTTTTCTGAATTACAGTAAGGCGAAAAATCCACGTGGCATCGATTTTTCTGGATTTCTATAGATCAGAAAAATCCACGTGGCTCCAATTTTCCGGTATACTGTAGATCAGAAAAATCCACGTGGCATCGATTTTCTGAATTTCTGTAGATCAAAAAAATCCACGTGGCTTCAAGATTTCTGTAGAGCAGAAAAATCCACGCGGTAGTAATTTTTCTGAATTACAGTAAGGCGAAAAATCCACGTGGCATTGATGTTTCTAAATTTCTGTAGATCAGAAAATCCACGTGGCTTTAATTTTCCGGTATACTGTAGAGCAGAAAAAGTCCACGCGGCTACAATTTTCTGAATTTCTGTAGATCAGAAAAATCCACGTGGCATCGATATTTCCAGACAAATAAACCCTGGGCGCTTTTAAATAACACCCCAGTCTCATTTTTCTCACATTCAGAAATGAAATTTCTCATTCTCCTGATCTTCATCTCAACTGCCTTCGCAAAAATGACCGAAATCGAAGCCAAGTTCATCATCCAAACTTTGCTCCAAGAGCTCCGAGTCCCAACAATGGAAATCATCCAAAGAGTTTATCACTTCCCGTATACTTCAATAGATTGTCAGGGTAACAAATCGTATCTAGATGCTGAAACTCTAAAAGGCCGTGCTGTAAAAAACCACGTGGAATCAGAAAATGAAGAAGCTCAAATTCTTCTTCAACTTAATCGAAGACTTCGAGAGCAGATCGCAAGAAATCAACATTTCCACTTTGATGATCCGGAGCTCAAGAACTTCAGAATTATCTCAATCGATGGTTACGATTTCAAAGCTCAACTTCAGAATGTTGAGTACGCTGTGAAAAGGGCTGACAATAATTTTAAGATCGAGTCGGAAACTTGGACTTGTTGAGAGAAATAAAATTTATCTTGTAAAAATTTTTCAAATCATGCGCAAAAATCATTTTATCGTGGTAATCAAAGCACTGGGAAATGAATACAGTTTTACAGTTTTCCCCTACAGTTTTATGAGTCTAGACTTTAAGAAAATGATATTTTTAACAATAGTTTTCTGCTTTGGAGCCCATTTATTTTCAATATACGTTTCAGCTATTCTTATTTTCACAAATCTTGAGAGATTTGAGATAAAAACTCTCATTTCCGTCCTTTCCAACAGCCCGAACAACTTCAAACTCATCGCGTCTTCCCGTAAATGATATAAACATTTTGAAATTCCATCCATCGCTGGCGACTTCAATTTTTTTCACAATTTTTTTCAAATCATGCGCAAAAATCCTTTTATCGTGATCAAGAGTTGGATTCCGGCATTTTTCCGCGTAATATTTTCGTAATCCAAAATGTCTCTCAATACCTTCGGATGGAATTAACAAAGTTCGATTTTTGATTTTGTAAAACTTTTCAAATATATCATTTTTTGAAAAGTACTTTGTTTCTCCATTTTCACACGTTGAAATGGAAATACAAAAATCTTATCCAAATCATCAAATGTGGCATTTTCCAAAATAAAATCCTTGATGAGTGTGTAACCAACAAGTCTCGCTTTCTGCACACTCAACCTAGCTTCGGCGAATTTGAAAATGCAAATTGCTATCAAAAAATGAAGAAAATCCATTTTCAGAGAGAACGAAGACTGGGCTGATTTGAAATTGTGCCCAGGGTTTTCAAAGGCAGAAAAAAGTGGGTGTGGCTTGACATTTATAGATCCTGGGAACTCTTGACGATCTGACACGTGGCCAATTTTAGTTATGACGTGGCACAGTGTAATCAATGTATAGAAGGTTTTTAAGAGTCTAGACTTTGAGAAAATGAATAGTTTTCTGCTTGGAAACCTATTTATTTTCAATCAACTATTCTCATTATTACAAATCTTGAGAGATTTCAGATAAAAACTCTCAACTCCGTCTTTTCCAACAGCCCGAACAACTTCCATCTCATCCCGTTGAGTCGGATACGTAAAAATCATTTTGAAATTCCATCCATCGCTTCCGATTTCAACCTCATGAACAAATCTCGTCAAAACTTCTTCCTTGATCACAAATCTCGCAAAAGTTGGATTGCGATCTTTTTCTGCATAACCTTTCCGATATCCGAAATGATTTGCAATATCTTTTGATGGGATTGATGATCGGCGATTTTTGTATTGTCTTTCGTACATCTCACTTTTTGTCTCGGATTTCGTTTCTGCGTTTTCACACGACGAAATCGAAAACGGGAATTGAAAAACCATATCCAAATCATCCAATGTGACATTGCTCACTTGAAAATCTCGAAGAAGCGTATATCCAACAAATTTCGCTTGATAAGTATCCAACTCAGCTTGGGCCAACTCCAAAATGCAGGTTGCAATCAGAAAAAGAAATTTCATTTTCAGAGACTGAACTGATTGTGCCCAGGGTTTTTAAGAACAGAAAAAGTGGGCGTGTCTAGAATATTTATAGATCCTGGGAACTTTTGATGAATTGACACGTGGAATTTTTTCGTGATGCCAATACACGTCACAAATGTTGGTTATGAAATGAAATATTTATCAGCTTCAAAATACTTTACAAATCTTCATCGACTTGACATAATAACTCTCAACGCCACCATTTCCAACCGCACGAACAACTTCGGTCTCCAATATTATATGATCAGTTTTTTTCGTCATTTTGAAGTTCAATCTATCGCTTTCAATCATACTAATATATTCTACCCAATCTTCAGCTTTATCCAAATAACGTGTTTTGGAATAACCTGTGTGTCGATATGCGAAATTCTGTTCAATTATTTCCGATGGGATTGACGAGTGGCGGTTTTTGTATAACCTTTCGAACAAGACATTTTTCGAGACGTGAAACGTTTTGTCGCTTTTACATCGCGACATCGGCAATGGGAAGAGAAAAATCTTATCCAAATCGTCTAATGTGGCATTGTTCAATAGGATATCTTGAGACAGTCTGAGTCCAACAGATATCGCTCGATCCGAAAACAAAATAGCTCGCCTAGCTCCGGTAAACTTGAAAATGAAGATTGCGATCAGAAAATGAAGAAATTTCATTTTCAGGAAGGCGGGAATGACTTTGAAATTGTGCCCAGGATTTTTATGGACAGAAAATGTGGGCGTGTCCAGAATATTTATAGACCCTGAGAAAAGCAAATTGTCACGTGGAATTTCACAAGTTTTGGTTATGACGTGGCACATTGAAATTAATATTTATGAGTCTAGACTGTGAGAAGTGATATTTTTAACAATATTTTTTTGCGAAAAACATCATTCATACCAAAAATGAGAATCCTCACAATTCTCCTAATTTTTGCCACATCATCAATTCTGTCACAAATGTTTCCTGACGTACATATGTGGCCTGCGTCTAGTCGAAGAATCGACAGAAACGAATATTTGGTATACCTTCTGAATATGGAAAAATCACTTCCCGATCCTTCAGCCGAATCGCTCGCCAGATTTCTGATCGAACCCTTCGTATTTGTAAATCGCAATTGTTTGGGGAAAACCGAGAATTTGACATTCACCAAAATCATCGAACTTTATAATGAGCAATACGAGATAATGCGAAAAGAGGGAACATTCAAAGAGCATGACACTGAGGCTGTGGCTAAACTCAAACATTCGCGATTTCAAGATCGAAAAATTGTTGCAAGAGTTGCAGGACATCAGCCAGCATTTCGTGCTGATAGATATGCAGAGCTGAAATATTACATGGGTAAGAATATTGTGGGGACTGAGGTGGGCCTCACTTTTGAGATGGAGTCTATAAATGCGACCACGATTTATACCGCTCAATATTTTCCCTGTCATGATGAGAAGGTGAATACAGAATGTCAAAATATTTATCTGACCAAGGCGGAAGTTAAGTGTCACTATCCGTAAAACTTCAGATTTTTTATTAAATAAATCTTCTTTATTCAAATTTTGAAACACTTTTCCGACGCAAGATAGGAATTAAAATGTTTCTGAACAATTTTGAAAAATACTCTTGCTGTGAAATTTGCTCTTCAACTTCCCGCGTGAGAACGATTTTTTTGATTTTGAAGAATTTGCGTAGCTCGATGTTTGCAAGCCGTTCATTTTCGAATTTCTTGAAGTCTTCACTTCCTTTTTGAACTTCGTGTCGTTTCTTTTTCTCGATCGATTTTTGATAAAGTTTTGATTCATGCTCCAGAAGTTCTGTGCGATTATGGATCTTCGCATTCAAAAATCTTTTATATAAAAACCAGAGCCACGTTGGAGTTTTTATATAAAAACCAGCGCCACGTTGGAGTTCCCTGTTTCCCAGACACATAAAACATCTTGAGCCGCCACGTCATAAAATTTATTCAACACTCGTCTTATAAGTCTGCGACTTCAAATAAAAACTCCCATTAAAATGAGCAACCCCATAAACCAAATAGCTCGAAACATTCCTCTCAGTTTTTGAGTAGCTAAACTCAAAGTCCCAACCATCCGTAAATCTAAAATCCTCCACCTTTCCCATGCGATCATTATAAAGCTCATTGATGTGTGCCCGCTGATCATTTTCCGCGTTCGCGTAAGCCTTCCGCGTCTCAAAATGTCGCGCTATAAGCGTTCTGGTCTTATCAACCTCTAGTTCCAATGGCTTCAGGAACTTCAAAATGATCTCGACAATCGCTGAAGTCTCATTATAGAACGTCTCCTGATCCACAGATCTTGTTGAATTCCCCTCAATTTTCAAATAAGGAAACGCGTAGACTTGCGCAAACTCCTCTTTCGTCGGAATAAAAGTGAACCTCGAATTTTCAATTAGGGTAACTGCTATGAATCTCGCATCCCTCTCATTGAATTCACGAACACCAAAAATGAAATGGGGCAAGATCAGCACCAAAATAAATATCATTTTTTGTTTTTTCGCTTCGATTTCAGACCATTTATAGCTTCTGGGAAAACTGCAACGTGTTCAAAAACACCTTGATATAAAAACTGCCATCCAATCAATTTTCAATCCAAAAATGAAAATCTTGATTCTCCTTCTGATCTTTCTTGCAAGATCAATCAATTCCCTGAACGACAAAGAAGCCAAGTACATCCTATATCTCTTACTAAATGATAGATTCATCCTTCCCCCAACATCCGAATCAATCTCCAAAATCTTCATCAACCCTTATCAGATCTTCCCATGCGCTTCAGATGTTTATACCTTCTACAATCGCACAGCACTTCTGAAAAGAGAGGAATTGTTCTACAATGATTGGCGTGAGAAGACGAATTCCCCTGAATTCCACGAATCAAGTTCTCAATACAAAAAACTCGAAGGCGAGCGTCTTTCAAATTTCGAGAAACGAAAATCAATGCTTCTCAATAATGGAGCAGATCTTGGGGGCGAAGTTGAGAAACTGATTGGCGAAATGAGCCCAACTGTTGAGCACATCATTCATCTAGATGATGGTTTCACAGTCAGATTCAAAAATCTACAACACAACGGGCGTTTCAATATTGTTCAGCAACATTACAGTTTCTATCTCGCTTCAGAAACCTGTTTCGAACCATGAATGAAAACGTTTATTATTCAATACATTTCTCAGAAGTTAAATAATAACTTTTGCGCTCTTCAACAAAATCAAATCTAGCCTTCTTGTTTTGAACATGAACATCAATTGCAAACCCATTTTTCGTCGCATAGATACTATGAATAAATTTGTCCGCAATCTCAATCGCGCTCAAAAAATACGACGGAAGATTTCGCCTGTTTATCGCAATCAATGTTCTCTGATGATAATTGTATTGCTGTTCACTTTTAAATGCCGCAGCATCATCTTCACTCATACTTCGATGATTTATCTCATCATAATCCTTCAATTCATGTTCAAGAAGTTGGTTGTGATTGTAAAACGTGCCATTTCTTTCACCACAATTCACAATATGATAGGGATCAGTGAAAACTCTTTCAATCATTTTGGAAGTTGGTCGAAGTATCGATCTATCGCGGAATATCATGAAGGCGATGTATTTTCCCTCGTTGGTATACAAAAAATCGGCGGATTTCGAGAGAACAAGGAGAAGGATGAGAAGTTTCATATTGACTGAATATTTGAATCGCTCATGGTTTTTATATCAAATTTTCATATTCCCACGCTAAAAATAGCCACGTGTTCAAACTTTATTCATTCATTTACAAAACCAAGTCTCAGATTCCAAATAAAATCCACCATTCCGATTCACCACACTAAACGTCAAATTCGCCGCCTTCTCCACAATTGTATACGTAAAACCACGTCCGTTGAGTTGCAAGTCCTTGATATTGTCATCCATAGCCTTCCGGTATTCCGGAGTGATTTCCGGAACATCATTGCGCGTCACATCCGCAAGCTTCTCGCGTATATCAAAATGACGCGCGCGAGCGGCGTCACGATTCATTTTCAGCTCCAAATCCTTATTGAAAACCTGGTATTTGTAGAGCTCCTCCAGCTTTTTTTCAATGAATCCCGCGTAGGTTTCCAAATCGAAAGTCTCCGTTCCGGGCTTGCAATCGCGATTGATTCGAGTGTAGGGATCGGTCAAAATGATCGCTAGAACTTCGTACGAAGTCGGATTGTAATAGTGATTATCCTCGTACAAGGTATAGGCGATCAATTTTGCGATTTCAGGGGTGAGTTGGGAAACCGCCAGGGTTGAGAGGGGCAGGAGAACGAGCAAAATCATTTTTGCAATGTTTTCTGGAAGGGGAGGGTAGATTTTATGTAGAAAAAATCATACAGCGTGAGAAAAATGTCTATGGGAAAACCACGTGGCAATTCTGATTGCTCTGCCCTGGCCGGCTTTTCAGGGGCCATCGAGCGAGAAGCCGGGCCGGGCCCTAAAGCCCGTTTTTTTCCATTCGGGCCGACCGGGCCGGGGCCGTAGGAACATGTCTGTTGCTCACGAGGGATGTGCATGAGGATAGGTTCTGAAATTTTGATGAATCATATCTATACCAAATCGATCATGCTGATCACGAATCCGAAGTCGAAAATTGCCACAAACTCCTGTGAGCACTTTTTCTGGAGCTCCAAAAGTTTTCGATTTTCTACCCGGAAAAATGGTGAAAATCGACAAAAACCATAACTCAATTCCAATTTTTGAGCTCCAGAAAAGTGCTCACAGGAGTTTGTGGCAATTTTTGACTTCGGATTCGTGATCAGCATGGTCGATTTGGTATATTTAGATATGTTTCATCAAAATTTCAGAACCTAACCTCATGCACTTCCCTTGTCAGGGTTTTAATAGCAAATTTTCAGGCACGTTCCCATACAATGTGCCACGTGTCAAAAAAAACACCTTTAGAGCTTCATTCTCACAATCAATAACACTGCAACGCCGCTCCCGCTAGATAAACATTCTTACACTCCAAATTATCCAACTCATCATGACACGGCATTTTAGCAACAATATAAGTAGTCGTCGTATTCTGATATTCCATCTCATAGGTAAACCCGAAATCCTCCATCTGAATATTTTTCCCCTTATAATGTTGAATCACGTCAAGAGTGTCACGTGGACGAATCGGTGACCACGATTTCTTATTCACCACACTTTTTCGCTCCTTGAATTTCATGTCGCGAAGTCGATCTGCCCATTCCTGTGTCTCATGATCTTTCTGCAGATAGATCCCGTTAGCTTTCTGATATTCGATCTCCCTATTGAAAAGGTTCACGATGTCTTGAACTGTCAATTCTTCCCGTTGTCCCATACAATTCCGATTGTAAAAATAGAATGGGTTGAGGATGATTCTCGACATTGATTCGACCGTCGGATATGGCAAGGTTTTTTCGTGATTCAGGAGATGAGTTAGATACTCATACCTGTTCACAAATTGGTGGCTTGGAATGTATGAAGAATGAATGAAGGTAGGTAGAAAAATGAGAAGAAGTCTCATGTTTCAGGCTGAAAATCAAGAAACTGAAACGTCTCTTATTGCAAATTTTCATTCCCAGACACATAAAAACAGCTTCATTTTAAAAGATGTTCTATCGCCACGTCATAGCATACATACCAAAATGAGCCTAGTGATTCTTCTGCTCCTTGTCCCAGCTTCAATCTCTGCTCATGGACACGACTATGATCCAAATTTCGCATTAAATATGACCTCGATTCAAGCCGCAGCCCGTGGTCTTCTCAAAAAAATCGATAAGCTGGACTCCAAAACAGTTAGCGAAGAGCATCTTGATAGAATCTACACTGATCCATACACCAGAACAAATTATGAATGTTCGGGAGCTCCAGCTGAAACTTTGAGTCTTGAGGAACTCCTCAAGAGCATCGAAATTGATCCGAATTTTGATAGAAAATCGATAGAATACTTGGATTTTCAGATTACTGGCCGGTATAGCTTCACCTTCAGAATTCGACGAGACACGGTGGAAATTGAATACAGGGTTGTAGCTGAGAGAAGAATGAGGGATACCAAGACGAAGCTATTTAGAGCATTTTTGTTAAAATCCGAGACTTGGGAATGTCGGGGAGATCATAATTGAATGGTTTTTGAGAAATGAATGAATTTTCGAATTCCACGTGGATTTGTGAATCAACATTTCGAAAATTCTGGATTTTTTTGTATGCCCGAAAAATCGATTCTAGAAATTTTCCAAATTCTAGATAGTCTAGACATTCTGAAAATTTCGAATCTTTTCGAAATCGCAAAAAATCTTCGCAAAAATGCTATTTCGCCACGTGGATTTTCAGTAAAAAAAATTTTGGTCGAAACTTGCCACGTGGATTTTCACTCAAAAATAAAGTTTGCTTGAAACTTGCCACGTGGATTTTCAGTTAAAAAAATTTTGCTTGAAACTTGCCACGTGGATTTTCAGTCAAAAAAAGTTTGCTTGAAACTTGCCACGTGGATTTTCAGTCAAAAAAAACGTTTGCTTGAAACTTTCCACGTGGATTTTCAGTAAAAAAAATTTTGCTTGGAACTTGCCACGTGGATTTTCAGTCAAAAAAAATTTTGCTTGAAACTTGCCACGTGGATTTTCAAAAGCATATTTTTTAGCCTTCAGTTTCCAAACACAAAAAAAGATTAACATGAGCAATGATTTAATTTTACGCAGAGAAGTTCAAATGCCACGTGTCAATAAAATCATATTCCCATCGTCTGATTCGCAGACACATAAAAAAATCTCCGTTATAAAAGTGAGATCGCCACGTCATAGCATATACATACCAAACATGAAACTCTTGATTTTCTGTCTCGTCGTCCCATTGCTAGCTTTTATTCGCGACGAGGAGGCTGAAAGCTGCGGTGAACAAGTTCACAACACAGCCTTCTACCTGGACTCAACAACAACAGTGAAGGAACTGGCCCAAGTCTACACTAATCCATACACCCGAACCAATTACGAGTGTAACCCCGGAACAAAAACGTTCAGTCATGAAAAGTTATTGAAAGCTTTTGTGCCAAATCCAAGCCCAAATGCAACACGCAGTGTAGTAGAGAACACCAATTTCAATTTCACATTGTTTGATGTGAAATCGCGGAGAGAAACTTCACATTCGGAAATGTACAAATTCACATTTCAAACTATTTACGAACTCGCCACTCATCAAATCACTATCGAGTACATGATTGCGATGAAAGATAAAAAATGCCATTTGTTGTCTGAAACTTGGACGTGTCTGACAAGTGCACAACATATTGAACAACTATTTGATGAAATGAGGCGTGATATGGGGTTGTTATAGGTTTCATAATTGATTTTTGTGACTACTACTACTATAAATTCATGTTCCCGGATTCTAGAACGTCTGGACGTTCTAAAAATCCCGATTCTTCTCAGAATCGACAAAAACTCTTTTGCCACGTTTTAGTCAAAAAAATTGGCTTGAAACTTGTCACGTAGAACTTCAAAAGCAGATTTTTACGGAAGAAAATTAAAACATGAGCAATGCTAAGTTTCCACGTCCATTTTCAGCTTTCGAAAAACACACAAAACTTTTAACATGAGCAATGCTCTTATTTTCCCCAGAAAAGCGATTCACAGTCAAAAACACATTACCGCGTAGATTTTCAGTCCAAAAACAAATTCAAAAAAAAAAGTTTAACATGAGCAATGCTAAGTTTTCACGTGCATTTTCAGCTTTTAAAAATACACAAAAAAAACTTTAACATGAGCAATGCTCAATTTTAACTCCAAAAAATTCCCAGTTTCCTACTCTTCATGAAAAAAAAAACGGAAAAAATATTTTTACCAAAAAAATCTATCATGAGCAATGCCTAATTTTAAGTCCAAGTTTCCCATCCAAAATCTTCATGAAAAAAAAACAGAAAAAATAATTAACCAAGAAAATTTTGAAGAAAAACATCTAACATGAGCAATGCATTTCCACGTGGATTCGCCGTCAAAAAATATTAACATGAGCAATGCTCTAATTTCATGTGCATTTTCAGCTTTTAAAAATGCAACAAAAAAGTTTAACATGAGCAATGCCTAATTTTAAGTCCAAGTTTCCCACCCAAAATCTTCATGAAAAAAAACGGAAAAAATATTTTTACCAAAAAAAAATTTTTTTTAACATGAGCAATGTTTCAACTTTACCCATCTTCATGAAAAAAAAAACAGAAAATATTTTTACCAAAAATATTAACATGAGCAATGCTCAATTTTAACTACAAGTTTCCCACCCAAAATCTTCATGAAAAAAAAAACGGAAAAAATATTTTTACCAAAAAAATTAACATGAGCAATGTATGTTTCAACTTTACCCACCCAAAATCTTCATGAAAACGCCCAAAATTCCCCACCCACTTCCCAAAATCCCGCTCCCACCCCGAAAAAAATTTCCCCACCTTTTCAAGCTGCTCGCCATCGGTGCTCGATCAATCGATACTCCTCCTCCTCCCCTCGACCCGGGTGTCGCCAAAACCTTCGCGCCATCCGCACGCGTACGCCACGTGGATTGCGGCGGTTGCTGGCGGAACGTGGAGCGTCCGGTGATTGCGGAAGCGGTCGCCGCGCGCGCCATCGGATTTGTGTAGAGCAGCAATTGATGTTTGGCCGCCTTCAGCTTCATCTCAAGAATCTGCTTCTCCTTAACACATTCGTCGAATTTCTCGCGTTCCACCGTAGTGTCGTTGTTTTTCTTGCGTTGGAGCAGGTTTTTACGAAAGCGACTGTGAAATCTAGAAAAAAAAATTTTTAATTCGAATCAAAATTAATTTCAGGATGAAAAATACTCACGCTTTGATCTCTTTCTCATTTTCCTTGATCTTCTTCTGACAATTCTGAAGTTCTTCGACTAAATTGTGATAATTGTCCTCGAGTTGAGGACGACTCCACGTTTCGATCGGATATCGGACAACCCTGCAAAATTCAGAAATTTATCTGGATTTTCAGATAAAAAAAAGTAATTTTAAATTTTTTTCAGTTAATTTTCAATGGTGAAACAACCACAAAGCACTGCTCGAAACAATCCCAAAAAATTAATAAAAATTTTGAAACGTACACATTTTTGCTTTTGAAATTCAACAAAATTCCCAAAAGCCCCACCCAAAAAAAACTTACATTTACCAAAAAATCCGCCAAAAATGCACCAAAAATCCTTGTTTTCCTGGCGGTTTTCCCTTGGTTGCTATGGCAATCTGAAATAAATGTTGGAGAAATTAATAGAAAAACGGGGAAGAGAGCAAAGGTGCATTAATTTTTGGTGCAAGGAGGAAGGATTCATGGAAAATGAGCGAAACCTGATGAAAATACGTCGAAAAACAAGGAGAAAAAAGAATTGGCGGGAAATAAATGTTTGAAAATGTTTTTTTCGTTGCGCGGGTGAGCGCCGTCATTTTGCGGAGTCTCGTTCTTTTTCTTTTATTTTTGTTTTCAACTGCAAAATCCAGTTTTTCCCGGGAAAATCGGCCAAAGCCTCGCCTTTCCCGCCAAAACACACAAAAATGTGTGCATTTGTGCGTCGCCGTGTTTGCACACAATTTTTTTACTTTTTTTTTTTGCACTTTTTTCTCACTTTTTTTCTAGTTTGTGGGTGTCCTTGGAAGTTCATAGGGATTTTCCAGTTTTCAAATTGATAAATTTGTAATTTCAGAGATGTTTAACACATGGCTGTGGAAAATTCGATGTTTTTCGTGGGGAAAACTTGATTTTTAAAGAAATTGTGAGTTTTTTGCATTTTCGAAAAGCAAAAATAACAATTTCCAATATTTTTTAGACTTCTACGTGTCCCAGAAAAACATGTTTTTGGGAGAAACATGTTTTTTTGCAAAAAAACGTGACCCAATTTCGAAATTTCGGCTATAAAAGACGCGTTTCGGGTAAAATCGCTCATTTCACCAAGGATCTCCGCTCAGAAAATAAAGAAAAGCGGGAAGACAACTATTATTATTACTCCATTTTTCTCTAGTTATTCATATTTTTATACACACCAAAATCTAGAGGAAAATATGGCGTTTTTGGCGACGACAACAACAGCAAGTAATAATAACACCAATCAAATCGGCAAAAGACATCGTAACGATTACGGTAGGTACCGTATACTTGTGAGGAAATTAATAATTTTAAAAAAAGTTTCAGATTACGGTGGTGGCGATCAGAATTTGTTGATGATGGTTGAGAGGGAAACGGTGGCCGGTGGGTCGACGATGCAGAGAGATAGTGTGAAGTGTGGAGGCGCAGAGAAGCAGGAGGAGAAATTGGGAGGTACTGGATTTGGGTCTCGAAGCGATGCTCCTCCAAATCCCAAAAAACCTTGAACTTTAGCTCCAGATTTTGCTCAAATTCATATTTTTTCATAGATTTTGATGGTCCTGCTATAAAAATAGCATAGCTCAACTCTAATCTTGAGTTATGACGTGGCAAGTTTTTTGCCACGTCATAGCTCATTTTCAAAGTTGAGTTATACAATTTTTATGACAGGACCATCAAAATCTATGAGAAAATATGAATTTTTCAGAAATCTGGAGCTAAAGTTTCTTGTTGAAAAGTTTTGGGCTCAAAATTAGAATATTTTTAATGAAGAAATGTCGTTAGATGCGTTGCGGTCATGCGCTGCGTGTTTCATTTTCGAAAATGACACCCGCAGCGCTTGACCGCAACGCATCCAACGAAATTCATCCAGAAAACAAATGTCGTTAGACGCGTTGCGGTCAAGCGCTGCGTGTTTCATTTTTAAATTTCAAAATTTATTAAAAATTTAAAAATGAAACACGCAGCGCATGACCGCGACGCGTTCAATGACCCAAAAACCTCGAATTTTGGTTCAAAATGCTCGTAACGCTATGAAATTTTCAAGGTTTCCCAAGCTTCTCGAGCTCAAATTAGGCTTCCCATGCTTTTTTGAGGTCGAAGTTAGGCTTACTAGGCTTTTCAGGCTGAAACTCGTGTTTCCTGGACTTTTTTGAGTCAAAATTTTGATATTCTCTTGCATTTCAAGTTTTTCGAGCTGGAAATTGAGCTTTTCTGGTCAAAAATGAAGTTAGACGCGTTGCGGTCAAGCGCTGCGTGTTTCATTTCTGACAAAAATTAAAAATGAAACACGCAGCGCTTGACCGCGACGCGTTCAATGACCCAAAAACCTCGAATTTTGGCTCAAAATGCTCGGAACTCTATGAAATTTCCCAATTTTTCCATTTCTAGAGCTCAAATGTCGTTGGATGCGTTGCGGTCAGGCGATGCGTGTTTCATTTTTAAATATCGATAATGAAACACGCAACGCTTGACCGCAACGCATCCAATGACCCAAATTCCTCGAATTTTGGCTCAAAATGCTCGGAATTCTATGAAATTTTCAAATTTTTCGAATTTTCAGGCCTCATCGGCTCATCTGAAGCCACAATTCTGGCCCTTGTCTCCCTCGCAATCTACTTGATCAACGGTGAATATGCGCATACAATTTGCACAACCATAACCTCCGTCCCACCCGCCATCTTCTCCTATCGTGTTTTGGTGAACACGGCAACCAGCAAAGAGGGATATCATTCGATTTTGTTCTATTGGACGTTGTATGGCATTTTTGCGCTTATTGATCAAATTGTCGCAAATGCGCATGGTTATAATTTGTGTAAAGGGGGACTTTTGGGTGAGTTGTTTTTTGAAAAGGGATTTTGGAGCCAAAAAGTTGGGAATTTCTCGAATTTTGATGCAAAACTCGCTTTTTTTGCATCAAAATTCGAGAAATTCTCAAAAATATGCACATAAATCTGAATTTCAAACGAAATTTAGGCTTTTCTGGACTTTGGAGCTTTTTTGAACCGAAAATTAGCCCTGCTATGCTATTTGAGACGAAAATTAGGCTTATCGAGCTTTAAGGCCCATTCTCAGGCTTTTGCAGGCTGAAAATTTGATATTTCATGCTTTTCGAGTGGAATTTTATAAGATTTCGTGGATTTTAGTCCTCTTGGACCTCAAATTGGTTTTGCTCAATGAAATTCTAGCTTTTAAGCCCGGAAATCAGGCTTTCTAGGTTTTTTGAGCTGGAAATTAGGTTTCTTGGGCTTCCAGGCTCATAAATTGGGCTTTTCAGGACTTTCATACCAAAAATTGGGTATTTCTGTGATTTTAAAGGTTTTTGAGCTGGAAATTAGGCTTCCCAGGCTTTATGAGCTGGAAATCAGGCTTTCTGGACTTTTTGAGTCAAAATTTGGATAATTTCGTGCTTTTCGGGCTGGAAATTTAGCTTCTCAGGCTTTTTGGCCGGAAATCTGATAATTTTCTGATTTTTAAGCTATTCAGGCTAAATTGCTGACTTTTCAAGGCTTCTCTGGCCAAAATTTGGATATTTTCTTGATTTTCAAGCTCGTTGGCTCAAAAATCAGGCTTCCCAAGCTTCTCGAGCTCAAAATTAGGCTTCCCAGGCTTTTTTGAGATAAAAATTGGGCTCTTTCGGCTTCTAGGCTCAAAAATGAGGCCGTTTAGGCCTCTCAGGCTAAAAATTGGACTCATCAAGTTTTTCTGGCTTAAAAATTAGGCTTTTCAAGATTTTCTTCGATATTTTACAAAAAACTGGCCTTTTCAGGCTTAATGAGCTGAAAATTAGGCTTTCTAGGCTTTTTTGAGATCGAAATTAGGCTTACCAGGCTTTTAGGGCTGAAAATTAGGCTTTCTAGGCTTTTAGCAGCAAAATTAGGGTATTTTCTTGCTTTTTGGGCTTTTCTTGGCAAAAGTTTCGAAAATGAAACACGCAACGCATGACCGCGACGCGTCTAACTCTCATTTCTGTCAAGAATCAGGAAAATACCCCAATTTTGCTGCTAAAAGCCCCAAAAGCCTGAAATGCAAGAAAAAACACGCAGCGCGTGACCGCGACGCCTCCAAAAACATATAATTTTTCTGCAGGCACCGTCTTCCTCCACTCGTTGCGCACCAATCAATGCTCCATCCCAAAATCGTGGCAAAAATTGAGCATTTTTGCTCGCCAATTCCAAGCCATCAACCCCACCATTTTGACACAATTTGATAGCCAAGGATTTGTGAAAAGAACTGGATCGTCGAATTTTGTGCCACGTTCGCCGACTCAAACTGAATTTAGCGACGAATCGCAATTTATGGAGGAATTTGGGCAGGAAACTGGAAATCCGGAAGAGAATGTTTTTGAAGAGTTGTCGGAACTCGATTTCGATTATGTGGATGAGATTGAGGATTTGTCCACTGCTTGCAGTTTTCAACCATCCATTCAAATGCAATCCACTCAGAAGCTTTCGCCGGAAATTCCACTGAAATTTGCATCAATGTCTGCACTGACTATCACAGCCAGTGCAACAAATCGGGATATCATCACTGTTCCAGCGGAGCGTTTGGAATTTTCGAGAAAATTGCGGGAGACTGTGATTTCGGTCACCAATGTTTCGCCACTTCATTTGATGTTTTCGTTGAAGGTGAGCACTGGGGATCGAAATCGGGTCTCGAGACCCTGGAATTTGAAATTCTCACAAAATTCTGACCCAGAAAACATATGAAATCAAAAAATGTTCACTAGCGGGATTGAACCTGGGGCCTCTAGATTGCTAGCTATATCTCTACCCGACTGAGCCGTTTTTCTAGCAATCAAAAGGTTGCGGGATCGATCCCGCTAGTGAATATATGTTTTAGGGTCAGAATTTTACTGGGAATCTGAATTTCTAGCTCGAATTTTTCAGACAAACGCTGACACGTATTTGATTGCCGCTCCAACAACTGGATTCATCAAAAGTGGCCAAACTATCAAAATTCGCGTTGGCGTCACTGATGATTATTTTTCCGCGAATCCAATTCCGGGGAAATCGATTGATAAGGTAAACGACACTCCCCGTTTACACCTCCTAATTTTCTATTGATTTTCCAGCTCGCTATTGACTACTCGACTATCCCGCAGAATTTGGAATCGATTGGAATTCAGGAATTTGATCAGAATGTGTTCCAGAATTCGATCAGACGCCGAAATGCCATTCGTGTTTTTTACAAGTGATTTTTGCAAGAGTAAGCCCCCTTTGTGACGAAAAAGAAGATATTTTTAAGAATAAAATTTTTATGGAAAAATGTTTGAAAGTTTGGATTTTAAATTTTAAAGCTCATTTTAATCCATAAAATTGAGCTTGATACAAAATCGGAAATGTTTTTCTTGATTGCGAATAACTTTTTGGAAAAATTAAATCTTTGGGTATTTTACGGTTCTAAAAACCGTAAAACCCCGTAATATTTGTAAAACACCAAGAAATTTCTTTTAAAATTGGGATTTGGCAACTTACCGTAACTCCAAAATAATATTAACAATATTAATCTCCATTTCCATCAAAAGTTAATTAATTAGGATCACCTCAAAATTTTATTTGAAAAAATTTGAGTTTTTTTTTTTGAAATTTCGATTTGATTTTGTTAAAATTCATTATAATTAGTGCTATTTTCGTAAAATGGACTTTACGGCGAAAATCCGTAAAAACCGTAAAACGAAAAAAAACGTAAACGTAAAATTTCCCAGGTCTGAGGCAAACATTTGAATGAAGGTTTATTCACAGAAGACGCGATTTCGAACGAAAAAAAGGAGCCAAATTCAAGTTTCATATGTTTGGTAACCGGAAATGCACATAACACTGGAGTCGCCATTGCATTCCCAATCATAAAGTTTACCGCCTTCCAAATAAATACAATCATGAGTTTGATCAAAGGCATCGGTGTTTGACCAGTATGCAGAAACCAAATCTTTAACAGCTTCAGTGTCTTCGCCATAAGAATTATCCCAAACTCCGAACTGAAAAATCACATTTTGTACATATAACAACTCTGCCTATGCCTACGTTTCTTTTATCGCATTGCCCACTTGATTGTCTCGAAAGGCATCCCGGTCTTCTTTTCATCCCAATCCAAATTCGACGATTATACGACTTAATGTGGTCAATTTCTTCTTGATCCGAAAAAGTGATGACTTCAGCATTACTTCTTCTACATTTAGCCACAGCTTCAGTATAGGTGACCGCTTTTTCGAAAAAATAAGCTACACAAGTCGGTGTTCCATTTTTCCTGACATATTTTCTCCAGGTAGGTGGACATGCAGTTGGTACTTTGCTGACTCGATAGAAGATTGAGCAGAGCAACGGAGCATCGTGTGCCACTTTTTTTTCACTTATATCGTAGTCGCCACTAGAAAAAAAGGATTTTGTTGAAGGAATGTTTTCAAATGGGTCTATTCAGCGTAAACAATTATGTTTTCTCAGCGTTAAGAAAATGGGGGAAAATCGAAGAAACCCTATTCAGGTCGGTTAAGAAAACATAAAAATCAAACGAGACCCAACGAAAAACAACATGTTCCTTTAAGATACCTTTTGGATTACTGTAAATTGATCCCGCTGCGAAATTCTACAGTATCTTAAAGGAACATGTTGTTTTTCGTTGAATCTCGTCGCAATTTGTGTGTTTCAAGTGTTTGATTTTTATGTTTTCTTTACCGACCTGAATAGGTTTTCTTCGCGTTTCTCCCGCTTTTTTAACGCTGAGAAAACATAATTTTTTCGCTGAATAGCCCCAAAACAAAAAATGGTCGAGCAACTCACACTTTCTCCGGTGTGAACAAAAATGAACTTGTTGAAGCCACATTTGAAGGAGACGATTGTCCCTTGCATCCAACTTCAGAATGATACATTGAATGACGAGCATCGATAGCAGGTTGATAAAAACACGAGTGAATGTTCTGAAAAAAATAAAAATATTGAAAACTCCCTTGGAAGCCCAATTCAAAGATTAAAAGTTTAAAAGATACCTCATAATTCCTTGGTTGATAAACCAATCGTTCCCTTTCGTAATAACGGTTATTCATATCCCACCAATGGTAGCAACAATGAAAATATGGTGCAGTCGATTTGACAAATTGTTGTTTCATTTCAGGAGTCAATCGATCAACATTTTCCTTTTTCGCGTCCCAAATATCGCCACCATTTGGAGTCAAAGCATTGAGTGAAGCACTACATGATCTAACAGGGAACGAACTATCAAAATGTCTCATATGACTATAATGACTTGAAGTTCGCCAAACTGTCATAAATCCAGCGATAACAGTCTTATAATAATATGGTTCCAACATTTTCGCTTTAACACCAAAACTCAATGGAGTTTCTTCGGCTTTATAAACGCAGAAAACTTGGGAAGGAATTCTCCATCGAGTATTGCCTGGCAAACGAATAAGTGCACCTTGTCCCATACTATAATGAATTGAAGCATCAAGAACGACAATGTATTTCGAAGTTTCGTCGGATTCTTTGACACCATCATCAAATTCAACAAATTCGTCGAGCTCTTTGTTTGGTTCAACAATAATTTGGGTGTTTTCGATGAAATATGCGCGGATTAAACGAATCAAATCCAAATCATACAATTGCAAGACTTTGCTTTTAACTGTGACTCCATTTTGTGTTGTGATCGTTTGTTTCTTGCAGATTTTTTGGGCTTCTTCATAAGTTTGAACTTTATTGGTCATTTTTTGATAGCAAAATCCGTTGATTTGGGTGTATTTATCATCGCACGAATAAACATTTTGATATTTACACCAACTTTTGCCATTCTGATCTTTCTTGGCTTCCAAGACACTGTATGGTCCCCAATTTTTGCAATAAAGCATAGCTTCTTCCTGGAAATATATTTATAAAAAACATTTTGCGTCTTCAACTCACATCATCGGATGCTGGGAATTGTTGCCACGTCACTTCACATGTGTCAGCTTCTGGTGATTTTTCATCCTGTACAGTGACTGTGTTTGAACCAACATTGCCGCAGAATTTGAGGAAGCTTTTGTCGCGAATATACTGTGCTGAATCTCCAACCAGCAAGGTTAGAATTATTATGCTCCAATAGAGAGCTCGAAAAATGAGCATTTTTCGATATCCAAACTGATTTTTTTGACGAGTTTCGACGTTTTATAGGGCTCATTTGACCTACTTTTTTTTCAAAATAAAACTATGTCACGCGAAATAAGTTTTTTTCTCTAAACATTTTTGCACTTTTTTGAACAACGTGAAATTGGTTTTTCTGCTTTTAAAGACAGAGAAATTTCGGGAAAATCAAACTCTGCTTTTCTAAGCTTCAACTAAAAAATCTTGTTTTTTTCTAAAAGCCCAGAAACCGAAAGAAAAAAAAACAAAAAAAAAATGAAAAAAAAAATCTGAAAATGCGCCGTTCGTTCCGCCTACAAAAAACACGTCAGTGTTGAGCGCGCAGACCTGTGTGCATTTGCGCGTCGCCGTGTTTGCACACAAAGTTTTTACTTTTTTTTTGGCATTTTCCCTTTTGCGTTTTGAAGGAAATACTGTTTCATTTTACAGAATCAACTATGATGTGGCATTTGATGGATGAAATCGAAGGAATTTGAATTTTTGTGAGTTTCTTTATAATTTTTGAATAAATATGCTTCCCAGGCAAATATTATTTCTGTGTTTTTCTTGGAAACGAAGAAAAATATGGAAACCCAAAAAAAATTATCCAAATCCCGTGAAACGTGTACTCGTGGCAAAAAAACGAGGCAAAAATATATTTCTTCTTCATTTCTCATTGAGAAATGAAGTTTGCTTTATTCGTCTTCGTCAACTTTTTCCTGATTGTCACAAGTTTCGAATTTTACGGCCAAGAAAATTGGCAAAAATCATATCGAGAATTGTGTGATCGAGAAGAATTTGAGACCAGGAATTTGTATTGTCTTAATCAAATTCTTCTTCCGAAATTTATCAATCGCAGAATTGAGATTCTCAGCTGGCAACCTGCTCTGCTCAGATATCATGGATTTTTTGACGAGCAGAAAGTCGATCATTTTTTGAAAATTATCAATAATAAAACACTTGTTTCTCAGGTTAGTCCACGATTTTTCTCAGAAACTCTAAAAATCAAACATTTTTCAGGGGATTACGCAAAATGGTAAAACTATACGTAATGCAAAACGAGAAGCCAATGGATCTTGGATATATTGGAAAGATTATCCAGACCTGATAACATCGAAAGAATATATCGAAAAATATTTGCCGGAATTCAACTTCACAGCAGCAGAACCAATTTCATCACTTTCATATCATCCTGGCGGACATTATTATCCACATCATGATTATCTTACTAGAAAATCTGGTGAAGATTGGTGGATGGATAATATGCGAAACCGTTTGGCCACACTAATATTCGTCTTTCAAAACGCTGAATCTGGTGGTGGCACAGTTTTTCCAAAAATTGGTTTGACTGTTCGCGCTGAACCTGGTGACGCATTCTTATGGTTTAGTATGCGCGGAGATGAATCACTTGAAGATCTTTCATTACACGGTGGATGTCCAGTTTATTCGGGACGGAAAATTATTGCAACTATTTGGATTCGCGCGGTAAATCAACCGATTTTATCAAAGATTTTGGATGGGAACAGAACTATTTCAGCTGATCTTATTATTTGATTTATAGGCTATTATGTCTGTGGAATACTTTTATTTTTTTAATAAAAACAAATTTTCTCACAAAAAATATGCTTATTTCAAAAACCCATGGTTTTCAGCCCGAAAAACCGGAAAAATATGTGCATTTTTGCGTCGCCGTGTTGGCACACAAATTTTTTACTTTCTTTTTTTTCCCGAAAGTCTGGCTGTTTCGTGAGTTTCTCTTGAAACCCGAAAAAAAACAAAAAATGAAAAAAAATCCGAAATTCCGCCTACAAAAAACACGCCAGTGTTGAGCGCGCTGACCTGTGTGCATTTGTGCGTCGCCGTGTTTACACACAAATTTTTTACTTTCTTTTTTTTCTTTTTCCCGGAGAATCGCGGGTTTTTCTAGTGTTTTTGAGTAAACTTGTGTTTTATTTTACAGAATCATCTATGACGTGGCAATAGAAGAAGGCATTTGATGTATGAAATCGAAGGAATTTCAATTTTTGTGAGTTTCTTCTTTGATTTTTGAATTTGAAGGAAAATATGCAAATTTTTCATATTTTACAGAATGACTTGGCAAAACGATTTCAAGAATCAAATCGAAGGAATTTCAATTCTAGTGAGTCTTTTTATATGTTTCGAATAAATCTGCTTTCGAGCCAAATAAATATTTCATTTAAATACATTTTCAAAATAAAAAATCGAAAAAATATCACCCGGTTAGGCAGTTGAGTAATCAGTTTTACTCTTCATCTTCATCCGCCGCTTCATTTTCGATTGACAAACCGGATAACATGTCGTTTGACAAGCTGACATACATTGATCACCTTTTGAAGGTGTACATTGATGTTCGCATTGGATCTGGAAGATGGAAGATGGGAAAATTGCTTGAAAATCAGGATTTTTAGAGCTCACCGAGCACTCTCTCTTACACAACGTTCCGAAATTCATAACAATCGGTAGCGTAGTGCTTTCCGGAACTTCCGTTTCCTCTTCCGCAACACTATTCTCCACAGGTATCAAAACGGCCGATGTTTTCGCCTCAACTTGAGCCATCATCGTATTCATTTTCACAGTGAACACACATTGTTGCGAGCAGCTCGGCATACATTGCGGAATACAGGCAACCGGCGGAGCGGTACTTGTTGTAGTTGTGGTGCTCGGCTTCACCAATTGACACGTGTCCTGACACGCAGGCGCGCAATTTTCCGCGCATTCCTTATTCTGAATTCCGGATGAAATGCAGAGGTTTAAGCAAGTTGAAGCGCAGGACGTCCCGCAGTTCTTGCCGTTTTCGAACATTTGAGCGATTCCGCGAAGTGTGGGGCGGATTTTTGTGCAGACAAAGTTGCAGCTGGGCTGACATTCTGCCGCGCAGTTGGGGGAAGACGGCGCGGAAACTTGCTGTAAATTATTTCTAGTTTTTTATTTACTGAAATTTTTGAAAATTTTTTATTTATGAAAAAAAATGGTTTTTTAACGTTAAAAAACCAAAAAAAGTGATTCACGAACGGTATTTTTAATCATTTTTTTACCATTTTCTTAACACATGAATAAAGTGAAGCTAAAACGCATTTTAGTGTCCAGAAATGCTATTTCAAGACCTTCTAATCAGCCTAAAAGATAAATCAAGCCTTAAAAATCAAATTTTTTGATTTTCGAAACTTTTCGAAAATCACCAATTTCATTTTTTGGGAGATGTGAGGCTTGATTTTTCTTTTAGGCTGACTAGAAGGTCTTGAAATAGCATTTCTGAACACTAAAATGTGCTTTAGTTTCACTTTATTCAAATGTGTTATGAAAATGGTAAAAAAATGAATAAAAATACCGTTAACGTTAAAAAAACGTTTTCGTGAATCACCTCATCAGAGCTCAAGCCGAGCTATGACGTGGAAAAGTTGGATTTTCCATGAAAATCCACTTTCTCACCTGCATAACAGCAGCCGGAATCACAAAATGATATTCCCTAACATTTGCCGGAAGGGTGACTGGTGCCAAAGTTGTTGTAGTTGTAGTCGTGGTGTACGGCGGTGGGGTTGGAAGTGACGTGGTAATTTGTTTGGCGCATGTGAAAGTACATGCTTCGTGACAAATCTTATCGCAAGAACTGGTCGTCATTTGCACGTGTAACGTTGAGCAACTTGATTGACACGTGGTTTCGCAAGAGTTGGCGCAAGTCGTGGTTGACGCGGGTGCAGGGGAGATTGGAGAGGTTATGATGTGCTTCTATAAAACAAAGTGGGGTTTTCAAAATGCCACGTCACAGGGGCTCACCAAATTCTCACTGCTGCACAGGCATTTTGCAGGCTGTGCTGGGGCACAAGTGCAAATCATTTCACCACCCGCTCCACTTTGATTTGGCATAACTTGACAGCCGCATTTCGGCGATTCTGCAGTCGCGCATTCGCAAGATTGCCGTGATTTTCGTGTGGGAGTCGCCTGGAATTCGGATTTCTCTAGTCAATTTTGTCGCGCCCCGTTGTCAAAAGGGAGTTAGCCCAACTGTAAAGAGAGTTATGACGTGGCAACGTTTGGGGGTGCTTATAGGATATAACTAAGTATCTTTAGTTATTTATAGCCTCTTGATTTACCCAAACTTTGCCACGTCATAACTCTCTTCAGGGCTAAGTTAACTAGTTTTTGACGACCCTATCGTTATCAGAGGATCCAGTTATACTAGAAAAACTATATTTAGGCTAACTCTTACGTTAAGGACCCTAAGAACATACCGTGACCACTAGAAAAATCGCAAAAATCACGAAAAATCCGCGCATTTTGTGAAGAACTGACCAAGTTTCGGGTGTTCTTTTATAAATTTTTATTAAGCTCCATTGTTTTTGGGATGCTCCGATTCTCCGACGAAAAAACGGAGAAGCGCGAAATGCTCTTCTTGTTTGCTTTTCGGCTAACATACATATTCATTTATGTGTTAGACACAATCCATGAGAGGAATTTGCATTGTGTTGCTAAGTCTCGATGTTTTTTGGACAAAAAATCGAGACAAGGAAAGCATGAAAGCAAACGGCAAACTACATGACACTTTTTGATCTTTTCAAAGTGTGCCAGGCTTGCAGAAAGGGGCGGGGCTTCTTCTGTGGATTTTCTCATACCTAATAAAAAATTTGAAAATGTCCGGGACACATAAAAATTTCTCAAAATCGTTCATTTTGGAAAAAAAACATGCAATTTTTCGCAATTTTTCTGCTCATCTGTACTACTTTCATCGCTGTTTCCGAAGCCAATCAATATGTTTGTGATTCGGAATCACACAGATACTTCAAAATGATGTACAAAACGTTGACTGAAATTAAAGAAGCGGTGGTGGAGATTAATCATAGTTTGGCTGCTTTGAATAATAGAGAGCAGTAATTTTTTTTCTGGGAATGAAGTTTTGAGTATTTTTTTGAATATCAGAAACTCCACGTGGCAAAATTTTATTTTTGAATTTTGAGAATTTTTTTGAGTTCAAAATTTTCAATTCTCAAACCCATGTGGCACAATTTTTATGACGTGGATTATTTTTTTTTAATTCTTCTGAAATTTTTCACATTCAAATTTTTCCAGAATTTTTTTTTCAAAATGTTCAATTCTCAAATCCACGTGGCAATTTTCTAATGACGTGGATTATTTTTTTTTGAAAAAAACTTTCGGAAATTTTTAACATAACATTTTTTTGAGTTCAAAATTTTCAATTCTCAAATCCACGTGGCAATTTTAGAATTGCAAATTACCTGATTCAATTCTCCGGTTATATTTAAAATAACATAAAAATCACATTCTGTCTGCTGACACAAAATCAAATCAAAAAAATAAAGGTAAAGCTAGTAATAAAATGACATAAAAATGCAATTAACTCCAATTCATAGCTGGCTTTTTCCCCTTATTTTCAACGTTTTCCAGAAAAATGCTAAAAACTGGAATAATTTCCACCATTCAAACCCTAGGCGCCCTAATCGCCATATTCCTAAACTCCACTCTAGTCTACCTAATCCTCAAAAAATCCCCAAAACAACTCGGTTCCTATCGCTATCTGATGGTCTATATATCGATTTTCGAAATCTGCTATTCGATTATCGATTTTCTGACGGCTCCGATTGTTTTTTCGGCTGGCTCCAGTTTTGCGGTGCTATCGCCTGGCGTTTTCGCGCGCGATTTTCAGCTCGTTTTGATTTGTATTTGGTGCATGTTTTTTGGATGCTTCATGTTTTTATTCGCTATTCAGTTTTTGTATCGATTTTTTGTGGTGAACAGGTGAGTTAGGCTAACTCTTGAGGGAAAATTGTTTCAAATTGCCACGTGGCATTTCTAAAATTCCACACGATAAAATTTGGGAGCCCCATTTGCCACTTGGAATTTTTTGAACCAAAAATCCTGAATTGCCACATGGAATTTCTGATAATTTTCCTTTGGATCTTAATTTGCCACGTGGCTAATTGTCAAAATTTTTTTGAAATATAAAAAAAATTTTCTGGAAAATCTACATTTTCTGAATTTACTATATTCACGTGGAATTTCTCATTTTCAAAAAGAGAAAAAATGCCACGTGGCAAATTCTGGACAAAAATTTCTGATAAAATTATTTTTGAAGTCTAGAACTGCCACGTGGCATTTTCGAAAATTCATTAATTCTGCAGTTTCTGGAAAATCTACATTGAGAAAAAAATGCCACGTGGCAAATTCTGGACAAAAATTTCTGATAAAGTCAAATTTTCCAGCTCAAAAATCCTGCGAACCTTCGACGATTCCCGCATCATCCTCTGGATTCTCTCCCCAATAATCTTCGGAACAATCTGGCAAATCATAATCTACAACAACATGAAGCCCACCCAGGAAACCCGAGAAGTCTTAAAGCCGATTTTCCTGGCTAAAATGAATCTATCAATCGATAATGTGGTGTACATTGGTGCCACGTTTTACGCGCCAAAAACCGGGGGAATTGTGATAAGTACCCTGGTTTTGGTGGCGTTTATAATGTTGGTATCGATTTTTTCATTCGCTATAATTATCTCGATCGCTTGGAGAACTTTTGTGGATTTAAGGAGAAGTATGATGAAAAGATCCACGTCGACGTCGAGTTCGAAACTTCAAACCCAAACTTTTTACGCGCTAGTCTCGCAGACTTGCATCCCAATTCTACTCATGCACTTCCCATGTTTGACTGTGATGATTGCGGCGATCTTTGATTGCGATCTTGCGAGCTCCGTGAGCATCTGTGCGATAACTTTTGCAATCTTCCCGGCGATTGATCCACTTCCAGTTATGTTGATTATCCAGAATTATCGGGAATTTTTGATGGGCTGTTTTGGGTGCAAAAAATCGAGGAGTTTGGAGGTTTCTAGTAATAATCGAAGTCGAGTGTGATGTTTTTGGAAATGAATTTATTGATTTAGAATTTGTTGCAAAATTTGTTAAGGTACCTAAGAACCTTTAGAAGATTCCTGAGAAGCATTTTCTTAAGATAAGACCTTAAGGTGATTAAAGTGTCTAAGAACTTTAAGAAGCAATCTTTAAATAACAATTTTTAATGGATTCAAAATATAAGGTTGTTATTTTCTTTAAGCCAAAATCTACAATTGCGACAAGTTGAAATTGAAAATCTTTTTATTCCAACGTTTCGACGTATAACGTCATCATCAGGGATAATACTGAAAAAATAAAATGGGTTATTTACAATGTATAAATTGAAGAAGCATAGTAAGGATATTGACTGGTATTGGATGACATTTTACCAAGTAACAAGCTTACTTCGAGCGTGTCTGGACTTCAATAGTTTTTCTTTCAACAACAAACTGTACCAACAAGGTCGAGGATTGGCTATGGGGAGCCGCCTTGCACCAATGTTAGCAGTTATTTACATGGATTCTATTGAATTTCCAGCTCGTAGTCTTTCCAATATCTGTTTCTATCGTTACATTGACGATATAATTGTTCTGGCTGCGTCAAAGGAGGATTTGAATGAGATTTTCCAATGTCTCAATTCACAATCCAACTTCATAAAACTAACAAGGGAAGAGCCTACCAATGGTTGGCTTCCTTTCCTAAATTTCGAATTACGCATCCAGGACAATTCTATTGTTCATCGCTGGTATCGGAAACCAAGTAGTAAGAATTTGCTGGTACGGTTTGATTCTTTTCATCCCATCAAACAAAAGTCGAATATCGTAGTCAATACGATTCGAACAGCAAAATCTTGCTCTACTTCGGATAATAAGTCCTATTCAGAAAATTTGGCGTTAAGAGTATTGGAGAAAAACGGATACAATATTTCTAAACAAAAATCTAATAGACCTTTCTATCAAAAACGAGTATCCGTTCAAACCAATGTAGATCATTGTATTATGACTATTCCTTTCATGGGTGATATGGTCACGAAACGGATTCGGAACATTCTGAAAGAATTTGAACTGGATACACAAGTGGTTGAACTCAAAGGGAGGTCACTTAAAGATATCTTGGTCAAAAACAGATGTTTCGAATCTACCTGCAATCATCGTGACTGTAGAATCTGTGAAAAATTCGGAATAGGAAAATGTAATGTGAAAGGCGTAATTTATAAAATCACATGTGACTGCGGGGAATTTTATATTGGAGAAACAGGCCGACCTTTTGAGTCTAGGTTTGCGGAACACAGACGTGCCTGCAATAAACCTATGACTAAGTCTTATAGTTCGAGTGTTTGGGCAAAACATTCTAAGGAAAAACATGGTGGAGAGGCTTTGGTGATTGATGTTGATATTCTGGAAGTCGAACGCAATACTAATATTCGGAAGATCAGAGAAGGGGTTTTGATAAAACATCACAATTCTTCATTAAACAATAAAGAGGAACTCTCGGATATGATCACAAGGCTTGGAACAATCCAAATACCAAATTCTTTCTAACTAACATCAAAAAACACAAATTCTCATCTAAATTCATTTCAATTTCAATTTCACAATAAAAAAACAAATCAAAAGAATAAAATTCTCCTAAAGTACTAACAACACTCCGCCTACACGCACTTTAGCAGGTTTATTTTATTTTTTGTTGGTTTTTCGAGATTTTTGGTTTTTTAAGTTTATTTCAAAAATTTGTAACTTATACATTGTAAATAACCCATTTTATTTTTTCAGTATTATCCCTGATGATGACGTTATACGTCGAAACGTTGGAATAAAAAGATTTTCAATTTCAACTTGTCGCAATTGTAGATTTTGGCTTAAAGAAAATAACAACCTTATATTTTGAATTCAACTAACAATGCGATTGATTAACTTGTTCCCACTCAAATTTACAAATTTTTAATGGTCCTCAAGCTCTCTTCAGATTTCTAAATAAATTTCTGAAATTGTCTTAAAAATTATAATGCCACGTGGCTTCTTCTAAAAATTGCTCGTGCTCACTGAAAATTAATCAATAATTTTCTGGAAAATTATGAGGAATTCCACGTGGCACACCGCAAATTGAAGAGAAGTTTTATTGATTTTTCACGACCTCTTCTTGGAAATTATTCGCAACTCTTGTAGAATTATCTCCAACTTCCTGTTGATTTTCTGAATTTCCTTCTGCTGATTCTCCATGAGAGCTTGTTGTTGTTTATAGGAATAATAGGAAGAGACAAGTGAGAAGTTCAGGAAGAATACTAGGATGAAAATCGAGAATTTCATTTTTTTTTCTAGAATTTAAATTTTTAAAATTCCTGCCTGGTTTTTAAAAAGTCTGGTTTGTTATTGTGAGAAAGAGACAAAAATTTTCAGATTATTTCTTTCAGAAGTTCCACGTTGCAAAATGTTCTGTAAATTTTTCTGAAACACCAAACTTCTGAACTTTTTTTTTCAAAATAAAGCTTCATTTTTCATCCAAAACATACATTTTTTCAACCATAAAAAATCGAAAACTCGCGATTTTTGCCCAAATTCTCACTCCAAACAACATCCAGAATTTCGTCTTTGTAAAAAATGGCCAAAATCAGCAGAAATACAAATAGGGTGATCAGAACTAGCTTCATTTTTCCAAACAAATTGCAGAAAAAAAAGAATTTGGTTGGAAATGGCAAGTTTGGAGGTCTTTGAGATTGATTCCCTGGGGAATTTTTCAGAGTGCATTTTGTAGTTAGGCTAATTTTTGTGGAATGGGAACTCTAATTTCAATTTCAGAGAGTTTTTTGAGTTCAAAAAACAACTGGAGCATAAAAATTTCAGAAATTTTTTTGAGCGAAAACTTTGCCACGTGGATTTTGTTTGGAGATTCTCATAACTTTTTTTTTCAAATACACAGTGTTCTTTTCTTCTCTCCCAGATAAATCCAAGTTTATTTACCAATCAAAAAAAAAGCGGCGCGTAATCAAAATTCAAATTTTTTGACATGTGTTTGCGCTTTCCAGAAAATCCTGTCTTCCCAGATTTTGAGCACAGAAAAAACGGTTGTTTTTTATCAAGCTCTTTTGTCCTCGTCTTGTTTTGTATTGTTTTTGGAGCACAACAAGGAGAGTGGAAAATGAGCACAAGTGGCTGCTGCTGCTGATAATTATGAGCACAAATATGAAAAGAGGAGCATAACAGCGAAAACAATGTGCTTTTTGAAAAAAGACAAATTTTTGTGGAAGAAATGTGTGAATAATCTTTGAGGCTTTGGGAATTTTGAGTGGACCTTGAGCCGGAAAAAAATTTCAAAATAGTCCTCGATTTTTCTAAAAAAAAATTGTTTTGGTTCAAAATCCAGCAAAAAAGCCACGTGGAGTAAATTACAGACGAAAAATTCTGAAATCTGAAATTTTCAGCCACCTTCAAACTCTTCGTCTTTTTTTTGCCACGTGGAATTTCAAAAAAACCTGCCAAAATTCCAGCTCTGCAAAATTTCCAGTCAAATTTCTCTTAAACTACACTCTAGTCTAGTATCTCTCCCACAAAAAAATCTGCCCTTCGGTCATTTTTTTTCCTCCCAGGCTACCTGCCTGCCTGAATGCTCCCAAGCTCCGCCCCCAACTCTTCCAACTCCCGCGCGCCGAGCAAATGCTCAAATCACATTGTTGTGTTGTGTTATATTACATAAGCTGCTCATTCATTTTTTCTCGATTCGATTTTTTTTCCAGACACCAGGGCCACAAAAAATGACTGGGCCACGAAAATCAAAAACCCATTTTCTGCTCTGGTTTTTTGTGATGAGCTTGGTTGTTTTTGATGCGGTTGAGGTGGGTTTTTTGATTTTTTTTTCTCAAGAAACATTTCTAAACTGAATTTTTCGAGCCCAAAATTTTCATTTAAATTCCTGAAAATCTGAATATTCCACGTGGCTTTTGAAATTCTTGAACCCAAGATTTCACAGTCTAAAGTTGATCTCCAGAAATTTTTTCATAGCTCTTTGAAAGCCACGTGTAAAAAACTGAAATCCACGTAAAAAACATAAATTGCAAAACTTTTTAAAGCAATTTTTAATCACTTTTCGCCACGTGGATTTCAAGGAGCTATAAAAAACTTCTGGCGATCAACTTTGCACTGTGAAATCTTGTGTTCAAAAATTTTATCAAAAATTCCACGTGGCACAATTTTGAAATTCTGGAACAAGTTTTGCCACGTGGAATTTCCAATCAGATTTTTGATCTTCAGAAATTTTCATTATAACTTTTTCACGTGGCAAAAAATGAATTTCTAACCTCCCTCTTATTATATTCCACGTGGAAATTCAATAGAATCTTCTTGAACCCCAGATACCAAAGTTCAAATATCTGCTTCCAAAAATCTGCGTTTGCCCCTAATTCACCTAAAATCTTTAGAATTCCAACAAAAAAACGCAAACATAAATGCGCTTTTCCTTCTCAATTACACACACCGAGACACCAAAAATAAACAAACACGCGGGGTTGTTTTTGGCTGCTCACACACACACACACACACAGAGGTTAAAATAAGAAATGCTCACCTTTTGTCAAAATCGAAGAGTGAAATGGAAACTTTTTTCGTGACCCCTGACAGAAAATCTTTTGAATTTGGAACTTTTTTGGAAAATCGCGCGGATATTTTTGGAATGGCACAGAATCTGGAGGGACACTTTTTTCGGGATTTTGTAGATCAAAATCTGCCACGTGGATTTTATTCTGAATTTCCACAGTTTTAAGAATTTGGAGTTTTGTAGATCAAAATTTTGGGGCCAGAATATATAGATTACTGTAGATTTCCCATGTGTCGGATGAAAATTTGAATTTCAAAAAAATAATTAGGCCACGTGGATTTTCTGAGCTTCGCTTTTGTCTAGATTACTGTAGGTGCTAATTTCAAACTGGATTTACTGTAGATCAAAATTTCGCGCCATAATTTCCGGGCTACTGTAGATCAATCAATTTTGTAGATCATACATTTTGCCACGTGGATTTTCCTACAGTACACCAAACCCTTCAAAATTTTTCGAGTTCTAAAAAATTGTGCCACGTGGCTTTCCGTGTTACTGTAGATCAATTTGTGCTCTTTGACCAGCCGAAAAATGTTCCAAAAAATTAAGAGCGCACTCGAAAAAAGTTGTATTATTGTTGCCAAAACACATTTTTCTCTCGAGTGTTGCGCGCGAAATTTCGAAATTGCAAATTATTATTATGCGGATATTTGTCGCGAAATCAATCATGAAATAGAGCAAACAACGAAAAAAAAAAACACAAACACTTTTTGAAACAGGAACAAACTTTTTTCGTTGTGCTCATTAAGAGAAGGGATTTTCTGGATTCAAAAAAATTAAAATTTGAAAAAAGTTTGTCAAGTGGTTGGTCAAAAAGTATATAAAGTCCACTTGAAAAGTGATAAATTGTACTCGAGTTTTTAGCGGGAGGTAAATATTTACTGTTTTATATATTTTAGTGGATGAAAAGTAGCCGATTTGAGCCAGAATCCACGTGGAAAAACAAGGAATTTGGGGTACTGTAGATCAAATTTATTTTCTGAGAATGCTGGTTACTGTAGGCTAATACTGTAGATCAAAATGTGCTCTTCTAATTTAGGGTTACATCGAGAAAAAATCCACAAGTCAAAATTATCCCAAAATTTTTTCAGTAAGTCCAAATTCCCAACATAAATCCTAAAGATCAAATTCCTGGCTCCCAAAAATGCTCCAATGTTTCAAGTGGCTAATTCTCACGAGAAACTATCTTTTTTCCCCTTTTTGACTGACTAATAATAATAATAATAATAACAAGATTCTTCTTGTATTTATTTTGTGTTTGCACGCCGTTTCAACAAGCCACCCAAAATCTTATTGTTTTCGAAAGAGTTTTCAAGAGAAAAAACAGTGAGCAAATAGGGGTTTTGGAAACCAAGAAAAAAATTAATTTGAAAAAAATTGATTCCAGGCCCGACGACTGAAAAGACAATGCGGATGCTCGAATTACTGTAACTGCCAACCGCAACAAACATTTTTCTCAACTCAATTATATCAGCCGTCTTGTGCGTGTCTACAAGCTCCAGCTTGTCAACCATTGTGCTCACTGAGAGCTATTGTAGGTTTTGGGGGGATTCAGAATTCTGAAATTCTAAATTTTTTTTGAATAAAAAATTTCGATTATAATCACCTCAAAAATTCGCGGAAAAAATTATATTATTTTTGAAACCTAATTTTTCCTGGATATTTTTTTGGGACATTGTTAGCTTCCAGAAATGTTCCCAGAATTTCAGAAAGCTTGAGTTGAAATATTGGAATTTTCTGGAATTTCTTATTTTAAGGCTGAAATTGGACCCTAAAGATAATGTTAACAATTTTTGGGAAATTAAAGATCAGAATTAATTTTTTAATGAATCAAATAGATGAATCATCTCAAAAATTTCTCGGAAAAAATTATATTATTTTTGAAACGTATTTTTTTCTGGAAAATTTTTAGACTCAAAAAATTCCCAGATTTCAAATATAAACTAGACTCTAGTTGAAAAACTAAAATTTTAAAATTCCTGAAATTTTCCTGATGAAGTTCAGACTCTAAAAATTCCCAGATTTCTAACCAAAACTAGACTCTAGTTAAAAAATCCTCCAAAAATCCCCCTTTTTCCAGGCCACCGACTGTTCCGCCACCTGTATCCGAGCCTGTATCCCATCCTGTGCCAAAAAAACCGGCAACACTTTCACCTGCTCCTCTCAATGCGAAAATGTGTGCGACAAAACGTGCAAAGCCGCGCAGGAAAGTTATCAAGTTCAGCAAGTTCAGCAGCAAGTTCAAGCTTCACCTTCAACATCTGACAGTTGCCAATCGGTTTGTCAAAATGTGTGTCAAGGAGCGTGTGTCTCGCAGAATTCACCGGCTGATGTTTGTCAGCGGACTTGTCAGAACTCGTGTCAATTTGGATGTGCTGTTAATGAACAAGGTGGGGGGTTTTTTGAGTTAGGGAAAGTTTTAGAAGCCTAAAAACGGGCCCGTGGCATTGCTCATGTTAAGACGGACATTTTGAGACCGAACAAGACATGGGCGAGCGCTTTGCGCGAGTGTAGATCACTCTTCCGCGTTAGCGGCTCGAGCGGAGCGAGTGTATGTTCCTTTAAGCCCACAAAACCATTGCTCATGTTAAGACGAGCATTTTGAGACCAAACATGGCATAGGCGAGCGCTCTGCGCGAGTGTAAATCAATCTTCCGCGTTAGCGGCTCGAGTGTATGTACCTTCAATGTTTCGTACTGTTATTGTCACTCTAGCCATGCCCACAAAACCATTGCTCATGTTAAGACGCGAGTGTATGTATGTCCCTTTAATGTTTGCTACTGTAACAGTGTCTTAAAAACCATGCCCGAAGCATTTCTCATGTTATATACGATTATTTTCCAGGTTACCCACAACAATCGGCCCCACAAATCGTCACCACCTCCACCACAACCCAAAACCCCGCCGCAGCCACCATCAAAATCACCCTAGACATCAACGACGCCTACTTCACCACCAACTGCGACGGAAAGTGCGCGCAAGCCTGTCATTCGCAATGCGTTTCGCAAGGCAATCCGGCGCAAGCTTGCGCAAATTCCTGTAACAACGAGTGCGGAAGCAAGTGTGCGACACGTCAACAAGTTCAGGTTGGAACTTATGCACCTTCTACTAGCACCTACACCACTCAAGTAACAGGAGGAGGAAATCCCTGCGAGACGCAATGCCAACAGGGTTGCGTCCGCACCTCTTGCACCCAACAATCACAACTTGGCACGTGTGCCGCCTCGTGCTATTCCGCGTGTCAAATGCACTGCGCGGCAGTTTCCGCGTCTCCCACCGTAGTCAAAGCGCAATGCTCACCCGAATGTATGCCAACCTGTCAACTTTCGTGCACTCAACGTACCTCTACTACCACCACCGCACAATGTATCCCGAGTTGTATGCCGTTGTGTCAAGCGCAATGTGTTAACGCAGGAGTCACTACCACTACCACTACCGTACCACCTGCCACGTGTATTCCACCTTGTCAACCACAATGTCTTGAGTCTTGTATCATCTCGTTTACCTCTGGCGGAAGGACACAGGTACCTAACCCAGGAGAAGAGGAGGAATATGAGGAGGAGGAGGAGACCTCTGTAGCTCCACAGGGTGAAAATCTGGGAGCTGGAGGGGGAGATCGGGATTATGTTCAGTTTGATGCACGGCAGAATGATAGCACAGCTTTGGAAGGTCCGGGAGGCTCGGGAGGTCTTCAGAATCCTGGGGTTGCTTCTGGAGGATCTGAGGAGCCTTCTGGAGGTCCGGGAGGTCTTCAGAATCCTGGGGTTACTTCTGGAGGTCTTGGGGAGCCTTCTGTTGGCTCCGGGGCTTCTGAGATTCCGGTAGTGACCTCGGAGAATCCTATGAGCTCCGAGCCTTCGGAGAGTCTTGTCGGTCTTGGAGAATCCTCTGCAGGCTCTCAGAATTCCGAGGGCGTCTCAGGGGATTCAGGAATCTCTCAGAATCCCGAAGAAACCTCAGAAGCCCCAAGTACTCCAGACACCTCGGGAACTCTGCAGGACTTTTCCGCTACCCCGGAAACCTACCCCGAATCACCATATGACCACTCTGCACCCTCAACAACCTCAGCACCATCCCACCAATTCACCTTCACACCACCTTCCACCGACGACGAAACCACCGGCGAACCTCTGGATCTCATCGAACCCCAGCCTCCCCTTCCCAAACTCAACATCTCATTCGTCCTACCCGAACCACTCACCCCCGCACAACTCACCAATCTCCAAACCTGCCCCACCGCATGTCAACCGCAATGTCTGCCGACGTGCGAGATTGCCGTCCGCCTTCTCGCACTCATCCCATGCCCAACCGCCTGCAAACCCGCCTGTCAACCGCAATGCGTCTTCCAGGGGGTTGTGCAAGCTCAGCGAGCAGCACCCCCAGCCTCTCCCACATGTATTCCCGCTTGTATGCCAGCCTGCCTGTTAGATTGTACCCTACCGTACTTCAAGGATCGTAGTGGGGTGGTTGAGCAAATCTACGAGCACCCACCGATCTGGAAAGCTATGCGAGATCCCAGGCCAAGGTATCTAACAGTAAACCTTGTGCAGAAGTCTCCAAGTTCCCCACGCTTCCAAAAATTCAGAAGGTATCCCCTGAACTCCATATTCGAAGATGACGATTGTCCAGAGATCTGTCAATCGCTATGCGATCCCTTCTGCATCGCCCGAAATTCTAACAACACCCTAAGTTGTCCCCGCGCATGTATGCCTGATTGCACTCAAGATTGCCTACGTCAACTGATTTGCCCGCTGACGTGTCAACCCACGTGTCATCCTGATTGTCTACAGATGCCGAAAATCAAGATCGTGTTTGCTGGATCACAATGTGCTGCAAAGTGTCAACCCGCTTGTGAACCCCAATGCTTACAGGTGCTTTTTTGAGTTCTTTGAGTTAAGGCCTAAGTTCTAACGCTTAAAATTCTAAAGTTTTTGACACCAAACATGGCCTAAAAGCCCAATTTGGACTTCTAGGCCACACATGTTTGGTGTCAGCTCTTGTCATTTTGATATGGCCTAGAAATCCAAAATTTTCAAATTTCTAGGCCATGTTTGGTATCAAAATGCTCCTCTCAACCTTCCCGACCCCAAAATTTTCAGCACAAAAAATTTTCAGACACTCACGACAACCTCAACAAGCAGCCCAGTAGTTCCAGCAGATCAGCCACTCACCGCAAGTTGCCCGCAAATCTGTCAACCACAGTGCTCTCAACAATGTGTTCAGGTGAGGAAATTGCCACGTGGCAAACCAAAATCCCACGTCATCACCTCAAATTTTTGCAGCGCCAACAATGTCCCTGCCAGCAGACGTGTCAAACCGGTTGCCAACAACACAACCCAAGTGCCACCACGTGTCAAAACGTGTGCACTGAAGTTTGCGCTGCGGACTGTGCAGCCTATGTAACGCCAACCGCTCAGCAAACCGCTCCGCAAGCCGCAACGCTTGGCTATGTTCCGGTGGTCCCTGTTGCCGCAGCTGTTCCGCAAGTCGTGATCAACTTCGCCGCAGCGGAATGTGTGCCAGTTTGCGAGCAATCGTGTAATGCACAATGTGTTGCGAAGTATCCGCAAGAGCATTGCGGAACAATGTGTGGATCGCAATGCGCGTCGGTTTGCGCAACGCCTGCCGCAACAACAACAACAACCGCACCTTCCGCGACTCAACAATGCACCCCGAAATGTATGTCGGATTGCCGGCAGCTATGCAAAAGTGATTCCGCACAATGTACGCAAGGTTGCGACGCGTCATGCCAGCAACTCTGCGGAACCGCCCCAACCCCAGTCGTCCAACTCACCGTGAACTACAACTGTAACGTGCCCTGCGACTCACAGTGTACGCAGCAGTGCTATCATCAAGCGGCGAGCTGCGCGCCGGCTTGCGCGCAAGCTTGCGAGCAGCAATGTCCAACCGTAAGCTGTGAAGATGCTTGCGAGACGGTTTGTAAGGTTGGTTTAGCCTAACATGAGCAATGTAATATGAGCAATCTTGCAGGGTCAATGCGTGTTCAGCGGTCAAAATTCGCGTCAATGCGGCCCGGCTTGCGCACAATCATGTGCCTCATTGTGCAAGAAAAAACGAGTCAAACGAAATTTGTGAGCCCCCAGAAATTAATTTTTTTTTGTGATTTTTTCAATTTTGCCCCCCGCTTGCCTTGGGCGACTTTTTTTTGAACGAAAATGTTTTTCACAAGTTATTCACCTATTTATTTTTATTGTTTGTATTTATTTGAAAAAATGAAATGAAATATGTTTTTCAATTTGTTCCTTTAAAGTGAATACTGTAGACGATTTTAGTTTTTTTTTTTTTGGGGAGTCGAAAAATTCAAATGTTGGAATATAATCGTGCTCCTTCAGGGGAACTTTTTCTTCGGATGTTTACTCAAAATCATTTATGAGAAATATCGGAGAAATTAAGAAAACATTGCATGTTTTGAGAATGGTTGCTGAAGATCTTCCGAAAAATTTATATTATTTTTGAAACCTAATTTTTCCTGGAATATTTTTTGGGCATTTTTAGATCTCAGAAATGTTCTCTTGAATATCTATTGAGACTACTCGTGATTTAAAAATTCTTATTTTCAGGTTTTCGAATGTGAACATGGAATGGTTGCTGAAGATCTTCCGAAAAATTTATATTATTTTTGAAACCTAATTTTTCCTGGAATATTTTTTGGGCATTTTTAGATCTCAGAAATGTTCTCTTGAATATCTATTGAGACTACTCGTGATTTAAAACATTCTTATTTTCAGGTTTTCGAATGTGAACATGGAATGGTTGCTGAAGATCTTCCGAAAAATTTATATTATTTTTGAAACCTAATTTTTCCTGGAATATTTTTTGGGCATTTTTAGATCTCAGAAATGTTCTCTTGAATATCTATTGAGACTACTCGTGATTTAAAACATTCTTATTTTCAGGTTTTCGAATGTGAACATGGAATGGTTGCTGAAGATCTTCCGAAAAATTTATATTATTTTTGAAACCTAATTTTTCCTGGAATATTTTTTGGGCATTTTTAGATCTCAGAAATGTTCTCTTGAATATCTATTGAGACTACTCGTGATTTAAAACATTCTTATTTTCAGGTTTTCGAATGTGAACATGGAATGGTTGCTGAAGATCTTCCGAAAAATTTATATTATTTTTGAAACCTAATTTTTCCTGGAATATTTTTTGGGCATTTTTAGATCTCAGAAATGTTCTCTTGAATATCTATTGAGACTACTCGTGATTTAAAACATTCTTATTTTCAGGTTTTCGAATGTGAACATGGAACTTCGGATGTTTACTCAAAATCATTTATGAGAAATATCGGAGAAATTAAGAAAACATTGCATGTTTTGAGAATGGTTGCTGAAGATCTTCCGAAAAAATTATATTATTTTTGAAACCTAATTTTTCCTGGAATATTTTTTGGGGCATTTTCAGATCTCAGAAATGTTCTCTTGAATATCTATTGAGGCTATTCGTGATTTAAAATTCTTATTTTCAGGTTTTCAAATGTGAACATGGAACTTCGGATGTTTATTCAAAATCATTATCGTTGCTGAAGATCTTCCGAAAAATTATATTATTTTTGAAACCTAATTTTTCCTGGAATATTTTTTGGGGCATTTTCAGATCTCAGAAATGTTCTCAAAATTTCTGATAGCGGGATTTTTGCGATTCACAGTGTCGTCCAACTCGTCGTCCAACTCACCGTGAACTACAACTGTAATGTGCCATGCGATTCACAGTGTACACAACAATGCTATCACCAAGCGGCGAGCTGCGCGCCGGCTTGCGCGCAAGCTTGCGAGCAGCAATGTCCAACCGTAAGCTGTGAAGACGCATGTGAGACGGTTTGCAAGTTTGGTTTAGTCTAAAATGAGCAATCCTTTTATTTATTGCTAAGCAATCTTGCAGGGTCAATGCGTGTTCAGCGGTCAAAATTCACGTCAATGCGGCCCGGCTTGCGCACAATCATGTGCCTCATTGTGCAAGAAAAAACGAGTCAAACGAAATTTGTGAGTCCCCGGAAATTAATTTTTTTTTGTGATTTTTTCAATTTTGCCCCCCGCTTGCCTTGGGCGACTTTTTTTTGAACGAAAATGTTTTTCACAAGTTATTCACCTATTTATTTTTATTGTTTGTATTTATTTGAAAAAATGAAATGAAATATGTTTTTCAATTTGTTCCTTTAAGTGTTAAACGCTCAAACTCTTTTATAATCGACATTTTATTCAAAAACAAAAACAAGAAAACTCAACAGCTTATACTTCAGTTTCGACAATGTTTTTGATATAAAAATCAAGAACATGGAACTGGAATACTTCGTTGACTTGTTGTTCAGGTGATGCAATCTTACTGAGAAAAAACAAATCATTGGTTGAAGAGCAGCAATGAGCACTTACCTCGGCGCAGCTGTGTTGTATAAATTCCGAATTTTGTTGAGAAATTCTCTTGTGCAGCTCCGCATGATCTCACGTGAAGTTTTTCTGAAATTAAAGTCGTCGGAGCATTATAAATTTACAAGGAAACGTTTTCAACCACCCTCTGCAGACATCGCGCAAGCGAGCGCGTTGCAGACCTGCTGCAGCTCGGTCGTATTTTGCCAGTGTCTGTTTCCATTACTCAAGGAAATATGCTCCAATCTGGATTCCCTAGTCAACCTATTCTAGAAAAGACATTTTGAAAGTTTCGCCCGTAGCGGGAATTGAACCTGGGTATAGTAACCTCATAATTAATGCGTTTAACGACTTGACCACATGCGCAAACAATTCTAAAGTGCCGTTTAAGCGGTTTTTAGCGCAAAAAATTAATTATTATTTTTTCTCTCTGTAAATGGCCGGAAACTCAAAATATTTGTCTGCAAAATTTCAGGTTTTTTCGAATATTTTGCGAAAAAATTGACAATTTATTAGTTACATACTTTGTGATTTGAAATTTCCTGAGACTAAAGTATCGTAATCCTGAGTTACTGTAATATTTGTAATTGGCTAGCTACAGTAACCCTTTAAACCTGGGAGTTATTGTAACTTGAAATTCAAGTTACAATAACTCCCGCAGCTACAGTAATTCAGTTGAAATACAAAGAAACAGGTTGCGGTAAAAGTATACATTTGTGTAAATTGACTTACTTTTCAGCAACCATTCTCAAAACAAGCAATGTTTTCTTGATTTCTCCGATATTTCTCATAAATGATTTTGAGTAAACATCCGAAGTTCCATGTTCACATTCGAAGACCTGAAAATAAGAATGTTTTTAATCACGAGTAGCCTCAATAGATATTCAAGAGAACATTTCTGAATCTGATCGACAATGTGTCTACCGTAACTCAAAACACGTCATCGAAAAGCTGCAGCTTTCAAAAATGGTCACATTAAAAAAAATTAGCACCAACCAAAAACTTACAAAAATATCATTTTTGGATGCCAATCTGGAGTTGGCACAATCTTTGAAAATGATGAACGATTCCTGAAGTTTACTATACAAATCCAATCCATGATACTTGTTAAGCTTGCAATAATCAATACCAGCCACAGTTTGTTCTGGAAGTTTTTTTTTTTTTTTTGGAAAATTCTATCGATTATCTATATACAGTACTGGCCAAAAAGATATGCAAAACTAGTTTTTCGTGTGAATTTACTCAAAAATGTCGAATTTTGACCATGGATTCACTTCGGAAACGGTTAAAAATCAGAAACTCTGATGAAAAAAAAAAAATTTTCAGGAAAAATCGGGAAAATGACCAAACCCAATTTTCTGGAAGGTCTTATTGAAGACATCAGTGGTGTCTTAGAATTGATGAAATTCGAAGGTTAAGGTGGGAAATGAAAGATGTCTAGTCACTTCTGCAAGTTTAGTCTTATACTTTGTATTTTCAAAAATAAATCAAGGAATAGTGGAAACTTGGAAAATCCTGAACAAATCGAAATTTGAGTAAGATCAAGAAAAATTTTTCATCTATGGAATTGATGCATATTATCAAATTCAGCATAAAAAATAACCCCATATGCGATTTTGGGTCAAAATTCGACATTTTTGAGTAAATTTACACGAAAACCTAGTTTTGCATATCTTTTTGGCCAATTTTTCAATTTTTGAAATACATATATTCATTAGAGACCCAGATTGCTCAAAAAAAAATTTGAGCCCAATCCGATAAAAATCAAATGATGATAGCTTTTTTATCACTAATTTATATAAATTATAATTGTAAGTTTAAAATTTAAAACTGAAATTTCTTATTACTAATATTCATCAAATTTTGAGAAAATTTCTTTTCAATAGTGCGAAATCCAGGCCGAAAAATTAGATTTGAACAACAAATTTCCCTCGGAAAACTTACTCATTAACTGAATCTTCCTTTTGATAACTGTTTTTCTTAAATCTTCTCTTCTATTTTCTTGTAACGCCAAAACAACAGATTGTTGATTCAATACTATATGCATGTTTCTTTCGTTGTTCATTTTTCCAGTGCAAGATAATTCTGAAATGAGGAGAATTTCGAGAAAACATTTTGGATTGATGAAGGGGGTCACGTCACGTAACAAATAATTTATTTTTTTGAGAAATTTGTTAAAATTTTAATTTGGATTTGTATTGTTCCTTTTTAGAACATTTCAGTTTGCTGATTGTTGAACTTTCTGAAACCTGGAACCTCGTCTGAATGACGTTTTTTACGCACTGTTTGACCGATAAGCAAATCAGCAAAAAAAAGTTGGAAGAACTTATTCAAGACATTCCTTCTCAGAATACAAATATTTCCCACCCTTTGAACTAAAACTCACGCTACATGGATATCGCTCAAATTTCCAACAATTGTGGAAACTGCCACTTTCGATATTTTTGTTTGTTGATGTATCGTTTCAATATCGTTTCTGGAAAATTTGTTGAACCTTTCGATCATTTTTCATCATGTAACTTACTTCTGGGAATACAAATTTAAAATTGCCATGATTTTTATCCATGTTAAATGGGATTTCGCAAAAATTGTATTTGATCGTGGTGCTATCCTTATCATACACCTGGAGCATCGGATCTAGAATATTTATAGGTTACGATAGTTTGGCAAACTTAACAACTTACGCTTATCAAACCAGGGGATTCTTCGGCAGCAGACACAATCCGTTCGCATTTTTTACATTTTCGTTTTTGCGGCACAATATTCAATTCGAAAATTTTTTTAGTCAATTCTGTCCCATTCAAATGTAGAAGTTCGCTATAGGTTTCCGCTCGTTGAATTTTTTCAAAACTGTAAATAGAAATTTTGAACTATTTTTCTCTCTCCTCATTTGAACAACCAACTTTCGAACCCACCCGTCGCCCAAATTTCTTTTTTCTCATATTCTCAGAGTATACTTTATATAAATTTTTCTAGACTAGAATTACCTTGAACATGAGAAAAAACATTGGGCGGTCGTTGGGATGGTCCTACGAAAAATATCATCAAAAGTTGATGCATTTTTCTTGTTGAATTTTTTCCCTTCAACCTACTTTGCGCATTGTTTCTCACAATTTCAGTCATTTTGTCAATGACTTCTTCACACATATTCAAATGGAATTCGTTCTTCTTAATTTCGCCTGAATTTTTCGAAATTCGTTCTGTCAACGCTGCAGCCTTCTCCAATTCAATCAATTTCTTGATTCCATCATACATTTGTCTGACACCTTGATATTCAGTTAGTCCGAGACGTTGTCTGTTCGTAACATCATAGATCATCATAACATCATCATAGCATCCTTGGTTTCCGAATGTTCTCCATGAATTCCGCAAATTTTATCCTTTGATAAGACGGCCCAAAACGTCTCCAACATTTCCACCATTTTTCATTGAGATGATACGCAAGTGATCTTCTTCATTCACTGAAACCAAGAATAACTTATTTTATGTAGTGGTTGCGACTTTTTTATAATAGAAATTTATTGAAGAAAAAAAAACTAAAATACAAAAAGTTACACTACACAAATAGAATAAAAAGACAAAAACAATTTACCATTTCTAAAACACAGCTAAAATAACCTAGGAAATTGACCCGAAGAAAACCTAACGAAAAACCGCACACAAAAAACAAAAACAGAAAAAGATAGGCGGTCTCGCCGCCACCTCTGCCACGTCACACGTGCACGTGAAATAAATTAATATAAAAAGATTGATTCTTTTTATCTCTTTCATTTATTCTTTTTCACTACATTCCAACCAGACCTGTCGTTTTTGGCCGGCCGGGTCGGGCCAGCCCTTCAAAATTCAAAAAATGCGGGCTATTTCGGCCCTCCGGCCCTTGTTTTTTTTATAAGAGGCTGTTTCATTCCTTTTTTCGGTCCTTCATAAATTTTTGATGACAATTCGGGATTTTTACAAATGGATGATTTTGCTCAAATTTTCTACATTTACTTTTATCATCAATCCACCATTAGAAACGCGAAATTCGCCAATTTTCTTCAGCCAAAATGCAACAATTCGAAAGAAACACCATTGAAAAATAGTGGACTTACACAATAAAATTTGTTGGAAAGGCCGGGCTGAGCCAGCCCATTTCCCTTATTTTGGCTGGCTAGCCCGGCCCTTTAAATAGCTGGCCCGAGGGCCGCAAATAGCCGCAAAACGACAGGTCTCATTCCAACATTATCATTGTGGAATATTCCACGACCAGTTGGCCAGAAACGATTGGTATTGGCGGCTTTCAAAAAACACTCACCTTCTTTGAAGAAGAAATGATCAGCTATCAATTTCTTTTTGGTTTCTTCGTCCATTCCAGTGAGAGGTATGTTCCCTTCAATTCTGGATCAGTGATTCCGGCGAAGATTTCCTTCATTCTTGATTCCATCATTTTGTAGTTGGTCTCATTCAAACATGGGTTGAAAGGATATCCTTGGAGTGAGCGATCACATTGAACACGGGTGGAAACGATGAACTTGTTCTCGGGGTCCAAATCCGCCAAATCACCGATCTGCAAAACAAATATTCATATTTTCATTTTCTGGAACAGAAATAATAAATAAAACCTACATTTTTCTCTCTGGACAACTTCCTTGGTCAAGTTCTTGTTGAGGAGCGATTTGCAGTCAACCCTGGAAATTAATCGATTATTTATGGTTATCTGGAACATGGCTATGAAAAAGAAGTTGTGAAGCCTTTTTCTGAAAATCCTTGACCTGAAAAGCCCTGACCAACCTCTTCGATTTTCTTTTGAACGTCAGCAGGAACAGGAATAGTGTTGGCAACTTCCTTCGTCAAGTGCTTTTTGAGGAGCGAGTTGCAGTCGGCGGCAACTTGCAATTTTGCGAAACCCTGGAAATTAATCGATTATTTATGGTTATCTGGAACATGGCTATGAAAAAGAAGTTGTAAAGCCTTTTTCTGAAAATCCTTGATCTGAAAAGCCCTGACCAACCTCTTCGATTTTCTTTTGAACGTTTCTCTTTGATAAGAAGCAATTGTGAGAAAAGCGAAAGAGCTTTTTATAGGGGAAAAAATCGTGTTGGCAAAAATGACACGTTTCACGGTCACGCTCATTTCCACCGGAAAATTCAAAATTTAAATTCATTTATGAAAAACGCGAATAAAATGATACGGAAAAATATTTTCAGCTTCAAAGCTTGAAAAACACTAGTTTTCAGAGAAAATTCCAAATTTCACACTAATATCTGAATTTGCCGCCTGAACTATTTTGCCACGTGGAATTCACTCTGTGCGCCTTTGAAACCCCGAAAAACCTTTCCCCACCAAAAAAAAAACAAAAAATTGTCTGCGCCCTCCTCTTTTCCCCTTTTCTCTCGCCATAGAAAAAATAGAGGAGAGAAAGTGCGCTTCATTGACAACGCACACACAAACATTTTCGAATTTCGCATTTTTTATTTTTTTGCGCAGAAAAACCGGGTTTTCTCGGATTTTCAGATAAATCTTGTGTTTTCTTGTAGATTTTGATACGTGGATCATGATTCTGATGTCAGAAATAGGGTATATTAGCTTTGAAGATGATTTATGACGTGGCAAAGTAGAAATGTTTAGAAATGTGGTTTTTGCGAAATTTTAAAGTCTTCCACTGATTTTTAGAGTTGAGCTAGTTAATTTCTGACACTGGAATCATGATCAGCGCTTCGGAATCTTCTGAAAAATCACGTTTCACCCAAAAATCTCGATTTTTTTAGATGCCTTCATCTCCAGAAGCTTCACCAAAAGGTTCAGAAGACGGAGACGAATATGTGCCACGATCACCATCTCCAAAAAGACCAAGAAGATCAGAGAGCCCCGAAAAACGCCGTGAAAAATCAAGGAGCCCGGAGAGAAGAAGAGAACGATCTAGAAGTCCAGAGAGACGCAGACGTCGAAGATCTTCTTCACATGAACGTGATTCTTCAAGAAGACGAAGATCTTCTTCACGCGATCATGATTCAAGAAGACGAAGAAGATCAAGAACTCCGCCAAGAAGGAGACGAAGTCCAAGTCCCGAAGCTGCTCCAGCTCCAAAAAAAGAGGAGAAGCCTAAAGAAGAGGTCAAGGATTTGTTGAGAACTCGAACTGGAGGAGCCTATATTCCACCTGCAAAATTGCGACTTATGCAAGAGCAAATTCAGGATAAGGTATGGGTTTTTGAATATGAGTTATGACGTGGCAAAATCAATAATTTCCAGGCTGGCGAACAATATCAACGTATGAATTGGGAGCGTTTGAAGAAGAAGATTCATGGTTTGGTGAATCGTGTGAATGTGGGAAATTTGGTGCAGATTGTCAGAGAATTGTTGCAGGAGAATGTGATTCGTGGAAAGTATGTGGATTTTTGCTGATGAAAATTGGGCTTGGGACCCCGAAAATTGGATTTTTCATGAAATTTGAGGCCGGAAAAGGGAAATTCCATGAAAAATCTTATCTGAAACCTGAAAAACTTGATTTTTGACTTACAATTTCAAAAAATCTGTTTTTATGAAAATGAAAAAATTCAAAAGGGACATTTTTTTCCAAACGTGACCTATATTTAAAAAATTAAAAATGACGTGGAATTTCTACAATTCAAAAAATCATTTTGGCATTTTATTTCATCAAGAAATGGTCAGGATTCATTGAAGTGAGTAAAAAAATCCAGAAAATTGCAGCTTTTGCTGGAAATTTCAGGGGTTCTATTGAAAACTCAGCCAGAAATCAATTGAAACCTGAAAATTATGAAAAATCCTGCTTTTCCAAGGTAAATTCATCAGAATAACTGAAAATCACGATTTTTCCTGCGACCAAAACAAGATTCTAATGAAAAATTATTCAAAATTCATTGGAGAACCTGGTTTTGCTGAAATTTCCTGCTGAATTCATAGTTTCAATCTGGAAATTCTCAAAAACCTATGATTTTCCGTCTCGAGTTGCAGAAAAAATTTTAATGTGTAATTTGAGACAGAAAATCATAGGTTTTTGAGAATTTCCAGATTGAAACTTTGAATTCAGCAGGAAATTCCATAAAAACAAGGCTCTCCAATGAATTTCGAATAACTTTTCATTAGAATCTTATTTTGGTCCCAGGAAAAATTGTGATTTTCAGTTAATCTAATGAGTTTTGCTTGGAAAAACAAGATTTTTCATAATTTTCAGGTTTCAATTAATTTTTGGGTGATTTTTCCTGGATTTTCGAGCAGAAATGAAGATTTCTACTAAAAAATACCATATTTTCCAAAGGAAAAATGGATTTGATGTTGAAAAATCACCAAAACGTTTTGGAAAACAGGATTTTTGGATATTTCGGTCAGAAATCAATTTTCAATGAAATGGAACCCGGAGAAGGGAAAATTTGGTGATTTTTAGGTTGTAAACCATAAAAATTCAAACTTCCAACATTCCCGGGTTGAAAGTAGGAAAAATCCATTGATATTTTGGTCAGAAATTCAATTTCTATGAAATTTGACTTGGAGTAGGCAAAATCCGATGATTTTTAAGTTGTAAACCATAAAACTTCAAATTTGCAACATTCCCGGGTTGAAAGTAGGAAAAATCCATTGCTATTTCGGTCAGAAATCAATTTTCAATGAAATGGAACCCGGAGAAGGGGAAATTTGGTGATTTCCAGGTTGTAAACCATAAAAATTCAAACTTTCAACATTCCCGGGTTGAAAGTAGGCAAAATCCATTGATATTTTGGTCAGAAATTCAATTTCTATGAAATTTGATTTGGAGTAGGCAAAATCCGATGATTTTTAAGTTGTAAACCATAAAACTTCAAATTTGCAACATTCCCGGGTTGAAAGTAGGAAAAATCCATTGATATTTCGGTCAGAAATCAATTTTCAATGAAATGGAACCCGGAGAAGGGGAAATTTGGTGATTTCCAGGTTGTAAACCATAAAAATTCAAACTTTCAACATTCCCGGGTTGAAAGTAGGAAAAATCCGTTGATATTTCGGTCAGAAATCAATTTTCAATGAAATGGAACCCGGAGAAGGTGAAATTTGGTGATTTTAAGGTTGTAAACCATAAAAATTCAAACTTCCAACATTCCCGGGTTGAAAGTAGGAAAATTCCATTGATATTTTGGTCAGAAATTCAATTTCTATGAAATTTGACTTGGAGTAGGCAAAATCCGATGATTTTTAAGTTGTAAACCATAAAAATTCAAACTTCCAACATTCCCGGGTTGAAAGTAGGCAAAATCCATTGATATTTTGGTCAGAAATTCAATTTCTATGAAATTTGATTTGGAGTAGGCAAAATCCGATGATTTTTAAGTTGTAAACCATAAAAATTCAAACTTCCAACATTCCCGGGTTGAAAGTAGGCAAAATCCATTGATATTTTGGTCAGAAATTCAATTTCTATGAAATTTGACTTGGAGTAGGCAAAATCCGATGATTTTTAAGTTGTAAACCATAAAAATTCAAACTTCCAACATTCCCGGGTTGAAAGTAGGCAAAATCCATTGATATTTTGGTCAGAAATTCAATTTCTATGAAATTTGATTTGGAGTAGGCAAAATCCGATGATTTTTAAGTTGTAAACCATAAAAATTCAAACTTCCAACATTCCCGGGTTGAAAGTAGGCAAAATCCATTGATATTTTGGTCAGAAATTCAATTTCTATGAAATTTGACTTGGAGTAGGCAAAATCCGATGATTTTTAAGTTGTAAACCATAAAAATTCAAACTTCCAACATTCCCGGGTTGAAAGTAGGCAAAATCCATTGATATTTTGGTCAGAAATTCAATTTCTATGAAATTTGATTTGGAGTAGGCAAAATCCGATGATTTTTAAGTTGTAAACCATAAAAATTCAAACTTCCAACATTCCCGGGTTGAAAGTAGGCAAAATCCATTGATATTTTGGTCAGAAATTCAATTTCTATGAAATTTGACTTGGAGTAGGCAAAATCCGATGATTTTTAAGTTGTAAACCATAAAAATTCAAACTTCCAACATTCCCGGGTTGAAAGTAGGAAAATTCCATTGATATTTTGGTCAGAAATTCAATTTCTATGAAATTTGACTTGGAGTAGGCAAAATCCGATGATTTTTAAGTTGTAAACCATAAAAATTCAAACTTCCAACATTCCCGGGTTGAAAGTAGGCAAAATCCATTGATATTTTGGTCAGAAATTCAATTTCTATGAAATTTGATTTGGAGTAGGCAAAATCCGATGATTTTTAAGTTGTAAACCATAAAACTTCAAATTTGCAACATTCCCGCGTTGAAAACCCTTAATTTTGCACCAGAAAACCTATTTTCATTGAAAATGTTTGAAATTCAAAGGAAAAATCGCTCAGAAGTTAAAGAAACAACGATTCTAATGATCAAAAATCACTATTTTCCCCCAGAAAACCTGCCCAAACCCCCATATTTTTCCAGAGGTCTCCTATGCCGCTCCATCATCCAAGCGCAAGCCTTCTCCCCCGGCTTTTCGCACGTCTACGCGGCTCTCGTCGCCGTAATCAACTCAAAATTCCCGCACGTCGGTGAACTTCTCCTTCGTCGTCTCATCGTGCAATTCAAACGAAGTTTTCGGCGAAATGATAAAGGTGTCACAGTTCCAATCGTCAAATTCATCGGACATTTGATAAATCAACAAGTTGCGCACGAAGTTTTGGCCCTCGAGATCATTATTTTGATGTTGGAAGAGCCAACAGATGATTCGGTTGAAGTTGCGATCGCATTTTTGAAAGAATGTGGAGCCAAGTTACTGGAAGTCGCGCCTGCTGCACTCAACAGTGTTTTCGACCGGCTTCGTGTTATTTTGATGGAATCGAATGCGGAAGATCCGGAGATGAAGATTGATGTTAGAATTCGATATATGATTGAAGTTGCGATGCAGATCAGGAAAGAGGGATTTAAGGTAACTCATTTTGGAGTGAAAATTTTTTTTCATGCAAATTTGACCTATTTTCATAAAAAAACGCGTAAAATCTGAAAATTTGCTGAAAATCCACGTATTTCTTCTTGGCGGAAAAAAAAATTAAAATTTGAATTTTTCTTCCAAACGGCAAGAGTTCGATAGAGCGCGTTTGCTATTTTTGAGCTAAAAATCACGATTTCTGACCTGAAATTGGTGAAATTTCACGGTGTTTAGTTTTTTCAAGCTGTAAAATTCGATTTTGTGCAGAAATTGACTGAAAATCCACCGTCTTCCCCGAATTTAGGTGAAAAATCACGTTTTTCTTTACAACGAAAAAAAAAATGAAATTTTGAATTTTTTCTGGAAACGCCAAGAGTTCGATGGGGCGCGTTTGCTATTTTTACTCAATTTTTCACGATTTCGACGATTTTTGGCTCAAAATTTGTCATTTTCCTAAGCTAAAAGATGGTTTCGTGCTGAAATTGACTGAAAATTCAAACTTTCCATCAAAAACTCAGCCTAGAACTCGTATTTTTTCATTGCAAAAAAATTGAATTTTTCTTCGAAACGCCAAGAGTTCAATGGGGCGCGTTTGCTATTTTTGGTCAATTTTTCACGATTGTTAGCTGAAAATAATGGTTTTTCATCGTTTTTTCTGAAATTTTCGATTTTACACCTGAAAATCCACCAAAATTCAATAAATTCAACAAATTTTATTCCTTCTTCAAAGTTTTCTCCCTCAAAAACTCCTCAAATTTGCGATATTCATCCTCTCCCAACACAAATTGCACCAAACCGCCATCTTTTTGTGTCGGAGTTGTCGGAACTCCGGGAATCGGTGAAATGTTATAGGGATGGAGATAGGTGTGGATTTTTTCGAAGTTTCGGGCGGTGGAGATGAGAGTTAGCTGAAATTAGGTGAAAATTGGGCATTTTTGGTCAAAATTGGACTATTTTTCATGAAAAATCATGTTTTTTGCACCTAGAACTCACATTTCTGGGAGCTGGCGATTCCATAATCGATTTCAGCTTTTTCAAGCGCTCATCCCGTTGTTCTTTGTGAAATTTCTCGATTTTTGCTTTTTCGGTTCGATGTCGGCTCAAAAGCCAATTGTAGTAATTTATTTGCTCCAAATCTTTGCGGTGTTGAGTTTCTTGCTCCTGAAAATTTGCATTTTGAAAGGAAAAACTGTGCCAGACTTGCAGAAAAGTGGGCGGAGCCTAATTTTCATACTTTATTGAATTTTGGTGGATTTTCAGTTGAAAAATCGAAAGTTTCAGAAAAAATGATGAAAAACTATTATTTTTGGGCTAAAAATCGTAATTTATTGTCCAAAAATAGCAAATGCGCTCCATTGAACACTTGGCGTTTTCGAGAAAAATTCAAATTTTTATTTATTTTTCTCCTAGGAAAATTATTTGATTTTTATTGAAAAGAAACTATGCGAGACTTGCAGAAAAGTGGGCGGAGCCTAATTTCATTTAAATTTTGTGGAAAAAATCGTCAAAATCATGGCTTTTGCCCAAAAATAGCAAACGCGCTCCATTGAACACTTGGGGGGGGGGGTTTTCGAGAAAAATTCAAATTTTTAGTTTTTTTGCTCCTATGAAAAATTTTGTGATTTTATTGGAAAAAACTATGCCAGACTTGCAGAAAAGTGGGCGGAGCCTAATTTTCCATGAAAAACCGTAGAAATTGTGATTTTTTGCCTAAAAATGTAGCAAACGCGCTCCATTGAACTCTTGGCGTTTTCGAGAAAAATTCAAATTTTCATTTTTTCCCCCCAAAAAAACTAACCTTATTTTCACCAAATACTACCAAAATCAAAATTGAAATTGTGAAAATAAAAATGGAAAATTGATTCATTTCTAGTTTTCAAAATGAAATAAAAGAGAGATTTTTGTGTGGAAAAAGAATAAAAATGAAGAAAAAAGAAAAAAGAAGGCGGAGGACTGGACTGTGTCCGAAAATCTTGTTTTTTCCTCTTTTTTTCTCTTTTTTTTTCTTGCGCTTCTTAAAAGATGATAATAATAATAATAATAATTATTATTGTTGTTTTCTTAGTGTAAAAATCGCATTTTTCCCATGATTTATTCGAATTTTTACCTGTTTTTCCAGGCATATCCAGCGGTTTTGGAGGATTTGGATTTGATTGATGAGGAGGATCAGATTACGCATACGTTGAATTTGGAAGAGGCCACGGATCCCGAGAATGGACTGAGTAAGGATTTTTGGGACATTTTGAGCGGGAAAATTGAAATTTTCATGGTTTTCTGGTCTAGAAGGCCGAAAAAATGAAAAAATAAAAATTTTCAAAATAGTCGCCAGGTGGACTCGAACCCCCGACCTCTTGAACAGAGAGCTAGACACTTACCGCCTACACCAACTGCTCAGCTAAATTCTGAGCTTTTTTTTGAGCCTAAGCTTGATCAGAAAGCCTGAAAATTACAGAATTTTGAAAAAAAAATCCATCCAGGAAAAATTAGGTTTCAAAAATATCATAAATATTTTTCCGGAAATTTTTGAGACGATTTACATTTTGTTTTACAATTCAGAATTTTTCAGAAAAAATTTTTCAATTCAACACGAGCAAATGGTGTAGGCGGTAAGTGCCTTGATCACTGTTTGGAAGGTCGCAGGTTCAAGTCCGCCTTGGAACTACTACTTTTTCAAAAAAAAATTTTCAAATAGTCCCCAGGTGGACTCGAACCCGCCACCCTTAACTTAGTGGTGTAGACACTTACCGACTACACCATCTGCTTTCAAAACTAGTCGCTCTTCAAATTACAACACGAAATTTTAGACAATAAAATACAAAAATCAAGATTTCAATGAAAAACACTTGAAAAAGTCTTCAAGAATCCGGATTTTTCAAAACAAAAAAGTGAAAATTCAAGAAAATCTACTGTAATTTCAGACGTCTTCAAATTGGATCCGGATTTCGAGAAAAACGAAGAAGCCTACGATGAGATTCGCAAGGAAATAATTGGAGACGCCGATGTTTCGAGTGATGAAGAAGATGATGATGAAGATGAGGAGAGTGATGAAGAGAATCAGGAGAAAGAGCCGAAAAAAACGACGACAGAGATTATTGATAATACTGATCAGAATTTGATTGCGTTTAGAAGGTGAGAGCGATTTTATGACCCTGAAATTAAGAAAATTGAGCCCAGGAGCTAAAAATCTCTAGTTTTTAGCCTGAAATTGGAAAATTTCGTCCAAAATTGATCCTAGGAGCTCTTTGGAGGATTTTTTAACCTGAAATTGAGAAAATTGAGCCAGGATTGCTCTAGGAAATGAGAAATCGGAATAGACTTCAAAATTGATCTGGGAGCTGAAAATCTCTAGTTTCGAGCCTGAAATTGAGAAATTTCGTCCAAAATTAATATAGAAGCTGAATATCTCTAGTTTTGAACCAAAAATTGAGGAAATTAAGCCAGGATTACTCTAGAAAGTGAAAAATCTGAATTTTTCCTCTGTAATTGGTCATATAATGCTCTAATTCGAATTTTGAGCAAATTTTTGGAATTTTTCACTGAAATTTGCTCCTAAGAGCTCTTTGGATGATTTTTTGTCTGAAATTGTGAACATTGAGCCAGAATTGCTATAGGAGCTGAAAAATCTGAATTTTTGACTTCAAAATTGATCCTGGAGCGAAAATGTGAGTATTTCTGTTCAAAATCAGGTTCAATAGGTTTTCTAAGCTTAAAATTTTGAATTTTGAGCTAAAATTGTCCTAGAGACGATATTTTTACCTGGAAAATTGAAAAATCTGAAGTTTTGAGCCGGAAATTGAGAAATTTAACTCAAAATAAATTGATCTTATAGACTTCTGAAGGCTCAGAATTCGGAAAATCTGAATTTTTGAGCCTAAACTCGAGGATTTTGGCCTAAATTTGAGCCTAGAACGAAATTTTCCCGAATTTTTCATTCAGGGCTCAAAAATGATGATTCAAAATTACAAAAAAATTTGAAATTTTGTTTGCCACGTGGCAGAATTTTCAAATTTCTCCCCAAAAATCTTCATTTTTTTCCAGAGAAGTCTATTTGACCCTCCAATCCTCCTTGGATTTCCAAGAAGCCGCTCACAAATTGCTCAAAATGGGAATTAAACCCGAAATGGAAAATGAGCTGTGCAATATGTTGGTCGATTGTTGTGCACAACAAAGAACCTACGAGAGATTCTATGGAATGTTGATTGAACGATTTTGTCGATTGAGATTGGAGTATCAGGTGGGGAATTTGAGGGTTTTTGGTGAAAAAATGGCTGAAAATGATGAATTTTGAGCCAAAAACCATGATTTTTGATGAAAATTGAGCAAAAATCGATAATTTTCCAGCAAATGTTTGAACAAATCGCCCGCGACAGTTATGCCACTGTACACCGCTTCGATATTACGAAATTGAGAAATCTGGCGCGATTGGTGGCACATTTATTGGTGACTGATGCGATTGATTGGAAGGTGAGCGGATTTGGAGCATTTTGAGCCAAAATTTGGGAGAATTATATGATTTTGAGCTGGAATTGATAATTACTAGATTTTTTAAGTCCAGAAAATCGGAAAATTTGAATTTTTTCTTTGAAAAACCAAAATTTCAGGGTTTTTTTCTGATTTTGAGCCCGAAAATGATGAATTTGGAGCATTTTGAGCTAGAATTGATATTTTCAAGATTTTTTCAGCCTAGGAAATCTGGAAATTTGAATTTTTCACTAAAAAACTGAAATCTCAGAGTTTTTCTGATTTTGAGCCCGTAAATGATGAATTTGGAGCATTTTGAGCCAGAAATCGTGAAAATTGGATCATTTTGAGCTAGAATTGATATTTTCTAGATTTTTCAGTCCCAGAAATCTAAAAATTCTGAATTTTTCACAAAAAAACTGAAATTTCAGGGTTTTTTCTGATTTTGAGCACGAAAATGATGAATTTGGAGCATTTTGAGCCAGAAATCGTGAAAATTGGAGAATTTTGAGCTAGAATTGATATTTTCATGATTTTTTAGTCCAAGAAATCTGAAAATTCTGAATTTTTAGCCCAATTTTGAAGATTTGACCTGAAATCAGTGTAAAATTCAGAAAAGGCTGAAAATTTCGATTTTTTTGGTCCTGAAATTGAATTTTGACGTAGAAAATTGAAATTTTTGGATTTTCTATCAGAAAAAGCTGAAAATTTCAGTTTTCGATCCAAAAAAGCCCAGAATTTCCTTCTTCCAGATCTGGTCCGACGTAAAATTGACTGAAGCCGACACAACTTCATCCGGCCGAATTTATATCAAATATGTTTTTCAAGAATTGGTCGAAGCGATGGGTTTGGTGAAATTGTATGAGAGAATGAAGGATCCGTGAGTTTTTCGGGGGAATTTTTGAGCCTGAAAATGCTGAAAATCATGAATTTTGAGCCCGGGAGCGTTAAATTTGGGCCTTAGAAGCCTTAGGCTACAAAAATGCTGTTTTAGGGCCTAAATTGACCCTAGAAACCTTAATTTTTGACCCAGGAGGCCTCTAAATTAAGGCCTAATTCATGGGCTCTAGAATTCCTATTTTTGGGTCTTAAAAATGAACCTCTGAGCCCTAATTTCACTTCAAATACCCTAATCTCTTTAAAAACCTTTAAAGCCCTAATTTTGGGCCCTAAAAATGATTTGTAAGCCTTAATTTGGGGCCCTAAAAATCCTTAAAATTTTTACCTTAAAACCTATGCCTTAAAATGACCCTGGAAGCCTCAATTTTGAACCTTAAAAATGAACCTTAATTTTGGGCCTTAAAATGATCTCAGAAGCACCTAAAACCTTAATTTTGATCCTAAATACCTCAATTTTGGGCCCTTAATTCTCCCTAAATACCCTAACTCCCCTATTTACCCTAAATTTAATTTCACATATTTTCCAGAACCCTTGCCAACTATTTCTCCGGTCTTTTTCCGCGTGACAATCCGGCCAACGCTAGATTTGCCATCAATTATTTCACCGCCATCGGACTTGGTGGATTGACGTGAGTTTTTTGGCTGAAAATCTGGAAATTCTGGAATTTTTTCAAGAAATCTGAGAAATTCTGCGTTTTTTGATGTAAAAATTGCTCCAGAAGTTGGAAAATCCCAAATTTCCCACTGAAAATCTGAAAAATCTGAAAGTTTTGCAGTTTGGATCATCGTGCCTGGCTTGACAAAGGACTCAAAAAACAAAAGGATCTTTTCGAGAGTTTGAACGATTCTTCGTCTTCAGATTCATCGAGTTCGGATTCGGATTCTTCTGATTCAGATTCGGATTCAGAATCAGATTCATCATCGGATTCCTCGGATTCAGTGGAATCTACACCGCCCAAAAAATCGAAGAAAAATAAGAAAGTTGAGGAGAAAAAGAAGAGAAAAAGGTAGGGTTTTGGGGAGGAATTTTGGGTGGAAATTCTGAAAATTTTGCTGAAAATCTGAAATTTTGAGCCTAAATTGTATATTTTCAGCTCAAACCCTGAAAAATCTCAAAAAAAAAAATCCACCTTCAATATGAATATTCATGAGCATAATATTATTTATTTTTTTCATGAGTCAAAAAAAATCCCCTGAAAAATTGGAATTTTTAATTGAACTCTGATGAACCGGAAAATTGAAAAGGGTTTTTGCCTTGAAAAAATGAGGAAAAAATGAACTTTGCACTTTTTTTGAGGAGAATTTGGGGGAAAATTTGAAAAAAAAATGTGAAAAATAGCAAATGCGCTCTATTGAAATCTCTAGAATTCAAAAATAGTAAATTCGATTAAAAATATTTAAATTTTTCCAAAATTATGCAAAAATTGCAATCGTGCTTTAACTTTTTTGAAAATTTTGAATTCACAAGTGTCAATTGCGCTCTACTGAAACTCCTAGAAGATATCAAAATTTCAAAATTCTTCAAAAATTATGGAAAGTTTCAAGTGCGCTCTATTGAACAATTGGAAATTTTTTTTTTTAATTTTGAAAATTCAAAATGCGCTCTACTGAAATCCTGGTTTATATTTGAATATTTGAAAACAAATATTTTTTTATGTTGAAGTGTGCTCTATTGAAACACGTTAAAAAATGTTAAAATTTTGAAAAATAGCAAATTCGCTCTATTGAAACCTATAGAATTCATTGAAAAATTTGAAAAATAGCAAATTTGCCCTATTGAAATCCCTTAAAAATCCAAAATTTTCTTCCAGCCGCGAAAAATCGCCAGAAAAACGTCACCACCATCATCACCACCACAAAAAATCGGAGGAGAGCCGCGACGACCGCGAGCACAAGAGCCGCGACAGAAGTCGCGACAAAAAATCGTCGTCGCATCACAAAAGTCGCCGCGCGGAAGACGATTCGCCACGCGAAAATCGCCGCCGCCGCAGCAGATCTGTCGAAAATCGCCGGGATGATGAGAAAAGGCGAAGACATTGAGCCCCTGAGCATTTTTGGAGCTCAAAACGTTTGTTTTTTGTATGTTTTATTGATTATTTGTTTTTTTTTTTGTGTGTGTGTAACTGAACTGAATTTAATTTTTGAATAAGTTATTATTTTTCTAGCAAAAATTTGAACCCTGGGAAGGTTTTTCAGTGAAAATTGCAGATTTTTGGGATTTCCTGATGCCTGAACCTTGAATTTTCAGTCAATTTCATTGAATTTCCGGCTGAAATCTAGAATTCCAGCTGGGAAATCTGAAAATGGCTGAAAATTCGGGGTTCTCGCGCAGGGGAACCTATCGTCAATTTTTTATTTGCCACGTGGCTATTTAGAGCTATGAAAACATGCCTGAACCTTGAATTTTCAGTCATTTTCTTGAAAATCCACTGAAATCTAGAATTTCAGCTGGGAAATCTGAAAATGGCTGAAAACTCGGGGTTCTCGCGCACGGGAACCTATCGTCAATTTTTTATTTGCCACGTGGCATTTAGATTATCTGAAAATATGCCTGAACCTTGAATTTTCAGTCATTTTCTTGAAAATCCACTGAAATCTAGAATTTCAGCTGGGAAAACTGAAATTGACTGAAAATTCGGGGTTCTCGCGCAGGGGAACCTATCGTCAATTTTTTATTTGCCACGTGGCAATTTAGAGCTATGAAATCATGCCTGAACCTTGAATTTTCAGTCATTTTCATTAAAAATCCGGCTGATATCTAGAATTTCAGCTGAGAAATCTGAAAATTCGAGGTTCTCGCGCAGGGGAACCTATCGTCAATTTTTTATTTGCCACGTGGCAATTTAGAGCTATGAAATCATGCCTGAACCTTGAATTTTCAGTCATTTTCATTAAAAATCCGGCTGATATCTAGAATTTCAGCTGAGAAATCTGAAAATGACTGAAAATTCGAGGTTCTCGCGCAGGGGAACCTATCGTCAATTTTTTATTTGCCACGTGGCAATTTAGAGGCATGAAAACATGCCTGAACCTCGAATTTTCAGTCATTTTCATTAAAAATCCGGCTGATATCTAGAATTTCAGCTGAGAAATCTGAAAATGACTGAAAATTCGAGGTTCTCGCGCAGGGGAACCTATCGTCAATTTTTTATTTGCCACGTGGCAATTTAGAGCTATGAAATCATGCCTGAACCTTGAATTTTCAGTCATTTTCATTAAAAATCCGGCTGAAATCTAGAATTTCAGCTGGGAAATCTGAAAATGGCTGAAAACTCGGGGTTCTCGCGCACGGGAACCTATCGTCAATTTTTTATTTGCCACGTGGCATTTAGATTATCTGAAAATATGCCTGAACCTTGAATTTTCAGTCATTTTCTTGAAAATCCACTGAAATCTAGAATTTCAGCTGGGAAAACTGAAATTGACTGAAAATTCGGGGTTCTCGCGCAGGGGAACCTATCGTCAATTTTTTATTTGCCACGTGGCAATTTAGAGCTATGAAATCATGCCTGAACCTTGAATTTTCAGTCATTTTCATTAAAAATCCGGCTGATATCTAGAATTTCAGCTGAGAAATCTGAAAATTCGAGGTTCTCGCGCAGGGGAACCTATCGTCAATTTTTTATTTGCCACGTGGCAATTTAGAGCTATGAAATCATGCCTGAACCTTGAATTTTCAGTCATTTTCATTAAAAATCCGGCTGATATCTAGAATTTCAGCTGAGAAATCTGAAAATTCGAGGTTCTCGCGCAGGGGAACCTATCGTCAATTTTTTATTTGCCACGTGGCAATTTAGAGCTATGAAATCATGCCTGAACCTTGAATTTTCAGTCATTTTCATTAAAAATCCGGCTGATATCTAGAATTTCAGCTGAGAAATCTGAAAATGACTGAAAATTCGAGGTTCTCGCGCAGGGGAACCTATCGTCAATTTTTTATTTGCCACGTGGCAATTTAGAGCTATGAAATCATGCCTGAACCTTGAATTTTCAGTCATTTTCATTAAAAATCCGGCTGATATCTAGAATTTCAGCTGAGAAATCTGAAAATGACTGAAAATTCGAGGTTCTCGCGCAGGGGAACCTATCGTCAATTTTTTATTTGCCACGTGGCAATTTAGAGGCATGAAAACATGCCTGAACCTCGAATTTTCAGTCATTTTCATTAAAAATCCGGCTGAAATCTAGAATTTCAGCTGAGAAATCTGAAAATGACTGAAAATTCGAGGTTCTCGCGCAGGGGAACCTATCGTCAATTTTTTATTTGCCACGTGGCAATTTAGAGCTATGAAATCATGCCTGAACCTTGAATTTTCAGTCATTTTCATTAAAAATCCGGCTGATATCTAGAATTTCAGCTGAGAAATCTGAAAATGACTGAAAATTCGAGGTTCTCGCGCAGGGGAACCTATCGTCAATTTTTTATTTGCCACGTGGCAATTTAGAGCTATGAAATCATGCCTGAACCTTGAATTTTCAGTCATTTTCATTAAAAATCCGGCTGATATCTAGAATTTCAGCTGAGAAATCTGAAAATGACTGAAAATTCGAGGTTCTCGCGCAGGGGAACCTATCGTCAATTTTTTATTTGCCACGTGGCAATTTAGAGGCATGAAAACATGCCTGAACCTCGAATTTTCAGTCATTTTCATTAAAAATCCGGCTGAAATCTAGAATTTCAGCTGAGAAATCTGAAAATGACTGAAAATTCGAGGTTCTCGCGCAGGGGAACCTATCGTCAATTTTTTATTTGCCACGTGGCAATTTAGAGCTATGAAATCATGCCTGAACCTTGAATTTTCAGTCATTTTCATTAAAAATCCGGCTGATATCTAGAATTTCAGCTGAGAAATCTGAAAATGACTGAAAATTCGAGGTTCTCGCGCAGGGGAACCTATCGTCAATTTTTTATTTGCCACGTGGCAATTTAGAGGCATGAAAACATGCCTGAACCTCGAATTTTCAGTCATTTTCATTAAAAATCCGGCTGATATCTAGAATTTCAGCTGAGAAATCTGAAAATGACTGAAAATTCGAGGTTCTCGCGCAGGGGAACCTATCGTCAATTTTTTATTTGCCACGTGGCAATTTAGAGCTATGAAATCATGCCTGAACCTTGAATTTTCAGTCATTTTCATTAAAAATCCGGCTGATATCTAGAATTTCAGCTGAGAAATCTGAAAATGACTGAAAATTCGAGGTTCTCGCGCAGGGGAACCTATCGTCAATTTTTTATTTGCCACGTGGCATTGAGATTATCTGAAAATATGCCTGAACCTTGAATTTTCAGTCATTTTCATAAAAAATCTTGCTGAAATTCTAGAATTTCAGCTGGGAAATCTGAAAATGGCTGAAAATTCGGGGTTCTCGCGCAGGGGAACCTATCGTCAATTTTTTATTTGCCACGTGGCAATTTACTAAGGTCATTAAGGTTTCTTAGGGGCTTCAAGATTCCTAAGAACCAAATGGTATAGGTATCTAAATCCCTAAGAATCCTAAGAACCTTTTAGACATCCCTAAGGTCTTTAAGAGCCTTATGAACTAAGGTTTGCCACGTCATAGCCTCATGCCAAAACTAAAAACACGATTTTATTTTCATTGTATAAAATAAAACGACCAAAAAGAACAGAGAATGGGGAATTTTTCGCACAAAGAAAGCGGGGGGAATTAAATTTTGTTGAAAAACGGAAAAAAAAAGAAGGAGGAGGCGCTCACACACATTTTCAGACACACAAATACAAAACAACCTTTCTGATGAAAATAAAACTGATGGAAATGACAAAAACTTGGAGTTAGGCTAAGTCTAAAGCCTAAATTTTGGGCCTTAGGCGTTAGAGTTAGGCGAATGACGAGTATGGTGAACGTTTGGCGAACGCGAAACCGTATGGTTGGGCACGTTTGGCGAAGGCGAATTGTCGGTATGGCGAGCTGTAGAGAAAATTTGGGGTTTTTTGAGCCTTGGGACGATTTTTCAAGTCTGATAGTGATTTTCTAGTGAAAAATGACCAATTTTTGAGCCTAGATGTGATTTTCCGGCGATTTTTGGTCTTGGAACGATATTTTTAGCCAAATTCTGGTCTTATGACGAATTTTAGCCCTAGATCTTGATTTTAAGGCTGAAATTTCAATTTTGATGAAAATATCGATTTTCTAGTGAAAAGTCTAGGTCATTTTTGACAATTTTTACACCTAAAACTTGAAATTTCACAATTTTTCCATGTTTTTGAAAATTTACACGAGATTTTGAAGTTAAAACATGCCTGAACCTTGAATTTTCAGTCATTTTCATTGAAAATCCTGCTGAATTTCTAGAAAATCTAGAATTTCAGCAGGGAAATCTGAAAATGGCTGAAAATTCGGGGTTCTCGCGCAGGGGAACCTATCGTCAATTTTTTTTCCAACTTAAATATGCTATTCATAAAGTTCGTGGGAAAATTTGGCTGAAATTTCCAGCCAGACAACAAAAATATGACTTTTTCTTGGAAAATGTTTGGGGTGGTCCGTGAGAACTACAAAAAATCTGTGTAGTTCTCTCGGAGAATTCTTACCGTTTGGCAAAAGATGACATATGTTGTGGCCACATGACTTCTCGCTTGGCAAAGGCGAAAGTTCTGGAATTTTTCAGATTTTCCGGATTTTCAGCCAAAAATCTGAAATTTCGCTCACCTATACGGTGATCTTTTGTCTATTCCATCGTCGTTGGTCAAAACATCGGCGGTTTGCTGGAAAATTCTTGAAATCTGCCTGAACCTCGCATTTTCAGTCAAAAATTTTGATTTTTGGCTGAAAATTCGGGGTTCTCGCGCAGGGGAACCTATCGCCAATTTTTTAAGGTCTTAAGGTCGTTAAGAGCAAATTTTTAAAGGTTCTTAAGGTGGTTAAGAACTCAAAGAGCCTTAAGAACTTAAGTATCTTTTAGAAATTCTTTAGCGTTCTTAAGAACGTTAAGAATATATTTAAAGGTATTTAGGGTCCTCAAGAACCTTTTAAAGAGCCTTAGGGATTCCAAGATTATTCTAAACATTCTTAAGGTCCCTAAGAGCCTATTTTTAAAGCTCTTCAAACTCTTTGTGACCTTTACAAAGCTTATTTGGTTTTTAAGGCCCCAGATAGTTATTTTTTCCAATTGAAAATTCCTTAAGGGGCCTTAAACACCTTAAGAATCTATTTCTAAAGATTTTAAGGTCTTAAGAACCTTAACTTACCATTTGTGCCGAAATGCAAAGAACCAACATTGCCAAAAAGCAAACAAACGAATATAAACTGTTCATTTTTGTGTTGTACCCTAAAAAAAACCCTAATTAGCGACCTTAATTACCTTAGGGTCCTTAAGGAACCTAAGAGAGCTGAAACGCTGTGAAAACTGAAATGATGTGAAGTGAGTGAAAAATTCCTGCCTAAGAGCTCATCTTCCCAAGTCAAGCTCCGCCCATTTTTAGAGCAAAAAAAAAGGGGCGTGGCTTTGGTGGAATAAAAAATGATGTGATGAAAAAAAGGAGCAAGGAGGAGGAAAAATAATATAAAATAAGTATATTAGAAAAAAAATGAGAAAGGAATCAGAGATTATTGAATTAGAAGCAGGAAAAAAATGTGAGGTGACACGTGGCAGAATTTGAAAATTTGGAAATTTGAATTTTTTGCCTTGAAAACACTCAAAATTCGATGTTTTTGGCATTGCTCATATTAAGAAAATTTTAATTTTTGAATTTTTCACAGTTGAGCGCTAGAAAATCCACGTGGAATCAGAGATTATTGAATTAGAAGCAGGAAAAAAATGTGAGGTGACACGTGGCAGAATTTTGAAAAATTTTAGCGCGAAAAAAGGAAATTCAAAATTTTCTACAAAAAACACTCAAAATTCGATGTTTTTGGCATTGCTCATATTAGGAAAATTCAACTTTTTAGATTTTTTCACAGCTGAGCGCTAGAAAATCCACATGGCTTTCAAAACTGCAAAAAATTCATGAAAATTCAAATTTTTACGAAAAACACTCAAAATTCAATGTTTTTGGCATTGCTCATATTAAAAACAATCAAATTTTTAAGATTTTTTAATTAACAAAATGCCACGTGGCAGTTAAAAAAATCGAATTTTTTACGCGAAATTCAAATTTCCAAGAAAAACACTAAAAATTTTTGTTTTTCGGCATTGCTCATATTAGGAAAAATTTGATTTTTGAGATTTTCAATTAACAAAATGCCACGCGGCCGTTGGAGAAATTTGAAATATTTTTTGCGTGAAATTCAAATTTCCTAAGAAAAACATTTAAAAATTGAATTTTTGGCATTGCTCATATTAAGAAAAATATAATTTTTTAGATTTTTAATTAGGGAAATAGCCACGTGGCAGTTCGAGAATTTTGAAAATTTTTTGCGCGAAATTCAAATTTCCAAAAAATACACACAAAATTCGATGTTTTTGGCATTGCTCATATTAAAAACAATCAAATTTTTGAGAATTTATATGAGGAAAATGCCACGTGGCGGTTAGCAAAATTTAAATACGCGGGAAATTCAAAAATTCAAAAACCTGAAAATACTTTTTTTCTGACAAGGGAACCTTTTCAGGCCACCGTTGAGTTTTGAGCTCAAACTTTTTTTATAGATAGTTTTAGCCATCCTAATGAACATACAAAAAATTTAGCTGCCAAAGAGCACCCTGCACCAAGTTCTGATGCGCCAAAGTGTCGGAAATCGCCAAAAACGGCATTTTTGAGGGGTCATAACATTCTTTAGGGACAATTTTATCACAATCTGATTGCAGGAGGTTTTTCAGGAGGGTCGATTTACTAAAATCACCAATTATTAGAAAAATTTCCAAAAATTTTCAGTTTTACAATCCATGACCTGGACTATTTTCTTGCGCCAAAAATTTTTTTTTCGAAAAAAGGTGCAATTCAGTAATAACATTCAGTGACTTTAGTAAATCGACCCTCCTGAAAAATTTCCCGCATTCAGTTTCTCATGAATTGAACTCAGGACTCAGTTATGACCCTCGGAATATGTGATTTTGGTCAAAAATCGCCATTTTGGTGTATCAGAACTTGGTCCGGGGTGCTCTTTGGCAGCTGAATTTTTTGTATGTTCATTAGGATGGCTAAAACTATCTATAAAAAAATTTTGAGCTGAAAACTCGACGGTGGCCTGAAAAGGTTCCCTTGTGAAATTGCTTTTTTGAGAAAAATGTTGCCACGTGGCTTTTTGAATTCCCCCAAAAAAATTGAAAAATACATTGCTCATATTAAGAAGCAAGTAATTTTTGAGAGAAAATTCCAGAAAAATTGTGGGAAAATTCGAATTTTCACTGCGAAAAACACATAAAAAGTTGTTTTTCCAGCGAACAATTTACACTATTTTCTGTTTTTTTTGCTCGAAATTGCTCATTTTTTCGAAAAAAAAATGCTATTGAGATCAAAAAATCCCACTTTTTTATATCTAGCTAAATGTCAAAAAAAAACAGCTCTCTTTTGAAACATAATCCAATAAACTCAGAGAAACAGGCTGGAGAACCGGCGGAGAAAACGACATGTCGGCGAACTCTCGGACAACCGGCGGAGTGTCTGACCTACACTATTTCGTCGAAACTTTTGTCCACCGGTTGTCCGAAAGTTCGCCGATAGGTCGTTTTCTCCGCCGGTTCTCCAGCCCATTTCTCTGAGAAAACTTGTTTTTTCCCATTGTTTTTTAGAAGTTTTTTTTTCGCTCTCGAAAAAAAATGTAGATCAAAAATCGCAGCGAAAAATGAGCAATTTCAGAAAAATTGCTGAAATTAAGGACTTTTAGAACCTAAAGAAATAATTTTTTAAAGTTTTAAGGTTTCCGAGAACCTTTAGAAAACTCCAAGACCATTAAAGCCCTTAAGGATCAATTTCCAAAGAATCTCTTTTTTTAAGGTACTTAAGAACCTTTTAAGGTACTTAAGAGCTTTGCAAACATTTTGTGGCAAAAAGTTTCCAATTTCAAATTTTATGCTCTTTTAAATTGCTCATAAAACAACATCAATTCATTTTTTTCGAGAAAAGTTGCCAATTTTCGAATTTTTGGACCATCAAAATTTTAGAGCACACTATAAAAATTTTCTGAAATTTTATAGAATTCGAATTTTTTGGTAGGATAGAAAAAAAATTCGAAAAAAAAAATAAAAATTAGTTTTGCTACGCAACAAACAAACAACAAATTGATTTATTTTCGGAAAAATTTGAAATTCCACGTGGCAACTCCTTCTTAAGGTCCTAATTACTGTAAGCATTTTAAAGTCCCTAAGCACCTTAAAATTGCCACGTGTAAAATTGTTCACCTACACCTACAGTACCCCCCACCCTTTCTGAACCCTCTAATTTCGTCATCTGTCATTTGGCACGCAAAAATCCTATTATTTTTTCGCTGTGAAAGCTTTTTTCTGTGGCTAAGCCTAAGCTTGAGCTTAAGCCTAACCTAAATATAGGTTTAGGCTTCTCCTGAAAAAAAACATCATTTTTTTTTGTTTCCTTGGCCAAATTGAGATTGACACAAATTTGATCTACTACTTTTTCTATTTTCGCAACAATTTTCGGGCCCGCGGGCTATTTTTCTAATTTTCATCCCGAAAAATCTGATTTTCCAGGGAAAAATTGGATTACTGTAGGGGGATTTTTGAGCCCTGAGTGAAAAAAAAACAATTTTTGGCTCTAAAACATCAATTGCGCTCCAATGCAAAATTTGGCGGGAAATTCTTGAAAAAATAAAAAACCCGAGAATTTTTACGTTTCAAAAATTTCATAAGAACATTTCGGATTTTTGAGTATTTGATCCACTATCCAATACTGCCAGCAAATTTAACGAAATGCGCTCTGATGAAATTTTTGGCGCGAAATTTGAAAAATTCAAATTTTTCTGTTTGAAAATATCGATTTTCAGGTTTTCTTTTTTTTCCTGGAAAAAATTTGTCATCACAATTTTTTTTCAAAAAAAAAACCTAATTAATTTTAATGAATCTTCTGAAGAAAGAAAAAAACAAGTGAAAAAAAAGAGAGTAAAAATTGAAATTTGGTTTTTGAACTGAAAAAAACATTCGGGCCTCAAGGTTCTTAAGATTCTTAAGGAGTTTAAGGTATTAAAGGCCCCTTAAGAACCCCTAAATGTTCCCAGGAATCTTAAAATTGGAAGCCTTAAAGTTAGTTATTAGGATTCTAAGGGTCTTAAAAATTCTTTAGATATTAAGAACCTTAAGGTAACCTTAAGCATCAAAAAAATGGTTTTAGGGTCCTTAAAGCCTTAAAGGCTTCCAAACCCTTTAAAAATAGGCTCTTAAGAATTTTTAAGAAGCTTAGGAATCTTTCGAAAAAGATTAGAGACTTTCTTAACGTTCTTAGGAACCCTAAGGATCTCAAAGTTATACTTAAGGTCCTTAATAATTTCTAAGAACCCTAAACACCTTAAATCAAAAAATAGCTGGACGTTGAAAAATTGCTTGATTTTTTTGGCGGCAAATTCAAAATTTTGAAATTTCAAAATTCTAAAAGCCACGTCACACCCTAAAATTAAATGTGACGTCACCTCCTACCGTAATCCAATTCCTTCCTTATTCACAGCCTTCTAAAATGCAAATTACAAACAATTAAAAAAATACACGAGCTAGAAAAGCCGGATAAGTTCAATTAGCGTTTTATTCAATTTTTCACCGCGCAAAAAAAATGGAAAAAAAAGTAAAAAAGGGACAAAAACAAAGAAGGCTTTAAACCGGGGGAAGAAATTATCACAAAAATCTAGGGAAAAAATGTACATCTGAAAAAAATGCCTAAAAATCAAGTAAAACTCAAAAAATTTGAAATAAAGCTGAATTTGGCATGGAAAAACGAAAAACAAAGGGGAAATTTGTGAAAAAAAATCGATAAAAAAATAAATTTAGAGAGAGAAGTAACCCGAAACTACACAAAAACATTAATTAGGGCCTTAGGGACCTTAAGGTACAAATCAGGCCCGAGAAAATCTACATAATAATTTAGAAGCCTAATTAGGACCTTAACGGACTTAGCTTCTACTTAAGACACAAGATAAGGCCCCAATTTTGGTCTAAATTAAGGCCTTAAATCTAAGCTCTTAAGGCCCCCCGAAAATTTCGGCCCAAACTTTAGGCCCACGAAGATTTGGCTTCTTCGGGCTTCGCCGGTTTGCAATACAGCACATTGGCCAAAAACAGCGCGAGATCGGCGTTTGTCCAATAGGCAAAGTGGGATTTCAGCACGGACCAGTAGGATTTTTCGGTGAGGGCAGGCTGGAAATTTTGAACAGGGAGTTAGGGTAACTTTGGATGAAATCTGGGGGATTTTATAAAAAATTCTGAATTTTCCCACGATTTTTAATGTTTTTCTGGCCAAAAATTCGATTTTTGAGCTAAAAATCATAAAAATTCGTTGGAAATAGCAAATGCGCTCTACCGAACAAATTGTATAATTTTGAAAAATTCAAATTTTTATTTTTTTTTAGCTCAAAAACGTCGAAAGTGCACCTAAAATCAAATTTTCCCGCGATTTTTCTAGTTCCTCCTATATTTAGCCTAACTCAACTCGGATGTTTTTGAGCCAAAAAAAAAATTATCACATCATCTTCATTTTCAGCCAATTTTGGCGGAAAAATCGAGAAAGCGTTGAAAATTCAATTATTCGAGCGCGCGGGGGAGAATTTTTGGAACGCTTGGATTTTTGAGGAGAAAATAGGGATTTTTGAGTTATGACGTGGCAAAAATTTTCAGAGAACTTTGCTGGAAAAAAAATTTAAAATCTGGCTAAAATTCAGTGAAATTCAAAATTACTGTAGATACTACGTACGGAAAAAATAAATCACTTTGAAAAATTATATTCGACTTTATCAAAAAATTTTGAAACGTAAATTTTTGTGGCTCCAAAATCAAGGTCAAATTTTATCAAATTTTGCATTTTCAGTTCAAATTTAGCTTAATTTCCAGATTTCTAGATAAAAATTGGCTGAAAATCTGAATTTGACCTGAATTTCAAATGCTAGGTTAAATTTTCCCAAAACTTCGTAAATTTTCTGTTTTTCAGGCAAATTTTCTAATTTTTAGATCAAATTTTCCCAAAAATTCTGTTTTCAGGTCAAATTTTTGCTGAAAATCAACTCTGACCTAAAATTGCTCAAAATTTCTGAATTTTAGGTCAAAAATCATTGAATGTTCTTAATTTGGCTCAAATTTGGCTGAAAATCGAATTCTAGACCAAATTTTCTCAAAAATTGTGAATTTCAGGTCCGAAATCCTCAAATTTATATTTTTAGGTTGGAATTTGCTGAATTTTTAAAATTTTTGATCAACATTAGCCTAACTTCCAGATTTTCAGGGTCAAAAGTGATTGAAAACTGTGTAGAAAATGTAATTTTAGGTTAGAAATTCCCAAATTTTTCAAATTTCATGTCAAATTTTGCTGAAAATCGAATTCTAGACCAAATTTTCTCAAAAATTATGATTTTTTTAAACCCAAAATTCCCCCAAAAATCCCAACCTGTAGTTGAAAATCAATTCGATGCGGAACTCGCAGCCCACTTCCCAATATTCTTTCCGGAAGCGGTAATTCCGCTTCCGCCTCCTTAGCGACTTCTATTCCTTGATTTTCCGAGTTCGAGCCCAAATTTGCTGCTGACGATGCTCCGCCCATTCCATTCAAACTCGCTGAACTCGTCGCTTTTTTTGGATTTGTGTTAGAAGATCCAAAAGAGAACCAGCCTTTCTGGAAAATTTTGAGATTTTTGGGGTCAAATTTAGGTTAGAAATTCAAATTTTTCACTCAAAAAATAATTAGAAACTTCAAAAATTCGAAAATTTCACACACAGAGTTAGCTCAAGTTCCACAAAACGTCAGGAAAATTTACCGATGATAAAGCTAGACCAGATTTCGAGTTACGAAATCTCTCAATTCCAGAAAGTCTCTGGAACATTTGAAAATTGAATCCACGTGGATTTTCAGCCGAAGAATTTTGAGAGATACATTCAAAAATTCTCAAGTTAATTTCAAAATTGCAAATGCGCTCTACAGAACAAATTGTATACTGTTTAAAAATTCAAATTTTCATTTTTTTTTCATAGGTCAATTTTTTTTTAATTGGCTAAAAATCAATTGTGAACTGTAATTCAATCAGAATTTTTCAAAATTCCCGAATTTCCGCACAAAATTTCTGAATTTTCTCCAATTTTCAGTGTTTTTCTTGTTTCTAGGTCAAAATTTCATAAAATTCTCAAATTTGTGATCAAAAATTGGTTCTGAATGACTTTTTATCAGATTTTTCCGCGATTTTCATTGTCGAGACCAAAAAATCATGAAAACTTCAAATTTTTCAATAAAAAATCTGTTGTTCGGTAGAGCAAATTTGCATTTTTTAAGATTTTTAAAATAAATGCGCTCTAATGAGAATTTGTTGAAATCCGAGCGCATTTTCTAAATTTTAAAGATAAAAGTCTCAAAAATCATGTTTTTTTAAATTTAAATACAGGATCTGTTCAAAAATTTAAATTTTAAATTTTAAATTTTTGAACAGATTCTGTATAAGTTTTCTAAATAAGAAATTTTCGATCTTCAAAATATTCTGAAATTTCAGTCAAAATCCGACCGAAAATCAATTTTCCATCATATTTTTCGCGATTTTCATTGTCTAGATCAAAAATTCCAAATTTTCTGAATGTGGACCGCAATCTTCCGCTTTAGCGGCCACGCGGAATCTCGCGGAAAACCTCCCCCCAAAACCCCATACCTTCACCGCTTTCGGCTCCTTCACATCCCTCTCTCCAATCGGTGGCGGTGGTGTCATAGATCTCGGCGAGCTACATCCACTCCTCGCATCCTCATCCGAATCACACTCATCCTCCTCATCAATATCATCATCTCCTCCACTTTTCGCCTCAGCCGGCCCTTTTTTCTTTTGCGTTTTCAGCTTTTTCAGATAGTGTTTATATACATCTAGGGGTAAATGTTCATAGCTGGCTCTTCCTCTTTGATCCGTATTCGAAAACAATTTAATGGGCCGGATATGTTTATACTCTGGTGTGAAGAATGGTTCAAGTCGATACGCCACAGGATCATAGGGATGGAAAATATTGAAGACTCTTTCGACGTTCGTCGCGCTTGACATCAAATCTTCCGCTCCGCCTCCGCGCATTGTTAGAAATACGCCAAGCGGCGAGCCAACGGCAAACATATATTTACATTTGAAGTCCAGAATCTCCTCTTTGGTGACGAGGATCTTCTGGATTCCGCCGTCGATTGTGTCGCGAATTTGTTCGCGTGCGAGTTTTAGCGATTGCATTGCGCGACGCGATTCGTCAGATGTTGACGATTGAAGATATTCGTCCTGGAAGAACATACGGTCGGTTGTTTTGGGCCTTAGGGGGGCCTCGGGGGGCTTAGGGCTGATGTGGTCCTTAGGCTTAGGTTCATCTGAAATCCTAGTATCAATTAAATTGGTTGAAACTTTGGAGAATTTTTCGAGATATTCGGATGAGCCTAATTATTTTGTTAAGCCTAAGTCCAGATTTAAAGATAAGCCTAAGCCTAGGCCTAGAATTTCAGATAATTTTTTTAAATTTTAAGATGAGCCTAAGCTTGAATTGTCGGATTAGCCTAAGCCTAAGTATTTTGCTAAGCCTAAGCCTAAATTTTTGAATAAGCCTAAGTATTTTCCTAAGCCTAGATATTTGGATAAGCCTAAGCCTGGATTTTCAGATAAGTCTAATAAGCCTAAGCCTAATTATTTTGCTAAACCTAGATTTTGAGATAAATTTTTCGGCCAAACCTAAGCCTAACAAATTAGTTAAGCCTAAGCCTGAGCCTAGATTTACAAATGAGCCTAAATCCTTATCATAATAATTCTAAGCCTAAAATTAAGGATAAGCCTAAGACTGAGCCCAGATTTTCAGATAAGCCCAGGCTTGAATTTTTGTCTAAGCCTAAGCCTACACTTTTTTGGCCAAGCCTAAGCTTAGCATTTTTTTCTACCTGAACATTTAGGCTAACTAACAAGGGAACCTTTTTTACTCAACACTTCAAATCATGATGAAATTTGGTCCATGGACAGCTTTTGGGACCATAAGAACACCCTAAAATTTTTAGTCTCCCAATGGACCTCTGAGCCAAGTTCTGGGCTCTCAAAAACTCAAAAAAGGCCTAAAAATGGTCATAAAAGGCATCATAGCTTCATTTCAAATTTTTTTTTGGGAGAAATGAAGTTTCAGACATTGATCAGCATAGTGGCAAATAATGAATGGGACCCCAAATGGGACCCCAAATGACTGAATGGGACCCCGGTCTTTAAAAATCGTCGTGATGAATGGGACCCCAAAATAATAAAATGGGACCACAGCATTTTTCTGAATTGTCTGAATGGGACCCCGCAAAAAAAGGGACCCCGTTAAATTTTTGTGTTAGTACGAATGGGACCCCCATTGCTAAAAATCCTAACTAAGCCTAAGGCTAAAGGCCTAACTAAGCCTAAACCTGAAATCCTAACTAAGCCTAAGCCTGAAATCCTAACAAAGACCTAAAACGCTGACTAAGCCTAAGCCTAAAGGCCTAACTAAGCCTAAGCCTAAAATCCTAACTAAGCCTAAGCCTGAAATCCTAACAAAGACCTAAAACCCTGACTAAGCCTAAGCCTAAAGGCCTAACTAAGCCTAAGCCTAAAGACCTAACTAAGCCTAAGCCTAAGCCCAACCCCAGTGCTGAGAATATGTCTAAGTTTAAGCCTACCTGTATTCTGAAAAAATTTCAATGGGGGTCCCATTCGTAATAACACAAAAATTCAACGGGGTCCCTTTTTATGCGGGGTCCCATTCAGACAATTCAAAAAAATGCTGTGGTCCCATTTTATTATTTTGGGGTCCCATTCATCACGACGATTTTTAAAGACCGGGGTCCCATTCAGTCATTTGGGGTCCCATTTGGGGTCCCATTCATTATTTACCCAGCATAGTCGATTACCTAAAAGTCAATCAATAAAAAACTTTATTTCGAAAAATTTTGAAGTTTTTTATTTTTGGGTTGAAAATTCATGAAAATTCATATGTGCCCCTGCTCATTCTTTTTTTCAAAATCAAAAATTTTTCCGAAAATTTGATTTATTGATGGTTTTTGGGTAAATCGACCACGCTGATCATCATCTGCTACTCAGTTTTTCATAAAATTGATCGAGAATTGAGTTATGACGTGTTTTATGAGCCAATTTCGGCAATTTTTGAACTTTTGAGAGCCCAGAACTTGGCTCAGAGGTCCATTGGGAGACTAAAATTTTTAGGGTGTTCTTATGGTCCCAAAAGTCCATGGACCAAATTTCATCATGATTTGAAGTGTTGAGTAAAAAAGGTTCCCTTGTAAAATTCCTAGGAGATTTTGAATGAAATATATATTTTCTAGTAGTTTTCGGCCCGCTGATCACGATTTCGCGGTCAAAAATTGCAAAACTCAACTCCTAACATATGTTATGACGTGGCAAAATTGGAAAAATTAATTCTGAATTATCTTACCCAATATTGGGAAATCTCAACAGATTTATATCAAATATTTTTGAAACGTACATTTTTCTGGAATTTTTTCCAGGCATATTTAGTCTCAAAAAATCGCAAATTTTTCAAATTTTCAAATTTCCCGCTCCCAAAAATCACTCACAATCGATTTCGTCACATATTTATCATACAACATTAGCGGAGAATATTGTGTCAGGATATCATAACAAATCACACTTCCCAATGAATGTCCAAAAATCGATACACTTCCCGTGAAATTCGGATTGTTGGATTTGAAAAGTTTGTAGACGCGATTGAGTTGGGAGGTTACACCGCGGATTATCTGAAAATTGAGGGATTTTTGGCTGAAAATGAGCATCTTAGAGCTGAAATTCGTGAAAAATGAGATATTTTGAGCTGAAAAACACGAATTTTGATGAATTTTGGGATGAAAATGAAGGTTTTTACTTGAACATCTGAAAATTTAGGTCTAGAAAGTTATCCGGGGAATTTTGGGCTGGAAAATATGAATTTTGAGCAGATTTGGACTGAAAATTGTGAGAAATCTGCTTTTTCTCCTCAAAATTAAGAAAATTCACTAAAAATCATATGTCTATGATGAAATCTAATGAAAAATTCAAATTTCCCGCCTAAAAAACACGTGGCCGAGTTTTCCATGGCCTAGGAATCCAATTTTTGAATTTTTAGACTCACAATCAGGAATCATTAAAATTCAGAAATTCAACTGCAAATCATGTTCCTGGGGTAAAATCTAATCAAATTTTCAAATTTCCCGCTTAAAACCGTGGCCGAAGCCTGTGTGGCCTAGAAAACCAACTCACTTCAGTTCGAAACAGCGGACTTTGATAATACATCACATCCATTGCCGTACTGTTCAGCGAGGCTCGCATACTTGACATTTTTGGTATTGTAATGTTGTCAGTGAGACCGTTGTCTGGAAAATTTCAGATTTTCAGCTTGAAATTTTGAATTTAGGTCATTTAGGGTTGAAAACAGTGAATTTTAGGTCATTTTCAACCCAAAAACCACGATTTTCAGCCTAGAGTTAGCCAAACTCACCCAAAACCAGCGAGCTTCTCCATTCCACCGGCAAAAAGATGGGGCGCGTTTTTTCGTCGGGATACGATTTTTCCATGGCGGCAACGACGCCATCTCGAACTCTGGAAGAAGTTGAGCTAACTTGTGCCTTCCGCAAGCTTCCGCATGCGCGGAAAAGCAGATTTTTCGAGAAAATTTCAAAACTCCCTGAAAATCCAACCATTCCCCAACAAATTCAATTTCAGAAATAACATTTTTTTTTTCAGAAAAAAAATGAAAAAAAAAAAACAATTTGTGGAAATTTGACGTGGAATTTGAAATGTCACGTGAAATTTTTGAAAAATTTTATTTTCTGAATTTTTTGGCGCGAAAATTTGAAAAAAAATTGAAAATTCAGAATTTTCCACGTCGCATATAGGCTTAAACTATTTTATTTCAGGATTTTCAGGCTTTTCAGCTGAAAATTCTGAATTGGAGGTTAAATTCAGGGTTTTCAGCTGATTTTCTCAAAATTTCAGGTCAAATTTCTCATTTTAGGTAAAATTCAGGCTTTTCAGCTGAAAAAGTGGGATTTTCAACGAATTTCAGCTTTTTTTCAAGAAAATTTCAAAACTCACTGAAAATCCGATCATTTCCCAACAAATTCAATTTCAGAAATAAAATTTTTCTGACACGTGGAATTTGAAAGGTCACGTGAAAATTAATTTTTTATTAAATTTGTGAAAAATTTTATTTTCTGAATTTTTTTAGCGGAAAAGTTTGAAAATTCAAATTTTTGCACAAAATTATCGACTTCTAGCCAAATTATCAGCTCAAATCCACAATTTTCAGCTTAAAATTTCAAATTTCAGCCATTTCCAGCCCCCAAAAAACCTACTGATTCGCATTTTGCGCAATCAAATTCTCATAACCCTTCTGCCCAATTCCATGTACAACCAGAATCAAATGCGATATTTCCGCTGCCGCATCGCTCCATTCCGCTTCCTTTTCATATCCGCGTCGGAGAGGCGTGGATTTGGCCCAAAGATATCTGGAATTTGCGAATTTTCAGGTGGAAATCTTGAATTTCTGGCATTTTTTTCAATTGGAACATGCAGAAATATTTGAAAAATAAAATATTTAAGAGAAATCTTGAATTTTCAGTTTCATATCTGGAAACTTCAAATTCTCGGGTTTAAAAATCCGAAATGTTCAGATTTTTTGAGACTAGAACTTGAAAATCTTCAATTTTCAGGTGGAAGTCCGAAATTTTCAGATTTTTTGAGCCTAGAACTTGAAAATCTTCAGTTTTCAGGTGGAAGTCCGAAATTTTCAGATTTTTTGAGCCTAGAACTTGAAAATTTTGAAATTCTGCCAGTTTTTTCAACTTTGAAAATTTAGAAAGAAATTGTAGATTTCGGTAGAGCGCACTTACTAAGTTGAGGTTAGAAAACTTCAATTTTGAGCTGGAAAATCAGGTTTTCCATCACTTAGAGGTAAAAAATCAGGGATTTAGTCAAATTTAGGTCAAAAATCAGCTTTTTCATCAATTTTGGGTCGAAAAATCACAATTTTCCGCTCAAAAATCGATTTTCCAGCCTCCAAACCCTTCAAAATCCCCTCACCTCAAAATCGCATTCCCCTTTTGTGTCAACGAAATATCAATCACCGAGCTCCACCGAATATCACAATTATCCGCATGCAATTCGGCCAAAATCGGTTTGTTACTAGTTTCAGACTTGGAGAATACGGTAGTTCCTTCGGGTATCATTTGATTTCGGAAATATTGCAAATGATTTCGTTCAATTTGATCAGCCAGGGGTCCTTCCAATGGTTGATAATCGGGTGTAAACCAGGTGCCTCGTCGAATTTCTTTGGTGTCTTCTTTCCAATAAATCGGATCGATTTTTGTGTTTTCAGCGTTTACTCTGCAAAAATTGGGGGGTTTTTCAGTGGAGCGCACTTTCTATTTTCGAGATTTGAATTTTAAATAATTTTCTAGTTTTTTCGGTGGAGCGCATTTGCTTATTTTAGCATTAAATTTTAATATAAGCTAGTTGTCATCAGAAAAATTTGAATTTTCAACAAAAATGCAGTTGTGCATTAGAGCGCATTTGCTATTTTCGATTAGAAAATTTTGAAATTTCAAGAAGAAAAATCATTTGTTCAGTAGAGCGCATCTGCTATTTTTGATCAGAAAATTTTGAATTTTCAACACAAAAATTAATTGTGCAGTAGAGCGCATTAGCCTAATTCACCAGAAATTTAAATTTTTAACACAAAAATCATTTGTTCAGTAGAGCGCATTTGTTATTTTTAATTAGAAAATTTTGAATTTTAAAGATAAAAATCATTTGTTCATTAGAGCGCACTTGCGATTTTTCTTCAAAATCTTCAAATTTCATGGAAAACTATGAAATTTCAATGATTCTAGGTCAATTTTCCACGATTTTCAATAATTTTCAGTCAATTTTCAGCCAAATCCCTTCCCCAAACTTCCTTACCGATACTGTCCATTCAACACAACAACCATCGGTTTTCCACTATCTCTCTCATCATTTTCATTGTCCGAAATTGTCGAGTCCAATTTCAGTGTGTGCAATCCTTCGTCGTTGAAAATTTTCAGCATATTCTCATCCAGCTCAATCGATTTCTCTTTTCGATATTTGATTTCGATCATTAGGGAATCGCGGCCATTGAAAGGTAGCCACAGGGTGGATTTGGGCTCCTGGTAGAACCAACGCGTTTCACTGCATCGAAGATCGGTGACCTGGAAGAAGATCTAGAGGTTTTGGGGCTAAAAATCTGTTATTTTGGGCTGAAAATCTGGGATTTTTGGGCTGAAAATCTGGAATTTTGGGGCTGAAAATCTGGGATTTTGGCGCTGAAAATCTGGAATTTTAGAGCTCAAAAATAGAAGTTTTTTGAGCTGAAATTTCAGCATTTTAGGACTCAAAAAATAGGGGGTTTTCGTGGTGGAATTCCAGAATTTTTAGTCTGAAAGCCTCGAAATTTTGGGCTGAAAATCTGGGATCTTGGGGCCTGAAAATCTAGATTTTTTTTAAGTACTGTAGATCCCAAAGATTACTGTATTTTTAAAGGAACATTTGGGAGTACTGTAGATCCCAGAAATTACTGTAATTTTGAAGGAACATTTGGGAGTACTGTAGATCAAAATTACTGTATTTTCAAAGGAACATTTGGGCATATTGTAGATTCAAAAAATTACTGTAATTTTAAAGGAACATTTGGGAGTACTGTAGATCCCAAAGATTACTGTATTTTTTAACGATCATTTGGGGATACTGTAGATCCTGAAGATTACTGTATTGTTTAAAGGAACATTAGGAGTACTGCAGAACAAAATTACAGTAGTTTTTCGGGAATTTCCGTCTTTTCTAGGGGTACTGTACCTAACTATATTACTGTAGCTTTTAAAAATTATAAAAAATGAGATTTTGTAATAAAAAATTCAAGAAATACAGTAATTTTCGTGTCAGGACCCAAAAAACTCGGATTTTTTCAAATTTTCGCGCCGAAAAATCGCAATTTAAAAAAAGTTACCTTGAAAATCTCGAATCCAAATTTCTTCAAAATCAAACTTTGAAACGGTATCGATTTTTCGTCGCAAACGCGATTTTCAGAATTTTCAGCAGCCGATTTTTTGATTGAAATATGCGGAACACTTTTAGACCGTGCAGTTTTCATTTTTTTTTTTGCAAATAAAAATTTTTGAATGAAAATTTTGAAAGTGACGCATTTTTGTTGTGGAATTGTTTCAAAAACATTTTTCTCGAGGAAAAATTTCGAAATTTTTTCGAATTTTAAAAATTTGGGGAATTTTCCAACAGGATTACTGTAATTTTCGTTGCGGGACCCCCCGAAAATCTACCGTACCTTTCTTTTTCGATTTCTCGCCGGCGGCACCGGTGTTTTTGGTCCAACTGGTTGAGGTACTGTAGATGAGGATTTGGGAGCTGGCGGTGGGATTACTGTAGATGAGGAAGACGGTGGTGGGATTACTGTAGGTGGGAGATTTGAGGGCCTTGAGAGATCCAGGTTTTCTTGCGATTTTGAGGCGTCGGAGAGCTGGAAAAAATGGAATTGGGGGTTTTTTGGGGAGGGATAAGGGGTGGGTGCTTGAGAGAGGTGCTCTCAAGGCGTCGCTGCTTGACAGAAGTTCCTGCAAGCAGCAGCTGCTTGACAAGACTATTCTGAAGCAGCCACGCCTTGAGATATAGTTTGTCAAGCATCCGATGCTTGAAAATAGTCTCCTCAAGCAGTTGCGCCTTGAGAATACCTCTCTCAAGGCGTCACTGCTTGACAGAGGGTGTTTCAAGGTACAGATGCATGTCAGGTAGCTCGTCAAGCATTTAACCCTTAAAATCGTTATCTTCAAGGCGCCTCTCCTTGAGAACACCTCTCCCTAGGCGCCACTGCTTGACAGAGGGTGTTGCAAGGTACCGGTGCTTCTCAAAAATGTTTTCAAGCATTCATCCCTTGACAACATGCTTTTCAAGGCGTCACTGCTTGGCAACCCCTCTCTCAAGCAACCACGCCTTAAGAACACCTCTCTCAAGGCGCCAACCCTTCAGAAAACATACCCGATTTTTCTGGCCAACAAGAACCATTTCTGCGCCCAAAAAGTATATGCAAAAAACTGTTTTAGTTATGAATAAATAAAAAGTTCAGATAAGGACAGCAAATTTCACACTGTTTACTCAAAACTCTCTCAATTTCCAACACTATTTCGCTATAGGAGAGAAAATATGATTTTTTTTTGCTAGAAATGGTTAATAGATACTGTCGACCTGGGCAAAAAAGTGATAAATCGAGAGAGAGAAAAATAGAGATGATATGGTCGATTTGGAACATTGTTGGACTTCATTTTTACACCGTCTGCACTTTTTATTGTCCAAAATTTGGGGGGAAATTTGGACTTTGAACTTTTTTTTGCTTGTTTTCAAGGGTTGGCGCCTTGAGAGAGGTTTTGTCAAGGACAGGCGCCTTGAGAGAGGTTTTTTCAAGGAGAGGCGCCTTGAGAGAGGTTTTGTCAAGGAGAGGCGTCTGGAGAGAGGTTTTGTCAAGGAGAGGCGCCTTGAGAGAGGTTTTGTCAAGGAGAGGCGCCTCGAAAATCATGTTGTCAAGGGGCGAACGCTTGACGAGCTACCTGGCAAGCACTGGTACCTTGAAATGCCCTATGTCAAGCAGCGGTTACTTGAAAAATATGTAGTCAAGGCGTGGCTGCTTAACAAGCTCCAGCCAAGCAGCGACGCCTTGAAAAACTCGATCTCAAGCCTTCGCTGCTTGAAAAGCTGCCTGCCAAGCTGCACCGCCCTGGCGAACCCGATGCCAAGGCGCAGCTGCTTGACAACTCAATTCCCAAGCAGCAGCGCCTTGAGGCTTCCCGAAAAAAAAATTGGCGATAGATTTCCCTGTGCGAGAACCCGGAAATTTCAGCAATTTCTCGATTTTCAGTCAAAATCCGGAATTTTGACTGGAAATCGTGATATTGCTGAAATTTCAGGGTTCAGGCAAGATTTCGTAATTTTTTTTTATTTCCCAACGTGACCTATGACGTGGCACTTTGAAATTTATCATTATTTTTTAGTCCGGATCATTTCCAGATGAAAATTTCAGATTTTCAGCGCAAAAATACGAACCTCACTGGCAGTTTCGCCTGAAAACGCGCCAAAAGGTGGTCCGACTTGGGTAGGTGTGGAAAGATCCGATTCATCTTCAGTAGATTCGACAAAGTTCTGAAAATTCACGATTTTCAGCCAAAATTCATGGATTTTCAGCCAAAACCAACCTGATTCGTGAACTCCATAACCTTGGTCTTCAATTTTTCAACATCGTCTTCGGTTTTTCGAAAAGTCAAAGAGGCCTCCTCTTCGCTTCCGCTCATACCTGCAAAATTTTATTGATTTTTTCGAGAAAAAATTTTGGAAATTCGCCAAAAAAAAGAGAAACGAATAAATAACAAACAGGCAAACAGAGAAATAATGTCTAAAAATCTACTAAAAATGGAAATTTTCGCAAACAAAATCTAACATTTTTGGGAGAAAGTGGTTATGACGTGGCAAAGTTGAATTTTTTTCGAAAAAAAAAATTGGCGATAGATTTCCCTGCGCGAGAACCTGGAAATTTCATCAATTTTCAGATTTTCAACCGAAAATTGATGAAATTTCAAGGTTCAGGCACACCTCGGCCAAAATCGTGGTTTCCACAATAAACAATTGTACGCTAACTTTTTACAGTACAGAAATTGTGAATTTTTCAATTTTTGACCTCTAAAAACTGAAATTCAGATTTTTCAAAAAATTGTACTCTGGCCAGCCACGGCTTGGCCGAGGTGTGGGTTCAGGCAGGTTTTCAGAGTGTTTTGGCTGAAAATCGGAATTTTCAGATTTGTAGTCCCTTTGCCACGTCATAACTCATCAGCTCAACATTGAAAATGAGTTATGACGTGGAAAAAAAATTGGCGATAGATTTCCCTGCGCGAGAACCCGGAAATTTCAGCAATTTTCAGATTTTCAACCGAAAATTGATGAAATTTCAAGGTTCAGGCAGGTTTTCAGATTGTTTTGGCTGAAAATCGGGATTTTCAGATTTGTAGGACCTTTGCCACGTCATAACTCATCAGCTCCACGTTGAAAATGAGTTATGACGTGGAAAAAAAATTGGCGATAGATTTCCCTGCGCGAGAACCTGGGAATTTCAGCAATTTTCAGATTTTCAACCAAAAATTGATGAAATTTCAAGGTTCAGGCAAGTTTTCAGATTTTTTTGGCTGAAAATCGGGATTTTCAGATTTGTAGGCCCTTTGTCACGTCATAACTTATCAGCTCAACATTGAACATGAGTTATGACGTGGCAAAAAATTGGCCATGCGCGAGAACTCGAAAATTTCAGCAATTTTCAGATTTTCAACCGAAAATTGATGAAATTTCAAGGTTCAGGCAGGATTTTAGCTCTTTTTCCACGTCATAACTACCCCCAAAAACAGTAAATTTTGTTTCAAAAATATCCAAGAAAAATCTAAATAAAGTGAAGGAAAAAAAAAGAAAATTCTATTTTTTGGGCGCTGCCAAATGTCCATGTGTTTTCGGATTTGTCATAGCCATTTCCTCATCGATTTCCTCCAGGAAAGTCTCCTGTTTAACCGAATATAGCGTGTACCAATAGATTCCAACGACTAAACCGACCAAAACTGTGAAAGCGATGTGATTTTTGTAGTTTTTCGCGAACATTTCTTTGACACGTTCTTCGTTGACCTGAAATTTGAGATTTTTGAAGGGAATTCGGGAAATTTTCGGATTTTATTGGGGGTAAACTTGAATATGATAAATTTTTAATTATTCTTTGTCAAAATTTCATGATTTTTAAAGTTGTTGGGTAAAATTTTGCAATTTTTTAATCCCAGGCTTGAAAAATTCTGATTTTTAACGATTTTTGATGAAAATTTGCGATTTCTCGTGTCTACACGATGAAAAATCGATATTTTTCGACAATTTCTGAGTCTAGACTTGAAAAATTCGGATTTTCAACGACTTTTGATGAAAATTTGTGATTTTTCGAGGTTACACATGAAAAATCGATATTTTTCGACAATTTCTGAGTCTTGACTTCAAAAATTCGGATTTTTAACGTTTTTTGTTGAAAATTTCCGATTTTTAACAATTGTCTGAGCCCAGAATGAGAAAAATCGTGTTTTCCACGAACTTGCATGAAAAACCATCCCATTTTTCACCTGCGAAACCTTTTCGCCATGAAAAATTCATGGAAATTTGAGATTTCGGCTCCCAAGCAATCAATTTTCCACCAAAAATCCTCACCTTCTCAAATTGTTTGGCAAATCGTTTTTGAGGTCTCGGCAAATCTTCAATATCAATAGTTTCCAGCATATCGCTCTCTTTTTTCTTCTGAAAAAAATTCAGCATAAAAAATATAATTATAGGTTTATTTTTCTTGAAATCACCTCAATGGCTGACATATTTGCAGTGGTCGGTGTCAAATTTTCCGATTTTTTCATCGCTCGGCAAATTTGGATGTTTCGGTGCAATTTTGGAAGTCTTCGGAGGCTCAACATCCTTGGCTAGAAAATACATACTTTCATTTGGAATCAAAATTCAGCCAAGAACAATGGGACGGGCGACGAGAAAATCAATAAACCGAGTAATTGAACCGGCAGCCGCTTTTTTGCTGCTGTGTGCAAATAAAAACGGAAAACGAGAAACGACATATATAAATAATGAATAAATATGAATTCTTTTCAAATTTCAAAATACTTCTCATCTTTTACGAGTTGTTGTTGTTAGAAAGTTAATTGAATTCGTATTTTTTTTATTTGAAAAGAGAGAAAAGCCAGCGAAAAAGAGAGAAACTGAATGATGATGCATAAATAAGAGAGGGGGACTAGGAAATGTTTGGTTTTCTAGGTCAGTTTTGCGATGGGCATGGAAATGCAGTGTTTTGAACGAAAAAAAACGTGGAAAAAAAAGAAAATAAAAAATAAAAAAATACAGTAGTATTTTCAAGGCACACAATGAAAACACACATGGTCTCGAAGCGCGATAAATAGTCTTGACAAGAATATCACTGTGTGTGCACTTTTGAGATTTGAAAAAAACAAAAAAATTTTTTCTTTTTGTTTCGCACAATCTCTGAAAAATGAATCAACTGGAAAAGCGTATTTGGGTGTATATTCATCAGTGAGTTTTTAATCACCCTTTCCACCCTGAAGAATCGAATTTTTGCAGAGAAATCATCATTGGACACAAATTCGAAAAGGTCGATAAAGATTTTTGGGAGAGTTTCAAATCGGAGAAGGATTGTAGGCACAGTGTAGAAGATTTAGAAATGTTTTTCGAGACATCGATGAAGACCAATTTGCTCAAGATGAATTTGGAGAGCTGGATTATTTTGGATCTGTATAAACATCTAAAAATCCCGATTTCGAACATCGCCCAGCCGGAAATTGAGCAAAAATTCAACATTGTTATGAAATTGGACGAGGAAAGATTCCTGTTGGATTACGATTATATCCGCAAAAGCCCGGTCAACCCAAAACATCCGATTTTAAGTGAAAGAAAGGCGGCTCGTCGAAGTGTCGAGCGTCGCGAGGCTTTCACCATCAGAGACAAGCTCCGAATGGCTCATTATTTGTATGGAAAAATGGTGGAGGCGGAGGAAAAGGGTGAGCGCATTTTTCCGCGCGGAAATTTGATTTGGCGGGATTATCGATGTGATGTGGATCGCGGAAGAAGTGTTTACAATCACAGGCATAAATTTCTGACTTTTTTTCCTGCTGGCTCCGCCCCCTGCCACGATTACACGTTTCACGTTTTTCAAATAATTTTTTCGATTTCATCTTTTTTTCTTCATTAAATTTCGAAATGCAAAAAATCAGAAATAATTTTTGCTTGAAAAAAAAACGTGCCGCACCTTGCCAAATAAATCCCGCCTCCCGATTCACGCGAGAAATTTTTTTTTCTGCGACAGGAATTTCTGAATTAAAAAAGTCAAGAATTTATGCCTGTGACAATCATCAAAGCCAGTTAGTGTATTTTAATTTTGAAAAAATATTATTTTCATAGAAAATTTCTTTCAGCTTCACCCGACAAATGACCAAATACCTCTACACACTTCCAATGAACCGCGAGAAAATCCTTCGAATGTACCACGGATTCCGAATCGAAGTCAACGCTGAAACCGAGCAAAAAATCTCGAATTTTTTAAACGTCAAGTTGGATATTTGTGAAAATGTGATTTTTGATTGGCAATTTTGGGAAGATGATGCAGATGTCAGTCGTGTAACTGCGAATTTATCGATTTTCAGCGATAGTGACTGAAAAGTATTTGATCTGTCTGTAAATAAGTGAATTTAAACTGTATAGTTTTCTTCTGCATCTTGTTGTTTTTTTAATTTAAAAATATTTTTACAAATAAACTTTTCCGCCTACTTTTTACTATTTTTTTCTGAAAAAAAGGGAAGTCCGTAACTAAGATGTTTTAATGTATTTTCTTTTTTTAGCTGTGTAGAGTAAGAAATGCTTTTATTGAATTCCAAAAAAGAAATGCGACGATATTTTTTAATATTTTTGATAACTTGTCTTTTTATTCTCACAATTATGTTCTACAAAACTTCAACAAAACTCCAAAGTTTTGTAATGACAAAAAATATTCCACAAAATAAGGAGGAAAACTGTCTGAAAATTGAGGACCTTCAAAAAAATTTGGATATTCCGATATTGATTTTGGATGAAAAATATTTGGAAAAGTTTCAGAATAAAAGTTGTGAAGAAATACGTAAAATTGAGGTAAGTCGGGGAACACCGAGAAAAACTTATATATTTATATTTTTTTTTTCAGATTGCCGTTGATTTGAAATATTCGGAAAATCGAAAAATTCTTCAAGATCCGAGATTCAAAATAATATTTTTCGAAAATTCGACCGCAAAAGATTTTTTAAATTTGATAACTGTGCCAAGAAAAATTATTCCAAAGTGAGTTACCACGTAAATTTAGGGAAATAATTTTGAAACACTTTCAGGAGATTTGAAGTTCATCATTTTGGAAATTTGATTATTCCCGAAAATATTCCAATTTTCTTAGAATTTTTAAAAAGATCAACATTTTTGGAGTGTCAAAATATCACAATTTCGAGAAAAGATCAAAAAGCTAAGCTGGATGCGCAAAAATCAGTCAACGTTTTGGCTGAACTTCGAGATTTGCTATTGGATTTTGGAATGTTTTCATTTTTGAATTGTGGAACATTTTTGGGTAATATTTTTGAGCTAAACCTCATTTTTTTATTCATTTTCAGGTTGGTATCGTGAATGCTCTATAATTCCACATACAAGTGATATGGATTTAACAATTTTTATCGAAGATATAAATGCAGATATATTGAATTATTTTGAAACCGAAAATTCAACATTTATATTATCGAGAAAATTTGGCCGGCTAAATGATTCGCTTGAATTCACAGTATATTCAAAATCAGGATATCGTGTAAAAACGGATATTTTCTTCATGTATTCTGATTTTGAAAATGGTACAAATATGAATTGGATTGGTGGAACGGGTGGAAATGGGCAAAAATACAAATTTTTGTATCCAGACTATGATCCTTGGTGTGCTGCAGATCTTTTGGGACATATTTTTTGGGTTACTTGTACGCCAGAATATTATGTTAAGGTATATTTCGAAATAAATTTCTCTCAAGAACATGTTGTTTTTATTTAGTTCGAACATGGTGAATTTTGGTACAAAGATGTTCCAACTTCACATTATCATTGGGCAAATTCTGCAAAAAATATGAAACTGAATGGAAAATGGACTGAAGAAGAAATGAAAACTGTTTATTATATCAGAAATTAATCAAATATTTGGGAAATAATTATTTGAAGTTGAACTTTTGTGTTAAAAAATCTTGTGACGATGATTATTGACCATTTGTCACAAGCAAATTGTCCTACTTTAAATTTTCCAGGAAGCAAAAAAAGAAATTTATATGCTTGCTTCTCTTCACAGAGAAAAAAGAAAAAAATGGAAAAAACTTGGTAAAACGGTTTCACTTCGCAGCAGTATATAAATGGCGCTGGAAGTTTGAAAGTTACGACAAGTTTTGTCTACTTTTCCTCTAGGAAAAGTAAAACTAAAAATGGTCGAGGTTGATAAGAAGAAGTTGATGGCAAATGATCGAGAAGTTGATGGATTGCGCACAATTGCGTTTGTCGGAATTTCGGTGACGTAAGTTGTATTTTGCAAAAAAAAAACTCTGCAAAAACCATGCCGCAACTCTGCAAGCCCCGCCCCTTTCGCATTCTCCACACGTTTTTGTTTTCTCCCGGAAAAATCAATAATTTCGAATTTCACAGAATTTCCGCCGTTTTCCTCGCCATCATCGCAATTCCAGCCTTCTACAGCTACGTCCAGAATGTTCAATCGAAATTGGATTCGGAGGTGAGTGTTTTTGGCGGGGAAATTTGAAAATTGGGGGAATGCCACGTGGAAATTGAAATTATTCAAAAAAATTTTGAAAATGAAGAATTCTAAGCTGCCACGTGGCAATTAGAAAGACATTTTTCATCAAAAAAATCGATAAGAAAATGAATTTTTCATCATAAAATTGCCAATTCCAGGTCAACTTCTGTAAACATCGCTCGCTCAATCTTCACTCACAATACGAAGTTGTTGAAGAGGTCACCGGCATTCCATCGAAGTTCGTCGTCAAAAGATCGGTGAATCGAGGAACCTCGAAACGTCGTGTAAACCGCAAGAAGGTTTTGCGTCGGCGTCAAGCTCAAGAATGTTGCTCGTGTGGAGTTGGCGCGCCTGGACCAGCCGGTCCACCAGGACTTCCAGGAAACGATGGAAACGACGGACCATCTGGAAATGACGGGGATAACGGAGCTGATGGAAGCGAAGATTATGATGGAGGAAATGTTCGTGGATTATGTCAAGATTGTCAAGAAGCACCAGCTGGACCACCAGGAACTCCAGGAAGACCAGGACCACCAGGACAACCTGGAAGAGACGGGCAAAATGGAGGTGCAGCTCTCCCAGGACCACCAGGTCCACCTGGACCACCAGGAGCACCAGGAGGCGATGGACAACCAGGAAGCAACGGGCAACCAGGAAACCCTGGACAATCTCGCGAAGTTCAAGGACCCCCAGGACCACCAGGGCCACCTGGACAACCGGGAGATGCTGGACCGGCTGGAGGACCAGGATTACCTGGATCCGATGGACATCCAGGTTCACCAGGAGGTCCAGGTTTGGCTGGAGGAAGAGGAGAAGATGGAGCACCGGGAGCCGATGGATTGCCGGGAGATGATGGGGAATCGGGAGCCGGAGGCGCTTGCGATCATTGTCCACCACCAAGAACTGCGCCAGGATATTAGGAGGAGATTTGACATGTCTTTCAGTTTTGATGATGATGCTTTATGTTTTTTACCAATGAATCTTTCACTTTTTGAGATTTTTTTCATGAAAACATGGTTATGATTTGACCTAATATTTGAAATTTTCAAAAACTTGGGTAGATTTTTTTGTTTGGAAATTTCTGAGATTTGCCACGTGTAATTTTATATCAAATTTTCATCTCAAATTTTTGGCTGAATTTTTTGACGTGGAAGTTTGCTGAAATTTGCCACGTGAATTTTTGCTTGAAAATTTTAATATCAAATTTCGCCTATAACATTCCACGTGGATTTTTGATTGAAAATTTTAATCTCAAGCTTTTGCTGAATTTTATGACGTGGAATGTTTGGCTGAAATTTTCCACGTGGATTGTTGCTTGAAAATTTTATCTCAAAATTACATCTGAAATTTTCTACTTCGATGTTTTTCTAAAATTTATCACGTGGATTTGCAGCTTTAATTTTTGATCTCAAATTTCGCCTATAACATTCCACGTGGATTTTTTCTTGAAAATTTTAATCTCAAAGAATTTTCTTCATTGCACACTTTCCAAATTCAAATTTTTTTGATCTACCCAAAAATCAGCGCGCGAAAAAATTCGTTGCGCTGTCATTTTCTTTTTTTTTGTAATTTTTGCCTTTTCCATGCGAATTTTGAGGAACGACGTGGAAATTTGTAAGTTTTCGTTGAAATTTTGTGTTTTTATTATAAAAAATGTTTTTTGTAGAAGATGCTGGATGTTCCGATGGTAAAATCGAAGGATTTCAATAAAATCGACGAGAAATCAATGAATTTCCGGATGTTGGGAGAGTTTTGATGCGAAAAATGTGAGTTTTTTGGGAACATTTTTGAAAAAAGGGAACATTTAAATAAAAAATTGAGATAAAATTTTTGCCACGTGGATCTGAAAATCCCCCAAAATGCGATTTCAACAAATTAAGTTCACCCGTGTTTTTTTTTGTTTAGCATTTATGTAACCAACCGGTCTTCTTCTTCTTCTCTCTCTATCTCATTTTGTGTGTGTTATAAATACAAGCCAATTAAAATCGATGTGTTGTGATTAGCCAACAACAAAAAAAAGAAGAAAAGAGGAAAAAGGTTATCTTACAGCGCTTACCGACAGCTTTTTTGGTGTAAAAAATGAATGAAAATGACGCGGCCTAGGAAGCCAAATACATATCGTCGTGACCGAGTTTTTTTTTAGGAACCTAGAGTTTTGTGTAGTTCTCTCATGGCATAAGAAACCAAAAGAGGTTGTGGCCGAGGTTTTCAGGCAAAAACCGTGGCCTAGAAATCCAAAAGATTTTTGTGTACTTCTCTCGGACATAACAATTTTAATGGGATTTTTTGCTGAAAATTCAACTGTAATGATTTTTTCCTGTGTAGTTCTCTCGGAGAAGCTAGGTGGCCTAGAAATCCAAACTCGGCCATCTGGTTTTTTTTCAAATTCAGCAATTCTGAAGAATTTCGTGTAGTTCTCTCGGACAACACAATTTTGACTACATTTTCTTCCGAAAAATGTTTTCTGCCTGCAATTTCCGTGTACTTCTCTCGGACAAAAAAAACATCGGGATTTCGTTATGGCCTAGAAAACCAACTTCGGCCATTCCGAACATTTGATTTCTCAAAACTTTAATTTTTCGTGTATTTCTCTCGGACAACCGAATTTTGAATTTTTTCTGTGTAGTTCTCTCGGACAACTCGAAAAAAAAGATTTTTTTAGAATAAAACATAAGTTTATGTGTGATATTCTGAGAATCATCGTGAATCGGTAAATAAAATGAGTCAATGTACACAAAACAAAAACAAATGAAGAACAATCTGCAAATTTCTAATATCCTGGAGCGGTTCTTGGTGGTGGACAATGATCGCAACCGCCTCCAGCTCCTGGTTCTCCAGCTGGTCCTTGTTCTCCAGCGGCTCCCGGTTGTCCGGCGGCTCCATCGCTTCCAGCATCTCCGGCCGGTCCCTGTGGTCCTGGTTGTCCGGCTTGTCCTGGTGCTCCTGGTGCTCCATCAGCTCCTGGTGCTCCAGCTGGTCCGGCTGGTCCTGCTGGTCCAGCTGGCACAGCAACCTCCTCAACTGTTCCTGGTGCTCCTGGAGCTCCGGCGTTTCCTGGTTGTCCGTCTGGTCCAGCTGGTCCTGGTGCTCCTGGGGCTCCTGGAGCTCCGGCTTGTCCGTTAGATCCTGGTTGACCATCAGCGCCATTGTTACCGTTTGGTCCCTTTGGTCCTGGATTTCCGGCTGGTCCTGGTGGTCCGGCTGGACAATCGAAGCAGAAATCGGCGGCGGTTGGAACATCTTCGGGTGAGGCGTCTTGTCCTGGTTGACCGTCTGGTCCAGGTTGTCCGTCTTTTCCGTTGGCTCCGTCAGTTCCTGGTGGTCCTGGTGGTCCTGAAGCTCCCGATTTGCATGAGCAGCATGATCCACCGCTTGAGACTGGTGCGGATTCGACGGCAGCGTCAGCTGGAGCATCGTAGCCCGCTTGACGTTTGATGATCAATTTTCCGCGCACACCTTTGATTTGTTGAAGACGCTCGTATTGATCGAACAAACCGTTGGTACGGTGGCGACAGAAATCGACCTAGAAATTAAATTTGGATTTTTGCTCTACAGTAACCTGAAGCATGTTTGATCTACAGAAATTGTGGAATTTTCTAGTGTCTAGCGGTGTTTTGACACATGGAATTTCTGCTCTACAGTAACCCGAAACATTTTTGATCTACAGAAATTGTGGAATATTTTTTAAATGTTCCTTTTGTCACGTGGATTTTTTTAGACACAGAAAATCAGAGAATTTTTGATCTACAAAACTTTTGGAATTTTTAAACTTCAAGATTTTTTGTTACCTAATTTTTGAATATTTATCTTGTCACGTGGAATTTCTGCTCTACAGTAACCCGGAACATTTTTTTATCTACAAAAATGTTTGAATTTTCTAGTGTCTAGCGTTGTTTTGCCACGTGGAATTGTTGAGCTACAGTAACCTGGAACAGTTTTTGATCATCAAAAACGTTTTTTGAATTTTCTAGTGTCTAGGATTTTTTTGCCACGTGGATTTGTAGAGCTACAGTAGCCCTGAGCATTTTTTGATCTACAAAAATTTTGGAATTTTCTAGTGTCTAGCGGTGTTTTGCCACGTGGATTTCTGCTCTACAGTAACCCGAAGCATTTTTCATCTACAAAAAAAATTGAGTATTTTTGCCACGTGGATTAGATATTCTTACTAATCTTCTGAAAATTAACTCATGAATCTTGAGTTCTGAAAAACTAGATTCAAAATTACCACGTGTCGAAAATTTCAGTTTAAAGTTCTATCTAGCAGATTGTTCATTTTGAATTTCTGTTCCGAAATTTCACGTAGCATATTTTCAAATATAATTTTTAGATTCTCAAATGCCACGTGGCTTTTCAACTTCTGAATCCAGATCTTAACTCTTGCCACGTGGCATTTTCATTTCCAACATTTTTTTCCTGAAATTTGTACACACCTCAGTCTGAAGAGTCGATTGAACATGTTGCATATAGTTGTACAACGATGGAATTGCAACAATTGCGGTCAATGTGGCGACGGTGCTGAAAAACAATTTTTTGTATTTTCAAAAGTGTAATAGCTGCTACCCACAAAAAACTTGATCTGATAACAAAATGTTGTTAAAAAAACAAAAACAAGAGAAAAACAATGAAAGGTATTTTTTTGCTGTCCTTAATTTGGCCTAACTCAGGTTAAGTGTAAGAATGAAGATAGGTCTGAAAATAGGCTTTATCTAAGGGCCGGCCTGAATTCGGGCTTTTTAAGTTACCTTAACTTAAATCAGGAAATATTAGGGTTTAAGTTAGTCTAACTCAAGCTAAGTTCAAAAATGGGACTAAACCTAAGCTTGACCATAAGCTAAGCCTAAAGGCTATACTTAAAGCTCAACCCTAAGCCTATGATTCAGTCTAAAGACTAAGCTCAAGCCTAAGCCTGAACTTAGGGCCTAATATAAGACTTGGTTTATATTCAGGCTTAAGTTACCCTCACCCAAAGCTTTAAGAAACTAAGCTAAAACCCAAGTAAATTAGTTCTAAAATTAAATTACCCTAACTCAGGTTCTTCGTCAGGTCCTTTTTAAACTTAGCCTAACTTTCCTCAACCCCCCAACTCACCTAATGCAGATTCCAAAAAACGCGATGCGTCTCAAAGATTCGGCTTCGAGCCACAATTTCTTCTCGTTGTTCTCAGCAGACGACATCTTCTTGTGAGAGTGATGATCTACCTGTCGGCCACCGAAAACCTGTCGCTTTTGTATGTTAGCATTTTTGAGGGGCGGGGCTTGGGTTGAAATGGGCGGAGTTTAAGCGGCTTGCGATATTTATCTATGGCTTTTTGTTTAGGTAAAGGTATAGAACTTGAAGGTTTTGATGACAAGGTCGAATGAGATAAGATGAAATATTGAGATTTTTCACTTTCGATGAGGAAATGTTGCGAGAATCGAGCGTCGAGAAATCTTGATCTATAGATGTTTTTGGCGGGAAAAGTAGAGGGATACTGTAGGCTTCAAAAATTCTGAAGTCCAGAATTCTGACTGTCGCTTTGGAAAATTAGGATCTCTGGATATCTGCGTCTCTTCAAAAGTTGTGTTCTCTAGATGCTCTGGTTGTCTGAACCCCTACAGAAAACGTATCTCTAAAATTCCTGATATTCAGGATTCTCTCGATGTCTGGAAATCTAGTTGTTGTCGATGTCTGGGATTCTCTAGATGTCTGCGTCTCTTTGTGGAGTTGATCTCTCTGATTGTCTAAGCCTCTTCCAAAAATGAGGATCTCTATGTAGATGCTCTAGATGTCTGAGTCTCTATCAAAACTGTGTTATTCAACTGCTCTAGCTGTCTGGGTCTCTCCAAAATTTCATGATCTTCAGACTCTCTGATTGTATGAGCTCTGACGTGGCTCTGAAGATTTTCAGAACAAATCATTAATCTGGAAACCTGCCTATGACGTGGAAATAAATTTTACGTCAAAATTTTCCACGTGGAATTCCAAATCACGTGCTAATAATTTGTGAAGTTTCATTCATCTCGTCTTTATCTTTTTTCTCTACCCTCAAAAAAAAAAACTGTGTAAAAATATCATATTTGTGTTCCTTCCTCATCTCATCTCAGCTTCTTTTTCTTCTTCATCGTTAAAAAAGAGATGCGCGAAGAAAAAATCGGCACGAAAAACTGAAATATGATTTTAATCGTCTAATTTTTCTTCAGCTTCTCCTTCCTTTTTTGTTGATGATACCCGTTCTGTTTGTATTTGTGAAAAAGCTAACAACAACAAAAAATACACGGCATTTTGTGTTACATAATCTGCAAACACCTTTCTTTTTTTGGGGCTTGAAAATAGTGGTTTGGGAAGTTTTGGAGTGATCATCAGCAAATATTTATTATGTTATTAATCGCTTTATGATATAATTATGTGTATTTTTTGGGCGAAAAAAAGTGATGCCATTAAAATCTGCTGAAAAAAAGTTTCGCAATTAAATTCAGCGATTAAGAGTTTTATTGGAGGAAATTTGGAAGTTTCTAGGAGAAAGTTGATGGTCAGAAATGGTGGAGGGTTTGGAATTTATCAAAGGATTTGAAGAGGGGAAATATAGGAACACGTGGAAAATTTGGATATTATTTTTTTCCACGTGGATTCATCCCTCAGCCAAATTTTGAACAGAAACTTGCAGATTGTTTCAAAAGAGATTAAATTTTTCTGAAGTTGAAAATTTCAAGTTTCGAAAACTGAAACTCAAAATCCACGTGAATTTTCAGATCAAATTTGTGTCACAAGAATTTTCAAACCAAGTTTTTTTGAACAAAAATGAAATTGATCAACTTTCATGCCACGTGGATTTTTCGAATGCTAAATTCGAGAAAACTGTTTCCTTGTCAAAAATTTTCCAGGCTTCTGAGATTTGAAAAAAACAAATATTTTGAAAAATTTCCTGCCACGTGGATTTTCAGATCAAATTTTTTCAGAGCAAACTTTTTTCTCATAAAAAATCTTCTTGTTTTTGAATATTTCTTGCCACGTGGATTTTTACAGAAAAATTCAAAATCTGAAATTGAAATTTTCTGAAGTACTGAAAATTACAAATTCAAATTTTATATCAAGTGAATTTTCCTGAAAAGTTTCCAAATGGATAATTTTGACCACAAAAATCGTGTAGCTTGTTAAAAAATTCAAACCTGATGATTTTGTGGATTTCCAGATGAAGTTTTTGTTCCTACAAAATCTGAAAATTCTGTAAGCCTCTAAAAATTTTGTCACTTGATTTTTTTTTCAAAATTTCAAATGTCACGAGATTCCGATTTTCATTTTCTCATTCAAAAATGCCATTGACCACTGAGATTCTTTGAGATAGCATCTGCCATTTTCTCCGAGTAACTTTCTCTTTTTTTCATTTTCTGAGCTTCCTTGATCTAATCTTTTGCCGTTTTTCTTGAAACAAAAACATCAACCAAAAAAAAGTGTCAATTCAGAATTTGAAGGCCATTTTTTGCCTCACAACAAAAAAATTTGAGACAAGACAAAAAAAAATTTTTTGTTGTGATACAACACAAAAAATTATAGTTTTTTTCTCTTGTTCACTACTACACGGCGTGTTATCACTCGGAAATAATATTATTATATGTTTTTTTTCGATGTTACACAACATTTTAATGCTGGCTGGGTGAAGAGAAATAAAAATGTTGCTAATAAAAGTTTTTTTTCGGCAGGTTGGGGGAAGTTTTTTAAAGGAACATTGCGTTTTTGAGGTACTGTAGATGATTTTGAGAAGATCTGAGTACTGTAGGTAATTATTGAGGTACTGTAAATCATCTTGGAACAATTTGATTACTGTAGATAATTTCTGAATCCTTCTGGATTACTGTAGATGATTCTCGAACAGCTTGAGTACTGTAGAGGATTTTTAAGGTACTGTAAATCATCTTGGAACAATTTGATTACTGTAGATCATTTCTGGAATACTGCAGATGATTTTGAAAATGATGATCCTTCTGGATTACTGTCGAACAACTAAAATCTTACTGTAGCTTACTGTAGTTCCGAATTTGATTTTCTTTTCTGATTTTTAAATTCATGGTTACTGTAGACAGTTTTTTTAATGAAAACTTCGAGCTACAGTACCTTCAGAATATATTCTGAAAATTGTTGGGATTACTGTAGTTTTCAGGATACTGTAATTGGAAGATTCCAGAATATTTCGGAAATTCTCAGAATCTACAGTAACCTGAATATCCAAAATTTTGGATTTTTTTGGAATTTTCATATCGAAATTTCGAATTCTGTAGATCAAAATAATTAATCCCAATTAATTTATTCATCCAAAAAAAGTCTCTACATTTTACAACACTGCGATCCACATTTACTATATCCACTCGAGCACGAGCAACTCGATCCACTAGATCCGCTGGAGCACGGTTGCACCAAAATCGCCGCCTGCGAACACGTGGATTGGCAAGTTTGCTGGCAGGCGGGAATGCAGATGTTGAGCGGAGTTGTGGTTTGACACGTGGATTGGCAACCGGAATTGCACGAGGATTCACAGGAGTTTGAGCTGGAGCACGAGTTGTTGCAAGTGTTTTGGCAGGATTGTTGGCAGGCTGGGGTTGAGCAGGAGGATTGACATTGCTGGAATTTGGATTTGGCTTGAAATTTGCGATTTTTTGATATCAAATAGTCTAGGGTTACTGTAGGATACACCGGATTTGACGCGCAAAATTCCCCGGATTTTTGGTTGAAATTTGGGATCTTTTGGTATGAAATAGTCTAGGATTACTGTGGATACACTGAACTCTACGAGCAAAATTCCCCAGATTTTTGGTAGTTCAAAAAACTCGTTCTTCTTCTTGTCGAAATTTGGAATATTTTGGTATCAAATAGTCTAGGGTTACTGTAGAGATACACTGTATTTGACGCGCAAAATTAAAGTCTTCTAGATAACGGTATCTCACTTGAAACACTGGATTTGACGCGCAAAATTTGGATGTTCCTAGATTACTGTAGCTGTCTAAAAAACACTGGATTTGACGCGCAAAATTAAATTCTTCTAGATTACGGTATCTCACTTGAAACACTGAATTTGACGCGCAAAATTTAGATGTTCCTAGATTACTGTATCTTACTTGAAACACTGGATTTGACGCGCAAAATTAAAGTCTTCTAGATTACGGTACCTCACTTGGAACACTGAATTTGACGCGCAAACTTCTCAGATTACTGTAGCTTTCTTAAAACACTTCATTTTACGAGCAAATATCAAGGTTACTGTAGCTCTCAAAAAAAAACACTGAACTTGACGCGCAAACTGCTCAGATTACTGTAGCTCTCTTAAAACACTTTATTTTACGAGCAGTTCGAAATTTTGCGCGTCAAATTCAGTGTGCCGTACAGTAACCCTGTACTATTGTACATCAATGGATTGGAAATTTCGAGGAGAATTGTTTGATCTACCCGAAAAAAGTTACTGTAACTCACATTCGAGCATGAACTTTGGCATGAATTTGAGGAGGAACTCGAGGAAGATGATGGGATCAGCAAAATAATTGGTTGAGAATTTGAGCTCGAGCTGGAGCTGGAGCAAGCATTTGAGCATGAATTGGAGCAGGCTGAAAACTAGAGTGTGAGAGACGCAGAGAAAATTGAATCTTACTGGATTGACAACTTGGAGCTGTGCAAACTTGAAGACATTTAGAAGTGCAAGAGCTCTGGCAGGAGTTTGAGGAACTCGAGCTCGAGCACAAATTGGAGCAACTATTTTGCTGACACGAATTTGTGCACGAAGAGCTCGAGCAAGCGTTAGAGCATGCTTGTTGGCAAGATGAGCAACTCGGTTGGGAAGAGCTCGAGCTGGAGCATTGTTGAGCACAGATTGAGGCGCAGAGATTGTTGTTGCTGGTGGATGATTGACATTTTTGCATGCACACTGGGAGACAGATGTATGAGGAACCGGAATTTGATGAGCCGGAGCAACAGCTTGAAGAGCTCGAGGAGCCAGATGAGCAGGAGCATTGACGTTTTGCGCGGGTTAGGTAGGAGCGCTGGAAATTTTGGATAATTTTTGTGATTTCAGAGAATTTAGAGCCCTTAAAATGCACTTAGCCTTTGTGATCAGGATTTTACTTTAAAATTTTTTATCTGAAATTTTGGGCTCAAATTTTGCCACGTGGCTTTTGGGAGCTAATAATTTTGTTATGGGAATATTTTGGTGCAACGTGGAAGTTTAGGCCCGAAGTTTTCAGATTTGAATTTTTCTCACAGAATTTAGTGCCACGTGGAATTTTAGACCCTAAATTTTCAAATTTGAATTTTTCTCACAGAATTTAGTGCCACGTGGAATTTTAGGCCCGAAATTTTCAAATTTGCATTTTCATTCAGAATTTTGGAATTTTTTGGTCACGTGGATTTTGAAAAAAAAAATTTCGAAATTCAAAATTTTTTGCAAATTTTTTTCAAAAGTTTGGTTGCCACGTGGAATTTTAGACCCGAAATTTTCAACTTTAAATTTTTATTTAGAATTTGGTTGCCATGTGGATTTTTGGCTAGAAATTCTCAGCTTTAGGGTTGAAAAATCAAAAAATTGAAAATTCCAAGAATTTTTCTGAAATTTCAATGCCACGTGGCTTTTTTGTTTCAAAATTGTCAAATGTTGAACTTTTATTTCAGAATTTGATGCCACGTGGATTTTTAGCTGGAAATTCTCAGCTTTAGGGTTGAAAAATCAAAAAATTGAAATTTCAAAGAATTTTTCTGAAAGTTCAATGCCACGTGGCTTTTCGTTACGAAGTTTAAAAAAAATCATTTTGAAATTTCAAAAGCCAGAAAAAAATCCACAAAGATTTTTTTTTTGACCTACAAAAAATTCTAGAATCTGTTCCACGTGGATTTCCAGCCCCACAAAACTCACCATTGGCATAAAATCCGCCGCCAAACATCCAGCCACCAAAATCACCACCAAAACCGTAGTTCTCAACATTTTTTCTTGATAAAAAAAAATTTGGAATCAAATGATATAAGGAAATTGAAACTCTAACTATGCTTTTATACGGGCCCCGCCAAAAAAAAGCAGCAAAATCCTGCGCAAATAAAGCAAAGGTGTTCTATTTGCTTTGCGGCAACACGGCCGGAAAACATTATTTTTTGACACCTTTCCGCGCGCGCGGCGAAACTTGTCTCCTGAAATTCCCTTTTGAATAGAAAAGGTGCTGAAAAAAAGTTGGTAATATTGTAGTTTGGACAAGTTTCAAGTGTTTTCTGTGGGGAGATCAGAAATTACACGTCACATGATTTTTTGATCTACCGGGGGAGGTTTGGGAGGTACTGTAGGAGATTTTTCTGGAATTTTTTTGATCCACAGGCTTCTCAATTCAGAAGTACTGTAGATTGTATGATATTTTGTGATCTATTTTTTAAAATAACGCATTGAATTACTGTAGAGCCCTTAGAGTACTGTAAGGCTAGCTTACTATAGAGATCTTATTTTTGATCTACCAATTACCAATTTTTCCGAATGGTACTGTATATTTTGCCACGTCACAATTTTTTCTAAAAGGGATGATTCACGAACGAAAAAAAATGTTAAAAAATGTTTTTTAACATTGAAAGATCAATTCACGAAAAGTCAAAAAATGTCGAAAAAACATTGTAGGTTAAAATTAGTTTTTCGAGTTTTTCAGCCAAAAATGATGACAAATCGATATTTTTCAAGCTTCTGGAGTAATTTCTGATGAAAATAAGCTTCGAGAACCCTATTTTGCTTTATTTTATGAATTTTTTCAAAATTCATCAAAATTTAAAAATTTTTTATTTCACGAAAAATCAGCAAAACCTTCTGGAAAGTGAATTCCAAGGTCAATTTTCATCAGAAATTACTCTAGAAGCTTCAAAAAATATCGATTTGTCATCATTTTTGGCTGAAAAACTCGAAAAACTAATTTTGACCTACAATGTTTTTTCGACATTTTTTGATTTTTCGTGAATTGATCTTTCGATGTTAAAAAAACATTTTTTAACATTTTTTTCGTTCGTGAATCAGCCCTGCTGGATAATGCAAAATCACATGTGATTTTTGATCTACATGTGCTGTGTAGAAACAATTTTATTCATTTCAATGTGATAAAGTTTGAGGCATTAAATGATACATTTTCATGACAATTATCAGTTTTATTGAGCAACTAAAAATTTGCTAACGAAACATTTTATTTGCATTTTATTCGGTTTTTCATATAAACAATTTTATTCATTTCAATGTGATAAAGTTTGAGGCATTAAATGATACATTTTCATGACAATTATCAGTTTTATTGAGCAACTAAAAATTTGCTAACGAAACATTTTATTTGCATTTTATTCGGTTTTTCATATAAACAATTTTATTCATTTCAATGTGATAAAGTTTGAGGCATTAAATGATACATTTTCATGACAATTATCAGTTTTATTGAGCAACTAAAAATTTGCTAACGAAACATTTTATTTGCATTTTATTCGGTTTTTCATATAAACAATTTTATTCATTTCAATGTGATAAAGTTTGAGGCATTAAATGATACATTTTCATGACAGTTATGTTTTTTTTATTGATCTCTATAAAACTGATAACTCATGAGTATATAAATTTGCTAACGGGTACATTTTATTTGCATTCTATTTCGTTTTTCATATAAACAATTTGTTTTTCTTTGCTATGTCCCACAATAATGCAAATATATTGGACGAATTCGAACCTATACACTCACTTGGACAAGGTGCTTTTGCAAAGGTTTTTCAAATGAAAAGCAAAAACGATGATAAACATTATGCAGTAAAATGGATTTCGTGTACAACGTGAGTTTTAGTTTTCTTATGTGTTGAATTAATTTTTCAGAAAAAAGTCTATTAAATATGCAAAAAGAGAAATCGCAATTTTGCAAGAATTCAACAGTGATGGGATTGTCAGCTATTTTGATCATTATGAAAAAATACGTCCTGGAAAACATTGGAAAAACATGAATAAAATTGGTTTGAATCAACTCTGCTCGGAGAGAGATGATTTGAAGGATTTTATTGAAAATAATCAAACGCTTAAGGAATTTGTAAGAATTCTGATTGTCAATAAATTTTAGAATACGTTCCAGGATAGTGAAAGTACCGCTTCACGCAAATATGCTTATATTGTAACAAAATATCAGCCTACTTTGAAAGATTGGCTTATCGAGAACAACAAATCATTTGATGCTATATCAATGCAAATCAGGAAACACTGGCTAAAAGAAATTATTTCCCTACTTTCTAACAATAGAGCATGTTCTATCAATGTAAGATTTATCGATTCACATTGATTTAAGATTTTTACCATACATAATAATTTATTCCGATTAGTTTTCGCTGCATGACTTTCTCATCGATATGGACTTGAAGTTGAAAATTGATGCTGTCGAACTTTTTTGGATTCCAACTGTAAGTTTATTGAAGTTAGATTCAAACTCAGGTATATTTTTTTAGGATCCTTCGGGGTTTCAATTCGCAGTTATAGCTGCTGAAATACTTCTCAACATTCCGGATGATATAAATAGAGAAGATGTTTTGAAAGACATTCAAGCGGAGAAAATTCCGGATTTTATTGAAAATGATTTAGAAGTTGTTACATTTTTCAAGAGTATTTTTGAAACAAAAACCCTAAATCTGAGTGGTTTCTTGGAACATGAATTTCTTCATGATTTGCCGGATATTTGTGAGTTAAAAAGTCAATTAACAAAAAACTAAAATCATTCTCAAGGTCCATCAAGTTTTTTTGCCAACACATCCATTTTCACTAAACCTTTACCATCGGACTACGAAATAAATTTAATTGAGGTACATAGTTCTCAAACCAATTTTCAAAAAAACAAACAGTTTTTTTTCCAGGACGAGTTACGTTCAATAAGAAATGATTTGACAGAAGCAGGCTTAAACGAATTTGAGAACTATAATAGTAAACTGATGCAAAAGTACATATTCTTAAAATCGTTCCCGGAACATAATCAAGGCTTTGTTCGTGGTCAAAATTTGTTTCTGGTAAAATGTCGTTATGATCATCTGATTTATCAGTTGAGAAGAGTATCCTCACCGTTAGTTAATATACCATGCTCCACAAAATGATACGGCCAATATGAAAAATTCCAAAAAAAAATGGAAAATCCGAAAAGCATTATAAGGTTATTCAAGTAAAAAAAAGCGTTTTAAAAAACGCATTAAAAAACAAAAATATCCAATTCAAGTGAGGCGATGATGCAGGTTAGTTTCTCCTCCGAGGAGAAATGGGGCGAAATTCGAAAAATACATTGTTTCGCCTCCACGTGCAACACGTTTCTCCTTTTTTTTCCTCAATTAGCTCGGGGGTGAAACTAACCTGCATCATCGCCTAAGAACAAATGTCGAAATTGTCGAAATAAAAAAAATTTTCTCGTCGAAAATGTCGAAATAAAAAACCTTTTTCGACTCGAAAAACCAAACAAAAGGGAGCTTTCTCGACATTTCTCGACACTTTTACAAAGCAAAATTATTTAATTGAATATTTTTGTTTGTTAATGTTTTTTAACATCGCTTTTTTTTACTTGAATAGCCTTATTACATTTCTATGTGGAGTTTTTAATATTGACAGTATCATTTTGTCGAGTATATTAATAATATCTAATTAAGAGTTTTCAGTATATCAGAAGAAACTTTCACGAGTGGGTTCAGTGAAAGCTATGATAAATGGTTCAGTAAAGTTAAAGAAACATGGATTGAGCGTTCGCCCAAACAATGGGTACAATTGTATGATTTTATCAATCGTCGAATAGAAAAAATTGTTCGTATTAAAATGCTTTTGGCCACATATTTACTACCAAATGAAGAAAATAACGGAATTGTAAGTGATTTTTACTGAAACAATTGAAACATTTAATTTGTTCTCAGGATAACATCGATGAAAATCAGCCCGTGAATCAAGCAAACAAGTTCAATTCGGAGATTTTCATTGTAATGGAAGTTGGAAATGGAACTTTGGAGAGTTGGCTGAGTAATGAGACAAATCTTCAAAATCGCCCTATGAATAAAATGAAAGATTGGATCAGACAACTTTCTGAGACAATCGCTTATATACATGGCAAAAAAATTATGCATCGAGATTTGAAAGTTGGTTTGATAAATCAATATACGTACACAAACTTTCCTTTTTACAGCCAGCGAACATTTTTTTCAAACAATCCAACGAGGAGTTTCCACCTATTTTGATTGGGGATTTTGGTCTAGCTAGACATTTGGATGATGATATTGATAAACAAACAATTACATCACCAAGAAGAAAAAGTGACAAATTAACAACTAATATCGGAACTGGCTACATGTCACCTGAACAGGTTGGTTTTACAAAAGTTAATTATCTTATACATATATTTCAGCGCGAAAATGAACCTTATAATCTAAAAGTCGATATTTTTGCTCTTGGATTAATTGCGACCGAATTGATCATACCGTTTCGTACAGTAATGGAAAAATCGAATGTGTTTGAGAATCTACGAGCTGGAGAGGTTCCGAAAATATTTGAAGATTATGAAGAAGCTGCCGAATTCCTTTTGCTTCTTACAAGCAAAAATCCCGATGATCGTCCGAATGCCGATCAAGTTTTAGCACATTCTTTCCTAACTAATCGTGACTGATTTATACATTTTTTGATGAATTTCAGATTCTTATTTGTTATAGATCCATAAAGTCCTAATGAAATTCGGGAGAAACACTAGAAACCATAACTTACGCAGACTCATTAGTTTTCATTTTAAAAAATACACCACAGAGATATATTCTTCTCGAACCAATATTTATTCAAAACCGAGTAGTATTTTCACAAATCGTATGGGTTACTGTAGGTGGCGGGGTACTGTAGCTCACATCATCTTGGGTCTCGCCACGCCCTCTTCCTCCCAACAATTGCTCCGCAACAATTCGCTTGGCGTTTCTGTCGGCCGCCGTTTGACACGTGGCACCGGTCTGCAATTATAAAATTCGCTCGGGGGGTACTGTAGGTGGGGTACTGTACCTGCGCATCAAATTTGTCATACGGTGGTGATCCTCTGGATTCCATTTCGAGTCGGCGAGAAATTTCGAAATGCGGGGAATTTAAATTTTTTGGCGCGAAAAAATTGGAACACGTGGAAATTTGAATTTTTTTTTCGAATTTTGATTTCCACGGGGAATACAGTACCTCAGAAAAGATGCCACGTGGATTCAAAAAAAAAGTTTGGAATTTGGAAACTACAGTACTCGTGGATTTTTGGCGCGAAAAAATTTCAAATTTTCAAAAAATAACTATTTATTATCCAAAAAAAAGCAAAAAAATTATTCCGCTTCCGCGTTCCGCATCTCTTTCCGCATCAACCAACCAAAATACGCAATGATACTGTAAAGATTACTGTAGGGTACTGTAGGTGACAATCTCATCTCTAACCTGAGCAACCAAGTCACCAGAAAAATGCGCTGGATCCAATTTTCGGCTTTGCGAAATTGGCCTGAACAATCAATTTTGAGCTCAACATTTTTCCGCTTCTTATTTTCCGCGCGGCACAAATTTCGGAATTTTTGCCGGTTTTTTTCGTAGATCACAAGATTCATATGAAGATTTTCTTCGAATTCGAGCTCAAAAAATTCTGGAATTTTCAGCCGTTTTTTGAAATTTGACTTGAATTGTGAGATTCTGGAATTCCGGAGACTTCAGCGAACTCAAATACTCATCAGCTAGTTCGTAGTATTCGTCGAAGTTGGGCGAACTTTTTTGGGATCCCAGAAAAATCGCGGCATCTTTGTAGTACTCTTCGATTTTTCGAGAAGTTGAAGTTGAATTCGAGTTAGCCAAAGTCGCGGAGATCAAGAAGAAGAGCCACAAAAATCCAGTGATTTCCAGCATTTTTTTGAAAATTCCAAAAATTTAGAAAAAAAATGGGAAATTTTTTTTTGCAGACAAAATTTGAAAATTTGAAAAAAAAATGTTCCCACCAAAAATTGACGCGCGAAAAAATTGTACGATTTTTTCTGAGACAAAAGGGGTACTGTAGGGAAATTTTTGCCACGTGGCAAAATGGGGTACTGTAGTTTTCCAGATTGATCTACTGATATATAAAGTATACTACGGTAGAAATCATCTGGGTACTGTAGAAAATCCACGTGGCAATAGATTCTGGGTTACTGTAGATTCTGGGTTACTGTGAAAAATCACACTTTTTTCTGAAAATCATGAAACTACAGTACCCCAAGATCTAGAAGTTTCCAAAAATTTCAAGATTACTGTAATGCCCTGTGGCAATAGATTGTGGGTTACTGTGAAAATTCTCGTTTTTTCTGAAAATTATGTAACTACAGTACCCCAAGATCTAGAAGTTTCCAAACATCTCGAGATTACTGTAATGCCACGTGGCAAATTATTTCTAGAATCTGAAAATGCCACGTGTATTTTTTTTCTGAAAATTGAAAAAATTTAAAATTCAAATTTCCCAGAAACGTTTATTGATATCAAAAATAACAGAAAAAATTCCAAAAAATAACAAATTACAAAATTAGTAAATTAATACAGTAATTAATTAATTAGTTAATTAATTAATTAACTCCATAACTCTCATTACAACTATAAAAAACATCATCTTCTTCCTGATTTTCTTCTTCAAACTTCTTCAAATTGTATGTCAAGCAAAAACTGAGAAAAATCAGTGACCTGAAAATATTTTAGATTACTGTGGGTTACTGTAGACTACGTTAGAAACCTTACCCGGCAATCCATAATATGAGCAATGGCCAGATTATCGAATTTTGTGCGAATTTCTTGCAGTCGATTTGGAGATTGATTTTTGTGAGGTTTTTTTGGTTGGCGCATAGAATTTTGATTTTTTCGATGTTGCTCTCGAAAATTGTGATGGAGTTAGGCGAAGTCGAATTTTCAGAATCTGAATTTGAATTCAGAAAAATTCCCGAAGAATTCTGAGTGTAGACAACTTGAAGCTGGAAATCCGTGGAATTTTTTTCTGAAATTTCCTCCAAGAGCAGGAGCTTTTCAATAGAATTGTAGTAGGTCTCGAGGATTCTTGAAGCTTCATCAGAATTTGAAGTGGAGTTAGCGGAATTCAAGGAACTCCAGATAAAAAAGATCAGCAAGATTCCAGAGATTTTCAGCATTTTTCTCTGAAAATTTTGAGAATTTTGGGTGAAAAAAGAGAAAAATGAAAATTTTACGTGAATTTTTTGAAAAAAAAGAAAATTTTGAAAAAAAATTCCCACAAAAAATTAGCGCGCGAAAAAATTGTACGATTTTTTCGAGGTAAACAACAAATTAAAAAATGTACTGTAGGAGACTTCCACGAGGCAAGGATTACTGTACTTTTGAAATCCAGAAAATCCAGGTCGAATTTGATTTTCTCAAATTTCTGGATTACTGTAGGAAAAATTTCCACGTGGCGACGACGTGGGTTACTGTAGTTTTCTAATAAAAAAAAACTATTCCACGTGGAAAATCATTCGGGTTACTGTAGCTCTCGAAAAAATTGAACCACTGTAGATTGTCAGGGTACTGTAGATTTCCAAGGCTGGAATTCATTCAGAAAACATTTGAGGTTACTGTAGAAATTTTTCCACGTGGAAAAAAAAACACGTTTTTTTAAAAGAATTAACATTTTTATTATTCAAATTTTTTCAAAAATTTTAAATCGGTGACGCAAAAAACACGTAGAGCACCAAAGCCAAGCAAAGCAGAAGAGTACTGTAAATATTGATTTTTCTCAGGGAGTACTGTAGATTACTGTAGGCTTACCAAGTTCCCAGAATGATCAAGAAGATTTGGAGTTTCGAGAAGTCCTCGGATTTTTTTGAGCAATCAAGTTGGAGAAACATATTTTTCGAAATTTTTTCGGGATTTTTCAGCTTTTGGTCGCAGAGAATTCGGATTTTTTCGAAATTCATCTCTAGAATCACAAAATTCAAATTTTCATCAGAATTCTGAGCCAAAAAAATTTCAGATTGATTTTTCGCAGCACTGTATATCAAATTAATATTGATGTTGGTGAAGTTGGTGAAATTTTCGGAATTCAAGAAATTCTCCACGCTCTCGTAATATTCGTCGAGAATTATCGCGACTTTTTCGGAAGCTGTGAAGTTAGCCGAAGTCAAGGAGATCAGGATGAAGAATCCATAGATTTTCAGCATTTTTCTGGAAATTTTCAGATATTTTTTGAGACAGACAAAAATTTTGAAAAAAAAAATGAAAACAAAAAATTTTCAAATTATATTTTCCCATCAAAATTGGCGCGCGAAAAAACTTTTTGAAAAAAATAGTACTGTAGAAGAAATTGCGGGTACTGTACTTTTATGGGCTCTGAAAATCCACGTGGCAAATTGTTTTGGATTACTGTAGCTCACCGGAAATTACTTTTCATCTACAGTAATCATTGCAGTTCTACAAAATAAATGGATACAGTAACCCATCAGGCTACCATATACTTTGAAGTTTGGTCAAATTATCGCTGCACCTCTCAAATACAGTACCCCTTGTAGTTCGGGTGTACTGTAACTTTTGTAGTTTGATAAAATTTTGAAACTACAGTAATCCCTGGGTACTGTAGAATTTGAAAATTAAGACTGAAAAAATCCCAAAAACCTTTATTCATTTCAAAAACATATGGATTACTGTAGAATTATATGGATTACTGTAGAATTTTATCTGAATGCAAAATTGTTGAATACGAATCTCACCGAATTGCGATGCGTGTAGATCACAAGAGCCAAACAGAGCAGAATAGTACTGTAAAAAAATTGGTTGATTACTGTAGGGATTACTGTAGATTAGTATTTTGTAAAAATTACACCGTCATCAAAAATGCAGCGCATTTTATATTCGAAATTGTAGAGGAAAGAAGAAAACTCCCGCGTGGCCCAGTGGTATGAACTCGTGCGTACCATTCGCACAGCCAGGGTTCGACCCCCACCCGGCGCAAAATTTTTTTTAACTCACAAGGCGCCCAGATATTCGTAGAAGTAGTAGATTCTGAATTTGCGTTCCGTTTCGAATTCAGTTTCCATCGGATTATCCACAAATCTTTTGGGAAAATATTGACAATCCAGCGCCAAAATAATCTTTTTCCGAATTTCCAAAAAATCATCGCTGGATGTATTGCACAAGAATCGGAGTTTCTCGAAATCCCTCTCCACAATCACAATTTGTGGCGGTCGATTTGGAGCATTCAGATCGGAGTTGGGCGAAGTCGTCGAATTCTCCAAATACACTTCCGATGTGTTTTTGTAGATGACGTGGATTGTGAAAATTGAGGAGGCTGTGAAATTGCCGGTGGAAATTAGGAGGTTTTTTGCTTCGCCGTAATAATTCTCCAGATTTTCCAACATTTTCTTTTGATTTTCGGTGAGGTTTTGGGTTTGGGAGTTGGCCGAACTCGAGAAGATCAAGATCCAGAAGAAGATCAGAAGCATTTTTCTCTGGAAATTTCAAATATTTATTTTTAGGTAAATTTTAGAAAACACAGAAAAATAAAATAAAACTTTTCTAGACAAAAATAGGCGGGAAACTGAAAAATAAATTGAATTACAGAATTTTTCGAGACAAAAATTTCCCACCAAAATTTGGGAAGACAAAGAAAATTTGAAAATTTTCCCACCGAAAATTGGCGCGCGAAAATTACTGTACGAATTTTGAGGTAAACAAGAAATTTGAAAAATTTGTGCCACGTGGAAATGGGGAGTACTGTACTTTTCTGAGCCCTGCAAAAACATCCACGTAATCCTTGCAGTTTCACACAGATACAGTAACCCATCAGGCTACCGTATACTTTGTAGTTTGATGTTTGCCCTTCTGGAGTACAGTACCCCTTGTAGTTCGGGGGGTACTGTAAGATTTGTAGTTTGATAACAACTTGAATCTACAGTAATCCTTGTAATATTGAAATTCACGAGGAGATTACTGTAGCTTTCACGAGTTTTCGGGTACTGTAGATTTTCAGAAACTGAAAAAAAACCCAAAATTCCGATCTACACGTGGCGAACATATTACTGTAGTTTCTCCGGGGTACTGTAGTGCCTGTGATTCTGAAAAATTTGATCTTCAAAAATCTTTGCTCTAGAATTCCACGTGGCAAAGGTACTGTAGGTACTGTAGCTTCAAAATTTGGTTGTAAATTTTTTAGATCACTTATTTCTCTCAGTGCTGAAAATCCAATGTGCCACGTGGCAAATTTCAGCCCAAAAATTTTTCAGCTTTCAGAATTCGGAATCTGAAAAAAAAATGTTTCAGAATTTTGGGAATTTTCAGAATTTACAGATCAATTTTTCGCCACGTGGATAATTTCAGCTCAAATTTTTCGGTTTTCAGAATTTCCCTCTGTTTATTTCTGGTTCTAAAAATTTCAGATCACTAATTTTTGCTTTGCTGAAAATCCAATGTGCCACGTGGATATTTTCAGCCCAAAAATTTTTCTTTTTGAGCTTTTGGGTGTGGTCGAATCTCTATTTTTCTGTCTCTCAAAAAAAGAGCCGCGGCTCTTTTTCTAAGACAAAAAAAAAGTGAGCAAACAGAAGAAGCCTAGCCTACTGCACAGTAGCCTAGGAAAATATGTGAGGAATTTTTGTGTTTTTTTTCGGCTGGGAAAAAAGTGCACGGTGTGTAGTAGGTAGTACTCTTCAGAGTCAATAAAAAATAACATGAGTAATCCTTGAGAGAAAAAAGTTGGTCAAGAACTTTTTTCTTGATCTACCTACAGTAATTCGTAGCCACGTGGCGATATAAATTTTCAGAGTACTGTAATACAGTAATTCCTTTGATAATTTTTTTGGGAATTTGATCAGGCTGCAAAACTACAGTACTCTGAACTGCAAAAATGCTCATTTTTGCAAGATTTCTTGGTCTACCGTAGTTTGGTTGAGATACTGTAGTTGCCGCGTGGCAAAATTTTCAGAACTCACTTTTCACAGTAAAATTCGTCTACAGTAATCCGAACTGCAAAACTACAGTAACCCAAAAAACTGCAAGGAATTTAGGAGGTTTCTAAAAATCTGAAATTTTGAAAATTGTCTGAAAAAAAAAACTACAGTAACCCAAACTGCAAGGAATTTCGTAGAAATCGTACAACTTGAAAAATTGTCTGAGATCGACCGCAGCCACAGTAATCCGAGCTACAAATTCTACAGTAACCCGAACTGAAAGAATTTCGGAGAAATCTGAAAACCCGAAAAATTTCTGAAAATGACCGTAACCTTTAAAACTACAGTAATCCGAAGTACAAATTCTTTTCAGTTTTGAAATCTGAAAAAATCTGGATTTTTTTTCTGAATTTCTAGATTTTCTTGAATCTTTCAGCTTATCTAAAAATCTTTGAAAACCCCAAAAATTCTTCTGAAACTTTTCAGCTTTTCCCAAAACTTCAAGCTTTTCCCAAAATTCATCTGAAAATCCCCCCAAATGCTCAAAAAAAATGCTCCCAACACGTCGTTCAAAACCATTTCATTGTCTGTTTATTTTTGTGTGTGCAATGCAATATCAATGAATTTTTCGGCCAAAATCAACAAAACTGACTGGCGCCAGCCGTTTTTTCATCTCTTGGGAGAAGAAGCAGAAAAAAGTTGGCTGATGCTCAGCTTCCGATCTTTTTCCATACCTGATCTACAGTAGTTGGGATACTGTAGGCTCTGGGAAATTCTGGAACAATTTTGGAATCTGGGAGATCATCTACAGTAATCTACAGTAACCATTCAGAAAATTTTTGAGAAAAAATGGAATTTGGTAGATCTCATCTACAGTAATCTTACTCAGTTTTTTGATCTAAGAAAAATAGAGATCCACAGTAATACAGTAGTTTTTTGATTCCCCAGTTTTTCCCGCTCAAAAAATCCACGTGACACACACACACAAAAATGATCATCTCTGTGTTTTGGAAAAAATTGTTGAGATTTTTGGGATTGGTTTGGGTAAACACAAAAAGAATGATGTGAGAGTTTGAACTTTGACGCGCATTTTTCCTGGAGAAAAATGATCACATGAGCCTAAAAGCTCCGAAAATGATTTTTTTCCAAAAAAAAAAAATAGATGACGAATATTTCGACCTTTCTTCAGCCACAGCCAAAACAAAAAAAACATTATTTTTTTTTCCAAAGTTCATCTCACATGTTCCTCATCAACTGATAAAACAGTTCTTTTTTGTCCAATTTTTTTTTGTTGCAAAAAAGAAATATGAACATAAAGAGACGCGTTTTTGGAACAAAGAAAAAAACGTTTTGCAAAAATTTCTTGCTGTATACTAATTTTTATGGGGCATTTTCTCGATGGGAATTAGTGCTTTTTGTGTAGAGAAATTTTTTGAATTCATGAAATTTTGAAGAATTATTGAAAATTCACGTGAATTTGCTCTTGTGGAATTTTTTCAAAAGTTTTGCCACGTGGATTTTTTGTAGAAATGTTTTATAGTAATTTTTTGATATTTTATATTTTCTGAAAATTGATGCCACGTGGATTTGTAAAAGGTCTGGTACTGTTTGTTTTTCAGCGAAGGAAACGCGCTCCAACTACATACCGTAGTTTGCTTTTTTTGCCGACCCAATTTTTTTCATTTTTTTCCGTTTTTTCTTGTTTTTCCTCCGTTTTTCACCAAAAAAGAAGCAATTTTGTAATTTTTCTGCTTTCAGAAGTTGGAAAAACTCAAATTATACTTATCTTTCAAGTTTGCCCGAACAAAATGGTTTTTGGTAGCGATTTATGGTTTTTTTTAGATGAAATTCGATGTTTTGATCGAAAAGATGTTATAAAATCGATTTTTGGAGTGATTTGAAGTTGCAGTTTAATTCAAATCGAAGGTGAGTTGTTTAGTTATGTATTTTCTATGACAATGATGCAATTTTCAGGTTGTTGATTGAAAATTGGTGATTCTTGCGGTTTTCATCGCAATTTTGAAATGAATGGCGATATGTGATGGATAATTTGCTCAAAAATGCCTCAAGTCAATCAATTTGCTATTCAAATGATGCAAGTGCACATTAGTGACGAAGCAAACTACTTCTCATTAAGATTCATGCGAAAAAGTCATCGGTTCGCTCGGAGTTTTGATAGAAACGATGAGGAAGTCGTGTTTTGGGTCGAAAATTGTGATTTTTCACTAATTTAATCTATTTTCTTGATTAATTTTGTTGATAAACTGTTTAGTTCTTGATTTCCGACTAGTTATATATCATTTCCAACCGAAATCAGAAAATTTCAGGAAAATTTCACTTTTTCTATGCTCATTTCTGCCCAAATGCACCAATTTTAAGTGAAAATGGTCAGGTAAAACCTTTTCAACTCAGTAGTTTCCACAATAACCAATTTCCTCATTTTTCAATTAGTGGAAATGCCTTTTTTCGCATGAAAAACAGTAAAAGAATAAAAATTATTGTTTGAATCGCCGCACAAAAATGCGTTGTTTATCAATGGGGCGCGTTTGGCCGCGTTTCCTTCGCTGGCGAACGGACAGTAACATCTTAACTCAAAAATCGAAATTTCAAATTGCCATGTGGATTTTCTAAAAGTCACGTCGAAAATTCAGAAATTTTTAATTCTGAAAAAAAATTTAAATTTTGAAATTCAAAAATTTTCAAAATTCCGAATCTCAAATTGCCACGTGGAATTCCTACAGTAGCCTTAACTTAGAAAAACCAGATTAAAATCTCTGAAAATCTGAAATTAAACCACGTGGAATTTCTCGGCTCCCAAAAAACTGCTCCAAAACATTTTTGATTCAAATTTTCGTGGATTTTCCATTTTTTTTTGAAAATTCTCGAATTTTTCAAATTCAATTTCCAATTTTCCATAATTTTTATTGTTTTTGCGTGGGCACAAATTCCCCCGCAAAAAAAAAAACAAACTGTTTTTTTTTGCTTCCTTCCCAATGTTATTTTAATTCCCATCGCGAAACACACAAAACACCGTGTAGAAAATGATGTCAAATGTTGTTCTTGCAAATATTATACAAATATTTTTGGCGGGAAAAATTCCAAAAATTCAAATATTTTTTGTGTTTACTTTTCAACTTTTCGTTTGCTGAAAAAAAAGCATCACAAATATTTTTGTTTTTGTTTTTTTTTCTTCGGAAAAACAACAAACAAGGAATTTTGGTGTAGAGGTAACGCAGGAGACTAGCGATCTAGACGTCACAGGTTCGACTCCCGGTGCCCGCAAGATTTTTTATTTTGTATTCTTTTTGGTCTAGTGGCTAACAGTCAGGTCTGGCGATCTAGAGACCAGAGTTCGATTCCTGATGCGCGCAAAATGTCCCCCAAACATTCCTGACCAAAAAACCACACACTTTTTCGATTGAACAAAGTCTGGGTTCATATATTGTGAATTTTATTGCGGGTACATTCCAGGTACACACGGGGAAAATCACCAGAGATTATCATCCAACCGCAAAACACCGTGTCTCGATTTCAACGCCATGGAAAATTCCTTCTTCCAACACAATAAATCGGGCCGCTGTGTAACATGTACCCAAAACAGGGAAAAAATTGTGAGAGAAAACCTCTGCGCGCGCAAAAAATAACAATTTATCATGTTCCCCCCACACAAAGTTCTTTTGTTATCACAGGTTATTTTGGGCGCGAGTGGATTTAAATATACAATTTCCACCAGCTCTCACAGAGCACCCTGTGGCCGAGTGGTTAACACACGCGCGCATGGATCTGAGAGCCCGAGTTCGAGTCCTCATGCGTGCGAGGTTTTTATTTTTTTTTTCTTTGATCATTTTTCAAAAATTTAATAATATTTCGGACAAAGTCCTTTTTCTCAGGATCGGGATCACAAGATTTCTCAATCTCAATTTTTAAAATTGAAAACTGTAATAAAATTTGGGGACATCTTATCTTATCTCAAAAAAATTGTATAGCCACACGTATCACACGTGGAATTTTTTGTTGAACCTTTTGGATTCGATCTAGTTGATTTTCAAGTGTTTTTTGGTAGGCACCGGGAATCGAACCCCTGACCTCTAGATCGCCAGGCAGCAGCGTAATCAAATTTCCTGCAAAACATTTTCCAAAGAAGCCAGAAAATTGGAGATAATCCAGGATTTTTCTATTTTTTTTTCTGAATCACAAAATCTTTTTGAAAAAAAAACAGATTTATTTATTTATTAGAAAAAAAAATACAAAACTAGAAAAAAACTAGCGAAAAAATGAAAATGTACAAAGGTGGGGGGATAAAGCTTTTTGAAATGCGCGAAAAATTTGTGAAACCCGTTGAAATTTTGGTGTTGACGTGTCATTGAAAAGATTAAGCTCAAAAGAAAAAGGCAGGGCGAAAAATGTCGAATTCAAACCGAAGTTGTCCATCTGCGTTCTGGATTTTCGGCCACAGCCAAGCTATTCGGTGCCACGTGGCAATCCTCGTCATCATCTGACGTCGCATCCATACTTTCCCATTTTTTGTCGATGGAGATGATTTTGAACATTGAGGAGACTTGCGAGACGATCGGTTCGGTGACGGCTTTTTCTTTTTTCGCGGAGAGACGACGAGTTGTGGCTGCTGGTTCGGAGGCGGTTCTTTGAGCGATTGAGGCTGAAAAAATCGATTTTTAGGTGAAATTTTCGGGATTTTCATCAAATTTCACCCCTGGGCTTTGTTTTATGTAGAAAACCTTGCTTTTTTTCGATTAAAACATAAAATTCAAAGGCTTCTCATTTTTTTTCAATTTTTGAGTCAGAAATCCTCTTTTATCAACGGCTTTTCAGTCAAAAACGTGTAAAAATGAAAAATTTCGAAAAAAAAATTTATTTTGCTTGTCCGAGAGAAATACACGGGGCGAGATATTTTGCGAAATGTGTGTGCGCCTTTAACCCGCCTACGGTATTTATTTTTTATTTTTTTTTTCGAAAATTTTAATTTTTCCCCGGAAAACCCGATAAAACTCACCATCTTGATCTTGTCGCCGTTTCGATGATCGAACAACACTTCGACGCAACGCGGAATAACCTTGCGCATCAGCGGAAACATCTTTGACAGCCGCTGGCGCTGGTTTATTGTGATTTTCATCGACGACATCTTCGGACGATGATCGATTCCGACTTGGCCACACAAACCATTTGGGTCCCGACTGGACTTCGATGACTTTGAAGCGAAAATCGCGTTTTGGCTTGGTGATGGCTGGCAACGATTCATTGCTCATGTTATTGTTGTTGGCGAGATTTGAGGAACCGGCGTTGATGCAGACTTCCATCATTTTGTGAGTTTTTTTTGGGGAGGAGAGAGGGAGTTCTGGAAAATTGGGAAATTTGGAAAAAATCGAGAAAAATGAGAAAAAATTGAAAAAAAATCAAGAAAATTGGATTTTAAGGCTAAAAAAGAAGCTAAGTCTAAGGTTTTGGGTAAGCCTAAGAGAATTACCTTAGGCTTAGGCTTAGGCAAGACCTTAGGCTTAGGCAAAACTATAAAAATTGAAAATCGCTTAGGCTTAGCCAAAACCTTAGGCTTAGGTCGAACAAAAACTCGTTAAAAATCGAAATTTTCTAAAATTGACTCAGGCTTAGGAAAAACCTTAAGCTTAGGCTTATCCTAAATCTTAGGCTTATTAGTTTTAGGCTTAGTCTAAAGACTAGGCTTAGGCTTAGAAAAAATCCTAGGCTTAGGCTTAGTCAAAATCTTAGGCTTAGTCTAAAGGCTTGGCTTAGGCTTAACGAAAATCTTAGGCTTAGGAAAAAACCTTAAGCTTAGGCTTAACCAAACCCTTAGGCTTAGCCTAAAGGCTAGGCTTAGAAAAAATGCTGGACTTAGGCTTAGTCAAAATCTTAGGCTTATTAGTTTTAGGCTTAACCAAAACTCTTTAAAAAATAAATTCAACACAAAAAAATTAGGAAAAACCTTAAACTTAGCTTTAAGTTTAGGTAGAAGACTCTAGACTTAGCCTAAACCCTTTGACCCCAAGAAAAAATGCTCGACAAAAAAATTGGCTGAATTTCGGACACACAACACAACAAAATTGCGTCGTTCTTTTCATATATGTAGAGAGGAGGAGGCAAAACGAAGTGGAGGCGGGGCTTTGGGCAAAAAAAAAAGAAGCGAAGCGATGAAAATGGGCGGAGCCGCTGCTGCTGGCGCCAGCCATCTTTTGGCTTGGCTTGGCTGCACTGTGTGTTTGCTGCATGTGACCTCCGGTTTTGTTTGTTCACACAAAAATGATGAGATGAGAGGACTGATAATAAACTCTCACAAGAATCAGAGAGGGAGAGAGAGAGAGAGTTAGAGAAGCAGAGAAGCAGAGAGAAAAACCGTTTTTGAACTGTCGGTTCACGTGAAAAAAATCGCAAAAAAAACTTTTTGATAGAAACAAATGTCATGAGAACCTATACATTTGGGCAATTCCTATTTGAAGTACAGTACCTTGTAGCCAGTGTGGAAAATTGGTAGATCATAAGAGAGGCTTTAAATTATGTACTGTAGATGAAATATTGGTGGAGGTTTTGGGGTACTGTAGGGTTACTGTAGAGGTTTTTCAAACATTTTGGTAGATTATAAGACAATGAATAGGTTTTGAAGTACTGTAGACATTGGTTCTAGGCATGTTTTAGTAGATCATAAGAAAATAGAAAAATCTAGGGGTACTGTAGGTGCCGCGTGGCTTTTGAAAAATCCAAATGTATTTATAAACGCACTACAGTAACCCTAAAATCTTGAAAAAACCTGATTTTGGATTTCTGAAAATCACAAGAAGCTTTTGGGATACTGTAGGTGTCACGTGGATTTGAGATATTGTAGGTCTCAAAAGGTCTGCCAAATGGATTTGAAAAAGTATAAAAAATCGAAAATCCTCGTGTCAAATAGATTACTGTAGATTTTCGGCACGAATTTTGAATTTTATTGAAAAAAATTCAAGAAATCCAAAAAATTTTGCAGAATTTTCACATTCAAAATGTCAGGGAAAAGTTTAGTGATAAAATTTTTTTCCGCCAAAAAAATCCCAAAATTTCAAGCAACAAACTATAAATAAATTAACCTTTCTCAAAAAAAACAAGATTTTTTGGGGTTGTCAAAAGATCAAAGAAGCAAATCACCTTAGAGAAAAGTTGGTTTGATGTTCGAATTTTTGATTTTATCAAAAAAAAAATGACCAAAGTGTTCCTCGTAAAATTTTTAATGTTCGAACATTTCTCAGACACTTTTGCAAAAAAATTTTCAAAAATCAGAAAAAAACACATTTTTCAAACATGACTAATTTTAGACACAAAAATTTTCCCACACACACAAAAAATTTGACACTATTTTGCTAATTGCCTGTCATACATGACTCATTTTTGTCCAGAAAATTGTTGTCTAAAAATTTTTGTCCGAGAGAAGTACACGAGAAAAAATTTTTGCCCCGAAAAACTTGTAAATAGCGCGTATCAATCGTGTGATTTTTAATGTTCATCGAAAAAATTTTCTATTTTTGGAAAATCAAAATCAACGAAAATGATATCATTTGGGATATCTTTGGTCTCAACTGGAAAAATACGCCGTGTACTTCTCTCGGACAAAAATTTTGTATTTTCCTAGACTCTCCTAGAATACACAGTAGTCCGTGTACTTCTCTCGGACAATATTTTGTAGCTCTCTAGACTGTCCTAGAATACACAGTATTCTAGGACAGTCGTGTACTTCTCTCGGACAACACACTTTCCTATCATAAAAGAAAAGACAGTGCACTTTTAAGCCGCGAAAAAAAATTTTTCAAAAAATTTTCAAAATCTTCTAATCAAAAAACAGAAAAAAAAATTCGCTGCGCGGAATTTTTTCAAGCAAAAAAAAGATAAGATAAATAAATAAATAGTTTTTTTTGGTAGATCAAAAAACCAAAAATCAATTAGCCACGTCACAAAAAATACGCAATTTTTTTTCGAAAAATGCGTATTTTTTGGCCAGTCTAGTGTAGTCAACAACAAAAAGTACATTTTTGAATCGAAAAAAATATGGTGTTTGTGTTGTCCGCGAGAAGTACACGGGGTTTTTTGACACGTGGAATTTTTCATTAAAAATCAAATTAATTCGGGGGTCGAAAATTTTCCACGTGGAATTTTGAACATTGAAAAAAATTTTTCAAAAAAACATTTTGTCCTCGAGAAGTACACAGGCCTTTTTTTGAGACCCAAAAATACCCTACAGTACCCCAAAAACCTACAGTACTCCAACTCTCACGAGGCACTTTTCGTCTAACTAAAAACAAAAATTAATTAATTATATATTTTGGCTTGTCCTCGAGAACTACACGAAAAATCAAAAATTCCAATTTCCTCCGAGAGAACTACACGAAAAATTCCAATTTTAGAAAAAAAAAATGAAAAATTATGGTTGTCCGAGAGAAGTACACGGGGATTTTTTGCCACGTGGAAATTTCTACAGTAACTCTTTGAGTTGTCCTCGAGAACTACACAAAAATTCAAATTTACTCCAAAAAAAAATGTTCTCCACGAGAAGTACACGAAAATGTTTTCTGGAATTCCAAAAGAACTACACAAAAATCAAAAATTCCAATTTCCTCCACGAGAACTACACAACACCGCAAAAATACCACGTAATAAAATAAATAAGAGCAAAACAACAAAATGAAAAAAAAAGGCGAGAGAGTGTTGGAGCACACGGAGAGACGCAGAGAAAAAACGATGACCGACTTTTAAAGAACGCCGTGCGTAGCGCGTAAACAAAATATATTATTATTAGGGGGAAAGTGAAAAATATGAAATCTAGGGGGGCGAGAGAGTATTGGTTGTAGAAGAGACGGGGCAGAGAAACGAGAGAGAAAGAGAGGGTGTAAAGAATATTTATTATTAATAATGGAAAATTAATATGTGAGAAAATAAGAGAGATTTATTATTGATTGATTGATTTTTGAACTTTCCACGTGGATTTTCGAAATTCTAAATTTCCACGTGGCGAATTCTGTTTTAAAAAAACTTAGAAGAAACTTGTTAGAACAAGGAAGAGGAAACAAAAAATAATTGGGAGTTTTCCTAACTTGAAACTTTTTTTGGTTCCGGGAAAATTGGATTTTTAAATTGCCACGTGGCAAAGTTTCAGAAGAAAAATTTGGTTTCTGAAAATGTCTGAAAATGTTCGTTCGCCGAGGTAATCAATCAAAATAAATTATCAACACACAGAAAATGAGTCAGAAGAGAGAGAAAAGTTCTAAAATTAAATTTTGGGGAGAACATTTTTTGAGAGAAACATTTTCAGAGTTGCCACGTGGCAGGGGGATTCTGAAAATGTTTCTGAAATTTCTGAGATTTTTTCTAAGCCTAAGCGATTTGCCTAAGCCCAAGCCTAAGATATTTCCTAAGCCTAAGATTTTTCCTAAGCCTAAGGTTTTACCTAAGCCCAAGGTTTTGCCTAAGCCTAAGCCTAAGATATTTCCTAAGCCTAAGATTTTTCCTAAGCCTAAGGTTTTACCTAAGCCCAAGGTTTTGCCTAAGCCTAAGCCTAAGATTTTTTCTAAGCCTAAGCAATTTGCCTAAGCCTAAGCGATTTGCCTAAGCCTAAGGTTTTTCCTAAGCCTAAGCCTAAGATTTTTCCTAAGCCTAAGATTTTTTTTTGAAATTTCAGATATTTCCTATAAGTCCATTTGCCACGTGGCAACTCACAAATCATTTCTTTTGCAAAAAAAAATCGTACCAAATTTTTTTGACCAAAGAACATTTTTTGCAGACAGTGTACATCTTTTTACTTTACATCTGCTTGAGTTCAAAAGATCAATCGCGATTTTCAGCATGAAATTGTCTGAAAATCTGAAATTCATGCTGAAAATCGTGATCTACATGAAAACTTGTTCTAGAAAAGTTCCCAGAGGGGTTTGAACCCTTGACCTTGCGCTTGAGAAGTTCTGAGGTAGATCACGATTTTTCACGTGTAAAATCCACGTCATCCAAAACTTCCCACGCGTAAATTAATTTTTTTTCGGGTCTATCGAATCCATTAACAGCATTTTTTAATGTATTTATTTTTTGTGCAGAGAGAGAGTGAGAGAGTGAGAGATTTAGAGAAGCAGAGAAAAATGAATGAATGAAAAACGAACGAATGGAGAAAATGGATGGAATATGTACGAATTAATTGCATTTACGTGGGCACCACACATTTTTTGTGCTCTTTTTTTGGTGAAAAAAAAAAAAGAAAAAGAGCCAAGGGCACAGAGATAATGCACTTTTTTTGCAGAAAATGGAGATTTAATGGGTTTCTTTTTGCACACTGAGATTTTTGGGGGCGAAATTTGGGCTGGAAAAAATTGTTTTCAGACAATTTTAGGGGGAAATTTGGGATCTACGTGAAAAAATGGGCTAAAAAGTTCTACCCGGAAGGTCGGGGGATCGAACCACACTGCCTGCGGAATTTTTTTGTAGCCCAAGTTTTCACGTAGATCACGATTTTCAGCATGAAATTGTGTGAAAATCCGAAATTCATGCTGAAAATCGTGATCTAGGTGAAAAAATGGGCTAAAAAGTCCTACCCGGAAGGTCAGGGGATCGAACCCCACTGCCTGCGAGATATTTTTTCTGAATAAAGTTTCTAGCCCAAGTTTTCACGTAGATCACGATTTTCAGCATGAAATTTGCTGAAAATCGTGATCTTCGTCAAAATTCAGGTCTGATCTCGTGTTTTTCCAAAAAAAAATGATTTTTTTGGTCTGTCATAATCCACGTCCAAAAAAAACAGCAGATTTTTTTTCGTCGCTTCCATGTGACGTAAGCGCAATTTTGTAGATAGCAGGCACATTTTGAGCGACGAGAAAAAAGTTTTAATCGTTTTTATGCGGAAAATTTTGTGTGATCTATAGTCTACTCGAAAAAAAAAGTTCCGCAGGCAGTGTGGCTCGATCCCTTGATCTTTAGATTCAAATTTTTCTAGACTAGTTTTTAACGTAGATCACGATTTTCAGCATGAATTTCAGATTTTCAGACAAATTTCGCGCTGAAAATCGTGATCTACTTGAAATTTCTGACAATTTCCAGTTATCACCTGATATTTTTTCTTGTCGCTGATCAAAATTACAAAAATGATATCACTCTAAAATTTTTTTTTTTTTTTTTGTGTGAAAAAAAATCCCATAAATTATTTTCCGTTTTTTTTTGCGAACTACGATGTTTTGAGATCAGAAACTAAGATTTTTCGAATTTTTGAGGGATTTTTGAAGAAAAATCACGTTTTCCACTTGGAATTTTGGATTTTCAGACAATTTCATGCTGAAAATCGTGATCTACATTGAAAATTGGTCTAGAAAATTATCACGCAGAAGGTCAGGGGATCAAACCACACTGCCTGCCAACTGTTTTTTTTTCAAAATTCAAAATTTTTCGCGTTAAAAACACTGTGACGTCACTATTTCTTCCATCTTCGCCGAAGCTAAAAATAAATTCGAAAATTCAAATTTTCCGCTCATTTTTTGAGCGATCTCTGAGTTCTCCGGGAAAAATTCGAAAAGTGCGTGAAAAATTAACATTTTCGAAAAAAAATGATGCGATTAAAATTTTTCAAAAACAAAAAAAAATGGGGAAAAAAACTACGGTAGATTATTTTGGGGATTTTTAATTAACGAGCAAAGTTTTGGAGAGAAGTGACGTCATAGGTTTCATTTTCAGAATTTAATTAGAAGGCTCTATGCTAGAAAATGGGAAAATAATCCACGTGGGGATTAAAGGGAGCTACAGTAATCCTGGGAAGAAATTTTGGCGCCAAAACTTCCAGTGAAATTCCACGTGGCAACAGAAAGGTTGAGCTAGATTTTTCAAAAAAAAAAATATTTCGCGGGCAGTGGGGATTGATCCCCTGACCTTCTGGGTGATAATTTTCTAGATCAGTTTTCAGCGTAGATCACGATTTTCAGCATGAATTTGAGATTTTCAGAGAATTTCAAGCTGAAAATCGTGATCAACATGAAAAATTGAGCTAGAAACTTTTATTAGAAAGTTTGAATTAAACAAAAAATCCACGTGGAACTCACAAATAAGTCAAACATTTTCAAAATTCAAAAACTAAGATCAGGTCAAAAAATTAAGACCAAAAAATCCACGTGACTCTTAAAATTGAGCTAAAATTTCAGAAAATGAGCTTGAAATTCAAATTTTCGCTCAAAAACTCTTCCAAAGTGCAAAGACTGCGAAAAATGAAAATGAAAATGAAAACTATTTTCGACATTTTTTTTTGCAGCGCTCGCTGAAAAATAGCACAAAAAGTATGCAAATATAAATATAGTATAGTGAAAAAGTATACATAAATAATACACGTTTAGTTTTGCTCCTATATATTATTTGTGCTCTTTTCTGTGAGCTCCAAAACTACGAGAGATTGCGCGAAAATGAGAGAGTGCGCAGAGAAAAAATGATAGTTTTCTGAGATAGTTCGAAGGTCATGGAACTGGATTTTTTGGGAAAAAAATGTTGCGAAAATAATTTTGCGAATTTTTAAAAATTGCACGTGGAATGGATTTTGCCACGTGGATTTTTGGCGCGAAAATTTGAAATTTAAAAAAAATTGAAATTGTTTTAAGCACCGTTATTTTTACTGGATTTCAAGATAGTTCGAAAATTAAATTTTGGCGCAAAAATTTGAAATTCAAAAAAAAATTTAATTCGCCACGTGGCTACCGTACTTTTAGGTACCGTAATCTTACTGAACTTCGAGAAAATTAAATTTTGCCGCCAGAATTTGAAATTCAAAAAATTTGAATATCAAATTTTGGCGCGAAAAAATAACTTTTCCAATTATTTGAACAAATTCTGGCCACGTGGAGTTTTAGTGCAAAAATTTGAAATTTGAAAAATGAATTTTTGGCGCCAAAACTTTACTGGACATCAAAAAATTTGGAAATTGAATTTTTGGCGCCAAAACTTTACTGGACATCAAAAAATTTGGAAATTGAAAATTTAGTGCAAAAATTCGAAAAATGAATTTTTGGCGCCAAAACTTTACTGGACATCAAAAAATTTGGAAATTGAAAATTTAGTGCAAAAATTTGAAAAATGAATTTTTGGCGCCAAAAAAATGCCACCAAAAAATCCATTTTTCGTATAGCTGCAAAAAAAAGAGAACAGCAAAAAAAACAACAAAAATTGACATTTTTTCTTGGGCGCCCAGAAAAATTGACCCAAACTTTGTTTTTTCGGGAAAAAAATCGGAATTTTCAAAATGAAAATAATTTTTTTTTTCGAAAAAAAATTTTACACAAAAAATGCGGTCCTCCGGTCATTTTTATATCACATTTTTCATTTTTCGAAAAAAATTTTTGAACAAAAAAATTTCGTTTCAGTATTGTTTCTCTTAGTTTTTGGGCGCGAAACTGGTTTTTTCGAAAAAAAATTGAAAAAAAAAAAAAGTTTGGGTCAAGATACTGAAACGGGCGGTCAAAAGGAAGTGATTTTTGGCGGGAAAAATTTTAAAATTTGAAATTTTATTGCCACGTGGATTTGAATATGAAAAAAAAAATTAAAATAAAAATTTTCAGAGTGAAAAATCCACGTGGCAAAAATTATCTGAAAATTTCGGTTCAAAAATTTTCAGAGAGAAAAATTCATCATACAGTATACCCTCCTCTCTCTGCGTCTCTAACCTAGCCTCATTTTAACACTGCGTCTCTAACATTTCTCGACAATTTTCAAGTTTCAGAGCTCAAATTTGTTCCCTACAGTAATTTTTTCCTATTTTCAGCTTTTTCTTTGTTTTTTGACCATCCAAAACACAACACAAAAAGAAATTGGAAATTGAAGAAAAAGTGGGATTCGAAATTAGTTTAGGCTTAGGCTTTTCCCATTTTTAGGTGTTCGAAAGAAGAAAAAACAAATTGAAATTGAAATTTCGAAATTCTGAAGGCGGAAATGGAAAGTTTCAGAGATCCGGGAACTTGAAAAATGGAATTTCTACAGTAGTTTTGCTACGTTTTGTCATTTTTTCTCCGAAAACTGATGAAATTCGACGTAATTGGTCACGGAAAGAGCACAAAAAAGTTTTGCACGAAAAAAATTTGATAAGATAAGAGAAAGTTCTGGAAAATTTTCCGGGGTCAGCGGATTTTTTTTGCAGGGTTGATTTTGAGACCAAAAATTTGGAATTTTTGGCTCAAAAACCGTGAAGTTCTCTCGGAGAACTCAAACCACAATTCAGAACAGCGAAAAAATGTGAAAAGCTTCTGCTTCTGCTTCTAGCTGCGCAAAAGTTAATTAAAGTCGCGCGAGAAAAAAAATGACGATGTGAAAATGAAAAAAAAAATGGAGCACAAAATGAGCTCTTGGGTTGGGGTGTAATTAAAAATGAGGAGAAGCTGATGAAATTCGAAAAATACTACAAAATTCCCATCGGAAAATCAACCTATGACGTGGCAAAACCGATTTTGAGTCGAAAAATTCAAGATTTTTGAACCCGGAAAAATTACGTTTCGAAATATTTTAAACTGAAAATTGACCTGATACTTTTTTGATTCTTTTTTTCCATTTTTTCTTCATAAAAAAGTAAAAAATATCTCAAAATCTTAGGAAAATTGGGATTTTCAGCCTCAACAAAAAGTTGTGCTGAAAATCTAAAACTATAGTCTAGTCTATAAAGTCCCAAAAAGAACAAAACACAGAGAACAAAAAAATTATTTCCGAGAAAAATTTTCATGAGCTCCATGAGCTCTCTTGGGACTTAGTCTAACTCACAAAAAAATGAGGAGAAAAGAATTCAAAAGTTGGGAATTTCACGTGAAAACATGGAATTTTTACGTGAAAAAAAGACGTGAAACGTGGCATTTTCAAGTTCTAATTTTCAAAAAAAATCAAGTTAGTCTAACTTTCACAAAGTTCAAAAGGTCTAACTGAAAATTCCAGCCAAAATTTTTTTCTGTTATAAATAAATAAATCAGCGCCGAAATTTTTTTCACACATGTGACAGTAGTTTGTGTGAAGAATTGAAGGAAAGAGAAGATTTGGGGGTAAATATTGACGCAAAATCGGCAAATTCTCCCGGAAAAGGAAAGGTTGCTCATATTAGGCTCGGGAGCCGCGAGAAAACTGGTTTGGGACAGGGATTGACGTACACGTGAAAAAAATTTTGAAAAAAAAAATTTAGAACGCGTGGATTCTTCACGTGAACTTGATGATGTGGCAATTTTCTTGCAGCTCAAAAATTTTGAGTTTTGCCACGTGGATCGAAAATTTCACACAATCTTCTAAAAAATCCACATCTCCATAAATGTTTCATGAAATTTCATCTCGAAATTCCCACGCCCTCCTAATTACGTTGAAAATTTATTTTGAGCATATAAAAAATCCAGAAAAATGGTCTTGAAATCTAGAAGTTCTACAGTACCTCTGACACGTGAAGTTCCAGAATATTCTGACTCATTTTTTGTCAAGTTTTCACGTGATTTTTCCATATTTGTTCAAACAAACTGTATTTATTTAGTCATACATTCAAAATTTCTTATTTATTTATTTATTTATTTGAGTTGTGTATTTGTCAAGGTGTTCCAGAAAAGAGGGTTGAAAATTTGTGAATTAGAAATATTTTCTAGATCAATTTTTAACGCTGAAAAAGCTGAAATCGCTTAAAATGAGCAATTCCAGCGTTTACAGCACGAAAAATTGATCTGGAACATGTTTTATGTGAAAATTTCAGACCCTCCATCATTCAAAAGGTTCCTCTATCTCCCTGAGCTACCAAAATATCTTCTACATCAATTTTTGCGCTGAAAACGCTGGAATCACTTAAAATGAGCAATTCCACATCCACGTGGAATTGAAAAAATCAATATTCTAAGCAAAATTACTATTCAAGAATGGATTTCTTCCAAAACACAGTTTAAGAGATTTTTGAGAAAAATAAAAGTCCTCACCATTTTTTCGCCATTTCTCCGCAATCTCCAATCCTTGTTTTGTCCATTCTGCAAAAAAATCATTTAAAACAACGATTTTCCAGCAAAAAACGGGGAAAAACGGTTTGCGAAAAAAAACAAAAACAAAAATAAATAATTGTCCGAGAGAACTACACACAGGTGAGTGGCTGGTTTTCTAGGCCACGGCCACACAGCAAATTTCTCTTTTTGTTGCATCCGCAATTTATTATTGTACGTGACCCTACATGTACCAATTCGTGGCATTGCTAAGCTGACGTTGCTTTAGCACTATAAAAGCCGTCAGACTCGTCATTTCTCGCTCTTTTTATTATTATTCTAATAAAGCTTTGTAAGCTCGAAAAGAAAAAAGGAGTAACACAACTAAAAACTGTAAGTTTTCAGAATTGTAGAATTTTTAGAAAACAATGTGATTTCTTTTGCAGGAAGTTGTTGAATTGGACAAAGAGGAGGAATTTATGAAGAATCCGAAGCTCGAAACGAAAAAAGGAAGATCACAGGTGAAAAAAAATCAAAACGTCTGATGACGAAATTTTTCATTCATCAAACAATGTCAAGGAATAGATTTATCGTTTGTGTCTACTGTGAAAACAGAGACCAAAGAAATCAAATGACTGTTATACCAGCAGATAAAGAAAAAAGAGAATAATGGATCAAAATTTTGGGAGCGAATTTCGGAATTAAAGTAATCGAAAAGCCTGCTTCGAAGAACGCAGGCTACATTTGTTTGAAACATTTCGCAAGTTTCCCCAAGAAGCGGTTGCCAAACGAGCTGCCGATAGCACAAGATGAGAAAGTTATGAAAGTGGAAAACATGGAAGTTGATGAAAGTATATGGGCTCAAGTAAGTTTTCAGAGCTTTGAGAAAAAATGTGATTTTTGTTGCAGGTTGAGAAATTGAATGTGAAACAAGATTGAATTGAGCCGAATTTTGCGACAAAAATAACCGAAAGTGGAATCTCGACATTGGATATTTCACCGAGATGCCGAATCTGCGTGGAAGTGCTGGTTGGCGAAGTGAAACCCGTTCCAATTGATCTAAAAAGTTTAGGTCAATGGGTAGAGGTCTTCGGACCTCGATTTTTTGAAAATATTCAGAATTTGCCTGCACCACATACAGTTTGTGCTTGTCATATTGATGACATGGATATTTGAAGTTGTGGAATTGGAGAAAGAGGACGAATTCATGAAGAATCAGAGAATCGAAAAAAAAAAGGAGAAACACATGTAAAAACTGTAAGTTTTCAGAATTGTAGAATTTTTAGAAAAAAATGTGATTTCTTTTGCAGGAAGATGTTGAATCAGACAGAAAGGAGGAATTGTTGAAGAATAAGAAAAGCGAGAAGAAAAAAGGCAAAAAACAGATGGCCGTACTCGACATATTCGATCGTTGCAGAGTTTGTAGCAGAATTATGAATGAAGAAACTAAGAGTAAACCAGTACCCACGGATTTTGAGCAATTCTCGAAATGGGTAAATGTCTTTGGAACAAATTTTTTTCTCAACATCTTCAACTTATCTTATCCTCACAGAATTTGTGAGAAACATATTTTCGAAGTTGATTGGAGCTAAGATAAATTTTTAGATTGCATTTTTATTATTATTTGAATAAAATAGTTTGTTTTAAAACATGACTATTGGTTTTTCCTTCAAAAAACCCGGTGAAATCACAAAACTATTCTCCGAAACTCTAGAATAATTGTTCCACACTTTTTTCTGGAAAAAAAAACTTTTGGGTTACTGTAGTCTTATGATCTACAGTAATCCGAAGACATCAATTTTAACGCTGAAAAAGCTGGAATCGCTCATTTATAGCATTTCCACCGTTTCGAGCGTGAAAAATTGGTCTGAGACATTTTTATCTGAAAATTGGAGACCCTCCATCATTCAAAGGGTTCCACTATCTCCCTGAGCTACCAAAATATCTTCTATATCAATTTTTCAAGCTGAAAACGCTGGAATCACTTAAAATGAGCAATTTCAGATCCACGTGGAATAAAATAAAGCAAAATTCTAAGCAAAAATTACTATTCAAGAATCAATTTCTTCCAAATACAGTTTACGAGATTTTTTGAGAAAAATAAAAGCACTCACCATTTTTCCGCCATTCCTCCGCCATCTCCAATCCTTGTTTTGTCCATTTCAATCATTCTGCAAGAAAAAATCATTAGAAATAACGATTTTCCAGCCAAAAACTGGGAAAACACGAAAAAAACAAAAAGAAAAATAAATAATTGTCCGAGAGAACTACACACAGGTGTGTGGTTTTCTAGGCCACGGCCACGCTTTGTCAGCATTTTTTTTACATTTTTCAAAGCGAAAAACACGATTTGAATGTGAAGAAATGAGCCGGCGGGACAATGTGATTCGAAGCTCGAAAAGAAAAACGGAAGATCACATGTTAAAAAAGTAAGTTTTCAGAATTGTAGAATTTTTAGAAAAAAATGTGATTTCTTTTGCAGGAAGAAGATGAACAATGGGATGGTAGAAATGAGGCGGAAATTGGAAAGAAGAAGGTGAAAAAAGAGATGAAAAGAGTAAGTTTTCAGAATTGTAGAATTTTTAGAAAAAAATGTGATTTCTTTTGCAGGAAGAATTGGAAGTTGATAAGAGAGTTGTGAAGAATCCGAAAAAGATCGACAAGAAAAACGGAATCGAAGAAGATCAAAAAGCGGAGAGAAAGAGAAACCAAATTTGTCTCTTTTGTGAAGCAACAAAACAACGCCACGAGATGACAAAGATACCGAAGATAAAAGAGAAAATCGATAAATGGATCGGAAATTTGGGAGAGGATTTTGGGAAGAGATTAGATGAAAATAATTTGAAATCCGCATATATATGCTTGAGCCACTTTCCGGGAATGACGAGCCGGGGGCTAAACGATGTGCCGATGGCTCGAAGCGAGGAAAATTTGGAACTGGCAAATGTTGAAGATGGAGAAAAGTTGTGCGATAAGGTAAGTTTTCAGAACTTTAGAATATTTTTTAGAAAAAATGTGATTTTTTTTCAGGTGGAAGAATTGCATTTGCAAGAAATTGGAGAAGAAAAGGAAAAGAGGAACGAGATGAAGATGGAGATGTGGCAAAGAGACGACACTGGTATTTCGCTGCTGGATATCTCACCCAAATGCAGAGTTTGTCTTGAAGTTCTTGATGGTGAAGCGAAGACAGTTCCAACTGATCAAAAAAGTTTGGGTAATTTGGTGAGATTTTTTGGACCCAATTTATTTACAAATATTTTTAATTTGCCGGGACCACATTATATTTGTTGTAATCATTTTGATGAAATTGATGTTTGAATTTGATATTTGATATATTTTTGTTATTTGAATGAAATATTTCGTTTTAAAACACGACTATTGGTTTTCTCTTCAAAAACCCGGTGAAATCACAAAACTATTCTCCGAAACTCTAGAATAATTGTGCCACACTTTTTTCTGGAAAAAAAAACTTCTGGGTTACTGTAGTCTTATGAACTACAGTAACCCGAAGAATATGATCATTTCATGGATCGTTCGAAATCGCTCAAAAAGCCCGTTTGACACAACATCATATCACTGAAGCCTAAAAAGCCCGGTTTTTGGCCTATTTTCACAGTATTTTTTGAATCACTAAAAGAATCCCAGGCTCTCTGAGAATATCTACAGTGCTTCTAGGATACTGTAGCTTCACATGAGGTTTTGAATTGTTCTACAGTACCCTAGGGTTACTGTAGGTAGTTTTTTATTTTTTTCATTTTTTTTTGACATCTCGTGAATACTATAAGCCTTTTTTCTTCTGCTGACAACCTTTCGGACGCCATTGATAACACCGAAAAAATCAGAACAACATCAGCAGGTGCTCAAAAAAACAACACAGAAAAAAATTGGAGCCAGGTTAGAGAGCACAAAATTGGACAGAAACACACGAGAAAATTGATAAGAAGAGGGGTTTCCTGTGTGTGGGAAAAATGAATAAAAAATTGGGGGATTTTTAAATGCGAAATTTCAAACTGCAAGGGGTACTGTATTTCGAACTGCAAGGGGTACTGTAGTATAACTAGTTCAGACAGGAAATTAAATATTTCAAAAATTCTGAACATTTTATAGAATTCTCAAAAACCGTATAGTTCTCTCGGAGAAATCAAACCACAATTCAGAACAGCGAACAAATGTGAAAAGCTTCTGCTTCTGGCTGCGCGAGAAAAAAAATGAACACAAAATGAGCTCTTGGGTTGGGGTGTAATTAAAAATGAGGAGAAGCTTGAAGTCATGATGAAATTCGAAAATACTACAAAATTCCCATTGGAAAATCGAGCTATGACGTGGCAAAAAAAAAAGGTTTTCTTTCAAAACTTTGCAGCATATGCGACAAAAAAACCATAAATTTTCTCAAATTCAGAATCCACGTGGCACAAAACCTACAGTACCTATTTTCGAAAAAATTCTGAAATTCCTAAAAAAAATTTTGACGTGAAAAAAACGTGACCCAAATTTTTTTCCAGCCAGAAAATCTTCACCACTCCCCATTTCTATCATCCGCGTCTCTTCCGCAATGTCGCTTCCGCCACATGCCGCAACCCATTCCCGACTAGTTCAATTCTACCGATTGCGCAAAGAAATCGCCGATCTCAAACAGAGTCCACGTGGCTACATCAAATCATTTCAAAAATTGCACAAAAACAAGGAGGTCTATATTTTCAAGGTTCAGGGAGATGGCGAGATTTACGGCAAGTCGATTTTGACGATTTCTGTTGATGTCACCCTGGATTATCCATTCAAGACACAGATTTTGAGATTTATTCATCCGGTGAGTGCGAAATTTGGAAAAATCCGAAAATGTTGATCTAGATATTATTTTTTTGGCTGTGGGCCTGTTGAAATTCGGACCTAAATAGGCTTCTCCAAAACTTAGACTTCTGTTAGGCCTAAACAAAAAAAAGAAGGCTTAGTTGACTTTTGATTTTGAAATGATACTTTTTTTATTCGAAAATTTGTTGAAAAAAGGTCATGGGACATTTTTGAAAAATCAAAGCTAACAAACAAATTTTTTTATTGATAACAAACAAGACTACGATCACTGGAACAAGATTTTTCATTTTTTAACAAAAAAAACTTTTTTTTTTGAGGGGATTTTCTAGAATCCACGTGGCAATTCAATTTTCCTCCTGCGCAGATTTTTCCTCTTTCGCCTCTTCAGCTTCTTCATAATTCAGATTTGCGTCGACAAATTTTCCGGTTTTCACGCCGACCGCTTCGAGAACTTCGGTTAACCGGCTCGAATAATCCATGTGACCTTTGACCTGCGAAAATTTTGTTGGGTTTTTGGGAATTCAAAATTTTGCTAGGAAATTTTGAAAATTTATTTTTGGCGGTAAAAACTTTGAAATTTCAGATTTTCAAAAAAAAAAATTCTTTTGGCGCCAAAAACCAAAAAAATTTTGGGTTTCGAAACGATTTATTTCAATTTTTAGAGCCAAAAATCGCTTCAAGACCTAAAATTTGTAAAAATTTCGATTTTTTTGGGTCTCGAAGCGATTTTTCAAAATTTTAGCGCCAAAACCCTTGAAAATCGCTCCGAGACCCAAAAAAGGTTCAATTTGGCGTCAAAAACCGCTTCAAGACCAAAAAACTGCGAAAATTTCGAATTTTTGGGTTTCGAAACGATTTATTTCAATTTTTAGAGCCAAAAATCGCTTCAAGACCTAAAAGTTGTAAAAATTTCGATTTTTTTTGGGTCTCAAAGCGATTCATTTTTATTTTTGGCGCCAAAACCTTCGAAACTCGCTCCGAGACCCAAAATAGGTTCAATTTGGCGCCAAAAATCGTTTCAAGATGAAAAGGAGTGAAAAATTCGAATTTTTGGGTCTCGAAGCGATTCTTCAAAATTTTTGGCCGCAAAATTCTTGAAAATCGCTTTGAGACCCAAAACTACTAATTTTTACTCTCTAAGATCGTCCCAAGATCAAAACACCGTGAAAAAAAATCAATTTTTGGCGTCAAAAATCGCTTCAAGACCAAAAAACTGTGAAAATTTCGAATTTTTGGGTCTCGGAGCAATATTTTTCAAATTTCCCGCCCAAAACGCACTCACAATATGACTCAAATTATAAATATAAATCTTCTTATTCGTCTGATTTTCCACGGGTCCAGTTCCAGAAATTCGAAATTGTACACTCATTGTTCGATACAAGAATCGGAGTAGCCAATCAGTCTCACAATATCCATTTATGACTCGACCGCTCACCACTTTACACACTTTTGCCCATTCTTTTGGTGAAGCTGTGACTGGGGCGCCGAGAAGAATAGTAATATCCCTGGTAAAACTCCGTATTCAAATAGCCGCGGTGCACACAAAACGCGCCAACGTCAAAGCACTGACGTGTTTGTGTTGCGCATTTCTGGTTTTGCTTAGTTTTTCAAGTTTTCGAACCGAGTTGAGCTTTTGATTGTTTTCTAGGGTTTTAGTAGGTTTTGTGTCTCGGGACGGTCCTAAACCGTCCCCCTTCTTGTCATAATATGATTTGTAGTCAATAAATGATTGCACATCAACCTTTTCGTGTATTTATCGTTTGTGTAAGTGGTTGTGATCCACTTCAATCTTTGTTGCTGGAAAGGAGTTCAAGGGAACCAAACCTTGAGCTGCCTACTTGGGGGCCGAACTAAAACCGATCGAGGAACCAGATGGACTTGGCGAATCGAGAGGAAATATGGATTGTTGGATTTTCGTCGCAACTCGAAGAAATCTTTGAGTGAATGAAGATTTATTTGATTTTATTGATCGATATGCTGCTTATTCGTGTATTTTGTTCGTGCTGGGGTCGACGCGACATTTGTCGGAATCCGGCAAACGTAACTGTCTGAATCAGATAGTTTATGTCGTCGTTGACCTAAAATCGTCAATTTATTCGTATTTTTGCAGTCCGACAACTCCATATCAACAAAACTGGCAATATTGAGACATCCGATTGAAATATTATGGATTGGAATGACAATGGATGGGATTTTGCGAGATGAAAATCGAAAAAATCGAGAATTCGATATCAGGAGTTTGTGGAAGATGGAGAATCGGAAGAAATGTAGTCTGGAAGTGGAGCAGAAGGTCGATTGGTGAAATCGAGATGATTTGGATGCTAGAGGAAGCTCCAAAACCTGTTCGCATGGAGGATATGTTGTCTGAAGATTGTTGGAAGCAAATGGTATGATTTTTGAAGGAAAGATTCAAGAAAACTCAAGGTTGTGGAATTTCAGGAAAAAGAGTCAGAATTTGGAAGAGGAGGAAGCTACTCGAAGGGTCGAGGGATAGGTGCGAAGAAAAAGGGTAGGAAATCCTGCACCGAAGTCCGAAAATAGCAACTCCATGAATAATGGAAGCGATCGAACGTCATTTAATGGTTATTTGGCGCCAAGGTGGACACCCAGGTGAACGTGTTTCGATGCGCTGAAGTTTGGATATACTTCCGAAGGATGAAATTTGGCTGAATGGTGCAAGATATTGGTGTGGTGTATGGCCAAAGCATCGGAACCAAGCACACAATTATTGGAAAAATGGCGCTGGAGACGCTGGAAATTTGAAGAAAATGAATGTTGAAGATGAAAGAAATCATGTTGAAGATTCAATTGGATGCGCGTCGTGGAGTCTGGATGTTCGGAGGTCGAAAGTAGATAGGGATCGAAATCGATGAGAAATAGGATTCCGATGGCATGGATTGATGATTTATGAATTTGTTGAACAAAAAGTTGATGTGGATTGAATGGTTGATGGAAAGATTGGTAGGATGGGATGAGTTCAAAATCGATATCAAACGGTGTTGATGATCGACAACAATTGGATAAATAAATGAGGTGTAATTTGTTTATTTTTTGTTAACTCATGCCCTAAGCTCTGCCAACTCTACGGTTTTATAGTAAAGCCGGGACGGCTTTTTTGAAGGAGGGGGAAGTAATATCCCTGGTAAAACTCCGTATTCAAATAGCCGCGGTGCACACAAAACGCGCCAACGTCAAAGCACTGACGTGTTTGTGTTGCGCATTTCTGGTTTTGCTTAGTTTTTCAAGTTTTCGAACCGAGTTGAGCTTTTGATTGTTTTCTAGGGTTTTAGTAGGTTTTGTGTCTCGGGACGGTCCTAAACCGTCCCCCTTCTTGTCATAATATGATTTGTAGTCAATAAATGATTGCACATCAACCTTTTCGTGTATTTATCGTTTGTGTAAGTGGTTGTGATCCACTTCAATCTTTGTTGCTGGAAAGGAGTTCAAGGGAACCAAACCTTGAGCTGCCTACTGAATCACATCTTCAATTATACCTGCAAAATAGAGAAAATAGTGTGTGATTTTGAGAGAGTAAACTGAGCAATTCCAGCGTTTTCAGCGCGAAACATTGATCTGGAACATGTGTTATGTGAAAATTGGAGAGCCTCCGTCATTCAAAGGGTTCCTCTATCTCCCTGAGGTACCAAAATATCTTCTATAACAATTTTCACGCTGAAAACGCTGGAATCACTTAAAATGAGCAATTCCAGATCGACGTGGAATAAAATAAATCAAAATTCTAAGCAAAAATTACTATTGAAGAATAGATTTCTTCCGAAACAGTTTACGAGATTTTTTGAGAAAAATAGAAGCACTCACCATTTTTTCGCCATTTCTCCGCCATCTCCAATCCTTGTTTTGTCCATTTCAATCATTCTGCAAGAAAAAATCATTACAAATAACGATTTTCCAGCCAAAAACTGGGAAAACACGAAAAAAACAAAAAGAAAAATAAATAATTGTCCGAGAGAACTACACACAGGTGTGTGGTTTTCTAGGCCACGGCCACGCTTTGTCAGCATTTTTTTTTACATTTTTCAAAGCGAAAAACACGATTTGAATGTGAAGAAAACGGGACAATGTGATTCGAAGCTCGAAAAGAAAAACGAAAGATCACATGTTAAAAAAGTAAGTTTTCAGAATTGTAGAATTTTTAGAAAAAAATGTGATTTCTTTTGCAGGAAGCAGTTGAATTGGGAGAAGATGACCAAGTGTTGGAAAATGAGAAGAAAGCGAAGAAGAATGGAAATAGATTGGTGAAAAAAGTAAGTTTTCAGAATTGTAGAATTTTTAGAAAAAAATGTGATTTCTTTTGCAGGAAGCAGTTGAATTGGGAGAAGATGACCAAGTGTTGGAAAATGAGAAGAAAGCGAAGAAGAATGGAAATAGATTGGTGAAAAAAGTAAGTTTTCAGAATTGTAGAATTTTTAGAAAAAAATGTGATTTCTTTTGCAGGAAGAGATTGAATTGGATGAAGATGAACAAGTGTTGGAAAATGGGAAGAAAGAGAAGAAAATTGGAAAGGAGATAGTTAAAAGAGTAAGTTTTCAGAATTGTAGAATTTTTAGAAAAAAATGTGATTTATTTTGCAGGAATAAGTTGAATTGGAAGAAGATGAACAAGTGTTGGAAAATGGGATGAAGGAGAAGAAGAATGGAAAAAGTCAAGGAATGACAAGAAACCGATACTTCCATTGTCTCTTCTGTGAAAAAAGAAAACAAAGAAGCGAAATGACAACCATTCCGCTGGATGAAGAAAGAAGAAATCTATGGATCGAAATTTTGGGTGATAAGTTTAGAAAGAAAGTAGTGGAAAATGAATCGAAAACCAGCTACATATGCTCGAAACACTTTCCAAGCTTTCCCAATAGGCGGTTGCCCAACGAGCTGCCAATTGCTCAACGCGAGGAAGATGTGGCAGTGGAAAATAGGGAATCTGGAGAAAGTTTATGTGCTCAAGTAAGTTTTCAGAGCTGTAGAAAATTTTTTTAGAAAAAAATGTGATTTTCGTTGCAGGTTGAGAAATTGAATGTGAAAGAAGATGGAGATGAAATGGCAAAGATGATGGAGATTGAGATGGAGATGAGGCGAAATGTAGATGAGAAAGATGGGGATGATAAAGATGAAAATGAGCCGATTTTTGAAACAGAAGAAGCCGAAACTCAAATATCGACATTGGATATCTCACCCAGATGTCGAATTTGCGTGAAAGTGCTTGATGGTGAAATCAAACCAGTTCCAATTGATCTAAAAAAATTGGGTCATTGGGTGAAGGTCTTCGGACCCAATTTTTTTACAAATATTCAAAATTTGCCGGGACCACATTCAGTTTGTGCTTGTCATATTGATGAAATGGATATTTAAATATTTTTTTCTGTTGAATAAATTTTATTTCGTTTTAAAACACGACTATTGGTTTTCTCTTCAAAAACCCGGTGAAATCACAAAACTATTCTCCGAAACTCTAGAATAATTGTTCCACACTTTTTTCTGGAAAAAAAAACTTCTGGGTTACTGTAGTCTTATGAACTATAGTAACCCGAAGAATTCGATATTTTCATGAATCGTTCGGAATCGCTCAAAAAGCCCGTTTGACACAACAACAATTCAGTTAAGCCCGGTTTTTGGCCTATTTTCACACAGTATTTTTTGAATCACTAAAAGAATCCCAGGCTCTCTGAGAATATCTACAGTGCTTCTAGGATTACTGTAGGTAGATCAAAGTTTCGCGATCAACGATCAAACCCAAAAAATCAACAATTTTCATCATATTTTTTATTTTTTTCATTTTTTTTGACATCTCGTGAATACTATAAGCCTTTTTTCTTCTGCTGACAACCTTTCGGGCGCCATTGATAACAAATTCGACAAAAAATCAGAACAACATCAGCAGGTGCTCAAAAAAACAACACAGAAAAAAATTGGAGCCAGGTTAGAGAGCACAAAATTGGACAGAAACACACGAGGAAATTGATAAGAAGAGGGGTTTCCTGTGTGTGGGAAAAATGAATAAAAAATTGGGGGATTTTTGAATTTGTAATTTCAAATTGCAAGGGTACTGTACTTCGAACTGCAAGGGGTACTGTAGTATAACTAGTTCAGACAGGAAATTAAATATTTCAAAAATTCTGAACATTTTATAGAATTCTCAAAAACCGTGTAGTTCTCTCGGAGAACTCAAACCACAATTCAGAACAGCGAACAAATGTGAAAAGCTTCTGCTTCTGGCTGCGCGAGAAAAAAAATGGAGCACAAAATGAGCTCTTGGGTTGGGGTGTAATTAAAAATGAGGAGAAGCTTGAAGTCATGATGAAATTCGAAAATACTACAAAATTCCCATTGGAAAATCGAGCTATGACGTGGCAAAAACGATTTAAGGTCGAAAAGTTCAAGATTTTTGACCCCGGAAAAATTAGGTTTCAGAATATTTTAAACTGAAAATTGACTTTATTAAATTCTGCTTCTGATGGAACTTTTTTTTTACATCGTCTTCTTTCAATACTTTGCAGCATATGCGACAAAAAAACCATAAATTTTCTCAAATTCAGAATCCACGTGGCACAAAACCTACAGTGCCTATTTTTTTCCAAAAAAAATTCTGAAATTCCCAAAAAATCTCATACGTGAAAAAAACGTGACCCAAATTTTTTCCAGCCCGAAAATCTTCACCGCTCCCCATTTCTATCTTGTTCCGCGTCGCATTCCGCAATGTCGCTTCCGCCACATGCCGCAACCCATTCCCGACTAGTTCAATTCTACCGATTGCGCAAAGAGATAGCCGATCTCCGGCAGAATCCACGTGGCTACATCAAATCATTTCAAAAATTGCACAAAAATAAGGAGGTCTATATTTTCAAGGTTCAGGGAGACGGCGAGATTTATGGCAAATCGATTTTGACGATTTCTGTTGATGTCACCCTGGATTATCCATTCAAGACACCGATTTTGAGATTTATTCATCCGGTGAGTGGGAAATTTGGAAAATTCGGGAAATTTTGATCTAGATATTATTTTTTGGCCTGTGGGCCTGTTGAAATTCGGACCTAACTAGGCTTCGCCAAAATTTAGGCTCATCTTAGGCCTGTCTAAAATTTAGGCCTAACTAGGCTTGTCCAAAACAAGGCTTTTATTAGGCTTGTCCAAAATAAAGGCCTGATTTAGGCTTCTCCAAAATTTAGGCTCATGTTAGGCTTGTCAAAAATTAGGTCTGTTTTAGGTTTGTTAAGATTAGGGCCTTGCTCAAAAACCAGGCTTACCCTTAGGCCTGTCAAAATAAAGGCCTGATTTAGGCTTTTCAAAATCCAGGCCCGATTTAGGCCTGGTCGAAATTGCTCAAAAATCGGGCTTACCCTTAGGCCTGTCAAAAATCAGGCATAAATTAGGCCTATCCAAAAATAGGCTTGTCAGAATAAAGGCCTACTTAGGCTTCTCCAAATTTAAGGATTAACTTAGGCTTGTCAAAATAAAGGCCCGGTTTAGGCTTGTCAAATTTTGAGGCTTAGGCTTAGGCTTGTCAATTTCAAAGCCTAATTTAGGCCTGTCAAAAATCAGGCATAAATTAGGCCTAACCAAAAAAAGGCTTAGGCTTAGGCTTGTCCAAAACAAGACTTCTATTAGGCTTGTCCAAAATAAAGGCCCAACTTAGGCTTGCTCAATCAACTGTAGATCAAAAGCTCTAGTAACTAGATTCTAGTTCAAAACATTTCCAGACTACATTCTAGTTTGCAGCTTTACCATCCAAACGTCGACGTGGCAACCGGCGAAATTTGCTCATCACTTTTGACACAAGAAAATTGGAAACCTGAAACTACCATTGAAGATGTGCTGATCAATGTTCTGTGTCTACTTTCAGGTGAATTTTTGGGCCTGAAAACTGGGCCACGGTCCAATTTACCAGGCCCAAAATATTTTTTGCAGAGCCCGATTTATCTAGGCCCGTAAATTTGGAAGCCGCCAACGAATGTATTCTCCAAAAATCGCAATATTTGGCGAAATGCAAAAAACTCGCAGCAAAATTGACAAGCTAACCGCATTTTTCCAAATATTTTCTTCTACAAATATAAAAGTTGACTTTTGATTTTGAAATGATACTTTTTTTATTCGAAAATTTGTTGAAAAAAGGTCATGGGACATTTTTGAAAAATCAAAGCTAACAAACAACTTTTTTTATTGATAACAAACAAGACTACGATCATTGGAACAAGATTTTTCATTTTTTAACAAAAAAAACTTTTTTTTTGGGGATTTTCTAGAATCCACGTGGCAATTCAATTTTCCTCCTGCGCATATTTTTCCTCTTTAGCCTCTTCAGCTTTTTCATAATTCAGATTTGCGTCGACAAATTTTCCGGTTTTCACACCGACCGCTTCGAGAACTTCGGTTAACCGGCTCGAATAATCCATGTGACCTTTGACCTGCGAAAATTTTGTTGGGTTTTTGGGAATTCAAAATTTTGTTAGGAAATTTTGAAAATTTATTTTTGGCGGTAAAAACTTTGAAATTTCAGATTTTCAAAAAAAAAATTCTTTTGGCGCCAAAAACCAAAAAATTTTGGGTCTCGAAGCGATTTATCTCAATTTTTAGAGCCAAAAATCGTTTGAAGACCAAAATTTTATGAAAAATTCGAATTTGTGGGTCTCGAAGCGATTGTTTAAAATTTTTGGCGCCAAAAACCTTGAAAATCGCTTTGAGACCCAAAAAAGGTTCAATTTGGCGTCAAAAATCGCTTCAAGACCAAAAAACTGTGAAAATATCGATTTTTTGGATCTCGGAGCGGTTTTCTGAAATTTTTGAAGCCAAAAATCGCTTCAAGACCAAAAAATTGTAAAAATTTCGATTTTTTTGGGTCTCGAAGCGATTTTCCAAAATTTTTAGCCCCAAAACCCTTGAAAATCGCTCCGAGACCCAAAAAAGGTTCAATTTGGCGCCAAAAATTGCTTGAAGACCAAAAAACTGTGAAAATTTCGAATTTTTGGGTCTCGAAGCGATTTATTTTAATTTTTAGGGCCAAAATCGCTTCAAGACCAACATTTTGTTAAAAATTCGAATTTTTGGGTCTCGCAATGATTTTTTTCAAAATTTTTGGCGCCAAAACCCTTGAAAATCGCTCCGAGACCCAAAAAAGGTTCAATTTGGCACCAAAAATCGCTTCAAGACCAAAATTTCGTGAAAATTTCGAATTTTTGGGTCTCGAAGCGATTTATTTTAATTTTTAGGGCCAAAAATCGTTTCAAGACCAAAAAGAGGTGAAAATTTCGAATTTTTGGGTCTTGGAGCGATTCATTTTTATTTTTTGGGCAAAAATCGCTTGAAGACCTGTGAAAATTTCGAATTTTAGGGTCTTCGAGCGATTGTTCAAAATTTTTGGCGCCAAAACCTTCGAAACTCGCTCCGAGACCCAAAATAGGTTCAATTTGGCGCCAAAAATCGTTTCAAGACCAAAAAACTGTGAAAATTTCGAATTTTTGGGTCTCGGTGCGGTTTTTTGACATTTTTAGCCCCAAACCCCTTGAAAATCGCCCCGAGACCCAAAAAAGGTTCAATTTTGGCGTCGAAAATCCGCTTCAAGACCAAAAAACTGTGAAAATTTCGAATTTTTGGGTCTCGGAGCAATATTTTTCAAATTTCCCACCCCAAAATGCACTCACAATATGACTCAAATTATAATTATAAATCTTCTTATTCGTCTGATTTTCCACGGGTCCAGTTCCAGCAATTCGAAATTGTACACTCATTGTTCGATACAAGAATCGGAGTAGCCAATCAGTCTCACAATATCCATTTATGACGCGGCCGCTCACCACTTTACACACTTTTGCCCATTCTTTTGGTGAAGCTGTGACGGGGGCGCCGAGAAGAATCACATCTTCAATTATACCTGCAAAATAGAGAGAGAGAAAATAGTGTGTGTGATTTTGAGAGAGACGCAGAGAAATTCGTCCCTTTTTAATATGAGCAATGCTTCATTCTTCTTGTATTTTGGGGGTCTATATTTTTCTATTGAAAAAAAAAGAACGAATTTTTATTTTTCAAAAAAAAAAAAAACGTACGTGAGATGACAAAACAAAAAAAACTGCTGGAATTTTGGTGGCATTTTGTATTTTTTGAAAAAATACACAAAGCGAAATGGACAGCGATGGAAATGTGAGTTTTCAAAAAAAATTTTTTGAAAAAAAATATAATCTGATTTTTGATGCAGAGTGTAAATTCAAGCGAAGATGAAGCGTTCGAAACTTGTCGTGTCTGTGAAGTGGATTTGGATGAATCTATTGAAAAAATCAGGATTCCAATGGATCCTCAAGAAGCGATGAGATGGATTCAACTTCTTGGCCAAAGGTGCTTCGAAAATTGGTATACCTATCCTGCCCCGCATTTCATTTGTATGAACCATGCATTAGATCATGATTTGATTTGTTGAATAAATGCATTTTTTTTGAAATTACTCGAATATCCTCTGAGAAGAAACTTCTGGATTACTGTCGTCTTCTGAACTACAGTAACCCGAAACTAGTCAATTTTTGGGAGTACTGTAACAATTATTATTATTTTTTTGTTGTTAAAATAGTATGTGATTTTGAGAGACGCAGAGATTATTTTTGACCTCAAAATTCCACGTCATTTTTGTCACGTTTTTTTTCAGAAATTAATTTATTTTCCTTCTGTCATGTGATTTTTCAAGAGAGATGAGTAAACAACGAAAAATCGTAGTTTTTTGGCTAAAATTGGATTTTTTGTGAGTCATCATGGAATTTTTTGGGGGACTTTCAGGAGAAAAAAATCAATAGAATTCAATGTTTAATATGAGCAATGCTTTAATTTTAGATTTTCTGGGGGTATTTTTTAAATATGAGCAATCGTATAATTTTGAAAAACCGTCCAAATTCCAAAAAAATTTGGGCTATTTATGAGGTTTAATATGAGCAATGCTCAGTTTATTATTCAAATTTTGTATTTTGGAGATCTTAATTTAAGACTAATATGAGCAATGCTCTGATTTTAGATTTTCTGGGGTATTTTTAAATATGAGCAATGATATAATTTTCAAAAATCCTTCAAATTCTAAGAAAATTGGGCTTTTAATTAGGTTTAATATGAGCAATCTTTCAAATTTTAGATTTTCCGGTTATTTTTTTTAATATGAGCAATGCTGAATTCTAGATCTAATGTTCGGTATATCATGTTAATATGAGCAATGCTCTTATTTTCTTAAAAACCCTTATTTTCTAAAGAAAATTTGAAGTTTTTTATGAGCAATCGTCTAGTTCTTATTGATCCGTGGATAAATCAGAATTTTTGCAAGATTAATATGAGCAATGCTCTAAAAGCCTTTATTTTACATAGAAAGTATTGCAATTTTAAGGTTTAATATGAGCAATGCTCTAAATCCCTTAAAAACACTTACCCGCACTCTCGGCCCGTTTGCTCATCGTCAACAAACAATAAAAAATAACCCTGGCTCCCAAGCTGAACCCAATCAATGTAATCGGCCGTTTCCCATGCGATCTGCTCAACAAAACTTCGGCCAAATGTTCGCCAACTTCAGCCGCGCGGGAAATACAAACATTCCACGGATTATCCAAAACCGATGAGACCGAGATAAGGGCCACAGGCCAAGCGACAGCTGAAACCAGGCCAGCCAGGGCCGTCTCCAGGAGGGTTTGTTGAATTGCCACACTCACTGCGAAACTCATCAGATACTCAATAGCATTTCCGAGTTCTTGTAAGTATTCAGATTCATATCGCAAACTGTACTGCTCTTTGGAGTGTTGTAGATTCCGCCACTGATGTTCGAAAGCTTGTTCGGGACTTGTGTCACTTTCGATCCAACCGCTTACAACTAGAGTGCATTTGAGGGAGGAGGCCGTGTTGGTTAGGGTTTCGATGGTGAATTCTTCGATGGCGCCGACGCGTTTTTTCATCTGTGGGGAAAAAATTGGATTATTTTGAGACTTGGCTGGAATTTTCAGCAAAAAAAATTCGAATTTTTAGTTCTCGAACCTTTTTTTTGAAATTTCTGGCACCAAAAACCTTGCAAATCGCTTCAAGACCCAAAAAACGTTCAATTTAGCGCCAAAAATTGCGTCAAGACCAAAAAACCGTGAAAAAATCAATTTTTTGGGTCTCGAAGCGATTTTTCAAGAATTTTGGCGCCAAAAATCGCTTTAAGACCAAAATACCGTGAAAATTTCGAATTTTTGGGTCTTGAAGCGATAAATCGTCCCCAGAAGTCCAGATTTTTTGATTTTTTTAAGCCCTGGAGTATTTTCTGAAATTTTCAGCACAAAAATGATTCTTAACAATTTGTTTTTGCTTGAAAAAAACATTCGAGATTATTTTCAGTCAATTCTGAAGATCTCTGAAATTTTCAGCAAAAATTTCTAGCCTTTCAAAAATCTTTCAATTTTTTTTTAAATTCTGAATTTCAAAATTTTCAAAATTGAATATTGCCACGTGGATTTTTCGGCGCGAAATTTTCAAAATTTTTCAATTTTGTGAAATTTTTTTCTTGTCTGGAATTTTCAGCAAAAAAGTGCTTCTTAACAATTTGTTTAGGATTTTGTTGCTTATAAAAAACTTTGAGAGATTATTTTGAGCTCTGAAATTTTCAGAAAAAATTTTTACATTTTTAGAAAGGATGTTCAAAAGGATTTTGGAGCTCAGAACTTTTTTTTTTGAATTTTTTTTGAATTTCAAATTTTTTAAACAAAAATAAAAAAAGAGATTCAAATATTGGATTTTTCGGGGCGGAAATTTCGAAATTTTGAAAATTTGTTTTTTAGAGCCAAATTTTTTGAATTTCAAAATTTCGCTTTTTGACACCAAGTTTTGCCACGTGTATTTTCTACGCTGAAAATTCACACAGTTTCAGCGCTCTTCAAAAATTTCCAGATCATTTTTGTGCCACGTGGATTTATGATTTTGAGCCCGACAAAAATTGCTAGAAAATTTGAGGATCTTATTTTTCCACGTGGATTTTGTATGAAAGAAAATTCAAAAATCATTGTTTTCTGGACATGGAAATTCGTGTTTTTTTTTGAAATTTATTAAATTTAAACCAGATATACAGTAACCCACCTTATACCCGGTGAAACCAGCTCCAGCCACACCCATCGTAGTTCCCAGCACCGCAGCTCCCGCAGTCGTCGCCAATCCCGCAATCGCCGTGCTTCCAACTAACATTCCGGCTGACGCGGCGATGAAAGGCGCCGCAAGACCGCCCGTGAGCCCAATTAGAACGCCGCCCACGCCGCCGGCGGCGCCTATCATTAGAGCGCGTTTGATTTTCTTGTTGCGAGACGTTTTTTCGCGCATCTTCCGACTGTGCCTGGAAAAAATGTGGTTATGACGTGGCAATTTTAAAATTTTCACAATATCACAACATTTCTACAACTTACCCAGATAGGATAATACTTCTGAAAATCATTTTTTTGTCCAAAAACAAAAATTTTTTTTTCAAACTCAAAAAACCCACTCAGTTTCCACAAATTGTTCCTCCAAAATCGTGGCGGCTAGAGAATCTTCAATTTCCTCGAAATCGCTCCAAATTACACCTAAAAGTGTGCCCAGGTGACGAAAAAGGACACGGTAGCGGCTATCGTAGTTGCCTGTGGAAAATTTGGGATTAATATGAGCAATGTGTGTATTTTTGTTGTTTTTGGGGGGGTTTCTAGCTGATTTTCTGATTGGGTTTAACCTGAGCAATGTCTTAATTTTTGAAAAATATATATTTCGAGAGAATTCCAGATCATTTTTACCATGAGCAATGATTATAGTTTTTGAAAATTGTTGAGAATTTTCTATATAGCATGAGCAATGTTTCTAATTTTGAATTTGAGCCTCAATTTTGTTTTGAAATCAAAAAATCGTGTAATTTCAGACTAATATGAGCAAGTTTCCAAAAATTTCAAATTCAAGAGGAATTTTCGAACATTAATATGAGCAATGCTCTATGTTATTCAAATTTTCCCCAAATTTTCGCTAACATGAGCAATAATCTCACCAGTTCCAACAAATGCAAAAAGTAGAGGAACCAACAATGCTCCAGATCCATCAGATTTGACAATCGGATCTTCGCGAATCGATAGAATCATCGGAGCAATATCGGACAACTCTTCTTCGCCTTCCAAATGTGTTTTCATAGTTCGGATAACTTTTTCGGGTAAATTCAAGCATCTTGTGACAATGTCGAAAGTTTCTTTGCAGAAGAAGCTGAAAACTTGACATTTTTGAAGCCGGAAAATGTATTTTTCAAGATTTTCTGTAGGAAAAATTGAGGATTGAATTTTTTCCGAAAAAAAACTATTTTTTCTGGAAAAAATGAGATCCACGTGGCAAAATCGAAATTTTTCAGTACTCACATCGCCGTCGCATCATCATCATCCCAAAAATCCAATCGTAGCACCGTAGTTGTCAGATTTGCCAGCGCGAAACGCGTGGCAGGTTGCAGTTGGGTTTCGGGTGATTCCAGGGATTTGCGGGAGGGAGATGGGGAGATGTTTTGGGAGGGCGAACGGGGAGGAAAGGCGTTGAGTTGAGATCGTGTCTGGAAAATTGAAATTCCCCCTTGAAACCCTCAAAAACTGGAAATTTTTCGAAAAAAAAAAAAATACACACACCGTACTCTCTTCAAAGGCGCACACTGAAAAACAACTGCGCGCGACGAGACCACACACATGTTCCGGTGTGTTCCTTGATTTTTATTGTTTTTTCCCGAGTTTTCCCGAAAATCTGATAAGGAATCGCGATTCCTTATCAGATTTTGCCTACTTACCTCATCACTTGACGCTGATGACGTGGATGGTGTTGGTGTGGAGCATCGTTGCATATTCACCTGAACTTTGGAAAAAACCTCTAATAATAGACAAAAACGAGAAATATACTAGTTTTTTTTTGGTTGAACACAAACAATTTGTAAAAAAAATAATGAGAATTTATCGAGGGGGCGAGATGTGAGAGAGTGTTAGAGAAACATTTTTACTAGTAGTAAATTTGCCACGTGGCAATTGTGAGAAAAAAGAGAAAAAATAATAGATTTTCACAAATCCCCAAGGAAAATTTCAGGCAAAAACTAAAGAGAAATAATATTTTTTCAGCTGCAAGAAAATAAGCCAAATTTTTTTACCCACAAAAATTGGAGAAGAAAAGAAAAAGAGAAAAAATAGAATAGCTCTTCTTTTTTTCGCTCTGTTTTCGGAAATTAAATGAAGCATAGAGAATTAATTGCATTTTTTTTCAATTTTCAATTTTCTATTGGCAAAAAAAGTCTCAAAAGAGAACAAAAACTGATATGAAAAAGAGGAGAGCCAACAGAAATTATCGATTTTTCGACGAAATTGGAAATTGGCCAAAAAAATCAACGAAAAGTGCTTGATGTTTATTTGCTCAGAGTTTCGGGGAACTTTGTTTATTTTTTCGAGGAAAAAAACTTTTTCTTCTAATTTTGGCAGTTGGAAAATACCTCTTAAAACATAGTTATGACGTGGCAAAGTTGCGAATTCGGCGCGAAAATTTGAAAACTCAAAAATTGGATTTTTTGGCGCGAAAATCGGAACATTCAAACATAAGATTTTTGGCGCCAAAAATCCACGTGGCGAAAATTTATCAAAATTCAAATTTTCAGAGGTAAAATTTACAACGTGTCAAAAATTTTTTTGAAAATTCAAAAACTGGATTTTTTGGCGCGAAAATCGGAACATTCAAACATAAGATTTTTGGCGCCAAAAATCCACGTGGCGAAAATTCATGAATATTCAAATTTTCAGAGGTAAAATTTGCCACGTGTCAAAATTTTTTGAAAATTCAAAAATTGGATTTTTGGCGCGAAAATCGGAACATTCAAATATAGGATTTTTGGCGCCAAAAATCCACGTGGCAACAATTTATGGAAATTCAAATTTTCGGAGGTAAAATTTGCCACGTGGCAAAATTTTTTTGAAAATTCAAAAATTGGATTTTTTGGCGCGAAAATCGGAACATTTAAATATAGGATTTTTGGCGCCAAAAATCCACGTGGCAACAATTTATGGAAATTCAAATTTTCGGAGGTAAAATTTGCCACGTGGCAAAATTTTTTTGAAAATTCAAAAATTGGATTTTTGGCGCGAAAATCGGAACATTTAAATATAGGATTTTTGGCGCCAAAAATCCACGTGGCGAAAATTTATCAAAATTTAAATTTTGAGAGGTAAAATTTACAACGTGTCAAAAATTTGTTTGAAAATTCAAAAATTGGATTTTTGGCGCCGAAAATCGGAACATTTAAATATAGGATTTTTGGCGCCAAAAATCCACATGGCGAAAATTTATCAAAATTCACATTTTCAGAGGTAAAATTTACAACGTGTCAAAAATTTTTTGAAAATTCAAAATTTGGATTTTTTTTCAAAAATCCACGTGGAAAAAATCCAAGTTTCCAGCGCGAAAAGTGTTGCCACGTGGCGAAACTTCATTTTCGCGCCTGATTTAATTTTTATCAAAAAATCAATCTCTTAGAAATTTTGATCCAAATTTTAGATTTTCAGCAAAAATCCCAATTTTGCCACGTCATAACCAGCAAATTTCAAATCATCTCAACAACTTCATATTCAACAAAATGTTCACAATCGTTTCAACATGTCCATATAAGCATCAGTTAGCAAATCGTCTTCCGCAACTCCCAAATCCGCGCGCAACTTTTCCGCAATCTTCTGGCCATCCTCTAAACTCTCTTCAGGTTTCAGGCAAACTTCGAGTTCCATAAAATCGCCGAGTCCTTCAACTTGATCGATATGAATACGAGTTTGCTCGAAAATCACCAAAGTTCGCACTTTTTTCACTTCTCCTATCAATCCCATCGAATTTTTCAAAGTTGTCTGTAATTTTTTAAATATTTTCAAAAATTCTTTGCAAAAACTACCTTCAAATCCTCCAAAATCGCCGCAGGAACATCAAATTTGTTGAAATCGCTCAACTTCGGTCCCGCAACATTCGGCCGGTCATACCAGATCAGCTCAGTCTTTGCCACTCCATTTTCCTCAACACTTCTCATTTTCAGCCGACCTTTTGGCGATTCGTAGAATATATCATGTTGTTTCAGCAAAACTGGGCGATTTCCAGAGAGTTCTACAGCTCGAGCCACCAATTTTGCGTGATCTTTGACTTTTGCCTTGATTTCGACGTTGCGCGACATTTTTCTGGAAAGCAAACCTTTAGATTTGTGCTCTAGGACACTTTAAACAAGTTTTGAAACGTCATGGTCACTGATAAGCCACTTTTCAACGAAAAAAATGGTCGAAAAATGAAAAATCGAAAAAATAAATAAATGGCGGAACTTTTTCAAACACACGTCCCTTGGTTTCCTAGGCCATTTTTTATTTTTTGCAGATTTTCCGAGATAAAAAAGAAATGTTTTCAAAACAAAAATTCTTCATCATTATCGCAATAATTACTAAAAATTAAAAAATGCAGAAACGTATTTCAAAAAAAAAAAATTCTATTCACAGGATTCAGAAAATACATAAAAAAGATGTGCGATAAAAAATTAATCAATTTGGACAATCTCATTAACATCATCAAAAAATCGATTTTCGATGATATCCGCGAACTCCGGACGATCTTCTGGGTCCATTTCCAAACAATCGAGAATCAGGTTGAATAATTGTATTCCGATCAAATCATTGTGTCGTACATTTGTCTGGAAAAATTTTTTTTGATTTTGAGGGGGAATTTTTCTCGGATAGAAAACTCACATAAATCGGTTCGATGTCCAAGAGCGGCGTGTAGTTGAATCGATGAAAACTAAGTCCCGTCTTCGAGATTGCCACCTTTTTGCTTCTGAAAAATACGAATTTTTGAAACAAAAATCCCCCGCAAATCCTCACCCAACATCGTAAGCTTTTTCATACATATAATACGGAATCGCTCTTCGAAGAACCGATTGTATGACATCTATTTGCGATTCTTCCGAATTCTCCTTCTCATCACCGAAAAACAAAAGTTGTCCGGTGTACATTTCGAATAACAGGCAACCAAATGACCAAACATCCGATTTCTCATTGAATCCGAGACCAAGAAAAACTTCTATGGCTCGATAATTTTGAGTTTGCGCATCGACATTAACCCATGATTCTGATTCAACGAATTTTCTTGCTGTTCCGAAATCAATTAGGCAAACTTGATTATCCTCCATTTTTATGAAACGATGATTGCCTTGGCTTCTTCGAGACTTCACTGAATTGTTGATTTTTACAAAGCAGACATTCTCGGGCTTCAAATCCAGGTGTACAAGCCCCCGGCTTTCTAGATATTCCATAGCCGTGCAAACTTGATGGCCGATTTGACGAATGTCGCAATCTATAAAAAAATTATTGATTTTTGGCCTCTAATTGTGAAAAATGAATCTCACTTTCAAAGCAAGCATGTTTTTCGGCTTCCAAAACTTGAAAAATCGACGGGCCTAACAGATTCATGATGATATATCCGTCGTATACACTTTCTGTCGATTTGTCATTTTTCAGCGCTCCGAAATCATGTATCTTCACAATGTTTCTGAAAAAAGCAACTGATCTTCCGAAAATTTTATCATCTAACTCACTTTGCTTCTGCTTCCTTCGCAATCATATTCATGATATTGGTTTCAGCTCGATGATGCTCGATTTTTATTTTTCGATTGATTTTCATTGCGAGCGGTTGTTTCTGAAAGGAACATGTTGATTTTGGTTGAAAATATGAAGTTGGGAGGATTTTTGCTCCGAAACTGGCTTTTCAACGAAAATCTTCGTTAGCTCTTCGAAATTTCGAACTTTTCACATCAAATTTATATTCAAAAGATGCGTAGTTTTCTGCTGATTATTCCAGATAGCGAATTATTCGTCAAAAACTAGATTTTCAGGCGAAAATATCGTTTTTCCATTCAAAATTCCAATTACGAAGGATACGTTTTTGTCAATTCAATCTCCATTTTTTTCGAAAAAACTCACATCTCCATTATGAACCTCATAAATCTGCCCAAACGCTCCAGCGCCCAAAAATCGACGAATTTCATCTGAAAATCGCAAAAATGTCAGCTAAAACTTTGAAATTCAAAACTCACATTGATTTCCATTTTCACTCTTCACGGTTTCACCAACCAATTCAGCCATTCGCACGCTTTTTCGAGAGGAAAACAAGTTTCGCGAAAAAAAAATGAAAAGACAAAATAAAGGAGCGCGGCGCGCAAACACACGATGGGTCTCGAACCGACGGCCGGCCGAGGCGGCGGTTTGAAAATTTATTTTTTTATTTTTATTTTTTTTTTCGAAATTTCACATTTTCAGCTTTAGTTCCGCGTTTTCCAAAAACAAAACATTTGATATCATCGCTGATCGAATGAAACAATCGCATCAAATCATAGAAATTCTTCAAAAAGCAGCCAGAACTGTAAAATCTCCACAAAATGAAGATTATTCTTGATTTCTTGTTGCTCCTCGTTGTTTCTGTCGTTTCTTGTCGTACTCATGGACGTTTTCACAGGGAAACTCTTGGGGAATGTACTTATGCAGATGAGGGCCATGTTTTGTACCGCTTTCGTCAGTACTACGTAGGAATTTGTCACAATGGCGTGATTCATAAATGTGGAAATTCTCCAAAAGAGCCGAAAGAAACTCGGCCATTCTGTTTGCACCGTCAAAACGCTCCAGCTAAGCATGGTTAATGATGTTTTTGCGAAATGAAAAGTTCAAGCATTCAAATTTCATTTTAAATACAAATTCACAACATTTTTAGAAAAAAAATCACAATTTCCCATAACACTTGTGCAATTCGGTCAAATAGGCCGAATAATGTGTGGCACGCAATTTGTGAACTCGATTGAACTCATCTTGTTGTGCACCGGATGGAAGATCTTCGGATGGCAGGCAGATGTTGTCACGTTCACAATGTTGAGTGAATTTGGTGTTCAGCGAGTTGAGCTCTTGAGTTCCTTTTGTGGAGCAAGTTTGGCGGCGGATTCGATGATTGTGGCCGGTGTGATCGATGGTGGTGTCGTTGGGGTCATCTGGAAATATGTATAGTTGAATTTTGAAGGTAGATGAGGTAGGGTTGTACCTCCGTGTCTACGACGTCTGTGATTGTGTCCAGTGTGATCAATGGCGGTATCGTTTGGATCATCTGAAAATGTATTGTGAACTTCCAGAATCTCACGGTGAAGCTTTTAAAAGTTCTAATCATCTTAAAAATCACTTCAAATTGTTCATCATAAACCAAAAGCTGATCCTAAACTTCTAGAAAAATCCAGAGATTTCTGAACATACCTTCAACACTTCTTCTCTTGTGATTATGTCCGGTGTGATCGATGGTGGTATCGTTTGGATCATCTGGAAAAACTTCGCTGATTTTCTAGAATTCAAAATTAAGACAAACCTTCATGTCTACGACGTCTGTGATTGTGTCCAGTATGATCAATAGTGGTATCGTTAGGATCATCTAGAAATTGAGATCTTTGTAGTAATTCGAAAAATCAGACTAGAACTCACCTTCAACACTTCTTCTCTTGTGATTATGTCCGGTGTGATCGATGGTAGTGTCGTTTGGATCATCTGAAAGTTAAACTTTAATTTCAGGGAATCTGATGGAACTAGAAAAATCCAGAGATTTTCGAACTTACCTTCAACACTTCTTCTCTTATGGTTGTGGCCGGTATGGTCGATGGTTGTATCGTTTGGATCATCTGAAAACCCCTTCAGATTTTTTTTGAATCTCAAAGATCAGCCAAACCTCCGTGTCTACGGCGTCTGTGGTTGTGTCCAGTATGGTCAATGGTAGTATCGCTTGGATCGTCTGAAAAACTTTGCTGATTTTTTTGAATCTCAAATTTTTAACTAACCTCCGTGTCTACGACGTCTATGATTGTGTCCGGTGTGATCGACAGTAGTGTCGTTTGGATCATCTGAAATCAGAAATTAGAAAATTCAGATCTCCGAAGCTGCTAGAAGTTATAAGTCTCAGAACTCACCTTCAACACTTCTTCTCTTGTGATTATGTCCAGTATGATCAATGGTAGTGTCGTTTGGATCATCTGAAAACCCATTCAGTTTTTTTTAGAACTCAAAGATCAGACAAACCTCCATGTCTACGACGTCTATGATTATGTCCAGTATGATCATGTCCATCTCCCTCCCGATGTTTCTGATGATCATGATTCTCCTGATGTTTCTCCTCATGATGTCTCTTCGGTCGACTCTTCTCCTCCACATAATTCCTACACTTTGTCACCTCTTCCTTATATTTCAACGAAGTTTCTTCAAACTTCTTCCAAGCCGCCTCCAAATCTTCTTTCGTGGAGCAAACATCCACATTCGTTTTTTGCTCATGACATTCTCGCTCCAATTGTTTTTCTCGTTTGTTGGTTGCCATTCGAAGAATAACATCAGGAGAACACTAAAAAACTTCTGATTTTTTGAGATCTAGTCTAGAACTGTTGAACTCACTTCAAACGCCAGTGTTGACGATACAAAAATCGCCGCAAGAATCGGCAAAAGAGCCCTCATTTTAGCTGTAAACTAAACTGATAAGAAGTTTTTATCATTGGTGGTGTTTAAATAGATTTTTTCAATTTTTTTTCAAAAAAAAAATTTGAGTACATAAAAACAAAGTTGTTATCTATCATCAACCGGGGGAAAATGAAAAAAATAGCCTCGAGTTAGAGTTTTTAGTTTGTGATTGATGCAGGGGACCTTTATACTGAAATTTTTATTGAAAAAACATGACAGGTGCTATGTTTCAAAGAATGATGAAACCTATTTTTTGAGCAGAAATATCAATCAAAAACTTGGACTTTTGGAGGTCAAAGGGAACTTTTTGAGCTTGGACAATTCAAAAAATCGAAAAAGTTTCGGGGTGGGGTCGAACCCTGGTTTTGCGACTGATAGGCAGACGTGCTAACCACTCGGCTACGCGGCTAGAAAAATTTATAACATAAAATTCGTGGATTCTAAATCGATAAAACTTTTCAAAAAAAAAACGCAAAAAGCTTTTTTGCTCGAGAAAAACTAATTTAAATCACAGACACACAAAAAAAAGTGAGCTGAAATGAGATGAAAATGGTGAGAATGAGCAATGTTTGGGGGAAAATTGAGTTCAATTAAATTAAAAATTTTTCGAAAAATAAAAATTTAAATTTAAAAAAATTCGCGTGAAACGTGTTCCTTTTCCTATTTCCCAAAAATGAACTCTACAGAACTCGCCGACCTGATTTCTTCACCAGAATTTCAAGATTGCAGCATAGAAGGTCCCTGTGAGAAATGTCATTATTCCCTGGGTCTTCCAGCCTACCTGCCAAGGATTATTGGATGCGGATTGGGTAATTTTTTGATTTTTCCTCCTGGAAAACAAATTTTTCGCGGAAATTTGAAAAAAAATTGCAAAAAATGCAATTTCAAACCGCGCGCGCGTTGCCGTCAACGCGGAGTCTCGTTGTTTTCTTTTTATTTTTTGCATTTTTCACAAAAATATTGATTTTTGCAGCCGCCTTGATTGCCATAATCGTCTTCATTTTATATTTGGTTGAAGAGAGGAGAAAGGAAAAGGTATAGGCTATGACGTGGCAAACAAATGCTCCAAAACAGAGAAAATTCCAGGTTTTCTACACAAATTCGAAAAAAGTCAACGAAAATGAGCAGGAGAAAAACGACAGGGATGCGATTGCGTTCGGTGTCAACAATGCGTCGTATGTGGTGGAGCAGAGCACGTGCACAACACCAAATGTCTATGGTGGTGGGTTCAAAGTGTTGGAGAAGAAGCCGAAGCGGAAGTTTGCAGTGGCGCCGCCAATTACACCGTTTTCCACGTGGGTTTTTTGAATCTAAAAAAGTCCGTGGCCTAGAAAACCAAACCACGCCGCAAGTAGCGTCATCGCGGAGTCTCGTTGTTTTCTTTTCATTTTTTTGCATTTTTTCAAGGGAAAACGCCAATTTTCATGAAAAAAACCGTTTTTTGCGGGTGAAACACAGTAATTTTTCTAGAAAAGTAGTCCGTGGCCTAGAAAATCCCTAAATTCTTCCAGAAACGTCGTCTCCAAGCACTCCCGCGTCAAAACCGCCCGAAAAGAAGAAAAAGAGGTTTTCCAAGTGACCGTGATCGCCGACAAACTTGGCCGAGGTTCCGAACTCGTCTCTCTCGTAAATGAAACCGAAATCCCCGTCGGTCACACGACAAACGATGAAAAAGCCACGTTTGCGGTGGAAACCATCAAAACACATCTGGAAAAAATGACCGAAGAGAAATGGGTCATCTACGGGTATTTGGAGGAGAAAAATTGGATTTATGCCGGTTCGGAACACATGTTGGGAGAGTTCAGTGAATTGAGATTGGAGGTGAGGGCCTGGCCTAGAGAAAACTAGTCCGTGGCCTAGGAATCCAATTTTTCAGCTGAAATTGTCGCTGACGTCACCGATAAATCTGCTGGTCACCGCGTTTTTGGTGAAAGGAGATGGAACACCGCCGATTGCGCCGCCGAAAATTGAGTGAGGCCTAGAAATCCAAATCTCAAAACCTAGTCCCCGATTTCAAATTTTTCCAGAAATCGAGAAATGGAAAAACCTCCATCGCCTCCTAGAAACTCAGTGGTAAGCCCAAAATTCAAATCTTTTCACAAAATTTTTCATTTTTCCAGAAAAAAGCTGTTGCAAACCTGATAAAATCGACAAAAGAAGAAAAACCCAAAGAAAGTTCGGAATCGAAAATCGAGAAAAAACGCTTGAAATCCAAGGAGGAGAAGAGAGATAAGGAAAAAGAGAGAGAACGAGAGAAAGAGAAGGAGAGTACGTCGAAAATCCAGAAAACATCGGGAGCGCTGAAAAAAGGAAGTCCATTGCTTTGCTCGCCGAATTCGTCGAATTTGACAAAAGTTTCGGAGACTGTGAATCCGACGGTTTTGAAGAAGAAAATCAAGGAATTGGTGGGTTTTTTGGGGATGGCCTAGAAATCCAAAACGCAAAAACTAGTCCCCGATTTCTTTTTTTTTGGTGGAAAAATGTGATTTTTGAATTAAAATTTTGAAAAATTTTCATTTTTTCATGTCAAAAATCTAGATAATCTTGAAAATCTGAAGAGTTTTTTTAAATACAGTAACTTCAGGTTTTGGCGCCAAAAAAGATTTTTGAAAATTATTTTTTGGTGAGAGAAATTGTGGCCTAGAAATTTCGAAATCTCAAAAACTAGTCCTCACATAAAAATGGCCTAGAAATCCAAACTTGGCCTAGAAAATTCTGAATTGGAAAACTAGTCCAAGCTAGAAAAATTTGAGATTGAAAAAAATTCCACGTGGATTTTTTAACGCCAAATTTTTTAAATCCAAAATTTTGGGAAAATTTGAGAAGCACGGAAATTGAGCTACAGATTTTGGCGCCAAAATTTTCAAAAATAAATATTTGAATTTCAAAAATGAAGCTCTTAAAATCCAAGTGCCTGGGGAGGGTACTGTAGGTGAATTTTTGGCGCCAAAATTTCAAAATTTGCAAAGTTAAAATTCACGTGGATTTTCAGCGCTAAAATTTCAAAATTTGCAAAATTAAAATCCACGTGGATTTTTAGCGCTAAAATTTTAAAATTCAAATTTTTCCAGAAACGCGACGACGAATCGAAACAATCGACAAACAAGCCCGAGAAATCGGGCTCAATATCCGGAAATGCTCCGGCTCCCTAGAAAAAATTTTCAAAAAAAAAATTCATAAATTAAAAATAAAATCATCTGATATCACAAATACCACATTAAAGCAATACAAAAAAAAACAAAAATTTGGAAAAAATTAAAAATTAGGGAATTTTGGGACCGGGGACGGGGCTATACATTAGATATGTATATTCTTGGAAACAGGGGATTTTGGAAAATTTGAAAAAATATCAGGAAAAAATCATATTAAAATTCAGATTCCAGACTTTGAGAAGGAAACTCGTAAATGTGCATTTTCAGCCAATTTGTGATTGTGCATTTTGATCAACGCGTCGATGGCGGTTTCGATGTCTTCCAGTTGGCAAAGTGCCATTTTATGGTCTTTTCTACAAAATTTTAGTGAAATTAAAGGTACATGGGATTTTTAGGGTGGAAAAATTTTTTTCTAGAGGATTTTGACCTACTTATCGCAACTCTGAAGAGAGTTATGACGTGGCAAAGTTAAAAAATTTAATTTCTAATAGAAAATTTAGCAAATGCGCTCTATTGAGAATTCTGAGGTTTTGAATATTTTTTGAATTTTCAAAGTGATTCGAAAATTATGGAAAATAGTAAAAGATAAAGAAAAATCGATAATTATACAGAAAAATTAGCAAATGCGCTCCACTGAGAATTCTGAGGTTTTGAAGATTTTTTGAATTTCTCAATAATTCCCAATTTCTCAATGGAGCGCATTTGCTAATTTTCGTGTCAAAAATTGAATTTTTCAAATCTTTGCCACGTCATAACTCTCTTCAGAGTTAGGCTAACTGAATTCTGAAAACTGGAAAATGATCAGCAGCTCAAAATTGTCCAAAAAAAAAACTCACGGGAAAAACTTGAAAGCCTTCACATTATATCCGGCTTCTTTGAAGAACTCCTTCAATTTATCCTCGCTGACCGACGTCGGAATATTGGATAAATGAAGTGTTGAGCAGGGCGGATAGATGTTCATGTAGTTTTTGGAGCCCGGTTTTTTGAAGCGGTGCAGCGAGGAATGAGCATAGTCGCGGGTTAGACCGGCGTCGGGTTGACCTGGAAAATTTTGGATTCAAATTTGGGAAAAATCTAGAACTTTTGGAAATGCCACGTGGCAATTAGGTAAACTTTTTAAAAAATGGGAAAAATTGATTTTCAAAAAAAATTGTGCCGGAAAATTCAGTTTTGAAAATTTTTCGGAACATTTTGGCCACGTGGATTTCAGTTCAAAAAAATCCTTGGCTGAAAATTTTCAGACTAGATTTTGGGAATTAGGATAACTTGAAAAAAATGGGAAAAATTTGATTTTCAAAAATAAAGTGCCACGTGGATTTTTGGCTCAAAAAACTGTCAAAAATTTAAGAAATTTGGAAAAACAGATGCCACGTGGCAATTTAATTTTCTGAAATAAATTTTTCTGAAAAATTTATTCAAATTTTTTTTCCAAGTTCAAGTAAATTCAAAAAATCGTGCCACGTGGCAATGAAAACCAAAAACACGTGGATTCTCGTGAGCTAGAAATTTGTTTCTACTCCGAATTGAAAGCCTAAAATAATTTCACAAGGTGGAAGTTTTTCAGCCAGGAAAAATTTCAAATTCAAAAATCACGTGCCACGTGGCAAATTTTGGCCAGAAAATCACATGCCACGTGGATTTTCCTGCTCCCAAAATCCCCGACTCACCTTCTTTAGGCATCTGAACATTGGTGTGTTTCGACGGCGCCACTCGAATCACCCGATCATGCCACTTCACCTTGTCCAAATGACTTAGCGCAAGTTGCGCCTGTTGCGGTTCGGCGTACTGTATCAACGCGTTGTCCTTCTTGTTGTACAGTATTTTGACGCGTATCACGTCACCGTAAACGCCTGGAAAACTCGGATTATCGATTGATTTCAGGTTCAAAAAATCAAAATTGTGGTGGCGGGAATTTGAAAAAGGGGTTTTTAAAAGTTGGAAAAATTCGGAAAAAGTAGTAGTAGGTAGTAGAGTGAAACGAAAAACATACCGAAAAGTGTGAAGAGCGCGTCTGTGGTGACTTTCTGAAAAAATCAAAAAAAGGATAGATCAGAGAGAGAGAGAGAGAGAGAGAGAGAACAGAGAAACAGAGAAAAAAGGAGGCGATAGTACATATATTTCAGGAGGGTTTGGATGCGTAGTAGAACTTTATGTGCCTTTTAATCCGAGTGGTACTGTAGATTTTGCTGATCAGGAAGATCCTGTTGATAGAATCTACTTAGCTCAACTCTGAAGAGAGTTATGACGTGGCAAAGTTGAAAAATCAGCAAATGCGCTCTATTGAGAATTTCGAGGATTTTCTCAATGGAGCGCGTTTGCTAAGGCAAAGTTTCCGGAAATTGAAAATTCAAATTTTTCGATGGAAAATGAGCAAATGCGCTCTGTTGAGAATTTTTTGCCACATCATAACTCTCTTCAGACTTGAGCTAACTTATTTCTGAGAACAGAATCTTGATGATCACGTGGCAAAGTTGCTCTACAGTACCCAAAATTTAAAGGAACATCTCAAAAAAAAACTCACATTATCATTCAAATTGGAGACTAGAATCACTGGAGTAATCGAGAGCATATTGACTGGAAAACGAAGAGTTGAAAGAGCCGGTGAGAGTGGATTTGTGGTGAGGCCGAGAGCAGCTGGCAGATATGGAGCCAGCACATTGGCTGAGTCTGGAAAAGTTTGAGATTTTTGAATCTGGACGAATTTTCTTTGATTTTTTTTTCAATTTTTCTTGAATAAAACCAATTGGAAAACGTTGAAAAATTTGAATAAAATATTTTTGAAACGTAAATTTTTGGGGACATTTTTTGTTTGATTTTGAATTTTTTTTTGGACACAAATTTTCAGAAAAAGTTCTGAAGCTCAATTTTGACACCTGAAGTTTTCCCGGGAATTTTTTGGATTCAAAAATTGGTTTCTCGGAAATTTCAGATTTTCAACAAAAAAAATTCTGAATTTCTCAAAGATTTTGAAAAAAAGACACGTAGAATATTTTCCTGGAAAATTAAATTTTAAAATCAATTTACTTCAGAATTTCTTCTGAAAATTTGTAGTCAAAAAAATTCAAAATCAAACAATAAATTTTTTTGCTCGATCACAATTTTACATTGACTCGGTAGTGAAAGACCTCACGTGAAATCATAATTTAGAAAATGTTGAAAAATTTGAATAAAATATTTGTGAAACGTACATTTTCGGGGACATTTTTTGTTTGATTTTGAATTTTTTTTTGGACACAAATTTTCAGAAAAAGTTCTGAAGCTCAATTTTGACACCTGAAGTTTTCCCGGGAATTTTTTGGATTCAAAAATTGGTTTCTCGGAAATTTCAGATTTTCAACAAAAAAAAATTCTGAATTTCTCAAAGATTTTGAAAAAAAGACACGTGGAATATTTTCCTGGAAAATTAAATTTCAAAATCAATTTACTTCAGAATTTCTTCTGAAAATATGTAGTCAAAAAAATTCAAAATCAAACAAAAAATTTTTTTGCTCGATTACAATTTTACATTGATTCGGTAGTGAAAGTACTCAAGACAAATCATAATTTAGAAAATGTTGAAAATTTCGAATAAAATATTTTTGAAACGTACATTTTCGGGGACATTTTTTGTTTGATTTTCAATTTTTTTTGGACTACAAAGTTTCAGAAAAAGTTCTGAAGCTCAATTTTGACACCTGAAGTTTTCCCGGAAATTTTTTGGATTCAAAAATTGGTTTCTCGGAAATTTCAGATTTTCAACAAAAAAAATTCTGAATTTCTCAAAAAGATTTTGAAGACACGTGGAATATTTTCCTGGAAAATTAAATTTTAAAATCAATTTACTTCAGAATTTCTTCTGAAAATTTGTAGTCAAAAAAATTTAAAATCAAACAAAAAATTTTTTTGCTCGATTACAATTTTACATTGATTCGGTAGTGAAAGTACTCAAGAGAAATAATAATTTAGAAAATGTTGAAAAATTTGAATAAAATATTTTTGAAACGTACATTTTCGGGGAAATTTTTTCTTTGATTTCGAATTTTTTTTGGACTACAAATTTTCAGAAAAAGTTCTGAATTTTCAAGTTTGTAAATTTACTTTAAAATTTAATTTTTCAGGAAAAAATCCACGTGGCTTTTTTTCAAACAGTTTTTGAGAAATTCAGAATTTTCTTGTTGAAAATCTGAAATTTCCGAAACCAATTTTTTAATTCTAATAATTTCCGGGAAAACTTCAGGTGTCAAATATGAGCTTCAGAACTTTTTCTGAATTTTTTGCTCGATTACAATTTTACATTGATTCGGTAGTGAAAGTACTCAAGAGAAATAATAATTTAGAAAATGTTGAAAAATGTGAATAAAATATTTTTTGAAACGTACATTTTCGGGGAAATTTTTTGTTTGATTTCGAATTTTTTTTGGACTACAAATTTTCAGAAAAAGTTCTGAAGCTCAATTTTGACACCTGAAGTTTTCCCGGGAATTATTTGGATTCAAAAATTGGTTTCTCGGAAATTTCAGATTTTCAACAAAAAATTCTGAATTTCTCAAAAAGATTTTGAAAAAAAGACACGTAGAATATTTTCCTGGAAAATTAAATTTTAAAATCAATTTACTTCAGAATTTCTTCTGAAAATTTGTAGTCAAAAAAATTCAAAATCAAACAATAAATTTTTTTGCTCGATTACAATATTACATTGATTCGGTAGTGAAAGTACTCAAGACAAATCATAATTTAGAAAATGTTGAAAATTTTGAATAAAATATTTTTTGAAACGTACATTTTCGGGGACATTTTTTGTTTGATTTTCAATTTTTTTTGGACTACAAATTTTCAGAAAAAGTTCTGAAGCTCAATTTTGACACCTAAAGTTTTCCCGGGAATTTTTTGGCTTCAAAAATTGGTTTCTCGGAAATTTCAGATTTTCAACAAAAAAATTCTGAATGTCTCAAAAAGATTTTGAAAAAAAGACACGTGGAATATTTTCCTGGAAAATTAAATTTTAAAATCAATTTACTTCAGAATTTCTTCTGAAAATTTGTAGTCAAAAAATTCAAAATCAAACAAAATTTTTTTTTTGCTCGATTACAATTTTACATTGATTCGGTAGTGAAAGACCTCACGTGAAATAATAATTTAGAAAATGTTGAAAAATTTGAATAAAATATTTTTGAAACGTACATTTTCGGGGACATTTTTTGTTTGATTTTTAATTTTTTTTGTACTACAAATTTTCAGAAGAACTTCTGAATTTTTAAGTTTGTAAATTGATTTTAAAATTTAATTTTTCAGGAAAATAATCCACGTGGCTTTTTTCAAAAATGTTTTTGAAAATCTGAAATTTCCGAGAAACCAATTTTCGAATCCAAAAAATTCCAGGGAAAACTTCAGGATTCGAATTTTTTTCAAAAAATGTTGCCACGTGGATTTTTGACCCCTACATTTCCAAAACTTCTCAATTTTCCCACAAAACACAAAAATTTCATCATTTTACACAAAAAAAGCCAAAAAATGTTTTGTTTTTGGTTTTTTCATCATTTTTTGATAAACCAAAAATTTTTAATGAGAATTTTTTACACAAAAAATGTCCGAAGAAACTGTACGAAAATCCACGTGGCTTTTGAGTTTGGCTAACTCAAATTTTCAGAATCTTGGAGTTACTGTAACTCTGGAAGTGCCAGGTGGAATTTTATTAAAAAAAAAAAGAAAAGAAATCTTTTTCAAATTTTTTTTTCAAAATCTGAAACTACCAAAATCGATCTACAGTAACCCAGTCCTATTTGGTATCAAAATGCCCCAAATTTTCCCGGGCTTCTCACAAACCTGCCGCAGCTGCAGCCGCCGTCGCCGCAGCCATATGTGGTTGCAAAAAAGTGGTAGCCGGATTTGCGCCGAACGCAAAATTATATGGGCTCGCAGTCGGCAGCAAATTCTGAAGTCCCGGGATTCCGAGAGCCAGCTGTTGCTCCAAAGTCATTTCGCCGGCCGGCAAATTCGGATTTGTGTAGTCGCGACTCTTGTCGTTGTTGTATTTGACGTTGAGAGTGCCGAGTTTACTGTAGTCAATGCGGAGAGTGCAGCAACCGTTGTAGACGTTCTGATTTTCGAGACTTTGCTTGGCGACTTGTGCTGACGTGGATTCGGACATTTGGATGAGCGCTTGGAAGGTGTCTGGAATTTTTTCAGAATTTCAAGGGGCTAGGGAAGATTTTAGAGATTTTTAGAAAGCCTGAAATCGGCCCAGGTCCCAAAAAAATGGCCCACTTTTTTGGGCACCTGAAACACATTTTCTAGTAGATTTTCACCTGCTGAACACGATCCCGGTGTCAAAAATTAGTTAGCTCAACTCTGAAGAGAGCTATGACGTGGCAAAGTGAATTTTCAAATTTTTTTTCAAAATGGACCCCGGAAACTTGAAAAATTCAAGTTTTTGGGAAAAATTAAGCAAACGCGCTCTATTGAGAATTTGGAGGATTTTGAAATATTTCGAATTTTCAAACCAATGCGAACTGTGAAAATTCACACATGGAACTTAAAAAATTCAAATTTTCACAGGAAAATTGAGCAAATGCGCTCTAATGAGAAATTGGAGGATTTTCAGAAATTCCAAATTTTTAGAACCAATGCGAACTGTGAAAATTCGAATTTCAAACAAAAAAAGCAAATGCGCTCCATTGAGAATCCATAGATTTCTGGAAAATCTCTTGAATTTCCAAAAAAATCATTTTTGAAGCTTGCCACGTCATAAATCACTTCAGAGTTAAGCTAACTAATTTCTGGCAACGGTCAAAATTTACTAGAAAATTATTTTTCATCGAAAAAAATACTCACTATTCTTATTGAAAGTGATAATCCTCAAGACTTTTCCGAATCGCGCAAAAAGTTGATGCAAAACATCCAGCGAAACCGGAAAGATCATATTTTCGATGATGACACGAAGCACCGAGTTGGGTTGTTGTTGAGTGCCGGCGGCTGTGACTTCGAAATTCGACACCGAGCCATTCTGGATGCTCTGGAACATGAAAAATTGGGGATTTTTTTTAGAGAAAGGGGGGTTACTATTTTTATCGATTTTTTTTGGATCGAAAATTCAAGTGGAATTTTTTAGCCTAGAATCCACCTGGAATTTTCAATGATTTATTTAAACAAAATGAAGAATTGCTCATATTAGCCTGAATACTCAATTTTGAAAATAGGCATTGCTCATGTTGATCTCAAAAATTTCAAATCGCAGATTAATATGAGCAATGCATCCACGTGACATTTTTAATTATTTATTTAAACAAAATTTGGAATTGCTAAAAATATCAATAGAGCCAACAATTCTCCAATTAAAAATCCCAAAAATTAGGCATTGCTCATGTTAGTCTCAAAAATTTCAAGTTCTGAAATTTTAGACTAATGTGAGCAATTTTTTTCCCCCTATAGAATCCACGTGGCAATTTTCACTTATTTATTAAAATCAATTTGGGATTGCTCATGTTAACTAAAAAAAATCAATAAACCAAAACATTTCTTCAATTAAAAGTTCCCAAAATTAGGTATTGCTCATGTTAGACCAATGCCCACATTTCTTTCCCTTGAGAATCCACGTGGCAATAACACTTATTTATTTGGATAATTTGGAATTGCTCATATTAGCATTTAAAAAAATCAATAGAGCTAACAATTCTGAAATTAAAATCCCAAAAATTAGTCATTGCTCATGTTAAGCTCAAAGTTCGGATTCTAAAATTTCAGACTAATATGAGGAATGCCAGAATTTCTTCCCCCATAGAATCAACGTGGCAATTTTCACACACCCGAACCTTAACAACATGATGATGATGATGATGGTGATGAAATCCGGTGGCGACATTCTGCGCCACCTCAAAATCACCACCCGCAGTTTGTGGCGCGCCGCCTGCTGCCACAATTTGCGGCAACACTTGCGGTGCGGCCATAATTATTGGGGTTGCGGCGGAAGACGCGGAAGACGCGGAAGTCGCGGCAGAGATGCGTCGGAGCTTCGTTGGAGGCGGTGGTGTTGGTTGGCAGCAGGAGGCCGTCGCCAACTGTTGATCGCTGACCGCCGAACGCTTCGTCGTCGCACTGCATTTTTTCATTTTGCAAAAATTTTCGAGCGGACGAAAAAAATACAGCACAAAACAAGATGGTTTTGAAAAAAATGGGTGGAGAAAACTGTGAGAGAGAGCAAAATCAGAAGAGACGCAGAGAAATCATATCAGTGTGTTACAAAATATTTTTGATTGGATTAATATTAAAAAACATCTCTAGAGAGACAAAAGGAAAATTGGACAAAAACAATTTGACGGCTGAAAATGAGGCTGAAATTCCACGTGGCAACAAAAAAAAGGTTTTGAGGCTAGAAGAGTAGGCTTTTAGGGCTTTGAAAACTTCTTAAGGCTCTGAAAGCTTCTTAAGGCATTTAAGGTTTTCAAAGCTTCTTAAGGCTTTGAAGGTTTTTAAGGCGTCAACAGGCTCGGGCTAAGGCTTTTAAGGCTTTTAAGTTTTCTTTAAAGCTTGAGCTTAAGGCTTACAGAGTCAGGGGTTTTTTTCTTAAGCTTAGCCTTAGCTTTAGGGCTTTTAAAGCTTCCTAAGGCTTTAAGGCTTTAAAGCAGGCCCAAATTCCACGTATAATCTAAATCCTTGGGTCTCATTAATCAGGCCCAAATTCCACGTGGCAAAACTACTGTAGCGAGAAAAAAATTGCAGCGAAATTTAACAATTCTAGAAATTCGAGCTTCAAGAATTCATAATTTCAAAAAAAAATCCAGAATCCACGTGGCAAAAGCTCAATGAAAAACTTTAGATCAGACGTTCAGACCCAGAAAAACCAGGCCTGAAATTCTTGGAAAACCCGGGCCCAGAGTCCTCTCGCTTGAAGTCTAGATGAAGCCTGAAAGTAAGTCCAGGCCCAGAATCCACGTGGCAAAAGCCTAGCCCAGCCCAAATCCATTAAACCAATGAAAAAAACCGGGGGGACTAGAAAAATATGTGAATGACACATTTCTCCTCCTCTTTTATTTTATTCTGCTGCTATTTTTCAGCCATCATTTGGGGGTGAGCTGCGATAAATGAATGAAAAAGAGCCGCGCGCGTGAGCAGATGAGCCACACATCAGACCACGCCCACTTTTTTGCGCGCGCATGTGCCCTCAGGCTTTTCAATTTATATTAATTGGCCCAACTAAAAAAGAGAAGAGTATCTATTTATTTTTATATGTACATGGGTAGATATATAAACAACAAGTATACTTTTTCGGAAAAAAAATGAGAAGGGGTACTGTAGTTTGATGAGTTTGAATTGGAGGGGTAAAATGCGCACTTATCAATAGAGCGCACTTGCAAAAATCAGGAGGAAAATTCAAACGCGCTCTAATGCTAATTACTAGACTCTAGTTAGCGGTGGAGAGCAACTTGAAGAAATTAAATTTTTAAAATTTAACCGATATCTCCTGTTCTCAATAGAGCGCACTTGAAAAAACCAAAATTTTAAAATAAAGATGCAAATGCGCTCTACTACTAACTAGAGTGTAGTCTCCATAAAAGATACTTGCTAAAAAAATTTAAATCCCAAAAAACCAAAATTTAAACGCGCTCTAATGATAATCTAGGCCCTCAGGCTTCAGGACTTCACAGAATTTCAGGCCTAAAAAATTTGAACTCAAGCTTCTAGGCTCAAAAATAGGCCTCTGGATAAATCTAGGCTTCTAGACCTAGAATCAAGAAAATCTCTGCTGATAAAAAAACACAATTTTTTCTGATCGTCAGAAATCAGTTAGCTTAACTCTGAAGAGAGTTATGACGTGGCAAGCTTCAAGAATAATTTTTCTGGAAATTCAAGATATTTTTCAGAAATCTACGGATTCTCAATAGAGCGCATTGGTTCGAAAAATTCGAAAATCCACAAAAATTCGAAAATTCTCATTAGAGCGCATTTGCAAATTTTTCTGTCAAAAATTCGAATTTTTCAAGAAAAAATTCAACTGCGCTCTACTGCCAACTAACCCGAAATGCTCTCAAAAAATCCCAGATCAAACCAAAAATTTATTTTTAAAAAATATAGCAAGTGCGCTCTATTGATAACAATAAAAAACATGTTATTTTTATTAAAATTCAAATGCGCTCCACTGCTCTCAAAAAATAAAAATGCATGAAATAAAATTTCTAATAGTAGTACAAAACATCAATTACATACAAAACACATAACGGTTTTTTTCACAATTGAGAAATCTGCGTCTCTCCGGAATCTACACTATTTCTCCGGATACACACAGAACGACCTCAATCCGCTTTATTATATTATAATATAATATATCAGAGGGTGCATAGCGAAGTAACATTTTTCAAAAAAAAAAAAATCAATTTTCCAAAAAAACCACTAATCAGATGCCCTTGGCGTGTGCAGAAAAGCGTGAAATTATCAAAAATCGATTTTTTTTCTCTCTGGTTTTTCCATTTTTTCTTCGAAATCAGAAGAAATCTGAAAATTCCGCCTAAAACCTATAATTATTTGCTTTGTTTTGAGAGCCGAGAGCCGTGAGCAGCTGAAGAAATTTCGGCGAAAATAGAAAAGCAGCTGAAAATTTGCGGGGCGGGGGGAGTTGGGCTAACTAATAATAAGCAGAAATTGGGGGGAAATTCGAGAAAAAAAGATGAGAATTTATTATGGGGAATTCGAAATGAGGTGAAATCATCATGACATTTTGAAAATTTGGAAAATTTTGGGGGTTTTCTGATCTAAAAATCATGATTTTGGGTTTCTAGGCCATCTGGGAGGTTTCTAGGCCACCAGAAGCTTATGTTTGGATTCCTAGGCCATCTGGGGGATTTCTAGGCCACCAGAAGCATGTTTTCGGGTTTCTAGGCCATCTGGAGGATTTCTAGGCCACCAGAAGCATGCTGTTGGATTTCTAGGCCATCTGGGGGATTTCTAGGTCACCAGAAGCATGTTTTTGGGATTCTAGGCCATCTGGGAGGTTTCTAGGCCCCCAAAAGCAGATTTCCCGGTTTCTAGGCCATCAGAAACACATTTTCGGGTTTCTAGGCCACCAAAACCGTATTTTCGTCGCGTGGCATTTCTACCGTACTACGAAATTTTCCAAGTTCAAAAAACCAACATATTTTGTCATCCCCATAATTTTTGATCTACAAATTCTCAAAAATGTCAAACGCCTACAGTAGTCCGCCGCTCTAATTTAGGGGTTCATTAGTATTTTCAAGACACACACACAATTTTTGACCAGTCAAACAAAAAAAAAAGAATTTTTGTTCGGGAAATTAGAATTCGGCCACAAAAACAACCGTATAGAAATGAGAATGAAAATGAAAATTAATCCAATTTTTGCGGCGGCCGCCGAAAAAATTTGAATTTTTTTTGGCTCGAAGAGCACACAAAAAAATTGGAACCAAAAAGCTAATTTGGTTGGTTTTCTATACGTTTTTCATTCATTCCATCATTAATTATTCGGCTCGCAAAAAAAAATTCGAGAATTTGAAAAATTTTTTTCAAAATGAAATGGGAAAAGCTAATATTGAATAGTAAAGTTATACTATGAAAATCCACAAAAATTCGGAATTTTTAGCAATTGCTCAGATTATAATTCTGGCTAATCTGAGCAATGTTAACGAAAACTATATATTTTTAAAAAACTTCATAAGCATTGCTCAGGTTATAGATTTTTTTTCCAAAATCCCTAAAGTTTCTCTGTGAAAGCTAATAATAAAATCATCATGAGTTCAATTTGAAAAATAAAAATAAATTTATTTTTGGCTTTTTTCAGGTAAGGGAAAAACAACAGCGCGGCTAGAAATTTTAATTTCCTCTCTGGGGAAATTAAAAATTTTATGAAAAAATAATTTTTATATTCGTATTCATATTTATGGTTTTTCAAAAGGGGGGGGGGGGCTTTTTCGAATGGGAAAAAAATTTAAAAATTATTCCGGACACCTGGGGTATGAGAAGAAAAATCCACGTGGCAGGGGAATTTTTAACAGCTGGATTTCAAAAAAAAAAATTTTTTTTTCAAAGAGAATCCACGTGGCTAAAAAAATTGATAAAGAAAAAATCGAATAAAAAAATTTTTCGATGAGATTGCTCATGTTAAGCTTGAAGGGAGGGTGGTTCTCAGGCAGAGCAACCTTCAAAGGCCTCCAGAAGATTCCAGGAGCTTCCAGAAGCCATCAGAAGTCTCCTGAAGCCTTCAGAAGCCTTCAGAAGCTTCCAGAAGCAGATTTGGAATAAACAAGCAGAAATCAGAACTGTTCAGACCAAAATTTAGAGATCAAATAATGCTGGAGCTATTGAATCAACGTGGCAACATTTTTCAAGAATTTCAAAAATTTTGAAAAAAAGGTTCAGATTCAGAATCCAAAATTTCCCAATAAAAAAACCTTTAGTAGTTTCTGGAAGCTGTCAGAAGTCTTCAGAAGCTTTCAGAAGTTTCCAGGAGCCTTCAGAAGCTTCCTTAATCTTCAGAAGCTTCCTAAATCTTCAGAAGCTTACAGAAGCTTTCAGAAGCTTTCAGAAGCCTTCAGAAGCCTTCAGAAGTTTCTTCGATTCACAAACCAAAATTCAGAATCCAAAATTTTTTTTTCTAAAAAAAAAAGCGCGCTCCTATGGCTGGTTGTTGGTGTATTCGGGTGGGCATCGTCCATCCGTGTTAATTAATGTGAGATATATATATTGAAAATAGGAAAAATAGGAGAGAGTGAAGGATTCTTCTCCTTCTGAAATATATATTTTTCCCTTATTTTCTCTCTATGTGTGTGCACATTTTTCAAGGGGTCTAGAATGAAAAAGGAGCCCTTTTTCTCCACTAGAAGAAGAAGCAGAAGCTGAAGAAAAATAAGGAGAAGACGGCGACGAAAAAAGAGCCTTCTTTGCGTATTTGTCAAATTTGTAATTAACGAATGACATACGAAGAGATGAAAACGAGACAAAAAATATATATATATAAATATAAGGAGTTGTCATCTTGGATTACAATTTGAGCGATTCTGGATTCAGAAGCGCTTTTATGGTGTCCGGTCAACTTTTGGGAGGAAAATTGGACATTGCCACGTGGATTTGGCCTCGAAAAGATCCAGAAAAATTTTCAATTCTTGAAAAAAAAATTCCCAAATTTTTAGACCTATTTTGCGACGTGGAATTAATTTTCTAGAAAATTTGGAATTTCAAAATTCTAATAAATTTCACAATACAATTATTTCCGGTCATTGTTTTGGACAGTTTTCTGGACAAAATTGGACCCTGCCACGTGGATTTGGTCAAGAATTTAGAAGAACTCAGGATTTTCGTTGTGGAAAAATCTAGAAGTTTTTCCACGTGGATTTGGCCTCGAAAAAAATCCAGAAAATTTTCTGGACTTCAATGTTCTGGACAAAATTGGAGCTTGCCACGTAGATTTTTGGCCTCGAAAAAATCCAGAAAAATTTTAAATTCTTGAAAAAAAATCTCAAATTCTTGGACCTATTTTGACACGTGACATCTATTTCTAGGAAATTTGGAATTTCAGAATTTTAATGAATTTCATAACACAATCCTTGCCGGTCATTGTTTTGGACAATTTTCTGGACAAAATTGGACCTTGCCACGTGGATTTGACCTCGAAAAAATCCAGAAAAATTTCAAATTTTTGAAAAAAAATCAATACTTTTTATTAGAGAAAATTAGGTCTTGCCACGTGGATTTTGGCCCTAAACGCTTCCGAAAAAGCTAATTTTCTACAGTAAAAAAATGCCACGTGGCACAACATTTTTTTTTGAACAAAATATCTTCAAACCTAAAGCTCCAGAAGCTTCTCAAAATGTTTTGCCACGTGGCATTTTCTCCAAATTCTTATTCTCAAATCAAAAGATGACAAAAAAATTCTCAAATTACAAACATACACAAATTCTCGTATTTGTTTTTCCCACACAAATTTCAAAGCATTTTGTAAATCACATTAACAAAAAGCGGGGTTTTTTTTTAAAATTAGAATTAGGGGAAAAAGTATCCGGTGACAAAAAATCCAGAAAAAATGTCACGTGGCAAATTTGGAAGCTCAAGAAAAATTTGAATTACAAAAAAAAAGTTCCAAGCTAGGTTCGAACCTGTGACCCACCAGTTGAGCCCAAAATTGTGCCACGTGGCAAATTTCGAGCTCTAACCACGTGGCTCCGGGATTTTCGATTACAAGTCATAAAATTCCCCCAAAAACCAATAAAACCCTGGCTACATATGCGCCGCGAATTTAATTTAAAATAAAATAAATATAAAAAAAATTTCGGTGCTCGGATATTCTCTATTCACATAAACAGATGTGTCCTTGTACTAATAAAATCAGTACTGGAAAATTTTATTTTTGGAATTTTCAGGGGGAAATTTCAAATTTTAAAAAAGTTTTGAAAAATTATATTTATAAAAAATTTATTATTGTGGAATCCAAAAATTTTTTAACAAAAAAAATCAAATTCAAATAATTTTTGGAATTTTCAGGGGTTCCAAGAATGTTCAAAAATTTGAAAAAAAAATTTTTATTGAATTTTTTCCTAGAAATTTTCGATGACAATGTCAAATTTCAGGATAGAAAAATTTAATTTTTTTTTTTCAAAAAAAAATTAAATTAAAATTTTTTTTTAGAATTTTCAGGGGTTCCAAAAAATTTTCCAAACAAAAAAACACACAAGAGTTTTTCTGGAGGAGAGGTAAACAAGCAGCAAAAAAATGAGAAAATTCTGAATTATTCATCCGCGTTTTGCGATTTTTTACGCGGCGTGTGCGGAAAAAAACGAAAAATTAAGTGGACACTTGAATTTTTTTTTGGTAGAGTTTTTTTTTGGTGGATTTTTGGTGGACCATACAAATTTGAGGCTGTGAGCCAAGAGCTCAAAAATGAGGTCAGAAATTTTTCCCAAAAACTAACCTCGGAATCTCCGCATTCACTTGAAGCCACCGTAATTCCACACGACTTTTTGTCAAACTTCAGCTCTCGATGTGTGCTGAATTGCGCAAAAACTGTTCGGCCGCGGATTTGAATCGGAACTGCCGTCATTGCGGAAACGAACGCGGAAGCGCTGTTTTCATCTTCGAATTCCACGAAAGCCTGGAAAAAAATCTTCAATTTGATACTAAACACGCCTAAGCCTCGCCCCTTTTTTCAATTTTGCGGCAGGGTTTTGAAATATCTTTTTTTCTGCTCAAAAACCATGCCGCAAAACTGCAAAAAAGTGGGCGGAGCCCCTACGGTTTTCAACTATCAAATTTTTTTAATTTTTATCCCCGAGAAAAATACGTTTCAAAAATTGAATATCAGAAAATCATGATCTGAAATTTTCGATAATGAGTTATGAATTTGAGGCTTCTCAAAAATACAAAATTTGAATTTTCGAAATTTCGCTCTAAATCCACGTGGCTCTAGATGCACTGAGTCAAATTGAAAATTAATTTTTTGAAAATTCAAATTTCTCGCTCTGAAAATCGATTTTCAAAAAAAAATAGGGTGAATTCTAAATTTCAGCTATAAGTATAGATTTTTGAATTTTTTTTTTTGAAAAATTCGGGGTTGAGATCAGGATTTTCTGAAGCCTAAAGGTTAATAGCCACGTGGATTTCTAAGATTCTTGAAAAATTCCAAAAGCCGAAAAAATCAGTAGAATTCGGTTACCACGTGAATTTCAAGCGTAAAAGTTCACAGAAAAAAATTTAGAACTGAATTGCCACGTGGATTTTCAGCGCTCAAAAAACCGTTTTGCAATTTTGCGGCATAGTTTTGAAAAATCTTGAATTTGATACTGAACAAGCCTAGGCTCCGCCCCTTTCTGTAACTTTGCGGCAGGGTTTTTTCGCATACAGTAGCTTCAGGAGACCCTTCTGAACTTAGCCTAACTCTCTCCAAAATTGCATACCTGACTCTTCCCCTTCAACATCATATAATTCGACATAGTTCCATACTGAACACACAATTGAATCAATTCAACATCAACCAAATCCGGCGGAATATTTCGAACATGAACAACTTTCGATCGGGGCGCCGAATTCGCTTGCGATGTATTACAATTCGGCAACGTCGACAGCTGAAATCCCTGAATTTGTGTCAACGGAGTTCCGGTCAAGAATTGCGCGGTGGTTTGCGGTTGTGACGTGGCGGCGGCGGCGGCGGCGGCTAGCGGATTGTAGAAACCGGCTGCCGACGAATATAGGAGCGATGGATCGAGCTTCGCTTTTTTCGGCTCCGAATCCGCTGTCATTGTGTAGAAGGCGGTGCTGTTGGTGGTGTTCAGTTGAAGTTGTAGATCATCCGGGCCACGCTGGAACAATGTGATTTTTTTTTGGAATTTTCGAACCTAGATTTTGGCTTGGGAAAATTTGAATTTTTAATGAAATTTTGAGGAATTTTATGCCTGAATTCAAGATTTTCAGACATTTTTCAAGCCCAAACTTCACCATAATTATTAGATTGCCACGTGGAATTCACAGATTTTTTTCAAAATTTGAAAAATTTGATTAGGATTTTCGGAAGCTTGGTGGCTTTTTTTTCGAAATTCAAATTTTTTCTTTGTTTTTCTCAATCTAGAAAATTCCGGATTTCCAGCAGAAATTTGCCACGTGGATTTTCAGGTTTCAAAATTTTCATCGAAATCTGAAAAAAACTTGTATGCCACGTGGATTTCAAGCCCAAATTTCACAGAAAAAACGTTCGCAAAAATTCGAACGTGGATTTTCAGCTCGAAAAAATCGAGCTTCTGAAAAATTCCATCTCCACACGCAGTTGGAAAAAGGATCCTTTAAGGACGTTTCACCCTTAAAGTATACTTTTGGATATCCTTAAAGGATAATTTCACTCAAAGGACTGAAAAAGGGTCTATAAAGGATACCCAAAAACGGAGGTTTCGTGCTGATTCTTGTTATCCAACGTGATTAGGAAGGGTCTCTTATCATTTTCGCTACATTTCGATGTTAATTTCATGAACTTTATAAGTATTACCGATTTTTGTTGAAAAGTATGCTCAAAGGCCATTTGAAATAGCCTTTAAGGGTACTTTTCCAAAAATCAAAAATCTTCTTTCAAGTTTTTAAAGTTAGTTTTTCAATACATTTTTGTGACTCTCATTCTATCATAGTCAAGAAATATCATAAAAATGAGATTTTAGAAAAATGTTTGGTAAAGTTCACTTTAAGGTACTTTCAGGGTAGCCTTTAAGTATACTTTCATGTTCTCCTCCACTTGGGAAAACTCCAGACGAGGTTTCTCTGTCAGAATGTTATTGTATGGTATTCTCAAACTCGCGAAGGTATTATTAGTTGTGAGAAACAACATTATGAAGGATTTCAACAGACATTTTTACATGAATATTGATTTTTGACTCAAAATTTGAAAAATATACATGAAATCGGATTTCAGAATGATTTGTTATATGTTATGGCATATCATTATGCTTGTTTCTTCATTCCCTATCCGAATATAACGTTAGTTTCATTTTCCAGCTGCATTTTTACCGATACACGATAAAAACAAGAAAATGTGTAACTGCGCGTCAACTAGCGTGTGTTGTCCGCAGAGTGTGTACTTCTCTCGGAATTCATTTTCGTTTTTTCGTTTTTCTCAGACAAGTTGGACGATTAATCGCCGAGTAAAGTGAACTTACGATTAATCGCCTGAACTAAATTAACACAGGCGATTAATCGGTTAGCCAGCAGCTAATTCAAGTTACTAGGCGATTAATCGTCCAACTTCTCTGAGTTTTTCTTTGTTTCTGTTTTTAGCTTTTTCTGTGTTGTTTTTGAGCGTAGAACGTGTGAAACAGGTTGCGGTATAATTGTAAACTGCTAGTGATAGTGCGTTACTTGAGATTGACGGAAGAAACTTTGAAAAACATGAGAAATTTCCGATTTTAGGACTTTTCTACATTTTCAACATATACACAGTTAGCTTTTCATAATCCATTCAATACTTCTATTTTGACTTTAGGAAGTTACATTTCATTATCATGCGACTAATTATGAAGTGAATTCACTAAGGAAATGAGTTTCAAAGATTTAGTCGGTGGTTCACTGGTGAGATTCCATGTTTGAAAACACCCGTTTTTCGACGACTAAAAATGCATTGCAGTAGAAATAGTTGATTATCAGACTCAGAGAGTTTTCAGTAAAACCGATTTCATGTGTTTAGTTGCTATTTCCGATAAGTTTCTTCAATGGAAAGACAAGCATATTTCAACAATTAGTTTTTTGTGCGTTTCTGCATTATTTCTCACTATTCTCGTTATTTATTCAAAACAAGCAAGCCTTATCTTGATACGAATAACTTTTCAAGTTGTCCAAAACTATTAGAATGGTCCTATAGTATAACTTAAGTTCTGTTTACCTCTTATCTTAGAATATCTTAGAAAAAATCGTACGATGTATCTCAATAAATTATTTTCACAGAAAGTCTACTCTCAAACCATTCAACGATGCTCATTCTACAGGTAACAAATATGATCTGTTTAAACCTAGAAAATGTGATTTTTCAGAAATGCCACCGGACAATTCGGCTCACTGGACAATTCGACCAAACATGAAGTGATGTCTGAAGGTCAGTTTTTTAAATTGAATTTATATTGGAAACTCGAGAAAAATTTGCAACGAGGAAAGCTCGGAGAAAAAGTAGCAAGTTTTGCGACATGTTGGCTTAAAGTCTATTTTTGTAGAAAAACTTGCTGCTTTTTCTCCGAGTAAATTTTTTGTGCAGTTTTTCACGCTAGAAAAGATCCGTTTTACTGCGCGACGCTCATTGTCAGAAGAGCACAAAAATGAGCCTAAGATTGAGAATGTTCTGAAAATCGCGTTTTTGAGAGCCTACAACTGATCTAAAGATGATTTTATCAAAAACTGAAAACATGAAATTGATCAGAAGGGCCGATTCACCAAAGTTGACAGAATGTTCCAAAAATTTTCAAAATCTGAGCCTATGTTCTGAGCCACAAGTTTTTCTTTGAAAAAATAATGATTTACTAACCAAAAAGTGTGTTTCTGGTAAATCGAGCCTCCTGAACAACTCAGTTTTTGCTGATAATGTTTGAGGACTAGGTTATAGGCTCTCAAAACTGCGAATTTTCAAAATTTTTGACTATTGACACATTTTTGTGCTCATCCGAGAATCGCGCAATTCCCAGACAAAATGTTCGAAAAAGACTCAAATTCAAAATGTATCATTTCTCTCGAAGCACTGCCTCCCCAAATCTACGTGTGTGTGGAAAAACGAAAAATGTCTGGCACGCTCTCGCAAACACACACTCTCTCGCACACAACTTTTTACTTTTATTTCGCGAAAACAGTGCATATTAGGAGCTGATTTTTATGTGTTTTTCATCGGAACCACAATATGTGTTATACATAGTTCGAAAGAGAATTTCTTCGGCTACAAGCACATATGAAATGTTATAAATGAAACCGAGATAAAAAAATAAAAATTTCATGCAAACATGACATGGTTTTTTTGAATTGTGTGAAAAACGCATGTGTTTTTTGATGACCTGGCTTATTTTTTGAATATCGAATATATGTATAATCGAGTCGTAGTTTTGTTCAGAATCTCAAGGGCTTTCAGATGGTATAAATCAATATTTATGAAATTGTGAAATCATGGAGGAGTAGGGATTTTTCGTTTGTCAATTTTTAAAACGAAATTTTCATTTTCATTTGAAAAGAACTCGAATGAAGTTTACATACGTTTTGAAGAGAATTTCTCGGGCTTCAAAATCATATATATTTCTATACACAAAAATGGAAATTGAAAGCACCGCTTTCGGTTGAAAACTCACCGCTGTTTTTCGCAACGCTACTGAACGCGGTTTGTTTGTTTGGTGCAAACCCAACAAGTTTTCAACCAGGGTTCCGACTCTAAGGCCTGAAGTACTAGTACCGCATAGTACATGTACTAGGAAATAGTACTAAACAGCCTAATGTACTGAACGTTTGAGCAAGGCCTTGTTTAAAAGTACTGTTTAAACAGTACATTCAAACAAGGCCTTGCTTAAAGACTTGTTTAAACAGTTCATTTAAACAAGGCCTTGCCTAAAAGTACTGTTTAAGCAGTACATTTAAACGAGGCCTTGTTTGAATGTCTAGGCCCTAATTCATTTAGACGCTACCTGTCTAGGCAAGATGCGGAATTAAACACGGAAAATATAGTACACTAGTACAGTACTGAAAATGATCTAGAGCTGTACTATAAGGCATGTTCCACCAAAAAAAAATTTTTTTTGATTTTGAGGTATTTGGGCACGGGAACATTTTGGTGAGGTATACGGTCGGGAACAGACTTTTAAAGGCACATGCCAGACTATTACACATTTTCCGAGATATTTTTTTTCAAACTATCATAACTTTTTTAATTTTGAAGCTTTTTTGAAATTTCGACAACCATTTTAACGGTCTTGAGGTGGGCTTCATTTTTTGTGTTAACACCAACTTTCCTACTTTGCTCCTAGGGGGTGAAAAACACGTTTTTCTCTAGAAAATGTCAATTTTTGATGAAAATTCGAATGAAAATGCATTTTTCACCCCCTAGGAGCAAAGTAGGAAAGTTGGTGTTAACACAAAATATGAAGCCCACCTCAAGACCGCTAAAATGGTTGTCGAAATTTCAAAAAAGCTTCAAAATTAAAAAAGTTATGATAGTTTGAAAAAAATATCTCGGAAAATGTGTAATAGTCTGGCATGTGCCTTTAAAAGTCTGTTCCCGACCGTATACCTCACCAAAATGTTCCCGTGCCCAAATACCTCAAAATCAAAAAAAATTTTTTTTGGTGGAACATGCCTTATAGTACAGCTCTAGATCATTTTCAGTACTGTACTAGTGTACTATATTTTCCGTGTTTAATTCCGCATCTTGCCTAGACAGGTAGCGTCTAAATGAATTAGGGCCTAGACATTCAAACAAGGCCTCGTTTAAATGTACTGCTTAAACAGTACTTTTAGGCAAGGCCTTGTTTAAATGAACTGTTTAAACAAGTCTTTAAGCAAGGCCTTGTTTGAATGTACTGTTTAAACAGTACTTTTAAACAAGGCCTTGCTTAAATGTCTTATGTACTAGTGCATCGCAATCAAGGTACTAGGTAGTACTGTACTAGGAATGAATTGAAATTCGGAACTCTGTTTTCAACCGAAAGCGGTGCTTTCAATTTCCATTTTTGTGTATAGAAATATATATGATTTTGAAGCCCGAGAAATTCTCTTCAAAATGTATGTAAACTTCATTCGAGTTCTTTTCAAATGAAAATGAAAATTTCGTTTTAAAAATTGACAAACGAAAAATCCCTACTCCTCCATGATTTCACAATTTCATAAATATTGATTTATACCATCTGAAAGCCCTTGAGATTCTGAACAAAACTACGACTCGATTATACATATATTCGATATTCAAAAAATAAGCCAGGTCATCAAAAAACACATGCGTTTTTCACACAATTCAAAAAAACCATGTCATGTTTGCATGAAATTTTTATTTTTTATCTCGGTTTCATTTATAACATTTCATATGTGCTTGTAGCCGAAGAAATTCTCTTTCGAACTATGTATAACACATATTGTGGTTCCGATGAAAAACACATAAAAATCAGCTCCTAATATGCACTGTTTTCGCGAAATAAAAGTAAAAAGTTGTGTGCGAGAGAGTGTGTGTTTGCGAGAGCGTGCCAGACATTTTTCGTTTTTCCACACATACGTAGATTTGGGGAGGCAGTGCGAAGTTTTTACTCTCAATTTCAATTAGCTATTTTCCAGCTTCATCAAAAACCGCGCACCGACACTTGCCGATCAAACAAATGACCAACAAAACACGGAGGGATGCCAAGGAAAGTAAATTTTTTATGTTTTTTGAATAAATTTTTATTCAAGTAAAAAAAATGTTTTTTTACCCTTAAAGTATACTTTTTCCATCCTTAAAGTATACTTTTTATTTCCTTAAAGGATACTTTGTGAGGTACTTAATTGACACATGAGCTCATCCCTAAAGGATACTTTCGGCATCCTTAAAGGATCCTTTTTCCAACTGCGTGTGTCGCAAATCTCAACTAAACATCTCAAAATTGGCTCAACTGGTTAGCTCTCAATTTATCAGCTAAAAGGTCGCAGGTTCAAATCCCATTGGGAACTTTTTCATTTTTTATTTTTTTGCAAAAAAAGTCCTAGCCTCAAATTTTACGGGGATTTTGAATTTTCACATGAAAATTGAGTGCCACGCGGCAAATCTGCTCATATCTTAATTTTAAAATTGGAAATTTTATTGAAAATTTCCTAGAAAACTTCAAAAAGTAGGGAAAAAGATCACGGTGAGAAAAATAAAAATGAAAAAATAAAATTCTTCGTGCTCTCCTATCGCATTAACTATGCTTACTATGCTAATTATTTGTGTGTGTGTTTGCGTGTCAAGAAGCAGGAATAGCGGTGGAGAGAAAAAAGTGAACAAAAATTTAGAATTCTGATGAGATCTCAAGCAATTTTATCTTCTTCTTCTTCTTCTACTTTTTGACAACAATTTTGTTTGAGCAAAAAAAATTGGGAAAAAATTCAAAATCCCCGTAAAATTTTAGCCCTGGATTTTAAAATTTTGAAGAAAAATCAGAAATCCACGAGGCAAAAAAATTTCAAAAAAGTTCCCAGTGGGGTTCGAACCTGTGACCTTGTAAATGACAAGATGCGCTTTCGAAAATCTATTGCCACGTGGCAAAATTTTCAAGTTTTTTTTGAATCTGAAAATTCAGACATAAGCTATTGAATTTCAGAAAATCCACGTGGCAAAAAAAAATTTCGAAAATAAAATTAAAGCTCCCAAAAATTTTAACCAAAATTTGATTTTCAAAAATTTACTTTGCAACGTGGCAAAAAAATTTCCAAAATTTCGAGTTTCTAAATTTTCGGCTAAATTTTTGAGGGAAAAAATTTCAAAACCTATTTTTTCAGTTGCTGTAAAGCCCTTGAAAAGTCAAACTTCAAAAAAAAAAGTTCCAAGCGGGATTTGAACCCGAGTGATAATTTATGAGTTAACCAGTTGAGCCACACACCACCTAATATTTTCCCCTAAAAATATTTTGCCACGTGGCAATTATGAAGCGCTCACCTGTCGGCCAAATTTAATAACAGGTTCACCCTCAAAAATATCCATGATTTTCCTATACAGAAATAAATAAATCTAGCTAGCACCAAGAAAAAAAATAATATCAATAAAGAAAAAACTTTCTTCTTCTCGTCTTGTGTCTATTATTCCTCCCAATAAAACATTTTTTCTAACAACATGAATAATTTTGACGTGTTTTTTTTTTGGAAAAATTCTGGGGCTGGTCACACATAAACGGTCGTAAAACAACGATTTTTCAATCATAAATCATAGGCTACAGTAATCGAATTTTCGATTTTCTTTTCTAAGAAAAAAGAGCGGAGAAAAAGTAATCTTTTAGAAAAGAAGTGTCTCTTAATTCCTTAGGGACCTTAAGGTAATTAAATTTAAATCCCCCTTTTTTTATTTTGAAGATAGGTTGTCTCAAGTCTTACCTTAGTCATAAGTTAGTTCTTTTTGTGAAAATTTCTATAGCATATCTGAAAATTTCAGAAGTTTTGATGAGAAAAAGAAAAAAAGTTGTGCGGAGGGTGGGGGTGGAACCAGGGTTGGGGAGAACGTGAGACGCGCGTGCTAACCATTCGGCCACGCGGGGTTTTTCAAACGTCGGTTAAAATTTCGCATATAAAATGGGAGTTATCAAAAGTCGTAATTTCCAAGAAAAAATGCAAAAATAAGAAAAATTATGGGGGGAAGAATATGCAAATGATTATTGATTTATTGAATAATCAAAAAATAATTCGATTTTTTTCTAGGGGGGGCTCTTCTCAAAAAGTACAACAACAACAAGGGAAAATATAAAACATATAGAAAATAAAATAAATAAAATATTTCCCCTTTTCGTGAAGGAGCTCCTGTATTTATGTACTTCGCACTAAAAAAGATTATTATTTGCGCACCTCGAGAAATAACGGGGGAATTTGAGAGGGTTGCAGAGAGAAATTTGAGGCGCAGAGCGGGAAAAAAGATGTTCGGTGATTTGAACTAAATTCAGAAAGAAGCTCAAGCTCGAATATAGTTATGACGTGGCAAACTCAAATTTTGAGCTTCTGAAAATAAATCCCTGAAATTTTTTATAAAGAAAAAAATCCCAAAAAATTCCCCGGAAAAATACGTTTCAAAAATAAATTATCTAAAAATTATGATTTGTTTTTTTTTATATATGTCCACAAGTTTTTGAAAAACTTACAGGCTAACTCAAGAATCCCCTTTTGAAAAAAAGATTCAAAAATCCCCAAAAATCCCATAACCTAAGCCTAACTCAAAAGAATAAAAAAATCACATTAAAAAAAGGTACAACCTACTATCCAATTGAAAATAAACAAAAAAATGTGTTTTTGGCTCACAGAAAAAAAGAAAATGGCGAAAAAAAGAAGAATTTGGGAGGAAGAAGAACATATGAAACTACCAGATGTGAGGAAAGGAATTGAGAAGGTTTTTTTTTAATTTTCGGGTGAAAAAAATTATTTGCAAGGTTTGGGAAATCATTTTGGGGTCCCAATTTTTTTCAAATTTTGAAAATAATTTTGGGCACATTTTTCAAACATTTTTTGAGGTTTCCCAACAAAAATTATAAAAAAATGATCAAAAAAAAAATAATTTTTCATGTTTCCGAAAAATGTTTTGAATTCGATTTGTCATTTGTTTTATATTACATAAAGATGATTCATTTTTCTCTTTTTTTTTATTTTTTAAAATTTTTCAAAAGTTTCCACGTGGCAAATCTACAGTAATCTTGATCTACAGTACCCCAAAACACTCACCTTCAAACTGTACATTCTGACATATGGATTTGGAACAATTGCAGCCATGATTGGATTTTGAGATTATATATTTTGTGCTGAAAAAAAATTTAAATTTTCGAATTCAGGGAAAAATTGAATGGATTTTTGGGCGCGAAAATAATAAATTCAAAAAAATTCCGAAACTTGTGAAAACCAAAGCCAAAAAATAAATTGGCGGGTGTAGAAAAATGAAGTGTGGCGAAAAATTGAATTATTGATGTTAGAGACAAACACACAAGCACCAGATTCTTCTTATATAAAATAAAAATGAAAAAAAATTATTTGGGCCTACGGATAGAAGAAGAAGAAGTACACATGTTTCCAATTTTGATACTTTTTCGGGGAGATCAGATTTTTGGCGCCAAAACTTCCGCTTTCAAAAATATGGAGTAAAATTTTGAAAAATTGAGAAAAATTGGTGTCAAAAATGCGTATTTTAATTAAAAAATGACACCAAAAATGAAAATTAATCAACTTTTTTTTCGGGAATTTCAAAGTAGGTTTTGAAATTTTCAAAAAAAAATTGTTTTATTACTGAAGGCCTTAAAAGTGAAAATTAGGCTTTTTTGGGCTAAAAATCATGAATTTTCCTCAAAAATGACCATTTTTGGCTTAAAAAACGTGAAATTTTCGCAATTTTCAGATTTTCAACCAAAATTTTCAGATTCTTTAACTTATCATAAAGTTCTGAAAAATGCAAAAGTTTAGAATTTACCTCAAAAGAATTTTCGCTCGTAAATTTGAAAATTGAAAAATTTCATCAATTTTTCCACGTGGATTTTTTTGCGCGAAATGTTTTAAATTCAAATTTTTCCTCAACAAAAACTAGGTGTAAAATCACGAAATTTCAATTTTTCGGGGGGAATTTTATAAATTTGAATTCAAAAAATTCAGATTTTCATCGAAAAAATTGGTCAAAAAACACGCCCTTTCCACTCAAAAATCAACTTTCCAAGTAAAAAACTTTCTATACTCAAACAAAAAAAAATATGAATCTAAAACTAATTCGATTTTTTCGCCGCCGCTAATCTAAGCCCTCTGACACAAAATACTAATGGATTATTCGCTCATCCGGAATCAGATGTGATAAAAAAATAAAATATCAAGAAATGTGTGAAAAATTGGCAGGAAATTTTTGTTGACCAAACGCGGCTTATCACTATAGTTACCAGAAGAGACGCAGACAGCAGAATTTGGGGGGAGATTAAATATCTCGCCAATTTTTCATCTCATTTTCATTTTTGGCAGGTTGCCAGAAAAAAAAATTTGAAATATTTTTTGAATTTTCAAATTTCGCGCCGAAAAGTTTTCGAATAGAAATTTTCGCGCCAGAAGTCCGAATTTTCGAATTTTCAAATTTTGCGCCGAAAACTTTTCGAATAGAAATTTTCGCGCCAAAAGTCCGAATTTTTGAATTTTCAAATTTCGCGCCGAAAACTTTTCGAATAGAAATTTTCGCGCCAAAAGTCCGAATTTTTGAATTTTCAAATTTTTCAAAAAATATCTAGTTTTTGAATTTTAAAAAAAATTGGCGCGAAATTCGAAAAATTCAAAATTTTGCGGGAAATCTCCAGATTTTTGTCGCGAAATTCAAACAATTCAAAAATTTTAAATTTTCTTTATAACCAAAATTTGGCGCGAAATTCAAAAAAAAATTTCCTGCTCACGGAAATTAGAAAAAGTTTAGTTTAGATAGAGAGAGGACCACAGTACCTTCCTCAAAAACGAGTCGAAGGAAAATTGCTTTTCAAGTATTATATAATGGAGGAAATAGTGTGGCGAAATGAGAGAGTGTCAGACAAATTGGAAAGATGATTGGAAAATTTGGGGGGAAAAATCCCAGAGGAAAAAGGAGGACATTTTGAGCTAGAGTATACTGTAGGTGGATATCAACTCACGAATTTAATATTTGTTTATTATTATTATATCACCGCCTTTTGACAGTTTTCTCAAATCTTGAGATTTATTGTTTGTTGAGAAATTTTATAAGACTTGGGCTAACTTACCGGGGATTTTGTGCACAATTTGAGCCAACAATTTGCAGAGAATCCACGTCATAACTGCAAAAAACCTGATTTTGAAAAACAAAATAGATGGCGGCCGAGTTCCCGACACCCTCTAGAATTCGGCCACATTTGATTTAGGCTAACTCACAGGCGATTTTGCATTTTGCAGAAAATTAAAAATTGAAAGTGAGCAAATTCACGTGAATTTTCCATTTTTATTTTTCGCCTCGAAAAAAACGTGAATTTTTTTTCTAAAAAAAACTCACTGTCAGGTTTTGCAAAAAATCCATCAATTTTTCATCGATTTAATCAAAGTTTTTGCCTGGAAAAATGTAAAATTGAATTTTTCACAAAAAATATAGAAAATCACCAGGATTTCAGGAAAAATCGATATATTTGCACCATAAATCATATACCATGTTTTTCCAATTTTCCACGTCTTCATTTTGACGTCAAAATTTATCTCCAGCTTCTTTTCGGCGAAATCGCTCTGAAAAATCACAATTCCCCTTATATGTCCCCCCGAATTGAATCGACATTGAACTTAGAACCTTCGCATGGATTTGAAGCAGGTTCTGGGCAAGAAAATCGCCCCAAAAACTAACTTTTCACCGAAAATCCCATCGAAAACCACGAAAAACCAGAAAAAATCGATTTTTTGGTTCGATTTTTCAAAAACGCGCGGAGTGTTCGTGGTGAGACCATGTTGCTGTTTGTTGTGTTCCTTTAATCGTACTGTACACTGAAATTTTCTTTTTTTTCTGGTTTTTTCATGCGTTTTTCACTGTATTTTTTTTTGCAATTCGAGGGAGACGCAGACTTTACCGTGTGCAGACAAATCTCTCGCCGAAAAAGGGAGAGAAATAGTGTGTGGCAGACACACATCGTTTCGAGACCAGCCTCTTTCTCTCTCTGTCTGCGTCTCCTCGGAATTGCATTTTTCTATTAGAAAAAAACACAGTGTTTTGAGGATTTTAACTGTTTTTTCAAGAACTAGGAAAAGGGAAATTCCACTCTTCACCACAAAAACATCATAAACGATGCGCAAAACCCCATGCAACTCCCGTCACTGTTTTCCGGCCGCAGCAAAGGGATTCAATGAAGAATCCTCACTCATCTGTGAAATGAATGGCTTTGGGTTTCGAAAGCTGGTAGGCGGTACTAACTCAGGGAGCGCGCGCAGACTTTCTCTAGTTCTTAAGGATCCGAGTTTTTTGAAAAAAAAGTTTGAAAAATTTAAACTCATCTTTCACATCCTCGCACGGCCAAAAAATACACAAAATGAAAAAATCGATAAGCGTTTTTTTTAGTTCTCCAAAAATAAAAAAATAGCGGGGTAGATCAAAAAAAAAATTTTTGATGCAAAAATTTCTGGATTTTTGCAGAAAATAAAACATTTTTAAATGAGAAAAATGGGTCACGTGTTTTATTTTATTGAAAATTTCTGTGAAAATTTCCCTAAAATTTCTCCCCCAAAAAAAATCCAAAAACTTTATTTTCAAGAACTCGGCGACCTGGATCGCGCATCAAAATTCAAAAGTGTTATACTTCGTCGATGTTGCGTGGCTCTTCCCGAGCCACCCAAAATATGATTCTGATGCTGATTTTTCCTCCGATTCTCTTCTGAAATATCCAACTGTTTCAGCAATTGAATATCGCAATTATTCAGCAGAATTGATGGATTATTTGGGGAAGACATTCGACGATTCCTGGAATTTTTTCTTTCTTTTTTTTTTTGAATGTTAGTTATGACGTGGCAAAAGCCTACCGTAACGCTGTGAAATCCTGACTTCCTCTCGATTGACATTGATTCATCTTGAACATACTTCTTCTGCGATATGGGACGACTGGAGATTCAGGAGAAACATCGAGACTATTCGAAGTCATTATCGCACACATCGGAGCTGAATTTTCAGATTTCTGGTAGATTTCGACCCGCTGAACACTATCCTGTTGTCAAAAATTAGTTAGCTCAACTCTGAAGAGAGTTATGACGTGGCAAAGTTTGTGGGTAGGTTTCTAGGCCACCAGAAGCAGATTTTTGGGTTTCTAGGCCATCTGGAAGGTTTCTAGGCCACCGGAAGCTGATTTTTGAGTTTCTAGGCCATCCGAACTTATAACATTGCTCATATCAGAGTTACCAAAACTTTGCCACGTCATAACTCACTTCCGCATTGAGTTAGGCTAATTTTGAAAACAGGATCGGGTCAAATCTTTTCCGAAAAAAAATCAACTAAAAATAAAAGCACAACGAGTTTACATGAACAAAAAATGCTGAAAAAAAACAAAAAAATGACGTCATAACTATCTAAGTGATCTACGTGGAATCGAACGACGTGGTGTACTACGACAAGAATGTGATAAATGATTTTGAGTGGGTGACGAACCGATTGCTGGACTCAGCGAGGGTTCGAGGAAGTGGGAAGCTGAGCGGGAACGGGTGGAGCGCATTGAGGCCATCGAGATTATTGAGCTGGAAACACACATTTTCAGCGCTAAAAATCCACGTGGAATTTTTCTAGACTTCAAGAGGTTTTATGAAATTCTGAATGTAATTTTTTTTTTCGAAAACCACGTGGCGATTTTTTTTTCGAAACTCTAATCCTGATTCAGATTTAAAAATTATTAAACCTGATTTTTTTGAGCTGAAATGCCACGTGGAAATCAAAGCTTGGCTCCAAAATGACCAATATTTCAAATTTCAGAATGATTTTCAGGTCTCAAAAATCCACGTGGCATTTTTTTTCATTAAAAACTTAATTTAAAGTTTGTTAATTTTCAAATTTGATTTTTTTTATCTTAAAAACCACGTGGCGATTTTTTTTGAAATTCTTAAAATTTTTTTGAGTCAGTTTTTTTCTGCTGAAAATCCACGTGGCAATTTTTTATCATCAAAACCTTAATTTAAAGTTTGTTAATTTTAAATTTGATTTTTTTAAATCTTAAAATCCACGTGGAAATTGTTTTTCAAATTCTTAAAATTTTGAAGATCCACGTGGCACTATTTTTGAGCTTCAAGTTAAAATTTTCAAATTCTAAAACCCCTTTTCAGGATGCAGAATCCACGTGGCAAAGATTCCTCAGATTTGAAATTTTGAAAAAACAAAGTTCTAGACTAAAGTTTTGTGCTGAAACCGATGAAACTAGTGATTTTCAGCGATTCTGAGTAATTTCAGCACCCCCACTCACTTCGTAATACTTAGCCGAAGTGGTGTTTTCTCGCTGGCACATCCCTCATATCCACGTTTCATCGATTCAATCATCATACACGAAAATTGACGCCATGATTCGCAAACTTCTTCTTCTTCGCTTTTTTCGGAGGCACGTGAGCGGATTCGCAGGATTTTTCGGATTCTGGAAGGAAAAAGTGTTGAGGGGGAGCTGAAATTTTGCCACGTGGCAAGGCGGAATTTTAGAGTTTTTTGTTACGTGGAAATTCGAAAATCTTGGATTTCTGATGCAAAATTTCTAGGTTTCAACATTTTTTAAATTTTCTGCAACGTGGATTTTTAGCTAAATCTTTTAATTTAAATTTTCAAGATTTTCAGAAACTTCTGAAATTCCGAAAATTTAGAATAAAATTAAACTTTGAAGTTTTCGAAGCAAAATCGTTTCATTTTTCGAAAATTTGAAATTTCTAGCTAACTTTAAAATGTTCAAATTTCATTCCGAAATTGAAAAAAAATTACGAACATTGCTCATGTTAAAAAGAACTTCGAAAAACCTTCAAATGTTTGAATCAGAAATTTTTTAATGTTAAAAATTTGAAATTTTCTGAGATTTTTAGCTTAACTTTTCATAAAAACAATATGTGGCCGAATTTTCGAGCGGTGGCCAAGAAATGTCGGAAACTCGGCCAAGACAGAATTTTTTTCAAAATTTCAAATTTTCGCTTTTTCCCACTCCCAAATCCCCCCCCCCAAAATAGCACAAACTTTCCCTCCTCATTGACAACTCTCATATACATTTTGCTCATACAAATGGGTAATTGTTGTGCGAAAGGTGCCCAATAGCAATTATCCTGTCCCTCAGTCATATAATGACGATGTCGAGCGCCGAGACGAAATGAGAGTGTTTTTATCATTTCGGGATCGCATTTGTGAACCTGAAAATTGGGATTTTTGAGGAAAAATAGAGGATTTCAGTGAAAACATGATTTTCAGCACGAAATTCTGATCTAGAACACTATTTACAGATTTTTCAGGAAAAAAATGTTTCTAGATCAGAATTTTGCGCTGAAAATCATGAAATACCTCAAATTCATTGGAAATGAGGTTTTCCATGATTTTCAGCACAAAATTTTGATCTAGAAGACTGTTTTTCGAAATTTTCAGATTTTTCAAGCAAAAATATGTTATTGGCTGAAATGCTGCGCTGAAAATCATGAAATACTTCAAAATTGATAAAAATAATGTGCTGCGTGGTTTTGAGCACAAAATTCTGATCTAGAAAACTGTTTTTATCCTGAATATAATTTTATTCGAAAATATTCCGATTTTTTAGAAAAAAAAGTTTCTGGCTAAAATTTTGTGCTGAAAACCATGGAAAACCTCAAAATCACTGAAAATCAGGTTTTCCGTGATTTTCATTCAGCACGAAATTCTGATCTAGAACCCCTGAATTTTTTTTTTGAAAATTTTCAAAAAAAATTTTCTCTGCGCGAAAATTCAAGTTTTCAAATTTCATCAATTATTTTCCGCTTGAATTTTGTGCGCGAAAATTTGAATTTTTAAAATTCAATTTTGTCCCCGAACCTCCCCAAATCCCACTCACCTTGATCAAAATATTCAAAAAATCCTTGACCTGTCCAATAATATTCAAAAACTGTGCATTTTGTCGATAGGTGGCGTGTTGAGTTTCGGGCAAATCCACCAGTGCCCAAACCCACGTCGGCGTCAATTCGGCCGATTTCAGCCAAGCCTCACTGATCGCATCAATCAATAATTGTGGATCGTGCGAATTGATGGTGAGCCACGTGTGAACCACGTGTTTTCGATGTGTCGATAGTTGACGAGCCGATTGATTTCCCATTTTTCAACGAAAATCTTCAGATTGGAAGAAAACGCGATTGGCAAGTGGTTAACGCTTTTGCCTCTCAAGATTTCGTCGCAGGTTCGATGCCGCCCGCGCGCGAAGATTTTTTTTGTTGCGCAATTTGAGAAAGTTCTTCTGGATGCTTCTGAAATTTGAGGAAATTTCTCTAGGCTGCAAGAAAACATCGTGTAGGTTGAATGGAACTTGTTTCAGATTTCAAAAAAAAAAAACTGGATTTTAGGCTCATTTTGTCTAAAAAAAATTCTCAGATTTTCTCTCACAAAAATAAATCAAAGATTTCACGAGATTCGAAAACCGAAATGAAAATTTTGAAGAGCTCACAGCTCAACAAAAACCCATTTTTTCTCCAAAAAAAACCATCAAATAAAGCTAAAAAGCCCTATTATCTTCGTGTGAAAATAAGAAAAAGCGAAGACTTTGTTTACTTTTTCGCTCCGAAATTATGCAAAACCACAAAAAAAACGGGAAAATAAAAAAGGAGGGCTGAAAAAATATGTGAAAGATAAAAAATGATTGACATTTTTATGCGCGACTTGTGGAATCTCGCCACGCCAAAAACAAGAAAAAGTAATTTTTGATGGACATTCGCTTTTTCTCGCGCTTCTTGAGCTCAAAAAAGAAATCCAAGAACTTCTTCTTCTCGTTGACGTAGCAAATTAGAGAAATAGTGGGGTAGACTGAGATGCGTAGGCAAAAATCTAATTTCAAGGAAACACAATACGGGATATTCTAAATAGTGTTGTAGTGTCAAAAACATTTGTGAATGAAAAAAGTACGTTTTTTTCAAACTTTTGTCTTTTGAAAAAAAAAGACAATCAGTGAGTTTTCTTCAAAATTCAATGTTTTCTGAACTTTCGGTCTTGGCTCAAAATTTGCTACGTGTTGTCTTGCTACAGCTTTGGAAAAGCTAAAAAATTTCCTGAAAAAAGGCAAAAAATGAATTAATGAGCTCACAACATGCAAGTGTCCAGTACGTTAAAATCACTTGATGTGTGGAGAAAATTAGGGATTTAGTTTTTCAATTGCTCGTCGTAGAAAAGGAGGGAGGGAAGATGACCACGCCCCGAGCACACGCGCGACTTTCTGATATGCCTGAGGGCGTGGAAATCGAATTTACATTTTCGCTTTATTTTTGTTTTTTAGCGGAGAAGACACAGGAAATTTTCAGCTTTTCGTTGGAGAATTGATGGGAAAAACGATGGTAAACAAGGAGCATCTGTCAAAATAATCTGTATTCATTCGTTAAAATCTTCTCAATGGAAGATAATGTACACTTACATGGAACAACAATTTATTGGTAACAAAAACAAAATTACTCTTCGTCGTCGTCTCCAGCAGAGTCTCCCTTTCTCAAAGTGCGTCGCTTCACACGTCCTGGACGACCTCCTCCGTATGGTGATTGGAGGGAGAAGTCGATGTGCTTTTGCGAGTCCAAACGAACGATGAAAGATGGGACATCGACGACTTGTCTACGAACACTGAAAACAAAAATATTGAAATTGGAAAATTGAGCACTTTCAAAAAATTCTTTCTTTCAATTAGCCAATTGAGAATATAGAAAAATAAAATGAACATTGTAATTCAAACCATAGAGATGAAATTTGGGCTACTTTAATTTGAAAATCATCATAAAATTCCAAAAAGCCTAATTTTTTTTATCTAAACCAGTCACTTGAAGTTTATCTCCCTACTTTTTTCAATAATAAAAATTTACCGGATGTGGTGTTGCTTGATCAAAATACGAGCGTGGTGGATTGATTTGGCGAGTCCGAGTTTGAAGACTTGGGTTTGGAGTCTGCGCTCCAAGAAATCTTCGACCTTAAGACCGAGGACGTAATCGAGCTTCATCTTCGACTCATCGAGTACTCCGATCTTGACCAAACGACGGAGAAGAGCGTTTCCTTCGAAAAGACGCTTTGGGTCCTTGTCTTCAAGGGTAAGGAGCTCACGAGCAGCCTTACGGACCTTGGCCAAGGTGTACTTGACGCGCCATACTTCACGCTTGTTCTTCAAACCGAACTCTCCGATGAGTTTCAATTCCTGAAAAATGAAACTTTTATTGTTGACAAAAAATAGGTAAATAATTCGTATTCAGGATTTTGGCAACTCGAAACTTTTCGAAAATACGCAGAAATCTCGAATTTTTAGAAAAACAAAGTTAAATTGACATACCTGATCGAGACGTTCCTTCTCGAATGGACGGCGTGGTGACTTTGTCACTTTAGATTGCACTGTCTTCAGACGTGCCATGGTTGACCCTAAAAATATGAAAAATTGCCATTTTTCTCGAGGAATCGTGAAAATACAAAGAGAATAATCGATAAACACAACAAAAACATGCTTTTCAAGAGCTATGACATGAAAAATGAGCAAATTTTAGGCTAAAACCGACCTAAACGAACTTTAAAAAAAGAAAAAATAAAAAACCGTCCCAAAACCTTCAGGCTGCTGCGAACTACTGTAGAAACGAGCAAACGACGAGACCCATCGAGGAAATAAATATGTGCGCCTTTAGTCTTGTGTGTCTGTCCCTCCTCTTTTCACACACTCTCTTCACTCGATGTTTTTTTTTTCGATTTTTTGCAAAAAGTTCTTGTTTTTCATGGTTTTCAGCTATTTTTCTTTGAGTTTTTCAGTGTTTGAGTTGCAAAATAGTTATCAAATTGTCTAAATGTAGGATTGAGCGGATTTTTTGAAGTAAATGCATGATGTTTCATGAAAAATACGTTTTTTTCAAACTTTCATGAATTTTCGCAAATTTTCAGCGAATCTTTAACCAAAATAAAATAAAATCCATTTTTCGTGCTATCCAACGTATGTTCTTCTCATAAACTAAGTGTTTTTCAGCAAATGGAACTGCCGGACCCCTATCTCCCCGGATCAATCAGTCTTTTCGATCAACTCGATAAAAAAATGCTTGTAGTGCTACGAGACGGCCGGAAATTGATAGGATATCTCAGATCCATTGACCAATTCGCTAATCTTATATTGGAAGATGTTGTCGAAAGAGTTTTCATCGAGAAATTCTATGCTGATACGAATCAGGGATTCATGTTGATTCGAGGAGAAAATGTTGAATTGGCTGGAGAAATTGATGAGAATGTGAATACCGGATTAACTGAGGTAAGCATTTTTGATGACTTTTAAACTACCACGTCATATCTTTCAGATCTCCCTCGAAGAATATCAAAGACTAGAAGAAGACTACCTGGCGAAAAATCCAATTCCCTCAAAACCCAGCAGAAAATCGATCAAATCAACAGAAGATGATCATGAATAACACATTTTTCTTTTTTTTTCACCTAACTCACAATCAATTAACTTAATTCATGTATTATAAAACTCATCATTTCTAATTTTTGATGTGAATTTGAAGAAAAGTGAGACCTACTTCTCGATTATTTCATTCCCCAAATGTTGTGTTCTCAAAATAATCTTATGAAATTTTCAGGCGGGTTATTGTTGTATGGGTAAGTAAAAGTTCTACAAACTATGAATGTATTTTGTGTGTCTTATGAAAACAAATCGCTAAATTGATAAGAGTTGACTTCATTGTTCTCCACTTTTTCTCGCCTTTTATTATCAGTGTCTTGGAGAAAATTGTCATTTTCTCTTTTTTTTAGAAACCGTCTTATGATGTGGAAATTCTTGATTTTTGAAACACAACCTGCTAATTTTTAAAATTCAAAAAATAACCTAAAAACCTGCCTGAACCTTGAAATTGCATCAATTTTCGCTCTAACTTTCAGTCAAAACTTGGATTTTGACTGAAAATCGAAAAATTGCTGAAATTTCCGGGTTCTCGCGCAGGGAAATCTATCGTCAATTTTTTCCCAAGAATTTGCCACGTCATAACTCATATCCAACGTTGAGATGATGAGTTGACGTGGCAATAATTGCGAATCTTGATTTTCAGCCAAAACAATCTGAAAACCTGCCTGAACCTTGAAATTTCATCAATTTTTGGTTGAAAATCTGAAAATTGCTGAAATTTCCGGGTTCTCGCGTAGGGAAATCTATCGTCAATTTTTTTTCGAAAATTTGCCACGTCATAACTCGTTGATTAGTTTTTGACATCTGTAAAATCTTCTAGAAAACACCCTGGTCTAATTTTGAACCAGAATACGATTAGATCTATTCGATTTTCCTCTAGATATATAAATTCAAAACCTATAATTTCATCCAGATTATTTCATATTTTAAATATCTCTTCCCGCAAAAAATTGCCCGCCTCCTCCAATTTTAATTCCAGTTGTGCGCGTCTGCGTCTCCTCCATCCACACACTCTTCTCGCCACCCTCTAACTCTCTCCGTCTCTCCCTCACCTCACTCTCGTCTTGTCGTCGACCCGTTTCGATTTTTCGCAAGTTTTCCACACATACACGAAACAACAACAACAACAAGATGGTTCATAACGTGGTTTTCGTGTTGGGACCTCCAGGATCGGGAAAAGGAACGATTTGCGCCAAAATTCAAGAGGTACGGTGTTTCATGGGGGCGGGAAATTTAAATTTTTTTCCTGTTTTTTATGGGGGAAACGTGGAAAATACGTGGATTTTTAAAAACTTTCTGCGAATTTTTACTTGAGAATTTTCTTTGAAATTCATGAGTTCCGCTTAAAAATACGTGGATTTCTCAAAGGAAAAATTCAGCTTTTCCAAAAAAACATTTTTCGATTGTAAAACAAATAAAACGTGGAAAATCAACAACAAAACCGAATGTTTTTGAACAAAGAAAATACGTGGATTTTTTGGCGGGAAATCCTACAGTAACCTTAGGCTAATTTGGAATCAAAAAATAAATTCAAACAGGGCTCGTGAAGCCACGTGGTTTTTGAATTTTGGTGCTAAAATTATCTCAAAAGATTGACATCTTATCATATCACATTTCTGTAACTATAGTCTAGTTTCAGATTAACTATAAAAATATTTTTTCTGAAAATTGGCTTTCGGACTATAGTCTAGTTTGGATTTCCAGATTCCACGTCATTTCATTTTTAGCGCATTTTCCTCTTTATTTTTCCCTCCTATTCAACACTGTGTAAACAAAACGTGGGAAAACATAAATACAAAAAAAATGTTTATATTATATGATAACACAAATTTTCTTTTTTTTACAGGACTTCAACTACATTCACCTTTCGGCTGGCGATTTGCTGAGAGCCGAAAGACAACGAGAAGGCAGTGAATTTGGAGCATTGATTGAGGGACACATCACAAATGGAACTATTGTGCCGGTTGAAATCACTTGTAAATTGTTGGAGAATGTAGGTTTTTTGTGGGGAAATTTGAGGAAAATGGAGAATTTTGAGCCTAAACATGACCTAGACGTTAGTTTAGGCCTGAAGCTCATTTAGGCTCAAAAATCCGGCCTTTTCTCGTAAAAATGCACCGCTTTGATCAAAAATTGGTCCAGGGCTCTAAAAAGTCCCAAATTTTCGGACTTGGGCTCATTTTTGACCAACATTATGAAGTGGCAAAGTTTGAGCAAAAGCATTGCTCATATTAGCCTTGTAAAGTTATCAAAACTTTTCCACGTCATCACAAAAATCCAAAATTGCTCATTTTATATTCAAAATGCTCCGAATTTCTTCGAAAATTCAATAATTGCTCAATTTAAATTGAAAATGGTCCAAAAAATTTTTAAAACACTAAAAATTGCTCATTTTATACAAAAAATGCTCCAAATTTCTTGAAAAATCCAAAAATTGCTCATTTTACACTCAAAATGCTCTGAACTACTTAGCTCAACTGTGAAAATTGTAATCGGGAGCATATTGAGTATGAAATGAGAGAATTTTTGGATATTTCAGAAAATTTGGAGCATTTTGAGTAATTTCGGGGATTCTGAAAAAATTTGGAGCAATTTGCCACGTCATAACTCTCTTCAGAATTGAGCCAACTAATTTTTGAGAACTGGAAAAAATCTGAAAATTTCAGGCGATGAAAGCTGCTGGAGATGTGCGCGGTTTCCTTGTCGATGGATTTCCAAGAAATCAAAATAATCTAGAAGGATGGAACGCTGAAATGACTGGAAAAGTCGACGAAAAATTCGTCCTGTATCTCTCATGCCCCGTCGATATTTGCATCTCACGATGTTTGAATCGCGGACAAGGAAGAACTGACGACAACGAAGAATCGCTCAAAAAACGCGTCGTCACCTACAATAGCCAAACTTTCCCAATCATTGAACATTTCGAGAAATCCGGACAAGTTCGCGAAGTGAAAAGTGAAAGACCGGTGGAAGAAGTCTATGCGGATGTTGTCAAACTTTTCAGCTAAATTTTTTATCTAGTTCAGTAATTTTCTGGAATTGCCCTTGATTTATTTTTTCATATAATGAATTTTTTTGAAGAATGTTTCGTTGAGAAAATTAAGAAAAGATTTAATTTCGAAATTCATATTTTTTCAAGAAATTTAGAGAATTTAGAGTTGAAAATGAGCAATTTCTGGATTTTTGAAGGAATTTAGAGAATTTTGAGTTGAAAATGAGCAATTTTTCGGATTTTTGAGGAAATTTGGAGCATTTTGAGTTGAAAATGAGCAATTTCTGGATTTTTGAAGAAATTCGGAGCATTTGGAGTTGAAGATGAGCAATTTCTGGATTTTTGAAGAAATTCGGAGCATTCTGAGCCAAATTCACTCTTAAAATGCTCCAAATCACCTCAAATATCCACAAAAATTGCTCATTTTATGCTCAAAATGCTCCAAAATTGATGAAACTTGAAAATTTCCAGCATCTTCAATTCAAATTATGTTAATATCTGAATGTTGCGCAATTTTGATGAATTTTGAGCCAAATTTCCCTCAAAAATCTAGGAATTGCTCATTTTATATTGAAAATGCTCCAAATTTCTTGAAAAATCCAAAAATTGCTCATTTTACACTCAAAATGCTCTGAACTACTTAGCTCAACTGTGAAAATTGTAATCGGGAGCATATTGAGTATGAAATGAGAGAATTTTTGGATATTTCAGAAAATTTGGAGCATTTTGAGTAATTTCGGGGATTCTGAAAAAATTTGGAGCAATTTGCCACGTCATAACTCTCTTCAGAATTGAGCCAACTAATTTTTGAGAACTGGAAAAAATCTGAAAATTTCAGGCGATGAAAGCTGCTGGAGATGTGCGCGGTTTCCTTGTCGATGGATTTCCAAGAAATCAAAATAATCTAGAAGGATGGAACGCTGAAATGACTGGAAAAGTCGACGAAAAATTCGTCCTGTATCTCTCATGCCCCGTCGATATTTGCATCTCACGATGTTTGAATCGCGGACAAGGAAGAACTGACGACAACGAAGAATCGCTCAAAAAACGCGTCGTCACCTACAATAGCCAAACTTTCCCAATCATTGAACATTTCGAGAAATCCGGACAAGTTCGCGAAGTGAAAAGTGAAAGACCGGTGGAAGAAGTCTATGCGGATGTTGTCAAACTTTTCAGCTAAATTTTTTATCTAGTTCAGTAATTTTCTGGAATTGCCCTTGATTTATTTTTTCATATAATGAATTTTTTTGAAGAATGTTTCGTTGAGAAAATTAAGAAAAGATTTAATTTCGAAATTCATATTTTTTCAAGAAATTTAGAGAATTTAGAGTTGAAAATGAGCAATTTCTGGATTTTTGAAGGAATTTAGAGAATTTTGAGTTGAAAATGAGCAATTTTTCGGATTTTTGAGGAAATTTGGAGCATTTTGAGTTGAAAATGAGCAATTTCTGGATTTTTGAAGAAATTCGGAGCATTTGGAGTTGAAGATGAGCAATTTCTGGATTTTTGAAGAAATTCGGAGCATTCTGAGCCAAATTCACTCTTAAAATGCTCCAAATCACCTCAAATATCCACAAAAATTGCTCATTTTATGCTCAAAATGCTCCAAAATTGATGAAACTTGAAAATTTCCAGCATCTTCAATTCAAATTATGTTAATATCTGAATGTTGCGCAATTTTGATGAATTTTGAGCCAAATTTCCCTCAAAAATCTAGGAATTGCTCATTTTATATTGAAAATGCTCCAAATTTCTTCAAAAGTCCAGAAATTGCTCATTTTATGCTCAAAATGCTCCAAATTTCCAGAAAACATGGATAAAAGTGTGGTGATGGCGGGTCTGGCGGGAATTTGTGGCGCAACTGGCGCGATTTCCGGAAAACTCGCTTTCGATGGCGGATTCGACCAAATCACCGTGAGTTTTTGAAAGAAAGTTTGGAAAAGCGCGGGAATTTCGAATTTCCAGACTTTCTCTTGCCTCGCAGTCTTCATTGTGGCAAATATTGCGATGTGGGCAACGTACACAAGATCTTTAGCACTTTCAACATCCACTTCCACACCGCTTCTCATCAATATGTCTTTCAATTTCGCTGTAACGGTATGATTTTCAATGAAATATATGTTTTCTAGTGGATTTCGACGAACTCAATGAGCTATGACTTGGCAAAACTCATCAGGCAGTTGAGATTTGCAATTTTGGACCACAAGATCAGCCAAAATTCTCTAGAAATTCGAAATTTTGCAGGGAATTATGGGGAAGTTGGTGTTCAACGAATCGCACAGTGAAATCTGGTGGTTTTTCCTGAGTCTTCTCATTTTGGGTCTTGTAATGTTGCTAGGCGATTCATCAAAAACCGACGAGGAGAAAAACGATTAAAATCGAAACGTAGTCAAGGATTCCGCATAATTTTCCTATTTCTTTTCGAATTCTGTAGATATCTATTTTTGAAAAAAAAAATGAAATTCTTTGTGCTTTTTACAATTTGTTTTGTGATTTCTGCACTTTGCGACGATGATAATTCGACGTCTGAAACTGTGGCTGAAACTACAGTGAGCTCTAGCTCCTCAGCGAAAAGTTCTGAAACTACTTCGAGTTATACTTCTAGTTCCAGCTCCACTTCGAGTTCGGATAACTCGACAGCTCAGACAACTTCTACAAGTACAGGCAAGTCGATTTTTGAGTTATGACATGGCAATTTCTTGAAAAAAAAATTGGCGATAGATTTCCCTGCGCGAGAACCCGGAAATTTCAGCAATTTTTCGATTTTCAACGAAAAATTGATGAAATTTCAAGGTTCAGGCAGATTTTGATGAAAATAAAGATTTTCAAATATTGCCACGTCATAACTCATCAGCTCAACGTTGAATGTGAGTTATGACGTGGCAGGATCTTTTAAAAAATTGGCGATAGATTTCCCTGCGCGAGAACCTGGAAATTTCAGCAAATTTTTGATTTTCAGTCAAAATCCAACTTTTGACTGAAATTTCAAGGTTCAGGCAGGTTTTCAGAATATTTTTAAGCCACACGATTTTCAGACAGCTCCGATTCTCTGGATAAACTAGTGTCCTACACGACCTCTCAGAAAACCATCTTCTTGGCTTGTTGTGGTGGAACTTTTGTGCTTTTGGTGGCATTGGCGATTCTTTCCGGATTGTCTGATACAATGGCAAGATCTCGACAAAAAGCTAAAAGAACCCATGCATAATTCTGAAGTTTATTAAATAAAAAGTTGAATAAAAAAGGAGATCCAATAAAAAACCAAATTTACAAGGTGATTGGCTCATTGCCAGCAGTCAAATCCATCTTCTCATCAACAGCAGGATGTGTGCGAAGTTTGTTGAACAATTCGGTCATGTCAACGACCTCAATCTCGTTTTTGCGAATCTTCTCGCGCAACAACATCAAAATCACTCCCAAAATATTGCGACCCTCCGCGATCACCGGACATCCTTGAACAGTGGTTTCAGTGAGCGGGAATTCGCCGGGAACTCGTATTTGTCGAACGCCGGAGCTTCGCAAATCCTCCACCCATTGTTTGATCTTTGGCACACCGCATCCAGTTCCATAGATACTGTCGCCACGGAACGCGTGCACCAACAAATTGTCCGAAGTTTCCTTAAGAGCTTCTCGAAGATGAGCGGATTGTGAGACTTTTGCTAGCAAAGCGGTTTGAATAGCGGCAAGACCTTTAGTAGTACGCCATTTTTCAACAACACTTTTCTCGATGTTTGCAGCCTTCAATGCTTCTTTCGCCATCTGACTGAAGCTTTTTTGTTGCTCAGCGGAGCTGGAAACCGTTGTGATTGGCACTCCAGCTTCATCTCTCACATTGACCAGCAAACTTTCACAAACACTTCCAGTCAAGTTCAACACCTTCTTGCATTGATAATAGTGATCGCAACTGGTGTAGATTTGACCTTCCACAAGGACTGGGAACGTGTGTTGGGTGGTGAAAACACTGTCAAAACCATGGAAGCCAATAATATTATCTGCGGACAGTGACAAACTCAAAGCGGGGGCGTTGTCGGCAAGGATAACGAATGGGATGTCGGTTTTCTTGTTGGTCGGCCCGAAAAATTTGCCACGTCCATTTCTTGCTCCTCGACCACGTCCTCCTCCTCCTCGTCCTCCACGATTTCCAACTGATCCACGAATATTCGACCAATCACCATTCCATGCGCCATTCTGATAAACTGTGTCTGAAATTTTGAAAAAAATCGATTTCACTTCGAAATTCAGATGATTTCTCACGTCTTTTTTGTACTGCACTTCCTCCTGATCCAACTCTTTTCGGAGTAATGGTTTCTTTCTTCACTGAAACTGGAGAAGCCTTAATCTTTTGAATATTCTGTTCTTTCTTGTTGGGAAAATATCCTTGTTGTTTTTGTTGTTGCGGGTAATTTGAAGATTGCGGGTTGTAGAATGGAAGATTCATAGCTGGATAACTTGGATTGTACTGAAAATACACTATTTAATAACAAAAATCGAAAACATTTGTTTCATTCAATAACCTCGTCGGATGGAGTCGCCCAAGAGTAGCTGAAAGAAAAGTGGGTTATGAGGTGAAGCTGCGATGATTTTTCAAATTTACCTCCCATTGTATGATCCCCACGGGTTCATTTTCGGCGTAAACGGTGACGAAAACAAAAAGAAAAGAAAAAACAAAAAATTTCGAAATGTTCGCAATAGAGCGCCGTTGTTCGCTTGACTTGGGTTTCTAGGCCACGGCCATTTTTTGTGAGTTTTTTTCAAATACTGCATGCAATCAAAATTTATTCGTGTTCAATTCAATATTTAGCCGGTGAACTGGGACGACGATGCCCCAAACAGAATGGTCGAATTTCCTTTGGCTCATCTGGAGCATTTCCGCATTTATAGATCAATCCGTTATGACAAATTCCCCAATAGTACTTCTTGAAGTGAGCCAAAGTTTGACCTTCTTCTGAATATTTACAAGGTCCAAGGAGTTCCTCATAACGGCGACAATTGACAGAAACCGCGAAAAGCAGCAAGATAGCAAAGAAAGCTTTCATTTTGTGAAAAAATGAGTTTGCAGCAGCATTTTGTAGAAAATTTTTGATTGTTTTATTCGATCATCAATTTTTCCCGTAGCATGATTTTTTGGAAATGAAATGAAATGAGGGACCAAATTTTGCACGTTCAATGTTCACGAGGTTATTGGAATTTTCGAAAAACCCTTGGGAAAATTGAGGAGTAATTTCAATTTTCTAAATTAGTTGAAAGCTCTTACATGATTAGTAAAGATGAATGGTATATCTCTTTTTTTCTTATAAAATTATTGAGAAGCTTCTCATCTTCGAAGATTTAAAATTGTGTTTCAAAGTGAGAAAATTCGAAAAATCATAAGAAACTGCAATCAAAATTTATTCAGGTGTTCAACTCAATATTTAGTCGGTGAACTGGGACGACGATGTCTCAAGCAGAATGGCCGAGTTTCCGGGAGCTCTCCTTGAGCGTTACCGCATTTATGAGGCTGCCCATTGTGACAAACAACCCAATAGATGTATTTGTAAGTGAATAATACTTGTCCTTCTTGATCAAATCGACAGGCTCTTGAACACTCCACAGAAACCGCGAGAATCAACAAGAACGCAAGAAAAATCTTCATTTTGTGAAAAATTGAGTTTGCAGCAGCATTTTGTAGGAAATTTTTGATTGTTTTATTCGATCATCAATTGTTCTCGAAGCATGAATTTTGGAAATGAAATGAAATGAGGAACCAAATTTTGCACGTCCAAAGTTCACGCGGTTATTGGAATTTTCGAAAACCTTTGGGAAAATTGAGGAGTAATTTCGATAGAAAAAAAATCACAAGAAACTGCAATCAAAATTTATTCAGGTGTTCAATTCAATATTTAGTCGGTGAACTGGGACGACCACGGCGGAAACAGAAAGGCCGAGTTTCTTCTGGCTCTCCTGGACCACTTCCACATGTATAGATTATTCCATTGTGACAAACTCCCCAATAGTAAAGGAGGTAGCGGACCAAGATTCGACCTTCTTGTTCATAAGTACAACGATCATCGAAAAGTTTCGCAGAAACCGAAACCGCGAGGATCAACAAGAAAGCAAGAAAAACCTTCATTTTGTGAAAAATTTGAATTTGCAGCAGCTTTTTGAAGAACATTTTTTGATTCGATCATCAATTTTTGATTTTTTTGAAAATGAAATGAAATGAGGAACCAAATTTTGCACGTCCAAAGTTCACGTGATTCCAAAAACGCGTTTTTTTTCAGGAAGAAATTTGAGGAGTAGCTTCAACAGTCTTCTAAAAATTTAAAAAAATATAGGATTCAAAGCTAGGAAAGTAAGTTCGCTCTACCGCACACATAATTTATTTGTGTGCACTTCTCTCGGAGTTTCAAACATCCAAACATTAATTGATTATTTTGGGTGTAAGTTAAAAAAATCATGTTAGGTTAACAATTTGAACTTGAAATGTTTATCGTGCACAAAACATTTTTACATGGTATGCAAACAGAAATCTCGACTTTCTTTTGGCTCATTTGGACGATTTCCACATCTATAGATCAATTGTTCGTGACAAACTCCCCAATAGTATAGGAAATAGCGGCGGATCAAGATTCGACCTTCTTCAAATCTGCTGCACCGTCCAGCAATAGGTGGTGGTATTTGACCATTGACAGAAGTGGCGAGCAACAACAAGACAACAAGAAAAACTCTCATCTTTTTTGAAATTTCAAAATTCTGGCTGCTTTTTGAAGAAAATTTTTGATTCGATCATCAATTTTTGATGAAATCGAACAAGGAACCAAAAAAATCGGGAAAACACAAGCGCGCTGCGACGCGGTTTGCGTCGCCTGCTCATTTCGCTGCACAGAGTGTAATTTACTACTCGAAAAATTTCGCGCATTTTTTGAGACCTGACACGATCTTAGGGGTGGGACTAAAATCGACGAAATTCCACGCAAAAACGAGAGATTTAGAGAAAAATGATTTTTGATCTACCCAAAAATTGATGAAAAATTTGAGGTCTAGCCATTTGAGGTAGTAAATTACACCCTGTGCGCTGGAGCACTCTTCGCTCCTCGGGGGAATCCGAAAAGTATGTAAAATAATTATCGCATGCATTTTGGACATTGAGTATGTAACTAGCGGAAGTCAAAAGGGAAGGGCCTCTTTTATCCCGTGTCTTCTTCTTCTTCTCAACATACATTTTAATTGCTGAATAAAAAGCTTGCGAAATATTTTTCAGTTTTTCTGAACAAGTTTTGTTGCCACGCACTTTTTTGATCTACCAGAAATACAGCGCGCGCAAAAATTTATTTTGAGAGAAAACGAGAGAGCGTGTGGAGTGGGGAGAGGGTAGAGAAATATAGAAAGGCTTTTTTTATTTTTGTTGAAAATTGAAATTTTGTGATTTTTTTCTTTTTTTTTCTATAACTATAGTCTAGTAGGTTCTAAATTTCACGTAATTTGTACGGTAACTATAGTCTAGTCTAGTTTCTGCATTTTCAAAACATTCAAGCCCCCATTTTATATTCGACGTTTTGAGCTTCTGAAAAAAACAGCATCATGGTCGAGTGGTTAGCATGAGCGCCTAGTAAATTTCCATCTAGGGTTCGACCCCCACTGCCAAAAAAGTTTTTTTCTTTTTTTTTTTCTTTTGATTTGATATGATATGATAAATTAAAGTGATTAACCCAACCCAAAACCCATAAATTTCGATTTCATAGGAAAATTCCAAATGTTTACATAAACGTTCTTTTTTTAATGTATTCTCCTGTCATCTATTTCATTTTAAAAGATATATAATAAATATCAAAGCCCATCAAACCGTATCTCTATTTATTTATGCAAATTTGTTTAGCCCAAGAAACATTTCTGTTTTTCTTTTTTTTTCCCTTGATGACACTTTTGGGATATGTTTAATGTATTTATTTGGCGCCAGAATCTTAGATTCGGGATTCTTGGAATCCACGTGGATTTTGAGCCCATAATATTTTGCCACCCAGCAAAAAGTACACACTCAGAAATTCGTAGAACTCACAAAATGTTGCCAGATTTTTTATCTACACATTTCAATCTTGACAAATTTGTGACGTTTTCCATAATCTCACTTAACTCCTCTCTTGCTCACGATTTTCTCCACTCTCAAAAATCTCATATGTTCCCCACCCTCACCAAAAAAAAAAAAAAAAAAAAAATAGTAGCCCCCAGGCAGACTCGAACCCCAGACCCCTTGAGTGGTATTGTAGGCGCTTACCGGCTGCACCGTATGCGCAAAAGCTCCAGCATTTTGAAGCTGTATGCCACGTCATAACTCTCATTTTTTGTTTCAAAAATGACTCATCTCCTGTTCCTTTCTTCTCGAGACTGATGTCTAATTAGCATAAATAAAAAAACATAAATAAATAAATTTCGAAAACGCGCCGCCTTTTCTTCTTCTTTTTTCCCTTTCCAAGTGACTCATTTGTCAAAAAAGAGCAACAATGAAAAGCTGTCCGCTTGGGCTCCGCGGAGCTGAAGAAGACCCCCCATTGCGCAAAAATTGGGTGGCCAGAAGGGAAAATTCCGGGTGGTGAACTTTTTTTTTTCGAAAAAATAATAATTTTGAACTTATTTTTGAAAAAAATTTTTGATTCTGAAATCCACGTGGCAAATTTTCAAAGTTTTTTTTTTGAATTTTGAAAATTGAGATTCTGAAATCCACGTGGAATTTTTGAGCTGAAGGAATTTTTTGAAATTGAATTTTTTATTTTCAAATTCACGTGGCATCCAGCTTTTCGAATTTTGAAAATTTGGATTCTGAAAGCCACGTGAAAAGTTTTCAAAGTTTTTTTTTTGAATTCTGCAAATTCAGATTCTGAAATTGCCACGTGGCTTTTCAAATTGAGAATTTCAAATTTCCCAAGAAAAAAAATTCAGAAGACCCCCCACTGCGTTAATTTTTCTCTGCTGACCCGCCGGAAAACGAAAAAACTTTTTGTGGCGATGAAATTTTTGTTGTTTCCTATTTTTTCTCAAAATTTATGAGCTCTGGAATCCACGTTTTAAACATTGCTCATTTTAACTTTGCTTCTGAAAGCCACGTGGCATTCAAAAGTTTAGGTGCCACGTGGATTCTAGGCCAATTTTTTTCCACGTGGAATATATTTCTGACCTCACAATCCTTTAAAATTTCAAAAAACCCTGTTCCATCTGTCCTGCTCCCGAGCACAATACACACTTCTCTCTTTATGCTCTTTTTTTATGTCTCATGTCAGCTTGTCACCTCCCAAAAATTCCCCTTTCATCTATTGCAACTCACCGCCTTTTGACACCATGGTGTCTTTTCGACAGATTGCTCAGACCACGCCCACTTTTTCTACGGGATTAACTCACCCAAAAAATTTTATAGCTCTTCTCTTGCTCTTGCTCTTTTTTGTGCCATTTTCTGGGAGAGACTTTTTAAAAATTCAGGCGAGTTTCTTCTATTGTTCTTTGTATTTTTTTTTTGAAAATGTGAATTTTTTTTTTTGAAGAAAAAAAAAGTGCGAAAATTATTATTTTCTATATATTTTTTTCGAAAATTTTGTTGCCACGTGGAATTTTTTGAAAATTTGAATTCGGATGTTTTGGCGCCAAAAATTCCACGTGGCCATTTTTTGGCGCCGAATCAAAATTTCGAAATTTGAATTTTTTGAAAAATTCTGTGGAATTTGGAGCTAAAACCTGAATTCAAATTTTTTTTCAAAAAAAAAATTAGTTTGAATTTTGGCGCCAAAAACCCGAATTCAAATTTTCCTCAAAAAATATTTTTTTTGAGTCATTTTTGGTTTATTTACATTAGGTCATCTGCCATTAATAGAGTACTCTTTTACCCAAAAAAATTATAAAACAGAAAAAATATAGTTGGCAGACGGCCAGCAGGTGTAAATATTGTGCATTTTTTGGAGCTTGAATATTTTTTTCTAAAATTTGTGATTTTTTTCAATTTTTAGCATTTCGAATCCCGTTGAAATTTTTTTTTTTGAAAAAAAAAATCCGGATTTTTCCCCATAAAGAAAGGGCACCCCTCAATTATTTTTTCAAATTGTTTTTTTCTGTCGAAAAATTTTGGGGTCACGATTTTTCTATTTTAGCTTAGCTTCAAATCCAAGGTTTTTTCTAACTTATAAAATGCTCTTTTCCTTTTCCTTTTTGCATAATTTTTCTTGAGTTACTACAACTCAATTCGTAACAAAATCAGTTTTCCCCCGGAATTATTCATGAAAAAATCTGGCATCCATTTTCATCACACATATTTTTCATCACATATTTTTTTTGTACTACGATTCTTTTTGTTTATATTATTTTCCCTTTTGTTTATGATTTTTCTTGAGAATTTTTTGTGAAAAAGAAAAAAATTAAAAAAAAAAAGTTTGGCCGCCAGGTGGGATCGAACCCTGGTTTTGCAAACGGTATGCACGCGTGTTCACCACTTGGCCACGTGGCTCTTCATTTTCGCTGTCGAAAATATCGAATATAAAATGCGGGCGCCAATTTTTTCCACGTGGAAATTTTCTGTGCGAGAAAAAAGTTCCATAATAAATTAGTTCAGAACTATCCCAGGAGACCATGCCAAAAACTTTTTTTGACCTATCCTCCATGTTTTCTCTGCGTCTCTCGATTTCTAGCACACCTCAAGTGTATCTCTCGGGGGGCCTTCTAAAAATGGAAAAGAAGAGGCAAAAGTGAAGGAGTATTCCTTCCAAAATCAAATTGTTGTGTGTCCGCCGAAGGAAAAAAAAGACAGAGAAAAGATGGAGAAAAAAGTTTTGCATATACTTTTTTCGCCCCGTTTTTTTGCCGATTTTTATGATTTTCCATATTTTCTTCACCTTCTGGTTTATTTTTGGTTTCGAAAAATTTAAATTTTCAAATTTCCCGCCAAAAATTGCCAAGTGAAAACAATTTTTCACACGCGTTTCATATTCGAAATTTTGACAGCGGAAAAAAAAAAGAGCCGCGTGGCCAAGTGGTGAACACACGCGCGTATCGTTGGCAGTGCCTGAGTTCGATCCCACCTGCCGACCAAATTTTTTATTTTTTTATTTTTTTTTTTGAAAAATGTTTTGTTTGCTTTTTGATTCACCGTTTTTTATGTTTGAAAAAAAACGTTTTTTTTTAAATGTTTTTTTTAGAGAAAATTCAAATTTCACTAAAATTCCAACTTTTCTCCCCATTTTTCTCGTCCAACGCTCATAAATTCGATGAAAGCCTCTTAAATAGCAGTGTTCTTCTCTTTCCTCTTTTTTTTGGCACCAAAAATATGTTGTACACCAGCCTCTTCTTTTTTTTTGAAAAAATACTATGTTTTCACTTTTTTTCGCGCCAGATTTTTCCCATAATTATTTCATTTTGATATCCCTCATTAATTTCGTCAAATCTTTCCAAAAAAAAATTTCACAATTTTTTTCAGATGCTCAAAAATCGATATTGCTAGATTATTGCACCTGCTAACGAATTTTCCACACGTTTTTTCGCGCCTCGAAAAATTTTTGCAGGTTAGTTTGGGTTTTTGAGATTTTCAGACATTTTTTGGGGGATTTTTTGATTGGTTGAGAGAGTTTCACCTGGGATTTTTTATTTTTTTTTCTTCTGTTTTTGATTTCTGAATTTATCTGTGAGCTGAACATTTGAGCGAAATTCTGAAATTTTTTGAAAATTTTCCGGATTTAATTTTTTACTAAATTCTGATTTCT